TTCTCTAATTGTTGAGAAGTACTATATACATATAGGGGAAAGCTATCTAGGGATTCGGGGGGGGGGGGGGTGAGTCCATCTTCTCCCCCACGAATCCTAATCAAATTGCTGGGCACAACGTGTCGCGGGAGCCGACGACCTCGTCGCATCTCTCTCTCTCTCTCCTTCTTTTCGGTTCTGCCACACCCCCCGAATCATCGTGGTCCATTCGATTTTGCGTCGTCTTCTTCGTGTCCTAGGCACCAACTCGTTTTCCATCCGTTCTCTTATTTTTTTCTTTTCTATGGTTTATATGTTGAGAGGGTGAGATACATCTTCCAAAAAATACTTTATTTGTTTCTTTGTTGATTTCTTTTCGGATTGTATGTCTTTTGTTTTCCGCGTCCGGCGTTTCACGTGTTGATGCGGTAGAGCGATATTACCCGAATTTTGAGGTGCTAATAGCTTCGTAGCTCAAGAAAAAACGGTTTTTGTAGTCTATAAGCCTATTACTGTTAATTTAGAATAATAAGAATGTTTAAAACAATATTGTGTCGGCGTGGAAAATCCTATACCTTCACCCTGGAAAATCCTATACCTCACCCTTGTTCACTTTAACTTTCCACGTTACCTTATATTTTCTATACACGATCTAATCATAATCATAAGGTAACTAGAGGTGAAAAACTTGTCACCCGGGACTTGTTTATTTATTCTATGTGTGGAGACGAGAAGAATCTTCTCTTCTCTCTCACTCTTCCATATTTTGCATCCCTCCGTCTGCTTCCGCGAGAAAGACGGCGTTTTCCAAAAAAACTTAGCAAGGCAAAGCATCCATCTCATTTTCCACTTGTCACCTAAAACGAACAAAGCGCCGCACGGCACTTCTCAAAAATATAATCCTTTTGAGCTGCAAAAATTCGTTTCATTTTTGAAAATTTTTAATGGGGAGATTGAGAGGTAGAAGACTTATCTGGCCACCTTTAGATGAAGGTAAACCTTAGTTTTATAAGATATGCGTTTTCCGTTTTTTCCATACGCCATAGTCAAATCAAGGCAGAAAAGAGGAACTTTTCGAAGGGGGCAGTCGCTCTCTGGAGAATTGACCCTTGAGGAAGATTCCGTCTAGAGATGCCCAAAATTATGCAAACCCTCTTTTCCTCCTTCTTTTCGGTTCCTCAAAATTTACTCCGACGAGCTGAACACAAAAGACGAGGATGGGATAATGTGATTTCAAGAGTATTTTCTTTTCCACTCCTATTTACTTTGCTCCAAATTGCGTTCTTCTCCTTCTGCCGCGTCCCCTCCAGACGCTTCTCAGAGACCAGTTGAAAAAGAAGATGAAGCCTCTCTCGGCCCCGGGTCCTCCCTCGTTGCATATCTCAGCTCGCCGAGCACTTCTCACAATACATCAACACACATACACATACACTCGGGCGGCCCAACGGCTGGCGCACATGCAAAACCACATATTCCCGACGACGACGAGGACAACCCGTCCATCCGGGTTCTCTTCACTTTTTTTCAATTTTGTCATTCATTTTGGTCTCGAACCGATTGTAGTCCCTCTTTAAGTATCGCTGTGTTTGCTTTTCTCGGAGTGAATGTTTTGAAGGTGTTTATACTATTTTCCGGATCCTTCCGCAGTAGAAGCTCTTCATATGCACTCACCTGAAAGTGATAAAACAAGTCTAACAAAAATTGGTAACTAGCACGTTCAAATTGTTAAGACAACACAGGAGAAACATACCATAAACGTTTTACTATAAGTTGAACACGGGCGTCTGGTCTAGACTAGTGGAACTGATCCGAAGCTCGTAACTCCCTCCTTTACTTTACGACTTCCGTACTTTCGTCTTTCGTTCGAATGTTCTCAAAACTTACTCAGTTGAGACCTTGAACACAGTTTTGTCGATAATCAGAGCTTTACCATTATTCCATGATCATTTCGAACCACTGTAGGCAACGTAAATTTGGCACCGTCTGAACTTTTAGATCTCTGTTCATTTGGATGTGCACAAGACGTTCTGAAGTGCCTGTGCATAACACCTGAATTCATCGATTTTAAGAAAGAAGTAGGTTTATTCTCAAAAAGAGAAGCAGTACTCTACTCTTCTTTTTCTGGTTTCGTTTAGTTTGGCTTCTAATTTCCGGAGATCGCGTTTCGACGTTGTCGTCAGTCGCTTCTTCGCCTCTTTCTCTTTCACTCGCTCGTTGTCGAAAATTTAATCGTCAAGTCTAGAAACAACAAAAAGAATCGAGTGGGGCATACAACTTCGGCTCCGCCTGTTTCATTTTCTCAAAAAAGTTTATTTAGCTTCCTACTGTTTTCGGTCCTATGCGCTCATCATTGCAAGAGACAAAGAAAATTGGGAACTCAAACCTGCCACATCCACATATTTGCATGCTAAAATAATTTTCCGCATTCAAAACACTTGACAGCCGTACTATGCGTTCGAAGAGATCTTTCTTTCCGCTGTTTTTTGTTTTTCTCACGTCATTCTTGACCTACAGTAACTTCATATTTTCATAAATTTCTTCTGGAGAAAGCCTTGTGTGGAGTTAGAGCTTACGATTGCTGTCTGCGCTGTTGTGAATCCCTCCTCAAACTTTTCCCCGTTAAAACTCCTGTTTGTTTAAAAAAGCTCCCCGGAAAAAATAGAATACATCGAGGAGAAAAACGCGCCGTGCGTCCATCTCCTAAATCACCGCAGTAATTATTCCTCGTCGGCACGAAAGTTTTCTCCAACTTTTCTTCTACTAGTTCTCCCTTACTGAGCCCATTTCATCTCCTCGTATATCTTTTTGTGTATGTGTATTCGCTTTTTGTGCCGCCTATTCCTATTCCCCATCCAGCCAATTGCTTTTCCATATCCGTGTTTGTGTGCATGCTCTCCAGAGTGTTGCTGCTTACATCATCTTCTCTCTCTCTCTCTCTCTCCTTCTCTTTCCCGCTTGTTTTCCCTCTTTCTTTTCCTCTTTCTCCCCTCTTTTCACTGTTTTTATTTCACACGCCTTCTTCTTTCTCTAGGAGAAGGGTCCTATAGACTGAAGAGCGCAGAGAAACAAGGGAAAAGCACCCCGTTTTATTCGCGTCGTCTTCTCCTTCTCCTTCTTTTTCCTCCACAACCACAAAAAGCGGCGGGCGCGGAAAAGTTCTTCGAGCCACGCCCCTTTCGCCAATAAATTAGGATACGCCCACTAAACTCTCTACAACTTTCCCCTGCAAAAATCTCCTTTACTCCACCAAAACTGCGTCTTCTACTGATTCTATGTATTCCTTCTACTAAATATGTGATCGGCGGCCACCTGTGGAACCACATCCAAGAATTCGGAAAAGGAGCGCAAAATGCATGTTCGTTATTTACAGCACGAACATACAGGCACAGTTCAACTTCTCCTTATGCCTCTTTCCACAGCGGCGTCTTTCAAAAGTGCCAAATGGTAAGTCTTTATTTTTGTGTGCTGAAATGGGTCAAGAACCGAGCGGATTTTGAATAAAAATTGTTTGAAATAACCCAAATTCAAGTTCACGTCATAAATCCTCTCGTCGAGTACTTTAAAATTTCGTAGATCTTTAGAACCCACGTAAAAATAACCGAAGCGATCACATGAAACTCTAGCTCCTTTTTTCTGAAGATCTTCAGGGTTCCCTATTCTGGATCAGAATTCCATCAACGTGAAAATTTCCATTTCCATTTTCAATTTCGAATTTAGACGAGTATAGCTTTGTGCTGCTGCTGCTCACCACTTTAGGTGTCATGAGAGAAAAAAGATATCAAATTTCTTTTTTTCGCCCTCTTTTTCCCTGTTTGGAGGCTCCCGGAACCACCAATTTCGCGTCCATTGTCCTTTTCGGAGTTGTTCGCTCTCCGAGAAAAGTTTTGTGGTGACTAAATGGAAAGAAGGCAAAAAGTTGGGAGAAGCTGTGGAAGGCACATGCTTCGAATATGAATTTAATATACATATGAAAAAGTGTGTGCTTTTTGCATATATTATCCGAAGAAGCACGTGCTTTCTAGAAGTTTTGAGGATCTTTTATAGGATAATGTTGAAGAGGAAGCTTCACATTCCAAACTTTTCTAACTAAAAACCTTGTTTTCGGAACCCTCATCTTTATCATAGTATACATGTGTTTTTGTGCTCAGGACCGAAGAGGAAGGCGAAGGAGAATGCGACTCGGTGCCACTGGCAATTCAGACGTTCCTTTGGCGACAAACAAAGTAGGTATTTTTTCTTTTCCATGCTTCTTCATTTTCTTGTCAAAAAATATTCTAGAATTCTTATTTTTCAGTCCATTCCTGGGAGCCAAAATTGGCAAACTTCACGAAGCGTCTTGCGTGGTAAGCTCTTCTTTTTAACCAACTACAGCAAAATTTTATAATCCTCTTCCCTTCCCCACTACTAAACTCGGCGCCATCAAATGTGTCCCTTGGGCAATATTTTAAGCTGATGTTAGGCTCTCCCACCCCACAGCTGCTCTGCACAACCACAACCACTCTTTGCCGCCGCTTTTTCGATCACATAGGATGGAGGGACTGCCAGAATCATGTCAAGCGGAAATACTTTCGGCGGCGGAGGCACTGCGGGGTTTTTGGGACCGCAAAACTGGGGAAGGGAGCGGATGAATTGGAAAGGAAGGATACTTGAAACTGGAATAAGATTTTTATCAGAAAAATCAGGAAATAAAAACTAAAAACAGCCAAACTAGATTAGAAGAATACTTACAACTTGTAAGTTACAAGAAATAGTAAGAGGAACTTAAAACTTTCAGACATTCGAACGGGTTGTGGTGCAGAACATTTTGCACGGTTTATCAATTTCATTGAGTGACGCAATTGGCAGTGTTTCTAGGTGGAAATTAGTTCGAGCAGCACTACCTCATGTTATACAGGTTCATACAGCACCAAAACGACAATAATATTTAGTTATTTCAGTGTTGTGGGTCGTTATTATCTGCAAACGTAGGGGAGAAGAAGTTGCCTACTTCACTTCAGAAGATTCTTTATATTCTTCATTGGATGTTGATAGACTCCTCTTCAGAATGCACAGAAAGTACAAGTACAAAAGTGAGTTCAGCAGACTATATACTTAAGATGTGACATCGTATGCTTGCAGGATGAAAATTTTACACCACGTAGTCAGGGCCTCTTCAACATTTCCACTATTCAACTTTTTATTTATCTAATTGCACCACTCGCCGATGTGATAACGGAAGAAGAAGTCGTTGACAACATCCGGTTGGAATCCGGTCTGAAGATTTGGCAGGCCATTTGGCAGTTCCGTCAGCCCGATGTCTGGTGTTTCTCGGCGCCCGTGAAGCAGCGAAGAGACGAACTGCCGCAGATTTCATTTGCGAGGAGACAGAATCCAATGCAGTCGCAGAATCAGGGCATTTATTTGGGTAAAGAGGAGAAGCCCCGAAGGCCCTCAATTGTACCCCCTCCAAAGCCGCCAAGGACAGACGCGGCAGTGCTTCACGAGAAACGAAAATTGGAGGAGGAAAAAGAGAAACAACGAATAAAAATGAGCACGAAGGACTACGTAGCAATTGAAATTGACGAGCCTTTAATTGAGTAAGCCACTGTGTTTGTATGCAGACTTGAAACTAAACGTTTTTCTTCAGAAAACCTGGCCACCTGCTTATTGATATGACTCCAGTGACGGCATCGGGAGTCTCGAGAGGGTTTCAGAGAACGTCGTCGATTGTGAGAAGTGTCAGCGAATACAAGACAAATCTCTGCGGACAGAAGCCTGCGATATCGAAGAGCCAGACGTCAGATGCATTTGATGTCAGTCCAAGTGAGTGTGAAGGATTACGGTAGCTTTCGATTTTACACGTGAATTACTTTTTTTAGCTTCCGACTCATCTGCAAAGATGCTCGAGGAAGTGGAAGAGATAAAGTTTGCGGAGAACGAGAACTGCTCGTTGTCGGCTGTGTTCTTCTCTGCAGACCAAGCTCCTCTTGTCAATCTTTCGGACATATGCAGTGGTTTCTCTTTAGAAGCTGACAATATTGCTACTCAAATGCCACCAACTCCATGCCCTACAAGTGCCGAGCAATCCGATTCTGAACTAGGATATCGGCCTGTCGACAATTCCATGTATCTTTCATCCACTTCGAATGCATCAGATGCCCCACCTTTTATTCTTACCAGAGGTAAAAAACGAAGGGTAAATGTTCGATGTCTCATATTTGTAACAGCGTCTACAACTGACGAAACTGCGTCCTCTTGCTCTCAACAAACTGTGATTCCTATTCAAATACCTGTGCCTTCACCCACTGTAGCTCAATTGAAAACGCTTACTCCGGCCATTACGACGAGTAAGACTGAAAACAGAAGAACCGATCACCAGAGGTGTAAGTTGATAATACTGTTTACATAGTGAAAATAATGCTTACAGTGCCATCAAGCCAAAAAAGCGTGTCAGGAAGTACTGATGATGAGCTTGATGAGAATTCGTTTAATGATCCAACTGTCGCCTCGTACCTTGACGTGGCAGTTATCCGCGCTCTTCTAATCACGCATTGGCAAGAGAAAGGAGTTTACTGGGCTCTGAGATACATCCTGAATAGACTCGAAGAAATTCAAGTGTATGTAACCGTCCGACAAGGAGCCAGGCAGAGGAGTAACTCTCTTCCCAGTGGAGAGAGGAAGTTATCTGTGGCGCCTGATCAGTTCACCAATCCAACGTGGGATGACCTGAAATATGAAACGAAAGAGGAAGGAAGAGCTCATTTGCACGTGGCTTTCAATGATAGCGAGAGGAGGAAGTCATCTGATAACTGTACGTTTCAATATAAATATGTTCTTCAGTGCAGTTTTTGTTGTAGGCCTAGCTCCTCACACTGTGTCAACATCCCGAAGAAGTTCTCTGAACACAATGTCTCGCAGAGGAATAAACAGATCCAATCCATCGCTGAACAATTCTGTGGAAGTTCTATCCATTCGTGACGATGCTGAAGACGATATATCCAACATTTCAACAAAATCAGTGGAAAAAGAGAACTCGAAGATCAATGCGGCATACTTTCCTGAAGCTCTTGGAAGCACCAATTTCATAGAGAAAGACGGAAAAGTTTCTGCCACAGTGATTGTGCAAACAGTCAATCAGGTCATGGACCGATGTACTGGTGTTCGTCAGTGCGAGCTCGCTCTGAACATTGCCGATGTCCTTCTAAGAACTCCTCTGGAGCAGACTGAAACGTTTTTTGTCCAGCTGAACATCATGGTTTTCAAGTAATTAGCTGGCAACACTAGTAGATGTCAAATTTTGTGAATTTCAGAATCTATCTTTGCTTGGGATGCCCCCACGGTTGTAACGAAGGTGTTAAAAGTCAACATGGCGATTTTTTACGTGCCAAAGCCAGATCTATTCTGGCTCATTTGGAAAGAGTTCAACCAGTAAGTTTTTACGATGCTTCTGTATTTTTGTTTGTCTTCATTTTGTACTTTCAGGAAAAGTTCAAAACGATTTTAAATGATTACGTGGACAACTACGGAACCCAACAAGTTATCGATCTGCTCCATTCCATCACCGCTTTCTGCCGTTCTGAACTTGCCCGTGGGTCCATTCATAGCTTTCGCCTGTGCATATGTTCAACTTTCAGCAGTTGATGGCCGTCGAAGCTCAGAAAGTCGAATGCCTTCCTACAGAAATACGTTCAATGAAAAGGACAAAGGAATTGAAGGCCGGATCATTAATGCCACCTACAAAACGTTGATCACGAAAGTTTCTGCGATCAGTGCCGAGCTTACACTTCCGGAGAACATGGTGAGCTTTATTTCTTCTTTTCTATTTTCATATCGTTTAACTTTGAAGAGTTTGCAACAAGATGTTCGGATGCTAGTGAATTTTGTTCAAGATCACCACGGAAATCCTTTTCGGCGAGTCGGTCTTTCCGCTCTGAAAGACGCTATCGGCAAAAGCCCGATACCGGGGTACGTTCTCAGCGAACTATTTGCTCCTTTTTGATTCACTGTTTCTATTCTATCATTAGTCACATACGTTCACCTTTCACTTCACTTATAGTCGATCTCCTCCTTCTTCTTCTTGCACAAAGAGACCGGAACTTGCTCCTCCGCAGTTAGCTCTTCCACGTGCCCGATCCAAAGCGTCGGTTGTGCGGTCGCAGTCTTCAAAGTCGCCAAAGTCAGTGCGCTTGATGATTCCGCACATTTCGCTAACCAAATCCACCGAGTAATAGGATCTTTCCAACAGTTTTCTGGTTACGATCAATAAAACCCGCATGCTTCAGCCCCACCTTTTCTCTTTCCACTGCACGCCGACCGATTAACTTTTGGTTATCATTTCACAATTGTTTTGTTATAAATTATCAACTTCGGTAGTCTCAAGTATTTATTTTCAGTGAATCAAACAAAGAAGATAATTCGAGCCCAGGTGGAGCATCTCTCAAGCAAGGCGAAAAAAACGATCAAGCATCATTGCGAAGAGGGTTGTTCAAGAAAAAAGAGAAGAGCGGTGGTACCACTACAGGAAACGATGATTCGGAAGGAGACAGCTCTCCATCCACTCCGAGGACAGTTTCATCGATGGACGATGGCGTTTCTCCGCTTGCTTCTAACAACACTTACAAGAAAAAGAGCGCACCAAAGTTGCACTTTGCATTTGGCCTTCTTAAATCGGTGAGGCCAGACATGGACGAGGAGACATCCGACCAGGAGATGAATGAAGATCAATCACAACAAGATTCCGACACGGTTCCAATGAGAAGACCATTGCGACAAAGTTCGAAGCATGTGAAAGCGAGGCTCCCTATTGATTGTGAGTTCCTATGAAATATTCAAAACGTATGTTATTTCAGCAAAAGGTGGAATGCGACTGTGGGGTACTTATGTCCCCCCGCCCATTTTAATTGACGTCAAAGGTATATTCGATGGGGCTCGTCGATTCGCTTTTCTTCTTGAGACCGCCAGGCCTGGGACCTTTCCGGACGCGCCGTTAATAGCAGCTATAATGCATTTGGTAAGATAATCTTGGGAGATCATGCTCGTCGTTTCAAAGGAACATTTTTCAGAAATCACCAGTATTAGCGCGAGCATCTCTTTTATTGGAATGTGCGAACTTTGTCTCAAGATGCAATCGAGGACAGTGGCCTGAATGGATCCGATCTTCCCATCATCGAACGTTCAGTCTTGGAGGTGCCTTGGCTAATCGAGGAACTCCATCAGCAACCAGAAGAATGCATTCTCTGCAGAGACAAGCTGGACGCTACTTCTATCAGTGGGGCATTCAAATTGGAGAGCACCTCTGCAAAATGGTTGATATGGCGGAGAAGAAGAATCGTAAGGCGTTGCAAATGGAGGACGCCATTGAAGACTTTTTCGATGACGGCGTCGTGAACGACGCCGGTGGAGAACGATGTCCCCCGGCTCTGCAATTTATCGCTGTGCTTCTTTTACAAGAGATTACTGCTTTTCTTAGAGAAACGTTCAAAACCATCCCAAGATCTAAGAATTCGAAGCCGCAGACAGGAAATTCGGGTTGGGACAAGCTGCTGAGTCATCGGAGGTGGTCAATTTTGTCAAATACATTCAATGCACAGCAGACAGGATCAGTCAATAGCATCACGGATATAAACTCTTCTATTCACTGTAAGTATACGGAAAATTATTTTGTTACTTACCTTAGAGATTTAAATTGTTAGAAATCAAAAAAATTTACTAGAAAAACACCTGATCACGCCGAAAGTCGCAACTTCCGACGTTTGTGTGTGTTTTTCAATCAAAATTCTAATTAGAGTGAAATGTCGCCTTGAGAGTTTGTCGAAAAGTCGAGAAAACTGAAGTCGACATGATCGACGAAGGTAATGTCGATTTTCGCGAGCTACTCTAGTGATGGATTCTAGAACTGCTCGATGATTTCTGTTAATATTCACCTACGTGATCTCTCGTCGATCATGCCCCTTCGATAATCGACCAACAATTTTGTCGATTATCGTGTATACACGTCACTCTAATCAAAATTGATCAGAATATTATCGAAACCCACTAAAAACGATAAAAAAATGTTTTCAGTGAACGACAAGGAAAGGAGAATCAGTTTGTCAGCAGCAGAAGAAGACTCTCCGCGAGGTTCGAAAGATGCCATTGATGAGATTAATGCAGTTGATAAAAAAGGTTAGCTTTTTACCGTACTTCTGTCCCTTTTTCCATTTGAAATTCGTGATTTTTCTTACTGACTGTTCCATAGAGGTTCCTTTGTGTCCCTGATCGTTTTTCTCTGATAGCTCAGAGTCCGGGTGCCGCTTTATTGTCCGTTTTCTTAAAAAACGCGGCATTCGCCTTCAGGTTCAATCATCGTGCAGACTGTCGCCGTAGTTCGGCCGCCTTCACTCTCCGCCAGACTATTCTCCCGGCAATCAACGCACGAAGAGTCGGGCGGATCGGCTCAGGGGTCCACCAAATCAACGACCTACGTGCCTGAACCAGGTTCTGATGTGTTATGAGCACTACTATTCTGCACCCGCACCCACACAATATATACATCACTTCTTTAAAAGTCTACTCCTTTCTTTTTTCTGTGTGAATGTTCCCACTATTTCTTTTCTTTTCCTGCACCATCACCATCCACGATATTATTATTATTTCTTCATACTTTTCTTTGTAGGTCGGAGAATCGCAACTGGACGTCAACGACTTCTGAAACGGGGAACTCCTATGACTTCTGGAGCCACTGGTCAACCATCTCTGGAGTCTAGTCACAAGCGCAAGTCGTTTCGCAGCAGAAAACAATCAAAACCAGCACATATGGAGGAGGAAGAAAAGTCTGATGGAGGTAAGTCTAGTTTTCCAAATACATAGATACGGACGGTCCATCTGAAGGTAGTCTCGCCTCTCAATCGCCGATCCTTCAAAGGGTTCGGGCTTCAAGTATGCGAGCGTCCAATTTGCTCGCCCTGTTTCATCACGCAATTCCTGAATTTCTAGACGGTATAAATAGCTCAAATGTGTAGAACGTGCCCCCACTCCCCTCTCATGAATAATAATCCGAATTTACCCTCATGCAAGCTAACTCCCACATGATCCCTACACGTTAGAAACGTCTCTATAGTGCAAAAAGTAACAAGAAACATTTGTTTTTCAGCTGGCGCTACCCACATTCTGTCGGCTCGGGATTCCTTGAAACCAACTGATGATGGACTTCAATCACCCGTAGAAACCGTGCATCCTACAGTAATCCCTCATTCTAATCACGGAAGCTCTCACAGTCAGCAGCCTGTCGCATTGAAACCGTCCATAGACGATGAAGAGCAACACATGCTTTCCAATCTTCCTTGGATCAAAGTGCTCATCAAATTTTCCAACTCGTTCGATCTAGAATGCCAACATGATGGTGCTTGTACTCCGAAATGTTTTCAAAGAATTCATAGGCAATGCTATCGACTCATAGAGTCTCTGTCAACACTGTATGGAGCAGAAAGGTAATATTGTGCGCAAAGTTTCTAAAAAGCAAGTTTAACGCTACAGAAACGCCAGGACGAGAACCGATAAACGGAAGCTTCTTGCGGAAAGCTGGCAGTCAAAACAACAGGCACTTCGTAGAGTGAGTGTTTTACCTAAAATTTCAGATAGTTCTGAAAAATTGAAAATTAAAACAGAAAACTATGAAAAATTAGACATTTAGCAAACTGAAACGAGCAGTTCACGAGCGGTAAGTTGTTGAATATATCTTCAGTACATCCATCGTATTTTCCACTTCCACTCCTATCTGCTCTACCACTCCACTCACTGAACTAGCATCTAGCTTTTAACTTTTACCTTTTCTGACTTCTATTTTTCAGAGTATTCACGCACGTCAGTCAACAGCTGTGCCAAGAAGAGAAAGTGCAATGGTTGGTCAGCCGGAGTTTGCCAGCAAAGCCATCAAAATGATGCTTATGGAAAAGATGCAACAGGAAAAAGAAAAAGAGAAGGAGAAGGAGAAAGAAGAGAAGGAAGCATTGAAAAAACAATCAGTTGAGCAAGATCGGCATTCGGAAGACACAGAGGAAGAGCAAACTTCTACGGAAAAAAACAAGCAGATGCTCTCCTATCTGCGTTCGCTTGTTCTTCAACTTGTCCACTCGCCAATTTCATCTGTGTTGAAATGCTGTCTTTTGCTCAATGTGGAGCAACATAAACAGATGATTGGAGTGTCCTGGAAGATGCTACAACATGAAGATCCTCATGTGGTCGCCAGTGCAGCTTCAATGTTCATAGTTGCCAGTGTCAAAAGATCTGAAGATGGGTTGGCTATGATTCGTTGCGCTTTGGAATCCCCGGACGCCCAAGAGCGCACTAGCGGCATTCAGAGATTTTACACCTTATGGAGAAACCGATTTCATGCTTGGCTGAAGATGGAGGACGGTGCTCAAGCATTTTTCAAAGTCCCACCACCGGGAATTGACTTCACTCTACCATCTCCAGCGATCGGACAAAGCCAACTTCCCGTTGTCGATCCGCCGTGGATGCCTCATTTGAAGACCAAGATTGAGGAACTTTCTCTGAAAGAAGAAGAGCATGCTACGTCACAGACTATAATGACGATGACAAGAACTCGGAGAAAGCAAAAGCAGGAGATGGTGAAAAGGGCAGTGAGGGAGGCAGAAGAGCGGCAATGCGAACAACGACAGCTTTTTCGTCTCCGAAGTTCGGCTATCGTTTCTTTGGCTGCCTACGAACCGGCTCTCTTCCATCACCAACAGGAACAGACCGAAGGTTTGCTACAGTCAAGTTTCAAACAAAATTTGTCCTTGTACAGAATCCGAAAACAGCCATCAGCACGCGAGACACGTCATGCCGGTCGCTCAGCCATTGTTCCCATCAGCCCTTCTCTCTGTTGTACCGCAGATAATAGAGCTTCTGGATGATCCACAAGTTGACAAAAACGGCGTTTCGGTTGGTGACGTGGCAAAAAAGGTTATCTGGACATGCATAGTCGAGGATCCATCTCTGTTTTTACGGCACTTTCTGGAGAAATTGACCAATAGAGATCGTCAAGTGAGTGACTTCCTAGGTGGAATAATAGTGATTCTTCTGACCTACCCTCACTTTCCCTATCTTTGTCTTTCTCCCTGGTCTTCTTCATTTGTGTTCCTTTAGAATCCTTTCTCTTCCCATTCCAGGTCCTTATCAACGATTTCACACCTACACCCGCCTACGTAAGTTTTTTCAGTGCCGCGCGGGGGATCTGACTCTAGCATGATTCCTCCTTAACACGCATGCGTTTACTTACCTGATCTTTTCTGTTTTCCATTTCTAACCCGAATGTTGGCAACTCTTGTGCTTCAATTGTAATTTTAAAATCGCCTCGGTTTCAGGAAGTTCTCATGTCGCAACTTCGAAAGCTTGTGCTTCGATTTCACCCTCTTCCCAGTCAGGCTGCGCACTCCCTTCTCAATTATCTGGTGAGTTATGATACAGTTCATTGTAGAAATTAAATATTCATTTTTTCAGTTTGGATTTGTCATGCATTACGTGCGTACACAGTGTGAAGGATCAGAGAAAGCCATCGGAATGGCATTGTCCATCTGCTGGTTACTTTCTCCGAACATCCACGGACTTTACTTCAAAGATCTTAAACAGACGCTCAGAAAAGAGCAATGTGATGTCAGCGTGTTTGTCTTCTGAAAACTAGTACCCTCATCTCAAAATTTCAGCAAGCCTTAATGATAACTGCCAATGTTCCGTCTGCCAAAAAGATAATTGTCCATGGTCTTGATAGTGGTTCTGGCGGTATTCCGAGTCAATTCCCAGTCCACGAGGACACTCAATTCCATCAAATTCTGAGTGACAGTTTGGAGTTTTTCAACATCGAAGAAGATGACATGAATAGTTTCTACTTGACGGATACAAAAACTGGTGTGATACATCTTCCGGCCGCCTACGTCAGAGATTACTATTTTTTTCATCGCTCTTTTTATCCACAACTCACCCTGGTCAGGATGTCGCCTGAAGTTGCTCATAAACGGATGAAAGACACCGCATTTCATCAGAGATTTATTGAAGTCGGAAAAGTGCTCCTGACCCATAACATCTTGAAGTACAGCCCTCAGCATGTGGTAAGCTACTGATCTGCTTGCTTCCCGCTAATATCAAAATCTGTTCCAGATCGCTCAAAGAGTGTTTTTTCTTCATGACGAGTTCACTCATCTTCCGTCTTTTCCTCGGAAAAGTTTGGAAACCTGCTTCGGGATGTACTATGGTCCAAGTGGAGAGCAGCTGAAAGCAATGGAAGCCATGCACAAGTTTGTATGGGCTAAGCTCATGTCCGATATGTTCGAAAAAATGGAGAACGCGTTCATGTTTGCTGACCTCCATTTGTTTATCAATGTTATCAACGGCATCATGATAATGCACTGCGAAGACGTGTTGATCCTTCGAAGATGTGCAGCCACCTACATCTCTATTTCCATTCACTTCAGCACGTTATTCGCAAGTCAAGGATTTTTTCTGATCATGCCGACGCTTCTCCGCTGCTATAGTCAACGCCAAACCAACAAAGTATTCTGCCAAGTGGTCGAGTTCATCTGTCGGCAGTTCTACACTCTCCATCGCAAACCATTTCTTCTTCAAATGTGTGGAGCTATTGCCAATATCATCGACAATAGCAGCAATGACTTTGAGATCAATCCGATGAGAGTCAAAGCCAAGTACTGGTTCTATTTGATCAAAAAGATGGAAGAGATTACGGATGAAGATCCCCTGGATATCCTTGGACTGGTTCCCTACGAGAAGCCGCTGAGAGCGTTGGATTTATGCTATCGCGATGATCCAAATACATTCTGCGTTCTGACTGACGCCATGGCCAGTTGCATTTGTGTCTGCGCGTTTTCTCCGGAGAGCAAGAGGAGTCATCACATGCTGCTGATCATGCAAGCGATGCTTCCTCACATGATGAAGCGGTTGGAAGAGGACACTCTGGCGTCTGGAAACTCTCCGTCTGCCGTGAAGCACGAAATCTCACAGTGGATCACAATGGCCGTGGAGATGAAGGCATTGATTAACAGTTGCGAACAGCTTGTCCGAGGACCAACAAGAGCTTTTGATCTAGTGAATAGTGTTTCCGAAAGAGGAAAGAGTTTCGTCGCCGACTCCCCGCAATTCTTCGACCCACCAACCACCAACGACGATGAGAACTCGAGGCCGTATCATTTGAAGGAAAAACGATCGACGGCGGTTGCATGGGAAGCTGTAGAAGTGGAAGAACAACAAAAGGAAGCGTACAGGCGGCCCCGAGATACTCTCTTGCAGCTCATCGCCGTCTACATAGAAACTGCTGCTGTGCGGCTCAAAGAGCTTACTAAGCTTGGTGCAAATCTCGAGCACGCCAAGATCCCAGATGTACTAGACCACAAATGCTATGTAAAACTTGGAGAAGTGGCTCTAGCACTTCTGAAGGTTGCTCCTTACGATCTAGCAACGACAACTTGTCACGGTCTTCAAAAGTACTTCCAATCCATTCTTCCAGTCACTGATTGGTCAATAGAGTCTAACCGATCAGCTTTGAACATAATCTTGCGACGCCTTGACAAGACATTATCCAAAATTGCCAAACGTCAAAGCTTTCGAAAAAGAGCTATTTGGATAGCATTGTCAGCCTGGATTAATGGGATCTGTGACACTTTGAACTCTTTCCCGTACATTGCCCATCTTCATCCGCTGAAAACAATCACCCAGTTATGCTTGAGAATGATGGTAGGAGATCCTTGTGTGGAGGACGGATCGTCTTCAACGGCTCTACACCCAAGTACAGTACTCCATCCAACTCCACCACCTCAAATCTTCGCCAATGGGGTTCTACGGCTAACCACTATCCTCATGCAAGCTTTGGGACAATTCGCGTTTTCGCTGGATTTTGTAACTTCCACAGAAGGTATGGGAGTGTCTTCCGAACGATTGGAGGCGGTGCTTTGCCATGTGCTCATACCACTTTTCCTACGAATTCCAAACAACATGAAGGAGCAGTCCATCTTTCAAAGCAAGGATCTCGCGCAGTGCTTGACTGTCATGCAGAATGCCATCTCACCTCCACTGGCCAAGCAACCCGCTCCACCGTTGATTAGCACTTCCACGCTGACCACGTCGTTCATTCGTGGTACACAGGGTAATAGTTTTGGGGGAATGTTCCAAACTAGAGTAACTTTTTTCCAGATGTGACGGGACGACAAGGATCCGTTTCAGTCACAGACCGCGGCCACTCGGCCACAGTTTCCACCCACCGGATTGTTCGTGAAAGCATTTGCCAGTCTATCTACCTAGGTCTGAAAGTGCTCATGCTGATATTCGGAAAGCTATTGGCTCCAATGTGGCCAAGAGTGGCCAGGCTTGTAAAAGATTTACTGGCAAAAAAGCCTGGTGCTCCGAGTGCTCTGATTTTTGTTGATTTTCTGCTGCATTCTAACCTTCCCATTGCTCTATTCATTATTCCTATGATCCAGAATAAGGTATAGCTGCAGGAGCGTGTGAAAAATACTTGGTATACATTTCAGATGAAACAGAAGCCGGGAAGTGAGCAAGAAGCGGCGTGGCAGTCTGAAATTCTGGAGAAGCTGAATGCGAAGCATCACAACGTTGTGCCCATGTCCATTCTGATTATAAAATGTAGCCAGGAGCTTCAACAACTCAAAGAGGAGTTGTCGATGAAACCCATAGAAATGGCAAGATCCTACACTCCAACGATGGCAGATCCTCACTCGGACTCATCGGCAGCGTCCACAGCTCCACGTGGGGCAACTTCTCGACAAAGTATCGATCGAAAAACAAGTATTCACGCAAAGAAGATGCTTCCGACGATGAAGGAAGATTCGACTATTCCGGAAGACGTAGAGGATGAAACATGCGACAACTTGCAAGAACCGCCATCAACTTCGGGAGTTCCGAGTCCGATTGGACGAATGATCAAAAGTTCGAGCATTCCATTGAACAAGGGTCCACAATCGAGTCGCACCCGTTCGATTAGTGGATTCGGAATGTGGAGGAGTGTTCGAAGGAAGTCAAGACATATTTCAACTGATGATTCATCTGATGACAGGGGCAGCGTTGAATTGCACGACATTGCCGGAGGACATCATTCCACGCTTCAAGAGGTTGGTTTATTCCTTACAATCCTTACAGAAACGGAAAAAATTTGGATTTCACTTAGTTTTTTAAAAGTTGGCTACCACATTTATACGTTTTCTTAGTACCTTAGAAGAGTGTTTCAACATACAAAAAACGTAAGTTGAAATTTATGGCTCCGTGGAAAAGCTGTTTGGACCGAGACAGATTCAACATCACGATATGAACAATTTTGCAGCCAAACCGAACTCCAAATCGACGATCCACAGAAGCTTTAGTTTTACCTCTTCACGAGAGTATCGACACGAATAGACATCGATGTGAGTGGAAAGAGACATTATTAGCAATTTGCACTATTCCCATTTCAGTCGTCTCATTTTCAACTCCAAAAAAATCGCACGAGCGGGACGAAGAAGTATTCCAAATCACCGAACAACATCAACTGGTCTAAAAAGCATTCATTCATTCATTACTCACTTCTAGCCACATTTTCTCTCAAATTCTTTCTTTTTCTATTGAAACGCGGGTGTTCTGCCAGTTCACACAACACATTTCCATGTCTTCTCCCCGTTAACACTTTCGCATTTGACGCCACAAATCGAGTACTGCTTTATTTTCTTTTTATGAGGTTTTATGAATGACTTTATGTAAAAAGAACTTTAAAAGGGTATGAAATAACAGGGAACAAGACAACAATAACAACAACAATTTGGACTACAGAATTTCCACGCGAAATTTCGTGTGAATTTGAAAAGTTTCAGTTTTCAAGGAGACGTGATTTTTTTCTTTTTTTTGAGAACTCTCTTTTTCTTGGGCTCAACTTTGATCACCTCTTCCAGATCTGAGGCCATTTCTTCTTTAATTTCTTCTTCTTCAATCACAGATTCCTTCCGCTTTCTGCTCGACGTCTTCTTTGCTTTTTTCACAGGTTCTACGATTTCCTCCACGTCGCTCACTGACTCTTTTCTCTTTTTGCCTTTACCAACAGTCTTCCCCTTTTTTCTTGGCTCTTCCTGTCCATTTTCATCTTCTTCATGTCCTCGTTTGGCCTTCTTCACTGGCTGCATGACATTCCAAACGTCGTCCTCCTCAATGACGTCTCCTCCATCGGATTCTTCCTCTCCTCCTTCGGATTCTCCTTCTTCCTCCGAACGATATCCGTTTTTCGTCATGTTTCCGTACTCGCTATCATTTTCGTTCGCCTCCTTCTTGGTTTTTCTGTCGCTTAGAATAGATAGATCATCGCGAAGAAGTACACGATTGAGCCGGGATTTGCAATAAATCTAAAAAAGAAACATTTTATGATGCATTTCACAACACGCAGTGTGATTAATCGATAAGATGTGTCTAAATTTTTCAGAAATTTTTACATTTATTTTCCGAGCACTCAGTTTTCTCTTACCTTATGCACAAGCTTTCTAGTCCGAAGATCATGAACACGCAAAAACCGATCGATTCCGACAGACGCTGCGAGAGGCATTGTCGGATGTCCGTCAATGCTTCGAATCGAGCCAGCTTGTCCTTTGAACTTGCAAATTGGATGAACTTTGCTTCGCAAATCGAAAAGTCCCATTTCTCCGATAGAATTAGCTGCCAAAATATTATTGGTTTTGTAGGTGAGGGAGGTGGTCATGATCGGATTCTCCATGAACACCATTTTTTTCACAGGTCTTCGTTGTGCTCGCGGATCGTAGAGTCGCATCTGAGATCAAAGTTTGAAAACAATTGCGTGATGACCTTCACATAAACTTTTTTTGTTAGTCTTTAAAAAGCTATTCGTGCGAAATGTTATGCAAAATTAATATATACGTGAATTTCACCTCGTGATGCTTTGTCGCTTCGAGAATAATATTTTCTCCTGGAATAAATCTTGCATCAGTGATCATAATCGGAATCTCAAGGCCCAGCATATCAGGCGGCACGTTCTTAGCTGTCCAAACTTGCTGGCCAGTTTCCAGATTCCAAGTTTTCAGCAGATTCTTCATTCCACCGGTGACAACTTCTTGCTTTTCGGCGGATCCTCTCATAACTGCAACTCCAGGGCCACATTTCCATTCGGATATAACTTCTGACTTGTCATTCCATACTTGAAGCTCTCCACTTTCGACACAAGACAGAATTTTCTCACTGAAATGAAATTTTTTTGATTTTGTAAGTGCAATCTTACTAACTCTGTTTTGTACAAGCCTTTCACAGGTCCAGCGCCTCCGGTGATTGTTAAAACAGATACTTGTTCGTTCTGTTCAATATCGAACAATTGCAAGTCGCGGTTCATACGAGCAATGAGAATTTCTGTCTGAAAATGAAAACATTTGTTTGTTTTCATGGAAAGTAGGATCTTTTGCGACCTGCTGATCGTCATTCCAAATCATCGACGTGACTTCATCATTTTTAGGCTCCAAAATATTAATTTGATTGAGATTTTGGAACGTATTGTCGCGCAGAAGAGCTCCTGAATATTTTCGTGATCTGTGAAAAGAAAATATGAATGCATTACCTTTCAGAGCTCCAGTCGTTGCACCGACATAACAATCCATTTGGTAATAACCTGAGAGTTGAATTTTTAGAAAAAATTTGAGAAATCGAGCGATGATTAAGAGAATAAAGGCGCAGATGGGACATATACTGGTGACAGAAGTTTCGCCTCGCGTTGGGGTATGCAAGCGCGCTCTGTCGCACAAGAGGCAAATTTGAAATCACTCCTGCCAGTGACCCCGCGCGGACCCGCTATTTGGTGACAGGTTTGGGTGTTTCCCGAGTCGAAACCGCCTGTTCGTCCCATTACTTGATTGTTCGCCATTCGGTTGTTTTTTCCTAGTGTCGTTCAGTTGTCTTAATACTCATTCTCAACGGGACGCTTATATCCTGCCTCTGATTTATATTGACTCTCAATTTCCCCAGTCATATTCGTTTTTCAGCGAAAAGATGATGCTCCGCAGTCAAGCGAAGAACATTGACATTGCACAGGGTAAACATATTTCGTTGAAGTTCTGTAATCGTAACAAATTGTCAAATTTTAGCAGATCCACGTCACAAGCGAAAGCAGAACGAGCAACTTGATACACTCAAGAACCCATCGGAGCCCGTCGCTAAGAAGCAGCACAATAAGGTACGCTCAATTAAGCTTTCTTGCCCTCGGTATTTGCAGACTAAACCAATATTTTATTTCTATCTAAAATCAGGCTTGAGTACGTAAACACGCAAGAGCGATACATTGATTAAAGACAATCCATTCTCAAATTTTTCTCTTTCAGGGGCTTACTGAGCTCAGAGCTCACATTTCTGGATTCCAAATAGACTCGGCGAAACGTGACCCAACTGCTCCGAAGCCAGACAAGGATGTTGAGAACATTCCGCCGCAAGGAGCCGCCATCCACAAGCTCTCTCTTCAAGCTGAGGACCCTTGTCCACACTACGACTACGACCTGGAAGAGGCTGGCAATCCGGACAGCGTCTCTGAGTACGCTCCAGATATTTTCAAGTACTACAAGGCCAGAGAGAACCACTTCCGTGTGTTCGACTATTTGGAAAGGCATCCGGAGATCGATATCAAGACACGCGCCATTCTCATTGATTGGATGGTGGAGATTCAGGAAACCTTCGAGCTCAATCATGAGACCCTCTACAACGCCGTCAAACTTACCGACATGTACCTCTCCAAAACGGAAAAAGTAGACAAGAACACGATCCAGAAGCTGGCGTGCGTCTCCGTCTTCATCGCCTCCAAGTACGATGAGCGCTCACCGCCACTCGTGGATGATCTCATCTATTTGTCGGGTGACCGTTTCACACGCGACGAGCTTCTCGCAATGGAGAGAGAACTGTTCGCCGCTGTCGACTTCGATTTAGGGAGTCCGCTCAGCTACCGCTACCTCCGTCGTCTGGGACGTGTATGCCGCATCGACATGAAGACTCTGACACTGGCTCGGTACATTCTGGAAACCACTCTTCTCGTGTACGATTACGCGCTCGTGTCGCAGAGTCGTCTGGCCGCTGCCGCCTTCCTTCTGGCGATGCGAATGACCGACAAAGAGTACGAGTGGAGCCCAGTGCTTGAGAAGTATTCCGGATACACCGGACAGGACATCTTACCGCTCATGGAGCATGTCAACCACACCATGCACTACGTCAACAAGAAGTGGAGCCAGCTCACCAGCATTCGTCAGAAATATTCCCATGAGTAAGTTTCCCTTCAATCTAACTGTAAGAACAATACCAAACAATCTAATTTTCCAGAGTCTTCTTCTCCGTAGCGCATATGCCGCTTATCCAAGACACTTACTCATGGTCTACGACGATCGCTCCACTTCCAGCTATCGAGTATCCTTAATTATCATCGCTAAATTTGAAAATCATTATCATCATCCCCCCCAAATAATATACCGGATTCTGAATCCAAATCCTCGATTGTTATTACTATTTTATTATTTTGAATACATACACTGTCAACCCCTTTTTTCCATGAGGCTTCTTGAGATTGTAACTGATACCAATTCACTTTCTTGATTTCATTAACACCAATAAATCAGTTATCCGAACTCAACAGGTGTACAGAGATTCGCATCGCTTCGCGGTGTCCGCTTCTCGCCGCTCCCACAGTGGTTTGATACATTTGAGGATCGGTGTGCTCACCCGCAAAGCACACAAGTGGTCTGAAACTCGAAACTTCAGAAAATAAATGAACAAGTAAATTTTAGACTTCGTGTGAAAACAGACATCCTAACGGAAGGTCAAGCGAAGACTCAAAATTGCTCACTAACCTGCTTCCATTCATCAGTGGCTCCGCGAGCACTTTTATAGTGTTTTGGTGAGTTCCTGGCAGTAGATATGAATAACTTCCAAGTGAAAACATATCATCCATCCAATTGTGTCGGAAAATTCTGCAAATGTTTTCCACTTTGTACTCTCCTTTTAGATTTTCTTTCAGGAACGAATCAATCACAGTCTTCAGTTGTTCATCCGTTTTCAACGAAACTTCATACGGACCGCAGCCAGCAATCCAGGAAACTAATATCTGCCGAAATGCGATTGAAAAAACATTTTTCTGAGAAGATAGTTACATTCCGAGCCCACGAACTTGGTTGGAAGACCATCAAATTATCAGTGAGTTTTGAGTGCTCTCCGTCTGTCTGGGACGAAATCATAATGGTAGAAGTTTTGTCAGGCCACCAAGGTGTATTGTACTCCAAGAACACTTTCATATTGCTCCCGAATCCTATCCGATCGATGGCATCTTCCTTTTGACGTGGCAATGATGGGGTGAAAAGAGTCCTTTTGTGGTGCTTCAGAAATCCCAATGAACAGGTCACAATGACCGCATCAAAGTACACCGTTTCTCCGTTTTCAAGTAGAATTTTCGCGCTTCCAAGGTCTCCGTAATTGATATTGATGACCTTTGAATTCAAACGAATCTTCTCTTTGGGGATTATGCACGTGAATTCTTCCAAGATCTTTTGGAATCCGAACTCATTCAGCACTGCAGAATCTTCTACAGTTGTACCGTCCTCCCATGTGCAAAGATTCCTCAATCCAAGCTGAAAATACACTTTTCACCTTTCTAATGGTTTAATGTTTCACTTACCTCATGTACCGGACTCGACCATTCTGTTTGAAAATAATTTTTGAAAATCCTGCATAAGTTCTCGTAGGTAGCACGATCTTCCTCTCCAAACTTATATTCTTCCAAAAAGATAGAGAAATGCTCGTCAATTTTATCAGAAACACTTTTTTGCAATCCATTTCCGAAAGAAGATTCCTCGTAAAGTTTGTCGTTTATGTTTTTCACAAATTCCTTCCATACATTCAGTTTTCCACTGAAGAAAGATGAATTTCTGCCGTATCACAGAAATAAAACTCACTCCTCAACTCTCTTTCCATCAATGATTGTGAGTGTACCTTCGTCCAACATCCACAAGTCATTAGTTCTGCTTTCGGTTTTGTCAAGCAGGTTGTGTTTCTCGACAATCTGATAGATTTCATTGTCGAGCCCATTAACATACTCGGCTCCGTAATGCAAGTATCCTTTATTATAGGAGAATGGATAAACCCGTCCTCCCACTCGGTCAGACCCTTCTATTATCGTGTACTCGATTCCCACTTGTTCGAAATGACGAGCAGCTCGAAGACCAGCGAATCCAGCTCCGATTATCGCAACTTTGACTTTATTCTGAAAAATTGTGAAGAACAATATTGAAGACAGCAAGTGTACTGAATGTACCTCTCCACAAAAATCAAAAAGCATTCAATGGGGTCTAGAAGCAAAACAATTGCACTTTCTTTAAGGACAGTACAATTTGGAAAGTATCGGTCAAGTGCATCTTAAGTTCACAGAGCTCAGATGAGTAATGGGAAAGAGAAAGCACGAACGGGCGGAACGACTGGGCACAGAGAAGACAGACAGATAGAGAAAACGACAAGGAAAAGAGGAAAGAGAAAAGATATTTGGGGATGAACGAACGAGTGAATCATGAAGGAAATTAACAGTGGAACTTTGCATTCTAATTATAAAATTCAAACCAAACAGTTTACTGTGGAATACTGAACACAATGCATAATTATTAAAATAAACATGAATAAATGCATTGCAAGTGACCAGACATCAGAGGACAACGAACCTGTTCACTGACCATACGCATGTTGAAAACAGTGTCACGCACTGTCGAAGAGGCAAATTGACAATATAATTTCATTTTCTTATCAGTGAACCAAACTTCATTTGTATTGTTTTATTGATAGATGAATCGGGAATAGAAAAAGAACATCAAAGAACTAGAAACGGTTTTATTGACGCCGTAAATCATATGTTGTTTCCTCTTTACCGACGAAGACGTCACTTCAGTTAACCCCGCTGATCTTCGCTCGTGTCGATTTTTAAAACGCCCGCGTCTCTTTTTTTCTCGAAAACTTGTTTATCTCTTCTAGATGGTCTGGCCAGTCCGCACCTATTACTCTAGTTTTCGATTCTTTTCTTTCCAGAATGATTCTGAAGTCAGCGTTGCCCGATTTGGAGATACCTGCCAAGACATTTCATGAATTCTTGTTTGAAGAGTGGAGAAAGTTTGGTGATGACTTGGCAGTTGTGAGTTTTTTCTTCAATTGTTTCTCGGAAAGTCAATTTTCTTATCGGCATACGTTCAGATCGACAATGACTCAAAAGATCAGTTCACTTTCAATGAAATCATGGAGAAAGCAGATTTCATCGCTCGCGCTCTGATCTATCTCCGAGTTGAAAAAAGCGAAGTAGTGCTGTTAGTGATGGACTGGTCACCAGCTGCCATTTACATTTCGCTGGGTGTTTCGATGGCGGGCGCCGCGGTTCAAATAGTCAGTCCAAAGCTTCAAGCGTGGGAAATGCAGTTCCCGGTTCGTATCAGCGAGTCTCGCTTCGTGTTCTCTGATTCTCTAGGCCTGGCAGAAATTGACAAGTTGATGAAGACATTGAATAGAGAATATCGAGTAAGAATGTAATTTAGAATTGTTCAATTGAATCCTTGGGTTCAGATTGTGTGCACAGGAACTCGAGAATTTGCAGCAGAATATCCAATCATAGAGGATCTTACTTTCGCCGCCGAACAGAACCTTCCATTGCCGAATATCAATCCAGAAACAGATGCTGTGTACCTACCGTACTCTAGTGGAATTCACGGAAAACGAAAGTGTATTCTAACCACTCACCAGATAATGGTGGCAAAGACTATGGTCATGTGGAAGTACGTAATTTAACACAAATTTTCCGAAAAGCTTGACCGAGCCATGGCACATGAAAATTCAAACTGGTCCAAATTGTTTGATTTGAATATATTTTAATACATAACATTATATAAGAATATTAGACTAGGTTCGATTAGGCTCCGCCCCCTTAAGGAAAAGCGTAGGATTACTGTAGCTCTGAAAACTAGAAAAACCCATAATTTTTCTAGCGACTCAAACTCAACGCCATCGTGTTCCTCGCATCTTTTTGAGTATTTTTTGTGTTAATACTAAAAATTTAGCACCCTTCATTCAACTTCAAAAACTGAGTTTTAATGAAAATTTCCGGAATCTTCTCGAACTTTTCAATTTTCCGAGAGACATTTTTCCGAGAGTGCTGTGCGTGAATTTTATTTCAGAATATGAATCTATATAAAATTTGACATCGGTCACCTCAAAGACCGTTCAAAAATATGGGGTATAATGTTTTGTACTAATATATATTAAAATCAAACAATTTGGATCAGTTTGTATTTTCATGTGCCATCGGTCCTTTTCGGAGAATGTGTGTTAAGAACTTTACTGGATCCAAATGAAATTATTTTGTTCCAGTAGATTGGAACACATGGAATTCCGAAGAGGTGACATCACGCTTACCATGATTCCATTTCATAAACAAATTGGTTTGGATGCTATTCTTTGCGCCCTTCTCAATGGTTTGACAGTGGTTACCGAGAGGACGTTCTGCGTGCATACATTCATGACATGTATTCAGAGACACAAAGTGAGTATTATCCATTCAAGTTGCGTTTCGCGCAGTATGGTTACTGTAACTTTTTTTTTCAGATTCGAGCTGTTCATTTGACTCCATATTTGATGAACTTGATGATTTTTGAAACAGAAAACCACAATTACAATATAGAAACTCTGGAGTGGGTGGTCACTGGTGCAGATGCGGTCACTGAAGAACTTTATGAAGAGTTCGTCGACTGTTTTCCGTCGGTGAAGTGTGTTACTCAGAGTTCGTTAAGAAAAATGACCCATCAAAAAAAATCTATCAGAATTTCAGCATACGGAATGACAGAAGTCGGTCTGATATCACGCACATACGATGAAAAATTCTCCAACTCGTGTGGTCAATTGACTGCCAATCTTGAAATGAAAGTTCTCGACATTCTGACCGGTAAAGAATTGGGTCCACGCGAGAAGGGACAAATCTGTGTGAAAGGCCTTTCCGCCGATTCGCCTTATTTGAATAATCCGAAGGCGACAGAAGAACATTTCATTGATGGATGGCGAAGAACCGGAGATATTGGATACTTTGATGAGAATGAGAATATTCACATAGTGGATAAGTTGAAAGAAATGATCAAAGTGTTCGGATATCAAGTTATTCCTAAGGAGATTGAAACACTTCTTTTGACTCATCCTGCGGTAGAAGAAGCTGCTGTAGTGGCCATTAACAATGAGTTGTCTGGAGAAAGGCCCGTAGCGTTCGTAGTACTGAAAAAAGGCCAAGGGGCTAGCGAAGACGATCTGAAAGACTACGTGAACAGTAAGCTCAAACACTACAGACCGTCCACCAAATCTACTTTCTTAGAGCGTGTGATCCGATACAAACATCTCGTACGTGTCAACATCACACAGTTCCTGCCAAAGTCTGCTTGTGGTACTTTGCTCCGTCGTCTGCTCGCCGAGGCTGCTGTCTTATCAGTTGCGTCTATCGGCGAAGTGGAGAAGGAGTTTATTTCATTAGCAGTGGAGCATCCGAAAAGTAAACGCTTATTGACCAGTTAAACATGTTTGTTTGTTTGTATTGTTTTGCAGATCTCTCTGTTAAAATAACTTGTAAACAGTTGTAATAAACGTAGTAAGAATTCTCCACTGGTCTTTGAAGCTTATCCAAGCTCTCATTTGCATGAATTAGAGAATCAGAAGCAAAAACCCGCCTAAACTGGATCACCCCAGGAAGCAAACTTCATTTGCATACCGCTATATAATAAAAGTGAGGAGTATCCTGAAAGAATTCGGAAATGGCCTCTTCAGAACTCATCGTCGTCGGTTCTTCTCTTCTCATATTTCTATCTGTTGGCTTTTTTGTGCTGCAGACAAAGCAAGATTTAGATCAAGTTTGGGAGAGTTTCGATAATGAAATCGCTTCTGCGACGGTAAATCTTTGCTGGACTTTCTGCTTGCATTTTAGGGTTCAGGTACTTCGAGATGCCACATGGAACGACTTGCAAGCGTTGGCAGCTGCCAAGAACATCCCGGACAGATCGAAAAGACAGAGTTATTATGAGAAAGTTGCTGACTCTTACGCTTTGCCTCCTTCGCTAGGAGTTGAAGCGCAGGCACCTTCTATTTCTCCTGAATGCAGTGCGTAACTTTTGGATAATTTCAAAAAGCGTTAAAAAATCAATTACAGACTGCAATCTAGAAAACAACAACTGTCCAGCTGGACCACCGGGACCTAAAGGACAATCTGGACTCGATGGACCCCCTGGACAAGATGGCGCTCCAGGCAAGATGGGCTTCATCTCTGGAGACGTTCAGACAATTCATGTCGACCCCGGGTGCCAGTATTGCCCTGTTGGAGAAATGGGTCCACCTGGAGCACCCGGAAAGATCGGACCACGAGGCCAACGAGGTCAGAATGGAACGCCAGGAACACCAGGGCACAATGGAACGCCTGGACATAATGGAGAACCTGGTTCATGCGGGCCTTCGGGGCCACCAGGACCAGCTGGAGCTATTGGACGAAGAGGAATGGACACAGTACGTGAAAAAGGAATCCGAGGACCGAAAGGAGCTCCGGGAGCTGTTGGACGAGCTGGACCTGACGGAGAAAGAGGAAATCGGGGAGGACTTGGAGTTGATGGACCGACAGGACCAATTGGAATTCAGGGAGAACCTGGAAGGACTGGAAATGTAGGAGAGCCTGGAGAAGTCGGTGTTACTGGACCAAATGGACAGGATGCTTTGGTATTCTTTGAAACTCCTTTCCATAACTAAAAAATGTCATTTCAGTATTGTCCATGCCCGAAGAGAGCTCCAACAGGTGGCGCCGGTGGAGGCGTTTATCAGCCTTACAAACAGTGATGAAAAACGTTTATTTATTTACAACCACACGATCCAAATAAATCATTCTTTGCTGCCTGTGGCAACAACCAAATAAATGTGAAGTGTCTTTCTGATTTCAAGAAATCGCATCTAGAAACCCGTAAAATTGGGTGTTTTTTTAAAGTATTCAGGTAAAATCAAATTACAATTAGGACAGATAGAATAGGACAGCCACCGGGATGGTGACAGTTGACAAAAAGAAGAACATGAATACGATGTCGAGTCGTTCGGAGAGACGAACATAGCCATTCGTGGACTTGCGTCGGACTAGCTCAATGTTTTCAGAAGCGTCGATTTCGTCGAGTTCCCACTGAAATTCATATAGATCAATCTCTATTTTAGGAGTTATTTAACGTCTCTAAGCCTACTACATATATAGAAATCTTAAATTTTTCCCCCTGGTTCTCAATCTTCTCTAGAGTGAGCAAAAAACATGATGGGGAGAAGGTAGGTGAAGGGCCCGACCAGCAGCGCAAAAGACACATTCAACAATTTATGGGCTTCACAGTTGTTGCCTGAGCTGTGTGTGTGTGTGTGCAAGATGCGAGAGGATTGAAGAAAAAGAAGAAACAAAGCACGAAATGCAAGAAGATGAAAGCGCATGAACGCAATAAAAAGTGGCGGGTGTTGGAGGTGCCGCGAGAGCCGGAAGGTGATGACGAGCGTCATGATCATTGAGTCATTTACCTTGATACTTTCGCATCGGTGAATCATTTTTCGGATATACTCTTCAAGGGCTTCCAGACGGGCGGTTAACTGAAAACAGGCAGAGGATAATGGCTGAAGTAAATAGAGAAAGGTAGAAAAAGGTGAATACCAAGATATGAAAAAGACTCACCACTGTCTCCTTGACAATCGCTCCATTCAGCTCACACGTTTTTTTGGTCATAACTTCTCCGTTCTTGGATTCAGAGACCAAAATCACTTGAGTGGGCTCTTCTGGATTCATTTTGTACTTTCTTCTCTGCAAAACAACAACATAGGCTTTTCTCTTTTAATAAAACTCGCATTCGAAGATCTGAAGATCGGTTTCAAGAAGAACAGCTTCATCCAGAACTCGTGTGGCTCATCCCCATATCGTCCTAACCGATGCACTTTCATCACGATTCCGGTAGTCATGGCGGCAATTGAGACTATGACCATGTTGAACAAGAAGTAGGCCACTGAGATTCTATAGTGAAAAAAACCCAGTATTTTGAAACTAACCGAGAAGTGGTACATGTGTTGAGCTGTGAGGAACTTTTTCACTGACAACAAGAGACAAAACTGCCATTGTGAGAATGGCAGTCACTCCCAGAGTGAATCTTTCCTCTCGCTCACCGGTAGTTGAAAATCGGGCAAACAGTCCGACTACGGAGATGGCGCACATAATATAACTGGGGAAAGTGAGTGTGACCATGTAGAATAAAGGTCGACGCTTTACAGATATCTCGAATTTGACTTCAGACACCTCGATTCCCTCGTGTTCGTACTTTTCTTCTGTCACATTCAAGTTGAGCAGGTGCCACTCTTCATTCCTTTTGTAGTGTTCCAAAGAATGATCAGTGTGCGCGTGAAGCCGGATCTTTTCATGGCCATAAGCCCATGATGCGATCTGCAGACAGAACAGTAACTCAGTTTATTCACCCTCGCTTTTTTCAAACCTCAATTGCACATCTCTGATCATCCAACGGGAAGTGCCTAATATTGATCTCACAGGAAACGGTATGCACTGCCGGATGACTCGCCACCACAGTTCCGTTACTGTAGATCCTGGCTGGAGCTCTGACAGCCGACAGCAGGTCCTCGTGAGCCAGCCTGTTAGATTTTACCCTTTAGACAACGGGGGCTATGCGCCGCCCGGATTCATAAAATATAAGAGTTAGCTAGCCACATGTCGGCTGACACACATGCTAATTATGATGGGGTTTGGGTACAGCACACATTATAATCTAATTCGGACTAACTCACATGTTGAACACAATAATATCCGGCACCCATATCTTATCCAGCGGCACCCAAGTTTTCGTAATTCCACCAAATAAGGCAGGATCCCAAGTGAGACTCGGGTCGATCCAGTGTTCGTCCACATAAATCAAAACTGTCATTGTTTGTTTCAACTCGTCGATTCCGAGAATGTGAACCAATTCCAACTCATACTCCACGTAAAGGAGTCCATCAGGTGGCGCGTCCAGGTTATGTTTGGTGAGCAGATATTCAGTGAGTCTCTTTGATGATCCTGGAAAAACTCTTCATCATCCTCTGCTCACCCCATCATCATTATCATGAGGTCGCTTTCCCCCATCGTCACCTCGCCTCGGCGCGGGGCCAAACCCATTAACCGGTTTTGATTTGTGAGCAGCTCGTCTCTCTTCTGCAGCCCCAACGATCCTACTCTTCTGATTTCTTCTTGAGCTTTCTCTCTCATGTTGCATTTCGGGCGGACGCTTTTCATCCCAATTTTAGAAATTAGGGGAGGCCACGTAATTGGATGATCGGTTGCTTACGTAGGCAAAATTGAATGGTGGTGGTTTGGTCATGTGCTTGGATTCGGCGAAAAAACCAAAAGAGGAAGATGAACAACTTATCAAACGTTTAGGGCAACTTCAAATTTTGATAAGTTTCCAGCGGCCTCCCTAGTGAAAAGTTAAAATTGCAACATACAGAAGATTTATGTATCAGTACGGATGTATTTTTTGGAATACCAAAAGATATGTCTTCATGATTGAATGTTTAGCAATCAAAAATAACCACTGTAATGATATTGAACACTTTTCGGTTCGGATTTGAATATGTGGGCAACTTCTCGCATTTTCTCATCGTCTTTTAATTTGGCTCACCTGGAACAAAGACTGGCTGGGTATCATTTATCAAAGTGGCTTCCTCTTCTTCGAGACCGTCCAACTGAAAATTGAACTTCTTATCATTTCCTGAATACTAGCTCGCTCTTACATGATTCAGAAGAACATTTGGCGCTTCTTCACTACTATCAAAATAAGCTTCTGTGGTTGGTGAAGAAAAAGATGGAAGAAGTAATAGTAAAAGAAAGAGGAGGAAGAAGAAGAATATCCTCATTCAGATGCTGAAACAATTATAGAAAACGTGTCAATATCAAGAAAAAAGTGTCAAAAAACGGGAGAATTTTTTCAATTAGCATAGAAATGGAAGAAGCGGACAAGAAGAGTATGAGAGATGGGGAGGACGCATCTCCTATGAGCTCATCTCGCAAATGAGCTTCTCCTTCGGCTTGCCGAGCTCCGGACTCTTCAGGACCACGCCCCTTTTTGTTCGACCAAGCCTCGCCCGGTGTGGAAAACGATGATTTGTTGGGTGCAATAAAGACGAGCGAGGCGCGAAGGTCAACAGAACTCGGTTAGATGAATGAATGGGATCAGGAGTTCTTGGAAGAAATTGGTTTTCACCGGGATGAGCTCATCACGGCATTGGAACTGGCTCGACGTAGTCACCTGTAAATCATACTTGTGTAATAATAGATTATCTTTGAAGGGAGAATAATGATTGGATTTGTGGTTTGTTGATCATGACTTTGAAAAGATTCTCTATTTTCTCTATTTTACAAGTGTATACTGGATGGTCTCAGCAATTTCTATTGTATTTTCTTATAATTCTAGACACTGCTTGAACTTTCTCTGTTTCTGAATCATTCCGAATGAGCAAAGAGCTATTTGGAGGCACTTGATTTCTCCTCCCTCTCCTTAGATTAAGTGGCTCAAATTGAAGCGATAAAAAGTGCATAAAGACGGAAAGCCGAGTCAGAGTCCAGTCATCAAACCTTCTCCCTCAATGTAATAGTATCAGCTGGTTTCACAGCTGATCCTAGGATGTTCTGAAAGTGTTCTCACCTAATCTCAAGTTCAAACTGGCGCCAAAGAACGGTTGATTGTGTCTGGTCATTCGGCATATCTCCACAGGTTTATTGTTGCGAACAAGAATGTCGAAACCTCCGATTTCATTCTCATTCCCGATTAGTCTTATCGTATTATGATAAGATAACAGCGAATCACAAAACTTACTTTTTCTCTATGTCCAGTACATCAATCATATGGTTGAGTACCCGATACTTTAACTCGAAATCTTCTTGAGAAGACGCAGTGAGTGAAGGACTTGCGTTCACCTGAAAAGCACACAAATCATTTGCGATGATCTATTTCCTTCTGGCTTCTTGCTTCTTGCTCATTGAGAAAGACCAATTGTCCGAAAAGATGATCGGATGGATAAGTGAACAACTCACTTCTAAAAGCCATGGCTTCAAATTTTCGTCGAATAATATATCATATCCGTAGAGCTCAAAACAATGCGCGTCCTGAAAATTCGTTTTTGCAAAAGAACATTTTCCGATAAGACCTGTATTATCAAATTCTGCACACTTCTCAAACTCTCAATGATCACTTTAGCTAGATCATTCATAGTTTTGGAAACTTTTAAATGTCCGTGCATGTTTCGAAAAAAGCGAAACAGCTTCGGGAGACTCCATTTCAATCCTCTCTCCGGGTCATAGTCAGCTGCTGTCTTTGCGACTGCCACATTGGTCAGGTGGACAACTGGAAGAAGTATTCCAAAAGTTAGCTTGTAGTTTTTCCTTACAAGCATCGTCAACGCTATCAGTTGAGTATCTGGAGTGGGAGAATCTTGCGAAACCTTCTCTGTGAACCCAAGCATTCATTGGTCGGAACTGAATCATATTCTTCAGATTTTGTTTCCCTATTGCCCGCGAGAAAAAGGCATAGTCACAGAAAAAGAATATCCATACATTTTTGCATGTCCCCTCACACTCCTTTCTACATAAACGCTTGTTTTTCTGGCAGAAATCACCGAGAGGTCACGAAAAATTCACGGTCTTTCTGTCATTATAATGATGACGCTCAACATTCTCGCGATTGAATTATATCAACGAACCGATGTTACCAATACATATAGCCGAACATCAAACTTTTTGCCTCCCACCAAGTACGGGTTGTAGATGTAGCTCTGAACAACATAAGGAAGTGCCTCCGAGCCGGACGAGTCCTTTTTCTTCCAATCTTGGACGTGTTTCAGCTTCCGGAACAGAAATATGCCTTTTCCTTGCGCTCCAGCTACTGGCTTCATGATCCATATAGTGTCAGAGGGGTACTTTCGGAATTCTTCCACGAATAAATGATATTCAGTCTAACGAAAGGACAAAATAAATAATCCCTTAATAGATCATTGACCTACTGGCAACACATAGCTAGATGGGACGAAATTGAATTCTGTGGAAACATCAACTCCAGATTTATCTTTCGCTTTTTTCGCTTTTTTGTAGTTTTTTATTAAAAAGTCTTTGCGAGTGAGCTCGAAGTCGTTACGGAAGTGGCAAATCAACTGTTTCTCCGAAAACTTGTGCTTGTCATAACAGGAGTTCATCCATTCTCGAGTCACCCAGAAAAACTGCCAATCGTCTCCCCTAATGAAAAATGTGTATTATGAGACTTAAAAAGAAGATTACTGCGTTTGGGTCCATCCCTCTCGATTGGTGAGAACATCCGAAATAGTGTTAGTCAATGCACATTTGAACAAGATCTTCTTCTTCCTATGTTAGTTTTTTTTTCATGAAAGCGGTACGAATTTGCAAAATTACCTTGGCTCTTTAGCTGATTGAAGTGAGTTTTGGGGAGCTGAAGCCATAGCTGGAACCAGAAGTTGGTTGGGAACCACTTTAGGGCTGGACATTTTGCAGTAATGCTCACAAAATGAAGTTTCTTTAGGCTCCATTGCCTTTGAAATGGAAACGGAAACGCTAAGGCGTCTCCAAATTCAACATTTCCCATTTATTTTTACATTTCAAGACAGACAGTAGTTAATAAAGAACGAAATAAATTATTAGCGACGCAAAGATGATTATCCGATAAAGATAGTTTAGTCATAATTGCATCAGTGGCTCCTTTTCGCGAAGTTGCTCTTTTTTGCGGAACGATGAACGAATTCCACGCTTCGAACGACGGATCGATCTGGAAATGAGTTGTAAGTTGCTTGGTGGATTGATAATAATGTTATAGGAAAAATGGTTATTTCATTCAAAGTGACACACTAGAAGCAAGCACTCAAATACCCTAATCGTTTGAAACTAGACTGTTTCCATGGCTTCGGCTTAATGGCTTTTTGGTTTTGAACTTCCGAATTTTGTTCACAAAACTTCTCATAGATTTCCAAGGTCTGACCTTCCATTTGGAAGAAAGCCATGTCAAATATGCTTCTGAATTCGTTAGTTCGGAAGACGAATTCCGCGTCAAATTGTTATTGTCCACTTACTTTCTTGCGTAAATAGCATTCCGCATGATTCCAGTTCGGTTAGCTTCGAATCGAGAATCTTCAGCACATTGTTCGAAGAATTCTGAAGATTACAAGTCAACAATTTTTAAGTTCAATACTCTACCTCTCAGCTTATGAACATCCGGCATAATGTGCTCCTGGAGCTCTGTCATCTGAGCACCAGTCATTTTCAGCGCCATTTCCAGATGCTCCAAGGCTTTCTCGGCAGCTTGAAGCTGTTTTTCTGCTCCCATCCTTGCTATCATTTGCTCTCGCAGCTCAGATTCTGTCATCTCTTTTTGCTCACTGACTTCTTTCAAATTATCCATGAGCTCAGAAGTTTTTGAAGTGTAGTACTGTCGTTCCTTTTCCAAGTCAATTGTCTTCTGCTCGTTCATCTTCAAAAGCATTTCGATCTTTTCCTTTTCAGTCATGATGCAATTGCGGGATGTTTCGATTTCCATTAGTCGATTATTGAGTTGACATTTATCCGTAGACAGATTCTGGTTATCAATCAATACTTTCTCCCGTTCCTTAACGATCTCCGCAAGTTGCTCCTGAATCTTCTCCTTTTCGATGTTCAGGCTTTCCATGTTAGCTTGCAAATGCTCCGTCTTCGAGTTGAGGCTAATCTTCTCTTGCTCCAACGTTTTCTTCATCTCATTTGTCATTTTCAACTCACTGGAATATATTATGAAAAAATGATTTTAAAAAGAATCACCCACTTTTTGACATTCTGCAAGTCATCCTTCAGCTTCTTGGTAGTTCTAATCAGCTTTTCACGTTCGACTTCCAGCTCTTCCTTGTCTTTTGCCAATTCCTAAAACCATACAAACTCTAGACGGAAAAGCAAATTTCCACTTACATCAGCTCTGTCATGCTCCTCTTTTCTAGCTTTTGCTTCTGCCTCAAGCCGTTCTTCGTAGCTCTTCTTCTCTTCGTTAAGAAGGACTCCCCGATTCTCAAGCTCTCTGATCATGGTCTCTCCTACGACCGTGTTCTTATAGGAACTTCAAAACAGTAAATGGCGGTGTAAAGATTAGACTAACACAAACTCACATTTTCGTGGCACTTCTTAGAGCTTTCAGCCATTTATCTTGAGTGGGATGATCTGATGCAGCAACAATTATAGCTGCCGGGAGCTGAGGATGAGCAATCAAGAGACAGTTTTTCTTATCCACATCACCACCGGAAACAATGGAACATCCGATAAGGGGAATGATTCCCTTTGGATGTAGATCAATCCTTCTGGTCTTCTCGAAGGATTTCTTTTGGCTAGTGGCATAATAAATGAGGAAACACTCCTTGAGCACAAAAAACCGTTTGGCCCACTTGGCAGGTCGGTTCTTTCTCTTATATTTTTTCATGAGGATTCCATGGCACTGAACACCGAGAACTGGTCCCATGTCGTCATAAGTAGCATCTTCCTCAGGAGTCAAATCATAGTCATTGGTCTTCTTACGAGTCAAATTAGAGAACTAGATTACATAATTAAAACTGAGACGGACATTCGATAAACTGTACCTGGAAAGATAAACTTCTCAGAATGCCCTTCTTCTCAATGGAATTCGTCGGGCTAGTCTTTGGCGGACCATTCTTTGGCGGCTCTGGAGCATTCCCCTTCTTTTTGGAACCGCTTTTGGCTTTCAACTCTTTTGGAGTGGTTCCCGGTTTGGGAGCCGTTTTGGTGGTCATTCAAGCTGAAAATCAAATGAACGAGAAAGGGGCCAAAGTCAAATGAAATTTAAAGAATATGAATGAGAATATCACTCCTCGTAATCAAGGAGAAACATAAAAGTGACCGAAAAGTGAAATTCAGGACAATATCACTGAGAGATAAGAAGCGGTGGCGGCGGACGCCCGGGGGATGACCTGAAATGAACCTGATTTGAAGTAGTGAAAATCGAACACAATTGGATTCGTTTAGATGGTGTGTGAAGCCTTAATTTAGGAAATTTTTGGAATTTGGGAAATTCAAAGGATGAAGCTTCGTGGGAAATGCGTCGTGCGGAAAATGTTGTATTTGTTTGTGAGCCTCATGCGGTTATGTCCGAACGAACGCCCCATGCCTATATCCGTCAGTTATGACAGTTTGACGTTTTTGTGCGCGCGCATGATTCGTCGTCACACGTTCGGCTCATGAAGAAAGAAAAAGTCGTGCCACGCCATGTAGTTTGCTAACTTTTTTCCGAAATGCACATTACACGTATTTTTCAACTAGATTGTTTGTCATTTTCATTTCTACTTTTTCATGCCTGCGATTTTCAGATATTTTTTCCGCTTACCTTTGGCGCTCTTGGCATGTCACGCAACTTCGTGCCGCACCCTTGCAAAATTGCGCGCCGCACGTTGCAAACCGGCGAGATCCTCCGCTCACCGATGTTTTGCTGGTTTCTTTTCCAATAATTCGCCTTTCAGAAATAGAAAATTAAGTCTAAATTGTAGAATTTCAGCATGTGGTTCGAACAGTTCTACTCTGGAATAATTACGACCGCTTTCGTGGCTGGCGCCTGCTACATGTCCTACCCATTCAACAAATGGGACGTCGGAAGAGCTTTCCGTCGCAATTATTGTACTCCGCAGAGGTGATTCTTCATCAAAACTATAACCTTCAATTAATTCATCAGTTTGCAGAGTTGAACTGTCGAAAAGAGACCACAGACTAACCGGAAACCAGTATCGCATCGCTGGTCTTGATTCCTTCCCAGAGAAGTGAGTTTATTGTGTCTTTTTTGAAAGTGAATTTCGTCGACGTTATTAAAAGTATCCTGAACCTTTCAATTAAACTCTTCTATAATTTTAATATAGTGTCATCTGAACTAGACTGGTTTTTAGTCAAAAATTGTCCAACTTATCATCAGGATCATGTTAATAGTAGTTCATTTTTTAGTATCTATTTTCAGGTAAACCAAAGATCGAATCGTCGTCTTAGATCGGATGCTCAATCTTCATATGTAGCTTGAAATTTTTCCCCTTCTGTGTTTAGATATGTCGTCGAAATAAATAACACGTTTAAATGTTCACCTTCGAATTACACATTCTCGAACCTCCTGTCAAATGTCATGTCAGGTGTGTAGCACACCAGCTGACTTCATTTTATGGTTTTGGGTATACAACAACTCCTCAGAGTGTGAGCTGGCAAAGTAATGAGACGGAAGGAAGAAAGAAAGAGAAGAGTAGTTTGAAGGGCGGAGGCTTATGATGAGAGGAGGAGAACCCGAGCGACAGGAGCACGTCTGACGACGATCATGTCTATTTTCAAAATCATGCGATTGCTAGCTGTCTTCATACTCTGTTTCTTGGTCGAAGATGTTTTGACCAAAGCCCCGTGTGCGCCTTCGTGGCTACACATTGCCCATCTCGATTCATGTTTTCTGTCGGCACCACAGCCAGCTGAGTATGATGATGCTGACGCCTACTGTAATGAGCTCGATTCCAATTTGGTGGTCATCAATTCAGAAGAGGAGGCCTCTATTGTTCGGGAGTTCTTCGCCCGTGAAAATCCGAGTTTCTTCAATTGGATCGGAATGCGATGGAACTCCGAAGCAATGAATTTCACGTGGATTGACGGAATCACCAGAAACTACTCGTATTTTCTGCCAGGTTGATTTTTCCTATTTTCTCCCTTTTTTCAGCATGTGCCTTTCAGACGAGCCGGGGTTATCAGGCGAGTGTATTGCGTGGGTTCTCGATGATAAACTCGACGGCTGGCAAGCAATTAGTTGTCATTACTCTCAGTTTTTTATGTGCCAAAAACCTGCAGAAGGGTGGGTGACTCATTAAATTGTTCTTACTGTTCTAAAATTCAAGAATTATTACAACTTGGCATCTAGATGACGAGGGAGAAATTACCAGTCCGAATTGGCCGAACAATTATGAGAACTTGGAATACGATACTCATATTATCAAATCAGAGCCGGGAACTCGGATTTTGCTGTATTTTGAGTTTGTTGACACCGAGCCCAATTGTGACATCATCACAGTAACCGATGATTATGGTATTTCTGGAAGAACTTTGTTCAGGTGTTAATTTTTTAGAAAGAACTGCCAAAAACTGCAATTGTCAGGTTATCTGGTTCCTATTACAATCACTCTGTGATCAGCACTCAAAATCAGGTGATTGTGAACTTCAAATCAGACGAGGACAACGTCGGAAAAGGATTTTCATTGAGTTATCAAATATTGTAGGTCCATCTTTTTATGAGGAAAACTTGCAATCTTTTTCCAGGAGACCTCTTCCCCTGAAAGTTTTCTCAAACTCTTACGGAACCATCACATCTAATAACTATCCGAATTCTCCAGACTCCTTCCTTATTCAGTACTATTTGATTCAGTGCAGCCCTGCTCATCACGTAGTGCTCAACGTGAAAGCCGTGCAATTGGATAGGAATGATAAAGTCAAAATTCTGAACGGAGTCGATGAGAAGGCTGCAAAACTTAAGATGTAATTATTTCCTCTCGGGTCAGAGCATAGATCCTGTTTTCAGCTTCCGCCAGTACTCGTCTCATTCTGTTGAAACCATCAAGACAACCCAAAACAAGATGTTCATCGCATACGACACTGGAGAGCAGTTCGACGAATCAAATCACTGGGCGTTCGAGTATAATTGCACTCCAGATGGAAATTTGGGCGAGGAGATTGAAATTTGAACACGGTCAATAAATAATTATTTAAAACGTGCAGTGCATATCAGAATGTGCCGACGGAAAGAGCAGAGATCACAACTAAAACACAAGTTAGGGATGATGGGGAAAACATTGAAGAACGGTTTAAGCGTTCGAAGTGGTGCTTCCCGAGGTGGAGGCGACGATCTCATCCTCGTCTTCAGCGACAGTTGTATTTTGTTCTTCAGCTGGCTCCGAGATTTTGGCGAAGAGGTTCTTGAAACGCTTCTTATCGCGCTCGTTTTGCTCGCGAAGTGTAGATTTGCAGACGAGAAGCTGTTGGGCAGCGGCCTGAAACGAACAGATGAAAAAAAAAAAGGTTTTACTTTACCTTGTTTTCCGGCTCAATTGAGACAATCTTTTCGAAAAGCTTCATGGCATCGCGAATCTCGTTCATTGTCAGCAGAGCATTCGCTTTTCTGTAGAGGGCCTTCACATTCTCCGGCTTTGTTTCCAGTACCTTGTCGCACCACTTGATGCACTCGACCTGCTCGTCCTGCTTCGAGCACACCAAACTCAGATTGAGGTAGGCTCCAGTCAAAATAGCGTCACGTTGCGCAACCTGTTCTGGATCCGTGCTTTTCTCATACTCCAAAACTTCTTCGGCTCTCTTGTATTTGTTGTAGGCAAGCTTGAGATTGCCTTTCGCCAGAAATTCGGTTCCACGATCTTTAGCTTTTTTGGCAGCATCGAGTTTCTCCTCAGCAGTCATCTCCCAAGTCGCAGGAACTTTCTCGAACTCCTTGAGGAAGATTGTGAATTCGAGGGGAGCATTAGGCGGAAGGTTTGAGCCTAGCGGAGGGCTATTTCCGTAAGTGAACTTGCTTCCCCTCAGCTCGATTTTCGACTTTTCTCCTAGTTGAAATCGGCGAAGCGCTCTCTCCACTCCTTCCGGAAGTTGCTCCTCAGATCCCTCGCCTATGGAGAACCTCACTTCGCGATTGTAAAACTCGGTGCCTTGGTGAGTTCCGACAATGTGAGCTAAATAGACGTTTTTAAAGATGTACATACAAATTCTGACTTACCGGTTACATTACTTGTGTCACTGGGATACGAATTCTTGCTTCCTTCCACGATGACCGTGCGAAGGATATTCCCGTCTCTGTCCGGAGAGATATCCTCGGCGGCCCAATCGAACAGCTCCACTTCGAACAACAGCGTGGATCCTCCGGGGATTTTGGGCGGTGATCCGGCATTTCCGTATCCGTAATCGGAGCGGATAGTAAACTCAGCGACTTCCCCCTTGGTCATCGTTGCCACTCCGATATCCCATCCTTTGATAACGTTTCCTCTTCCCAAGTTGAAGGTGAACAAGTCTCCTCGATCTCTGCTCGAATCGAATTTGGTGCCGTTTTCCAGAGATCCTACATAGTGAACTTTGACGGTTGTTCCGGTCGTCGGCTTCACAATCCCTTGTCCTTCTTTCTTAACAAGTTTGAGCACTCCTCCGTCTTTCTTTGGAGTAATATCAATCTTTTCAGCCATGTTTGAAGTGATCGAAGTTTCTAAAATCAAACTTGATAAACGAACGAATAAAAAAGTGAACAAAAGTTATGAGAATTTGAGAAAAATTCGAGAGAAACACGTAAACACCTCCGTAATGAGTTCTAGAATGTTCCACTCCGAATTTGCCAAAATGCGCGTCAAGTGTGATGTGTCCGCACGGTGTACGCACACTGAACGCATACGATCTTCCATCGTATATCCATGCGCATTCTCGGAAATTCGATTTTCTAGAAAATTTCTGCAGACGTTTCTCTCTCGAGATCTCTCGTCTCCGTCTTCTCTTTTCGCATTCTATTTTTTTAGATCGATAATAATTAAGTCTAAGTTATGGAATCGTCTGAGATTTTTGATCATATGGCACCAAAGCTTAGTGGCAAAAAAGAAGGGTAATGAGCATTAAATTTTATCACTTTATCATATCTGAAATGTTTAAGTTTCAGGTCTTTTGCGTATAGGACGGTGAGAGACAGATGGCCGCAAATTATCACTAAGTTGGTCAACGATCTGTCAACCAACAAAAGGGCAATCATAGAAATGTACGGCCCGGAAGCTGACGAGGATGTCCGGGCGATTCTGGAGAAGTTTTCAAGACTTCGGTATCGGATCATGACCGATAAATCGCTAGACACGTTGAATGACAACGAAGACGATGTTCACGAGTGGAACGAGTTTCTTCTCAACAATCGCACGCGCGAAATTGTAAGTTGAAACATTAATATTTGCGGACTTATCAGAGCCGTTTAAGCCTGATGACGTCGAACAACTGACTTGGTTTGGGGGACCATGGCTGTTTGTGGAATGCTTCCTTTACCGTTACATCTACGGAGCATTTGCCGCAACTCGCAAATTGAAAAAAATGGATTACTTCGAGGACAGCAAAAGAACGAACTTTAACGATCAGTTAGGAAATTTGTGATTGTGAAATCAAACATATTTTTTCCAGTCTCGAGCAGATCGAAGAATCCTCTGCGTTTATCATGAAGATCTCTGCAGAAGATGCTCCTGTGCACGAGCTGTTCGGAATCAACACGTTCCTCAAAATGAGTCTTTGGGGAAACCGCGCTGATATGTCGCTCACCGGCGGAGAAAACGCCATCGTGGTAAGCTAGTGAGCTCAGATGATTTTCATTAAATTCGGAAAAGTTTTCAGAGGATGTCAGCAATGTCAGCCAGCTCTAAACTCGCCGAGTTTGTTCTTGTTGATGACGTCAATGAATTGATCGTCAAGGTGTTGGCCCCGTTGCTCATGAACCCCGAGAACTACTCGACTCGCCGCATTGACATAATTCTGGATAATGCCGGAGTGGAGCTTGCCGGCGATTTCGTGCTTGCCGAATTCCTGATTTCGAGAGGATATGCGGATAAAGTTGTAATGCATGGCAAGATGATGCCCTGGTTTGTCAGCGATGTCACCGAACGAGACTTCGAATGGACTTTGCTCGCATTTTCGCGAGCTGGAGTGGAGAGCGCGCGATTCGGTGAAAGACTCAAGAAGCGTGTCGCTGACAATCAATTGGAGTTTAAGACTCACAAGTTCTGGACTTTTCCCCACGCTTACTACAAAATGGAGGAGGTGGCTCCAGATCTACATTCAGAGTTAAAAACTGTAAGCAAACAGCGAAAAACAGCTCAACCTTTAATGTTCTTATTTTTCAGTCTTCATTGGCCATCTTCAAGGGTGACCTCAACTATCGTAAGCTGGTCGGTGACCGTGATTGGGATTGCTTAACTTCATTCAGCAAAGCTTGCCGCGGATTTGCTCCGTGTCCGTTCTTTGCGCTCAGAATATTGAAAGCTGAGACTGTAGCCGGACTGAGCAAAAAAGTACTTGACGACATTCTTATGGTTCGTTCAGAATTTTTGAAGTCTATTAATACAGTTTTTTTTTCAGAAATTCGACGAAGACAACGGTTGGATGATTTCTGGAACTTACGCAGTCTGTCAGCTCGGAGGTATCTGATCTTGCTCGCATTTCATTGATAATTGATCACATTTGCTTTTCCGTCTATTCCTCTTTCTAATATTTTCCGAACTAGTGTACTCATATCATCTTGCAATCCGTCCGACGGGCAAAGTGAGTAATCTGCTTCATATTTCGATATTGTTATGCCGTTTATTTTTTCTTTTCCGTCTATCATCTTCTCTATAGCTAGCCCTCGTCCCCCTCCCATCTGTACTTGCTCTTCGTGTGAAATAGTCTAATAGTATAGGCTCTGTCCCCCAACCAGATGTGCGTGATTGTTATAATTTTTATTTGATGAATGCTTGTCGAGAAGACCGGAAGTCAAAGTTCAGATTTAAAGACACTTTTGTTTAAAGACAGGCAAAAAGAACTATAATTATGCAGTTGTTGTATAAAAAAAGACATGGAGTGTTGGAGAGAGAAAACGAAACGAAAAAATAAGGGAAAGAAGGGGACGATGATGGAATTGATTCGGGGGTTGTTCAGGTATTTCATTGTGTTTCTGGACCAGAGAAAACGGCGACAAGATCGTGGTCTTTACAAGACGGAATAATGTACTTAATAGTGGGAGAATTGGGCAATTTATTCATTGGAGGAGGCGACGGCGGCTGATTCAATGAGTTGTTGGAAGTTGATGCCGAGACTGAAGAGCGGATTCGAAGTGATCGAAGAAGCGTCGTCTCCGGCCTTGGCTGCCGCGTTGAAAATCGACGTCGCATTCGCACCACCTGAAAAACACAAAATTTGTCATAAAAATTTAGGTAAAGTTTGGAAAACGTGAACTAGAAAGTTATTACAAACGCAAATCTGCTTTAATTCACCCAAGTTCGTGGAAAAATCGGTCTATTTCACGTGGAATTCAGAATTTTCGTTAATGGGGTTATTCAGGCTGTGAAAAAATGATTGTTTTCCGTTTTTTCCGTTTTTTTACGTCAAAAAATCCAATTCAGCGATGTAAAAAAACGAAAAAAACGGAAAACAAACATACGCTGAATAGCCCCATAATATTTTTACAAGATTCACCTACCTTGAAGAAGGAACGGATTCAAGAACGCTGCTTTGACAGCCGTCTGGTTGCTCTTCGGTGACGACGTCCTCGCCTTTTTCTGTGCCTGTTGTCTGTTCGACGCAGCCTGCTTCATAGCATCCTTGATGGTCTGCTGCAGAGCCGCTGTCATATTGTCCGTCTCGATGATCTCCTGCTTAACCATCGTCGGCGATCCGTGTTCGAGTTCTTCCTTGATATCGATTGACGCCTCCTCGGAATCAGAATCGTCTCCGCTCTCATCGTTGTTATAGTCGTCCTCTCCAAAAGTAGAGAACAACGGAGCCATCGTGGGCAGGAATGGGGAGAAACCACCCATCTGAAATCGTGAAAGTTGGTTGTGAGAGTTGCCTCTTGCAAGATATCCTCTCCTTGCGAACTTATGATATTTGGTCCTTCCCGTTCCTTTGCTATAGCACCCACTTTGTAATGTAATCAATACACACCACCAATCAGTTAGTCATCAGGAGAAGGACCCTGTCTCCATTAGATGCCGCGAGCCAAAGTCGTACACACCAAAAGCTTTACACTGCTCCTGCTTCGAAGCGAGTGTGTGTGTATGTGCGGGCTCCCTCCGAGTTCTCTCCCACTCCTCCCGAAGGATATTTGAAGCCATTTTAGTGCCGCCGGCTGACGCGCCCCGTCCCGTCCATCTTCCCGCCCGCGTTGTAACAGAAAGACAGAAGAGGAATGGAAGACTCACCGATGGGCTGTTGTTGCTCGACTCGGACACAACGATATCAGCGGCCAACTTCCTCTTTCGCATCGCGTTTCCACCATTTCCCGGGTCGAATGTGAACTCAGTTCGGCTCGGCTGCACATCGGTTCCCTCTCCAGGCGCGTTCAGACATGTCTGAATCATAGCCTTTCCGGGTTCCGAAGAGATCATTGGCTGCAGCTTCTTGGTGGCGTATGTGTAGACGTGACCGGTTTCAGAGGCCACCAGGAGCATCACTTGTGTACCCGTCAGTGTGGAGAGCTCGAAAGCCTGAAAGATAAGAAGTTTTAGAGGCAGGGGTGGATTCTGAAAAACGAACCTTCTTCATGATACCCGTCTTCCTTTTACTGAACGTGGTGTATCGTCGGAGTTTGTTGTTGATGTACTCCATCTTGATCTTCACTCGCCCTTTCGTCTTCTTTCCATTCGGCAAAAGCCCCGTGGATGAAGATGACGGTGGCGCTGGCTCCGGAGCAGCCGGAGCATTCTGAAGCTTCTTGAGGAGTTGGGCAAAGTCCTCCACCTCTGTCATTGTGTGGAAGAGTGATTCTGGGAAAGAATATGATGATGTATGCATAATAATAATAATGATCGTTTGGGCAAGGAAGACGAAGAAGAAGAAAAAGAGGAAGAAGGGCGTCCTTTCGGGAGGGAAAACCAGTATTGGTATGGTAACTTTTTACGGTTTGCGGAGGGATACGGTATGTAATTGAACTACATACCAACAGATTTTTTTGCTTAAAAGGCTATGAGAATTTTTCGAAACTTACAGTAGCCTTGGGAGCGCTACATTTATATGTATATTGGAATGGAGGCACGGAAGTGATAACTCACAAAAATGATGGAATTGGTATGAATAATTCGCATTACCTCTGCGCTTTTTCAAAGCTTGCTTTCTCATTTCCAGCTGAAAAGATCTACCTATGTTGTGACCATTGAAAAGAGAAATGGAACCCGTCTCCAAACACATGAAGGTGCGTCAAGTTCAATCACATGTGACTACTGGAAAACAAAAGCATCGATTGATTTGGAGCTGCTCTTCTCTTCGACGCCTGCTCTCTTGTTACGGCAGGCACATATGTTGAGCCGAAAGAAGTGAGAGGAGCAATATGGGCGATAGAAGCGAAGCGGGAAGAAGGGAAGGGAGCAGCCGAAACTGGCGCGGTGTAATAGTTGAGAGAGATGGAGCACTACCCGCGGGAAGGAAGAAGATGGGCCCTTCCGACCGACTGACATATGTGGGATCCCGCCCACTAAGGAGGCCTCCGAAGAGAGAAGAAGGCGGCTGTTGCATCGTAAAGGAAGAGAGAAGTGAGGGTATACGGTAATGGATGTTTCGGTGTAAAGTTGGAAAGAGGTCGAATGAGGAGACATCGGGAACGACCTAAGGTGATCATTGGAAGAACAAGAATGCAATTGGTTAGAATGAATTGAACCACCGAATAACTACATTGACGCATTGGAACTGAAAGTTGAAACGTGTTGTCTCAATAAAAAGTTTTTGGGAGTTTTCGTGTATTGTAGCAGATTATCGTCCCATATGGAACCATTTTCTGATTCTGAAGGGTCACACATCTGGCGTCAGTGTCTACTAAATACTTCTATCAGTGAAAACGGGAAAAGAAGGAAACGAGTGGGAAAAAGTTTCCATCAAAATAAAACATTTGGTTTACGGACAGCATGACTCAGATAATCGGAAAGAGAGGGAAATGGTCTTGCGAAAATGGAAAGTTCTTGGGGGCTTTCTAGATTCTGAGCAAAAGTGAGATGACAATTGGAACTATGAATCTGTTATGTGAGCGGTACGATCGCGCAATATCGGTTGGAGCCCCTCCGCCTTTCGGGCGGCTCAGATCCATTACAAAGAGGTCCAACCTTCCCCCGACAGTTGCCGTCGTGCACAGCGCGAGTTTCCTTTTACAACCGCCGCCGTAGGAGGACGATGTGGAAGGAAAGGTCGGAGAGCAAAAATGGAAAGGCGTCTGGCAAGCAGCCGTGCAAACGGTACACAGCAATATGAATATGGGGTAAGGCAGGGACATACCATCTCGGATTCAAAAAGACAATAAGATGGAAGAAAACATACTTATCAAGTGACTCACTCACGCAAATGGATAAATCTTTTCGCCAATGGGAAAAGAAAAGAAAACATCCACGGCAGCATCAAGCGCACGGAAAGGCAATGTGGGCGGGCGCGCGCGCCACCATTCCAAGGCAGACGGGAACGCCCCCTTTTTGGAGGAATATGGATTACGGTAGATCTTTGACAAGATGGGAGAGCGAAAGAAAAGGAATGTGTTAGGAAGAAGGGCTAATGCCAACATGTGCTTTTAACGATCGTGTGGTGCTCGGAAAAGAAAGAGCCAAAAGTGATGGAAGCAACCATATGTGAGAAAAGAAAGGCGGTTCATATGGGATTGGGAGGAAGCTTCCTTGTGTTGATTTCAACGAAGGAAAGTCGGAAAAGTCTAGGAGTAACTGCCGAAAAGTCTCCCAAGCACAGGAAGAACAGTTATTTGATAGAAAAAGGTAGCTAGGCAGCTCGACGGGACATTTCAGGGAGTTTGGAAGAAACTTTTGGGCTTTTGTTTGCTCATCGAAGAAGAGTGGGAAAGTAAATGGAAAGGAATTGGCAGCAGCCACCAGCAGGCAACCGGTAGATGGTAGTGGTAGTGCATATAGAGCCAAAGACGCCCCCCCCCCGAGTCAAGTGATTTTGACTTTTCGAGGAAAAGACAGAAAAGAGTCGAGGAGAGTCTCCCATTCGTTAAATAGTCAGGTGACGCGATTACTCTGGAGAGGATGGCAGGGGATGGCAAAGAAGAAAGATGATTAACGTAAATCATACTAATAAGAAGTATGAGGACAAGGTCTGGTGGGAATGTATAGTTGCGTCAAGTTATGAAAACATAGTGAAAATTTGCATGGGAAATCAGTACGAAATTGAAACAGTGAAGTCATTAATTTTGACAAGGACAAAACTTCTAACAAAACTATGAGCCTGATCAAATCAATTTCCCAAATAAAAATTGGGTTGAACCACGAGTGGAATCTGAGAAGTTTTTAGCAGAAGTTTGGCAATAACAAAACTTACACAAGACTGTGAATTTGGGCGGAGACCTTACAGTTTATCAGGAAGATTACACATGATTGATGACTCAAGAAATTGAAATTTGGTCATGTGAACACCTCGCCAACTTTTTCGCTTTTTTTCTCTCTCTTTCTTTCTCTACGTCCAAATTTTAAAGACCAAAGGCTAAGAGCCAAAAGAAAAAACAACTGACACTTTAGTACGATGTTCTAGGTGACCCAACCTGAGATCATGCTCAGAAAACAATTGGCTACCACCACTCCCACCGCGCCATCATGTTCTTTTTTGCTTGAGTTCTGAGCTCACTTCCTAGCAAATAGGGAAGTGTTGCGATGCTTTCCCGGACGGTCTCTTCCGGATCATCCGGCCACCCGCGGCGTTGTTACGTGTTTTCGGCCTGGGCGCCTCGCCGCGTCAACGCCACGTCTGCGTCACATACTATTTCCACTTTCTCCCGTAATGAGCAAGAGGCTCCTGCGCGGGAGCAGCGCGAGCCTGGAGGAGCCTTCCCTTAGTGTTTGTCTTAATCGTGAGCTCATGCGTCTCCCTCGGCTCGTCCTTGGTTCGTTCTCGGCGGGCGCCTGAGCAAGTTGGGGGGAGGGAACTGACGTGGACATTGATGACGACACACTTGAACACACACAGAAACCACTTTTTTACGTGAGAAGGAAGAAGAAAGAAGCTGCCACTTTTGCAAGCAATCGCCTTGCATAACAAGGAAAGTGATGAGGGGAGAGGGTACGGTAGTCTGGTTTGACTCATCTCGTATGGAAAGTGGAGAACAAGCAATGACGTGTCAGCGCTGGAGGTAATTGACTGATTCATTCTCTCGTCAACTTTGACAAGGTCAGTTTGGAGCAAAAAAATGGAGCAAATGTCAAAAACTCGCTTAAAAGCTTTGAGTAACGGTACATTTACAGGAGAAAATTTACTGGTATTCAGTTCCTAGAACTATCTAGACGGCAGTTTTCTTGGTCTCAAAAACTCGAAAAGAGGAAAAGCGAAAAGAAGATAGGTCGGTGCCCGAAAAAGTGAAAATGAATAATATAAGGCAACAGGTGAGGGGAGCTCTCTTTTCTCTTCTAATCAAACAAATTCGTTCTCTTCTCCTGTCTGGTCTCTGCCTCTTAAGGTTCTTCTTCTTCTTCGCTCGCGCGGGAGAAAACGGGGGTGAAGCTTATTATGCAACTATGCATATATGCTCCGCGAGGAGGAGCTCCTTGAGCATTTCCCAAATCACGATGTTTTATTTGGTGACATTGGAACAGAAGAAAAGGAATGAAAGAATCGCTAGGCCCGGATCTTCGCCCAGATTTCTTTCGGCGCCGCGCAAGTGATCGTCGCTGACCTTCTGGCTTCTTCATACTTTTTGCCTTGAGACATGAACATCTTATGTGTATAATTGGCGTGTCATATAATAACAGCCTTCCGGGTGTTCTAACATTGTTTTTGTGGGAATCCGAATCGTTTCGTCCGAGACAACGACTTTTTTGTCACCCGCACCGCACACTTTATAAGATGGGGATTCATTCATTCATTCATTCATTCAACAATATAGATTCAACAACAAAAACGCGAACAACAAAGGTTAAAGCAGTTGGAAATGGATGATGGATCAAAGAAGGAAAGAGTGTCCGGGTTTGCGGTATTCTTCAGTTTTCATCCGTTGATATAGTGCTCCATGAAGTCCTCTTGCCGCTTTCGACGCCAACTCGAGCATATCGCCGACGGATTCCAGCTCTAGAAGACCTCCACCGACTTGCTTTACGCACGTCACTTCATAATCTCCTAATTCAGTGTTTCCTTCGGCTCTGATGAGCCCAATGAGAAGCTGCGATCGAATACAATTCTCCTCTTCCGGAGTGCAGTCCACCACGTTGGCTGTTCCAATTTTGGAGACGGTTAGAAGAAGGGGGCAGCGGAGGACGTCGAGTTTCCACATTGAAACAGGCACCTCTTCGTCACGAACATTTCCGCCTTTTCGTGGCCTTTTCAGCTGGATCGAGACTTTTCCGCCGTCATCGGGAGCCACCTCCACCTCGGGAATCTCCATATCGCTGAGTGCACCGATGATTGCCAATGAGATGGCGTCGGCAACACTTCCGTCCCACTGCAGTACGGTTGCATCCACATAAATCTTCCAGCGGTATCCTTCAGCCAATTGGATTTTTTTCAAGTCTGGCATGATGTCCAGGGCTCGAGAGTATGCCACTTGAAATGCGGCTGATAGTTCCTCGGCGTAATCGTCTCCACCTTTTCCTGAAAAAAATTAACTCGATATAGGCAATTTACAAAACGCCACAATATTTTAGTTTTCGCGTGACCTCTTCACGTTTGGAAAAAACGTTTCTTCCTGAAAAGTAAGCATATTCGGTTTTTCATTAAAAATTTTCACGTAAAGAGTCACGTGAAAATTGGAGAAAATGTTCAAGACTAACCAGCGAATTGGCTGCTAGCATTTGCAGAAAAATCCACGTAGAACTGCATCGGCTGCTTTGTCTCCTTTTCTTTTTCAGTCACAGGATCGTACGATTCGAGTTCCAATTTGATTCCAGCCTGGGAAATCCCACGTCAGAAGTTGAGAAGCTTCCACGGGATACTCACCAGCACATCGGTTGTTTGACCGAGTTGAACGCGACAACTTCCGTTCGTTGCCGATAGAACGCCTCGTTCGAGTACAATCTGTCGGAAATCGAGGCAACTCCGTCCATCGTTCCGAATTTCCGCCTCGACGCCGGTGATAAGAAAGAGCTTTTCGTCATCGCTCAAGTGAACGTCCATCTGATATAATTATCAGTTTTCTCATTCAAAACGTGGCAGTTTTCAGTGAAATTTGAAATTTTAGCGGGTAAAAACCGAGAAAGAACAAAGAAACAGATACATCTTGAAATCGGAGCATTTTTATGCAGATAAACACAAAAAAAAACAAATAAAGAAATGAAAACAAACTGAGATGCCGACTAAAATCCTACAAAACAAGATATTCGTTTGTCGTTAGGCTATTTACGTCCACCAGCCGGAGCACAGTCGTACTTTCCACGCACAATGTTCGCTTTCACCGAAATCAAATCTCGCCGACGTCCGCCCTTCACTAGAACCTGCAAAATTTATAGATGTTTTGATGTTCGAACCTTTTATATTAAACCTGCGAGTGCTCTTGCAAATTGTGACCGACGTTCGGAATGTAGGCGCAAACTTCCGCTCCGGTCGATAATCTCACAATGGCACACTTTCTATTTCCGGAGTTTGGCTTCTTAGGGTGACGAATGACGGCTGAAAGACTTTTTTGGCGAGTGATATTTATGAGGCTATTCAGCGTATGTTTGTTTTCCGTTTTTTTCGTTTTTTTGCATCGCTGAATTGGATTTTTTGACGTAAAAAAACGGAAAACAATAATTTTTTTCACAGCCTGAATAACCCCATTAATATTTGATTTTTGCGTACTTTTGAGCACAATTCCCTTATAGTGGCTATATCCACTGATTGGACTTTTGTCCTTGCTCCGTGCTCGCCGCTTTGGCGGTCCGTTCCGATAGTGAATAAACTGAACAAAGTGTTTTTATTTTTCGAAAAATGAAACCAAGACCTGCAGGAAATTGTTCCTGAAAAGTGGGAAATTCGTCGAAAATGATGAAATCTGCGTCTGAATTGCAGGGGATGACTTCGGCAGCAACGAACTGATAGTGCTCGAGAAGCCTGTCAGGAGTCCGCCTAGCCGAGAGAACATCTGAATCGTCACGGATTTGCGCAATAGTTTCGAGATGTTCAGGGAGTTTTTTCGGGAAAATAAACCAATACTTTTGATACAACATTTTTTGACAAGCTAATGCATTTATTCGATGTTTTCAAAAGTTCAAAAGTTCAATAGAAATCTCCTTTTTGCAGCAGCATGTTTCACGTATACAACCTGTAGAGGATAGAACAAGTCTAAGACAAGAGTGATGAACAATGACAAGAAAAGGCTGAAATTCGTGTCCTAATTGTTCGCATAATATTACAGACGGGGAAAATAGTTCAAAGGGAATTAATTAATCGAAATATTATTAAAATTAATATATAAAGTTTTTTTGAATCAATTATTAGTTTTTTCACTACATTTTAGAGAAATAATACATGAAATTAGCGGGGTCGGGAGGCGACTATTTCAAAAAACACCGATTTTCTGAGAAAAGACATTGTGGGAAGGATTTTAGGCATACTTTCTTCTAGAAATAGTTTCTAGGCGTTCGTGTTGTTCACAGTTAGTCTGCTCCACTGCACATCGAACGGGTCAGCCGGTTTGGCCGGAATTTGAGCCATCTGAAGCGGGTTGGGTGAGGAATTCCAGTTGACTCCGGCCGGTGAATCTCTTGCCTAAAAATATTTTTAAAAAAATGCATAATTTTCTTTTAAACTTACACTTTGACTCTGATAAATAGACGGGCTGCCATTGGAAACTGCTTGTCGAGTCGGAAGAGGCGGCGGAGCATGAGCTGGTGGTGGGCCGGACTTCGGAAGCACTGAATACGACGACGAAGATGTGCTGGGTCCTTGGGAAATAGAGGAGGTCGGCGACATGCTCATTGACACTCTCAGCACGTCATCGAGCCATTCGTCTGCCTTAGATCGTGCAGAAACCGGCGAGGCGAGCGAAAATCCGGTGTGGTTGGCTGTGGGTGTTGCTTCCCCCGAATTCGAACCACTGTTGAGCTTGATGTCTTCGAATTGTCGTTGCAGTTTGTCCAGGGGTGATTGCACAGTTTGTACCGTTTGAGTTGGCCAGTTGGCAAAGTCTCCGTTGGCATTGAAGCCGACGATTGGCGCAGGAACAGTCTTCCAGTTCAGATCAATTCCGTCGAGTCCATTGCTAATAAGAGGGCCTGGAGCTGGAGCAGCAGACGCAACGGGTTTGATGGTAATAATTCCTAATCCAAGAGGATCTTCGTCTCCTTCTTCGTCGATCGGCTCACTGTAGAGAGTTGTGCCAAATGACTGAAAATCCGAATTTTATAAATTTTTGAGATTAAATTTGAAGTACCGGGCAACTACTTCTTCTTGAAGCAATATTATCAGGCAAAGGACTTATTAACACGTCGTGGGGATCTATTCGATAACCATAACCCGGGGAGCTGGTGTTAACATCAATCCCTGCATCCCGAAAGTCTTGCCACATTAACCGTTTCAGCTTTGCTAAACTTTCAGCGTCAACTGGCTTTTCTACGTCGCAGCGAATTGCTAGACTCGGGTAAAACTCGCATCGTCCGTCAATATAGGCGGCCTTTTCACAGGCTTGAGTGTAGGAACGGAGTCGGGCTCGCGAGTGAGCGAGCTTGATTGCCTGCACTTTTGAAGCGACTCCACGACGAGCACGATGACCGACGTTGTGAACGACGGCTCGCACGTATTCGGTGTCAAGAACCATTTTTCGACAAAATAATAAGAGCTCTCAGTTTTGGCAAGTCGATTTATTATTATTATTTTAAAGTCAATAGGATTATGATAATTCTGGCCCGGTTTTTGAGTGAATTCAGTGTGAAACACTAACCTTCTTTTCCTTTTTTCCGCCAAAAGTGCCGCTTTTTTCAGTGCGGAGAGATAGATTCCGCTTGAATTGATCTGATGATGACGGCATGTCCGGCGCACGTAGCGATCCCTGTATTAAAGATGATTTCCCGCTCAAAAAGCTCCAGCCTTCTTACCTGACGCTGGAAAAGCGCTGGATTGGAGGTGGGCCTCGGCTTGGCAATTTGTTTGATCTCATCGTTGTGATTGGAAGCGGGAACCTCATTGATTATTACGGATTGCGGGTCCAAGTAGCGATCTTCGATGGAAACATGTTTTCGGAATGATTGGTAAGCCAGATTGGCACGTTGTAATGACGACGATGAAGAGCTTGGCTCTGGACGCGCTTCATCCCAGTTTGGATTGAAGACGTCGCCTTTTCGGGCGGCAACTGGCGTGGATTCTCCTCCTACCGCCGCATCATCATCTCGCTTTTTCTTCTTCTCCAAACAAATCGAAAACGCGCATCCGACGGCGTGCGACAGTCGTTCACCCTGAGAATTGAGACAAATGATTCACCGCTTGCTAGCAGAAGATAAAAAAACTTACAGTTTCTTTAGTAGCCAGGAATCCATGGCACATCCATCGTCTGGAGGCTCCGTCTCGGCAAATGTAAGCAAAACCTTTGTCGCTCATCCGGTCCGGAGCACAAAATGAAACTTTTTCAATGGTTTGATCGACGAGCAGCCCGCGACTGTTTCCTTGGTCGACGACGCGGAGCCCATCTCCCGACACATAAAGCACCGCCTTAACGGGTTTTCGACGAGCGGCTTTTAACGATTTCAGGGCATTTTCGCAAACTTGCATTCCGCGCGACTCGTAAACTTCCACTGCGCCCAAATATTTTACATTAAAGCAACATGTGCCAGTGCGAACTGCCGCCTCGTCCGGTTGCCATTGATCTGTTTTGGAGCCGCCTGTCACCTGCAAAAATGTATGATTTTTTATGAATTCGCAAAAAATTGATTGACACTTACGTCTGGACTGAGATGCCTATCATGACTCCGATCTCTCCGCTTGGGCAGCCTTAGCGATCTTCTAAGTCGGTCCATCCCCTTCGAGAAGATTGTACTGAAAAAGATAGAATTTAATATAAAGAGTCAGAAAGAATTATGCGAAAATAAAAGTACTAGTGCCTTGGGCAGCAAGGGGCTTGTCTAATGAGATTTCTCAGTAGAGCGCACTTACTGGGCGTACTCGATCATTCACGTACGTGCACAACCGTAACGGAATGAAATATAGAAAACGGGAAAGAAGAAGAAAAAGAAGACACTTAATGTTTTTGTGGGGCGTCAAGAGAAAAGTGTAGCTAATTGAGAGAGAAAGTGCGCAGTATAAAAGACAGGAGAATCGCATTATGGTCACCTTCTTTCTCTCAAAAAGTGTTTAGTCAATTTGCCATTTTTTGAACACAAGAAAGCTAAAGTTGACCGATTTAGAAGCATTTTAAGAATTACATTTTGAAATACAGAAATTACATTTTTTCGTTGGGCATAGGCATCGGCGGAGCCTCAAATGACTGCTGTTGCTGTGCTACGAGCGAGCTTTGCAGGCTCTTCTGCTTCTTTTTTCGTCGCGAAATGCGGGATAGTCCTCGAGTAAATATATTTCCTTGGCCGCTGTTCATCTGGAACTATAGATTTAAGCAATTTCTTAAAGTTATTTTTAGGTAAAAGATAAACAGAATTCGAGAATCAGTCCAAACAAACTGGGAAATGCAGAGTTTGAAAGTTTTTTGGAAGAATGATTGACACGTTTGTGACACGCATTTGTGAGCGCTATTCCTTTTTGAGTTTGATAATTTTTATCTGGTGTTTAGTTGACTTATTTCGATTTTACGTCTTTTAAGGAGAACATATGGAAAATGCGCAAAATGGCACTGAAAAGATTCAGCGGCGAAAAACGACTGTAACCGTAGTCTTGTCTAAATTAAAAGGCACAGGGCACGTTGTCGCGCGTCAGAAGTTTGGTAGGTCTGAAATTTTGTACAAAAGGAGAAAAAGCGAAATGAGAAAGAAACTTCTTATCAATAAGAGCGGCGAGCAACACACGCGCTGACTGTATGGGAGTGTGGGCAGTATCAAAAGAGATACACAGTGAACAGAGGAGGCGGAAAAGATGGAAAGAACACGGAAACCCGTACTTCCGCCGGGCAGTGCGGGACGGGATGAATGACCTCTTTTCATTGATTGATAAAAATGACGGTGTCAGTGACATCGACTTCACATTTCAACGAAAACACGTGTACCGACCGCTAAGAGTTGGAAAATTTCCATTTCGTTCGATTTCTTATGACGTGGATTGGAAAGGTCACTTTATAGGTACTGAGAGAAATCTGGGGGAAGTAGAAAATCATAATCTGAAAACATCTTTTATACTCTCTTAAAATTCTCCAAACATACAGCAAAACACTGACATGCATGTAATTTTCAGGGCTTCACACCCGGTAAAAACTAATGATACCAACTTCTACAATTCAAAGAATACAAACAAGCCGAGACGTAAAACTAACCACACAACCTTCATCCGAATAGCTTCCTCGTCTTCTTGGACTATCCCTATCCCATGTTCGAGTGTGATGCCTCATAAATGGAACGATCATTTTTGATGAGTGTCCTTCCTTTCCTACTTGACTTCTGCTGAGGACGATTGACCCGACAGAAAGCCAGTTGTGTGAGAAACCTCGATTTCCGAGTGTTTAAATTAAACCGTTATCGACCAGACTAGATACGAAACCTGCAGCAGCCCACCCCAAACCGTATTTTGCAGAGTGAGAGCATCAGAAAGCGGAGTACAAATGTCTGGAATCGGAGAGTGATGTCGTCAAACACCAAGTGGAGCAAGAGCTCAGATGCGTTCATTATCCTGTAATCCACTGTTTTCAGTGGAGCCAAAATATTCAACGTTGATGCTGAAGAATGAATAGTTAGACCCCCATTTGCCCAGCCCATTTCCTTCGAGAACTCATAAGTATTTTGAATGTGGTTTGCATTAATCATAGCCCCGCTCCGACATTATTATAGGGGCACCGAACAGAAAGGGCGCTCTATTGAGAAACTTTTTTGCAGTGCAAATTGAGTGAGCTCGGGGCCGAGTTTGAAAAGTTAGGCCACATTTTCAGTGGAAAATTACTTCGCGGCCTAGAAATTCGGCGAGATTGGGAACAGAGCGCCCTTTCTATTCGGTGCCCCTATAATACCACGCTCTGCTTCCTTTTCTTCTTCTTCTCTCCTTCATGACGTGCATGCGTGTGTGTGCGTGAGCGCGGCGCCTTCACTTCCTATTCGCTCTCAATGCAAAAAAGGAAAACGCAGACGACGTGAGCCTCCTCGCTCATATCGATTTGGCTCGACGGAGCCCTCGTGAGAGCTCGGCGGCCTCACTCTCGACGTCGGACGTCTCCGTGTTCTCTTCGCGCTCGTACACACCGAGGAGAAGCTGCCCATTCACATTTCAGCACCAAACGGTCTCCTCATGTTTGGTGCCGTTTCCCTGGTTCTTCTTGTCACACTCACGAATGCGCTGAACCTTGAAAATGTAGGTTTGCTATTCTTTTCATTTAAAATACATGCTTTTTGAAGCCCGGAGACTTTGTGCTCCCGTCAGGCGACTTCATTGACCTGATTTCGCGCGATGCGGAGAATCTCCCTGATTTGAGCAACTTCGGAGTGAAGCACATTTCTGGCGGAGCCGGCGAGGGAGAGCAGAAGCTGCTCGAGGAAGATCAGTTCCAGGAGCGTCAGGAGGTCAAGTCTGACAACGTGCTCCCCGCGTACTGCGAGCCACCAAACCCGTGCCCGGTCGGCTTCACCAAGGAACAAGGATGTATCGAGGAGTTCGAGAACAGCGCCGAGTTCTCGCGCAACTACCAGGCCCAACAGCACTGCATCTGTGACCAGGAGCACATGTTCAAGTATGTTGACACTGAGTCGGTTCAAATACTATAATTGAATAACTTTAGCTGTGCCGAAAAGGAAGCCCAGGACGTAAGCGATTCTCTTCAAAAGATTCTGGAAGAGAACGACATGCACGCCAACACCATCGCCAAGAAGTTCCACGACAAGAGAAACTCGGATGAATACGTGCCACGTCGCAAGCGCTCCGCTCCGACCGCTCACAAGTTCAACCCATACCTGCAGGGAGAGCCGCTCCGTTCGATGCAAAAGAAAAACGGAAAAAATTCGTGGTAAAGAGAGCCCCAACACTTTTTCAAATCGTTTTAATATTTTTTTACCGCCCCACCATCATTATTGTCCATCATTGTCAGCACCCGAGTGTAAGATCAACATCAACCCGAAATAAACTTTATTTCTTGTTAAGCCATTTGAAGAAAAGTGTGTGCGACCCGAAAAGAAGCTCATTGAATATCCTTTTAATCCGATTTCCTCTCCACTAATTCCTGCTCAGTACTGCTTTCTTTCGCGTTGCCATCATGTTTTTTTCCTGACAGACCGGCGAGAACACGTAGCAGTTGACGCCGCCGGAAGAGGCTAGACAGAATTCGTCGGTGTGAGCGATGTAACTGAAAAATCCAGTTCCACAAATTGCGTCGAAGAATAGCCCTGTTTCCGCTTCCGCCACGCTCTGCACTGCTCGTTTAGAGCCTTCCGCGTCGCCGGAAATGATGTTCTGAAATAGCGAGACAAATAATTTGTGGATATTTTTGGGGTTTTCTGGCCTGTTTAGTCCCCACTCACATTGAAAATAATAGTCCTTAACCGCTGACTATTGCACTTATCATCATCCGATTCCGGTCTTCCACCTCCGCCACACTGCCCATTACACTGGACGTCATTCGACGGGAAATTATCCTGTCCCGATGGAGCAAATGTTGAATAGGTGAAAGGGATTGGTGCTGGAGTTGTTTGATAGATTATCTTAACATTTGTATTATTTGACACGAGAGATACCAAATCAATCTCAAACCTGTGGCTGTGGAGCTGGTGGCTCCGGAATCGGCGGCAGAATGTGTAATTCAATTGGCCGTTGGGGTGGGTTGGCCTGAAAACGAGTCCATTTGTGAGAATGAGTCATTCAAAGAGGAAAGCTAGTAATAAAAATAATAAACTACAGTGACAAGATAAGAGGCAACTGGTACGGGGATAGTTTCCGATGGTTGTAAAGAAGCCACCGCTGGCACATAGACGACCGGTTGACGGTTGGAAGTACGGTAGGCGTAGCGGATTTCTCGAGGAGGATATGGTCTGGAATTATGACGTGAGAGTGGGGAATGGAAGAAAAGGTGACGTGGCGTTAAGCTTACTCAATCGGAGTTTGAGGGAGAACGGCGGCGGATTCGATTCCGAATAGCGGGATGAGCTGGAAACACACATTGAAAACGGTTTCGTTTTTAACGTACCAGGACAGTGTACAACCATCTAATCTGGTTAAAACATGCCCCAGACAAACCTTTCCATTCCTGTCCCTCCCATACGTTTGAATTTGTTTTCCAGTCACCAGAGACTGCCAATTCGGTTCCGTCCGACTTAGAATCACCTGCCGATTTTTGTCCATAATTGTCGGAACCATATCATTCATCTCAACACCTTCTTCCGCTGAAATGAGCATTATAGACGTTCGTAACATTTCGGGGTGTAAAGGAGCTTACACGGCGATTTCCTGATAATCCTGGATATTTGAGACCTGTTCTTGAAGGCTTTATAGAGCCTTTTTCTCCAGTCACGAATTGATTCCAAAGAAGATTCTGAAGTGATTCTCCCCTCACTTCTTATTTTAGGGGAAGACGCTGTGGCTAGCTCAAGCTCTTCTAGAGGGTTATTCACCGAATTGTGAGGGATCAGTGTAGGAAAGTCAAGAGAACTTTCGGTCACCTAAAGCTAAGTCATTTTTGATGAATGTGTCCACTTTCTTCTAGTAACTCACAGAGTTACTCGTGAAATCTTCGTTCTCTTGTTTGGCTGGTGCTGATAACATTTCCAGTCGTTCCTCGTTATCTACAGAAGGGAAGAAGTTATTCAAGTTCTCCAGAAGCTTCGTCTTCAAGAAAGCCTTATTGCTGTTCCTACTATCTCCATCAAATATCGAATCGTTCTTTAGTAACTCGAAATCACTGGCAGATTGTCCGGAATCAATCAAAAGAAGAATGATTAATGAGAGAACGTTCCAGCAAACTGAATAAAGCATGATGGATTTAGGAAAGAATAGATTAGGATTAGCCTGGTGGAAATTGTGTCCAGGATGGGAAAGTGGTTCAAGTGGCGAGTGCGAATTCTCACAAACTAGCTTTCTATAACTTACTCCCTCCTCCTTTGCGCAAAACATTCTAAACAGACGCGTGTCCGAACGGAGACACACGCTTAATAGCTTATTTGCGAAGAAGAGGACACAAAACGATTATTGACCGCTTGCGGGAACAGCTACGGCCCTTCTGAAAATACAAAAGATGAATGGAACTTATTACGGACAAAACGTTTTTTGAACTCTTTATATCACTACCAAAATCAAATCATGTGAGTGCAAACTTTGTGCTCAGAATGAAAATTGCTTCAGGGTGACATGCATCATGCGAGTGTTTGAAAGGCTTGCAGAATTCGAGGATTCTGAAGAGGAGCGTATCTTCTGAATAATTAGCCTTTTGTCACGTCATAACATGTTTAATTTTTAATTTTTAATGGTAGAGTGGGGTTGTGAAGCATCTCCGAACTCTTATAATAGTGTCTGCACCTTTTAGGCTAATAGTTCATTCAAAAGCGTTTTTGAGGGAATTCTGAGCTAACAGGAAGTTTGAGTAGTCATTCTGAGAGCTGGTTACACCCATAGTACACTTCTGACGTCCGAGTTCTTTGACATATTTGGTTTTCCATTTTGGTTTTCTTAAATGTGGCTTCGTTTGAATCGCGTGATACACTTGAATCACAAAACTTCAATTTCAAAAAGTCCTATGGCTTCCCTGGACTCCCACACATTTCGCAGTTAGAATTTCATTCCAAAGCTGTGATACGTCCAAAACAGATTCTTTCGTGAGATGAAAGCCTGTTTCAATCTCTTCATTTTCATTCCATTACTGTTGTTCTCGTCTTCCGGAGATGGTGCAATTCTTCAAGTGGGACTACTGGCTGCTGCTGATAACAGTACTGAACTCAGTTCGTTCATCGGATGGAGCAACGTGGCGGGAGCTCTTGGAGTTGCTTGGAGCCGTATTGTCGAGTATGGGCTTCTGCCAGGTTATGAGACTATGAAGTAGGTGAAATAACAGACTATTCGTTCCAATCAGTAGTTGAGTAAGATGAATATTTGGGTTGAACAAAAAATGATGTGAATCGATATTGTTCTAATAAAATTTGATGTTATGATTTCTGTATAATAATCAACCTTCCCCCGCCCTCACCTCATTTCCTAATTTTGTCTAATTTTTTTTTGTCCCTCTTCTTAAAAGTGTTCTAATCGTTTTTCGCCCAAATTTCTTATTCATCTAATAACCCGGTTCCATGTATTATAGGGGCACCGGACAGAAAGGGCGCGCTGTTCGCAATCTGGCCGAATTTCTAGGCCGCGAAGTAATTTTCCACTGAAAATGTGGCCTAACTTTTCAAACTCGGCCCCGAGGTCGCTCAATTTGCACTGCAAAAGGAGTTTCTCAACAGAGCGCCATTTCTGTGCGGTGCCCCTATAATACCTCATGTACTTCCCCTCACCCTCAGAGGGTGAGGGGAAAGGACACGTTTTCGATCGTCGGTTTTCACTTTTTGCTGTTGAAAAGGAAAAATTTGACCCTGAAGAAGCCAGTTTTTGCGGGAAAGAAATAGTTGTGCGTAGGGTAAAATGCCGAGTGTGCAGTGATTGCGTCGCGGTGTTCGAACGGTTTTTGTGAGAAGTTTCTCTATTATAGGGGCACCGCACAGAAATGGCGCTCTGTTGAGAAATTTTGCAGTGCAAATTGAAGCGACCTCGGGACCGAGTTTGAAAAGGTAGGCCACATTTTCAGTGGAAAATTACTTCGCGGCCTAGAAATTCGGCCAGATTGCGAACAGCGCGCCCTTTCTGTCCGGTGCCCCTATAATACTTTTCAATTATCCTCTGTTATCCTCATACTATCCTCATAAAATGATGTGAATCGATATTGTTCTAATATTTGAACGTGCTTGTACTCACGTATATTTTAGTCTGACCTGGGTACTGACCGACTGTAGAGAGGCAGACGCAGTTGGCTCCGTTATCAATTACGCGGAAGGAAAAGCTCATGTGGTTTTGGGACCTCCTTGCACAAGACGTAGGTCTTACTGAGTTTAAATATTCCTAAGCATGGCTCGATTATTACAGCTGCACAAGTGGCCGGATCAGTTGCAAAATATCTAAACTTTCCACTGATCTTATGGGGTCCTCCGTTCGATTCCAGTCTTCTAAACCAAGCCGAATACCCTACCATTGCCTCCACGACTTCAAGCACTTTATAGTAAAAGAGTGAGATTGGTCATGTCATTTCTGAAAACTTTCAGCCAAGCAAAATCATTATTACGAATGATTTCCTACTTTCAATGGACTGAAATTGCATTGATTTACTATGTGGCCAGATCTGACTTGATTCCTCGATGCAGTCCTTTAATATCGGATTTTGAAGATTTAGTCAACGACAACGATAACTTGACGATCACTTATCGGAGACAAATGAGTGTGATCACCAACACGAGCTACGCCAGTGTCCTAAAAAATTTGAAGGATTTGGCGAGAAGTTGGTTTCATTTAACCGCACAATTTGTTTGAAATTTTATTAATACTTTTTCAGTTGTGATAGTGTGTCTAGAATCGAGTGAAGCTCGCCGAAACCTTATGATATCCATCGCCGAGCAAGGTATGGACACCAACGAGTACGTTTTCATCATGGCTGAATCGCGGAGAGCCGGCTTTTGTGAGTCTTCTTTTTTTTTGAAATTCTTAGAAATCTGTTTAGCCTCATCATTTTGGAATGGAACCGACGGGAAGAATGATTTGGCTTTGAGGTCTGCCAAAAAGTTTTTGGTGATGGATTATCAAAAATACAATGACACAGCTTCTTTTGTGGCTGAAGTCGAGGATGCTTTTGCACAAGCACCTTTCAATTGTGCTAACTGCACTAGTATAGGTTGAAATTTGCAAAACCTCCGCAGGAGATCATGAAAAAACAGTTTCAGATCCACTGGTTTCTCAAGTCGGTCCTCTTGGTGACGCACTTTTGTTATACGCCTACGCACTGAATAAATCTATAACCCAAGGCATTCCGGCGCCCACTGGAGCACAATTTTGCGAAGTGGCTAAAGGAATGACTTTTACTGGTATTTTCAAATACTCTTGCCAGTACCATTACCTGATAGAATTTAGGATTTACTGGAAAAGTGATAATAAATCAGAATACGACGCGGACTCCAATCTTCATAGTCTACAATATCGACTCGACGAATACCGAAATTTCAGTGATGAGCATAGAGGAAAATTTAGAGGAGTCGACGGATCCGGTAGCCACAAGCGTGAATTATCAAGTGATTTTAGTTCACGGAAGAACAGAGCTCATCTCTTTTCTGACCTCTCTTTCTCCGTGAGAAGGTATTCTTAAATATTAACCTTTTTATTTCAGATAAAATTTACGACGACTGCTTCGAAGATCTGGGATAATTGGGGAAGCGCCGTGCCTTTGAGCACTCCAACTTGTGGATTTACGGGCACGGATTGTCCGAAATCGTTCAGTGACCAATACTTGGCTATTATTCTCGGGTGCACAGCGGCTGCAATTGTTCTGATTATTGCTGTAATCTCAACCATCGTGTTTCTCGTTAGGTCCAAACGACAAGAAGAAGAGCGACTGAACCAACTGTGGCAGGTTCACTTTGCCAGTTTGACAAAACCGACCCAGAAGAACACGATGCACAGCTCAAGAAGTTTGCAAAGTACCATAACGACCAGTACAAAAGTGACCATCAACTCGAAGAAAGATACCGAGAGACACTCTTTCTTCCTTCTTAATAATGAGTCAGTGGTGGCCAGAAAACACAACTTCCGAGCGGTTTTCACGAAGAATGATCGAGCAATGTTCAGAAAGGTTAGGACTGATTAATAAGCCCGAGAATTCCGTTTCAATTTCAGATGAGAAACATAGATCAAGACAATTTGTGCAAGTTCATCGGCCTCTCCCTAGATTCTCCCACTCTTTTGTCTGTTTGGCGGTATTGTTCACGTGGATCTGTTCAAGACGTTATTGCCAAAGGATCTCTTCAAATGGATTGGTTCTTCAAGTATTCTTTGATGCGTGACGTGGCCGAAGCCATCTATTACTTACATCATTCGCCGATTGGGCCACACGGCTGGCTCAGCTCTTCCACGTGTCTTGTGGACGAGAGATGGCAGGTCAAAGTCACTTTTTTTGGGTTGAGTGCTATCAAACAGTTCGAAGTAAAAGAGCAGAAAGATTTCCTGCACACGGCACCGGAGCACATAAGAGATATACATTTGCCAATCACTAAAGAAGCCGATATCTACAGTTTTGCGATTATTTGTTCAGAACTGATCACGAAGAAAAGCGCGTGGGACTTGGAAAATGAGACGTATGACATTGAGGAACTGGTTTATAAGATCAAGAAAGGAGGCAGGAATCCTCTTAGACCGTCTCTGGAAACTGAGGACGAACACAATGGGTCCATGTCTCTTTTAGTGAGAGATTGTTGGAATGAGAACCCGGATCAGCGGCCGACAAGTGAGCAAATCAAGACACTCATGAAGAGCATGAATCATAACCGATCGTCTAACCTAATGGATCATGTTTTCAACGTTTTGGAGCAATACGCTTCCAATCTGGAAGATGAAGTCCAGGCGAGAATGAAAGAGCTGACGGAGGAGAAGAAGAGAAGTGATGTGTTGCTGTACAGAATGCTTCCAAAGTCTATATCTCTCTTTCTATCATTTGTCTATGTATTTTTCCAGACAAGTAGCTGAAAAATTGAAGCTTGGTCAGTCGGTAGAGCCTGAAACATTTGATTGCGTCACCATATTCTTCTCTGACGTGGTATCCTTCACCACTCTCGCCTCGAGATGCACCCCTCTTCAAGTTGTCAACCTTCTGAACGATCTCTACACTACTTTCGACGCGATTATTGAACAACACGATGTGTACAAGGTAGAAACTTTCCAAAACAGTTAAAAGAACAAGAAAAGCTAACTAGAAGTAAATTTTCAGGTAGAAACAATTGGAGACGGATATCTTTGCGTGTCAGGTCTTCCGCACAGAAATGGAAACGAGCACGCGCGGGAGGTTTCTGAAATGTCTTTTTCGCTTTTGAAAGCAATCAAAACTTTCAAAATTCCACATTTGCCGAAAGAAAGGATAAATATTCGAGTTGGACTTCATACTGGTCCCGTAGTTACCGGAGTTGTCGGAATGACAATGCCCAGGTATTGTCTGTTCGGAGACTCGGTGAACACTGCCAGTCGAATGGAGAGCAATGGAAAGCGTGGGTTCAGAGTGCCCATAAATTGTTATTGTTCCTGTTTTCAGCGGGAAGAGTCCACATCAGTACGGAATGCATGAAGTTCTTGACGGAAGTGATCGGTGGATACCAGACAGAGCCAAGAGGAGAAGTGATTGTGAAGGGCAAAGGAGCGGTCACAACGTACTGGCTTCTCACCGAAGAGGAAATTGATGCCAAGAACAATGACCCAACTGCGTGATGAAGATAATGACTCATTGCGGAACTACTTATTTGGAAGAGGAAATAAAAGAAGCTAATAAACACAAATAACAAATGACCAAACACTTTTTTTGAGTAAGCATACAAAGACAAATGCGTTGAGCGGTTTTGTCAACGGCAAACGGATATTTTGTAATGATTGCAAAGCGTCCATTAGTTTTTTTTTTTCAATTTCCACGAATGGGTGTCATACATACATACATATATATATATATATATATATCAGCCCGCAAAATCTCGAAACAGGAATATCGTCTGGTCCTCTCCGCGGCGCACTTTTCTCATGCTTTTGTCTTTTATTAAATTTATGAGAAGCCTATACAATTTTTGTCTCGAATTTCGCCCATGACAACAAAGGTATGTACGAGTCAAAAATTTGAAGTTTTTTCCTGGTTTGAATATACAGAACGATACGTTTGTGACGCGAGTGTACACTTCGAGACCTGCAAACTATAGTTCTTCTACAATTTCGGCCGCCCGCTTCGAGATTCAGGATTCTGATGGTTCCGCGAACTTAGCAGTTTTAGACAAGAAAAATGGCATTGGAAACGGTTTTCGACAGTAGGTTTCTATTTTATTAGAATTAAAGGAAGAGAAGGAGATCATCACTTCCAAAAAACCAGTCTATGCATATATATATCTACAGATATATACAAATGTTATCGGATCAATGATATCTGTTATCAGTTTGCCGAATTGTCCTCTTCCTTTCCGACTTTTCTCTTTCTTCCCATATCTCATTATCTTTTTCAACAGAAAAGAAAACTCACATTTCCATCTCATCCACTCTCTAAAAAGTGTCTGGTGGCATTTCGAATGCTTCTCCTTTTTATCCTTCTCTGGTTTTGGTGCTGATTGTTGACACTGGAATGACTGGAGGGGAGGGGAGCGTCTATGCAAACAAACGTCTCTTCGGACACCCCCACCCCTCCGAATGTCCAGTTCTTCGGCCTCAAGCCCAATTGCCCAGTCCGGCCGATTTTCAAAGATCTTTCGTGTCAAAAAAGACCTCCTGAAGATCATACATATGGCTGTCTTTGTCCGGTTCACTTGTCATTTTGTAAAAAAAAAGTTAGACAACATCTGTTTCTTGTTCTGGTTTTACCAGTTATCGCACTTCTGTGTCTAAAAGAGACCAAGGTGCTGACTAGGGACTCAAAGATGTTGAAGCTGTTGATCTTACATCACTTTCTTATTCATTGTCCGGTTCAAGGTTCTAAACTGAGAAAGCTCTTCCTAAACTTCACATTTTTCTTTCTTTCTTGCCTCGTTCTTCGAATTTCAACGGATGATTTCCAGATTCGTGTGGACTCTCGGCTTGGCGGTGCTTGTCATGGCCGCACTTCTCTTGCTTCTCCTTTTATTCACCTCTCCGTTTGTCCACTCGGAATCTTTTGTGTGGCCGGCTCCATCGGATGCCATCGAACGAAAGTTTGAGAAGGCTGCTTTGACGTCGGACAATGCTGCGTGCTCTAAGATTGGAGGGTGAGTTGCAATTTTGTTGCGAAATGTTTCAAATGCGCTCATTTGTAGAGAAATTCTCCGAAAGCGTGGAAATGCTATCGAAGCCTCAATTGCTTCCATGTTCTGTTTGGGTGTAGTGAATCCGCAAAGTTCGGGAATTGGAGGAGGATTCTTGATGACCTTCTACGATCATGAAACGGGAAATTGCTACTCTATTGATGCCCGTGAGACGGCCCCAGCTGCATCTGATCGTGACATGTTCCTGAATGACAGCGACGGGTCTAAGTACGGATTTAAGGCGGCAGGTACCCCTGGAGAAATTGCCGGATATTGGCATGTGTTCAAAAAATACGGATCTGGAAAAGTGAGCTGGAAAGAGTTGGTGCAACCATCGGTGAAACTGGCCAAAGACGGACACCCGGTCTCCCCGTACTTGGCCACAGTGATGAAAGTGAAGGAACGACACTTCAGACTGTTCCCCAGTGTCAAGTAGGGCTAATTGTTATGCTTGCGTACATGTTTACTGGTTTCAGACACTGGATCAACCCGGAGACAAACGCCACGTATCAGGCTGGTGACATTCTGAAAAGGCCAAAATTGGCAAAAACTTTGGAGAGACTTGGAAACTCTCCCGATCCGGTTCAACTGTTCTATCACGGTGAAATGGCCAAAACTATAGCTAGAGAATTCCAGGAAGGAGGTTTGATTGAACCAGAAGCTTTAGAATTTCATGAAATACAACTTTAGGTGGACTTATCACTGAAAAAGATCTGGCGGACTACAAAGTGCGCGAGTATGCCAACTCAAACTCAAATGATCACTTCCGAGGAACGCTGACTATGTGCGGAGGACCTCCTCCGAGTTCTTTTGGAGTCACTCAACTAATTGTTTCTGTAATGAGCAGTAAGTTTCCATGTTTTTCGATACCATAGAACCGTTTGTTTTCTTTCAGAGTTGTTCCCAGAAGGTCATCACGACGACATCTATAACGATCCACTGGTTCTTCACAAGTACATAGAAGCCATGAAGTTCGCCTACGCTCAAAGAACCCTTCTAGGAGACCATGATTACGTGAAAGACGCTCTGGAACTTTCGAAAAATCTAACAACTCCTGAATACACCCAATGGGTCATTGATAGAATGACGGAAAAAGCTCAGCCATCAAAGAACTACGGTGGAATTGCACAATATCAGCCACCAGATCATGGAACTTCTCACGTTTCGGCTATGGATCAGTATGGAAATGGAGTATCAGTGACTACTACTATTAATAGATGGTCTTGAATTGTGTTTGCGTTTCAATAAGTAGTTATTTTGAAGGTTTGGAGCTTCCGTTGAGTCCACCGAATACGGCATTTTGTGGAACGATGAGATGGATGATTTCAGTACACCTGGCATGGAGAATGGGTAAATTCGAACTGTTTTTTGAGCTCGATAACATTGCTTTTCTAGATTTGGTTTTGCTCCCTCCGAAACCAACTTCATTGAGCCTGGAAAGCGACCGATGAGCAGCATGAGCCCAATGGTGATCTTCGACCAGGTCACCAAGAAAGTCAGAATGGTAATTGGAGGATCGGGAGGATCGAAAATCATCTCAGCACTTGCCAAAGTAATATTAGCCACTCGCAATTATTACATTATACCTTTTCAATTACTTTCCAGTCAATTGTCCGAAGTCTCATCTTCCACGATTCGATCAAAAAGGCGATTGATGCGCCAATGATTCACAACCAATTCACGCCCGACATTACGCAACTGGACGACGAATTTCCGGAGAATATGAAGATGATCCTGGAGACGGAATACCTGCAAAAGTTCAGAAATACCACCGGATTTGAAGGTATCATCCAGGGAGTCAACGTACTGGACAACGAAATTTACGCTTGTGGAGACTATCGGAGGAAGACCGATCAAGAACCTGCCGGATTTTAATTTTAAGGGTACTTTTTGACATTGACAGTATTTATTATGTTTTATTATTTTAATAAATTGATTGAGCATAAAGAAGTTGAAATTGAGACAAGGCATCACTGCAATCTTCTGTGATTTGCTCGCGTTTGTTGAAGTCAGAATTCAAAATTCTCCGATTCTGAAAATGACCAGGACATTTTGAAAAACATGCACGTCCCAAGAAACCGGTAGGATATCAATAATCTTTATTCAACCCGGAATAGAAAAGTACAACAGATGACTAAAATGTAAGCGACTCAACAAGGAATGGTAACCCGTGTATTCGTAAAGTTCTAATTTCAAATTTTCACAAAAACATGCCTAAAAGCGCGGCAAACATCACAAAGAAAAGTGTCGAAGTGGTCGTTGCCGAGTTGCATAAATCACCGCCACAACAGCAAATGTAGCCGAGGTTGGGGATGGTGTCGCATGTTTCGACGATCCGATACGTCTGGCAGATTGATGAGACGCCCGTGCCATCGCAGTACCGTACCTGAACTTGAACTATTATTACTGCGGCTTTTACTGGATTGTCCTTGAAATCATGGCTTCCCGTCGGGGGATAATTAGAGGAGGAGATGCGCGAATTCGTTTCTTTTTTCAAGGAACGTCTTCTAATTATCGGGTTGGGTGCTATAGTCCTTGAGGATTTCACAAAATTGGCTAGGGATTGGAATTGCATTGAATTGTCACTTCATTCGTCACTTTGAACGGATTATATTTCAACTATGTCATTTTGAAGCTCTGGGAATCTCAGGGATTTCATAAAAATGAGATAACAGAAATATGCCAGCAATCTCAACTTCTGAAACGAAGATAAACGAGAATTAGGGAGCAAAATTTCACTTCCATGCGCTCTCTGATTGAGAAATGGCTTATATAATTTTTTGGAACTCTCTAATATTGGGTTTCGAACTGTCTTTGAGTTGCAAACCGTCCTTGTTGCCGAATGGAGTTTAACGTTTGTTCCCCTTCCACCTGAGACTCTCCTGCATAATAATTCTCGCCCGCAAAACGCAACCTAGCGTACCTAATCCCTCCTCGAAGGGTGTTTTGTTGTCAAAACACAACACATACCGTATCCAAATTCATCGTTTGTTTGATACACGACATCGATGGGCAGTTGATGACTTGTAGTTGAGAACCGGAGTAGCATTCGATCGAATTGGCAATTGTGGGCAGCAAAATGAGAAGAAGTGAAAAGAAGGAGAGCGAGAAGTTCATTCTGAATTCAACTTGTTTGAGAAGGAGGAGGAAGGTTTAATTGGAGAATAGCGATGCAGGAGAATTAGGTCACCGACCTAGAAGGCTATATAATAACAGTTCAGCAAGAAAAAACAACCACGGAGTTGGGAAAGCAGCTTGAAAAGCAAATGTTAGAAAGCAAAAAGTTAAATTTGAGTACAAAGTGTCAGAGACAGCTGTTTCTTCTTTCTTTCCTTTTCAGTTGATTTTCTAAAGGACTAAGACTCCATGCACAAATATTTATGTTGTCGGAATCTCAAGAATTGAATCAAAATGCACGCTAGTCTACAACAAAATCTCAGACGTTTTGCTGAAAACACGCTCACACGAAAGTTTTCCCTAAAATGTGATTCCTTGACGTTTCTGCCGCACAAAAAGCGTCTTGTGTCCCGCCCATCTTTCCCTCTCTCGACGTCCAGAATACGTAAGTAGCCCCCTCCTAGAAGAAGGGGGCATAAAAGGAACTTTTGAAGGAGAGTTTCTCGTAGACGAAACAGGATCCAGCGTGGATGGAAAACACTTCAGAATTTTACGGGGCAGTCTATCTTCTTCCAAATTATTGGAATGTATAGAATAAGATGTAAAAGACATAAAAGTCAAGCTGGCAACTAGTAGAGTACTATATGATGTATTATTCAAAAGCGGAAACTTTTATGCGCTGGGCTTCCATTTTATTGAAATTTTTGAGAAAAAGTCCTCATCTAAACATAGAAATCGAATTGGAAAACGGAAAAAACAGGATTGAATTAGTTCAAAAGGCTCCGGGCTTCCGGTGATGCTCTTGATGTCAGGGAGAAGAAGCTCTCCGAGACACATTAGCAGATGAAATAGGGGTGGATTTATCCCCTTACACCCAACTGAATGAGCCGAAATAATTGACAGATGCTTATCTCGTTAGTGTTATGACACCTCGAGGAATAGAAATGGAATAGAGAAGCCGGAGGATGAAATAGGAACTGGGTAGTCTGTTTTGTTCTAGAGCTCGGTGATACCTCTATGGATATCTGATTTCTGAGGCCATTTTAAGAAAAACAGCGAAAAAATAGAATATTTTAAGAAGAGGCTTTTCTGAGTGTTTGAAGATTTAAAAAGAACCGGAACGGTTGCGCAGTGTCCTTTAGTTGTACATAAAATGACAGTTTGACAACTAAGCCGAACGTTGAGAAGAGAAAAACAAAACAGAGCGAGTTTTACTAGTTCAGTGAAGAAGTACTTGCCCGTGTGCTGACAACAACTCGGCCTTTTCTTGGAATTTGAAAAGGAAGCTCGCGCGCCTAACGGAAGCGCTAAAATTGGCGGACAATAGGATGACAGATTGGAGCAGCAGCAACGGACGGCAAAAGCAAGAGGGGAGGAGACGGACACCTCCTTTTTCGATGACAGACTGAGTACACAACTACAGATGGTCGGATGCGCGAGTACAATGGAATTCACGCAGTTAGAGATGAGAAGGAGGAAAAGGAAACAGAGATCTTTTGTTATTCGGTCGGGAAAGTGAAAGAGCTTGCCTCTTTCAGAACAAGTGTAAAAGTTTGGATCAGATGAAACTAAAGGTCTCGACTTTCATAAATAACCAGGTAGTGGTAAAGAAGAACGGGGAGAAGGGTAGAAACGCTCCTCACCCTGCTACCATCCCCTCTCTCTCTTGGCCGACAATTAATCCGCCCATGTACCGGAAACTACACACAGTGTTCACCCGTGTGCGCCCTTTTCAAAGACAAGGTCCTTTGCGCATTGAGTGTTGTGTTTGTATCGTGTAATTTGAGAAGACTCTCTTCTAATTTTGACCTTCCAAGGTGTTCCGGACCAATGTTTTGGTTTGGTTTCTTTTCTTGTCGAGACCCGGGGACAATTAGCCGCCTAATCCTATAAGTCATAAGCCAAATGGAAATGGGAGAAACGGGAGGAAAACCAATTGAGGCGGCGATATTGGCCAGGTGCATGACACGAATTTGGAGCACTTACATGGAGAAAAGAGAATGAGTACATTTCTGACCTGATTTCACCGGGTTTCGAATGAAATACACAGAATGAAAAGCGATTGGGGAAGAGGTATTTATGATTTACTGGGATGGAGAGGTAGCAGTCATCTGTGGAGGGGCAGCATAACCAGTTTGTTGGCTTTGACAGGTACGCCGATTATTATTATTATTATGAGACAAAGTTTTTCATCACAAAAAGTATAGAATTAGAGAGACAAAATCGGATTTATCGGATTCGGACCGTTATCCATTGCGAGTAGCTAATAAAGTACTAATAAACCGGTGTGAGTCAGGTGGTTTTGAGTGAATTAATGAACAATGAAACTTTGAGAAGCATTGCCATACCGAATTAAAAACTGGCTGTTTCAGATAATTTGCCAAGTTTGGAAAAATATCAAAAGATAGGTCAACAAAATTTGCGCATCCGGTTATCAGTGTGTTTGTCAATCAATTAGGTGCGAATAGGAATATGCAAATATCATTGAGGATGAGCTCTTTCTCCGGCAAATCGAATCGAATCAAAACAAAGCAAACGATTTGGCACATTTTTTCGTTTTTCCTGGCACTATGAAGAAAATGCTCCTAGTCGTTCTCCTCTTTCTTTTTGCCATTTCAAAAGCTGAATGGAATAACTGTAAGTTTTCAAAGAAGTTCACAAAAACACTAAAAACTCAGGGAACTGGGGCAACCAACCACCACCAGCTCCTAATAACAATGTGGCAATCGGGTACCCAACTGCGTATGGTCTTTATGCTGGACGAGGATGGGGGAATCACAATTATGGTGGGGGCGGAGGAGGTCCGGTAAGTCTCTTTTTCGGGTTGCAACTCTAGAATCCATTTTCAGCCAAATGCCGGATCCGGATTCGGAAGTCCGCTACGATGTTTGAATGGAGGTGCTCACATCGGACAGTGCAGGCTGGATAAGGACTCAATTTGCATTGCTCTGGGAGGAACTTGCACTCACGGCGCCTGCTGTACAACTCCATTTGTCAGTATTATGGGATCCACTACGACCGAGTCTCCAGATGTGATCGATGGAGAGACTACCAAACGGAAAGGCAAGAGCAAGGTGAAATTTGTGACGACTACCACTACTGTCGAGCCGAAGACAACATCAACGGAAGAAGAAGAAGACTCGGTAGGCACATAAAATTGAGAAACACAGAAAAAAGATTGATTCCAGATGAATTCAAGGGAGTTGGAAGAGTGGAATAAATTGATCGAACGAGCCAAAACTACAACCACAGTCGATACAATTTCTGTTGAATTGGTTACTGTAACTCCATACGTAGAAGAAAGTGCGGACAGGGTCAGCGAATTTTGTAAAATTCATTATCTTTACCTTCGAAAGTTTCAGAAGTGCTCTTCGGGTCTTCGCTCCGTGGGCCCTTGCTCTGAAGACGCTGACTGTCCAACGCTTCATCAGTGCGAGGGAGAACAGTGCTGCTATCTAATGCTCTAACTTAACACAAAATATATTTATTGTCCCATTTGGAAATAAATCATTAATCAAATTCCCATTTGAACAGGGTACGCTTGTTTCGGCGGTCTCTTCTTTCCATCGGCACTTGAAGTTGTGACAAAGATTGGCTCCAGAACCACCTTCTCCTTCTGCGGCTGCATCGAAATAACTGGTAGTTTCTCAGGCTCTGCGATCTAAAATTAGAAAAAAAACAAAATATTTTCTCAAAGTTTGTTTTCCCTACCCGAATCTGTTGAGTCACTCCTTGAGCAGTTGGCGCCGCTAGCATACTCATCTGAATTTTTCGTTGGAATCGACGATATTTACACCTGTCAAGCACAATGTTTAATTAAATTTTTTCGGGATACGGTAGTTTTCTCTTACCCACACATGATCGTGTCACGATAGGAAGGAAGAATGATGAAGGTGAAAATGAGGACGGTGGGGCCGAAAAAGAAGTTCCAGACACGGGTGGCCATCTCGTTTTGGAGGATTGCATAGTCATTCGTCATGTCGAGGAAGAAAGCCAGAGAGACGAAGCAGTCTAGGAAAATAAAGATAAACGTTTTGAGTATATTCTAAAGTAAACTTACAAAAGCACGGATAGACTGAGAGGGGAGCACAGATCGAGTAGAGCATCGACCATCCCAGCCGGCTTCTAGCGTCATAAATAACCGGATCCAACATGTCCATGGCGAGCTTCTTCTTGGAGCAACACGCAAACGTCATACAACTCATTCCGATGAAAACGAACATGAAGACGAGAGCAATGATGATGAGAGCAAGGATGGCGACAAGGGAAGGGGCTGCGTAGGTGGGCTTGTAGAACATGTTGAAGATGGCCGAAAGTGGGAATGAAAGCACGAGGATCAGAACGTATGGGATCCAGGTACAAAGTCCGTAGCTCTGTCTCCGACAAGTTCCCATTTTCATCGCCATGAACAGCAAGAAAGGAAGGCCCTGAACCAACGTCATCTGAGCAGTTGTGACCGAAGTCGCATAAGCCATATCAATTAGCCACGACTTTTCAATGTCTTTTGGGAACAGCATGTCCCATACGAAAGTGGCAATCTTCATAACGGTGGAAATGGTGAGTGGAACGGCCACAGAAGACATGAACGCTTCGGTGAAGTCTCGTTGAATCCAGATGTTGCAGAACCAGAGAGCGCCAAGAAGGAGCACTTCGACGAGATGGAAGAAGCATCCGAAGACGGAGCGATAAAGAACACTTTCTAGGTAATAGAAAAGCGGATAATCGCATTCGATAGTGACGAGACGGCCACGGGACACATTGTAGCAGAAGGAGGCATTGTAGGAAGTGCCTGGATTCAGAATACCGTCAAGCATGTCGTCTATGAAATGAATTTCATGACTGCTCAAGAATGGGTGAGCTCTTTTTGACGTGTCACAAGACTTCTTGTATCCATAGAAACAAGATAAAAATAAGAGAATAACAGAGATTCACCTGTTTTTTCCAGGTGATTTTCTATCGTAACCCAACCTAATCAAGGATCTAGGCTATCAAGCCGTGGCTTACTGACCAAAAGTTGGGAAACATTTTTTTAAAAAGTAACTGACCAAAAGAGAATGTTGTCGCCGTGATATTTTCTCTTTCTTTTTAAAGGTGTATAATTGAATTCACTCACAGCATCACGTGGAATGAATAGAGCATGTTTTGGCAATCATTTTGATATTATAACTTGCCAAGTTTTGTCGATTCGTCAGTGAACTACACTCACTGAAGTACTATTGACAGTGCATAAACGTTTGCAGCCGTGTCAGGGCGGCCGTGATATGTACCTCACAGCAGCAAGTGAGCTGGATAGAGCAATCCAAAAGGATAATTTTCATTCCATAACTTGCCCACTTTTCACTATTTTTCGCTTAGCTGGACTTGCTGACTTTACATCAAATCGTTCACATTTTAGTACGAAAAGTAGCAAGTCTAGCACCGTAGCCATGACATATACATGCCCAGCAACAAATGCGCTGTGTAGAACAATCCTAGAGGATCATTTTGATACCCTTACTTGAATGATTTCATCTATTCTCCGCTGAGCTAGACTTCCTGACTTAGGCTGAACCTAATCATGTGCCACTTATTATACATGTGATGCAGATCTGTGACGATGCACACAAATGTCTGATTGTATTTCATATTATGAAAATTTTTCGTAGTGCATAAAGAAACAGTTTATTCATCAGGTACGGATGTCATGTATTTACATGGAAACCCGTTGCTAAAAGTAGGCAGAGTAAACAAAAATATATAACCGACATAAAGAGCAGTACATTAGTAAAGGTTAGATTGATTAACTTAAGAACGTTAGTAAGTTAAAAGTACTAAAGTTTCTCACTGAATCTGGATAAGGTTGAGGAGTACATGGTAGGGGTACCAACGCGGCTCATCGGCTTCTTAGGACTTCTGAATGAGCCCAACGGGATCTTCGATCTTTGGAACGAGCTGGGTTTTGAGAACTGCAAAGGACTTCCGAAATCTGGCACCGTGCCAAAATCAAGAGAAGCCAGGGATGATTGACTTCCGAAAGAGCGAAGATCCAGGTTGGAGATTGCTTGCTTCACTTGCAGTTTCTTCATGACCAAGTCATTGGAAGACGGCATTCTTTGAATAGGAATGTTGACGACTGGACGTGGCGCACTCACTGTTCGCACTTTTTCTTTCAATCTGAAACATTTTTTCTAATATTCCAGTTCATGAAATGCTTTCTCACTTTGCCAAATAAATACTCTTCTCCTTGCAAATGACAAAATCGGTTCGGACTATTCCCTCCTCGGCCATCTCGATTTCATCCTCCAGCTCTTCAAACTCGGCGAGCTCCTCTTTTTCTTTGATGGCGTAGGCCACATGATCAAGTTTCAGCTCGTTCTCCAATTCCTCTTCGGCTTTTGACACCCTATCTTCAATGTTTTCAAGATGGGAAATTTCGAAAAAGCTCGGGGAATGATCACAGACGAGTGGGCTTCTGAAATAAAAAGAAATATAATTCGGGGGACGTTTTTCAACTGCATTGAAACTATAACTAGTCATAGAAAAGCTATTCACTCACCTTGGTCGACTCGCTTTCGTGTTCAAATCTTCACTGGAACTTCTGCTCACATATCCAATATCAGTGTCTGATGAGTCGTTCGTCTCTTTGCTGTACTTTCCGTGCTTGAACTGAACCAGTGCCTCGTACAGGGAACCATCAGACCGTCTCTTCTTTTCTTTTTTGCCATTAGAAACATCTTGAACAACTTGGAGCAATCCTCGAGCCATCTGGATCACGTTGATGAACTCTCCATAGTTGAAAAGCGAGATTGGGGTGGAGTTGAAGCGATCACAGATCTCCACAAGCCCCTCGTAGACTTGATTCTCGGTGTTCAAGGGAATTTTGATTTCTTGCAAGTCACTGATGTACTTCAATCCGATCAAGATCTCATCTGCATCGATGGAAGTCGTCATCCAACGGTCTCTGAGAAGCGCGATGGTCGTCTTCCAGCTATTCATCTCAGAGTTTGTGGCTCCCATTGTTCTGGTCATCGGATCAAAGTTCAGCCACAGGTAATTGACACCGACCACATTCGATACATCGTTTCGGGTGCAGAGACAGAGCGAGTACATTGAAATGTGATCTCCAGATATCACTGACATTCGGGTTAGAGAAAGGATGAACGTGGCAATTATCTGACAATGAGAAGCCGCCAGCAGAGATGAATTGTTCACAAATACACTGAGCGCCGTGATTTTGATGTCATTGGCGCACATTTGATTGTTGCCGGTTATTGCCCACGCAGTCAACTTGATACTTCTCGCGTGTTCCACGTCACAACTCATATTGATCCATTTGGAATCTACGTCAATCTGCTGCACATGCTCGTACTTTCCCTTGAGAGTTGTACTCCGCTTGCAGAACACAGAGAAGCGTTCCAAGTTGAAGAGATCGAGTTTGGAGTGAATGTTGGTGGAATTGATGGTGACTGTAGTATCGTGCTCCCCTTGGATGTGTCCAGAAGCTGTCAAAGAGTCGCAGTTGAGGCTCACATTCCGACAGCTCTCCATTTCGACGTTGTAGATGCTCAGCTCCGCACATTCGATGCACACCTTCTCCGCGTGTCTGATCTTCTCATTCTGCAGGGAGATGCTCTCTCGGGCGAAGAGCTCCACAAACTTGAAGTTTCCCAATTGACCCTTCACAACCATTTTAGTTGCCTCGCAGGCAATTTCGCTTTTTGGTGACGATCCAAGCACATTTCCGCTGAGTCTCACTACTCCTTCTCTCGATTTGATGAACAATTTCTTCTCAAGGAAAATCGTCCCCTCGATGTTCAAATCTTCCGTCACAATTGTCGTCGTGTCTTCTCCTTCACAAGATTCCAGTCTCAGAATGTTTTCGTTGAAGACGTCAAAGGAATGGCACTGTAGTTCATCCACTCTGACCACTGCGTACATTTCGAATGAGACGCTGGCACTTGGAAGCATCATGTACACCGACTCCAAATTTCCGGAACCGACTATTGTGACCTGAAATAAATAAGTTTCAGAATCAAAACAAGCCAATTTGATTCAAACTCACTGATTTCACACTTCCCGCAAACCGGAGCCGGTTGCAGTTCACATTTCCGTCGAAAAGCACTTGAACATGTTCACTTTTAGAAGTGACCAATATCGTGTTAGCCAGAATACTTGCATTTTGATAGACCGCAAATGTCGCAGGAAGTTTTGGATCACTATCAACGCCCAATAATACTTCCAGTCGATCCACTTGCATCTGACAATCCACTGCGACACTCTTCTGAGCCGCGCATCCGACTGACAGCTCTTTAGACTCATCAACGACGTCACTGGAGATCAGAAGATCTGTCTTTGCTGAGAAAACAAGGCGCTTATCCACAGACAAGTTCTGCACGTTTCTGATTGCCACATTGAGCCGGTTTGCGCATAGATCCACGTTTTTCTTAGCCTTGATAGATCCTCCAAGCTTTGTCCATTCCTTGGAGACTGCCAGAAGCTTCATCGAGTTCTTCGACTCAATAAGTCCGTCGTCGTTGTTGAAGTTTCTGAGTTTGATGTCCATCGACTCAACCGCGTAGATTCTGTTCGTGTTCTCCAGCATTCCATCTCCAACGATTTCCAGAAAGTCACACGCCAAGATTCCGTTGTTAAGGAGAAGTTCTCCAATGTGAATGAAGAGACTCTTCACATGATTCTGCTTGTTGTCCACGTTTGAAAGCCTTCCCTCATGGACAAATACAGGCGCCAGAATGTTCACTTCTTGTCCACTGAATCTGATTTGTCCTCGGTGATAGAAGGTGGTGGCGCAGATGACTGCTTCACACTTGATTCGCTTTTCGTTGTTCTCTGCGGCCATTGACAGCACGACGCTTTCTTTCTCGGTGTACAGACCTCCACAGTTGAGGAGCACGTTGAACTCATCCGTTTTGTAGGATTCTATACCGTTCAAGCTGAAATTAAGACAAAAATAGGGTTGATTGTTTAGCATAATTTCTTACCGTACGACAGCATTTTCAGCAATGTGAACTGAAGCGAATGGTGCCAAAATTGCAGCAGCAGTCAAGTTGCACGCAACTATGAGCCCGGCCAACACTGGCTCCCTGATATTCTCCTCGAAAACGGACAGATTTCCATTAACGGTCAACGATCCAGCAACAATATCAGCCTGCCCTTTGAGAGTTACCATTGACTGTCCAACATACGGCAGAGATATTTGCATTTCGTTGCATCGAATGAGACCGTCGAAAATGCACGATTTCAGACTTTTCAGAATGATTTCACTGGAGACCAATTTGCCACCGAAGAATTCTTGGCACTCTTCATGAATTACAATCTCCATTGAGTACTTCACAAAAATCGTTCCGTCCTCAGACTGTTCGATCGATCCTGTGATCATCTTCAGGTTCTTCTCCACTTGCCAGAGGGAATCGTTGCGGAAGCATCCTGTGATGACGTCAGCGCTACTCAGAACCATCACTTTTCCAGTGCAAGTTGTGATTAATTCGTTTCTCACATACACGGAAAGATCGCCGACTGCAATGGATCCTCCCATTGTACAGAATCCCTTGCAGGTTAGTCGCACGACATGAGCTTCGAGCCTTGAAGAACCGAAGAAATGGGCAGAGTCCTGGAGTATCAGATCCATTTTATCGGTGACGTGACAGAAACCACTGAAATGAAGTCCAAGAGCAGAGATATCTGCAGACTCTTCGATGAACAGTTTTGCATTTGGCTGAACAGTGAGCATTCCAAGGACATGAGCCCATCCTGAGGTCAGTTGCCACGTGCCGTCCACCTCACAAGCACCTCTGCATTCCAGTTCCAGATTCTCTGATTCCATGTAGGAGCCCTCTTTAAAGACGATGTTGCCAATTGTTTCGATGACAAGACTCTCTCCAGCACACCACATTCCTTCGCAGTCAAACCTGAAAACTTTGAAATTTACTAACTTCTCCCTATAATTTTACTTACTTGACACAAGCGATTCTTCCGAAAAGCTCACACGACAGAATTGCTTCATTCGTAGTGAAGACGTTTGCATCGGTGTGCAGAATCATAGTCCGGGTCTTGGTTTGTCCGTGGAAGTAGACGTGCTGCTTGCACTCCAATTCCACCCAAGTGCTGTTCCAAATGGAATCCTTTTCACAAATTGTGATTCCGCTCACTTTCAACTTCAGATTCTTTGCACTGAACTGCGCGACATCTTCGCAATTCCTAGCGATCACGGCAGCGATGGAACTGGCCTGGATGCTTCCTCTTCTCCACTCGTGAGCCACAAACAGTGCATTGATGAGGGTGATTCTTTCTCTAACCGAATTCAGGTTTGACTTCTCCCTCGCCTCCTTGTATTCGGTAATTGCTGACTGCTTCAAGGTGACCTTCTTGCTTTTCGTCGTTCGTCCAACGGTGTCATTTAGATCGATTCCCTTCTCAATCATGTTCGCCACGGTTCCAGTGTTCTGATTTTGAATTGCCGAGTGCATGGAGCTGCTGGACGGAGCACATGAATGCGGAGATCCTTCGCCAACTTTTCTGAGCTTCTTCAATGCATTGTAGCCTCTTCCAGCACTGTCCAAGGATCCGTCTGATAAGCTCATCTGATTCCCTTGAACTAACAAATCAATCCTTTCCTTTGCAATGATCTTTCCGTAGTTTGCAAGATCTCCAGCTATTGAGAGCTTCAAGTTTTCGGCCACTATCTGCTTCTTCCTCTCTCTCTCCTTTGATGCACCGATGCTTCCATCCACTCCAATGTGTACCAGATTACAAGAAAGCTCCACGGACATTGGCTCCTGGCTTTCTTCCACCGGAAATATCCGTCCATCGTTTTGCAGCTTCCTGCATATCGCTTTAAAGACGTCTGTGCTCAGAAGAGCTTCTGTTGAGATCACAATGTTTTGCGAGTGGACGCTCAGAGATCCTGTGCATGTGATCTTAGCGTAGACGTGCATAGTACCTGCAAAAAGTGATTGATGAGTTGGTTCGACGGTGCTACGGCACTCTCAATGACATTAAATGAGTGAAAATACTTACCAACCGTACTCTCGAATGTCAAATTGTGCCCTTTTAGTATTCCAGACACTTCCAAATTTGATCCGGCTATTGTTAACTGAAAATACAAACGTTTTACGTTACATTTCCAATTTTCCTTGGGAGAAATAGCAACAAATACTTACATCTGGTATCTTTGTGTTCACTTCTCTCACTGTCGTTTTAATTTCTTTCTCATGTACGAGATTTGATGCGAAAACCGCAAATTCTGGCTTCTTTTCGTGCTGAAATTGGAAAAATTAAGCGGGACAAACTGATAGAAACACTTACAATATGTTGCATTACAATTTTATACTGCTGCTGCATCCTCTGCAGTTTTACCGTGAATCCGTTGCCCACATCTTGTGTGACTGGCTGATAATTGACTGAAGTGTCCAGAGGAACGTAGATCTGTAAGTTTTTCATGAGTTTTGAACAGGAACAAGTACAAAAAAACAAAACCGTAGGCTTAATAAAACTCACCTGTACATTTGACGTGGCAGCATTCAGTGTAATCGCAGGACGGTTTCCTCTGTCGATTCGTATGGTCAATCGTTCATTACTTGACATTGTCATCTGCAAAAAGAAAACGACATGGAAGACTGGGAATTCAATAGTGAATAGACAAAAGCGTGTGAAGCGGCATGCTTCGCAGGTATTAAATGGAGTGGAAAACCTTTGATGTTCCCGCCCGAAGAGATCATAAAATAAATTTTGTCGCCGCCGCGCCACGTCATAAAAAACCAGATTGGTATTAGGTTAATAGCTGGAGCGCTTATTTATGTTCTCATTTATCTGACAGCTCTATAGTTGAGTAAATAAATTGAAAGCAAATGATTGAGGCCTTCGAAAAGTGTTCACTTGAATCACATTACAAAATAAAAACGGTCAGGAGAAGATAAAGATCGACGGGCGATAGAATTAATTTATCCGAAACGTACTACGCAAAAACTTGACGATGACGATAATTTTTTGCGATCGTCGGAAAAGGCAAGGAGACTTATCGGGTCGGAAAAATACGGTAAAAGAGCATATGTTAACCTACTCTAAGTCCACTTAATCCGTCGGGGCCACCACAAACAGAGATTCTTCTTCTTGTGGGCAAACAAAGACAAAAGACGAAGAACTTGTACTTGTACTACAATAGCTACTGGAGGGTTTCAAAGACTATGTTTATCTTGTAAAAGGTGGCGCCGACGCCAAGAAAAAAACCGCGAGATTTGAATCGCAAAAGACGCGCGAAGTAGTGTTATCTGGCGCGATTTTTTGAAAAATGCAAAAGAGAGTGACCTCGCCCGCTGAGCGATGAGGGCAGGTGTGAGGGAGTGAGTAACAAAACGGACGGGGCACTTTCGTGAACGTATATTATATATCACGAAAATGATAAATCGGCGCAACGAATTGTTTGAGGAGCAAGCACATCAGGTGTCACACACAAAACGATCGTTATAATAATGATGGTGGTCGACGGAAAATATTGGTGGAGGAATGAATGCAAAAGAGCTCTGAAGACATCATGTCATTGGGAGAGCAACGCGTTGTAATGCAAAAAAGATGAAATGAAGTGAGGGAGGCTTCTTGCGGGTGATATGATGATACGAATTGGTGTCATGGATTGATTGGAAGGAAAAGCACGTGTTATGAGCAAGTGTACACAACGGTTTTGATCGTATTAGTCCAGATCGGACCTTTATACTCGCCTTCTTGGCCAGAAACTATTCTAAATTCGGTTGGAGGTCGTTGCGTTTCCGATAGGTGATTAAATTGAGATACATGAAGATAAAATGCAGAAAAATGAGGCGATGACAGATAGCCCTATCAGAAAAGATAGGTTAATGGATTATCGGGTGGTGTGAAAAGTTATTGTAGTATTCGAGAAATTGCAAAAAGGGAAGAAAATAGATGAGAGTGGGATATGAAGACGGGCGGTATTGGGCAAAAGGAAGCAGAAAAGAGGAAGGGGACAAACCGGAGATGCATTTGAAGCTAATTAATTACACCCAGAAGAGAATAAAAGAAGTACTTATTGGTCAGAAATGAACGCATGACAAGCAAGAATTCCGGTTCAAAAAACTTCTAAACTCTTTGTAACAAAAAGTGACCAGTGAAGAAGATACACATCGAGCGGAGACAAAGTTTGTATGGGAATGGAGCAAAAGAAACAACAAAAGTGGGAAGCAGAAGAATTGGCAAAGAATTGGAAGGAAATCGAGTTGGAAAACTGAAGAAACCGAGGAGACGGAGGGGATGGGAGCATCTGGCTAATCGAATTGAGATAGCCGATGGCACCGGCCGGGAGGGGGCAGTGAAATATGAGGTGACCATATGCCTTTTGTTTTGAGAGGCACCCAGAAGAAAGAGTCATAATATGGATGATGACACATTGTGTAACAGTTAGAAAGGCTTTGGAGTAAAGGAAAAAGTTGGCGTTGAAGCCTTCATAAGAAACGAGAAGACGCTGAATACATAGATTACGGCTATTCTGCCACGTCGATCCGGAATACACATAGTCCAACAAAAAATGGTCTTTAGCCTACATATCCCTCATAAAACGTTCCTCCTCCTCAAGCGGTGTCGCCCACCTCCTACTGATTGATGGTATTTACGAACGAATCGAGCGGAGAGGAAGGAAAGGAAGCGCGTGCCGCTGGTGATCTGTGGAAAAGGGGGGAGACACTTCTTATGCAAATTCCATTCCTCTCGTATATTGTTTTGTCACGGTACCACACTTCGAAGGAAGAGGAGGAAATGAGGAAAAGAAGAGATAAAAAGAAACGAGTGAGAGTGAATGAGGTACACAGTTCCCAGTGAGTAGAGGGAGATGGAACCAGTTGGCAGAGGAGAATGCACTTTGTCATCAGACCAAGCGTTTGAAAGTTTAAAATGGAACGAAGGAAACAAATGACAACTATCCATAGCTAACGGACTGTTGATTTAAATTAAAATCGAATCAACTTGAAGGAAACCCTTTTTTTTTGGGGAAAAGTTGAATTGAAGTACATAACATAGAAAGCGGTTCAAATGAAAATGAAAACGATGACGGCTGGCAGCGATTACATAACATAATAAAAAGGTTTCGTCTATCCGCTTGAATTGCCTCCAAGTCAAGCAATTCAATCGAATATAATCATTGCGCCTTCATCGTCTCACTATTCAAATACAAAAGATTCTAGATATTATACGTTCACAATGTACGTATTTACCGTAATATCGCAAATCGGAAAAAGGTGCATTGTGTTGAGTCGTTGCGTCGACATTTCTCTGAAAATTTTCTTTAAAAAAATAAGAAAGAAAAAAGAACATTGCAAAAGGAGGAATTGAAAGAATCTGTGTGGCAAAAGAGACCACCAGAGGAACGAGGGAAAAATTCGACTTTGAAGCGAAAAAAAAGAGAGAAAAAAGGAAAACAAACTTTCGGGGAGTCATAAATAGTGAACGAGCGGGTGGTGTTCTATGGGTCAGTTGAGTAGGGGATCAGTTTTTGACAAATTGGAGAGGTTAAATTGGGTTCAGGAATTTCAGGAAAAAAATCATAAAGCTAAGAAATAAAGCTAACGTTAGTCGAAGTGACGCTAACCATAGCTTTGTTTCTTTTCTTTGTGGTTAACGTTACTTTGAAGTAACGTTAGCTTTATTTCTTTGCTATCTTTGCTATCATCTAGCAAAGAAACAACAATACTAAAATTGGCGGAAACGGAGAAGGCAAGGACGCAAACTTTTAAATTTCCGAAGAACCGGGTGGAATTGGATCATTCTGATAACGATATGGGTGGGGGAGCCGACAAAAACCTATTACGTCAATTGAATGAGGTTCGATAGGGAGAGTACAGACATTCCTTCAACCATACGGTAGTAGAACATTTCTAAAATTAGTAGTGATGAGACTATATAGTTGAAATTTTAAAAAGCGGTTCACTATTGTTCAATGCCAACTCAAATAGAATAGGAAGAAATGGAATTAACACAATGACCTGCAGCGAAAAAATTTGGAGGAAAAGATAACAATTTGCAGGAAAAGCGTATTATCAATCACATTGCGGAAGCTACTCTTGGTTTTCCATTTTTGCCCCTTCTCATTTATTTCATAACACAAGACACATTTTCTGAAGTGTTCGGAGCATCCACCTTGGGTAAGCAAAAATAAAAAAGTGATGAGCACAAAAGAAGAGCCGACAAACAGAAAAAAGATAACCATTGATTAAAAAGTAAAGAGATGGGAAAAGTGTCGATGGTTAAAACTTGGAAAAAATTGTTTCATACTTTTGAGATTCGGCTCACTTGTCAGGTATAGTTTTTGAAAATTTAGAGCACAAACCGCTGAGGACGTGACTGAGAATGTTTCATAGTACTGACTATACCCAAGAGGGAACTCTAAAGAGAGAAAGGAGGAAGATGTTCGGAAACAGTGCGATGAAAAAAGAACTAATGATGAAGTGAGTGACATTGATCTCATTCTGATCCTTTCCTCCAGCATATCAGACCGGTTTTCCACTGCATTCATCAGAAGTGTGTAGCCATCTTTTCAGAAGATGCTGATGGCGTTCACCGAATGGAAGAAGATATGTAGAAAATGCGAAGCGTGTGGTTCCGAGACACTTCGTGTGTTATGTTTTGACAGGCATTTTTTGAATCGGAGATGAGGGATAGGGTGATGAAAGAGATGAAGATGAAATATCAAGGTTTACAAACAGAATGTCCTTCTCCTGCTGCGACCAACTGAGTGTTCCTCTTTACAACACACCCATTTGTTATCAGTCTCGGGAGAAAGACAGAGCGTGAGAGAAAGGCGGTGGTTGTTTGAAGGGTCTGAACTTGAACATGTACTCCGGCTCACAATTTGGACTTTGAACTTACTATGCTTCCCTACCATTCAAATATTTTTAAATTCAAGTTTGATAGTCGTAATCACAGCTCAATTTTTGTTGAACTGGCACGTAAAGTGCTTCGGCTTTGGTTCAATCTAAGGCACTTCTAGATTCGATTTGCTATGGATATACCCTGTATCAAACGTTCTCCTTTGGCTTAAGACGTATTCTTCTTTGTTTACAATCATTTTTGATGGGTTAAACGTGTATTGCATGTTATGCGTACCGTACCAGTTCAGCGAATGACCTACAACTGGAACACCACTTTTTCAATAGAAAAGTGAAGTGTTACAAGTTATTCATAATACCAGCGACGTGAATTCAAGCCTCTAGTCCCTTTTTTCATTGGTAGTTTTATTGTGTTCCAGCGCCCGTGTTCACAAGCCAGCCAGCCAACCAACTACTAATTCATCAGCTAAATTGACTCCCACTTTTTTATTTTATTTCTTAGCTTCGCTTTCTTTTTTGCTTTTAAGTCCACACCCCTTTCCAAACCACTTTTTCTTATTTTCATCCGGTGTCCGTTTTCTGATCAGACGTCGAAATGTCCAATTTTTTTGCCGTACTCGTTCTCTTCTCTATCGTTCTGATCTTCTCTGCTGAGAGTCAACGAGTTTTTGATGTGATGGATGAGTACAAGTAAGTTCATAAGCGCATGTTCCTAGTCGTTAGAATACATCAACTTCTTTTACACGTTCCAGAGTTCCATCCAGTGGCCCGTCGTCCTTCTACCAACGGAAAGCCTATCTGCAGCCGTTCTACACTTCTCCTGCTAAACTATTTTGGAGCAGACACGATTGAAATTGTAGAATAAAACTTTATTTCTGTTTTTCTTGTTGTCAAACCACAAATATCTCAATGTTATGAGCATCAGTCGTAGAAGTTGCACTTCGGGAAGAAGTTAGGTTAGTCAGGAGGCGACCACTGAAACATTTGGAATATTTACCAAACTTTTTAGACGTGTTTAAAAAATTCAATTAAAAAAATTAAAGAAAACGATTCACCTGGATATGTATTGCATTTTAATTCGAGTGAGACGATCTTCTGGGCGGGGTGAGGAATGAAATATAGTTGGACAGAAGAATTCACTGAAACCAGTCGCATCGCCAAATGTTTCATTTTTTCCATCTCAAAGTTACCGTAATGCCCATAAATTGAAGCAGAGCCATGAGACAAGACACGTTATGCCGAAGATTATATACAAAGTTTCACGATAGTCGTTGAGCTGGGATAAAATTGTGCCAGAGTTCTGAAATAGGCGTATGCAACACATTTCCTTTCCAGATGAGAACAATGTCTATGTACAAGGATGAGGGCTCAAGAAAAGAAGTCTATGATACCAGGATGTGTGATCATTTATTAATAGGTGGTCTGACAGGCGACGAAAACGGGGAAAAGTGGGAGAGAGCGTGAAAGATGAGCGCAAAAATTCCTTTATTTTGGGCGCAACGAGAAAAGCTGTCTTGAAATGAGTATAAAAACGCAGGAAGCGGGAAAAAAACAATGGAAGGAAAGGTAGTCTAGTCAGTGGGACGGCATCCTAGTTCTCGGTCCAAATTGGGTTACAACCAGTTTAGAGCCGGCATTTTTCTCAAGACACAAAAATTGGAAGCTCCCGCCAAAAGATGTACGAAAGGAGATTTAAAACCGCCCGAGGGGGCTGATGGAATCCTAGGTGAGTTCCAGAAAACAACAATTTCTTTTTTTCAAATCGAACAATTTTAGAGACTAAATGTTGTGGAAACGTGGGTGACTTCACACCGAGGCGAGACCAAACAGCAAATAAATTCCAGAGCTTCTTCTTCTTCCTCTTACTCGTTGTCTTAACTCTAGCAATAAATGAAGAAGGGGAAGAGCACATCCCCCCCTATCCACCAAAAGCCGTCTCGGCAGGAAGTAATCTCTTCTGAGCTGCCAAGCCGCTCAGATTTATGAGTTTTTGCGACGACCAACAGGTGAGAAGAGTGATGATGTTGATTAGAAAAGAGAGGAGTAGACGCTCCCTTATTTGTTGGAGACTAGAGGAAAGGTGGAGTACGTAAAACTTATAGAGATCCCACTGACAAGTGTGAGTGAAAGTAGGTCAAACTGGATGAACTTGAGAGAAAAGTAAAACAGACCAAAAGTAAGGCAATTGCTGTTAACTGAAAAAAGAAATGGAAATGAGCAATGACAGTTTATAAGTTCAGTTTTTATGAAAAATTCAAAGCCCGTAACAACGTGACACATTAGAATTCTTGTTCATTTCCTAGACGAGACTATCCCTGGCACAAAGTGGATCATCGTCCTCATACTGCGGAGAGATTGAGGTAGAAAACGACTGATCCTTAAGCTGAGAGATGTGCCGATAATATGCGATCGAGAGCAGGCACCACCACATCTCGCAACCGCCTGAAAATTTCAATTTCAAAGTTTTTGGGCCGAGACGGGCTACCTGCCACTGCCATCATGGAGCTGAGCACGATACTTGACGGCAAAAGCATTTTTCCGCCAATTCCGAGAGTCATAAGCACTGCAAGATGGGTGTGTTTTTAAGTGGGTGAAAGAAGCGAAAAATGAGGCGAACCGATAATCGCAGCGACGGAAACGATGATGAATGTGAACTGCCAGAAGACGTGAGGCACGACGAGCACCGGCATTTGACACCGGGAGCCAACGTAGAGGAGGGCAGCCGATATTAGACACGTTACGCACACTGAAAATTAGAATTTGGCAGTTATTTGAAAGTGATTGAACTTACAAGAAACGTGCAGTGAGAAGAAAAAGAAGCCGCCGCCGTCGAAAAAGCCAAGAAAATAAAAGTAGGTACCGTTCATTGTGAGCAAGTCAGGGGACTGGATGAGAAGAATTAGTGCGAAAAATACCTGGAAAAAATATTTGTTCCATAAGTCAGCCTGTAAACTTCTTAACATTGCGACTAATGAATCAAAATTATAGAATTTTGGTCATAGCAATAAAAAAAGTGACATTTGAGTGGAACTAATAGAAAGCATATGAATGAAAAACGAACCTCGATGCATAATATGAGATGAACAGAGTGAGATATGCTCAAAAGTCCGCACAGGCACATTTCCTGAAAGTCACACATGAGAAATGTTTCACTTTTTGTATTGCATTGGACACTAGACAGACGCTCTGCGGGGGGAACACAATGTGAATAGGTGTCTGAAATCCGAGAGCTTGTCCTATGCATTCCTTTTCAGAGAAGGGCTCCCAAAAAGTGCAATCAGGTAAACAATTTCAAAGACGTGTGAGAAACTGATTCGAAACGAGTAAAAGAGAAGCCCAACAGAAAAGCAGAGGGAGGAAATGGAAATGGAAGAACCGGAAGTAGGAAGAATGGAAACAATGTGTGGGGCACAGGAGGAGAAGTGCACGATGCTGACGAGGAAAAAGGAAAACAAACGATTTGGGAGGTTCGAGGTTTAGGGTTCAAAATGCTCAAATCTGGACGAAAGTGGCACTTTTGGAAAATCGAATTAAAAAGGTCTGAAGATTCTTTTCTGAAAATTCATACTGATTCAATTCCGAGTGGGATTAAAGTTCTTGAGAAAACAGGATCATAAAATATGTAATCGAAAAAGCCTCTTGGTTTTTATGGCGAACCTGTGCATCGAGAAGAAGTAATTTGCTCCGAAATCGGGTAATTGTCCTCCGCGTGATCGAATAGCTGCGCTCGTCGCCTCGTCTGTGAACGGGTGGTTGTTTCTGTAAAAAAAAATGGGCAACTTTGAAAGAGCATTTTTCAAATGATAAGGTTACCCTTGTTTTAATTCGTGTTCTAGGATTAGGTGAATACGTAACATTTGACCGTATCGGAAACATTATTGCGAGAGCTCAGAGAAATAGCGCAATTTCTGAGAATGGGGTGGTGGGGGGAGGACTTCTCTTCTTATTCACACAGATTTTTTTAGTTATAAGAGGAGAGAGAAAATAGGCGAGAGAGAAAGGCATAATTAATTGGACGAGAAGCGGTGAGGTGGCAATTTAAAGAAGAAGCTCAAAGAGCGACGCTGAAAACAAGGGACAACGTCCATTACATAACTGAAGAAGGCTGAGAAAGTGGGGCAACTCACGAACTATTTTTAAAGAGTAGAACTAAAGAGAGAGAGAGAGAGAGAGAGAGAGTTAGTCAGCAATTACTTATCACGAGGAAAAACGCAGTTTTCACGAAATATCCTAGCCTAAAAAATAGACCGGAAGAAAAGAGAAGTGTGGTGTTCAAGTATTCAGGAAAGGGGATATGTTAGACGCCAGAAATTATACATACAAACCGCAAACGCCTATAGAAATTTTATTGTTCCTTCGGCTTTTGAGCTTTTCCCCTAAGCGGTGTCGCTGCCAGATAATTATGGAATAAAGTGACACAATGCCATTATTTTCCGACTCCAAATGAGACCATTTTGAAAAAAAAGGAAGAGAGAGGGAGTTCTTTAGAATAAGCTCTTTTCGCTAATTGCTGATTGACATAAAACGTTCTTTGCGCAGAAAATAGAAGAAGCCTGGGTTGAAAAAGCACAGTTTATGCAAATTTCAAATACGGAACACATTGCGATTCGGATGTTTTTGTCACTTTTTTGTGCAAGAAAAGTTCCTGCTTGTTCGAACAGCAGCAAAAAACACGGGCTCACCTTGTTGAAAGCAATCCTACGAGCCGGTGTCAGGGCAGCTGGCTCCGAGTGTCTTTGTTGTGGTTTGGTGGCCAGAAGACCGCGTAGTTCACTCCGACTCATCCTGGAAAAAAGGATTCATTCTCAATTCTTTCGAACTTTTGAGTTTTGACACCTTTTCGACAAATCTGCAGAAAGTTACGAAAAAAAGGAGGCGTGAATGGTGAATTAGATTGTGTATGAAGTGTACGAAATTCTATGAACAGAAGCGGGAGCTTTACAAGCATAGGATTCGTCAAACTATAGTTTTTCCTATTTTGAGCTATAGCTCAAAATAGGAAACTTTGGCAAACGAATACTAAAGAAATATTAGTTGGCTAAACACGTGTAAAAAAGCTGGAAAGAGACAAAAACAGGATAAACGGTGACAAGTGAGCAGGCACGAACCAAAAGGAGGTCAAAAGTTGGTAAAACCTGCACTCTATGAGTATTTTGGCACAATCTCTGATTCTTGTGGAAGACTGTGGGAAAGAAGCGGATTGTTGCCTGGTGATGTCGCCCTTGGGCACACACACACTCATGAATAGAGGGGCTCTAAGCGGATTTGAATAGAAAAAGATGAAAATTTGAATGGAAAAAGGAAGGAGAAGGAGACTTTGAATTGGAATTGGGGAAAAAAGGAGAGCGGAGCACTCAAAACATCTTCTTGAGCTTTGATCCGTTTATAGAAGAAAACGAACGAGAATGTCCTAGAAAAGGAGCCATAAACTGAGAAAATGATGATGATGATGGTTATGTGGAGAAAGAAGAAATGAGTGGGATAATGAATGAGCAAATAGGAAGCACATGAGAAGTGGAGGAAAGTGTATTCTATTTTTATGCGTCGTTTGATACCAGGAAGTTGACATTTACACCTGCTTTGGAAGTTTTCTGCAAAAAAGTTCTGGGTCAAACTTCAAATGGAGAATGGATAAAGCGAACATTCGGGACATTTTTGGCAAATGAAATACGTTCTGAAAAGCAGACTTGCAATGGGCCGGGCCGGGCCGGGCTTTAAACAAAATTCTTAAAGGCCCGTTCAGCCAGAGATGTTATTTAAAATTTTTGAAAAAAAAAGCATTTTCACTTAGTAAAATTAGAAAAAAGCCAGGGAAAACAAGTAAACCTCTTTATCACTCGAAAACGTCTCCTCGCGCTTCTTTCATCGAAAATTCCGGAAAAATCGTGGAAAATTCGTCTGCTGAAAAGATTGAATTGTGGTGTTATTACTCAATTCCCTTAACGGCGTCCGTCACTAGCTGCTTTTAAAGAATCTAGAAGAAGACGTGTGTTTGTTTCCGCTTTTTCAGAGGAAGAGTCAACTAGAAAAAGTGGAATTGTCAAAAATCTGGAAATGTGTCATAAACTTTCAAATACTTTTTTCTCTTTTTTCTCATGAAAACGTTCAGATTAATTGAATCAGAAGAACCTCTAAACACCCTTCATCACGCCCTCGAGATTTGAAAGGTTCCTGAAAAATTTTCGCTGGAGTTTGCAGATCCATATTTACCAACGTTTGTTATTGTATTGTCACAAGACAGTTGAAACATCATTTGCCCCATCTCAGTTTTCCGCGCGACATTTGTCTTCAAATTGGCTGTAATAATCTCTCTTTTCCCCTTACGGCTCAGACGGCGGGGAAAAACGAGAAGACAACAAAAATACAGTGCGAGTGCGGCGCACGCGCGCAGAGGAGTAATGCCGGCATCTCCTCCTCACCCTTTCGCTTCCTTCCACCACATTCTGGGGCAAAACAGTACAATATAGACATGCTTTTTGGCTGCCCCGCGCCTCCTGCCTATGCGCGCACGCTCTGATATCAGTCAGTTACAGACGACGACGGCGACGCGCACAAACACGTACTCTCGCCCCCTTTTCGATTTCCACACCCTCTTTCGCGCAGCATCAAAACTTTTACTTTTATTGTTTCAACTTTTGTCCTCCTCTTCTTCTTCTTCTTTGTATTTATCTATAAACATGTGTTCGTTTGCCATCGCGTCCCAAACTTGTTTCAGCTTCCAGCATAATGGTCCTTTTTGGTTTAATACTTGAGCAGCTTCTTTGCTTTGACCCCATCAACAGGTTTCATTCGTATTACGGTAATTCGGATTACGAGAAAGTTTCGCGAAAATGTGGTCCCACAAAAGCTGTACCACCTCCCCCTTTCTTCCAATCGCGCACCAAAAGTCTTTCTCCTCCCTGTTTCTTGCCGATATTGTTTATGATTCTCCGTCTCTGATTCACTTCCCTTCCCATCGCCTGGAAATGCCTCTCCTCGTTTTGCGCTCTGCCGTTGCCGTTGTCGTTTTTTGTCCGTTTGAAATGCGCAGAGACCATACATATTGCCTCCTCTCGCTTTTTTTCACCCCCCTCTTCCCATTTTTGTGTTGTTGTATGTGTTTTTTGTTGTAACTATACTATACAGGTTCCTATCATTTTCTCCCTTTGTGTGTTGTTTCACTCTCCTCCTGGTGGTGTCCACTTTTGCTGATGACCCCTGTCCCACTAGCTGTCTCATTTGTGGTTGTGTTATTCCTAAGCGTTTTCCTTACCCTGCCTCCCAGACATCTGTCCCTAGCTAAATCTAGCTCTAGTACTCGCACCACTTCTGCTAGACCACTGGAATATTTTCCTTTTGCCCGCAGAGCCCCCCCTCCTTTGTTTTTGTTCGCTGGGCTCCCGTTGGCTCATTCCCGGCTCCCGCCGCAAGTTGTCTTCTCTCCGGCCCCTCTCCGTTTCGCGCAACTGCGCAACTGCGAAAGTGTAAAATTCGGGCTTTTCCTCACGGGAAACGATGAGGAGGATTTCGCTCCCGGAGCTCTGAATTTTCACTTTGCCTCGCTCTTACCACCACCAGGGCCACAGCTTTCGTTTTTATCTACAGACTACTGTGATTTGATTCGAATAGTTTTTTTTGTGATAGCACAATCCATAAAATCAGTGCTTCAGTAGCCAGATTCAAGTCTGATCGATCTATACTTTGTCGACACCTTCTCTGAACTCAGCCACGTTGTAGCTGATCCAACACCGCAACTTTCCTTTCGAAAAGTGCACCAGACTCATACTCTGTTGAACATTATTGGAGCATGGGGGGCCTAAAAGCCAAAAGTTTGTATATATCGACTCTTCTTCCCGCACACAAATATTGAAATCGACTACCACCACCCCACTTTCTCTCTGCCGATCCATGTGCGCAGCCCATGCTTTTGTGTCCGTCGAAAGTGAATCCCGGGACTTTATGAACAGTTGCTCCTCCATCTCTTTTTCTCCCCCCTTTCCTTGTCATCTGGTGCCCGGGCGCGTTTCTGCCTGCCTCTTCTTCCCGCGAGAGTCTGGGCAATAATAGATTGAATGTGCGCGCGCGACGCTCTCGCGCGGTTGTGAGCGCCTCGTCGCCGTTGTAATATTATTTTCAGTTTCAGCAGACGCGGAGAGGGACAAAATGAAGAAGAGGGGAAAAGAGGAGAGAGTTCCCGGGACATGCGCGCGGCGCGCGCTTTTCCCGCAATCAATTCCACCGGGAGCGAGGGGAACCGTATAGACCTTATGAAATATTCCTCTCTCCCTTCTCGCCATCTAGTTAGAAATTGGCCGTCATCGAGATCGATTCTAAGCCCGGCTCATGTTTTTGTCAGTTCGTCCTAGCTCAAATCAGTCTCGACCTGACCAATGCTAAACATTTTCGGTTCAGATCTGTGATGGAAGAACCATATATGCTCTAATGCTCCTATTTTTTTTTCTTACACCGCGCTATGCAGCGTACATCCGATTCTCCTCTACCTATAAACATGCATTACGTAATCCTCATTTCTGCGCAGTTGCCTAGGTGCACTCGTGCTTTATCACAACGGGAGCAAGACGTTTTTTCACACTCTTTAAAGATGTCGATCAACTTTCGTTAGCACAGCTACGGACTATCTCGAACGGAGTCTCAGTACCAAGTCCCATGAACATGAATAAATATGATTGTTCCTTCACCTCTCTTCTTTTCGCATATAGACATTTTTGTGAAAACAAGAGCGCGGGGACTCTCTCTCTCGTGGAATCGATTATATTGCTGCGCTGCGCCGCGCAAGCACAGAACTGTCGTCATCATTTTATCAATGTTTTATAGTTGTTGAGGTGCGCGGGGCGCCCTCAACCATCACTATACATATGCATTCTTATCTTTCTCAAAAAAAGAACAGAACTGTATTTGACTTGCGCTCTCCCTTCTCTCCCTCTCTATCTCTTTTTTCCGCTCATTTTTTGCGCACATCACCTCGTCGCCTCCACGCTGATAAGCCATTTTTAAGGTACGGAGTCGTCTAACTTCAGCAGCCATGTCATCAGATGTTCGCAAGGATGCCACGCCATACGGAAGAACTCTCAAGGTATTCAGTCTTTCTAGCTTCGTTCGAGTAAACCCACTTCCAGCAGTACTCTGTCGACGAGAAACTGGCGATCATCTCACACGCCAAGGATCATGGGAATAGGGCCGCCGGTCGAGAGTTCAACGTGGCAGAGAGCAGCATTCGAGAGTGGCGCAAAAATGAATTGAAACTTCGGTGAGCTTGAATAAGAATCTGCAATATCCGACCTACTGATTACAGTAACAGCAAGAACAACATCGGATTGTCGGCAGGCAACAATAATAATCATAGCAAAATCGTCAATCTTCCGCAACAAATTTTGGTTAACGAGAACACTAATGCGATCTTGAGAGTGAGTTTTGGTGCTTAGGGAATAAATTACTGCTCTTGAGTTTGAGCTTTTATTCTAAGCCATACCAATTTAAGGATTAACCACAAGTTTTTGAATTTTGAATCCGGAAGCTCTATATCAAAAGCGATCCGAACAACAGATTAGATGGTCTCGACTTGCTTTTTAAAGCCTCTAGGGAAAATTATTTACGAATCAAAGATCAAAACATACTCACAGCCATTGGAAACTTTTAAAACTTACATAATTTCTCGTAATTCCAGGCTCACATGACTCAATACGCCTCCATGATCGATATCGAAAGTTTAAATCGAGCAGCTAAACTTATTGACATTCAAAGAACCCTGAGCCAGATGCAACCAGAGTCTGCTCCGAGCTCCGTCGGAACTCCCAGTTCCAGTTCATCCGCTTCCACTCCGCCTCCACCTTCCGTGTCCCCAACTCCAACTCCACCAGCTTCAGCTTCAGGCGCCGGACGTCGAAAGCCAAAGTGTCCTCAGAAGATTGAGCAGTCTTCAGCGAAATCGGAAAATGTGGTGGAGTAAATGCTCTCTTTTTCTCTCTTGCTGTAAATATCTACCTGGTCAATCCTTAAGTGTCTTGAAGACCCCTTTAATTTCACCGGTGTTCCCCGTCCTAGTGATTTCTTGTTCTCCACCCATGAAAGTAGTGTGCCGTAATGTGGATTTTCTGATTCTTCTTCTTCTTGTTCTTCTTCGCCTGTCCTTTTTCCTCGTTGGGTCCTCACTAGTTGCCTTCTCCTTGTGCCTTATTTCCCCTCTTCATTCAACTGTCTTCTATAAATTCTTGTGCAATAAAGTGTGTATGTGTTTGTATGCCTAAGGCTCTCTCTCTTTTTTTCGATCTACATATACTTTATTTTCTTCATTTCTTTTTTACTTAAAAAGGACGACGATTGGTGAAAGAAGCATGAGAAGAAAAAAGGAAAAGGGAAAAGGGATAGGTGAATGGATGGGGAAAAGGGAGAGAGAGAGGGAAAGGAATAAATATTGGCACCATATAGAGAGAAGGTTAGGAGAAAAAAGAGAGCGAAGAGAGACGACAAACTAGAAGAGATGGTGGTCCAAAAGCGGGAAGAATCGGAGCATATCGACGGGGATTACTGGGATGGCGGAATGGCTCCGGAGGCATCGCCAGGCTGGCCAGACGCCGCTTGAGCTGCAGCAACGGCAGCGTTCTAGAAAAAGCACAACTATTATAGGTTTCTGTAGTGTAAAACCAACCGGGTCCGACTCGTGGCTAGCTCCCGGAATAATCTTTCCGATGGCTTGTTGCGCCTGCGTGGCGTAACCCTTAGTGGCGTCAGCCGCCGTCGATAGGACGTCCTTGGTTCTGTCGAAGATGGAAGAGAGAGCGTTCTTCTAAAAATTGGGATAGTTAAGTGATGTCATAGTTCGGATTTAAGCTATTCTGGATATAATCTATGCTCTTGGTCGGCTCGAATTACGAAACGTGTTCTGAACTATTCGAATCGAAATTATTCATGAAAAACTTATAGCGCAGAATACAGCCTTCTGTTGATGTGTTGAGCTCCACGTAGCACAAAATTTACTTACGTTAGTAATGCAATTAGGGTTTGACGGTGTCTTTCAAGCACGCATTCTCAAGAGTTCAACTCACAAGACACTTTTTTCAAAACGCACCGTTTAGTGTTTTCAATAAATCGTCTTGCATACCCCCTATGTAGCTCACAGGAATCAGCTTAGTTTAGCTAGTCTATCTACGACCTCACTTTAGAGCGTCAATACAGTGCATACTTCCTAAAAACTTCTCAACTGTGCTCACATCGTGTAACTTATATTATTATTAGCTTGTCTAGCCTGTCATACCCCTCATTATCTGTGCTCTGAAACAAGTCAAACTCACAGCAGCGTCAGCCATAGTTTTAGTAGTTCAGGAGGCGAATCGGAAGAAGAGAAGGGAAAAGTAAAATGCGTGTGTGTGTATGGGCTCTGTGTGCTCACATGAAGCTCTTCTGGTGGGCGGAGCTTTGCGCGGCGGGGAGAAGAAGAAGCCGTCGGCGACGGAGCAGGGCAAGGCAGGACGCCATCGATTTTGTTTTGCTGCTTGCACATTGCGTTTTTTTTCCTTCGAGTTGCCTATGTATATGCATGTGCTCTTTTCCTTTCAGTTTTCGTATGCTCCCTCGCGGTCCTTCCCCCCTCGTCACTCTAATTCTTCTGCGCCATTTTGAATATGCTTGACAGGCAGGCAAGGGAAGGGGGACTAGAAGCAGAGGCTCTGCGGCTCCGCGAGCACACGGCGCCACGCTCTGGGGATAATGACATTAAGCGATGCGCGCGTGCCAGACTCGCCGAGCCACATTCTATACATATAGATGCGCTCGCTCTCTTCATCGTTTCGTATATGTTTTTTGGGGGGGAAAGGCAAAGAAGAAGCAGAAGGAGGAGAGACTCTTTAATTATATGCCTCCTCTGGCCCCGAATGGCTCTCCATCTAGGCTCTCTCTAGCTTTTTGAGCAATTTGTCAAAAGACTGCGTTGATGTGTAATTGGTATCCCCCAACCAAAAAAAGGCGAAGGGGGATATGGATGGATGGATGAGAAAAGGAAATTGTCCGTGAAAGGGGATATATTGAGGAAGGAGAATCGAGTGAGGAGGGAGAGAAAGTCATGGAAGAGCAAATGGGGTCAGGATTGCTGTAGTTGAAAATGAAAAGATAACGTGGCGAAGACCTAGAGTTTTTGAGATTAAATTTCAGAAATCCGAGGACTTAGAGAAAAGTTTGCTCGAAAAGGTGCTACAGGTTTTGACAGATTCACATTTTTCAGTGATCAATGATAGCATCTTTAAAGTTTGAGTTTTCAGAATGAAGTCAGTGAACGCGCGCGCTCTAAATGTTTTTGCAGAATCAGCGAAGACGTCTCACGATTCTCAGCACTTTAAAGATAATTTTTCATGTCTAGCACATCATTTTTCTAGTCGGCAGTTTTGTCATTTCAATATCAACTCACGCGGTCATAAAAGTTATCTCTCCTAAAAAATTTTTTTTTGATTTTAGTCGATCCGTTCTTCGCTCTCATGTTTCAATTCTACGTTTAATTTGTAGTAGTCTAATTTGAACTTCTTTTCGGTGTTTTCTAATTCTTAAAATGTCTGCAATACTAATCATCACAACAATCAGACTGTTTTGCCACGCCATAACCCATTTTCACCCCATAAACGACATCGTTCCTTTCCCGAAAAACAACTTTTCTCTTGTTTTCTTTCATTTTTCTCTCCGTTTTTCTTCTCTCCGTTTAGTTGCGAGTTTATTTTGCCCCTGGGGCCTTGCATAAGCTGCTCCCTCGTTCTTCTTCTTCTTCTTCTCACTTTTCCACTTTCACTTCCCCAGCTTTTCGCCGATTAAATCCCCGGCCATCCGTCAATTTTCTCTCGCCTCTCCTTCCCATTATGACGTGTACTTCAGAAGAGTGCGGAAGCCCATCAAAAACGTTTTGCTCTCCGCGGCTCTCGGCGCTTTCACTTTTCAACTGACAGACTGAATTTATTGAAAAAAAGGGGAAATGTGGGTGGAGAAAAAGAGGAGTAGAATGAAAAGAGCGTATAAACGTAGAAAATAGATTGGGGAAAAATGAGACGGAATATTGTGGGCTTAGAAAATTTTTTCGCTGATTAGACAATTGCTATCACTAGGCAGAGACAGAAACAGGATAGGGCGGATGGCGAGGAGCGGAAAAGAAAAGGACAACACAAGAACAACACACACGTTTTGTACTACGAGTATATCTAGGTGGAAGGACGTTTCGCAACCATAGTGGCGGAATACATAGGGACACTTTGCAACCACGGCGACACTATTCGAATAGCTGATGATGGTTGCGAAATGTTGGGGAAAACTGAGAAACATAGGAGGGAAGTGGAATTATATAATGATGAGGGAGCACAATTTTTCTGGATTCAGTGTGACATTAAAATATTAGGAGAGCATCGGAAATTGAGAATATTCGGCGGATTGTTGCTGCTGATGTTGTTGCTGACGTGGCTGCCAGTACGGTTCGTGTTGGAATGGCTGGTATTGGTTTGTGTACATGTTGTAATCCACGTCACAATTTTCTTGGTGCATTCGTTTCGCTGGAGGACTGCCAGTCTGAAAAATGAAAATGGTTAAGAATGTTACAACTAATGTGTGTACTCACATCAACTTGAACAGGCATGGCAGCAGGCACCATAGGTGCGGCGGGTGTGAAATCTGGCAGGTCATACAGGGCCTGGAACTCTGCCGTAATTCCGTCGTCCATTTGCAGCATGTCGCAAGAGTCAACAAACGGTGCCAAACACGACAAATCCGGCTCTTCCCATTGAAGATCGTCTGCAAATGAGTATTGTTCAGTAGTTGCCAGGACTTTCAAGCTTACCACAAAGAATAGGCTCGCAGCCGGCTAATGTTGGTGTGCCGGACGTCTCGTTGATGGCAGCGAGAGGATCGGCAAAAGACATAGCGGAGAACACATCGGTGGTTTGGATGAGTCCAGCGGACGGCACATCGAGAGAATCTGATGACGGAACGGCGGAAAAGCGTCGTGACGAATCGGACGAATTGCTGCTGCTGACCATAGATCGAGAGTCTCCGTACACGAGCTGTCCAGATTTGACACTGCAAATACTATTATTGCAATCTCCTTCCAGAATACGAAAGTGACACAACTCACCTTGGGGGACTGTTAAGGGCGCATTGAGAAATTCCTTCTGTAAGTGGGGAGTAGTTGTGTTGTTGGGCGGAAGAAGCAGTTGTGCGGCTGCCGGAGCTCTGAGCGCGTCGCCCATACGAAAGCATCGAGGAGGAAGTGGTTTTTGAGCGGGAGGCACGAGCTGCTGAATCCACGAAGCGCGTCGAGGCCAGAGTGGGCTCGAGATGTGACGGCGTTCCAGTGGCGGCTGGCCGGTAGCGCTCTGCGGACCGGTAGCGAGCCGGTGGCGGGCTGCTCGGCTGGTCGCGAAAAAGCCATTGCAGAACGTCATCGTAGCTGCTCTTACGGGCCCCTGAAATGATTAAATAAAGAACTCGGGGTTCGGACGGATAATTAGGAGATCTAGATGCCAACAGGAGGAGGAGAAAACGAAAGCCACACGCAAGACACTAAGAGAAAAACCGAGAGAACTCACGGGGCAGAGGACAACGGAGGGGAAGAATTCGGCTTGTTCGACTTAAATTTTTTTCAAATTCACCTCTCCAAAGTCCTCTTCCCCAAGTTCCATTTTTTCGATGGGATCCAGCTCCACGTCGAACTCTGGCGCAAGACCAGAGTCCTCGATGGATTCCGTGTCCGACTCCGCGTCGCTATCATCCTCCTCCATGGACTCCGTTGACACTTGTCCGTATACTCGTTGCTCATACTCGTCAGTCACCGAGTAGACACCTAACTCGTTTATGTTTACAACACAATATCACATTCTCTCATGACAGTTTCGTAGAAAAAAAAAGAAAGATTGGAAGCTTACCCATATCTGATCTCTGCTCGATCCTTTGCGGTGTGCATCCGTATGGATCCTCGTTCTCGATCAGTGGTGTGAAATCAACGCACTCCACAATTTCAGGTTGACGACCAATGTAGTCTAAAAATTTCAAGATTGTTCCGAACTTCTCGAGCTCTTTCCAACCTCTTGTATCATCAATCTCCTTCTTAATATCCACCTGCATTCCAGCCGGCATCGAGTCAGTGCACACCACCAAAGATTCGTCGGCTCCCTGGATTCCTAGGACGAAGTGGGTGCACATCACATACTTGCCCTTCTGTCCCTTTGTCGTGTGGTTGATTGTGCAGCATTCGGACAGAACCCATGCTAAATTATTGTTGGAGGCGCACAGTCTGTAGTAGGGTGTTCGGGTGTGTCCCTTGGAGAAAAGCTCGCTCATCGACTCGATCAAGATTTGCATATCGGCCGGATGCACCAAGTCGTAGAAGCTAGTTCCAACGAAAGATTTCACATCGCTTTTTATCAATTGGTTCAGCTGATCGGAGACGAATGTTATCCGCATGTCGCAAGTGTGGCGGGTAGTGAAAGCTCCTTGTGGGCATTCGGCATACTGAAAAACAACATCTAATAGTAAGGCGTCTATACTTTTTCTCAATCAACCCGAGTCTGTGAGCTCGGGCCCCTGAGCTCGCTGAGCTAGGATCTACCCATGCGTTTTAGATCCCTTAACCACAGAACGAGCCCTTTCCGTTTTCCGCTTCTCCTCTATTTGAGCAAAAAAGGGAGCCGAAGAAGATGACGCCAAGTTGCATGTGCCTCGTCTTCTTCTTTTTCTACTTCCCCTCCTACTAATCTCCCCTTTCTCTCGCTCATTTCTATTCACGAGGTGCCAGGAGCAGAAGCTGAGTGTACTTTGCTTCCGCTAGCGCGCACTCTGAAGGCGAAAAAATCAAATGATCAGATTTGTCCGTCTTCTTCTTCTCGAAAGTGACAAAATGTGTAACGTCTACGCTAACGAACCTTTGCCATGGCTGAAACGTTGGAGCTATGAGTTCCCTGTCCTGCAGGGATGGTGATTCCTTGCATGAAGAGTACATGTCCTCCAGTCGACACTTTCGAATGCACCAAGAACGACACCGGCTGAAAGTTTGAAGTGATATTTGATGTGTTTTAACTAGATTGTAGCGGGTAATTCAAAAATAGAAGACGTCAAATCGGTTTCGAAATTGCTTTGCTTTTGTGGTATCTTCACAAACCTTGTACAACGCGCTCTTCAAGTTCAGGCACCGCCCACGCGGGCTTATCACCGTCTTCATGCGGAACACCATGTCGGTTCCAGTGGCGTCATACTCAGTGCCAGGCGGCTTATGCAGAATCTTTGTCTGCTTATCGAACTCATCATAATCGCTCGGATGCAGAAAGTCTTTCAACGCTCGGCCGGTCAAATCCGTCTGAAAACCGGTTTTGTTGTGATGAATTGAACAGTGATCTATCTCTTTTTTCTTTTCAATTTTTTTTAGTTCATCCTACAGTATTTTCCAAAACAATGCAATGCATCATCTCAAATTGTCCACGTGAATTACACAAATGTTTACCTGTGTCAATCCGAGATAGAGGGCTACACTTTCAGTGACATAGAGGATCGACGAGTCACTGTCGACGATCATGACAAAGCCGTCAAGACATTCAGCGATAGTCTCTTCGGTCCACACCTGATTCGCAACCTCTCCACCCAGTTCGTTTTCCAACACTACAAAAAGTGATGGATTCCTTCCTTCTCGTCCCTTCATCTGCGTTGTCACTTACCATTACCGGCCGTTTTTCTCAAACGACAAATCGTCGCGGCAACCCGAAGAAGTGCTATCCGATCGAGATGGGTTACTGTACCCTCTTCGACGATTGGAACGCATTCGCGAAGTTCGGTGAAGATGTCCGCTTCCTTTCCGCGCCGGTCGCGTGCCGCGTAACGCGATGTCTCACGACGCCGCTCCATGTTTCTGGAAAAAGACGAGAGGAGGATGAGATAGCTGGATTCATTTGATATTCGATTCGGATATGCGCATTTCCGATTCTTCTCTCCGTTTAACATGAGACTTTGACTACGGTAACCGACTAGCGCATTTTTCAACAACCACTAAGAGTGCCGCGCGAGCTGAGGTCATTTGAGAGAAATTGGATGACACTTCGCAACAACAGTATTATGGTGTGTTGTTTCGAACTTTGTACATTTTGCAACCAGAGGACGTTTCGCAATCAATCAAATCGAGACATTGTCAGTGATCATAGTGATGTGATGAAAAGTGAAATGATATGAAAACATCAAAAATTCTGAGAGAGGGGTGGAGTTTTATACGAGTGTCCCACTATACCAAACAGATGATGTAATTGTTCCTAGACGCTATTCAACCAGTTCTTTGTAGCAAAACGTCGTTGACTGTTTCAAACTGTCCTCACCTTTTTCGATTATCTTCCATGGTGCACGAGCTTTCGTTGAGCTTTAGAAGCCTCGCTTTCAGTGTATGGGGTAATTCCCCGTGATGGCGGGGGTTTCCTCTGAAAAATATCATATGCTGGGTGAGCAGAGAAGCATGGACAAGAAAACAAAAAGGACAAAAGAGTGGAAAACAAAAGGGTCAATGTTTTTGAGCAGCAGTTCTGCGAAAGGGTCTCTGGTTGACTGGAGACACGGTAATCTAATCACATCATCTTTTTTTTTCTAGAAGAGTGAAATGAAAAGGGCAAAATCAGGTGGAAATGGCACACAAATCAATCAAGCAGAAACAGAAGCGGCAGTTGGTCAGAGAGGAGAAGAAGAAGCCCGAAGGGTTTGTAACAATGTTTCTGCGATGTGACAAGAAAGAGTCAGGGCAAGGAAATTGAGTTGGAAGAGCGGGGGTAAGAAATTACCGAATTCTTTGAAGCGCCACTTGATTAGACGCATGGTCATGTGATAAGAAAGGCAGAGATTAAAGACGTATTTACTTACTGGAAAACGATGAATGGGGAGAGGGGACTGGGATGTGTGGAGTTTGTATGGACTTTGAAAGATTTTACGTAAGAGTTCTGATGTCAAGATCAAAAGTTTTAGGCACAATTTAACACTCATCCGCAATCCAGTACACTTTATCCCTAATCCATGCCCCCGTGTCCACTTCAAAGAACAAGTTTAGGGCAAAGTTCATGCCCAAACAACGATGGACGGTTTCAAGAACGGAGGTGAGTTGAGAAGTGATTAAAACGAAGCGAAACTAATCAATCGATTGTATTATCAACACAGATTGTCATCGTCTTTAGATGGCGGAAAGAATAGATGTGATAAGGGGGTTGTGTGCGACGACGAAACGAAACGACGACGGGCCGCGCGCGCCTTTGCCTTCCTCGAATGAAACAACCTTATCAATGATGAAAATGGGCAAAAAAGCAGCAGGCAGGATTGATAAGATTTATTTCATAAGTTAACCTGTTCAGGGTTAAAGTACGAAAGATACAGTCTTTAGGAATCAAAAAACCAAGTTGGTAGAACGAAGTTGGTGGTCCGCCCACTTTTGAGGTCACGTGCGTTAATGGGGTCTTTGCGGGAGAAAATTCGGGGACTGAAAATCAGCCAGTTAGCGGTAAACTCCTCCAGGGCAGATAATTTTAATAATATCTGCAAGCTACATAGCCCATTCTCAAATTAAAACCAAAATTCTACTCCAACTCATCTAAACAACTTCACTACCTCTTAAGGAAATTTGAATAGAAGAATACGGTAGCGAGCACTAAAAAACGTCATTGGTCTTGCTACTTATACCCTTTGGGGTGTGGAAAATAATGAGAGAGGAATATAATTAAATGGCAGTGGTCACCCTTCAAATACCCCCCTTGGCTCTTCAGAAAAGGGGGGAGGGACACAAACTTCTTGCTCTAAGGCTCTGGCGCTTTGGCGCTGAAAATGATTGGTTGAGAGAAGAGTAGAGAGAAAAAGAGAAAGAGAGAAGGGAAGGGGAGCATGTTGCCAGAGGGGTGGACTAGATAGAAACATTGGGGAAGAGGCAGTCGGTGGCAGGAGAGAGCGTTCGTATTCTGGAGAGTGTCCGACGACTTTGGAGCTGAAATAGTGTGCGACCAGAAGAGAACCGCTGTCGATGTTCACTGCGTCTCTGGCACTTGTGTGCTCTTTTGTCGGCCCGGCCCGAGGGGAGAGGGACGTCACGCGGCAAAATATCGTCGCGGTGCGTTTGTCGCAACGGTCAAGAGTACACAGGACACGTGGTAAGGGATGGGCGGTGCGGTAAATAAAAACTGCTGAACTTGCCAATTGCTTACACCGACTGAAGGGGGTGAGGTCATGAATTCAATTCTTTTTCACACTTCTTACAAAGAAGAAGGTGCTTTAAGAGTTCAATAGTACTCTTCCGAGCAATGATGAAATCAAACATTTTGTTGTTTTTACATAAACGATGGTAAGCCTAAGCAAGTTCGAGAAGCAGAATCAGATCAGAAGCCAGAAGCCCAAATGAAGGAGTAACTGAAACTAACATTGCCACTTACCCGTCTGGAGACGATGAGAATGCGTTAAGAAATATGAAATAGGATGTTCGGTGATCAACTTTTTACTTTGTCTAGAATTCTCCAGAGCCAACGCACTGCTCCAGCAGAACACAGAAACCCAAAATGATGGAGAGAGTGGCGTGATTGTTTGTTATCATACAGTTGGAATCTATAAAGGAAAGGAATGATAGGGAAACCAAAAGAAAAATTTGATAATATCATTGGTTCCAGGAACTACACAGATGGGACTTTGGACTTTACTCCAACTATAATGAAGTTCTGAACAAAACATGTGATCTCATGGGCTTGACTGCCGCCAGTTGCACTGCATCTAACCACGCAACAGAACTTTTTAGTTCTGTTTTGACAACAACCCTCGGCCACGTCATAGTGATACAATTTCAGATGAACTAGAGAAAAAAGGAGAACATTTTGCGGCGCTAGAGTGCAAAGAACGAACACGGGAGCGAGAGAGAGAGAGAGCGAGAAAGGGGGGAAGAAAATGAATGTTTGTGAACTTGCGCCAGTTTTCTTTTTCTCTTTCTCCTCTTTTTTTTTGCTGCTCCTCACTGCTCTGACTTGCCCAATCGCAACTGTGTGAGAACTCGAAAACTTTTCTCTTTTCCCGGCCTTCTCCTCCTCGGAGCAAAACGAAGACAGTTTGTTCGTAGCGTGCTCTTTGTGTCATGCCATTAGAGTCGGCGAGAGCATGTGAGGGGGTGAATTTGATAAAATGGAAAAGTCAGCATGGCTTGTGACTTTGGAAGGAATGGTCTAGAAAAATCAAAAGTTGATCAGCTACAGATGGAAGCTCCGATGGGAAACTTTGACAACAAGGCGAATTGAAATCATAACATTTGTCACAAAAATCAACTCGGGGATACATTGGGAATTTAAAGACAATCTATAGTGAGAAAACAAAGACCAACAACTTTAAAGTTACGTAAAATTTCAAAACTTGAAAAACAATTTTGAAAATGTTGAAGAACAAAAACATTTCAGAGCTGCCAAAATGTGGTTGTTCTCTGTAGTTCCCAACTTTACAAGCATCAATTCCGAGACAGGTGAATTGTAATTATCACCGACCACATAATTTCTCGGAAATCCCCTAAGACATTCTTGCAAAACAGCAATCAGCGGGCGAGACAGAAATGAGTAATCTTCTAGAAGAAGCCTATAGCCTAAGCGATCATGTTTAATACAGACTACATTAAAATCGATTGGGAAAGAAGGAGAAGAAAAAGAAGTGGTGGCCGCATAAACCTATGCCTGTTTCCGAGAGAACAGAAGAACGAATAGGAGACGCAGAAGACGTAGATGAAATCAGCGAAGAAGAAGAAGACGTCGTCGCCTAATGATGATGATGACGCCAGCCAGCCGACAAGTCCTTAAGATCTTTTTGTTATTTGTAGTGTGCAATGCGGTAAGTTCCTTCCTTGTTCCTTTTCATTTCCTTCTATAACTTTTCTATAGAGCAATGATAAAACTCCATCGCTCAATGAAATAAAAAATCTGCGCAACACTGACCTAGATGAAATATTCGGAGCGACTATGAACAAGACACCTCCACCAGACTACCCGGATATGGGTCCGCCGCCTACTGGAGAAATTGGAGAACAGTCAGGCCCAATAGGACGGTATAATCGAGGTCCCAGTGGTCCCAGAGAGCTTCCTATCAACCACGGACATGCACTGGCGCCGCCTCCTGGAATGCAGACGAATGCAGCGGAACTCCAGCAGCTAGCAGCACAGGGAGCTAATGTGTTTGCCACTGGAGCTACTGCTTTTTACAGGCGAGTGTTTTTCCATTCGTTAACATCAGTTTCATCTGTAGTTATCTGTTTTCTAAGTAGGTAACAACTGGTTTGTATGACCAGCCCCAAGATTATTGCACTGAAATTACTTCCGTGTACTTTTTGTGGACAATACAGAAAGCAAATTTTCACCTTGTAATGCTGAAAAATAGTTATATTTATGACAAAAATCATATCTTTTCTAAACTTCAATGCTCACATTTTCAGAGGAGCTGCATCAGTGGGTGAAGCTTTCGGCATTCCGGTGGGTAACTATCAGGTTCCTCTGTTCTCTCAAGCGGCTTCTCTCTTCGGATGATCCAGTATTTATTTTTTGTCTGTCTGTCTGTATATATCATATGACAACCAGAAAATAAAAGTTTGGCCCCTTCTCTTCTTCTTCTCACTCATCTTGCTCACCATCACAACAATTGGCTCACTGGACTCTTAGCTGGTTTCCTGATGACTCTCGGCGGATATCTTCTAATATCGATTGTCGTCCTTGCTCCTTGTTTGAGCTCTGCATTCTTCGTTCCGCCAAATAACATCGAAAAATGCGATCTTGGGGATACACTCGGACTCATCATGTGCATTTCTGTAACTATTATTAAGGCGAGAGCCAAATCCTAAAATGTCTGTTTTCAGCCAGTTACCAGTCTTTTTCAAAACAATATTAACTTGATGAACGTCACTAGAGCTCGTGGAATTCGCATTTTGGATGAGTGCAGAAATGCGACGGTTTGTTTTCCTTGATCTTTTTTTTAAATAACTGCTCTTTTTGTTATCAGACCTGCATTTCCCAATACAAGTGTGCCACCACTGTAAAATTGGACAAGACATTCAACCTGCTATGTGATGCTTTCGACTATTTCTCTAATGGATTTGCTCCGTGCCAGAAGAAAATATTGGCTCAGATGCCACCGTGCATGAGAAATGCGGAGATGCTCAAAAAAAGTGAAAAGGTATGGTATCTTAGACATTTTCAATTTAATGTTTTATTTATGCACACTTTCAGACACAAGACCCATGTGAACTCATCAACAGCTCGAGAGATTGCTTCGAAACCGAAATTACTGATATCTGTGGAGAATCGTATTGGACTCCAATCGACAAAATTTGGTCTAAGCTTCAATTGTATTCTATGCTCAAATGTTGATGATTTCTGTCAATAAACTTTTTCAAATTTAACGATGCGGTAAAAAAATTGTTGGGAAACAAGTTTGTTTGGGATGAAACTTTGATTCTATACCTCACAAGTGGGCATTTGTCAGAGGGAGGAAGAGAGGAAGAGCCGAATTCTTGCATTGCAATAACGTCGGATCAGAGGAAGAGAAAGAGAGCTGACTTCTTGCATAGCAATAACGTCAAAGAGAGGAAGAGAAAGAGTTGACTTCTTGCATTGCAATAACGTCAAAGAGAGGAAGAAAGAGAGCTGACTTCTTGCATTGCAATAACGTCGGATCAGAGGAAGAAGAGAGACAAATAAACAGTAATAGTACCATCGAGTTGGAAAGAGCGGGGGCAAGGAACGTCGGATCAGAGGAAGAGAGAGAGATGGTTGGGTGGGGGTGGCACCGCATGGGTAGAAATGAAAAAAAAAAACTAGACGGCAACAGATAAAATAACTATTTCTGCCTTTATATACCCCTGTGGGCGTAGCCATTCTAATTAGCGGGCGTGGCTACTGAGTGTAGTTAGTAGGAGTGGCCACTGCACCTGGCTTTTCCTTCTTCCTGTTGTGGCCCCGGTATACTTTTCCATCGCAGTCCTTTATCTGCATTCTTATCACTAATCTCCGCCGGTAATTAAGACCGCAGGTGTGGGAATGTGAGCTTCAAGCGGATTTGCGGCAAGTTTCAAAGAAGCCGAGTTAATTACAGACGGAGATTACAACAAAGCACTCTGATGGGAAAGAACGATTGGGATTTCGAAACGTCATGGCACCATGCCAAGAGGATTCGGAAAAGAGCAATAAGGAATTAAAGGATTTCCGAATTCGAATGCAACATTCAACACAGAGTCGATAGTCTGATCGGTCTGTAACTTGGACCCAATATACAGGGTGCGCCAAAATTATGGTAACACATTCAAGGTGATGTAATCTTTGCAAAAATACTCAAACCAACATGAAAATTCAACTATAAATTATTGAAACCACTATAAACGAGAAAATATTAAAGTTGTTCAATGCGGTTGCCTTTGTTCTTGACAACATCCTTGAGTCTCTTAGGGAATGCCTCTACTGTGGCACGGAGGTATTCTGGAGATAGCTTGGCTCATTCTGCCTCCAAACTTTTCTTCAATGACTCCAAATTGGGATTTGGATGTGCTTGAACCTTCGACTAAAGATCTTCCTCTTCTAGCTATGTTTTCATTTAAATGTTCTGTATTTTTCAAGGAAAATCGACAATAAAGATCTTGTGGAACTGTTTGAATCTCATGTCATGTCGTTCTTAAACCCCCATATAATGAAATAAAACAAATCGAATCAAATTTCCAATTCCATAAAAGAGAAATGCTCCTCTACTTTCTCGTATCATCATTTCCCGCCATGATATTCCTCCTTCTACTTTTTCTCCACTTTTGCACTGTTCTCGCGAATCCTTCGGAGCAAACAGTTTACAATTATTCTCCGCGTAAGGCCTCTCTTAAAAAACCGGGAGTTCTGATGAAGCCGGAAGTGAGAGTGAAGTTCGAAGACGCGGAAGAGGAGTGGGTGGGGATTACGGTTGATTCTCCATCTACAGTAAGATTCACCTTTTCAACGTGGTCACCACCTTCCCTTTCAGACAATTGAGCGTGAAACTACAACTGCAGTACCACTCAACATCACAACAAGCACAGTCAATCAGAGCAGCCCTTCTTCAAATACCAGCGCAGTTACACCTCCTAGCTCAACTTTTGTGAGCAGTAGTACCACTACCGCTGCACAAATTACCTTCACTGAAACTTCGAAAGAGACAAAAGCTCCTTTGAAAATCGTGAAAATAGAGTCGTTTCCTGCTTTCGTTATCCGGAAAACCTACAGTAATGGGGCTTATTCTCAGCGGACTTTTGTGGATTGGAATTTGCTTAATATGCTCACAAATAATCGAAAGGAATCGGGAATCGAAAGTTTGACGAAAAAATTTGCTGTCAATTTTTCTAAATGGTTGGAAAACGGTGAGTCCTGTTTTCCCGGGAAACTTTGAAATTTCGTGAAAAGACTGTTTTCAGCTCTCCGAACCCATCATATTTCGCAATTGAGCGGAAAGTATGTGATCGGCGGCTTCTGTTTTCCACAATTTTGGGAGACATGTGCTCATTTTGAAGATTTGAGAGTCGCGTTGAAAAGTGTCGAAAAAAGAGGCTTCACGCTTTCAATCAATGGAATTTCTCGACTCGGGCTTCTAAACGATACTCTTCAATTCCAACTCGTCGCGAAAAACGGAAAAATGTGCATTTTTCTTCTCTGTTAATCTGAATTTATATCGAATAAAAAGAAACAATTAACGCAACAAAAACAATGAAAATGGGAAAACAAAAAGATTAAATGACTCGGCTGCCCTTCACCACCGCCTTCACCGATCTCTTCTCGACAATCTTTCTCTTGAGACTTCTTTTCAGCTTCTTCTCCTTGTCTCCTCCGATCGGCAGCATATTTCTTCTCTGCAAGCTCTTCATTCGATCGTCGAGGACGTGTCCTTGCGGTTTGATCTGTCGCAGATTTCCGGTCAGCTCTTCCTGCAGCAGGAACGGATCCTCGGCGTCCTCGAATTTACCACGTCCGAGCTTTTGTCTCTTCGTGAGCTTCTTTACAAGCTTTGTGCGTTTGCGAGTCTCCGCCTCTTCGTGAATTTGCTTCTCCTCTTCGTCGAGCTCACGGTGGATTTGTTTTGTGCTATAATTCAAACTCTTTAAAAAATCGTAACACTTAGCCCAGAAAACGAGTACAAGCAAATTGCTGAACTACATTTTGAATGGAACAGAGAAAATCTAACCGGTAGACATTGTGCGAGTCCTGCTCTCTGGCTTTCTCCTCCAGACGTCTCTTCTCCTCCTTCTCCAGTCCTGCGGCCTTAGCCTTTTTCTTCTTTTGCTCCTTCGTCAGTCTTTCGCAAGCGACTGGCCCAGAAGTGCCTCCATCCTCTTTCTCCTCCGTCTTCTCCTCTTCCTCTTCGTCATCTTTTCCATATTTCGGATGGATTTTCAATCCTTCAGCCGCCTCCAAGAATCGCTCGTGTTCCGTCGTCTTCTTCTCCCATTGTGGCTCGATTCCTCTCTTGATTTTTGCCTCTCGATCGATAAGCATCTGCTCGTCGGCCGCAATTCCGCTCACATAATTCATGTATTCGTCGGCGTCCGGATTGTACGAAGCGCCATCTTTGGCCACCTCAACAGCCGGCAAAAGAGTGGTGATAGACTTGCCCGGCGCCTTCGGCTGCTTTTTTTTGACAATCTGCAGATAAATTGGATTTTTTTTAATTAAAAAATTGTATTACCTTCAGGTAATGCTCTGCAGCGGCTTCCACCTTCAGATCGACTTTCGGAGTCAGATCCTTCTCCCAGACATCAAACTTTTCTCCTTTTTTGACAACTTTCTTGGTGACACCGCCCGCTTTCAACTTCAGAATTGCATTTCCACGTGGCAACTTGGCCGGCTTTTTGAGCGGACCCTTCGCGGCAGGCAGCGATGTCTTCTCCACAGTGATGTTCTTTGTAATCTTGTCGAGAGCCGCCTGCTGCTTTTTCGTCAGTTTTGGCTGCTCCGTCTTATGCTCCGTCGCCGTTCGATCGATGACGAATACATCTTCATCTTTCATTTCAGAGATAACTCCTCCAGTCTCCTTTTGTCGGGCAGTGCTGTCTGAAAACAGCGAAAATTATTATTATTTTTAACAGAATAAATAGTATTTCTGGAATGTTTAAAGGTTTTTTCACGATACAAGTGCTTTGGTACTTGCTTTGATACAGAGTTTCCGCTAGAAAGGAATAAAAATTTACTTACGTATGGCATCTTCGATGTCCTCGATGTTTGTTCCCTTTCTCCAGTACTTTTTGTTGTGTCGAGAGCCTTTCGCGGCTCCAGTACGTTTTCCAGGTAACATCTGAGACGGATAATACAGTTTTATTGAAGAATACTTGAAAAGAAGGATTTTCTTTTACGAAAACTAATAATAAGTTTCCAACGACGCTCCGCACTAACGGCACTACGTCTTATTTAGCCGTCATTTCGAAGCGTCGTTGAAAGTGTTTCAAAAAATTGTAATGGTATAAAAAAGTCTTCAACTTTTAGGAAACAAAAAAATGAAGTTGAAATTTTAATTTAAAAAAAAATTTATAGGAAAACAGTAAAATAACTATAAATCTACGGAGGGACAGTAATTTTGAATCCTAAATCATTTTCTGGCCATTCTGAAAAATCGGACGATGTTCACTTTGAGAGCCGGCCAAATAAGCATCAAATTCCGTCGATACCACTCTCTGAAAGTTAAAAAAACTTGAAGTTTCATCAAATTGAAATGTTCTCCATTCTTTACCGAAAATACTGAATTTTATTATAGGGGCACCTCACAGAAATGGCTCTCTGTTGACAAACTCTTGTTTTCAGTGTTTTCGTTGGAAAATTACTTCGCGGCCTAGATTTTTCTGTGAGATGCCCCTCTAATAGCGATTTTCAGTTTCATATTTGATGTACTTTTTAAAAGAACGCACTTATTATACGTCATCATTGCCACGTGTCGTCCATTGAGAAAATCGCGATAAAATTCGCTCAAATCGTTCGCTGAAACGTGTTCCAATCGTCCCAAATCTTTTTGCTTTTGCTCCACAAATGCTGCCTTTTGTCGCTCGAAAAGCGTGTTGTGTTCTGCCCAAAAGTCCGAGTTCCACTGATTGAGCTCCTCCCGTGCCATCCGATACTCTCGCTCTAATTCTGATTCGTTATCCACACGCCGCAGCCTGAAATTGTACATTTTAGTAACTACTTTCTTTCTCTGGTAAATGGATTGCGATTTAATTAGAACTTATTCGAATCTAATAGCAATTAGATTAATTTTTACATTTAATTAGAAAAGCTTAGTGTTCAAATAGAATACAATTAGATTCTAAAAGCAGAAGCAGCTAATTTTGCATCTTATTAGGAAATATTGATTTGATCAAATTTGACATCTAGTTAGAGTTTTCGAATCTAATCCAAGGACGTTTCACGCTTACCGTGTGATTATTAGATGTGAATGAGTTCTAATTAAATCGCAGTCCATTTACCAGAGTTTTCGCGAAAATTGGAGAGGCGAATTTCTTTAGAAAACTCACATAATTTTGCGGATTTTGGACACATTATCGGGCGGCCCAACCCAGTCGAATCGACGATCCATCCGCACATTTGAAGACGACGAAGATATTGACGACATCTGCTATTCTTTTTTTTTAAATAAACATTTTCTAAGTTTTTTCACGGTATTAAATGGTACAAAACGATGATTTCAATGTAAATAAAAATAGACTATAAAAAAATCAACAATTTACGAGATAATGTATCAGCAATCATCAGTCAAAAATCAACAAGAAATACAATAAAGCTTGGGTAATGTAATAGCAAAAAACAAAAAAAGAGAAACGAACAGTAGTTTGATTTTTATCAAACCGCCTCGCAATTTTCTAACGACGTACGGATGAGCCGGAACATTCGGTTGTATTCGGACATATTGTGACTGAAAAATTCATGTCCCAGTCAAATTTCGAGTGTTTCGCTTACATGACAAGCAGAATGGACGCCAATAATTCCTTTGTATTCAGAAGGTGTTGCAGATATCCTTTTGTGTACTTTTCACACGTGTAACAAGTACAATTCTCAAATGGCTTCGTAAAGTCGTCCGCGTACTTGGGATTGTTGAAATCAACCAACTCGTAGTTGGCAGACTTCGGATAGTCGTCGGCGAGACAGAATGCGTTGCCCTCTTCTGCTAATTTGATGGTGTATGAAGAGTCGAACAGGTCCAGGCCTTGTTGAACGAGAAAGAGCACAGTTTTTGGGTTAAACGGACCCGAGATGCAGCGAAGCTTCGCTGGCGGCAGTGGAGACTGAAAAATAAAATTCAACGTCGTGCATTTCAAATAAAACTTACAAAAGTCTCTTCGAGTAGCTCCTTCATCTCCTTCTCGTCTGTTTCTTTCCCTTCCGTGAACTCGTGGAATTCTACCGTATACGCTGCCACGTCATCTGTCAATCCAATGTCAACTGCACATTTTCTTCGGTAGTACTTGTTGAATCCACCACCCAGAGCCGCAATTCGTTCGCCGCGCACTTTTTCGTCTTGCTCGAACAGCTGCTCATGGAATGTTTTCGTGCGATCCGCAGCTTTCAGTTGCCTTTTCGTTCCACTGTCTCTTGGCGTATCGTAGTCCACAATGTTCTTAACGAAAAATGGATTTTCGGTTTTTCCAGTCAAATATTCACCTCAAAAGACGTGCATCCGAATGAATTGATGATATTCCGCCATGTCTTCACATCCAACGAAACTTTTCCGTTGGCCGTCCAAACTGCGATCGATTTGGTGTCATTGTAACCGCTGGGGAGCTTGCCAAGCGGATCCATCGGTGTCAAATGTATCGCCAAAGGATTCTGGGGCATTCCACAAAACTTTGGCGCACCTTTCCCAAACTTTTCGATTATTTTTGCGTTCGTTACCAGGGAAGGGAGGGTCAGTTGGTAGATTGGTGTCTGATCAGGTCGAAGTTGATTTACGGCAACCTCCCACGTCAAATGGGGAATGTGTCCGCCTCGCAGGTAGGTCATGCACGACGGCGTCTGATGATTCACTTCGACAGGACCTAAAAAAGGGGGAATTGTTCCGAAATCTAAAATATTTTGGGCAGCTTACCCCATGAATTAATTTCTCCGAGTCTTCCGAGTATAGTCTTCTTTTCTATATTGAATTTAACCATTTCTGCTGTACATATTCTGTGATTACGTGAAAAAATTAACGAAAAAAATTTGAACTGGCTAAGAAAACCCAGCACCACGAAGAATAAACATTTGAGAATTAGAAAATTGTACAAAATGATTTATCATTAATCGAGTATCACGTGTATATTCAGTTGCCACTGGCGTTCACTTTGTAGTTACAGTATTCCGGCTTCAGACACCATAAACTCTTGTGTGGCGGAGCAGTATTGTAGACGGCAATCTCCTGGAGCACGTCTTTCACGTAGCTCACCGGCTGCTGGAGCAGTTGTTGCAGGTCTTGAAGTCTGTAAGAATAATTGTATTAGTTCGCATTAATTTTGTACATAAGAGCTTTCAAAATCGTTTTTTGACGAACCTGTAGAAGCTGTGCTTTTCAAACGCCTTGAAAAGAGCTTGTCGGAGGACATCTCTGTCAGCCCGGTACGTCTTCGCGCCGTCCTTCTTCTGCTTCGAACGAATCATGTCCTCGGCGTGCATCGACACCGGCTTGAACTTGATCGCCGCCTTCTCTATCAGTTTCACCTGCTTCTTGGGCTGCGTGTTCTTGACAATATGCGCCAATTTCATCTTCATGTACTTGGAGGTGGCCGGAGGACGGCACTCCGCCTTCTTGATGATTCTTCCCTCGATCGACAGTTTGCCCGTCTTGATGCTCGCCTCGCTGCCCATCCCCTGTTTGTCTTCGCTCAAAACACTCATCGTTTGACTTTTGACGTCGTGCAAGAGAAACGAATATTGGGTCGGAATCTCGGAAGCGTCAGAAGACGTCGGCTGCTTTCCGCCTTCTCCTTCGTCTTTCGGCGTCGGTTGTGTGAGTCCTTTGGCTGTGTGCAATTCTATCTGAATGGAAAAATTTTTTCTGCTGTTTTCACAAACATGGCTGCTTTTTGCTATAAAAATCACAACTCACTTCTTTTTCCACGTGCAGCTTTCCGACCACACTTCCTTCGTTGGCTTCCCACAACTCTGACAGGTATCTGGGAACTTTTACAAGCCATATGCTCCTTTTGGCGAGCTCACAGTCTACTTCTTCATTATAACGTTTCTTGGTAGTCATCTGAACAATTCGGACTTTATATATTATAATTGTAGGAAGACTGCATGATCAAGGAAAATGTATGAATGACGGCTGAAAACCGTAAAGTTTAGAAAATAAACAATTGAAAGTCAATTTAGGAAATAAAAATCCTTTATTTCACACTTTTTGTTTAATGAAATCTAAAAGTTTGGCATCTGTGACATCTTCCCATCCAGGCGGTGTCGGCAGTTTGAAGTTAGCCATTGCAGCTGATATTTGAGCAAGTTTATCTAAAAACTCAGTTTTTTTTTCAGAAACACACTATTTAGACAGACCTTCGTCTAGGGGTATTGTTTTCAGCTTTTCCGCGGGAATCGTCAGCTTTTTCGAGGAACTTTGAGCTTCCGAATCAAAATCCGTAGGCGAAACGATAAAATTACACCATAAACCGGAGTTTGTGGCCGAATTTACAAGATATTCTGGAAAATTAACCTCAGAATCGTCTCCATCATCTTCTGAATGCGAAGTGACGCATTGAACGTTTCCGTCGCCGATCATTTGATATCCCTGATCCGTTTCTTCTTCGTTTTCGGATGATTTCGTCACTTCGAAGCGATTTGTGCTTGAAAAATTGCCGGTTTTGAAATTGCGGGATTCTGGAAGCAAAATCAGTTTTTTTTTAACATTATAATATAAACCAACCTTCAGAAGTGTGCAACGTGACATTTTTTGGGGCGAGATTTTTGTCCACGTAAAATTTTGGGCTCTGGCCATCGTACTCGACAATTCCGTACAAAAGCTGTCCTTTGTCGCTGACATCGTCACTTTCTCGTCGATTTGCCAAATTATTCGAGAAATAATGTTCTCGCGCGGGCTCTTCGTCGTCTGTAGGCGGATCGCTGTCGAATCCGCTGCTTTCTCCGCTCATTTCTCGATTTTCATTGACTCGATTCTCTTCTTCGCTGCTCACAGAGCTTTCTTGAGCTGGAAATGCTACTTAAAATAATTGTGAATGGATTTGCAGCACTTATACTGAGAATGTTAACTTTTTTCTTAATTTTAGCACAAACCTGTAGAAACGCCAACTCCATTGTATTCGACTCCGTAGCCGACGTACCAGCCATCGGATTGACCGTCACTTCGTCCTTCGTCTAGCGAAAAACAATCGATTTGTAGAATTTCGCACTTTTTCGGCGATTCTTGTGCTTTCTCGTGGTCTTCTAGGGTCAGGCCCTGTCGACCTAACGCATTTTTCAGAGTTTTCAACTCTTTTTTGGTTAATTTTTTCGAATTATCCTCCATTTCTATCCTGCAAAACACAAATAGAGTAAACGCGTGAAAAAAAAATTAATATACTCGACTAGCGTTTGTGGAGGCCCGGGCCGGCGGACACCCACCGGTTTTTGAAGCATCGTACTGCGCCTTTTTTAGCAGAGTGGCATTTGCTGGATTTTGACAGATTTCAGTAAAAATCAAGGGAGAATTAATGTGAAACATCCAGAAAGCAAATAAATGAATGAAAGATATAAAAGATTACTTTTCCAGAATCAAACAATTTTATTATTCAGCTTCTTCACAATCTCTTTCTGTTTGAAAATAGCGTGGAACTGTTACCGGAGTGGCTGCTCTCCGAGCACCCGAAGGTTCGATAAACTGGAAGGATCGCACGTGAGTGCCTCTCCTCGCTGGCAGAGACTGCCGTCCCAGCGTGCAAGCTTCTCAATGTGGAATTCTAATAAGGAGGGATTCAGAAGCCTGGAGAAGGCAATAGACACCTGCTGAAAGCAGCAGAAGTGCGTAAAAGGCAAGGAGGGACGGCGAAGTGAAAGGATCGTACGCAAGTGGCTCTGCTTGCCGTCCGAGCGTCCGCCGTTCTCAATGTGGAACTCTGGTGGAGAGGTTCTGATGGAGGCGCCGGCCACCAACAGCGTAGAGTAGCTCGGTGTCCGCCGTTTGTTTCTGATGCGACTTCTGCGGACTTCTGCGGCAGATGGCTGCTCCTTAAGGAAACCCCTGCAATGTGGACATTTCCGACTCTTGTGCTGCTATTTTCAAACAGAAAGATATTGTGAAAAAGCGGAATACATTTTATAGGAATTCTGAAAAGTAATCTTGTATTTCTCTCATTCATTTTTATGCTTTCTGGCTGTTTCGCATTAATTCTCTCTTGAATTTTATTGAAATCTCTGTCAAAATCCAACAAATGCCACTTTCTGCTAAACAACGCGCAGTACGATGCTTCAAAAGCCGGCGGGTGTCCGCCGGGCCTCCACAAACGCTAGGTGAGTTAATCGAACACAAGAACCGATATTATTTGTTCACATTGCAAATCAATTCCCATGACATGACACAAGAGGGCAAAAAATCACAGTATTTTTCTAATGGAGACTTTGAAAAAGTGGCGGCCGATATTATTAGTAGTCCCCGAAGATTGAAGCATTCAAGTCCAGGTGAGAAATTGATATTATTGGTTCTTTAGGTATCAAGTTTATATAATGCTTTTAAACGTGTGCTCCTATAGAATCTATACACTAAAATATAACGTTTCAAGCCCTAAAATTATTATTCAGGGGACTCATCGGATTCGCTGTTTCGAATCAGTGAAAAGCAGCAGGAGTACTACTCCAAATGCTTCCGGCACCTCATCAAAAGCACCCAGGGCGCTGTGGACTTGTCCGGAGCGCTCTGCGGAGCCGACCAACGCATCGTCGCTTTTTTCAAGCGAAGTTCTCTTGACGTGGCGTCACTCTCCAAGATTTGGTCATTAGCCGACGTAAACGAAGACGGATGGCTGGATCTTAGCGAGTTCTCAATTGCAATGCACTTGGTGGTTCTTCGGGTGAAAGGGGAAGTTCCAATTCCGGATGCCCTTCCTTCTTTTGCCAAACCGCCCATGACAGCTCAACGTGAAAGAAGTCAGTCGAGTCGGAGTACGACTGAAAGAGGCCCAGTGCCAGTTCTCGTATCGCCGTCACCTACTCCATGGGCCGGGGCTCCGGCCATCAAACAGTTCTCGGATACGCCTCCGCTGCTGGTAGACAGTAGGCCAACGGCCATCAAACATTCGGCGCTACTGGCGCTCAAAAGTCCTTCCGGACCGCCACCAATTCCACCGGTCAGACCACAACAGAGAGGACATAATCGGAGTGCGAGTCTTGATTTGAAGCTGATCGCTCTGAACAATGGGAAAGTCTCGTCTGATCCTTCTGTTCATCCTCCAAATACACTATCTCTGTGGTCATCACATTCGGATCCTCAGCCTGTCAGCTCCACAACCACAACGGCAACTTTCGCCTCGTTTCCAGGTAATTATTATATCTTGTTGTGCTTCAGAAACATTATTTTCAGGCACCCCGGACAGCATTCCGCCTCCAATCCCGCAAAGAATCACTCCCTCTCCACTTCCAGTGAGTTTTTCTACTTTTTCGGATAGTTGGCTGAACTGAAAATATGGCTAAACAAACCAATTATATGTATTTTCAGAAAGTAATTGAAGAGGAAAAAGAAAAAGAGCGAGAAAAACGTACGTCGGATTCGGAAACGCAGACGGAAGGAGTGTTCTACGCGGAGGAGGAAGTCGAAACGTTCTTTGGAAATCTCGGGCATCAAATCGACGACCTGCTCGGGGAGGAGATCGGCGCCAGCGACGGACAGGGTCTGGAGCGATGGAGCAAGCGGTGCACGGCTCTCCGACAACAGAATGCCGAACTAGAAGCGGAAAGAGCAAGACTGGCTCAAGTACGCATTCAACTTGAGATCCGGCTTCAGGAGTTTGAGGAGCGCTCCAAGACGGCGTGCTCTTCGTCAACACTGTAATAGTCTATGCATCATTTGAAATAGTATCATTCTGTCTCAAATCAATCATAATTCTGTGATATATTTTTCCTCATTTAATAATGGTAATAATAATAATATGTTAAGCATCAATCCGTTATCGTTGTGATCATGATAAGAACTCTGTTAAAACTCTATTTTGTGTATATGTGATGATAAAGATCGATAACATGAAAACAGCTGCTCCCTCCGTGTGTAATATTGTGCGATTCCAAGTTATGGGACACGAAATAAAAGATGTCTCGGCCAATGGGGACCAAACATTTGGGCGCGAATCTCGATTTTATCCAATTTGGGAGTGAGAGGAAAAGCCTTGCTTCTCCGCTTTCTCCGTCTTTTTTCCTCATCCCTTTGCTCCGTTACCCGTCTCTCCCAATAGAATCAATTCTTGACTTCTCTTTCTTCTTCTTCCTTATCTTCTTGAAATAGACCCAACTACCATTTTCAGCATGAAACTGCTCGCCGTCCTCCTGCTCATCGCACCCATAATAGCCTCTCCGTGCACCACAACCGATCAGATCAAATTTTTGCAATGCAAAGGAACAATTTTGAAAATTCAAGACACACTGAGGACGTATGCGTCACAAGGAGACAAATTACCGCCGCAGTCGGTGTTCAAGCAAATCTCCAAACTGTGTAATTCGGCTGTGGTAGGTGGATAAAGCAGAAATTTAGAAGTTTGCATTGATAGGCCATTGCAGAACTGCGTTGGCCAAATCGAGTGCGTTGAGGCCAAAAAAGGTGTAGGAATGATGCATACGGCGTGCGAAGGAATTGAATTGAGCGCCGGGCCATTTGGAGAGTGCATGGCAAGAATTCAGACCAATCCTCCAAGTGTCAAAGAATATCCATGCGCCTATATTTTTGAGAAAGAAGCGGTGAGTCTTCCCTAGAAGTGCTTGACTGAATTTTCTAAAAGACAAATATTTTGATTGCTGTCGTTCAAGTTTGGCACTTTCAAGATGTTCAGTATCCTAGAATTTCTAGCCAGCTACAATCACATTACTTTTTCAGCTCGACTCAAAATCGAAACGATGCAAGATGTTCTCAGAAGACGTGGAATGTGTAGCACGTGTCTCAAAAGAGCTGTGTGGCTCCACGGCTGCCGACGCCTTCCGGAAAGGAATTCCGAGCATGAGGACGCTCCTCAAGTGCTGAAACTAATGCTGACTCACCGAAAGGCATAATGCATAATAAAGCACATTTTGATTCTCCTTTCTCTGAGAGCCGTTGTTTTTGCTTTTCCTCGAGTACAACGAAATACATACACTGAGTCACATGTTCCCTGCGTCTCCCTTCTGATTATCTCTCTTTTCTATGCCGGCATCTTTTTCTTTCTCTTGCTGTATTTTTACTTTTCCACTCGACAAATTATCTTTTTCGTCTGATCACACTTGAAGTTTCAGCTAGAGTTGAGAAAGATTAGATGAATCCTAGTGAAAACTCTTTTGTGCGATAAAATATGTCATAGTTGGGCCAAACAAAGTTCAAAGGCTGCTGCTCAATTACTACATCTTTCTCGCATCGCCCGTCTCATGTTCTTTTGAGCAGAAGGAGAAAGGAACGAATAAAACTGACGGGGTGTATTGAGAGAATGGGCTGCTCACCCCTATGCGCGCGATGGTCGCGGTGGCTCATTTTGTGCTTTTCGTTGAAGCAGAGAGTGCTGGTGGGTGCCAACTGCTGGCAACTGGAGGTGTTCTCCTCTCTTTTCTTTTGCAGAAGCTACTCTTCTCTTTTGCACCTACTTTGAATCTCAATTAGGAAATGCTCATCTGGTTGTCCTGGCGACCAAATTCTGCATAATAAAGCCCATAATAACAAGAAGCGTAAAGATGCGGGGAAGGTGGGAGAGCGGGTCTAACGTACTAATCTTCTCTATTTCAACCCAACAATTAGGTATCGAGAGCTCAGAATGTTGGGGCTTTAGTCCCTTCTTGAAATGACAACAAGACTCAGTTCCGATTCATTCTTGACCTAATCCGTTGCGAAACTAAGCTGTCACATGGCGCCTCTGCCGAAATAAACGATAATAATAACTCAAAAGTGTAATCAAGTGGCCAAACCAGAAAAGACATAAATTTTCTTTCCCCTTATTGCTCTCTGAATGCTTGCTTCTGACTTTATTCTCACCACAATTTCTCACAGAACACATTATTTTTTCTTTTCCTTTCTTTCTATTCTGTAACCTTTCATTATAGGAAAATGGCGCCGCCGCTCCCGAATAACCGGGATCCATCCAAGCAGCCTTTGGTCACTGATCTTTCTCATTCTTCCGCTCCGAATGTGGTTCCGGAAGCTTCTCCTCCGACTGGCCGTTCCTACTGCCCATGCTTCACCACCATCTTCCTTGTTCTTTCGGTGCTCATCAGCGGGCTCTCGCACTTCACCTTCTACCTCAGCAACAATTGCTCAAAAGCCGAAGAAGTCGTTCAAAAGATATGTGAGCCGCAGCTGGTAAGAGTCAAACTCTTCACCGAGACCACCATTCCGGACTTTTCTATGAGCCCAATAGCCGTGGACATTGCCAGTAAATGCGAGGATATTCAAGTGAGAGCGTTCTTCTTGTCAAAAGTTTTCTAAGTTGCAAATTATAAGTTTAGGATTGCCTTTCTCCGGTCAAATGCCCCCGTCTACGGGCTCTCAGTCCCCTGCCCGACCGCTGTCCGATCTTCGTTTTCTTCAACATTCGTTTTCTGGAATGTCGTCAGAAGCTACTCGAATCTTCTGAATCCGAATGTGTCCGCGCCTTCTTTAAACCTGGACCGCTTCAATGCCATCTGCTGAATGAACATGTGGATTGTGTCTTGAAGTACATCGACGATCTGTGCTATGATGACGTGGTCGACTACGCGTTCCGAAAGCAAATCGACAAGTACCGAGAGATCATCAATTGTCCGGTTCCGTTGCTCGTGGATGAAGAAGCGCTTCGGATCGATGGTCCGGGTTGAGATGGAGACGGATAATACAGTTCACCGTATTTTAATCAACTTCTATTAATAATGTTCCTCATTTATAGTCCCCTCTCTTCTTTGAATCAAACTTCCTTGCTTCAATTGTAAATGCGTTGTTGAATTAGGCTGCACTACCCTTTGTAACTCCTTCATCTCAAAAAGTTCGGTTTTTCCAATTCTGTGAGATCTCTTTTCTTCCTTCTCAAATAAACGATCATTGGTCGAAAAATGCTCACACAAAACTCAAAAATGTTTCTAAACGCTAGGGGATTCCCTCCACACGCGACGAGTGCTCAGTGCATTCGGTGCGCCTTTTTTGCTACTTCCCATTCCTTCCGTCCCCATTTATCTTCCTCACTTCACACACTCTCCTCTTCTATCTCTTTTTCTTTTTCATTGGCACTCTTCGGTCGAAACGACACCAAAAGCAAGCAGTCCGTCCATTTCCTCGTCTCCATTCCTCCCATTCCCTTCTCTTCTTCCGAAACGAACAACCCGCTTTGAATTAATCGAAAAAGTGCTGCCAGATGCCCCTGGAGCTCATTAAAGTAACGGCTTCTTCTCTTGTTCTCTGAACGCTCCGAACAAAAACTAAATTGCTCTTCTTTTGCTTCTATAGAACAACGCACTAACTAAAGGAGAGAGAAGAGAAGAAAAATTCAATTACACTATGTTTCACCGGCTCAGAGCGTTTTTCAGCTCCTTGTCACATTCATTTCTGAGCAGTTACTTTAGCCGCAGGCATTTTCTACCTAGTTTTTGTTCCAGCATGTTGTGAACCATGAAACAGTTGAAACGAGCGAGTTTCTTATTTTGGTTTGAGCTGGTAGCCTAAACAGTTTCTCGATAATTTCTATAGCAATTGGGCGTTAGGAGTCTGTCCCTCGATATATCCCGTCATTTTCCAGGGCAGCAGGTTCTCAAATTGATTCTGGGATGGCGTTAGGAGTGTGCGGATGGATCGGCGCCTTTCTGTGCTGCGTTTTCTGCTCCGGAATGGTGTGCTTCATCATCTTTGGCGGCACCATCTTTGTCGGCTTCCTCGCTTTGTTCACAGCTGTCCACGAGTGCACTGGAGCGGACCTCAAGAATGCCGAACTTTGCATTCCGATCACTGCCGAACTCGGAAACGCCACCCTGAACTTCGAGCCAAAGTTCGACAATACCCAGGAGTTGGAGCGTCTCATCAAGTTGTGCGGAGATGCCACAGTAAGTTTTGAGAAAAAAAATACACAATTCCACCCATACTTCCAATTTTCAGCGCTGCATCAAGAATGTAAACTGCCTTTCCCCACGTTTGGATTTTATCAAAACTGAAAGAAATCATTGTGATGTTTACACCTTTATCAAGGAAGAATTCGGAACGTGCGCCGCCAAGCTAAAGCAGAAGGCTCAGGAGAAGAACGTGGATTGTCTGAAGTTCTTGTTCCAAGAGAAAAAGTGCGATAAGTGGTTGGACAATCAGGCGTGCATCGATAAGGAAATCCAGGCGGAGTGCGGTGTGGAAATACTGAAACGTTTCGGAACGGTACTGTGGTGTTCTTGATTTTTCATACGTTTGGTTTTTCAGATCTCGAAGGAGTTCAGAAAAGGAGCGTGCAAAGTGATCCCCGGTGCTAGAAGATGAAAATGTACTCTCGTCGAAAGCTTACTCAATTTGCATTTCACCCGTTTTCATAAGCAAATTATTTTTGTCTATATACCTGATTGACGGACATTTCGCAACCAATTAGTTGAAAAAGTCCATGATTTTTGTTGTTTTCGTCTCATTTGCTTGGTTGTCTAAGACATTCTCATTAATATGACTGATGATTCACAAACACAAACACACATGTCTATTATATTTTTCAGAGAGAAAAATTGTGGAAAATTATTCCACACTCTCACTATGACACATTTTAATTGGGTCTCACCTACTCCTTGGTCTTAATAAGGCCTCCACCCAACTTTTCCCCCTTTCCATTTGCATTGCGACCTTTTCTGGAGATTCACGAGCATTTTCTGGAAATGCACGTACGAAAGTTGACAAACGTTCTGCTCGGCGTCACTTGTGCACTCTGCATTTTCACCGCATTCCTCGTCTTTATCGTGGCGCTCATCTACATGAGTATCTTTGTGTTTTCCTCGAACGGAAAAGGAGCCGGGGGATGTTCACGAGGCGATCAGTCCCGAGGAATGGAGTGCGCGCCGGTGAGTTGTATTTTTATATTGTAGCGGTTTTGTAGTACTTTGTTCTTCTAGATAGTCACTTTTTCGTGAAATCACGCGACTACTGTAGCTTTCAAAAGTGTGCAATAATTTTTGCATACTCACAACTCTAGAGTTCTTCCTTCCACGAGCTGCATTAGATCGTAAAACGAACTGTCAACTACAAAAGAAACTACTAGATATGAAGATTTGACAAACAGTTTGGAAGTCAACAGTCTTTTTCTAAGATTTATAATGTTTTTTTTCAGAGAATTGAAGAGCTCTCGCTGGCTCTGGAGGAGCTGGAGCCCGGATACGCCAATCCGGGCAGGTTCAAGGAAATTGCCAACTTTTGTAATATCACCTTGGAATGCGTGGCGCCTATCAAGTGCAAAAGCATCACCAAAGAATACGAATTCGTTAAAGCATCCTGTGCAGTTTTCGAGTTAGCCTCCAACGATATAACTCTCTGCTTAAAAAGGGTAAAAGGCATTTTCGGTATACTGCACGATTCCTAATTCTGATTCAATTTTCAGCTCCAAAAACGTTTCCTCCACGGCACGCAAAGCTGCATTCACCAGATATTCTCGTCTCCCAATGAAAACAACAATGAGATCATGTGTCACGTTTATCGCGCGAATCGAGAGTGCTCCGAGTCGGAAATCCGTCAGACATGCGGAGAAGAGCTGGTGGACAAGTACGAGGAGCTTCTCGACAGAATCATGGAGCTGTTCAACTGTCAGCAGACTAATTAATTGCAATTTTATGTAATGAGAGGGCTTTGAGAAGTACACAACATTAATAAAGGGGAGAAAGGAGAGACGAAACGTGTGTCAGGTTGTTGCACTAAAATTGTTCGAACTGACTATATTTGTATGGGACCTTCCAGAGCATCCTAACACTGTCAAAACGACGTTTTTGTATTGAGACGATAAAAAAAAGCAGAGAAAACAATGAATAGAGCAGTTGAGCATCAAAATTGTAACAAAAATGATAGCGATATAATTGACTGTGAACCTGTACATTCGAAAGAATTTCGTTAATTTCAGAATCAACTTACAATACTTCGATCTGCTCGTAAAATATGTACTGTAACACATAAGATAATCCAATAGGAGCTTCTGCCAGGAAAAATGTGATGGTCATATAAATAATCACATTGGTCACATGATCTGAAGCTTCATGAAGTCCGTTTTGCAGCTCTGCTCTTCGTTTTTTCGCCTTTTCCAGTTCAATTATGAGCAATGCTGCTAAAAACGGATATAGCAGAGGCGGAATTAATTTGAGAGCTCCATCGAGCAGAAGATAAACTCTGTTGAGGTCCTCGCTGTAGTATTTGTCGAAAAAACTATTGGTATTAATCTCGTAATTGGGATAAGATGCATTTGGAGGCATTTCTGAGCATCTGAACTATATTTTATCACATTTTTTTAAATAAAAGAGCTTCAGAAACTAACTGATCAGGTGGAATCCATGGACAATACTCCACTATATGCATCCTCCCAAAATGCAAGCTGCTGACTAATGAGCATATTAAAAAAGTGTATAATATTATTTTCCAACTGCTCGAGGGCTTCAACAAGTGTCGAATTCTTTTGTTTGTGGGGAACTTTACAACTAGAGCTCTAACAAGAGCGAGCAGGACTCCGAGCCATGAGGAAATTCTTCGAAATGCATCCTTACACGCAGACAATATCCATTTGACCAAAGCGCGGAGCCACGTCTTTGGGGGAATGCTGTAAACTTTGAGTTGGTAGAATCTTCTCACGTTAAGCTAGTTCCAACTTTCAAAATCCACAGTACTCTTCAGGCTAGTTAGAAAAAAAGTTGTAATGACATGTATAAAAGAAAACAAGATTTTGTGTACCATTCTCGATCTTCCCCGCTATGCAGAAGCTCGGTAACGTTACCATCCACATAGTACATCAAAAATATAACATCGGCGACAGCGATTCCGATCATCAGAACGTTAGTGGCATTGCAACGCATTGGCTTTCTGCTCAAAATGAAAATGTGAAAAATGCTCAGAACCACTCCAATTATGCTCAGAGCAAACTGAATATTTGACATGCAAATGGCTATGGCTTGGGAGATGTTCATAATAGTTGTTAGAAGATTACTGGAATTTGGGGCTTCGGTGCTAACGTAGTCTGACATTATTTTCTGTGCAGGTAGAAAATGAATGACACGGAAACCCAAAAAGAAACAAATTAGCACTTGATTTGATTTGTTTGTCACTTGATAATATTGCTGTTTGGTTATGAGTTTTGATTAGACACCAATTTTTTTCTGGAAAAAAAGCTTCAGACAAAGATTAACTGTCAAAATGCGTGAACTTTGTCCTCAATTGATCGAACCTGTACTATCAACATTGGCAGTGGCTGAAAATGAAAATAATAACTTGTTTGGCAACAGCGGATCATTGATACTTGATAACAATTTTGTAAGAAACGTTTGTTTTCAATCTGTTAAAGTTTTTATCAGTAATCAATTGTTCAATGACCCTGTGATGCTTCAAAGATTTCGCTTCCTTTAAAACTTTTTCACATCAGTCTATTCAGAAACTTCTTTATTATCAACCATTCACACTCTTCACTCAAATTTCCACCTTATCACTGACTATTTGTGTACTCTAGTCTACATTGTCCACTTTCCTCATTCAAAAACAGTGAACCTCCACTTTTCTGCAACATTATTCATCAAATTATTTAAAATTTCAGTCATGACTTCAAAATCTGAAAACAGATTATCAAGATTTGGCTCCTATACTTTTGCCGTTCTGTTTTTGGCTTTCGCATTTATGCTCATGCTCCACAAACCGCTGCCACCTGGATTTTGTGAAAAATCATCGCTGGATAGAGTTACTGTACACATTTTCGAACCTTTTCTGCGAGCTTTCTACTATTATCCAGTGAGTTTTACTGAAAACTTTTGGCTCTATCAGGAGTATCAGGTTCCAAAGGCAGGATCCAGGTCCCATAATAATAATAATCAGTATCCAAGGTCGACTTACAGGTTCCACAAATATATAGGTCCCAAATATCAAGAAAAGGCAGGTCCCAAAGAATACTCAACATTTCCGTTCATAATCTTTTCTGGTCGCACTTTCCCAATGACAACGCTTTGCAGAGTACTTGTCCTTAAGCTATATTCATCGTATTCTAGGGATCTCACAATTGCGTTTAAGCCCCTAGAAGTACATACAAACATAATCACAAAAACATCAATACACTCTTATTCACACAAAACACACTCGCGACCATGATTACGGCGAAGCTTCTACATCTGGACAAGCTTGTACCGTGTCGTTGTCCGGTTTTCTTTTCATTTTGCGATCGTGTTCCAGTTCCATCTGAAGCGAGCTAGCTTTTAATTTGCTTAAAAATTTTGGATACCAATTTCATGAGTCCGCGCATTCCGAAGAGAATTGTCTGCAAATCTGCCGGCCCGTTTTGAATGAGCTCGTCAATTTCCGTGTAGTCAAAGTTGAGACGGGAGGCGCAAGACTCAGACAATTGTTTCTGAAATTATGAGAACGTTCGCAGTACGAAATACTGCTTTTTCGAATCTTACATCGAGAAGTGTCATCATCTCAATAGAAGTGTGCACACTTCTCACTCCGATCTAGAGCCAAACTTTTGATAAAACCATTTTTCGACAGAGCCGCCTCTTCTCAAACCCATCCAATCAAATCTGGTGGACCCGTCTGTCACTAAACTCCATGGCCAAACTAATAGGCCCAATTACAATATTTGATTGGACAGTACGGGTCAGAGATCACACGTGGAATGGCGTACATGTGAGAACTTTTGAGCCACAATTGATGACGAATTCCACGGGCGGAGCCGTCATTTTCATTCATGGTGGCGGATTTGCAATTGGAAGCGTTGACATGTACAGTAGCTTGACACAGAGGATGGCTAGAGAGTGAGTGCTGAAAAATAGACAATTTTGAAAAAAATAATTGCAGAATGAACACGTTTATAGTCTCAATTGACTATCGCCTATCTCCGGAAACAGTATTCCCTAACAACCTTCTTGACTGTGAAAAAGCGGTCGATTATCTGTTCTCCCATGGCAAAGATGAATTCGGAATTGACACCAGCCGAATAGCTATTGTTGGAGATTCTGCGGGTGGCAATCTGGCAGCTGCAATCACCCAAAGACGTGTGCGCCGAGGAGAGAAGCCTGAAATTTCGGCTCAAGTTTTGATTTATCCTCTTCTTCAGCTTCTGGATTTACAAACAGTTTCCTACAGATACTTTCACAAAAGGCTCAATGGATTTGCTTTTGTCGGTAAGAGGAAAATAACTATTTTTTGAGAAATTTAAATTTCAGACCCGGAATCAGTGGCTTTTTACTATATGTTATATGCCGGAGTCCCTATAAAAAAAGCCAAAGAGCTGGTGCCTGTAGTAACGAGCAATGGACATGTAAAGAAGGAGCATTTGAAGAAGATTGAAGAAGTATTGGGAACATTTATGGTGCTTTTTAAACATGTTTATTATAACAAGTTCAGAAGTTCTACTACCGTAATACACTGGAGTCCGATTACGCCTACAACCATTCGAAAATTCCGGAAAGATGGCCGGTCAAAGAGAGCAAGGAAGCCCAAGACCTGCTGGACCCCTTGATTTTTAACCCAGATTTTTCACCGCTGCTCCGTGAAAACCTTGAGAATCTACCTAAAAGCTTGGTGATTACATGTGAATACGACATTCTTCGGGACGAGGGAATCATATACGCTCAGAGGTTGAAGGTGAACTTTTATTTTGGATGAAGCCAAAAATGCATTCAATTCACAGGCAGCTGGAGTACCCACAAAGATGATAAACTACAAGAATGGATTTCATGCAATGTTGAACATGCACAATGAAGTGACAGAAGCTTCTGGCTGTCTCACAGATGTCATGGAGTGGATGGTCGATAACACGATGGCTCCTATTAAAAAATGATTTCTTTTTTGTGATCTGTTGCGTTTTTGTAAATTTTTGTTTCTATCAGTGCCCTCATAACGGTTTTGTGATTTGAAATTTTGACACTATAGTTTACGAATATTATAAACACGCTCTACGACATCCATACTGCTCTTAATGAGCTGAAGTTATGCGGTTCGCAACATCCGCACCTCATTATCTACATGCCGGGCCCGTGAAAAGGAAATCAGAGTTCAAGAGATCAGACTTTACACTCTTAATCTTTAGCCCCACCCCGTTTTCAGGTGGGCTGTCTAAACTTTATTCCTGTGTGTGTGTGTGTGCCACTGATATAATTCTAATCCAATACGTTATACGCCAACTTGCGTGCAAACTCACAAATACGTTTTCATTCTCAGATTATCTGTAATGTACTCAAGGAAATCTTTCTTAAGATTTCGCTGCGTTGTAATTAATTTTAAGAACTTGAGACTTTCCCTGTTCAATTTTTCTGATAATTTGAATATCACATGTTTTGAAGCTGTCTGGTTAGATTGCCGCGACTTAAAATTATGAGGTTCCGCGTGCACTAATATTTTATTTTATGTTAAAAACAACACGTGTTTGACTTGTTTAACTTCCAACCCGGCAAAGAATGAGTAAAAATCATCATAATAGATGTGGTCTAGTGGTGTCTGTTGTTTTCAAAACAAATACGTTCGGACTTAAAGTACATGTTCACCCGCTCACTTTGACACTTTTTTTTACAAAAATGTTGTAGTTATTGCCACTGACGCAGCTCGGCACAAAACGACTAGTAGAATGACAGTCTTAATTTAAAGGCTGGAATGTTATTCGTTTCTAGCATGGTAAACTTTTTGTACAATGGTACAATATACATACAATATTCATTTGCCCTTTAATGATCAGACCACCAAACATTCTTATCACTCATGTACCTTTGTGAGAGAAAAAGAGAAAAATGTTGATAAAAACATTCATTTTCCCCAATTTTTTCTTATTTTGCCACCTAATTAGGCCCTGTCGAGCCGTTGCAATTTCGATAATTCTCACAAGAATTTCCGCTGTCACGCACGGTTTTTAGAGATGAAATTTTAAAGTTTTATACTCTGAATTTACCGCTCTTGCCCCCTCGGTGTTTGTGTACTCAAGCCTAATTTCAGAAATGTTGGCATGAGTCTGCAAACACCGACGGGCAATAGCGATGAATTGAGTTTAATATAAAAGTTCTGGTGGCGTGATTTTCCTTTGAATTGTCACTTTTTGTATTAGATCAGAGTGTATTCTTATGTGTTTAGCAACAATTTGTGGAAACGGACAACGGACACAATGCAAAAATTGATGCCTGACTTCTCTTTATACTTTTTTTAGATACTCTATGTTTTCTATAATGCTCCAAAATACTATATTCGACTGGTCATTGTTTTATATAGTTCTTTAACTTTCACTATAAATTGACTTGAACAGTTCTCAGAGTACAGATTCTTAGAATACTTTTTATTGCATAAAATGCTCTATCACTCTGTAAATGCTTTTCATCAAAGCAAGAATGTAGCCTCGATCATTTGAAGATTCTTCTAATTGAATATTTGATTCTATTGTCTGCCCTTTTCCTCTCTCAAAGCCAATTCTTGTCATTTTTCTTCATCGAAGGCTTCTCCCAAAGTACACTACACTTTTGAAAAAGTTCAACGATTTTGCATCATCTCCTATTATATTTCTCTGTTCACGCCATTTTATCAGTGTATTCTATTCTGATCGCGACACGACAGAGTACACAAAAACAGTAGAAGAGGGATAGGAAAATTTGTGACCGACCATCAGAATACGTCCTCCACACACACGTGTTCTTATCAACTCCACTATTTTGCTTCTCTGTTTCTCTATCTTTCGTATCGATCGTGTTTTGATTTGAAAATTGTAATTGTCAGAGAAAATAAAATGGTTCGAGGGAAGTGTACAGTTTGCGACTCTCCAAACGCCACCAACTATCATTTCGGAGCACAGTCTTGTAAGGTAAATTTCAAAAAATGTTTGCGGTATTTGAAGATTACAAAAAATATATTTGCAGGCTTGTGCAGCATTTTTCCGTCGCAGCATCGCCATGAGACAGGACTACAGCTGTCTGGGAGATGGCTTCAAAGCATGTCGAATTGATCATAGTGAGTCATATTTGTGTAGTTGATATGAAGATCCCAGCTTGTTTGCTACCATTATAATTCAAAAGTTAAACGGAACAGAACAAAAAAAGATGTGAGAACCAGTTTTCCTGGCGATCATCAGCATTCTGTTCATACTCTGTAATGTGCTCCAGGCTACAGAAAGACTAGAGAAACCGTCACATCACATTTTATCTGATTTCTGCTCATACACTTTGGCTTTTCAGCTCTCCGTTTGAACTGTCGACATTGTAGGCTCAAGAAATGTTTACGAGCTGGCATGCTAGCGGATTGTAAGCCAACTTTTCAGAAGCCTTTGAGTTCCGTGATTTTACAGTAGTTCAAGCGAAAAGGGAGATAAAAATGGAGAAAAGTGCTCAAGAGTGCAGAAAGTATAGCAGCCATTCAGAAGAACAGTTAATGGAAGTTTATCAGCCGAACACTTCTTCATGTGAGTTTTTAAAAACTACAATTTAAAAAATGAATAAACGTGGGTCCGCTGCGCGGACCGAGCTTACTCTCCGAAGCGACTTTGCCGCTAGTTTGTTTTGCATAGATAACTGTTTGAAAGTTCACGTGTTCATTTCTCAATTTCTCCGTCACCATTAATTTCGTTTTAGAAATGAACGAACAATCAGAGAAATAAACAAAGAGGCAAACAGAGGGACAAACCCGTGAAGTGTTATATTAATAAGAATGATACGAAAAGAAAGAGAGTGTGAAACGTTTCTTTCTTAAATGAAAACTATGCCTCTTTGCGCGATTCTAACCCTGCGAAGCGAGTCGGAAAGAGAAATTATCCGGAACCGTTAGGCGACGGATAATCTTTCTTTTTCTTTCGAGCAAAAATAGAAGTGAAATGTGTACCGTATTTTCAGATTTCGACCAGCCGACCCCAGTGCTCACTCCTCCCAACATGTACCCTCCGCCGCCAATGTCCGATGCATTTTATCAACTTTCGGAGAACGAATGGGACTATTCCCCGCCGTCTGAAAAGTGTATGAGAATGACGGAAGATCTGATGGGATACGACGAACTGCAGCAGTTTATAATGATGCCGACGACAACTCGGATTGAGATTGGTGCAGATGACTTTCAACCGACCGATGCTGAAATTCGATCTCGAGTGAATTCCGTGTCAGATGCCGGCGGATATTTCATGAGTTTCGAAGAAGAGGAACGACTCCAAGAACTGGCTGCACTTTACACAGATCTGGTGGTTAATATCAATGTGAAAAGGAGGATCACTTATACTGATAACCTGATTGCCAGTGCTTTCGATGGCGCGTGTGTTTGCGTACGTTCTAATAAGAGCAAAAATCAAAAATAATGCACTGTTTTCCAGCCTTACGACAGAACGAATGTCAAGTCATTCGACCATCGTACTTATCGTCAGAAAAATCGAAACGACTACCTGATGATCATCGATTACATCACCAGATTCCCCGGCTTTCAGCAACTGACAAAGTCTGAAAAAACCGTTTTATTCCGAACGGCCGCCGCAGTGGATATCCTTGTAGATCAGGCGTATTACAGTCAAATGTGAGTTTCACATATTTCAGCAAAACGACTTATTTTGTTTCGTTCAGAATCTTCCCAAACGAGGAAAAACTGGTGACTGCAAACGGAGAATGTCTCTCGATGAACCCGCTTCCACAGCCAGAGTTTGAGAGAAGCTATAGACAGTTTGATTCGGATGAGGAGTACGAAAAGTACAAGTTAGTTCAAACTTACAATAACATTTAGAATATCAAAGCATTTCAGAGCTTTGACCGAAATGAAAGTCCGTCAATGGACAAATACTGTTGAGCCGCTGAAAAAGATGAACATGTCACTGACCGAGTTTGCACTTTTCAAAGCGCTTACCATTTGGCATTATAGTAAGATTCTAAATGGTTTCTCAAGAATGTAAAGTATTAACAACTTCAGACCACTTCAAACTGGACGTCAACAACGGCCGCCAAGTGAGTTCCCGACAGCGGGCTGACATCTTCCGGACTCTTCTGATGATATGTGTGCAAGAGGATCCTGAAAATGGATTTCTACGTGCTTCAGAGCTGGTTCTCAACATCTCCACGATAATGCTCGAGATTCGTACAATGGTCGAGCAGTACATTCAGTTAATTGTGTTCGACACAATGGAGGATCCGATTCTGAAGGATATGCTCACTTTTCAATACTGATTCTAATCATTTTTGTACAATACTTTCTCTCTTTTTGCTCTCCAAAACATGCGGGTGCTTAATATTATTAAATTATATAATACACTTTTTTCTGCAGATTTCTGTGTACGTTCAGTTCCAAAGCGGATTGCGCGCGTGACACAAAGACTAATTTATAGTTGTGCTTACTGATAATACTGTTTCCGGAATTATTGACTAAAAAAGTTAATTAATCATCAGAAAATGTGCACTGAAACTCCTGGCACGAAGAATAATTCAGGATTTTGAGTCTGACAATTAACTATTATAGGGGCACTGCACAGAAATGGCGCTCTGTTGAGAAACTCTTTTTGCAGTGCAAATTGAGCGACCTCGGGGCCGAGTTTGAAAAGTTAGGCCACGTTTTCAGTGGAAAATGACTTCGCGGCCTAGAAATTCTGCCAGATTGCGAACAGCGCGCCCTTTCTGTCCGGTGCCCCTATAATAGTTTCGTTACTAATCTGTCTTAAAAATCAAAATGCTGAAGCTTTAATATCTATCCATTTCAGCTAAAAAAGTGATCTCTGCCACTGCCAACCGTCAAAAACGATTCCGATCTTTCGGTATCACGGAACTACTTTCTCCTCGTAAAATGGTCATTTTCAGGCCTGATGGAGATCATTTAATGGCTTTCTCCCACTGAAAAGTGATCTATTCTATTCTCGTCCACCCTCTTTTTTTTCCAAAAGTGTGATAAGACGGAGCTGATCATGCTGGCGATGATGATCGAGAAGCTTACGTGTCTGATAACACACTTTCCGGGAAACAAACAAGTTTTACGAGCATGAGCTCCGTCTTGGTTGTCGCACGGTGAAGGACAATGATCATCATTCAGAAAGGCAATTGTTTCTTTTTTTTACAGGCAGACTCTCAAAACTTTGGGAAGAAATGAAAGAATATAAGGAACAGTGGAACAGTGACTTACAGAAAAGATGCGAATGCCGAGCGCTCCCCAGTTTTGTCAAGTTTTCATTGACAGGTCGCTCACATTGTCAGATTGTTTATCTTAGAATACAGCAGAGCATATCGGAAACGTTCTAGATTCTTACAGTCAGCCAGCTGGATTCAGTCGACTTCGAATGGGCCAGGTAGAATTCAGAATTGATACTTTTTTGTCCTACTACTCCCAAGAGTACCGAATCTGAAAAATCCATTCTCGCTTCGTTCCATTTGTTTTCGCCGAATCGCAAGCACACTTTTGTATGTGTGTGTGTATGCAACGTGGCGCCACGAGTGTTCCGGGTGTTTTGTGACAGTCTTCTCTCTCACGTGGCCTCGCTTTTCATCGGAATCGTTAAAATTGGTAAGAAGAGTGATAAGAACTCTCGGGAAAGAGTGGCAATAATCAATTGATACGGGGGGAAACCACCGAAATGGCAAATATTTGGCATTCCAATTGAATCAACGATCTTCGACTTTGGAATGGATTTGGATAACTACAGTATGCGATATCGGAATTTTTTCCGAAAAAGAGAAGAAATTACTAATGTGAAAAATGATAAGATCAGCGTCAACTACATGACGGCATTTTCGTGTTGAAAAGCTTGTGAAAAGAGAGGACAAATACGGGCGAACATTAGTCATCAACACTTTTTTGCCTATTCAATCTAGCATTTTCCTCTTTATGGCTTTTCTAGAAATCTGTCGCAGTCTCGATATGAAACAATCTCCAGTAGATTAAGGTAGTAAAAAGGAAAAACCCCTCAAGTACTGTAATAAGTCCACAGGAAATTTTACCCTTTTTAAAATTTCGTGGTGAGCACTAGCCAAAGTTTTACCATTTGGAAAAAGTACGAAAACGTTCAATATTCCTTTTCGTACATATCATATGTTTTCTGACAGAAATCATCAGAACAAGTACATCATCACTATCGCATTTCCGTGTTTTTCCCCAGATAATTTCATTCAAATTTTCAAATTTTATTACACGCTCACTCAATCTGTACAAAATATTACATCACTTTTTTGGCAGCTTCTACAAAATTATCATCTTCTTCACAAGCTCCTCCCCACTTTTGCCAAACATCACTGATTTTTGGCTTCACAATAGGCAAGAAGAGGCGGTGCTTTGAAAAGAAAGTGGACAGTATAAAATGGGAAAAGTGAGGACAAAAAGCAGAAGATACTGATTTGCAGTCGCCTCGAAAAGTTCTCCTTTCCAATGCCCGTTCATCATCATCACCACCAGCACCACGTGTCGTTTCAGAAGATCAGTGAGTAGAGGTTCCATCCTTTAAGACGTTGTTTTGGGTTTATGATAAACCGTTTATCTTCTTCTTTTGCCGTCTGTTTCAATAGTTGTAAAAGAACCCGCAGCTTTTGTCTTTTTCCGCAGAGTTTCGAAGATCAAAAAAAGTTTTTATCAGTGAGCCCGAAAGTGTTTGCCAACACAACAAGATAGTTTAATCAGTAATATAATATAGTTGCCTTTCCACGAGGTGTCTGTTATCTTTGGAAAGTGTCAATCAAAGATCACCAAAGAGGAACTTGAATTATTGGGAAAGCAATTGAGCGACAATACCACTTTTTGCAGAGAAGATCTTCTCGAAGCACTCGTCGCACGACAAGAAACTGACTCGTGATGAGGCCCGTTCGGCTCTTCATGACATAGAGCACCTGGCCAAGGAGCTTCACTTCAAGACGGTCTTCGAGCAGCACGCTCACGACGGACACATCTCTTTGAAGGGTAATTTCACGGGGAAGCGTGCTTGTTTAACATTTATCTTTTTTTAAGGATTCCTCAGCTTCATCGCGCCACATCATGGCCATCACGGAGCTCACCACAAGCCAGGACAACACGAAGTGCATCATCATCATCATCATGTGGCTGCCAAGGATTCGAGCTCCAGCTCTTCCTCGAGCAGCTCCAGCTCCAGCTCTTCTTCATCTTCTTCATCGTCGTCGTCGTCGTCTTCTGAATCGGAAGATGAGAAGCACAAGAAGAAGCACCATAAGAAACACGCCAAGAAGAGCCACAAGAAGGTGGAGAGCTCTTCCTCGAGTTCCTCTTCTTCCTCGTCAAGCTCCAGCTCTTCGAGCTCTTCGTCTTCGTCCTCGTCGGAATCTGAAGATGAGAAGAAGAAGAAGCATGTGAAGAAGACCAAGAAGCACCATAAGAAGGTGGAGAGCTCTTCCTCGAGTTCCTCTTCTTCCTCGTCAAGCTCCAGCTCTTCGAGCTCTTCGTCTTCGTCCTCGTCGGAATCTGAAGATGAGAAGAAGAAGAAGAAGCATGTGAAGAAGACCAAGAAGCACCATAAGAAGGCTGCAAGCTCTAGCTCCAGCTCCTCCAGCTCCTCCAGCTCATCCGACTCGGAATCAGAGGAAGAGAAGAAGCCACGTCACAAGAAGCATCACAAGAAAGTTGAGAGCTCCAGCTCGTCTTCCTCTAGCTCCAGCTCCTCTTCGTCTTCCGAGTCGGAGGATAAGAAGAAGCATCACGGACACCAGAATGAGCACAAGGAGCATCACCACGCTCTAGCCCACCATGGAGAACACCATCAAGGACATCATGCTGAGCACAAGGAGCATCATCATGCCCCGCATCATGAGCACGGAGCTCACCATGAGCATGGCCACCACGGAGAACACCATCATGCCCCGCATCACGGACATCATGGAGAGCACGGAGACCATCATACAGCGCATCATGGAACCCACCACGGAGAACACAAGGAGCATCATCATGGCCATCACGGAGACGCCCATCATGCGCCGCACCACGAGCACGGACACCATGGAGAGCATGGGGTTCACCATGGTGAGCATCACGGAGGAGAACACCATCATGTGAAAGAGCATCATCACGGAGACGCCCATCATGGCGAGCACCAAGCAACTCATGGACATCATCATGAGCACGGCGCTCACCACGGGCATCACGGCGCGCACAAGGATGGGACCCACGGAGCTCATCACAAGCATGGACATCACGCAGAGCACGGAGCTCATCATGGAGGACACCACGAGCATCATGAAGCCGCTCATCACGGACATCATGGAGAACACGGAGCTCACCACGCTCCACACCATGAGCACGGGACCCACCACGAGCATGGAGCTCATCACGGAGCCCACCACGAGCATGGAGCTCATCACGGAGCCCACCACGAGCATGGAGCTCATCATGGAGCCCACCACGAGCATGGAGCTCATCACGGAGCCCACCACGAGCATGGAGCTCATCACGGAATCCACCACGAGCATGGAGCTCATCACGGAGTCCACCACCAGCATGGAGCTCATCACGGAGTCCATGGAGAGCATCATCACCACGAGAAGGAGAACCACCAATCGAAGAAGTCGCACTCCAAGAAGCACTCGAAGAAGTCGCACAAGAAAAGCCACCGTCGCCACTAGACGAGCCGTCCGGGACCTGCTCGTCACTTCCCTAATCGCCTCTTTGTATCATTTGTATTTTGAGTCCTACTTATAAATTCTCTATTTTTTTCGAGAACTAATAAATTTTCTAGAGGGAGCTCTCAGATTTTGGAAAAATTCTCATTAAAAGGTGCAATTTTTATCTCTGGGGGATCTATTAAAAAGGACAACATTATTTTAGAGGGAAGATAATGATAACGCCACAAAAGAGGACAACAAACTAAATGGATTCAAATAAAATCGGGAAGGAATTCTGGGGAAAAGGAACGAAAACGGGGAACGGAGGTGTGCGGTGGAGGAAGAGGAAGGAGCTGGAGAACAATACGATCCGCGTAGTCAGTTGAGAGGGAACGTTGGGGAAGAATGACAGGGTTCAGCTAAAATCCGAACAACCTGTTCGCGTAGGCCATCGGAGGCATCTTCGGGTGTGGAACCGAGTCGAACGACGTGAAGCGCGGCTGAAAATGGAAATTTTTGAAAAAAAAGAGATCACATTTGCAACAGAGCGCATTCACCCGATAGTTATTCTGAAAATATATTCGACTAACCGTCAAATTGTCGCCTGTGATGGTGATGAACGCGCCCTTGTTATTCATTTGATCGCAATAGTTCGGCGCCGAGAATACTGTGTAGCACTGTCCGTTGTGGTGAGCCTCGTACCCTTCCGGTTTTACCTCGTGGCTTCTGCAAATCATTTTTTAAAGGATTTAATGATTTTTTTTCCATTACCTGACAACATATTCCACTCCGTTCTCTTTGCACCATTTAGCCGTCACATCTGGCCCGAATTGACAGCCGACGCCACGTTTCGATGGGCTTCTACCGTTGATTGGTTGCGGATCCGACCTAAACCACTTTTTTCAGGAAAAACAATCTCTGTGCAAATGTGTTTTGTACAAAAATTGGAAAAAAGGCTGTACCACAAGAGATCGCACATGATTCCCTCGTCTGGCGGCTGCCGATTGCGCTCCGTCTTGCGAATATCGTCCAAAGTGACGCCGTCGTCTTTGAAAAGACCTCCGTGGCACACGAAAATCTTCTTGTTGATCAAATGGCACAACGGAAGGAAGCAGAAAATTTCGGTGAAGAATTCCGACATCTGGGACGTGTACTTGGCCTTCACTTCGCCCTCGAACCCGTACATTTTGTTCATCACATCCGATTCGTGGTTGCCGCGCGACATGAAAAAGTGGTTCGGGTAGAGCAGTTTGAAGCCGATCATCGTGAAAATCGTCTCCACCGAGAACGAGCCGCGGTCGACAAAGTCTCCGTTGAACAGCTGAAATCACTTTTGCTGAGCTTCAGACGGAACATTTAATGGAACTCACATAAGGATTGGTCTCACTGGGCCATCCGTTGATCTCGAAAATGTTGATAAGATCGTAGAATTGTCCGTGTACGTCTCCACAAATTGTGAATTTTTTGCCGGCCGGCACATCAATCTCCACCATCGTCGGTAGCGCTTTGACATAGTTGTAAAAGTCCAGAAGCATCTTGAATGCGTACTTTTTATGCAATTTCATCTGTCCCTTGAACTTTTCAATCAGTTCCATCATAAATTCCTTGGTGATTCGGTCCTCGAGATGTGGACCTGTGTAGGCGTCCTCGATCGCCATCGCGTTCACGTCGATGCTCTCCGCAATGCTCTTTTTGTCGTGATCGGTCGATATAGCCTTTTCGAACTGCTGCCGACGCCAAATTTTCTGGCATTCCTCGAGTTTTGCCTGAAAAAAGTTTAGTTTAGAAGAAAGAAGTTTCTAAAGTTGTCAGAGAAACTGCAAAAAGTTTGTAATTTCCTACAATTATCTCTGTATCATTCACCTTCGCGTCTTTATCGTTCGGTTTGACTTTGGCGACTGCCTGATAGTCGGTGAGTGCTTTTTTGAAGCGTCCAAGTGCCATGTTGGCAGTGGCTCGTCGATAAAACCCCTTCACATAGGAAGGATCGATGGCTATGGCGTTGTCGGCGTCTTCCAGTGCGGATCCGTAGAGCTCACGCTTCAGGTACGCCTGAGCTCGGTTTCCATAGAGCACGGCCGTCGGATGGATCTCCAGCGCCACTGTGTACAAGTCTATCGCCACGTCGTACACTTGATCTGCAGATTTTTCGAGTTAAAACTTTATAAAATTTTTCGCCTAAGTGGTTATGCTATCGGGACGTTTGAATTTGAATGCGCTCTACCGCATTCCCACGTGAAAACCCGGCCGCTACCGCGACGTTTTCTAATTTACAAGTTAGCATTTAATTCACGTGGTGTGCGGTAGAGCGCATTCACGTTCAAATGCTCCGATAATATTTTCAACGTGTTTACACTAAAAACCAATCACTAACCTTTGAAAAACTGATTCGCCTCATCTTTTATCATCCCCGCCTTCATTTTCTCGTCCTCGTACGACTTGTCCTCGATCTGCTCGAGCACTGTCGCTACTATGTCATCTGTCAGTGTGGCAGTCATGCTGAAAATGTTGAATTCAGCTTCCCCGATTTTAAAAAACAAAATCAATATTTTTGGGACTACTCCGATTCTAATAGGATTTATTCGGTTTTCAATTAGTTTTTTGCGCTCAAATTGAGCATTTAGCGTTCAAATCTGTTTAAATATTGTAAATTTCGAAAAAGAACGAGGTAATACGAAGAAAAAGTATAAAATTTGGGCCAAAACTGACACTCCACTGATTTTTTTGTTTTGTGCATGTGTCGATTTACGATAAACCGTGCGCGATTGCGTTATTTCGGAGCGACGTTGGAAACGAAAAATGCGTTCTCATCATTTTCTCCCGGAAATTTTTAAATTTAAGTGAATGTCAAAGCTCGGCGGAGCCACTGCGAGAGTCGTCAAAGGTGCACTCAAAGTTCGGCAGTCCAGGTACGCCTTTTTTGCCCATAAACTGTGTGTGCGTGTCATAAAACTAACGGGAAAATTAGTTTCAGAGCGGCTCTGACACTCACCAACGAAGCAGTCAACAGAATACGAGTATTGCTTGCTCAAGAGAATAATGCGAATGCCTTGAAAGTAAGTTGTTGGCGAAATTCAGTAAAATTTCATAACTTTTCAGATTGGAGTGCGTCAAAAAGGTTGCAATGGCCTAACATACACGCTTGAATATGCCACAGAAAAGCAGAAATTCGATGAAGAAGTGGAACAGGTCATAAATCGCTTTTTTTGCAAAAAAACATTCACAATTCACCCGAAAATCAGTAATAGTGCCTCAGTTTCCGTTAAATTTTTCTGTTCTTAAATCAAACTTAATAGTAATTACTAATAGCAAAACATTCTAACGTTACACTAAAAACATCAAAATATTAAAAAAAAAAGTAATTTCTCCGAATTATTTTGGAACATACAAACATGCTGAAAGTACTTTAATTTGCGCATTCTTCATCACAAATGTATTGTCAAATTTAATAAAAACTCATTCAGCGCATCTAAAAAGTCCCTTTCACTATTCCGAAAATTGCAGGACGGTGTAAAAGTGTGGATCGAACCGAAAGCTCAACTGTCACTTCTCGGATCGGAAATGGACTACGTGACGAACAAATTGTCGTCAGAATTCGTTTTTCGCAATCCGAACATTAAAGGAACGTGCGGATGCGGTGAATCTTTCAGCATTTGATTCTTTCAAATTTTTTGTATACAAAACCTCAATTTTAGCATCATTCACGTGTACATTCTAGATATTTTCGACTAGTTCTCATTTTTTGTAGTTATAATAAAGTTCAAAAGGCTTTGTAAAATTTTACATTTTCTAACCGAAAAGTCAATACATTTTACAATGAGCTCGACTGATAATCTCCCCTCACTCGCTGGTTGCTCTGGCAACTAATCTGCTCGTCTGCTCAATTCCTCTCCGTTTTTTTTTCAGCTCGCAATGCTCATCTCTCGAGGTTTAACTCTATTGTTTTAAGTTACATATTTTCTGACAGAAAATCGTGATACAGATTTACAAATGCAAAATATCGTACGGCCGCTGGGAATGACCAACTCACAGCCATTCGGATTGTGTTTTCATGTCAAAGTATCATTTTGCATCGCTTTTTATTTCAAAAATTGAGAAAAAAACGTGTCGGTGTACAACTTGAAAGGTGAAAGAGATTTGAGAAGAAAAGAAAGAGTTCCATCCGTGCCAGGCCTTCCCCAATGCATTGACGCTTTCCGATCAAGAACGGGATTAGTTCCTCCACTTTTTTCAGTCTGCTATTCTCGGGGAATCGATCCGGGTTGAAGTGGTACGGATCGGGGAACATCTGGAAAAATTGAGGTTTAACCGGTGCGAAATACTGTTTGCAGATTCCTTCGTTTCCAGTACAATTCATGGAAATTTTTCACTTGTTCCCAGAAGACTCAGCCAAACAAGATCGTGCTCTTCTCGGATGTGATTATTGTAAAGTTTCAAAGCGGATCACAGACCCAACATTCGCAACAACGACTTCACTCACGAGCACATGGAACTTCATACGAATACTCACAATTTTTCTACATTCACAGTAATTTTCACAGTAATGTTTTTCGTGGAATACAAAAAATAATAATAAAAGGTTACACTGTATTTGAGTATCCTAACACAAAAGTACGTGTCCAAAGAGTCGTATTGTGAAAATAAAAGTTGACAGAGCTCTCTCATCTGCTGAAATTGTGTTCACTGCGGTTTTATGTTGCCAGTGTGGGGCATCTGTCCGTCTTTTCCATTCAATGTCTCTCTTCTTCTCCCCCAATCATTTCCGTTTTCCATTCATCTCTTTTTTTGTTCTCTTCTGCAGACGTTCCTTTTTTCCGTCTCACTTTCACTTTGCAAAATATTTCATCATAACCCCCCGACACGCCGATCCAATCGCTTCGGAATTATAAAAGAGATCGGGCGCCCCCAGAAGATATTTATCGCCACGACAACTGTTCGCTTCCCAAAAAGCATTGTGTGATTCGGAGAGAGTGCAGAGACATTGAGGGAGAAAGTTGAAAGGGGATTGCTACGGGGGGTGTAGGATGGGGGAGGAATAAGAATAGATCATAACAATAATAATAATAATCGAGTGACTGACTTCCACATTCATTTTATTATAACTTATGCGCATAGACGTTGTACTAGTTTGGCATTCTGTCTAAATTGAGACCGTACTAGAACTTTTTCTCATATCCCCTCCTGTAGATCAAAACCTGAAGACTTCACTTTGAAACATTGAGCTCTCTTTTGCCAGTCCATCTAAAATGAACCAGTTTCCTCCTCTTTATGCTTTTTCTCGTTTTGCCAACTGATAAACGGGCTCAGGTTGACACTCTTCTTATCAAAAATCAACAAATAGTTTCCCTCTTCTTCTATTTTTTATTTTTCTGTTTGCCTTCTCCCACAATCTGAAATGTTGCCATTTATTTACGAATTTCTGATTTAATTCGATCAGAAAAATTGAATTAAATTTCAAAAAAGCGCCAGAAAGCCTAGAGAATCTTAAGAATTTCTGTTACAACACAACAGAAAGTGATCAGAAATCGTAATGAGGGAAAGAAGACAGAACTTCTTGTTCCATACGTTTTTTTAAAATTTAAATTAATACTTGAAGCTGTGAGCTCACTTTAGCGAAGTAAAACTCTAGAAAAACGCAATTTCTCTTTAAAAGATACCAGAAAACTCGCAAATTCCGATGATATCCCAAACGGGCGGCGTTCCTCCTAATTAGTCATGCGTTCGGAAAGAAGGAATTCCTTTTGCGGAATGTTTCTGTCAGCATCAATTAGTTTGCCGCCTTTTCCTTTTTTGCCATATCAAATTGCAATAGCCACCCCACCTCCTCAGTCATTTTTCTCACAATTTTCCAAGGCACTTCTTTCTATTCTGAATGTATTGTTCAAAACAGCCTTGTGATCAAATTCATGAAATTCCTTTGAGAATTAGGGTCAAATTAGTAGAGTAGGCTAGAGATGTTTGTACTCTTTCCAATTGAACTTCCGTCCCCAACCCTTTTTTATTACGGCAATAACATTTTTTTGGGGTACTCCACTTTTCCTTCTATTTCTTCTCCAAACTTTTTTGCTCGTTTCTTTTTAAAATCCGTTGCCAACATCATTTTTGCAGTGCTCGAAATGTCAATAAGCAACGGCTGGTCGTCCGCCTCAATTATATCGGACGTGCTGCCGGAAGAGGAGTTCGAGGAGGTTGACGAAGAAGGTAACCACTATTTTCTACCTACTTTTCGTCATTGTTGCCTTCTTTTTCTGCTTTTTGGCCCTCTGCTCTATTTTCAATGATTTTCAAACTAAAAACGCAAAACGATGAATCCAATTTTAAAGTGAAATTAGTGAAAATCTCTGAAAATCATAAACGTTTTCCCACTTTTTGCTCCCGTTTCAAAGTGATCGTTCTGCTCATCCTCACCGCAGAGTGCTTCAGAACCCCCATGAATTCATGATGACCCCTGGAAAAGTTTGGCATTCCAATGAATAGTTGAGCGCTGAGCCCTGAGCACACATTTGGAGCATTTCCCCCAGTCTTCTGTGATCCGCGCAAATGTTCAGTGTTCCGGGCTTCTGTACCTCAAGAGTTCAGCAGCCGAGAGGAGCCAATTTTTGTAAGTTAGTGTGGGGAGAAATTATATTTTTTCTTCAGGTTTCCTTTAAAATGTTCAATTTTTAGATGAACTTGTGCTCACTGACAATGAACGACTGCGTGGGCGAGTGGAAGAGTTGGAAAAGATTGTTCTGATGCAGAGAAATGAAATTGTAAGTCTTATTACTGTACATATATACCTACAGTAACCGTTCAGATGCTTCTGCAAAGCTCCACAGTCGAAATATTGAGAAGGCTACAGAACTTGGAGTTGAAAGAGAAAACGAGCAGTTCGGCATCTTCTATAGGATATAATTCATGTAAGAAAGTACAACAAGACATTGTACGTTATCCGCGAACACCATACACTTCAGTTCCCCGATCGGTGGCCCGAATTTCCGGCTCCAAAAGCTCCTACTCGATGTCGCCATCGCCAGTCCCTCCGCCCCACTTGCCACGTCATCATCATCATTATAACAACAATAACAGTGACGTGGCCTCATCATCTTCCATGCCACGTCGTCTACCAACACGTGGCAGTGACATGGTAAACGTGTCGGTGGGCAAGTCGGCGAGAGGATCGCCGATGCGAAAATGGGTGTCGAGCCAGGACATCAAGGATCAGGACAGGTTTGGCAGAAGACTTTCGACGTCGTCGGACGCCAGCACAAGTACCACTATGAACCCGATCGTCAACAGTGTTCGGAGGCTTTCGACGTACGTTTTTGAGTGATTCCCTCCCTCTGCATGCTCTTTTCCCTTTTCTTCAGCACCCACCGTCAATCGAGCCCTTCACTTCTTTCCCTTTGCTCAATTGCCTCCAGAAATTCTGCAACTTCTTCTGTCTTGCGGTGTGTGTGTGTGTGTGTGTGAATGTTTTTTCTTGTTTGTTCGCCTCACCTTTTCCTCGAGCCTCTCAGCCTATTTTTTGGTAATTTCCAGAAGAAACGCCCGAACGTGTCACTTTTCCTCCGGCAGTTCACAACTTCCTATCTTCATTTCGGGAAAGAGTGTCCAAGTTCCAGTGCCAACTGGCTACGAGAATCTGGATCCGACAGCCGATCAGGATCCGCCGAGCATCAAAGCCACGTTGAAACATGTTTACAGTAAGAGAAAATAATGGCTACAGTAATCATGCGTCTCATTTTCCAGGTTATCGCGGAAAAGATGTACGATCCAATGTGGAAACTCTGCCAACGGGTGAATTGGTATTCTTTTCGGCGAACTTGGTTATTTTAATGAATATCACTGGAGAGGATCGGAGTCAACGCATCTATCACGGACATACTTGTGATGTCAAATGGTACGAATTTTCATATTAGAACCAAATTTTGAACTCTCTGACAATTGCAGCATAGCTTTGCATCCGAACAAAATCCTCATCGCTTCCGGTCAGTCGTCTTGTCATTCCCTCGAAAAATCTTTGAAATCCGAGCACACCTCTCCCGTGGAATCCCCGGAAGAGCTCGTGAAACAGCTGGAAATGGAGCACACGGAAGCGCACGTTCGTATTTGGGATACTGTCAAACTGACGACTCTCGTGATACTCAACGGATTCGAAAAAGGCATTTGCCACGTGGCATTCTCGCAAACCGATTCTGGAAGTCATTTGGCAGTTGTGGATGATTCACTGAAGCACACACTGTCGGTTTGGAGTTGGCAGAAAGGGAGCAGAGATGGAGAGGTCAAGGTGAGTGTGGGCAACGGTATCTAGCACATGTTGAATTACGGTAATCGCAACTTTTCGTAGGAATATTTCTGATTGCTATAATTTAGTCTATAAAACCTTAAAACAATCCTTCTAGGCCGCCAACGACGTGGTTTTCGAGTGTAAATGGCACCCGACCATCCGAAATCTACTCGTGCTCTACGGAAAAGGACACTTCTCCTTTTTCACCTACAACCCTGCAACTGGCGTTTTTTTAAAGACTGTCGCCACTTTTGAGGGTCGGGACAAGCCGAAAACAGTGCTGAGTCTGTGCTTCGGACCGGACGGACAAGTGGTGACCGGGGATTCGAATGGAACAATATCCATTTGGGATCCGAAGACTTACAGGACTTTGAAACAGGTTTTTTTTTCATTTTTGCTACAACTTGTGCAAAGAGTATTTTTAGGCCCATTCAGTGCACCCGGGAGGCGTCTACGCTCTGGCTCTTGCCAAGTCCGGAAAAGTACTGTCTGGCGGCAAGGACCGCATGATAAGCGAGTGGGATTGCAACGATTTGGTCCGGTCCAGACGGCCTGTTGAGGTAATTTGTTTTTTGAATATTCTAAAAAATGAAAAGTATTATTCAGCTTCCCGATGAGAAAGGTTTTCCACGAGTTATATTGCAAAATGGAGCGGGTCTCATAGTTGGAACATCTTCCAACACACTTTTGTACGGAAATATAGAACATAACGGTTTGACAACGCTTGTAGAGGTACAAAATGTCAAACTTGCCCTTTTTGCATCCAAAAAAAAACGTTTCAGGGTGATCCTGGTGACCTGTCAACCCTCCTAACCTGTGGATCCAACCAACTCATCACCACTTCCCAGTGCGGAACCGTTCGGATTTGGAACATTTCCGAGAAAAAAGTGGAATACTCGAAAAAGTTCATGGACGCAGTAGAATGCGTTGACGTGGATGCAACGCAGACGCATTTGCTGCTGGGATTTGCGGGCGGCATGTGGAATGTGATAAATATTGGAAAAAAGCAGACGATCAAAGAGCATCGCGAAGGCACGACGCCTATTACTGCGGTGAAGTTCACACCTGTTGGAAGCACTTTTGCGGTGGCGACCAAGGTAAGAAAGAAAAAAAAAATTATCCGGTCATTTCGCCACCAAACACTTCCAGGACCCCTCTCTGACCATCTACCGCATCGACGGCTCCAAGAATCTTCTGGTAATCTCCAGAATCCACCACCTTCCGTCTCCACTCGTCGCCATCGACTTCTCCGATGATTCGCAGCACATTCGGGCTCAATCCACGGGAGCCCATTTGCTTTTCTGGTCGAAAAGTGGCGAGATTTGTGATGGGAGTAGTGTAAGAGATGTGAAATGGGTCAGTTCTCGAGTCAAAATTGGATTCGAGTCGGCTCTCGTCGCACATTCCTCTAATGGTGAGTTTGAACGAATATTGTCAAGTTCTAGAAACTTCCTATGGATTTTCAAAGTTTGCCTAAAAAGTTGATATCAGAACCTGTTTTAATTTCAGGTCAAGTTAGCTCAGTGGCTCGAACCGATGACCTTTTGGTGGTTGGCATGGAAAACGGCACAATCAGACTTTATCAGAATCCGGTGACAAGTGTTACGGTATGTCTCAATGTCTTCAAAAACACAAAACACGAATATTCAGGCCGGTTTCATCGAGCTGTTAGGTCACGGAAAGCTGGTGAAATCTGTGAGCTTCTCCTCGAAACCCTCGCAATTATTCTCGTGCTCATCCACTGATAATTCGATTTTTGAATGGACATTGGAATAAATTTTTGATTTTTCTCCCGCCCAAAGTGTCAAAACAGTACGAATCGGAGGGATTCCCACGAGAAACGTGTGTGCAAACAGTAGAGTGCGTGGAAGGTGGCAAAACAAGCACGGAGGTGTCATGCTGTGCGGCTGGAATATGGAAAAGAAAGGGGGAAGGGCTAAAAGGAGACGTGGGAACGTAAACAAGGTCCGTGGGAATGGGAAAGAAGAGGACACTTTGCAACCGAGTCACTCTGCAACTAAACTGAGCACTAGTAGACTTGGTAGTGATCAGATCGACTGGAAATTTCGCAAAAAGCTGTTGTGGTTGCAAAGTGTGAATTCCTTCCACTCCTCCACTAGCACCTTCTCACTTTCCTCTGCGTCATTTGGATCAATCTGGAGGTGCGAGTTTGCATACAATTGGGAGTTTGAACGGTCATGACACAAATACCAATATGTTGAAACAATTTATATGAAAAACAATTACTAGACAAAAACGAGAAAAATGCTGTAAAAATTGAGAAGGACTGAAAATACCGGTCGTCTAGAGATGGTATTGAAAATGTACGGAAAAATGATGAACTGAGGTAGGAGTGGTATTTGAGTTGAGATCTGCCCAGGTCAAAGATCAATAGGAAGAGAAGATTTTTTCAGAGATCTGCGGTGGTATTGAAGTTGTTCGAGCTGAAAAATGAGCGTTTAGGCAATTTCACATGGTGTATCGGCACTAACCTGTAGAGAGAGTATCCAGTGTAATCCTGTGTCAAATACGATCCGGACGGCGTATAAAGTCCGTTTGTTGGGAATTGGGGTAGCAGCAGATTCGAGGAGAAGTCCGTGGATCCGTAGATGTACGGAGAGTACTGGTTGTTCATATTCAACTGGGATTGAGCTCCAAGAGCAGTGGTGGTGGCGTTGCCAATCGATGTTGAGCCGGGCTGATTGAGGGTCATGTTCGAACTACTGACAGAGGAAGAAGATGTAGACGTGGGCGTTAGGGTCAAGGTGGATAGGGTTTCAGCAGTAGAGGAAACAGCAGGAACCTCCTGCTTCATTTCACTCTTGATGATAGATTGTCCAAGGAAGTTCAACTGATCCGTGTCCCCATCCTCCTTTTTCATCTCCACTTTCGGCACCAAGTTCTGCGAGTTCTCCGGATTCACTTGCTGCACAGATCTCTTTTTTCTCGGCTGGCGCTCTTTGACTTTGAAGCGCTTCTGACGTCTTAGGTAGCATCCATTCTCGAACATGTTTCCGCAGAGGGCGTGGAGCGTCCAGAAGTTTCCTTTTCCTGGCTTGTCCGGAGATCTGCAATAGGTTAAATGTGAGTTTGAAGTGTTCGCATAGTGCATCGATCACAAACCTCTGAACCTTGACGAAGCAATCGTTGAAGGAAAGAGAGTGTCGTATGGAGTTCTGCCACCTCTGCTGATGACTCCGGTAGTATGGGAAGCGATCCATAATCCAATTGTATATCTCCGAGAGTGTCAATTTTTTGTCCGGCGACACTTGGATCGCCATGGAGATTAGTGAGATGTACGAGTACGGCGGTTTCTGTGTTCCGTACGTTCCCTGCACTCGAATCTTTTCCATCACACTATAGTACTCGGTTTCCGTGAGCTTCTGATCTCCGCATCCGGTGAAAGTGGTGCTTCCAGGAGACCCGCAGGCTCCGGATATTGTGGATGCGGTTGAACTGGAGGTTCGGGAAGAGCCGGAGACGTTAGCAGAGGAGGGAAGCGAAGGAACGCCTGGAAAATAAGAGAAGTTGAAGGTGTATAACCCTAAAATGTAATTGTCTTCTTACCAATTGAAGAAATCCCATTGCTTTGAATGAAACTCGCGTAGTTAGTCGTCGCGTAAGGATTTGCATAGCTCGCATAGTTCAGCAAGTCATTAGTGCCAGCAGGGTACTAGAAAAAATAAATTCGAAAGTTAGTTTTAGGACCACCTTGATTCTTACCTGATATGATGCGTAATTGAGCGTTCCCTGCGAGGCGGTGGCCGAGGAATAGTCCGATTGAGTGTAGTTTTGTTGGTTCATCTCGATCCGATCCGATCCGATCCTGAGCCTGAGCCTACAAAAATAGTGTTGTTTGAGGTAAGGAGGCGGAGTCAGATCAACAAATATTTGAGCTTTTGGAACAGAAAAATCGAAACATCAAAAATTACTTTAGAAGCCAGCACTACGAAACACCGAGTCCGAGGGGGACCTCACCTTAGTACGATTGGGGGGGTTAGACTGTCTCCTGAGCACGGTTATTGGTATCGCCCGTAAGCTCCGCCCCCATCTACATGCTACGCCCATTCTTTCCCGCAACTGAAGGAATGTCACGGAGCTGTTGTTCCTAATAAATTCCTGAGCCCAGGAAAAGTTCAAAATAAGTTTCAAGCCAAAATAGTTTAATTGAACACAGTGGACCTTCATGTTGACACCAGGCGGCGATTTTGCGGGACAAATACATAAGGAATGGAATGGAAATTGAATAAATATTTGGCTTCTTTTTGGGCTGGGCCACCCAGAAGACATCGGCCAGTCCTGTATTCGCTCCACATGGTGCAGCGACCTTTTTCTGAAAGCTTCCAGATAAACTTTAATAATTCAGCACTTTTAGATAGGTTCCTTGTCAGATTTTTGCATTTATTCAACACGTTCCAATGGAATTGGAAACGGGAGAGTATCTTCTTTATCACAGCCACAGTACTCTTCCTCCTCCTCCTCAGTTCAATTTACAACCACCTCAACTGACTCCTCAAGGTGCGAACTTCCCAAACTTGCACTGTGGTGCGAACTTCTCCATCTCGCCATTTCCACTATTATTGTGTCAGAGTCTCATCGTCATCTGGTGCTCGATGGTTGTGAATCTGTCCCAAAATAACTGAAATTGTGGGTCCAGGGTGTGATTGTCCGGAGATGACCGGTCACAAAAACCAGGTACACAACAAACACCAGAAGAGTGCAATCTGCCACTGGAAATGGAGCTGTGGGAATGAGAATGAGAATGAGAGAAGACTTTTGGACATCTTGCAACTATCAAGTTTTGCAACCGCAACCACTCTTTCTGCTTCCAGCATCTATGGAGGTTGCAAAATGTGTTCTGGTTTCAAATCGTCTTATCAGCATTAGCCTCTATCTAGTATCTTTCTTTTCAAGATGTTTTCCACAAATGCCTCACGTTTTCGGTAACTTTTTTCAGCAGTAAGGATTCGCCTTGCGAACATATCCATTTCCCTCACTACATCTCCTTCCATTCTTCTCATTTCCCTCCCTATTCATCCCTTTTCCACTTGTGTTCGTTAAGAGTGTGGTGTCCTAATGACCCGATCTCTCACTCACTTCATTGCCCCGTTACTAAAGTTTGTTTGAACACACAGCACTTTTCACGCAACAACATCCTCTTCCTTCTTCTTCTTCTTCGGAGGGGTCATTCTGACACCTTCCTCGAGAGAAGTGGATGATATCCCGGTGTGATGAAGAGCCAACAAGTTAAGAATCTCCTGTGGAGAGTTGCGAAGGACTTCGACACGTACTCAAGGCATTCCTTTGAAGATCCGATAGCTTCACACGTACTTGGAGAAATTGGAATCTGATGTTCTGAAAATGGATCAAATTTTTTTTTCAGAACACAAAGCACTTGTCAAGAGATAATATCCATTTGACAGGTCACCCATGAAATTCCTCACCTATTTAGAGCAAAATTTGTGTTGAACAGATGGACTGGAAACAGTTTTTTTTCCCAAAAATTGTTTAGAATACAATGCAGAATACTCAACAAAAATACGCTAGTCTTATTATGCTTTAGTACCATGTACATAGAAGTTTGAACTTGGTGCATCATACAAAAAACTTCGTAAGATAGAATAAAACTTACCAGAAATGACTTTCTGGGCGGAAAATCATTCGAAAAAGTGAAATACTTGACAAATCAGCACGAAGAGCAAAAGTTAACTTTACAATTAACGAGAGAACCAAAAAAATTAGAAAGGAAGGATCGAGTGGCAAGAATATTTCAAAGAGGAAACATGCAATATCCGCTGGTGCTCGAGAGCAGTCTCCCAGCACCCGTTCTCTTTGTCCTTCTTTTCCTTTTCACACCTTCTCCTTGTTCCTCTCCCAAATTTCCGCTCATCCTCACACCAGGGTGTCCTCCTTTTTCCGCCTTTCCCTATCAATTCTCCCTCGGTTCCATTAGCACTGACTCGTCGGAAACGAAATGACCTTCAAAAGTATGGATGACAGATTAGAACCTATCCGGTTACCTTTTCTGGTGATCCTTCAGTCCTGTACACTTCAGACGACCGTCATCAAAAGCCGACAGAGAGGCACAAAAAAGGTGATCAAACAAACCGTTTTCCGATCCTTTTTCGGCTTAACAGTAACCTAATACGGTCCCTCTCGATCGGGTGGAATGCCAAAAGAGCCCAAGGGGATGGGGGTCAGGTCACACACACACACACACACGTCAAGTCAAGTTGTGTTGACTTTGGAGGAGAGTTCCCGTCGCTCCGCAAGGAATTCTCACCACCTTCGACAAAAGGAATATAGGAAGAGGACGAACTTTGACTGGTCTTTCGTTTCGTGTGCCACATTATACTGGTAGCGGGAAGAGCAAACTTGTCGTCTCGGGAATTTCACATTTTGCGTGGGAAGGGTTGAACTTTGAGCATGACGTGAGGTGGTAACAGTTTGGAATGCACATGTCGAAAGGGTTAATCACATTTCCAGAAAGTTTGTTACAGGTTGGAATATTCTCTGTGACGCTTAAGAACAATTAACAGAGACATTAAAGTCTTCCCGATCAAAGTTAGCCGTCTGATGCACCAATTGCAAGCTTCTGCCTGGTCGTAGGGAGTCTTCTCGTTGTGTATACTGCAACAGTCACATTTCTAAACAATTTCTGAGCAGAAAAACTGTATTTTACCTGTTAACATTTCCACGCACATGTGCCTCAAACTAACTTAATGGGAAATGACAGATCAGAAAACGATCTGAAACCGTACTTGCCCCTCACATTTCTCAACTTATCAGCTTTCCAAACATCACTGAAGACACACTTTGCTGGTCGGTGACCTGTCACATTTCAGGTCACACATGCCCATCCAATTCTAGTCACCCTTTCCAGATTCCCCAGAGCAACACAAAGTTTGCTCAAAATATTGGTGAGGAATTGCCTGGGTGACCTGTCAAATGGATATTATTTCGTTCTCAATGGTGTTGTGCAACTTTTTGTTGTAATTGGGATTAGGAGTGACATGGGGAACGTTTATTTACAAAAAAACGATTAGGGAAGGGGATATGTTGGTGACCCGTTAATTCTAGGTTGATGCTCGAGAATGAGGTATCTGATTGATGAAGATTATCATGATTAGCGGTGTTTGGAGCATGATTCTATGCTCTCATATGATGCATCAACCAATTTTTGTTAAAACTGCCCGAACACCCCGCGGGGTGAGTGTGAGAAGATGTTTCAATGAAATGAAACATGGTCTCCTCCACTTCTCCATGTCGGTCATTCCGTCATCTCATCCGAATCGTGATATCCGTTTCCCTCCCCCCTCCAATCCATCCATTAGTCCCTGTTCGTTTCGTTTCCGCTCTCACAGACACACTACGATTCGATTCCACCTTCATCATCATCATCAGACCTTGTGCGAGAGTGGCGGCGGCGGTGGTGGGCTCTTGCTCCCTTTCGGCGAAGAGCCCGATGCTCTGAACTCTCTCGGATCTTCGCACTATTTCCAACTTTTCCTCTCTTGACTTTCTTCGATCCCAGCACTCTCTCGCTCGCCCATCTATTTGCTTTTGGCCCGTCGCGGCCCGTAATCCAGTCTGCCTCATCTGAAATGCCTCGTTTCCTACAGTCTCTCCTCGCGCGACTGTTTGCGCACCGGATACCGTGCATTTTGGGGGGGAGGAGGACGTGGCAGCAGCCACGAGACGCAGAGAGAGAGACGTGTTACAGTAACCCTCTCCCCTTTTCGTAGCACGGCCTTGTCATCATCAACAAGTGGAAGAGAAAGAGAAAGAGAGGGAAGGTCGAGAAGGCACAAGTCAATGGTTCCGACTTCGAGACAACTATTTTGGGAGTTAGAGAGCTCACATTTCTCGTGAATTGCACAGGTTTCCAAGTTGTAGAGTTGAAAATCTGGTCGATGCTCCATGTGGGAGCTTAGCTGTTAATTACAGAGACTTGGAAACCTTCTAGAGCAATTTTAATTGCTGATAAAGTCAGGAAATACCATTTTTAAGTGACCGAAGCACTATGTGGAATTCTGTACCTTCTGCAGAATCACCGCAGAAAAGTGGAACCGTTTTTTGTAGTATTCTCCTCCATCACGCCATGCTTAAAAATTGTTCCTTATGGTTGGTGGTATCGGTGGTACCATTACAGTACCAGTTTACTAAATCATCGAATCTGCTCGGAAGTTTACCTGGACGGGTTGCCACGACAGAAAATCTCAAACTAGAAGAAGACTGTGCCAACCGTTTTTTCGAACTCAAAAAAGTGGGGGATTCCCCTATTTGTCAACAACAAACAGGGGGAATGTGTGTGAAGGGAAAACAAGCAGCAGCACATAAGTTTGAACAAATTTGACTAGATCGTGGGAATTCATCAAGTACCGTGGGAAAGTGGGCGGGGCTTAACTGTATTCCCTTTGATTTAGCACTCAAAGACTCGCTCCTTTCAAAGTTCCATGACGTGGCAATCAATAAGAAAGTGCTGGCTGGCTAATGCATCATGTGAAGTGCAAAACTTTTTCAAGACACCCCCCTTCCTCCTTTTTTTCTTAACCCAATAAGGACCATTGTTCCCATTCACTCGAAAGAATAAGTACATATATAGGCCACCGTTGTAATACAACAAAAGCAGAGGATATCCGTGACATCCGGAACTATGAACCGGGGGTCACCAGGCCATGAGGAAGGAAGCATTGACAAACATTACCGTGCCAATTATAGGTGTGACAGAGTTATGCAATAATGGTGAGGTAATCACCCATTATTTGTAGTAGTCGAGCTAGTTTGTTTAGGATTGAAACCAGCCGATGCACCATGTGGAGGGAATATTTTGACTGTGAACTCATTCAGCAAGGTTTCAGATGTCTTATTGACAAGTCGAACGGTCCGGTCTCGAATTTTCCGGATTAGCCCGCAAAAAAGTTCCCAATTGACGTGTCAACTTATTTTCCTTACCACCCCAAGACCACCCCACTACCTCAAAGTGTCTGAAAATCTTATAGAAGCTATTATACAATACCCCTTGGAAATGACGTGGCACCGCACCACATGTCAGATCGGAGAGCACTTGGCTTTCGGAGCAGCACAAGTGTCAAACCGCCCGTGTGGCTTGACCTTGATGTTTGACTTTCTACAGTAGTTCGGCGGAGTGACGTGGCATCAAAAATCAAAGGAAACATTTGTATAGATAAACTTTTTATAGGGAACAAAGACAATGTTTTGAGGAAGCGGAACAAAGTAGATTTGGATGAGAAAAAGGCCTGAAAAATCATGAGAAAACGGAGCCCTGGACACAAAAATGGAGAATTTTCGGGGAAAAAAAAGTATCAAGAAAACATAGGGAAAAAGTCATCAGGAATATTATGTGTTAAAGATGATAAGGGACATGCGGAGTATGGTACAAAATATTGTATTGCCAAGAGAAATGATTGGAAAAACCGGTAGATGAGGGGTTCAGAGGGGAGGAGATGGGTCCCTTCCAAATGGGTAAGGCATCTAAGGAACGACGTGGGGACCAGTCAACAAAATGGTTTTTTGGGGGAGGGGGAAAAGAAGAAGAAGAAATAGTAAAGAGAAAGAAAGGCTAACAACTTATTTACAACAACAATTTGATCGATTTTTTAGAGATTCGCTGCCGAGTTCGGGTTGGTTGAGCTGCAAAAATAGAGAAATTAGAAAGTCAAGTTTGAGCAATGGCACTAACCTGTAGAGGGTATTCTGATACCCAGTGTAATCCTGAGTCAAATACGATCCGGTCGGCGTATAAAGTCCATTTGTCTGGAACTGGGGTAGCAGCAGATTCGAGGAGAAGTCCGTGGATCCGTAGATGTACTGAGAGTACTGGCCGTTCATGTTCAACTGAAATAATTATTTGTGTTTTGGAAACGATTCGATGACATTTTAGGTACCTGTGGCTGTGCTCCCAGTGTGGTGCCAACCGACGAGATGACCGAAGTCGTTTGACTATGATTTCCCATAGAAGTGGCGCTGACGGTCGGATCGAGAACTGCGGAGGTTTCTGCCTTCTCCTCCTTGACTTCTCCTTTTATGGTTCCCACATTCATCTGGTATCCGGCCACGAGAGACTGTTGTTGAACTTGAGCATCCTCCTCTTTCACCTCCACCTTCGGCACCTGATTCTGACTGTTCTGGTTGCCTCCGTTCTGCGCGTTTCTCTTCTTTCTGCTCGGTTCTCGTTCCTTGACTTTGAAACGCTTCTGACGTCTCAGATAGCATCCGTTCTCGAACATGTTTCCGCAGTGCTCGTGGAGTGTCCAGAACGATCCTTTTCCTGGCTTGTCCGGAGATCTGCAATAGGTCAAACGTGACTTTGAGGTGATCACATGGAGCATCAACTATTTAGATGTCCCTGAAAGATTTCTATACCAGTCTAAAACTATTACATTGTGAATCGCGCATTCAATATAGTCTTAGATGGTCTTAAAATAACCCTAACCCCCCCTTTCACGTGGTGCATTGTCGACGCCAAACCTTTCAATAGGATATCAAATGTAAACGCCCGTTCATGATTCATAGGAACCTAAAAAAAAAAAACAAATGATGGAAGTTTTCCGGAAATCATTTACATGCACTTTTTCGCAAAAGAAGACTAATTGGGGGTGGCGGCCCCTCCGTTCCTACAAGAGGGCGCCCGGGCGGTGGTCATCAATTCTCACAGCTTCACGCACCGTTGACGGCGCCGAAATGTGGCGCTGCTACAGCCGGGAACATTGTGAAATTGGGGAATAGATGAAAAGGACCTTGACTATATAGTATTATGAATTGTACCCGGAAAACTATTTATGTATGTAGATATGAAGGTGAACTTTTTAGGTTTCAATCAAAACAGCTTCACGGCCGATTTTTGAACAGAGATTCTGCTAGTTCTAGGCAAGACCCTTCCAGATGGTGTATCGGCCACCCCAAACACACCTCGGAACCTTGACAAAGCAGTCATTGAACGAAAGAGAGTGTCGAATAGAATTCTGCCACCTCTGCTGATTGTTCTGATAGTACGGGAAGAGGTCCATGATCCAATTGTAGATTTCCGAAAGTGTCAACTGTCTAGTGCCACTTTTCTGGATCGCCATCGTGATCAGAGAGATGTACGAGTAAGGCGGCTTTGATGCTCCGTAAGTTCCCTGCCTCCGAATCTTCTCGCGTACGTTCTCAAACTCCTGAACTGTCAGCTCTTGTCCTCCGCTTCCCGAGTAAGAACGGTCTCCGGGCGAGCCGGCGGCCGCGTTGATCGTCGACGCGGTCGAGCTGGAAGTCCTCGAGGATCTCTGCACGACGGCCGTCGACGAGGTGATCGACGAGGCATTGGCGTTGGCCGATGCGTTGGCAAAACCTTAAGTGGATCGGGTTTCACTCGGGCCAGGTGGACAATATGAATTATTACCCAACGGCGAAATGCCACCTCCTTGCATGAAGTTGGTCGTGGAGCTAATGTAGCTCGGATTGATTTGGTTGGCAGCGTACTGGCTGTAGTTATAGTTGATGAGTCCATTCGTGGCCGTTCCGTACTGTAAACGTTTTTGTTAGGCTCGAAGCTTGAAATTTAAAAAAAAAGGATTGGTTGTACGTGGTGCATCAAACACTTTCGATGCTACTTGAAGCTTACTCCTTGCAAATCTATAAGGCCCCTTCTCCACACGGGGCATCGACCCACTTACCGCATATGGTGGATAGTTAAGCGCATTGGTGGTGTTCGAGTACGTGGGCAGATAGTCCTGCGTGTTCATTGCCTGTAAGACACCAACTTTTTTTTTTGTTTTCTTGTTTTTTCATAGTTGTTCGTTTTCGGATCAGATTTGGTTAAGGGAGGAGTGGAGGGGAAGGTGAAAGGATTATGTAAATATTTATCAAATACAAATATTTGGAACAAGGTCCTTTGCCATCTCCTCCGATGGGGGAGGAGCTTAAACAGAAGCAACAACAAATAGATACGGAAGAGGGGGGTAAAAAAATAAACTTTATGCAATTGATTGAAGAACAACTACTATCAATGGCCAAACAAGCAGCAAGAAGGTGTTCTCACACTGGGGGATCGGGAGAAGACTGGCCAGAGCACACACCTCCCCCCACTAGGGGGAAAAACCCCGCCCACTCGCCGCCCGAGACCCGAGACGCCTATCCTCAGTCGGAGACTACAGTAACCCTAAAAACCGACACGCCCACCTTTCCCTTGCCTTTCTTCCTTAACCTTTACGGGGGCCAACACTAAAAATTAATTTTTCCGGATTCTCTCTTAAAATTTTTTGCAGATCGGAACGAATTCGGATGGCATCCGGTGGCCTTCGGTGGGGTCTTGCCCTCGTTTGGTTTGGATAAATAAATAGAAATTGAATAAATATTTGGCTTCTTGGGCAACGAGGCCCGGCCCCTCTTCTTTCTTGTGTCCACACATTTTCACACACACACACACACATATCTAGCATGTGTCCCTGCCACTGGCCACCATCATTTTTCCAACATTTTCTAGCCTTTTAACACACTTTTAATGCATTTTTTAACCAGTGTCGCGAAAATAATTTTAATTAGTTTTTTAGCTTCTAATCATTAGAAATAGCAGAGTTTTCAGAACAATTTTTGTGTGTATGGTTCCAAAATTTCGTAATTTCTGCTTGAACACAAATTTCACCTACTTTTTCAATTGAAAACTTCAATATTCTGAGAGCATCTGCGGAGAATGTTAGCAAAATTGATATAACCGCCCACTCACTTCTTCTCGCGTCTACTAATATAGGTAAAATGCTCGGAGAGTGAGAGAAAAACGTGAATCATCACTAAAAACAACTTCTCGTCCACTATCACACGTCCCACCTCTTGTCTTCAGGTTTTCACTGATAAGGATCCACTCCTAGACACATGGTGCATCGACCAGTTTAGGAAATACAAATAAAACGCTTAGGAAACTTCTGACATAGATGTTCTAGAGAATTTCTTAATCTACAGATCTAGATATAATCAAAATGCTCAAAAATCGGCTCAACACCGAAATTTTAAAAGACTTTCAAAGTTATCCCATGGTTCTAAGCCTCTCCCCCAGACTCCACATGGTGCATCGTGCCGAACTAACCGTACTGGCGTATTCCAAAGCAGCCGACGAGGTTGGCGCAACGACGACACCTTCGGAAGTGTTCACAGGCAACATCTTCTTGACAATCTTTCGCTTCTTCTTTTTTTCACTATCCTTCTGATTCTCCTTCACTTCTTCCTCGGCTTTTCCCACTTCTTCGTCTTCGTCCGTAGTGGTCGTGGCCTCTTCCTCTTCTCCTTCTCCTTCTTCTTCTTCTTCTTCTTCTTCTTCAGTATCTTCTGGATCTTCCTCTGGATCCTCTTCCTCTCCTTCCGATATTTCCTCTTCCTTGATCACCTGCAAGAATTATTTTTTTTATTCTCCATTCATTTTCCATCGTTCTCCACTTGACCCAAAATCTTCAACCAAATACTAAGGGAGGATGAAAAAGAATGAAATTGGTAGTGGTAGAAGGGGTATCATATTACATACAAGTGGCAAACGGATGTGTGGACGGGTGAAGAAGGCTGCCGGAGGGCAATTTCAAGAAGGAAAACCGAGATGAGCAAAGGAGCACGGGGCAATCTCTTAAAGACGCAATATATGCGAAGAACCAAAACCACAGATTGGAATTGAAGAAATGAAGAAGTGACGAGGGGTTTGACTTGGATTTTACGCCAATTTGTACCAGAAAAAAACAGAAGTTTCACATCTTGGTGGTAGAAATGGAGACAATTTTTGAAACGTCAAAGTCTAGAATCCTCTAAAACAAATTGCGTTTTGATCAGTTTTGAGACCATAGCGCTGGATTTTGTATAAAAGTTCACCTTACCCCGTTAGAATAAAGGATTGGGCACTCCAGTAGTGTCCATTCAAATCGATTTATCTCAGCTGTCGGTGGAGATATCAAAAAATTGTCAAAAAACAAAATTATCACAACGAAATGAATAAATGAGTTATTATTAAATGTTTTTCATTTTATCAATTTAGCACGTTTCGATAACTCCATCGATAGCTGCGATAAACTGGCTTGAATAAACACTATTGAGGTGCCCTTCTATTACAGTACTTACGGTACCTTTTTTAAATGAAAAATGTATCAATGTACCCGAAAAATTGTGCCATCAGAAGCTTCTAGACTACCATACATCTTTCCCTCAACTTCCTGCGGTTCCACTTCTGGCCAAATGTTCATCATCTGGCCTTCCCCCAAAAAGAGTGGGCGCACATTTTTTTTTCTCTCGAAAAAGTTGTCATCACCATCACCTGTCACAATGGACGAACCTATGAGTCATCACCATTAAATTTCTTTTTTTTGCAAGGACACATTTTTGAACAAATTTTTGGACGCTAAAATCAATTCAAAATTTTTGTTTGAGTAGTTTCAGCTAACAAAAAATAAAGCCCTCGGAACATTTTTGTTACTTCAGTTTATTTAAATTTTTAAATTTTCCAGAAATTCCCTAAAAGCCCCCAACTTCGCCAATCAGGTAATAAGGTGTGGCACATCATAATCATCACGTCATCACTTTTTCCCGCCTTATCAGTCGAAAAATTCTTCCTTTCCCATCACTTTCCTTTCGAAATTTCCATTCAAAAACTGTACAATACAGGCCCCCCATTAATAATTTTAAAAAAATTAAGAGGAGGGTCTTGGAAAAAGTTGATGAACCTACCCGAAAGGGCAAACAAATAAACTGATATCATAAACCAATACTGGCAAATTTGACACCTATTTTCTTCGGAGGAGGAGGAGACAGGGAGACAAGAGAAAAACCAATATTTGCATAGATTTAATTGTGAAGAAGCGGCTGGGGGAACTCCTGAAACTAGCGCCAAAAAAAGCCACTGGGAGGGGGGGTAAATAGAAATTTCTGGAGGCTCCACAGGGGCTCCAGCCCGGCTCCACCATATCGCATTTCAAAAAATGGTCCCCCTCCACTCTTCCCTTCTACTACTTCTTCTCCCATAGGCTGGACACAAGCTCATCAAAATATGTTTTTTTTTTCGCGACCAGTTAGATTTCGCAATATTTTCAGGCCCCATTACGAAAAAGGTAAGATTGTACGTGACAGGAAAAGAGTAAAAGAGAGAGAGAGAGAGAGAGAGAGAGAGAGAGAGAGAGAAAGAAGAAATTGAATCGATAGAAATGGAAAGGTGTGCGAAAAGTCAAAAAGTTCTCACGGAAAGAGGTCTCTATATAGTGCATCGGCCATTCGAGGTGGACCCTAGACCCTTTTCTAATCATCCACCGAAACGTGGTCATACGATAGTAATAGTAATGGTTCTGGCGATAAGAAAAAATTGTCCTAAAACGCAACTTCGACGTGGCATGACTGTTTCAAAATTAGAGTTTCGACTGTAGAAAGGGGGTTCTAAGGTGGTCTCAGAAGGCAATAAGGCTTGAGGTTAGTTGCACTGATCTTGATAAGCGGTAATAGTACGAAAAGTTTAACTTTGAAGTGGGAGAGTCCCTATACGCAAAATTTCCAGCTTTATGTCAGATTAAAACAAGTTCCAAGGCTTTTGAATTGATCAGATTCTTCATCACACTGGAAATACCCTATGAACATCTCGAAACCCCGCTTAGGATCCGAGAAAAGTTTTCTGGATCTATAAAACCGCCAGGAACAGTTAAAATATTTCTAGATACAGTCAAAATAGGCAGAAAAATTGAAGGAACATGAAAAATGAGAAAATCCCCCAAGAACATGGGAAAAGGGTAAGAAATGCCGAGAAAATAGACAAGAGCGAAGTCTAGAAATAGTTCTAGATTTGGCCGATCCAGTCAACAACAATTGGGGTCATATGACTTCACAAAAACACCCTCGAAACCTCTGACAACAAGTACAACCCGAACTTACCTTCATCAGAAGCATGTCCTCTTCGGTTGGTCTCATCGTTTCGGTCCTTCTTCTTTTTCAAGTCCAGAATAAGGCAGAACAGTACGCGGGGGTGGTGTCACTATCGATAGAGTGAGTGGAGAGCACAAATGGGCTGTGGCTGTGGCTCACTCTGTTATCATTAACACGGAGCGAGACAACGGTGATAGAGAGGACGACGACGATCGACGTCGGACAGTTTGTGGTCGAGTTGTGCGTCGAATGGGGTGGTGATAGCTGGTAGAGAAAGAGACACGACACGTCTTTCTCTCTCTCTCTCTCTCTCTCTTTCTGGCCTCTTCTGCCCTTTTCTGGCCTGAAGACGGCCGGGGGAGGGTAGAGATCACTGGGGGGAAAAGAGACGCCGACCGAGCCAGCGCCGCTCTTTTGAGTCATTTCTCTTGTCCAACCGACGCGCACCGGGCGCCACGCCATACGAGCTCCACCTCCTTTTGGCGGCGCTTTTGGCGGTGTGAGCAATCGTACAGTCGGTGGAAAGTGAATAGTCAGAAATTTGGGTCAGAGGAAAAAGTTTGGAGTTTGCAACAGAAACATTCCATGCTGCCACTTTCTGTGATACTCTTTTGTGAGCTTGGAACTAGTACAGAATTCCTGATTTTCAAAAAAGGTATGATCCCGAGCCTAACATGATTCTGGCTCTGGGATCGTCCAAGGAACGCTACTTTTCAACTCTTTCCTGTGTTTGTGTAATTTGGGCGAAACTCATAAGTTGAGACCTGTTTTTGAAGATCATCAGGTTTCATTCAGGTTCATTTGACCCGCAAAATTCGAATTCCTTTCTCTTCTTTCGAAAAACCCACAGTTCCCACGACAAACGGTCTTTTTCACTTCTCCCTTATTGCCCCCCATTCCCCTTTTTTGTGCTTCCCATCAACATTGTACCCGGTGACTGGGCACGTACTAGTACCGAACGAGGGCAGGCGGAAAAGTGTTTTGACAAATCACCGGGAGACGGACAGAGCACAACAAAACATTCGAATGCAAGCGATGATGGTGGAAAAATGTATAAATGGGAGGGAAATGAGATGGGGAAAGGCTGGGAACCCATTTTGGCGATAAAGCAGTCTGCCATCGTGTTGGGCCTATCAATGATCGTGTTGCAACGCACAGAAGAAAAATACGAAATAGAAAGTATTACGCAAGGAAGCTGAAATTGGATTCTGACCGCAAAAAAAGCGAATGGAGACAAAACTTGATTGTTAATTTCGAGAAATCTGCTATGAAACAGCTAATTTTGAAGCCTCACTATGTCTGGGTTTCTCACAACAAGAATCCCACTCGTCGCATCGATCGGAGTCCCCCATAATCGAAAGATTCCCCCCGAGAATTTCAAGATTTCTCCCCAAATTCCTGCTGACTCACACCTAGCCCACAAGTGTTCCTTCTCACCCCATTTGGCACAGTGCCAACAAACTGGTCCAGGTCTCCTTCTCTTCTTCTTTTCTGCTTCTCAACGTGCGTCTCTGCGTCTCGATGACTGTTTCAAAACCGTCGCCGCCTTCGGTTTCTCACATGAGCTCATCACCATAAAATCATTGACTTTATTGGGGGGGAGGGGGAAGGGGGAACCGCCGCCAAATGAAATGAATGAGGCGCCTTTATCGTCACCTTTGGGTGCCGCTATCACCTTGTTCTGGTGCTGATTTAGTATCATTTATGGTTCAAAAGTGTTTAGGCTTGGCCGACGGGTCCTTAGATGAGCCATAACCATATCAAGTGTCTATGGGACCTGGGGGACCAGGCCCGTACATTTTCTTCAGTAGTTCAGTAGACTAGGCCTTATATGTACAGTATTATTATTATCTTATCACTATTCTCGTCCAACTTGTCAGTCCGATCATTCATCCATTCACAGATGTTTGAACATGTCAATTGATTAAAAAAGTGCCTTGCGTGATAATGACGAAGAGCACAGATAGGAAAAATAAGCACGTGTGCCATACTATCAGCTGATTTCCAATTCGGAGAAGAAAATATAGGATTTTCTCGATAAGATAAGCTTCATAAAAAGTTGAATTTTAAAGCCAACCGGTTGACTTTAGAAGAACATTCTATTGGAAAATCCTGTTTGTCAGCTCGTACAAGGCTTTCAGAGTCAATTTTGAGTACAGTAGTTTTCAGATATATCGTCCACAAAAAAACCTGATATAGTAGGTTTTAGGCCTAAAATCTAGTGATTTCCGTGTTTTTACCGTAGATGAATCGCAAAGCTCAAATCTCAACAGCCATTGTTCTGTTCCAAACGTACCACCTCTTTTCTTTTGCCTTTTCCGCTTTTTGTTCCGATATCTCTTGAAAAACTATCTGTGTATACTTGTACTGAAGGAGCGGAGGGGGAGGTCACATCTTGACCGGTACCTTCAAAAGAAGCCGCAGAAAAAAAAGGAGGGGGTACTTGTTGCCGCGAGAAAAAGAAGAAGAAAAAGTTAGAAGAAAAACAACGAAAAGAAGAGATATGAGGGACAAGTTAGAAATCACTTTTTTGATATTTTCAGGTAAAATCTGCTTTTTGGAAGTTTAGGAGAAGGTGGATTTCTAGGATCATAGTTTTATCTGTATTACATTTTTTTGCATTTTTAAAGAAAATTAATTTGTCAAAGGTTCTAGAAGACGATCTGAACATTACTAGGATATTCCTTGAAAACCTGTCCGATGCACCATGTCAAAAAGTTGGAAACTCCACACGGAAAAGCTCTGATTTCTAAGAAAAATTGAAGAAAACTGGTAGTAACGTGCAAAAAGTGAAAGGATCGGGTCGGAAGGGGGTCGTATGACTGTTCGGGAAAAAGTTGAAGAGACTCGGTGTGCTCCGTGAGCGCTACAGCACAAAAGCGAGTCGATCTCGAACCGGCACCCCACCTGCGCGGCGACGATACGGTTTTCGGAGAGGAGAGAGAAAGAGAGATGTCAAAAGAGGATCTAGAGCACATCTAGGCGAAGGGAAATTGAGTAAACAAAGCCGTCAGCGCGCACAGGTATATGAGGAGAATGTACGAGAAATTCAGAAGATTCTGTCTGGCTGCGATGGGTGGAAGTGTCGGGAAGAAGTGCAGAAACTGTATGCGGAAAGGGCGTGACGAACGAATCGGACTAGAAACGAGGCGTTTCCAGTAGTCGATGAACCATGTGAAAGCTTTGTATTGTAAGGAAATTCGAACTGCTTTGAAAACGTCTAAATATTTTAAAAATGAGGATCGGGGGCCTGGAAAGTAAGAATTTCGGATGGGCATCAGAAGCATTACTTACATCATGTGTAAGCTCTGTAATAAATGTAGAAAGTTTAGAAAAAGCAAAACCGCTGAATTTTTCGATTGCAGTCAATGCGCCATTTCCAGTTTATTGAATTGCTTTGAAATTGTGTTTCTGTGCTGAAAATTTCGAATTTTGGCAGCTCTGGAAACTCTCAAGATGTCGGAATTTTTTCTCAGAAAACACATTTGATCTGAACATTTAGATTACTTTTCTTCATTTGTGAGATCTTCCTATTAAATTTGGATTCTCTAAACGCTTTATTTCCACTTTCACTTTTCAGTCCAACATGCTCAAAAGGTCGTGATTTTGTGACTCATAAAGGTGGCCAACTCGGCAGAAAACTGCTCAAGCGATTAGTCCGTTCCATGTTTGCGGAAAGGATTTAGAAGGAGTGAGGGCTTGAACCTGACCTTCTTCTGCTGTGATTGATTGATCCGATCCATTAGGAGACACCTGGAAAGTATGGAATCTCGGGGGACCTACTTGCATCTTTTACATGGTACATTAGCTAAGAAAAATAGAATTTGTGGTTGAAAAAGAATGAAATTTGTACTGAAATACTGGATAATCTCTGAAAAAAGTCCCAGGACATTGTGCACGATACCTACCTATTGCTCTAAAACCGTCTAAAAATGTTGAAATGCTGAGCTCAATAGCCGATGGACCAATTGAAATCGGAGGAATTTCACATGGATCTGAACCAAGTCAAGTGTTCGATGCACCATGCGGAAAAACTAAAATTGGTTCGGAAGATCTTAATTCATCCAGAGCGCAGCAAGAAGCACTGAAAAAAAAAGGAACATCGGAAAACGAGAAATTAAACAACAAATATTTGGTGCCGTAGAGGGGGTGGGGAGGAAGTGTAACAAACACATACAAACAGAGAAAATCACCAAATATTTATCCATTTACACCATTTTTCTCCTTCATTTTACCACATTTTCTCCACTTTTCTTCATTTTTCTCCCAGCCGATATTATTCATCCGCTCTTTTTGGGTCTCAATTCTCGAGTAGGTGTTCCCTGGTCATAATCGCCACCCACGCAACATTTCGGAAGGCCTTTTTGGGTGAAGAAGTACCGCCGGGTACATAATTGCACCTAATTGAAGGGATTGGAGTGTTTTAGGAGATTTTGATAGGCTAGGGACTTTTTATAATGTTTCAGGAGTTAGAATTTTTCTTAAAAACCCCATTCCCGGGCCTAAAGTTGGGCCAATGTTGTTGAAATTCGCTTCAGAATCCCTATTTTGGCCGATGGAACATATCGATCCATAATAAAAGCGCCTATAATCCATCATCCAGTGTTCTGCCAAATGCTCCGTGTGCTTTTGCTTTTTCACCTGCTCTTCTCTTGCACACCGTCCGTCATTCATTCATAAATATCGGGTTACCACTTGGACCAGGTACTGTAGAACTGAATTGACTGTGTTCGGTCCGAAAAGGTACTTGACAAGTACTTCACGTGGCGGCCGACTCTGAGCGTTGAATTTCATTTACACACAATAAGCTGACAAAAAATGATTTCGCCCACCCGGAAATCGAACGTTTGGTCTTTAAATTAATAGACAATCATATGCTGAAGGCTGGACTACATATCAAACTTTATGTGCAAAAAGGTTCGATTCCTGTGGGAACACCAAAATCGTACAAAAAGACGATAAAAGTACAGTATCCCGAGAGTAGGGTCATAAAATCGTTTCGATTCTCGCTTAGTCATCATCAGAGATCGTACTAGGAACCTTTTGACAAACAAACAAAGTCCCAGTCGGCCTACAACAATTTTATTTTATTTATCGCATAAAACATTATTATTATTATCATTATTGTCGTGATGATTTTCCCGCAAAAGAGGCGATGAAAAGCACAAAAGGAAGGGCTTAGAAGAAGCGGCGAAAGGAGGGCCCTTTTCATGACTACAGTACCCCCTCGGCTTATTTCCTTTTGCCAGCCACAACGCCTACAACGCCCTTTATTGCCTCGTAAAAATCGCGCCTTTTCAATCCATCACCAGTGCTTTACATCGGAAATTTTCGGAATACTTTTCCGGATGAGGGACCTGAAATTTACTAATTTTTTTAGAAACATCATTCAAAGTTTTGAATCTGTTCTTCTTTCAACTTTGCTTTCAGACACAAGGTCGATCGACCATGCGAAGAAGAAAATAATCCCGAAAAAGCCGTGTGCAATATTTGCACACTCTGGTACCAGCCCAAAAAGGTTTAAAAGAATGCCGCAAAGTTGGCAAGTGGGCACTTGATTGCGTAATTACGGTAGGGATTACTGTAGGTCGGTGTCGCAGGTGGGGCTCCGAACTTGGTCTGATTATGCAACAAGACGATTCGTGTTGAAGAAGGTCGTCGTAAAATTATCATGTTCTGTGAGGAGGTAGGGTCTAATCTGGACAAAATTTTTTTCAGCACAAGAGAAAGTTTCAGGCAGCTCCGTTGGCCAATTTGTACGGGTTTTTGGTAGTTTAAGAAAAAATTCAAAGCCATGTATCTCAATTGTCGGTTCTGCTATCAAAACGTTGCCAATTGATGAAATGTCGACAATATTTGGAAGAATAATTTAATAGTTGATTTTGATATCTCTTCTGACAACTGAGATACACCATTTTGAATATTCGGTATTAAGGTAACCTTCTATTACAGTGTTTTGAAATTGGTAAAGCTCCCCTTTTCTTCTGTCAAATGACGTTGTGCTCTTTACGGTGCTACCTGTCAAAAGGCACTGTCCCCAGAGGGTGTCTATTTGTTCAGCCGTCTCTCAACTCTCTCCCTTTTCCACACTATTTCTCGTCGAGACATGACGGATTAGGCGCCCCGTCGAGGGATCAGTGAACGAAGGGACTTTTTGTGGAAGAATAATATCTGCAATATCTATGGTTCACATTCGAGAGCTGCTATCATTAATTTTAAAAAACTTCACGGGTTTGTCCTTCAGGTTAAAGACCAGTTTTTTCGGAATCTCGTCCAGAACGTCTTCCAGAAGATTCCATTGTACCATGTTTTTGTTGGCAAAATTCATGTGCATATGTAAATGAACGAGATAGTTCATGAAAGTCTAATTGTGAGAAATGTTGAAAATTCACAATTTTGGGCCGAATTATTTGGACCAGTTGTGTTCTGATGCTCGAGATCGGTTTTATTTTGATCATCATGCATTTTTTTTTTCGCACAAAAAACCAGTAATGAACTTACTGCTGGCATTTAATTCGGAGGGTACAAAAGTTAGGGGGTACAACAGGGTACAAATTGTTTTGAGGTACAAAAAGTCGAGGGTACAAAATTTTCGATTCTAGGGTACAAAAATTTACCGATTCAGTAGGCATTGATTAAGGGGTACAACTTTTATGATTTAAGGGTACAAATTTCACGATTTTGGGGTACAACAATTTTCTTCCCATTTTTTCATGGGCATCAATTCAGTGAATGTTTTTAGTTGTTTCACAAAATTTTTACTCCGAACCGCTTGATTAGTTCCAGAGATGTTTTTTAAATGCGATTTCATGAGACCGTTCGAAGCGTTTTGCTTCCGATAGACAGTGCACGGAACCCCAGCATTCCAATGCGCAAGCAAGTTGTCAATGGGGCGCGCTTGCATCCACCGTCGGCTCGGAGTTTCTTTTTTCAATTGAAACCCAGAATTCTTTCGTTTTTCTCTTAATAAACACTCAAATTTTGTTCTTTGCGAACAGTGGGGCGATTGTGTGAGTTAAAAGCATCGATTTAAGCGCGAAACGGAGCAGATTCGTTCAGAATTGACCAAATTGAGGGATTTTGTCGAAAACTACTGAAAAAACGGAGTTTTAACGATCATTTGCCGAATCGAGTTCGGACACTGTCATTCGAACCGTCCAGTCAACAAAGAGTTTATTGCGCATCTTTTAAGCGCTCAACCGTCGAAAAATATACAGAATTGAGATAATTGAGGCAAATTTTCGATTCCAACAGGAAAAAAATTCTGTAATTTTCACATAAAACGTTTCGAAATTGATGGCAAAGCAGTTAAAATTTCATTTTTTATTCATTTCTAATCATTATCATAAGTTTTGACACTGATTGGTTCTGAAAAGATGGGAATAATGTCAAAAAAGGGAAAATTGAAATAAGAAACTCTACAACGACGCTCCGAAATTACGCGTTACGCGCCTTGTTTAGCGCACCTGAATTGCGCCAAGGGAATTTTTTATTGGAAGGCTGGGGTTCCGTGCAGTGGTTCAAACGGCGATCCCGAAAGACTTCGAGCCTTGGGTCTGATGAAATGTCTTGTTGAAACTTAGACAGCATAATAATTGTAAGATAAGCGATGTGAGAGGAAAAACAAGGTAGATAAATCAATTTATTGGAGAAAAAATTGCGAAAATTAACACAGTTAAAAATCAACAGAAGAGCCAATGACAAAATGTGAACCGTGAGCCGATCAATGTATATTTTAAGAAGATGTGAAAATCGTTCGAGAAAATCATTCGAAATCATTCGAGAAAATCATTCGAAATCATTCGAGAAATCATTCAAAAATATTCGAAAATAATGCGATATGTATTTTCATGGCAAGTAGATGTTCTTGTTTATAAATTTCAAGTAACGAAATCACCATTCTCTGTTGTCCACCAGGGCAGATTGTCGTCGATATCTTTGAACGAGAACTTAGCGAACTTGATACACGGGGCTTCAAAAACTGGTAGTCGAAACAGTTTCGGATCAACGAGGTTAACGCTGAAATCAAAACTGATGCAACTGAATTGAGACGAAGCTGTACCACTGCTCAACAATATTTTCAATGCGTTTCACATTGAAACTTTTGAAGATCGGTCCTGTTATCCAGAATTGATCTTGTTCTGAATCACTTGAGCCTTCTTCATTATCAGCCTGAGTAGTCATTTGTCCGATTTCATGGAGTGCCCTGAAAACCAACGAAAGATGTCTGTCTATTCTTCAAAGTGTTTTTTTTTTAATTTCGGAACATTACAAATTTTTCAAGAAGAAAATAGTGAATTAGGCCAAGTTGCTGCGAAATTCGCATAAAATGAAGTGAATTGTTGAAATCTGACACAGATAAATACGGATTTTATAGAAAAACGAGTTAAAACGCTGTAAAAACATTGAAATTTAGGGAAAAAAATTGATTTGTTTTGTGGCCGCGCAATCCGCGGACTAGTTTTCTCTTTTCGTAGCGAGACCCGCGAGCCTCGCGCGGCCCTCAAACAATCCTAAAAATTTTTTGGAATTTTTAGAAATTGAACTTCTCAGCAGTCTTTCACTCGTTTTAAATTGAATATCAGAATTTTCATTTTTATTTTCAACAATTTAACTCTCTTTCCATTTTTCTTGCCAATTTAGCATCTACTTGCCCTGAAAATACATATCGCATTATTTTCGAATATTTTTGTATGATTTCTCGAATGATTTCGAATGATTTTCTCGAATGATTTCGAATGATTTTCTCGAATGATTTCGAAATCACATCTTCTTAAAATATACATTGCTCGGCTCACGGTTCACATTTTGTCATTGGCTCTTCTGTTGATTTTTAACTGTGTTATTTTTCGCTAGTTTTTCTCCAATAAATTGAAGAATAGACAGACACCTTTCGTTGATTTTCAGGGCACTCCATGAAATCGGACAAATGACTACTCAGGCTGATAATGAAGACGGCTCAAGTGATTCAGAACAAGATCAATTCTGGATAACAGGGCCGATCTTCAAAAGTTTCAATGTGAAACGCATTGAAAATATTGTTGAGCAGTGGTACAGCTTCGTCTCAATTCAGTTGCATCAGTTTTGATTTCAGTGTTAACCTCGTTGATCCGAAACTGTTTCGACTACCAGTTTTTGAAACCCCGTGTATCAAGTTCGCTAAGTTCTCGTTCAAAGATATCGACGACAATCTGCCCTGGTGGAAAACAGAGAATGGTGATTTCGTTACTTGAAATTTATAAACAAGAACATCTACTTGCCCTGAAAATACATATCGCATTATTTTCGAATATTTTTGAATGATTTCTCGAATGATTTCGAATGATTTTCTCGAATGATTTCGAATGATTTTCTCGAATGATTTTCACATCTTCTTAAAATATACATTGCTCGGCTCACGGTGTTTTTTTTTTACCTTGTTTTTCCTCTCGCATCTTTTTTTTTTCATCAGACCCAAGGCTCGAAGTCTTTCGGGGTCGCCGTTTGAACCACTGTCTATCGGAAGCAAAACGCTTCGAAGGGTCTCATGAAATCTCATTTAAAAAACATCTCTGGAACTGATCAAGTGGTTCAGAGTACAAAACATTCACGGAGTAAAAAAATTTTGTGAAACAACTAAAAACATTCACTGAATGAAAAATGAAAATGGGAAAAAAATTGTTGTACCCCAAAATCGTGAAATTTGTACCCTTAAATCATAAAAGTTGTACCCCTTAATCAATGCCTACTGAATCGGTAAATTTTTGTACCCTAGAATCGAAAATTTTGTACCCTCGACTTTTTGTACCTCAAAACAATTTGTACCCTGTTGTACCCCCTAATTTTTGTACCCTTTGAATTAAATGCTCTTACTGCTATTCATGTCCGAAAGTGTATAAAATGGGTTCCTGCTGCAACCACACGTGAAAAAAACTCGGCCGCGATGGATAGGTTCAGCATAAGCTTAGCACTGAACTGAAATGGAGAGAGTGATAAAAACACCCTGCATCCCCTCCGAATCAAGTTAAAATTATTCGCATTCCCTTTTAAGAGAACGCCTTCACGCTAAAACCAGAATCATATTTTTGACTTACCGAGTAAACTCACTAATGTTTCGAGACACGAAGGAAATTATGCTTTCCGTGCGCAAATTCTCTGAAATTGCACAATCATCTCCAGATAATTCCTTGTTTTCCAATTTTATTTTTTTAAGCACACATTAAATCAGCTGTCTATTATTTTCTGTGAATTTTACGGTTCTGGCAAAGGCGGGCCGAAGATTTCTCTGGCCGTGAACACTCACACTTGGAGCTAATTTTACCAACAAAAAAAAGGAAAAAGAGTGCGGAAAAGCCTCTAAAAGTTAGTGGCAGTGTTACGATCCACTTTTGAACACCTTTTTTAATTTTTCGGTTAGAGTCAGCAGACTGACCGGTCAGGCGAAATTCACGTTTTGGCACGGCCTGTTGCAAGTCTGGATATGACTGTTCTCAGAAGTAGCACTAAGCTTGAACATGCTTTCACGATTTAACGGGGAATTTCGGTTAAGATATGACAAAACTCAGAACAGTATTTCGTTATTCACCGAGTAAACTACATTATCTTCTTTTTTCAACGGTGTCCACAATTACATATGTATTTAAAGCGATCCACCAAACGAATAGAATGGCATGACAATAATCAGAGCTTCATCTTAATGCTGTTATTGAGAGCGTACCTGCCACAATCGTTCCGTGTAATAGACAAAGTGTAATCCTTGATAAACATGGTAAGTAAACTGAGAGAAAAGGTGGCATAAACTGAAAAAGCCTTCACGCTTTTACGGTGAGCATTGGCCAACAAAAAAAAAATAATATGCGATCAAAAGCGTACCTGTCAGAATCGTTCCGTGTAACAATCAAAGAGACTTACCTGCTTTTGTCGTGCTATCAACATATCCGTCAACATATCAACATAACGAACGGTTAGAACCTACAAAAAAATTGATCACTAAAAAACTAACAAATATTAGTTAGACAGTTAGTGGACACACGATCACGCTAACGGGAGAAACAGGAATGGAATTTTAACAAAGTTTCAGCGAATTCTCAGAACTTCTTCTACTCTTATCAAGAATCCGCAGCTTCTCCTATACAAACCGGCACTAAAGATTGAGCTCAAAAATTTTAATTCAGATTAGCTGAATGTAAAAACAAATTGAATCCTATACCGCTTTGCAAGAAGATGTCTAAGAAGCTGTCGCATCTGTCAACAAAAATTATCGAAATATCGAAGACAGAACCTTATTAAAATCACCATCATTATTGTGAAAGGTACCACTGTTACTACATTGTTCTCAGAATAAATCCATTAAATCCATCTAAACGCCTTTTCACGCTTTTACGGTGAAGTTTGGCCGACCGATAACACCAACAGAATATCTTTTTGTGACTTACCACGAGTAGATTAGACAAACATCCAGTGCACACGGCGTCCGCAACTTGATCCGGCCACATGACTTTCCGTGTATATCCGGAGGAATATTGACAAAATAAATGTAATTCTCCAGTTATTCAAAACGTTGTGTTTCTTTTTTTCTCTCCAAAATTGATTCCAGATTGACCCAACGTAGAGAATCAGTGATTTTTCTGAAAATATTTGAAGCACGCACCTGAGGACTTTGCAGTCAAGACTCCGATGTTCTCGTCGTTGAACCTTCCATCTTATTCCGTCCCAATCCAATCGTTATAAACAGCGACATATCCTTGCCGTTGTACAACGCCTAAAAATAAATCGATTGGTGATCACAATTTTTCTCTCAACTCACTCACCTTGTATTGAATAGATCCTGTTCGAATACCCTGCTCCCTGTCCAGACGTCAACAGAGACGGTCAGACCGGCGACGAGGCATTCTGAAGTGAATCGACCGAGATCGGCGAGGGGGGCCCCCGTCGATAAATAGAGAGTGCGCGGTTTGGCGGGCGGTAGATCAAAACACGCGAGAACTGCCGCGCCGTGTCGCATCGCTGCCCAATCGATTTTTCTTTGTTTCTCCTGCAATTATCGTCAAATTGCCTCGTTTCTCTTCTATTTTTCTTTCATAAAAGTCGTTTTTAGGCGTGTCTTCATTGAAAGTCGATCGACTTTGCAAAAAACCGCAGAATTCTCTCAGACTTTGTCAAAATAATCTACATCATTCTTTAAAACAGTGCTGACAGTTTTAAGCGTAAGCACTTCGAATTTGCTGAAAATTCACGTGTCGTTCAGAAGACGAAGCTTTCGAAAAGTATTCTGCAGCTTTCATAATAAAAAAAGTTAATATATATTTGAGAGGATATTCAATTAGTTCACAATCAATTGGGGTGCACAGAACCTCAGAACATCAGGCAGGACCATTCTATCTACAGAGTGCTGTTGAAAAAACGCCATTTATTCTTCTCAAGCTTCCGAAAAATGCAAATTTTCTGTCGGAATTGATTGTATTATAGGGGCACCGGACAGAAATGGCGCTCTGTTCGCAATCTGGCCGAATTTCTAGGCCGCGAAGTAATTTTCCACTGAAAACGTGGCCTAACTTTTCAAACTCGGCCCCGAGGTCGCTCAATTTGCACTGCAAAAAGAGTTTCTCAACAGAGCGCCATTTCTGTGCGGTGCCCCTATAATATAATCGTTCTCGGTCTCTATTTTTACAGGTTTGTTGTGATGATACGAAGATCAGACGTTTTCTGACGTCAACTACTTGTTACTCTGAAAATAAATTAAAATTTACTTTTGCCACGAAGCCTTCTGATTTTGTAGTACATCTCTTTTTAGGCTTTATCTCCTTAACCAGTATGATTATCAAGTTTGAGCAAGGCACAGAAACAAAAGTATGATTTGTGATGTCTCCACGAGATTTAGTTGTGTGCAAAGAACCGGAGCAAGCTAACATGTTGGTTTTCACAGGTTTCAGCAGAATTTCAGAGGTAACATCTGCCGTACAAATCACTGGTTCGGAAAAGAAATCATCCATTCGTCAGTAACAACATCAGGCTTCAGAAATAAATTTGTTTACATATAGTAATCCAAGGACTTCTCATAGAAAAAAAACAGCTTGCAAGACTCAGGTGCCCGAAGATCTTGCAATTTTTTAGAAGTGTTGGAACCTGGCGGGCCGGAGAATTTCAAGTTTCTGCCAGCCGTTGTGAGTCTGGAAAAAAGCTGTCAACTACAAGTGTGAAATATCATCAGATGTCATGTTTCCACAAAAAAAGTTTCGGAACGTCCAGGACATTTCGCAACTGTACAATGCTCATTCGATGCTCGTCTATTTTCAATCAAGTGTTCATTGAGCTTATGCGTCAGACGTTCCGGGCTATTTTCAACCATATATCACACATTTTTCGTATTTTATAATCAGAAACGTGTGATTCGGTCACCAAATCTTGAAAAAGTGCATCCGTGACTCCGCCCCCTTTGTGCCCTTTTCTTCCGTTTTTGCAGAAAATTCGTATACATTTGAACACATGGTCCATCTGTGAGCCATATAAATAACGTGAACTCTAGCTTCACTAGATGCACTCTAATCCGGTCATGCAATATCTATTCGTGACCGACCACCACCACCACCAACAGCACTAATCTCTTCGGAATCTTTGTGTATCTCACTTTCTCGCCGCCCTATACATACTTTTTTCTCATTTTCTGCCATTTATTCATTTTCTCCGACCTATTGTTTTTTCTCTGTTGCAGATGAAACTAATCTTCGTGCTTCTGACTCTTCTACCCTTCTTCTGGACGCTCTACGCAGCGCCATTACCATCAGACTGGAAAGGTGGGATTAGTTTCACATTTATGTGATAACTCACAATATTCTCACTATGTTTTCTTCGTGTTTTGCAACCTTTTGAGCTGAAACTGGAGTCTGTAGGTAATTTTAGAAACAAGTTATGATTTTTCATAGTTTACTTAATCCAGGTTTTTTCAATTCCAGGAATCGACTTCAAACTCCACGATGAACGCGACGATATGGCCGTGGATAAGATCTTCGAGTCGCTGAACACCACTGCAGCTTCAGAGCTCGCTTCCACAGCTCCATCGGTACATCACCGCCGGCTCAAAAAGTGGAACTTCCTCGAATGAACTCTATATTTCCCCGAAATTTTTCCCATAAATACCCCCCGGTTCCAAGTAATCTTTCATTTAAAGCAAATCACTGCGCACATTATCTGTGAATATTGTCGGATTCTAAAAATAAAAGTATCATGTGTAAAAGCATCAAAGAAACAAATTGAATATTATGCTAATCCGCCTCGTGCTTCTGCACTACAAATGAAGCAGAAACCGCGTGACGACGCGTGTTTGTGTCCTTTTTCCAAGAACTACGGTAGCACGGGGATCAGAAGAGGTGCATGACACAAACGTACACGTTTTGCATAGAAATGTTTGAAGGACGCCCGGGCCTCGCATGAAGAGAGCAACTGCGGAGGACAGCGACAACTTCAACCAACGGTTATGAAAAACAAACAAAAACAGACCAGGTTATTATTATTATTATTATTATTTATTTACGTTTATTTTTTTAACGTGGAGAAGAGAGAGAGGAGAGAAAAAAGAAGGGGGAGGGGATGTGGGGCAGAGTTGAGCGGAATTCCGTCTGCCGTCTTCCGTCTTCCGTCTTCCGTGGTTTTTTTTGTTCCGTCTTCCGTCTGCCGTCTTCCGTGAGAAAAGTTTTCTTCCGTCTTCCGTCTGCCGTCTTCCGTAAAAGAATGTTTCTTCCGTCTGCCGTCTGCCGTCTTCCGGGATTTTTTTTCTTACCGTAAAAGAGTAATAGCTTTTCAAAAGCCATTTACTAGTCCCGAAGAACGCGAATTTCCACGGGCAGTACCCAGATCCAAAAGTTTTGTTGCTTTAGTTATTTTTTTCAAAAAAAAACCGGAAAAAAAGGCTCTGAATTGACGATTTTTTGTTCCGTATTCCGTCTGCCGTCTTCCGGGAAAAAAGTTTTCTTCCGTCTTCCGTCTGCCGTCTTCCGTGAGAAAAATTTTCTTCCGTCTTCCGTTTTCCGTGTTCCGTAAGAAACATTTTTTTCCGTCTGCCGTCTGCCGTCTTCCGTATTTCAAAATTCCATTTCCGCTCAACTCTGATGTGGGGTCTTGTGATTATATATCTAATAACGTCAAAGGGAGGAAGAGAAAGAGTTGACTTCTTGCATAGAAATAACGGTTTATATAGTGACAGTGAAATCCCGCCCACTCGGCAGTGCTTCACCGCGACCACGAGACCTCCAGGAAAAACAAGGGTCCCCTAAAATAAAGATAAAGAGAAACAAGGGTTCCTGGTCGGATTTCTTGAGAATAGAAGATTAAAACCGCTCTAAACTAGTCTGAGACGTGTCTTTGGCGGCCCTGGAAGTGATTTCCAGACCAAAGTCCAAGAGAATGTGAGCTGTGAGCTGAATTTCAGCATCAACTCGTGTAAGAAAATGGAAAATGGAAGTGGGTCCAGCCGTGTGGGAAGTGAAAGCCCAAGGTCGCAGGATCGACTCCTGCTGGTGGCAAACTTTTTTGAAACCGGGAGATAAAATCATTAAAAAGTGAATTTCACTCACTTTTCCTCGCACAGATTTCCATCAAAGTGGGTCAATTGTCGACTAGTAGTTAGCTATTGAGATTTCCGGTGAATTCCACTATAAAATGGTTGAGAATAAACGAAAACGCATGACTTTCCCCCTCAAGAAAATAATGAGTGGAAGGTTGGCAACCGAGAATTATGTGGTAGTTGGTGTCACGTTGGCAGTGATCACAGTCACCTGCCAACTCATCTTTCTTCCTTTTCTATTCTCCGAAATTGATGCGATCCGAACCGAATTCGATTCGGAAATGAGGGATGCGCTGCAAGTTTTCGATAATTCTTACAAGGATCTGGTCAGAATTCGTCCGTCGTCGATAAGAAGGCAAAGGGAGGCGGTACAGAAGTGAGTCAGCCTTTGAAAAACGTTTACCCAAACACGGACCGAATTGGTTGATTTTGTTAGAGGTTGTCCGAGTCCCTATCTAGTCAATCTCACTGAATTTTTAAATATGTACCAACCGGTTTGATGAATGAAGCGAAAGAAGTATTTTGATGACATTATATCTGTTTTTTTAAAGTATGGTAGCGGACCGCACGTCGCTCGGTCCTGCCGATCACCCTCATCCGCACGCAGATGCCGCACGGACCCATCATACACGTCTTCCGCTTTCCGGAACCAGACCAGCAGCCCCGAGCCATTTCAGTGCTGAACTCCGGAAACTGGCTCGAGAGATGTCTACGCCGACGGATGAATACACGGAGGAATCAGAGTACGAAGAAAGGGAACCCGTACATGTGCAGCTTCCGAAGACTCCTCTCACTTTGGGATCTTTACCTTCTGGAGCTGCCTCTTCTCTTTCAGGCCCTGCTGCTCCTGCTCCCTCAGGCCAAGGAGCACTTCCAATGTGTCCACTGGAAGAGAACCGATGCTCTCCTGGCCTAGCTGGTCCTCCAGGCATCAAAGGAACTGCTGGCCAGAATGGAGTCGACGGAAACGACGGGACGCCCGGAAACGATGCGATGGACGAGCTGACTCCGACCTTCCCAATGTTCTGTACATCCTGTCCATCAGGCCCAGATGGTAAACCAGGTCAGCCTGGGCCCACTGGCCGACCGGGACTGGTCGGCGCTCACGGAATCCCAGGACCTAACGGAAAGAATGGTCAGCCGGGAGCTCCTGGCGGATACGGAAGTGCCGGAAAACAAGGAGCGATGGGTAGTCCGGGTGATTCTGGAGAACAAGGACAAGACGGAGTGATACTTTTGAACACGAAGGGACCGAAAGGGCCGCCCGGAAAGCCTGGACCGGATGGACAGCCCGGAGAGGATGGAACCAACAACAACACCCCGGGACCGATGGGAGAAACGGGAGCGGTCGGGGAAATGGGACTCGTTGGAGCACCAGGATTGTATGGAAAACGAGGAGAGACTGGAGAAGTCGGAACAAAGAGAATTGATACGGTTAGTCACTTTCTTAAAAAAATAATTCTGAAAAGTTAGTTGATTTGATTCCATGTTGATTCCATGAAAAATAGTTCTAAAAAAGGAGAATGAGGTCCGGTGTTTGCACTTTCGGAAATCAAAAACCCGGTTTAGTGCAAAAAATTGGTTCAACATTAAAAAAGTTATTTTAAAAAACCTGTAATTTCTTTGCAGTCGTGTAAATGTGAGGATCTGATGAGGAAAGCGATAGAAGTTGCTGAAAATTCTGCGTATGTGGCAGTAGAAGCTCAGGCTCGAGCTCAAACCGCCGAACAAGTTCCCCAGGATGTTCCGCCGATTCCGACCAGTGCAGAAATTCGAAGAACCCCGCAGAAAGCGTCGAGTCTGGCGGCTTCTGGGCTTCCGACTTTGGACGAATTGAGGGGTGATTATCAGAAAAAGGAACAGTTCGTCTTGCGCTCATTTGCTCAGGAGGACGGAGACGTGAAGAAGTTCGCAGTGGCTCCGAGTGAAGTGACTGTGAATGAGGAGCCTTCCGGACCTTCGGATAATCTTATTCCTGAACTCATTACTGAAGATATTGGAGCTTCAGAAGCTCCGGAATCCCCGGAAGAAACAAATGACAGCTTGCTCAGTGAATCGGAGTCGGAGCCCGCAGCCGAAGTCACCCGACCCGCCCTGTTTGCTCCACCACGAGCCCAATTTCCACAAGTTGAAGTTGCTCTGAATCTGTCAGCGCCGCCGAAACTGCACGCCGCCAAATTCGTTCAATTGCCACGTGTCACCGGAGAGTCTCGTCAGAGGAGACCGCAGATTTCGAGCGGAGAAGTGACGCAGCGGAAGGCAGAAGAAACGACAACCTCGAAACGGAGACGGATTTTGAAAGTGCGACGGGTGCATCGCAGACAGAGACATCCCGCTTTCAGAGTGTTTGCGGTGGGTTTTGTTTTTTCCTATAATATTCATAAAGAATCCGAGAGACTTGACCATCTTTTTGACAATTTTTGATGGTGGTACTAGAATTTTCACAATTGGAAAACCACAATTTTTCATTAAAAATTGCTATAATCTTCAAAACGGCTGAAGAAAATAGAAAAGCACCATTTACAGAACACGGAAGACGTTGTGAGCCTGGACGAGGGCGAAAAGCCGTTCCATGTGGAGAGAGAGATTGCGAGAGAAAGTGAGAAGAAAGTGGTAAACAGCCGGGAAATCCGACGATCTCCGAAGCGATTGACGCAGAAACCAAAGAACGGAAAAATTGAAAAAGTACTAATTTAGCGTTCATCCTAAACGATTATTGTCGTTTTTAGAAACTGCGTCGGGTGCACGTGACTCCCTCGAAAACACTTGCCTATCAACATCGAGAAAATGCGAACATTCTGGAGAATATTGCCAAAAGTCTTGGGCTCATTGAGCAACCGGATAGGAACGAGCAGAAGAAAGAGATGAATCGAGTGCCAATTCCTTGAATATCATTGGTTTTTCTTCTAGAAATAAAACGTTTTTTTTCAATACAATAATAGTGTTTCTCTTGAAAAATGTCTGTGTGAATGCCTCTAAGAAGGCCCTGAAAATGATAAGTTAGGTAAAGTTCGAAAACAAGGCCAAAACTTTTCAAATTTGGGGGCAAAAAAACCGATACAGGATTTTCAAAGGCTTGGACTTCCGACCCACTTGCAATAATCTGAACGGACCCAAACTTTGATTGAAGTATCCTCAGTGCAAGTTTCAAACTGACCGAATTATCCGGTCCCGAAATATACTGTAAGCCTAAATGCCGAAAAGACCTTTTTGGATTCGATTGAATATCCGTATCAAACTGGTTCATGCGCGCCTTCTTGCCGTAAATGTCCCCCTTCTCTCTCTCTCTCTCTCTCTCTCTCTCTCTTTCTCCGTTTTCCTCTTCTCCCACCATCTAATTACACCTTTACTTCCACCTGCTCTCCCTCCTTCTCCCCCTTTTCCTGGTGCACATTTCCATGACGACCACCGCCGCTTTTGGCCATTAGTCTGGACGGGGCTAACATTTTGAAATAATCCGCCTACTGCCGCTCCGAAAGCACCTTCTATTTCACTTTTATTCGTCCATGACATGTAGTTAGTACGACTACTACTAGCACTTCTATTTCTTTCACTACTATTATCCGTTTGGGAGAATGCCGACGAGTGGCGGTCCGGGTTCGGGTTCGGATCCATCGATTAAGCGGGATCTTCAGGCAACTGCGGATCTATTGGATGCTTTACAACGTGTAAGTTGTTTTTTATAGATAGTTTTATTTGCTTTTCGCAGTGCAACAAGGTTTTGTACTGTTGTTCACGTCGTTTTAATTATCACTGTTTAGAAATAGGCTCATATCTTTAGACTGAACCGTTTTTGAAAAAAATGATCAATTAGTGCGATTTAGCCAGAGTTTTCCGGTTAGCCTTACTCCAAAACGTTTACGCATCTTCATTCTAGGACCCAGCGCTGCTTGAAGACCCGGATTTCATCAGACGTCTTTCGATTCTACGCCAGAAACACGAGGAGACCACGAATTTTCTGGCCAGAAAAGTGGGAGCCCCACCTTTGCCGATCACTACGAAAAGAGAAAAAGTTGTGGAATATAGTTTCCGCGAGAATTCTTGTCATTTTGTGCCGGTTCGAGTGGCTCCTCCGCCTCCAGGGCCTGTCAGGCTCCAAAGCTCTAAAGCACGGAATTTCGAGGCTTCGGAGGCCGACGCCGCCTATCATGGGGCATCGGAATCGTCGATCCAAGTGCAAGAATCGAACCAACGGGTGTCTGGGAAGCATAATCATCTGAAAACCCGTGCCACATCATCACCAAATCGTCGAGATCATCGTCATAGTCGAAATTCGGAGTCTCAATCAACTACTATCCGGTCGTCAAGTATGTTACACTTCAAAGTTTCTATGATTTAAAGAATTTCGGAAACAGACAATAGCAGTCGTCAAAGTACGGTCCGTGAAATCCTCTCCACCGCCACAAATCGTCATCTGATGCCGAGAAGTGCCACGTCGTCCGCCAACTTCGCCACGTCATCAGTGGCGATGCCATCGGGTCTTTTGCTGAGCAACACTCTAACCAAACACATTCCACGTCACTCCTACCACAATCTTGCCACGTCGTCGCAAGTGGTTGAGGAGAGTTTTCTGGAAGACGGACTGTCCACAACACGCGAGGTGCCCACTATTGTCGATGAAATTGTGGGCGAGGAGGAGCCGGTGAGGACGTCGGTGAAGTTTTATGAGGAAAAGGATGGGAAACCGTGGAAGAGCAAGTCGAAATCCATGCAAAATGTGTACGTTCCACAGACCACTGTACCCAAACCGTTTCAATTATCTCTACGGCAAGTTTTATCAACTTTCCGGTTATCAACTTTAGAACTTTGTTTTTTACAGAAAAACCATCGAAAACACCTACGCAAAAAAGTTCATGAGCGATCTGATCGCTGAGAAGAAGCAAAAAGATAAAGAGGCGGAGAACGAGTTGAAAAAGGAAAAGTTCAAAGCGAAGCCGGTGCCGAAATCCACGTACCTACCCACAAATACGTTTGCGACCGAGTTAAAGTACGTGGAAGCGATGCGAAAGAAAGTGGCGGCGGTGGCTAAAAAGAAGTTCGACGTGCAGAATGAGATGGTTCGCTCGAAGAGTGAAGGCAACTTGAGTAAGAGTTTTTTTTCAGTTTTTTTGGGGACACTGTTAAGAAACAGTGTTTTAGCTCAAAAAGCACAACATTTCCAACATGTTTCTAGTTGTACACTTTCTCAAAAAATCATTGGTTCACGAGATATGGCGGTTTGAAGTTACTCGATAAAAATTCGCAAGAAAATTCAGAAAAAAAGTTGCGCGCACCTTTACCGAGTAGTTATTCTTTGAAGGTTCGCGCTGAAGTATTATGAACAATTTATTGTTTCAGCCTCCATAAAACCGCTCGGCTACGTGCCACCAAGCACGTACATCTCCCCGATTCCTGTAAAACCAAACGCTCGGAGCCGAAGCGCCACGACCAGATCGGCAATTCTCATACAAGAAGCCACCACTCCCAAAGGGATCAAGAGCCATCGGGCCACTTCGAACCTCAACCACCATCTGAGACACGGCCGATGCACCATGGACACCACTGCGGTGGCGCTGCATCGAAGGATCTCACCGCCGGATTTTCATAAACTTCACGCAAAGGTAAGTCCTCGGATATTGCTTCCTTCAAGTTTCGTGTTCCTATTTTATTTCAGATCGATGAAGAGTACCGTCGAGTGTCTTCGAAACCCACCACAGTTCCAATGCCCTTCAAATTCGCCTCTCGGAGCAAATCCGCCAGTTCGCGGCACTCGAATTGCCAGGAAAAAGAGCCGGAGCAATTCAAAAATGAAAAATCTTCGCGCCGAATAAAATCCGCGGCGCTTCACCCAAACCGAGTGCCCAGTACTCACGCGGCTCAGCTCAGAGAAGAGTTGAATCGGGCCAAAGTTCAGAAGGAAAACTCGGAAAATGCGGGGCCGGGTGAGTTTTGGAAAGACGACAATCGCCGCAAAATCGCATCGTTCCTGGGAGCTCGGAGTAAGACTGAAGAGGATATTGCGATTAGGACCAGGAGAAAAATGTGAGCATTTATAGATTTTCTGAACTAAAATTTGATATTTTCAGTCAACAACAACAAGAGACGGCGCAGGATTACATGCGACAATTGGCACAAATGAAACAGAGGTTTGCACACTTTCAAATTAACTTTTACTCAAAATTTTTGCAAAATTAGGCTCCAGTTTTTCCATAGAAAACACTGAGTGTCGTTAAATCTGGTTCATTGACTGAAAAAGCCAGATCTTACAACAGAATGCTGAAATGAATGATTTTACGCATTTTCAGAGTGCTTAATGGTCCGCTAATCATGGAAAAACAAAGCGCTCTGGCCCAGGAGCATCGTCTAAAAAGGAAATTTGAGCTCCGAATGAAGTCTGCCAATAAAACCAGTGAATTGTCCACGAAACCATCCAAAGAATCAAGAAGAAACTCGGAAACATCCGCCGCCGGCACATTTATCGTCGAAAAGGAGTATGAGGAGGATTTCGAGGAGGAAGAGGGCAAGAAATCTTCCAAAACCTCTACTAAAAGCTCCAAAAAGTCGTCTAAATCATCCAAATCTTCTGAATCCGCGTCTGGATCGCAATCTGAATCTGATGAAGAGACTTCTGAACCTGAATCCGATTCATCTGCCTGATTTGCTGAAATTATCTCTAGTCTAACTATAAGAAATTTTTTTATGAACAACTTTTTTTTGCTCAATTCACTCAATTCTCACAACTTATCTCCTACTTCTATGTATTGGCAAGCAAGTACAGTACAAATAAATATTTTCTCTTTCTCTCCGAGTGCTCAACACCACCCGCCGAGCCCGCGCTCACAGCATGACATTTATTTGCGGGAACGATAATAGTGGCATGGCCAGCATGACTAACCGTTTGATCATGAGCACCAATGCACCGTCTTTTTAAGGAGAACGTGGACGGTTTACTTTTCTCGACTTTTTGACTTTGAAAAAAAAGTGGAGAAAGGGCATTTTCTCAACAAAAAATCATGTAAAAACTCTATTGCTCCATGTTTTTCTTATAATTTCTAGAATTGCGTTTATTATTTGCCCTAAAACTATACTATTTTTTTTTATTTTTTTCGTAAACTCTTATGCATCGTCTACAGAACCCTGGATCTGACGACAAAATGCAGAAAACTTTGAAAAACCAGCAAATTATTCAGTTCTTTTGCAAAATTAATTTTTAAGAAGTGTGAAACCGGCAAAAGCCCACATCCGATTCCAAGTTCCGACTATATACACCAATCGGGAGCGCGGCCTCTCATTTCGCATTCGAATCAACAATATTTGGACAAGAGGAGGAATAAGGGCGACGCTATGGGGGGATATATCCATCGGGGCGTCCCCCCTTATACAAACATACCTGGGTCCACACAGGGGTCTCAGATACCCCCCAAACGGGAAGCTAAAATGTGTGACAAAGTACTACTAGTATTGATTTAAAAGTTTTTGAAACTTGAAACAAATTTATATAGTTGTTAGCTAACAGAGTCTGTCCGTTTCTTTCTGCCTTTCTTTGTTTTTGTTTGCCCCGCCACTTTATTATTTCGAAAACGAAAAAGTTGTGGCGTTGAATCTTAAACAAATTAACATGTAAATTTTGAATCCGCTCCCTAGGCAACCTCAAAAATTATTGTTTTTATCAATAATTTATGAAACTTTCTACAAAAACTTACTTTGTAACTTGTATCATCTAAAAGTGATCGAATAACTTTGAAAAGTTTCCCATCCCCATCACTTTTACAGCTCTTTTCCCTTCAGATTTTTCCATAAACCAATTTTACGATTTTTCATTCCATTCCCATTTCTCCCGTTTTATTCAACGCTTCCATCCAACACATTTTCATCGAGAAATATTACTTTTGAAACCCCACTTTTTTTTAAATTCTCTGATTTACCTATCATGTTAAAAAGAGCCTAGCAGAAACCTGTCCGAGAATCTCACACCCCCAAGTCCGTCGTTCCTCGTACTTTTCAAGTACATTCACAAACATTTCCGAGTGATTTTATCCGACGTTTTCCGAATTTTCCAATTTTTTTCCAGAGAAAAATGCTGAATTTCCTGATCTACTCGCTCTTTTTCGCCTCTTCAGAAGCTGGTGAGATTTTTTTTCGGATTTTTGAAAAATGCGACTCGATTTTACCTGGTTTTTGCAGTGAAATGCTACAGTTGTGCCAGCAACAATATGAAAGAGGTAAAAAAAAGTGTTTGCTAAAAAGTGTGTGAAACAAAATATTTACAGAATTTTCTCACAAAACAACGTGGACCAGCGAATCGAGTCGGTGAGCCGAAAGTGTACAGTGATGACTGTACATCAGGCACTTGGGTCATCAAAGTACAGTAATCCTTATCTTCCCAACAAAAAACAACCAAAATGTTTAGGACCGAAGTAGTGACGATTGTGGCACAAATGGCTTCTGTTTCAAGTGGCAACAGGCTCTTAATAACTCGGGTAAATTCGAACGTTTTCAAATTCCACGTCAACTATCTACCGTATTTTATAAAGGATCTTACACGTACATGACATTCCGAGGATGCTACAACAAGCTGTACAATACCAACGATCCGTCCACTTTCCAGCCGCCCAATCACTCGTATTGCACCTCTTCTAACGTATGTTAAACGATGCTCCGGTATTCCACTTTGATTTAAAAAACGCTTCAAAACGAAATATTTTAACAGAAACTAGTTTCAGGTCCCCTTGGCATGTCTATCCGATGCTTCAATAATAGAGGATTCGTGTTGGTGTCAAGGAGATTATTGTAATTCTTCAGAAACTCGACGGAAGCTATTAACTATTGTGTTTTCCTTATTGTTAACTCATTTTTTAACGTTTTAGCAGAAACACCCAAATAAATCTAGTCAACTCTGTATTTTTTTCACACAGAAGTCGACATTTTTCGCATTTCACGCGAGAACGTTAGTTTTCCTAATCGAAAATTACAAATTTTCGCTTTACTCGGCTCAAATCGGGCTCCGCGAGCCGGTCCGGGAAACGCGTCAACTCTTCCGCTTGGCGTGTTCCTGGTGCTGGCGCATTTCCCGTGTACGTCAGAAAATGACAACTGCTGCAAGGATATTTGTCCAAGCGGCACGTGGGGTGCAAAAATGCATGAAGCGAGGTGTTTATTGAGAATTTCCGCTTTTTGTACACCACGGGACATCGTTTTATTAGCCTTTTCTATAGATTTTCGATGGGAAATCGTTTTTGGATAGTGTCATTCGCCCTTTAAGGTTACTGTAATTTTTAAACTTTTAAGTATTTTTACTTCCGTTTTTTGTGGAAACCGTAGAAAAAAACCGTGAATATCACTAAATTTTCAGCGAAAAAAACGGCAAAATAAATGAAAAGTCGATGAATGGTGTACAAACTATATCAAGGTAGGGGGAAAACATCATAATTTAACAAAAATTCATTGAAATGCTTGCAGAGACACAAGTAGAAATGCGAGCGAATCGTCCAGTATTCAGGATTTGCTGCAGAACGTAGAAGCCAACGATTTGTCGAGTGTTGTGAACGAAGAAGTCTCTATTACCCTTTCGGCACCGCCGTCGCCTCAAACTCCCCGCAAAATTGATTTCCAGACGCCGATGTAAGCATCTTTGGCTGAAAAATACAATTCTACATGCATTTTTCCTACAGCGAAACTCCGAAACCGCACATTTTACGGCGGAAATTGGCGGTGGAGGAAAAGAGTTCAAAAATCGATTCGGTCGGCAGCGATCTCGAAGATGACGTGAGCATTGAACTTCTATTGCTTTTCAATAAAATTCACCAAAATACTTTTAAACTGTTTTCAATCAAAAATGTGTTGCTAAGCCTTTGAAAATTAGCAAAAAGATCGAATTTCCAGCGCGGCTCACCGATTCCAGTTCGAAAACCATCACGAATATCGTACGACGAGCGGTTAACAGTGATTTGTGACAGTCAGACGTCCTCACCTCTTCGTAAGCATTTTTTGATGCAACTATCGAAAAATAATCGCTCACAAAATAGTTAAAATCATCTGGAAAACATTTTTCAAGTTGTTTCCGAAATTCTGGACTATTTTTCATGGTTAGGATGAAGGTTTTTTATCTTCAAGCAATCCGAATACTGCTGAAACATTTCGAAAAAAATATTGAAAAGAAAATAACCCCCACCAGTTTCAGACACCCCTTCACCGTCCCAGGATCGAGATGCGGCGCCATTTTCAGAAGTTTTTCAGCCAAAAGGATTTTTTGGATTTTTTTGGGATGAATTGACCAGGTAATTGCAGATTTCAATAAACTCCCATAAGAATCAAGAAATTCAGTGTAAAATTTCATTGAAATTCTAAAAAAAAACTCCAGAACAATTCTATAATGACTACTCTTAAAGTTTTTATACAGAGGTTACTCGCTGCACAACGATCATGCGCGGTTCTCGGAGAAGCGGCGGAAAGTGTACGCGTTTCTGCGAATTCCACTGGAATTAGAGCAATTTCTGGCCTACGGACTCCTTCAATGCATCGACGCATTCTTTTATCTCTTCACATTTCTACCGCTCAGATTTTTGGTAATTTTTTGCAATTTTACAGTAAGAAATTGTTTTCAACAATTCCAAAGCGTTCAGATGTCAATATTCGGCGCTCTACTACGTGTAAAACGATGGACGTCTGCGGAGACTTGCGATTTTCTAAAAGTAGTCATCATTTTGTGCGCTTCCATGCTCATCAGAGAAATTGGTAATGTTTGCATAAGTTTCTATTGAAAAATGGTAAAATAACTGCAGATTCGTCGTTTTTATACCATCAAGTTAGGAGTCAGGGCGTCATAAAATTGTACATTTTCTATAATATGCTCGAAGTGGCCGATCGGTTATTCAGCAGTTTGGGACAGGTTTCTAATTATTTTTGTAAAAAAACGAGTTTTTCACCCGAAAATTGCAGGACATATTCGACGCGCTGCTTTACACGGCGAACAGCGAGAAGCGGTTCTCGGCTCGGCATCTGATGCGAACGGGCGGTCATTTGATCGTGGCGATCCTCTACGCGACGCTTCATTCATTTCTGGTCATTCTCCAGGCAACAACCCTCAACGTGGCATTCAACTCGCACAATCAGACCGTTCTCGCCATCATGATGTCGAACAATTTTGTCGAATTGAAAGGATCCGTCTTCAAAAAGTTCGCAAAGGCCAATCTGTTCCAGATGGCGTGTTCGGATGTCCGCGAACGGTTCCACATATTCGCATTGCTTTTTGTAGTCATGATACGGAATATGACAGCCGTCAACTGGAATATAGACTCTTTCGCTGAAATGGTTCCCGATATGGTAAGAGAGATTTCACAGAACATTCGTAACAAAAAATACGCTATCTTTAGGTGATGGTAATCGGTTGCGAGTACTTTGTGGACTGGCTCAAACACGCGTTCATCACGAAATTCAACGAAATCAACGCGGAGGTGTACAAGGATTTCACGATTACGATAGCATTTGATGTGATCCGCAGCAGGGACCAGAGCGCGTTTTCCGATTATTCCGATCAGGTATTCAGCAGATTTTATTTTTTTGCATAAAAACCTTTTTTTTAGGTTTCCCGTCGGATGGGCTTTATTCCGATCCCCCTCTCGATCATGATAATTCGAGTACTCAGCCAAACGTTCTCACTTGACAATTGGGGCTCTATTCTTGTTTTTGGTAAGGAAAATATCAAAACAATTTCAAAAATACTGAACTGTTCTAATCATTCTACTCGAAAAAAGTTGCAGAGGTTTGCCGAGTACATAGCTAGACTTTAACTATTCCTATACAATTTTTCTCTTCAGTAATCGGTTGGCTCTTAGTATTTTCGATCAAAATCTGCAACGGGGTGATCATGCTCGGAAAAGCGTGCCAACACGTGAAAAGATTCCGAGACTTCCAAGCGAGAGCCGAATTCGAGCTGTTCCGGAAGCGGATGGTCGAGAAGAAGAGCAAATCGGCGCCCAATTCGCCCAGAATGTCACTCATCGATTTCACCGGTACGCGTTCTTCTTTTTTGTAGTTTTTCTTTCAAGTCGGCAAAAATTGCTTTAAAAATATCTAATCGATTTTTTTAATCGAAACATTATGAACACAATCATTTGTAGAGTGATTTCTTCAAGAAAACAACAGAAGCTTCATGTTTTGCGAAACAAAAATTAAAAAGAATATTTTCTTTTTTGAGTTTCTAAATCAATATTATCCTATTACAGATGTGCTTCACCAACCTGCGGCCGGCAAAGGATTCACAGTTTCGGATATGCTCAGTCAATGGGACGAATTGGAGCCGAGTTTGGTGAGTGGATAATTTTTGATACACTTGCTACCGTTTGTTTTTTATTGCGTAGCATTTTTTAATTTCTGTATTTTTGCAGCTATCAGAAGTGCGTCGAAGTACGGATCGTGAGACGGTCAACTCGAATTTGGCAGTCAGAAACGACGAGCGGACGCCCAGAAGAGCGAGGAGTATGGCCAATATTTCGAGGTAAAATTTTTTTCAAAAATTCCCTATTTTTTCCGAAAAATCATGTTTTAGACGAGATCGAAGCGAGCCGCCGCCCGGAAGTGAGCAAGAAAACGGAACGAGCGGCTCCGCGAGCAACGCAGCCGAAGAAATCATTTTGAGCGCCACGACGAACGCAGCAAATGGCGTTGGAGAAGCGTCGGCGGAACACGGGTGAGTATTTTTGGGAAATTCGAACATTTTAGCGAAGCTTCGTTGATTTTTCTGTAAAGCAATCGATTTTTCGAATACAAATGGAACATTTCAGCGGTCAATCGTCTCCAACAAAGAAAAAAGTGACGCCCTCTTTGCCTGGAGCCAATTCCAGCTCCAACGCATCCGCCGCCACGCCATCCGACGAGCTGGCCGATGTGACCGCCTATAAAATGCCCGAACAAGGAGTTCAACGCATTGAATAATCAAAGTTCCATTTTTCCTTATATTCTCTTTCCAAGAACACACGGGTACATCAATCTTTCTCGCCAAACATATTAAATTCTTGCGGAACTGTTTCTTTGTTTTTTTGTTAATTTTCTACCATTAATCCTCAGTCAGCACATTTTTGCACACCAGTGTTACTCTGCGTACAGTGAATTTTATGTTACGCGAAGAAAATTAATTTCAAAAGAAAATGTGGACATTATGATTTTTTGAGAATTGCGGAGGCGGGTGATAAGCAAGACGAAAAGCAGCGATATAGAGAGAAAAGAAAGAAAACAACAAAAAAAGCTCAACAAACGGGGAAACATTAGGGAAAATTAGGAAATTGAGCTGGGAAATGAACAAATATTCCTAGTTTTCCGGGTTTTTTTTTGGAGAAGAGAAAAAATCTAAAATTTGAACGCCAATGAACGGATTTTGGTGAACACGTCGACAGTTTCGTCGGTGATCGTCTTCCGCCGCTCCTGCATTTCCATCACGATCTTGGTCACTTCCGCCGTGGCGAGGGCCTTCAGTTCTCCCGAGAGCAGCTCTCCTTTCGTGTACTTCTCTCGGATCTCGGCCAGTTGCACGTCGTCCTCGAGGAAGAAGCGGAGAAATTGGAAACTGATATCCACGTCGCAGTCTCCGCCCAGGGCGCGGTGCTCTTCGACCGTCTGTTGACCGCCCGAGAACGCGTATTTGTTGACCTACAATAATTGACGAGAATTAGCAAGATTCGAGGATTTTTTACGAAAAAAAAGTAAACGGACCTTATTCTTGATCTGTTTGGCGGTGTCGCTTAAGAAGATGCACGTGTTCGGCTCCGACGCGCTCATTTTGGTCTGTGCGCCCTGGAGAGCCGGCAGGAACGTCGAGAAGATCAGAGAGGGCTTGGCGGCCTTCAGACGGGGTGCCACGTCCCTCGTCATTCGGAAGTACGGATCCTGGTCGATGGCGCACGGAATCAGGCACGGAATATCTGCAAAATTTGTGGGTTTTGAGTTATCTAGCTAAAAAAAAGAAAGAAAGTCCTGCTCACCATTTCTCTTTCCGAAAATGTGCGGGAAGCTGGAGGCGAAGCACGGGGCGGCTTCGACAGCCGGGAACGCCGCCTTTCCCATGCAGTCCTCGGGCGTGAATCCGAAAATCGCGCGTGCCTGGTTGGCATTCACCACCTTCCACACTTTGACAACGTTCTCGTAGAACGGCGGGCACATGTAGTCGAGATTGTTGAAGATGAACGTCTTCTCCGGATCGAAGCCCACCGAAATGATGTCCTTCATGTTCTCGCGTGCCATCTTCTTCGCCTCGTCGATCTTCATGTCTTTCCACAGAAACTTCTCGTCGTCGGTCATCTGAATGACGAGCGGCACGTCAAACGCCTCCTGCAGCCACTTGGTGAAGATGAACGGAACGAGATGGCCGAGATGGAGCGATCCGGATGAGGCACCACGTCCCGTGTACAGGAAGAACGGCTTGCCCTGCTCTTTCCGCTCGAGAATCGCCGAGAAGTCGCGGTGGGCGAAGAACATTCCGCGACGGAGCATCGGACACGCCTTCCGGCCCGTCACCCGCTCGAATCGCGCGATTATCTCCTCGTCCAGCTTGCGGCATCCGAATTTCACTGCAAACAATGAGAATATTTTATGGATTCTAGCGATAATTCTTTTTCTGAATAATTTTTATCACAAAAACACTAAAAAAGCGGGAAAAACTTACCGATAAGCTTGTCATAATCGATTCCGGTGGCTTTCGTGGTGGTCACCTCCCACGGCGTCACTTTGTCCTCTTCTTCTTCGACATTTTGAGCCGGTGCTCCGTTCAATTCGAGCTCTTCGATCTTCTTTTCGATCGGAGCAGCAGTCGATGTCATTGTAAACCCTAAACTATTCTCTGTTTTGAAGAAAGTAATATTTCACAAAAAAGAAGGTATAAAATGTCAAAAACACATAAAAATTCAAGAGATAACATTTTTTCAAAGAAATACAGTCACAAATTTATTGACTTCACACGTACAAGCAAAGTAGAAGATCATGATGATAAATAGAGAAAAAAGTACAAAACTGGCAGGAGAACTCCTGGAAAATCGGGGAAAGCTCCTAGAAATAAATAAGAAATTGGGATAGTAATTATTGAGCTCCTTCCGGCGCATCTGGAACGACTTCTGGAGCACTTAGAGCTCCTCCGAGCGGATTTTCCTGTCTCTCGTGGTCCATATCCTCGAATAAAATGTCCGCCTCCTTCTTGTCGTCCATTTCCTGCTTCTTCTTTCGTTCCACCATTTCGCGATGTCTTTTTTGCTCTTCCGTCTCCACTTGATCTTCCTGAAATGGAAAAGAAGGTGAGTTAGGGCCATTTTGAGAATTTTTCCTGAAAATGCTCAAACAAACCTCTGGAATTACGGGGTTGAGCACTCGCTGCGTCTCCATGTACTGCTCGATGGCCTCCTCGTAGGCGGCTCTCATTCCGTCGACGTTGCTCATGTAGAACTCGTGCACAAAGTGAGTCATGTGCAGCGTGTCCTCGATTTCCATCGGTTCTCCGTCCTTTGACCGTTCGGTCAGCTTCCTCTGCGCCGGGAACGGTTCGAACGGCAGCAGGATCAGTTTGCGCGGCGATTGGGCGAAGATGCGCATGGCGGGCGTCAGTTCGAGACAATCCATGAACACTTTGGCTCTTCCGAGCACGTAGAGACCGAGACGGGCACGCGAAAGGGCCACGATCAGACGGCGCACGTCGCGGATGTGTCCGATGTTGCGCGTTTTCACCAGCGACAGAATTATGTAGTCGTTTTGTTGTCCTTGATACTTATCCACTGTTGACACCTGCAAAAATAGTGTGAAAATTTAAATTGTTATGAGAACATCCCGCGTTTTTTGTATTCAATAACTTTAAGTTTTGAAAAAGTTTAGTTTGCAGTTTCCAATTCCAATTTGAAAATTATTCTCCAGTTTCGAATGAAATATGATAGAAATGTTTGATTTTTGGGATAAAACCAAAAAATTTTGACTTGTGAAATTCTAAAAGAAACGCTTTTTTTTAAAGTTCAAAGTTTCATTTTCCAGTTCAAAATTGGTTGAAATGCCTGAAATTTCCTGATTTCACCTTGATTTCAGAAAAATGAACTGTTACCCAATGCTAAAGTTTGGCTTTGGTGATGGTCGCACCTCGAAACGCGTATTTACACCTCCAGGTCGTAAATCACATCAAAAAAGTACCATGTCTAGCGGAAGAAGAGAAATTCGAGGCCAAAGTGCGAACCACACCGATTGGATCATAAAATGATGGGTTCCTATTGAATGTTTTGAAGAACTAATATCAAAATGCGTATTTTTGATACAATTTAGCAGCTTCTTCGCTCCTTCTCGGTTCCACCGACTTCTTCTCTTCACTCTCTCTCTTCCGCTACATACTTGTCACTTATGCAGGCCAATAAACCCATCAAATCTCGGCTCAAACACCATTCTACTCGATTTTGCTCAGAGGAAGGGTAAATTTCGGCGAAAAATCTAGAGTTTCTGAGGTTTTCACATATTTTCGCCCAAATTCCATCCTAGATGCTCACCTTTGCGGGCATTCCAATGAGCGGATTCGTCTCGCAACGCCTCTGGCACACGTCTCGAATCAGCTGCGCTTGTCCGTTGTACGTCGTCAGAATCGAGATCTTCTCGGCCGGATATCCGAGGATTCGCATGTACGTGTACAGTGCCACCGCGTATTCCGCTTCTCCGAGATTCTACAATTCGAAGAATGTCGAGTGTTTTTATGGCAAAAATAGTGGGTTTTCTCAGTTTTTTGTGCGAAAAACTTGATTTCACCTGATAGAAATGCGGGCTCGGCTGAGTTTCTCCTTGTCCGTTGAAGTCGGGCACATCGATGAGTTGGAACGGGAACGCGAAGCCGGCGTTGGCATTCTACAAGCAAATATATGTGTATTTTCAGAGAAATCAGGTCGAATCAATCCGAATACTAGATTTATATGGCAGAATAACGATTTTCGATACAAATTGATTCTTAAAAAACAATACAAATTCCCATAAATTGTGTGCAATTGTTTAATAGTTCGGAAATGGAAAATTCGCTCAAATTTCATAAAACTTACTATTAAAGATTTTTCTAGAAAACGCGACTAATTGCCCATTTCTTGGCCTTGACAAGGCCTAAACGAAACGACGAAACTTCGGTCGGGCGCAAAACTCGTAAAATCCTCTTTCGTCTGTTCGTCTGCGCCTCGAAACAACGTGGCGCTCACATTTCCGCCGGCCGAACGGGAAAAGGCGGTGCAAAAGGCCGGCAGAGGACGGTTTCGCAACAAAAAGTGGACAAACTGAGGAAATGTGATGCAATCTGATTGCCGCTCACTTTTTTGAGCTCTAGAGCTTTGAGCGATGCTCAAAATAGGATAAATTGAGCGGAAAAATAACAGGAGACTTTCAAAAGCAGAGAACTGCTTGAAAATGCATCTAAATTACTCTAAAACTCTGAAAAACGTTAAAAAAAGTCTAAATGTTTCCAAAGTTTGAAATAATAATTAAGAGTGATTACCTGGAACTGCGGGAGCGATTCGACGTGCGGCAAGTTTCCGAGTCCGTTGTAGCGCCACTGATAGAGCTGAGCGATTCTGAAAATTGGGCGAAATTGGCAACATTTCCGTCTTTATCTTATCAGTTTTCGCCTCCAAATTGGCAGCGTCTCAAAGTTTATCGACCAGAGACACAATTACGAATTTTTGAAGGGAATTTTTGGAAAAATCAATGACAATTTTCGAAAATTCAGCACAACTATGTCTCATTAGACGTTTTCAGCTTTTTTCAAAGCAAAAACTAAATTTTTCTGTCGATTACTCAAAAATTGAGAATTTCCAATCAAACTTTCGCCTGGAAACCCTATAGATTTTCATTTTTTCTCATAAAAAAGACGTACTGAGATCTGGCACGTCCCTGCTGATCCAACTGAACGTTGGGCACACTCAGACGGACTAATCGGGCGAACAGCGACTGTTCCATGTTCGAATACTTCTGGAATGCCTGATTTTGAACGACGGGCGGCAACTGGTGGTGGTCGCCGATCATGATCCACCGTTTCAGACGATTGTGTCCGTCCTGGGGGTTCTGGAGCAGCAAGGGGATGAAAGTTTCGACTTCGAGGATTTGCGCCGCCTCTTCCATCACAATGTTGTCGTAGCGGAAGCCCAGTTTGACGAGTTCGTTGCGGCGGAGAGCCGCGTGAGTGCACGTCATCGCAATGATTTTCGCCTCTTTCACCTGCAAAAAAATTAGAGGATATGGGAAAAAGTAGGAAAAAAACAACAAAAACGACGGTAGAGCCGTTTGAGTGGCCCAAAAATTGCACAACGTGAATTGTTATACTACTAATTCCGACGAACTTTGCGACCTTTCCGTTATCCAGAGTATCCTCAATTGTCAGCGAAAAACTTTCAAAATAAACTTTCCGGTTGGTTTTCTATGAAAACCCAAAAAATCCTACTTTCCAATTGATAAAAATGATAGTTTCTGGTCATTCCAATATCTCCGAGCCTCCTCCCGCACTCGATGGGATCCGAGCCTTCCCAAGTGCGCACAGATTAGTCGCACCTCTCCACCACGTCGTAAACCGATCCGTCGCTCGCCGCACTCACAGTCGCACTTCTCCTTTGACTATCTGAAAATACCGATCCCCCCCGCCGCGCGAAGGTCCACCCCAGAAGAGGCCACGCCCATTCGGTTTCCAGGCCCGTATGACGGCCATTCCGTCCATCCTTCACATCCATTTGCTCCGTTTGAGAGTAGTTATTATTGGTCTCTTTTCTCCCGACGATGAACCATTCTCCTCATTATCCAGCTTTCCCTCAGATGGCTACTAATAATAATCAGGCGATTCCACCGCAACCTCAACAGATTTTTCCGAACGGAACTGCACACGTTGATCCTGCTATGAACAACTATCCGCACAATCAGAATCAGCTCGGAGCGCAGTATGCTGCCGCTTCTTCAGCGCCCACGTCCCCGTTTCCTGGATGTCCAGCTGGATTCGGACTCGGATTTCCGACAATGATGATGCCGACTATCGGATACGAAGATCCCAACTACATGATGTGAGTTTGGTGACTACTTCATCAATTTCAGCAGGTTTTCTCATCATTTTCACTTGAAACTAAGAACATTTCGGGCAATTAGTACTCGGCAGTGTTCCTGAGAACAAGCGCAAACTTTAAGCAAATTCTAATAGAGTTGCCTGAAGTTTGCGCAAAAATTGCTTCTAACTTTCTATTAGAAATTGCATAAAGTTTGCGCAATTTCTCAGGAACATTGCCGAGTAGTTAGTAAAATCTGCAGAATTGACCGGAGAACCAGTTTATCATGGAGAACGGAAATTTTTTGAAACATTCCGATTTTCAAAAAAAACGAGCAATTTTTCAGTGCTCAAGCGGCGTACATGCAAGTGTACGGCTCGTTTGGAATGGGCATGTACTCGCCCGGCGTCTATCCAGATCCGTTCCTTCATGGTACCGGAGGACCAATGGCTCTCCATCAGCACAATTACGGCGCAGCAAAAGAGGCGAATCGCGGACGAGTTCCGTTCACTGATCGGCAGATCGCGGCTCTTATGGAGCGCTACGCAAAGGACAACACGATCAAAAAGGACGAGCGGATGAAGTTGGGCGAGGAGATCGGACTCAGCGAGCGACAGGTCAAGATTTGGTTCCAGAACAAGAGACACAAGTTGCGCAAGGAAGGCGAGATGAGAAGAGCGAGATCGGAGGACGACACGGCCAGCGATGAGAGCCACGAGTCGAGCCAATCGTTCACGGATCTCAACTGCAAGGTGGAGCCCTAAATGCCCTCAGATTTTTCAAACGAATCTCTTTTTATCCACGTTTCACCGATTTCTTTTTTTCCCATCTTTACGGCTTCCAACCAGTTTCATGCCTTTTATCATTTTCTATTGTAATGTAATAATTTTATCGCGTTTTTGCCGTTTTTTCATGAAATCCTATTTTTACTTTCAACCTGTTTTGGTTTCCTTTTCTATAAAGTTCCAATAAACATTTCGACTACCTTTCGTAATTCCTGTAATTCTACAGCATTTTAACGTAGGTTTTTCTGCTTTCTCCCGATTTTCCCGACATACCAACAGATATTCGGTCCGGTCTCGTCCATTTCTGAGCAATTCGAACGCGCGGAACTCGTCGAGCTTTTCGAATATCTGCTCAATGTATCGCCAGCAAGAATGGGCCACTTTCAAGTCGTCCGTGTTGTTATTCTGCAAATTTTCCCGGATTTCTGGTTTCAGATGCATTTTTCTTAAAGTATAGAATCTCGAATAGAAAGTAAATTACTGCAATTACAGGAAAGTGAGCAATTTTCAAAATATCGTTGTAAACTCGTATAGAATATTTTTTCTCATTGCTTGTTAACTTACCGAAAAAAGGTGTGGAATGTCGCTGAAGAACTCGGCGAACGGGAAGTGCTCGGCGACCACTCCTTCGGCGAGTTTCTCCTTTCCCTTCACAGTTACTTGTGCCAAAAAGTGCTCCCACGCACGGCAGACCGAGAATCGGAAGAAGTAGCCGGCGTTCTCGCAAGTGTACGCCACGTCTCCGACCGTTTTCAGGGCCTTCGCCAGCTTCTCCACTTTGTTGAGCAGTTCGATGCGCTCTTTGAGCACATAATTGACTCGTCCGTATCTCGAAAAGTCTTTCTCCGTCTCGAGCGCCTCTTCTCCGTGTCCCATGCGCAACAAGTGCCGTTCGTCGACGTCCAGAGCGATAATTTTCTCAAAGAGCTGATTGAGCGCCTGATTGGAGTGCGTCACGATGAGTGTGCGTTGGTTGGGCCAGTTGTGGTACAAGTTGGAGATTATTTGCACGGCAACGTCCGTTTTTCCGGTTCCGGGCGGTCCGACGACCATCGTGAGCCCTGGTTGCATTCCCGATTTGATCGCCTCGATCTGTGCGGCCGTGAATTGCACTTTATTGGTGTTCGGATGATATTCATAGGGGGTAACTCGTTTTCGAGTAATTGGAGTGACAACAATCGACTTTTCCGGTTTCTTGTCGTCCGAATGACGAGCTTCAAGGTCTTTGAAGTGCAATTTGAACGGAGGGACCATCAGTTTCTCATCTTCTTGCGCTCCGACGACTTTGTACCCAGGAAATGAAGACTTGACGTGGTCAAACGACAGAAAAGTGTCATTGAAATCGAGTTCAGCGACTGCGGTGCTCAATTTCGAGTAATGAGCACTGTCCGGCTCTCCGTACCCCAAAATCACGTCGGTAAGCCAATCGGGAACGACGCATTCGGTGTTCAGCAGATCGCGAATCGTCTGGAGCACCGCTTTGAAGTTGTTCGTTTTGGAATCGCGGCGAACGAGCAGGTTGAACGAGTAGTAAATATCCTCGTTTCCCGGTTGTTCGGCCACTTTCTCCATGTCCAGACGGTATTGATTCGGATCGAGAAGCAGACGGAATTTACGAATATCGCCCGGGATTCGCAATTTCTTCTCGTACGGCGCAAACTCCTCGAGAAGCATTCCTTCGGCGTCGAGCATGCCTTCCACGTCACATCCACGTACACTTGTCACCTGAAACCCAACATTACTGTCATTCTGCGCGAAATATGCAAAAATTCCCAAAACGTGAACATTTTGCGCAAACTAATTTACTACCCTTTCAATGAAAAGTCCCACTATTTTTATTTTTCATTTTCAAAGCTTCTCCCACCTCAATCTGGCTCAAAAACGGTTTGCGGACATCGAACCTGCCGCCGGCGCCCTGTTTGGAACGGCATGAGACGAGGAAGCAGACGTCGTGCCTGCGGAGGTTCTCCCATTCTTGTCGGATGTCCTGCCGTCTTCCCACATTCACAGAGACCACTCCGCGCACGACGGCCGGCGATTTCTCGCCCACAAGCGGCTTGGCGACTTCCGTGATCTGGAAGTGATCGATGGGAAGTGCCATTCGGGCCCATCCGGCGAACACCGTCTCATTCCGCGATTCGTGTTGGAACGGCTTCATTCGGAACAGCACGTCCTCCAGATCTTGACGGATTTCGTCTGAAAATGCACATTTGATGGTAAAATGTAGAGGAGCGCCAGATTTTTCTAAAAATCGGGCATGGATTCTTACACGTGGATTCCAGCTGGAACAGGTTGAAATTGCGGAGAAGATAATCGTGTAGCGTCAAAAACTGGAGATTGAGCTTGTCGAGTGCGAGGACGCCTTCGCCGGTGTAATGCTCGTACGGCACCACATTCTCGTCCCAAATCACTTGCTCCGTCGGGAAAAGCGGCTTCTCGTTGAGCTGTGTCAACTGATTCGGACGCCGTTCACAGTGCAGAGTGATCGTTTCCACCAGATGCTCTTTTGTGAATTGTACCAGGAGTTTCTGCTGGTTTTCGGATGATTCTAGAAAAAAACGAGGGGTTTTCAGTATTAAATCGACAAAAAATTCCTTACCTCCTTCCGATGCCGATTTGGGCACCAAATGCAAATACTCGGCAAATCGGTACACTTCCGCGTGGCTCATTCCCTGAAATTGCTTCTGGAGCGCCCGTCTCGTATCCACTCCCGACACGTTCAACAAATAGAAATCCTTCATCGTCTCGTTGAAAAATCGGAACGCCGCTTTTTGAAGTTGAGTCACATTTCTGCAGAAAATTAGGGAAGTTTGTGAAGAAGAACAGTGAGACAATCAAATTTTCAGACAAAACCAGTCGGAATTCAATTTCACACTCGTGGCGGTAAGAAAACGCCCTCCGTTTTGATATGCTTTCAATTATCACAAACTTAAATCAATAATACCCAAATTTCAGAGAACGTCTTAATCGAGTGTTTCAGTGTAGCAGGTTTGACCTACGTACCACTCGCTCGAAACGATTTATTGACTATTGGCTCGTTTTTCTCTCTTATTTCTCGATGCGAGCACCTTTTTGGAATGCATAGAAATTCCGAAATGTCTGGTAAGTGATCTTTTTTATAAATGTTGTCTTTAGGAAAGGTTTTCCAATGGAAAATAGGTTAGGTCTTACTAGAAAATAAGGTTTAAAAGTAATTCTTACTAGTTTTGCACCGATTTAGTTCTCTTTCTTTTCTTAATTTTTGCTTACGCAATTTTTCCTTTTCATAGCTCAGCTTTATGTACTTTTTTTAGCGCATTCAATTACCGCCACGGGTTAGCGACAACAATTATTTCTAGTTAAAAAAAAAAAACGAATTACTCCGTACTTGTAATGCTCTTCGCTGACTTCCTTATGCGTCAACTGTCGTCCCGATAGATCATCAATCTCGAATCGCGAATAGAACTTCAAAAGTTGAACGAGCTGACAGAACAGAGACCCGACTTCGGTCGAAATGAGATTTGAGAGTATGCAAGCAGTGAGCAAATGGGTGGAATGGAGGACGGAATTAAAAAAGCGTCTTGTCTGGAGGATGGACTCCAAATCGATCATCAGCTCCATGAATTTCTCACAATATCGGATCGAATCCACCAAATCGACGCCTTCTTCTTCCTCTTGTTCCAGCGATTTGAGAATTTTTTTGAATTTCTCGATCAAATTCCACAAAAATTCGCGCTCAAATCTCGTCTTTTCGTCGCTTTTCTCCAACCTCTTCTCCACATTTTCCCAAATCTTTCGCACCTTTTTCTGTTTTTTGAACAGATCCGCTCGTTGCTCCGGCAGTAATTTAGCCCAAATCTCGATGGAAACTAGCTTTTTTGTCTGATCGTGCACAATTTTCTGCTCTACACTTGCGAACGCGTTGACGAGGAACGTCAGAATCGCGCACTGCTCACCGGGCGTCGTTTTGCCGTCCGAATCGAGCGCGAGCTCCAGAATTTTGTGGAAAAACGCGGGGAAATGAGTGGAATTGGCGGTGAATGTGCTCCACGCGTCGATTGTTCGCTCGCGAAACTTCTCGTTGACCATCACAATAATCGAGAGATTATAGGCCTTGGTGGCGTATTCCGGATGATAATTGGGCCACAGATAGCCCTCCAGGTACTGAGAAAATTCGAGCATCATGATTTTTCGAGCGTTGAACTCCGTTTTTAGCATCTCGTTCTCGTAAATTGTGTCCACGAGCTTCGCGTCGAATTTCGCATGGTTTTCCTTAGTGAACGGAGCCCAGTACTTTGCGGCTACCTGGAAATTTACCATTTTACATTTCTGACAGGAAATGAGTGAGAAATGAGATCTCGCCACAAAGCAGTTTAATATTACACAACTCTCATAACTTTTATACTACTCACCGCCGAGATTGTGTCTTTCTCAATGGCATCTCTGGTAACCACAATTTCCTGGTGTCGTTTTGTGGCCATCACACCTGAAACTAGGCCTATTAGCCTTAAATCTTTGATTTTACGCAGAAAAAAGCAATTAAGTCGGAAGGTGAGAATTGAAAAAAACGCCAAATGAATACGTTTTTATCGTAGTACTGCAATTGTTGATAACAAAATAGGCGCTTCATTTAAGTAGAAGTTACCAAAGAGAAGAACGAAAAATATTTTTCGAAAACATCGAGAAACGCGCCAACGACGACTGTTGGCGCATTTTGCGTTTTGACCCGCACGCAGTTTTTTCATGCCAAAACGGCGGGAATTTACAAAACGAAAGTTGAACAGAGAAAATAGATTGTGCGTGCGTGCGGCTTTAATTTTCAGCTCAATTAATTGATTAATTTTGCTTAATAAACATAGTGTAACCCGGAAATTAACACGACTCACTAGGCAACGCTCGCCTGATCCCACAATTAATTTAATTGAATGTTCCGCATTTATTGTAGTTTATTTAGAATTTAACGAAAATTCAAATTTCTGATCAATCCATTTTGATTTGTTCACGTCTTTCGCCGCAATCATTCTTCTCTCCAAAACGGTCACTTTATCGTTTCTATCGACGACAATCAAAGTATGCGAACGTGTGCCGTACCTGGGAAACAATCAAAAACTAGAAAATTGATGAAAAGTTGATGAAATTTTACCTTCTTGACTCAGGAAATCTCACAAAAATTGAGGTGAGCGGTTTGTAGTCTTCTTCGCAAAATCCGGTTTGAACGCGAATTTGTTCGTCCGGGAAGCAGCTAAAAATTTTTAAATTAAAAAAAAAATTTTGATAAAAATAAGTGTTACCTGGTCCGGTCTTGTGCAATTTCGAAAAGCCGCTCGAAAACCTCTTCCAACTCTAGCTTATTCGAATTTTTGAATTTTTCCGCAAAAATTTTCTGTCCATACTCGGTTTTTTTGAACGGAACGTGAGGAGGACTGTTCGAGTAAACGTGGCTATCTGAAAAGGATTTTTCAAAAAATTTGAAAGAAAAACAAATTTTTCTAAATAACTAACGGTCATCCCACTTGTTGACCTCAATTCGATCTACAAGTTGATTGGTCAGGGTACGAACTTCAAAAAGTCCCGATTTTGTATTTTTCTCAATTCCCACAAACTGAAATCCATTGAACTCCTCTGCTTTTTTGAGTAAACTTTCGAAAAAATGATTGGTACTTTTGGAGCTCAAGTAGTCGTTCACAATGCCTCCTAAGAATTTTTTTTTATTTAAATGTTTGTTCTAAATCTATTGTACCTCTACTGGGAGCGATGGAATGCCGGGTGTGTCTCGGTTGAGTAATGGACAGAAGCATGCCAATTTTTCCACTATCATCCATTCCCAACCAGGTGCCGCGAGCGACGTCCTGCTCGTCAACTCCACTCAGAATGCCGTTGTGCCAGTGCATCGGAGCAGTCGGGCGGTCCAGAACTTCATCCCGATTGTTCAGGAGGATCAGTTTGTACCGCTCATCCGCAGTCTTGGCCACTTTTATGAAACCGATGCACATTCTGAACGCAAATTTGTTGGAGCGAACTTTATTGCAATTAAAGCGAAATTGCATCACTCTGAATAATGGAAGAAAAAATGAGATAGCAAGTGTGGGCTACAATGTGCCGGAAATAGTGGTCTGATAATAATAATGATATGCGCGTTTACATACAAAAAAATCGGGTGATTTATAAACACAGATCAGAGACCAGAAAAAGGAAAAATAGATACAAAGTACGTTTTTAACCGGGAAAAAGGAATCACAGATTATTATATCGGCTACCAGTGCTATTTTAGACATTTTATATTATGAAATCTCTGCAAATGTCTTCGAAGATTCGCTTCGTTGGCAGTCGTGTACGCGCATTCTGCACATTCGATCGGACCGCCTTTCGATTGTTCCGCCCGTTTCAGACGTACCAAATGATTAGTCTTTTGACTGTGTCTGGAAAAATTTTCATTTTTGTTCATTTGTTTGTAGTGTAAGCAGCCCTAATTTTACGAGAGCAGCGCCGAGCTTTTGTAGTTTGTTTTCAGTGTAGTTGTTGCAGCTCCTAAATTTATGAGAACAACGCCCAAAAGTGTTGTTTGTAGTCTGAGCAGCTTCAGACTTAGCGCTGCAAATGCAAATTCAGCGACTCCTCCTAATTTTTCAAACTATTATTTTTATCTGACACTATTTAAGGAGGTTTCTAGATCACGCTTCTTCTATTCAATCAATTTTAGGCATTAATTTTTCCTAAGACAAATAAATTCGAATCTAATTAGAACAAATTAGATAAAACCACGTCTAATTAGATGATTTTACTTTCTAACGCAACTTCTTTAGATTCGAAAATTTTCTAATTAGATTCGAATTGATTTGTCTGAGTCCGTACCTATATAGACCTTTTCGATTGGCGAATCCCTCTTTACATTCGTGACAAAACAGAATTTTCACTTGTTTTTTCTTCTTTTCCTCCACAATATTCTCCATCAAATCCTCCGTTTCTTCTTCTCTTTTCTCCGCCTTTTCCGCTTCTTCCTTCTCCTTCTTCCGCCGGTTTCTCGCCTTCTCCTCGTCTCTGTTTTTGGGCGGTCTCGTCTGGTGTTCCGTGAGTTTTCCGTGTCTGTATTGGGCTTTTCGATTGTTGAACTCTTCGCCGCACGTGAAGCAATAAGAAAGATTTTGATGTTCAGGTTGTTCCAGCGCGTCTTCGGAACAATACATTTCGTCGGCCGAGCACGTAAAATCGATCATTTGCTCATCTTGATGGTGAACTGAAGAAAAAGAGGATCCGGCGTCCAGAAAATCTTGCTGAATAATAAAAACGTATTATTTAAATTTGAGAAGGGGCGTGGCTTACCACAACAGACAATCCGCTTTCTGCGAGACATTCCACTTGAGAACTTGGTACGAATATCACACTTTGAGCCATTTGCTCCACCGTATGGTCTATTCGGTCTTAAAAAAAGAATTTCTCGAAGAGTCAATAAAGAATACGGGTTTTAAATAAAAACTTGTACCAATAGCCTCTTGTAGATCCTCTGATGGTAGCTGGTCGAACATCCTCTTCAAGACGTTGAGTTGCTCCACAAATTGTTCCATTTTCACTAAAAATTTGTAGGACAAACAGAAAAAAAAACACAAAGTTTCAAACCAAGGAAAAAGGAAATTCCGGAAGAAACCTCTTTTAAATACGAGCAAGCTCAACTTTAAAGTGAGAATTATTTATTTCAACTTTAAAAAATTTAATAATTTTCATGAATGACCTCCTCCTCGATGATCTGTTCGGCTGGCCAGTGTTCTACGGGTTCTACCGCGTAAACTTGCTCCACGACGCCCATCCGCTGCTCCATTCGGCCCAAAATCGCTTCGGCCCGATCCAAAACCGCCGAGAATCTTTCCTGGTTTTCCATTTCCCTCCGAATCACCGACATTTTCATTTCTATCACATTTTCTGTCGGCTGGTAACGGGCTCTTTTCAGTGGCGGCTGTCGAATTTGTCTGAAAATAGAAAACTTTTCATCATTTTTTACAACACAAAAATTCGACACTTTCTAGTTAAAAAAATATTTTTAAAAAACCTACTGTGTCCGTGCTTCCTCTCCCTGAATAATTGACGCCGGTGCGGCCTCCACAAACTGTTCCTCCTCGTCGTCCATTTGTTGGAATCTGGCGAACGACTTCGACTCGGTATGCACAATATTCTGTTTGTACACCGGCCCGAATTCAATCGCTTCGCCTTTCCAGTAGTACACAATTACAGCGAATTCGGGGGATCCGGGAAATCTGCAAATCGTAATATTTTTTTTAATGAACTTTTAACCACAGGTATCCAAATGGCTTGGGACGCGGGCGAAGGAAACCACGAGTCCAGGGAAATGTTGCACTGGGTACCATGAGCCAGGAAAAATAAATGATCCCCACTCCATGCAATGCTTCCTTCGGTACCACGAGACGGGACGACCCCGTCCCAAGCCATTTGGAAGCCTGTTTTAAGCAAAAAAAGCTCACGTCTCTGAATTTTTGCCTTTTGCCGTGTAGATCTTCCTCACGAATTTCTTGTCGACCTGTGTGTTTTCGTACCGTTTCGAACTGACTTTCACATCGTATTCCTGTCCAGCAGGCAATTTTCCGGCTCTGTCCACTCGGACAGCATCACCATTTTCGGCGAATTTATAGAAACGAGAAAATCCGGATGGCTTCGACCACAGGCCATTTTCATCGCGTCTAAGCTCCAGAGTACAGTGGCCCATTCTTTTGAGATCGATCACGAATGTGCCATCTTGACGGTAACCAATTGGGACCGAGGAGCAGAGTCTGAAAGAGATAAATTGTCCAAATTCACGAGAGCAGCACCCAAAAGGTGTAGTTCCTAGTCTAAGCAGCTCCAGAATTCACGAGAGCAGCGCCCAACAAATGTAGTTTATAGTCTAAGCGGCCCCAGCTTTAAATATCCCTCACTTGTTAATTTCGACATTGGTGGCTCCCAACATGATGGCGGCGGCTTCGTCGAAATTAATGACGCAGTGCGAATAGATGTTGAATCCTTCGTAAAAAGCCGACACCATTTGGGGCATACTCGTCATGTTCACTTTCTCGTACGACTTCTTCTCCCAATTCGTCTTCTTTTTCACGGGCGGCACAAAGTTCCACGATCTTCCCGAGCACCAGGAGTACGTTACGATCGCGTGGGTTAGTTTTTGAGTTACTCGCAGTCCCGTGTAAATCTGGAAATATTTGGAGAAATAAAAACGTAAAAAAATTAGTGCCTACTTTCTTCTGAAAAATTCCCCGTCCATCATCAGCTCCCTTCTTCGTCGTTTGGTTTTCGTATTTCTTCAGTACAATCTTGTAATTCCAGCCGTCCGTCCACTCTTTCAGGTGTCCTTTTCCATCGTCTGCACGTACTAAACTGCCGTCCTCGTTTTCCTTATAAAATCGAGTTTTCCCGCTCGGACACCCCCATTCTCCATTCGAATCGTGGAGTAAATCTCTGGGATTTACATTAGTCATGTCAATAATGAATGTTCCCTCGTGTTTGAATTGTTTCGGCAGGGATTTACAGACTTTTTCCGTGTCTAGAGGTTGAATTCCGATGAGAAGTTCACACGCTTCTTTGAAATCGATCGGATTCCGACTGTAAAGAGCCCACTGGTCGAACTTATTCTCGTGGAAATCTTCTGAAGAAGTTTCGATACGTTCCATTGGGGGCGGAGTCTGAGCATCCGAAGATTCGCCTTCGTCTTCCACTTCTTCGCGTACTTCCTCTGTAAAAACATTCTTTTTTTTACAAATCTGTTTTTTTTTTACCCCCAGCTTCTGCAGCTATTTCTTCGCCTTTTTCTTCTTTTTTTATCTCTTTCAGAAATATTTCTGCCTTTTTCAATTGTGATTCGGCAATAACTTTGAGCATGTTCTTCATTCCGGGCAGATTTTTGTTCAAGCTTGATCCGTCCTGATTTATTCGTTTCGGATCGGACACCGCTTTCATTTTTTCGGATCTTTTGCCCGCTTTAGACATAAATGTCGCATTTTGAGCTTCCAAACTTTCGGAAGTGAGCAGAACTGTGCTCGTTGAGTAGTTTTCTTTTATAAGCGCTCTTTTATTCGTTCGATGCGCTGGTTTCGGGTGTGGTTCCGTCTGGAAACAATTTTTTGATTTCTAATTTTATGTCATTTATGTCATTTCATGTCAGTTATGTCAGTTATGTCATTTTATGTCATTTTATGGCATTTCATGTCAATTTTATTTCTGAGAAAATGGTTCAGGAAAACTATGCATTTGTGAAAAATTAAAGTAAGACTCACAAAACTATCATCCACGATTTCTTCTTGATAAATTTCTTGAGAGAGCGCTTCGAACGGCTGTCCATAGACCACTGTGCTTCCATTTTCTTCGTAATAATATGGGTCTTCTGTAAAAATAGTATTTTTTTCACGAGAGCACTGCCTAAACGTGTAGCGTTTACTCTTAGCAGTCCCAGTTTTAATGCTTCTAATTTCGCGGCTGCCTGTCTTTCTTTTAAATTATATTTGCGGCTACACAATAAACTTTTGAGATGTTCAGAATTCAAATAACGTTCATATAGAAATTGGAGAATTTATCGATTATTTGTGGTTTCTCTATAACTTTTCAAATTGAAGACTACTTTTCTCAATGTTTCAATTGAAAACCAGAAAAATCGATACCGATGTAAAGTGTGCGTCCTTGTTCGTCCACGTACTGATGCACAGTCGTTGTGCCCGTTTTTTCGTCGGTTTCCACAATTTCGGACGGATTTTCGGCCGAAGAAGTGGACGGTCCGTCGCCAAACTGCTCGTCCATCATTTTAGACACTTTTGCGTCGCGTTGGTAGAGATGGCCGAGAACCGGCGGACTAGGCTTTGCAGGATGCGGAAAACAGCGCGAATGGAAAATTACTTGATTTTCAGCTGTTGTTGGCCAACTTTGGGTTGCTTTTAGTTATTTTCGAGGGAAAATGCGCGCGCAGAAGAAATTTCAATTTTTTCAGGTCGTCTGTGAACTGCTTGAAACATAAACTAGTCAAAAATTGTATTTAAAATCTTTATTATTCTAAAAAAAAAATGTTCACGAGATTTAACTAAGCCAACTGGGCGACGCAAAAACCGTAACCAACGCTCCGTCGGATTTAAAGGAGGGAGATAAAGCGTAGGGCGATAATATAACAGCCGAAACATATTGAGGCGATAATATTAGTGGGGAAAGAACGAACGGCGAAAGGATCAGAGGGTTCAGCGCAAGCGGGTTTAGTATTATAGGTCCGAGGCAGAACGGAGTCAAAATCAATGGGGTCATGACTTGCGGAGATAGTATGAAAGGGGATAATAATAGGGGAGACAGAATAAATGGATTCAAAGTTCCAGGGCAAAGAATAAAAGGATTGAAAGCCAAAGGTGATAAAATGATGGGAACCATGACAAATGGGTTCAAAACTACCGGAGCAAATATTCGAGGCGATAGAATCACTGGGACCATCACCCACGGCGAAAGGATGACTACGCCGTAGATGGCTGGGGAACCGATTAGAGAGACGATCAGGATTGGGGACAGGATGATTGGCTGCGACACTCCCTGGAAATTTTTTCTGACAATGATACTGACTTGCCTCCTTTCGACTTACGACAGGGTCAAAAATAAAATTGGTGAAAGTGATCGGGGACAGTACAACATCACTTTTGCGCGCCTCGAACTTCACTCGCTCCCTGGCCAAGTCCTTGATAGTTCCCATTATGTTTCGGTTGATTTGGGGCCTACTCAAGTTCTGGACGGTTCTCAGAAATTCCAAGTTCTCGACCACCGATCCTCGGCCGTACACCAATTCCATTTGATCCGAACGCATTATCGTGTAGCCGGTTCTGTTCATTTCGGCCAGTTGTTCCCGAGTATAAGTTTTGTCGAGCGCTTCGAACATTTCGATTTTTCTCGCTTCTTTCGGGTACTTTTCAGTGATATTCTCCTTGGTAAAGTATAACGGTTGACCTTCCGGACCTTTCTGGAAGAGCGGAGAGGAGTCGCCTAGCTTTTTCTGCAAAAAATGGGTTTCTCGGCAGAAAAAGGAAATAATAACCTCCACTCTTTCCATGGCCTCATCGACACCAGTGGCTTCAACGATAAAATCCAAAAATTGTTCCGAATCCTTATTTCCAGTCAAAGATCCCAAAATATTGGCCAATGATGCTTGTTTTTCAACGTCAGCGCCATCCTCGTGAAGGGCGAAAAGTGAAGGGGATAGGACGTCTATCTGGGTAAAAAATATGATTTTCCATGAAAAATATCATATTCCTAATGTCTTGTGAACCAGATCTTACGACAAAATGCATCTTTCCAAAAAGCTTCATAACAACCTAGCTTTCAGAGTTGAGCGGAAATGGAATTTTGAAATCCGGAAGACGGCAGACGGCAGACGGAAGAAAATTTTTTTTACGGAACACGGAAAACGGAAGACGGAAGAAAATTTTTCTCACGGAAGACGGCAGACGGAAGACGGAAGACAACTTTTTTCCCGGAAGACGGCAGACGGAAGGCGGAACAAAAAAATCGTCAATGCAGAACCTTTTTCTCCGATTTTTTTTTGAAAAAAATAACTAAACAACAAAAAATTTGAATCTGGGTCACTGCCCGTGGAAATTCGCGTTCTTCGGGGCTAGTAAATGGCTTCTGAAAAGCTATTACTCTTTTACGGTAAGAAGAAAAAATCCGGAAGACGGCAGACGGCAGACGGAAGAAAAATTTGTTTACGGAAGACGGCAGACGGAAGACGGAAGAAAACCTTTTTTCCGGAAGACGGCAGACGGAAGACGGAACAAAAAAACCACGGAAGACGGAAGACGGAAGACGGCAGACGGAATTCCGCTCAACACTGCTAGCTTTGTTTGTAAATTTCTATTGGAACTTTAAAAAATACCTCATCCTTCCGCGCCTCTTCGCTTGGCGGAACCACACTCATTATTTTGGGGCTAAATATTCGAACCACTTTTCGATCAAAGTCAGTCGTGTTGTATCCAGTCATAGTGAGCCCTAATTTGGCGGCTGAAAATTTTTATTTTGAAGTTTCAGAATAGAAAATCATAGAAAGAAGTCTTCAAACGTCGTAATCTTACTATTAGAATTATTTAATCTTATATATAGATAGAAAATAGAAAATCTGGAAGATAAAATGGACAAACCACTTCGGATCAACTTCATTGGCATCAACATCATCCGATCTTGCTCTGTTAAATTCCCAGCCTTTTTCCGTATCATGGCTTTCAGATCATCGTCTTCTATGTATTTTTCCACGTCTTCCAGCTCCTTGACATCTTCGTCGTTTTCAGAATTTTTTTGAAATGTTTCAAATGCGTCAAATCTTTTCTGAATGAATTTCTCAATCTTTTTCTGTTCCTTCATTTGTCTCGCTTTTTCAGATATTCTTTGAATTGTGTCTTGCCATCTGGAAGAGAATATTTTCGAAGAGTGTATCCATATTTATCGGTAAATGCTTCGATACATTTTTTCATTTACCTTGCCGTCGTGTTCTTATTTTTAATAAATCTCAAAGTATTGGCCAAGTGTTGAGTAATCGCTCCGAATGGAGTTCTGGAAAAGTTCTAAAAAATTAGGAAAATTAGATTCTAATGGTGTTATTCAGGCTGTGAAAAAAATGTTTTTTTTTTTCGTTTTTTCGTTTTTTACGTCAAAAACTCCAATTAAGCGATGTAAAAAAACGCAAAAAAAACGGAAAACAAACATACGCTGACAGAGTAGCCCCATAAACTCACATGTCATTTTTCGTCTTCAATTCATAACTTTTCCTATGTTTCACTCTAATTTCACGTTTCAGCCTCCTTTTCTCTTTGAAATGAACCTTTCGATTCCGAATTTTTCGTCGAATTTCTGTTAAAATAAGTTTTTCGGATGTATACTTTTCTGCTCTAACTTTTATTAAAATACTTTCTCCTTCGCCTCAATAAATTCGTGTGTGCGTCATTTTCCAATTGGAGCAGACAACGGGCGTGTTCCGACAGAGTTTCAGCTCCGGATGCACATTTCTGATGCGCTTTACGATGGTATTCTTCGACCAGAGACAGTCTGAAAGTTTCAGCGCTTTTTCAGATGCCCCTTACGATTTTCAATAAATACCTTCTCGTGGCGATTGCAGCAATCATTCCGGAGAATCCCTGAACGGTCCAGTGCTCCAGAAGTTGCTCTCCAGATTCTGTGCTCATTTCCACGTGGAACGCCCCCGATTTATAATGGGGCGACGCGAGAATTTCCGATTTTGTCATACCGTACTTTGTGACCTCATCGACGCCTTTTTTGGGCGCCAACGATGTGAGTTTAGGGATAAAATATGTGAAAAGTAGGGGAAATAGTCGCATTTTGGGGGAGAGAGATTAAAAAGTTCAAAAATGGAAAGCGATAGTAATAATAGTAGTAGACGAGTGACCAGTTGTGATAACCTCATTTCGGAGAAAAGGGAAAACCACATGGGGTGGTGACTGGTTTTCGCGTGAGAAATGATAAGGAAACCACCGGAATCCTTCGAAAAAAGTGTTATAGAATAAAAAATATTGAAAAGTTCTGGTAGTTTCTATACAGCATCATGCGGAGTGCAGAATGCGGACACGGATGCGAACTTTTTCATCCCTCAACTAGAGTCTCCATTTTTTTCATCAGAAGAGTCTTCCAAAAATGCAAAATGCGATTCTCCTCATATAGTGACCGTCTAAGCCCATCAAATTTGAAATCCGTACTCCCTAGACGGGTACTTCTTATCCTCCCAACATTCCGCAATATAATTTCGCATAAGTACCATCTTTTTTTCTCCTCCCTAGGCCTTCCTCATGACTCTTTCTTGCAAATCCATCTGGCCCTGTGGAACCGAGTGTCCGGCCGATGGTCATTTTAAAATTATTCCGTCCCCCGCCCGCCATTATTTTTTATGTTCCTCTTCTTTGATCGTTGTGAATAAATGCAATTATATTAATATTATTTTACCGTATTGTCCCCAATTTATCCCTGTGATATCCATTCCTTATAAAATTTCAATTTCGCCGGTTCAAAGTATGAATCGGTTATCGCACAGACATTTTCTTTGTCTCCTGTTGCCGCCCCCTCAATTTAATTTTTCCCCGACTAATTATCAGTTTCAACCCGCCTCAAACATCTTTTTTGTCAATGACACCTCCGACTGATAAGAAAGTGTGCAAAAGTGCACACTTCCTTGAAGACAATGCATTCTTATATTGTCCAATCTCTTTTTTGTTGCTTTTACGCTCAATCTGCCTGAAATTGAGAGAACATTGATGATTGTTGTGTTAGAATTTCAATGATTTTTGAGGTCAGCAAATCGGCTGTGTTGACTTGAACTTGTGCTGACTAAGCTTATCAAAAAAATGTTTTCAATTTGATAAGATCTGAAGAAGAATTTGAAATTCTGAATTCTGAAACTCCATTTGATAGACTTTCATTTCCAAAAACACCATTTTGCAGATCATCCAGAAATGCAAACGATTCCATTGCGTGGGCGGTTATTCTGGGCGACGCTCTCGCATGCAATATTCTCTCAGTACGGAGAAATAATGGCGGCGTGTCTGAATCTGATGAACGTTCCGATCAAGGACTTCTTCCGAGACAGCCTACGAACTAATTATGGAGTTGAAAGTGAAGAAAGGTAATTTCTGAAGTATCACAAGATTTCAATGACCTCGCGAATTTATAAAACTCCACTCGGAGTTTTATTTTTAGAACGACCTACAGAACTGAACTGATAAAGAAATAAGAGTGATGTTATCGAAATAAAGGTGCTTCGTTTTTACCTCACTTTTTTCGTCATAGATTGAAACCCGGAAAACTTATTTTCTCTAGACGACATCGTTTTGTTTTCAGTTTCGAGACCATCTTCTCGGCATGCGCTTCTTTCATGTTCATCGGATTGATGATGGCTTTTGCGGTCATGGGAAAACTCATGGACGGTCTGGGACGGAAGGAGACAATATTATTGCGGTAAGGGAGTCTGAATTCTGAAATTTTAGTGTCTTAAACTTTTAAAACAAACTTTTGGGCAGCAGTCAAGCAGGTTCTAGGAAGTACTGTTTACACGCGCATTTTTAGAAAAAATTGTTAATTACACAGTTGTAGAGCCAAAAATTTCCAACAACTTTTCCTCCAAAGATCCTCCAAAGATCAGCACCTTTTTCAGAAGTTTTCTCGGAATCGTGGGCTCGGTTTGCATGCTCACCTCCCGGCTGCTCAACCGATTCGAGCTCTACGTGCTCGGCCACCTCTTGGCCGGTATCCTCCAGGGACTCCGCGTCGTTCTGATCATTTGGATGGCCGAGTGCTCGCCGGACTCCAAAAGAGGACTCACGTCACTTTTTATCAATTCGGGAGGAGTGATTATGGTTCTGCTGGTCACTCCGCTCTGCCTGCCCGCCGTCTGGGGCACCGATCATCTTTGGTCAGTTCGAAAGGGTGTCAACAATAACAACAAAAAAGAAATGTTAGAGAGAATCATGTGGGTGGAAATGAATGCGAATAATAAAGTTAAAAGCATATCGCAGAGACCCTTTTTTTACAATAAATTTTGGGGGGTTTCATCCTCGAAAAAAAAGTTGCAAAAGTTGCAGGTTCCTTTTGCCGAGCATCACAGGACTTCTGGCCACCATTCATCTGATTCTCACCGCGTTTCTGCCCCAATCGCCTAAACATTTGTTCATTCAGCAGAAAAACGAGGAGGCGGCTCGGAGAGCCCTTCGATTTTATTACGGAGATGAGAGCAACGAGGTCGACGAGGCTGTTCGGGAGATGATTCACGAGAACAAGCAGGCGAAGAGGGACAAATCGAGTGTTCTCGACATTTTACAGCACAAAACTCACAGGTACCTTTTTCCTATGTCAAAAAGTTTCTGCAATCTATCGAGTGATTTTGGGTATTCTGTGTTTGTGCCCAATCTCTGGCAATTCGATATTAATCTAATTAGAAAGTTACTGATCTAAACGCGACCTAATTAGATTCGACTGTGTTGATTTGAGCCAGCAGACGGTTGGCGTGAAACTTGATTTGAGCACATATCAATCTAATTAGAAGATTTATTAATCTAGCTAGACAATTTATTAATCTAATTAGGTGTCATATCAATCTTATTAGGCCGCCGTATAACTCGAGTAGACTACGATTAGATTAATAACGAAATTCCAGAGATTCTCTGGCATTTCGTTATTAATCTAACGGCGGCCTAATAAGATTGATATGACGCCTAATTAGATTAATAAATTGTCTAGCTAGATTAATAAATCTTCTAGCTAGATTAATAAGTGCTCAAATCAAGTTTCACGCCAACCGTCTGCTGACTCAAATCTCGATTGCGCTAAGAAAAAACAGTCGAATCTAATTAGGTCGAGTTTAGATCAATAACTTTCTAATTAGATTAATATCGAATTGCCAGAGCACGGTCTCCAGACCTCACGACACGTCTTATTTAAAAAAAATTGCAAGATTCACTAAAATCACCACGCAATTGGCTATAAAGCAAAAGTAACGGACTCTAGTTTAGGCTTAAAACCAGACTTGCAACGGGCCGGGAGGATGCACCTAAAAATTCAAAGCGGTCAAGGGTACACAAAATTTTCACAAAAATTACGAAAATTTTCTCAAGAGTGGGCGGAGCGATTGATTGCAACTCTGGCACGCCATTTTAGCAATTTTGTCGCACGCGTTTTCCTCTTCCTTCATATTTTTTTTGCATATTTTTTTTGAGGTCTAACTTCCGGGCCGACCGGGCCGGGCCGGGCCGACGATTTGCTGGCCCGGCGGGCCGGCCCGGGATCTGGCAAGTCTGCTTAAAACAACGGAAACTAACTGTAGAACACGAAAGAAATAAGAAACACTTTCAAAATGTCTTTGCAGATTCTCTCTGTTCCTGGTCTTCATCTGCTCGCTGGTCCCAGTGTTCTCGTGCCTCAACATCAAATCGCAGTACCTCGTGGAGATGCTCATTTCGTACGGCCTGAGCCAGTCCGACTCGACCGTCGCCATAATGGCCATCTCGTCGCTCTCCCTGCCCGTCTCCTTCTTCGCTCCGTTGATGATCGAGCGGTACGGTAGACGACCCATTTTTGTGATGCTCACGTGGCTCTGCGCTCTCGAATGGATCGGATTCGCCGTAACGGAGGCATTCAACGATTTGGGATTATTTTTTCCCGACAGATGGATTGTCGCTTGCTCCGCTGCCGTTTTAGGTGACAAAGCTGGGAAAAGAGGGGCAAAACGATTCTTATTCACTTTCATCAATCGTTTTTTAATTCTCGAAAAGTCTTTGTTGCAGGTCAATCCGCAGTGAACATGGGAATGTTGGTGATGGCGCCGATCATGATCTCCGAGTTGTGCCCGCATAACATCCGAGCTACCGTATCCCAAATAACCCAAGTGCCGCCTATCGGGATTGCCGTCCTCGAGGTGTTCATGTTTCCGACGCTCCGCCAACACTTTGGATTCTCCATGTTCCTATTCCTGGCTTCCTGTTGTGCTGCACTCGCGATGATTTTGCATACTCAGGTAAACTATGCGGCTTTAAAAAAAAAATTTTTTAAAAATCCTACTCAACACCATTCGATTCCTCACATCTTTTTGAGTGTGTTTTGTGTTGAGACCAACATTCTGGCACCCTTCTTTCACAGTGAAAAACTGAATTTTTGTTGCAGATGCTCGAAACGGCTGGCCTTGCAGTCGATGAAATAGTGAGTAGGTTGAGTGGAGAACGGACTCTGACCCGTTCGAACACTTCGGTCGGATGGATGCATTACGGTAGTCTCTGGGAGACGGATCCTCAGCCGACCACTACCGTTATCCCGAGGAAAAGCAGCTATTATGTGAGGGAGAAGCATTTGGAGCAACTACAAGTTTTCTAGATTTTCCTCATTTTTCTTTTTCTAGATAGTGTTGTACGTGTATCCTTTTTGACCGGTTCTCTATGAAATTGTATAACAATGTTGTTTTCAAAAAAAAAAAAAATTACAAAAGTAAAGCAAACCGGGGGTGTTTGTGAAGAGGTAAAATTGAGCAAAGTAGTACAATGTCGAAAAAGAATCTAAGCCTTTCTATAATATCGAGTCATATCGTGCCAGAAGCACGATTTCATCGATTCGAACCGATCGAAGCACGGCACAAACGACATGTCAAGCTGTTGGGGGTGTCCGAGACGTTGATCGCAGAAGGAGAGACATTTCGGACCCGCCAGGGTGGTCGTCACTCCGTTTCGGGCACAGCACGCACGGTGGTCTCTGAACACTTTTTTTTATTATGCGGCGTCCAAAGCCTCGGAAAAACCGGAAAAACCGCAGGTTTTTCTGTCCAAAGTCGGCTGAAATTTGCGTGAAAAAGGGGGGGGGGTGCCTCCAAAACTACGGTATTTTTTGAAAATTTGCGCAAGAAATTTGAATATTTTCAAATAACCTATCCTCAAGAAATTGACAAATTTTCAAAAAATACCGTAGTTTTGGAGGCACCCCCGTTTTTCACGCAAATTTCGGCCGACTTTGCACAATTTCTTGTGTCTTTATACAGATGGTCTCGAGGGTAACGAAACGAAATTAAAAATATGGAACTTCACAACAGTGTTTCAAAAAAAAAAGAATGTTATAGACTCACCTGCCCTGAGCAGCGCAGAATTGCATTTCCTTCATTGCGTCCAGGGGGCACGGGTCCTGTTTGAAGTACATCGCCTGAAGGGACGACTTGGTGAATGCGCCGAAGCTGCACTTGGACAGGCACGCGTCCGGCAGTTTACGGTCGATGCAACACTCGTAGAACGCGCGGTCCGGGTTCTGCAAACCGATAATATCGAAAAGTCGTATTTTTTTCAATGCGACAGACTCTTGCTTTAGCTCAAAATAATTGGTAACGTTTGGAGAAGCTTGGAGAATTAACAATACTTACAATCGGTCCGTCTGCATTTCTATTTCTAGAAACTGATGGCGAAACCAGGTCAAGCTCTTCGGACTCGGTGAGCTCTTGCTTTCTACGTACTCTTTCCATGGCCAATCTGAAATGAAAGTGACATTTTTTGTCCGATGCACCATGTGCACCAATATTATTGTTGTTTAGTAATGAAAGACGAAGAAAAACATTGTATTCGTACCTCTGCTTGAGCACCTCTCTGGCCTCCTCGGAACTGCCTACAGTAACCCGGGAGCGTCCTCTCTTCGGCTGATAACTCTTGGCTCCGCGAGCTCTGAGTCTGTAGCAGCCATAGGATCCGCATCCGTAACTTCTGGCGCATCCGCAAGTTTGGGGCGGTGGTTGGTACGAGGCGCAAGTCGGCTGATATCCGCAAAGTCCGTTCGTGGCGCACTGAAAATCATAAATCAAGTAGCAAAAACTTTTTTCTTCAATTGACTTACCTCGAAAGTTCCATACGGAAGAACCAGGAGGACTGTGGCCGCCAGTAAAAGTGAGCAGGTAAGGTGCATTTCTAAGAAAAAATAAAATTTTTGTTTAGATAGAACAAAGACAAAAGGTTAGATACCATGCAATAGAACGATACCGTCCGTTCAATATCTCAGCTGCCTGTAATGATATCGAAAAGTGGTAAACTGAAAAACTGTACACAATGAAACAATTTTCAATGATCATTTTATCAGTTGACAATTTTTTGATATCTCTACAGGCAAATGAGATAAATATCGTTCTGAATAATCAGTATTGTCAGAAAATTGTTAGTGCCGTCAGAATCTCGCCTTAATTTTTTTTTAAAGCTTTATTTATTTATTTATTCAGCGAATTATTTAGCGAATGCTTTCATTCATTTCTTAAAGTTTTTACATTGCTGGATGGAGAAAAAATGCACTCAATAACCATTTCATTTAAAAATGAGTCAAATTGCTTTTTATAACGATGTCTTTCAAAAAATGAAGAAGAAAATTGAGAAATGGGAAAAAGTAAGAGACCGGCAATGCCACAACTAAATATTTACTACTACCGTTTTGTTATTGATAGATGTTGGCAAGTGGGCGGGATCTTCTGTAGCCTACAAATCACAAAAATCACAGAAAAGTTTGCACCCAACAGAAGTTGCAGAAGTTATTGGTTTTGTAGTATGCTAGCACAATTTTTGGCTTCAGAAGTTATAATTTGAATCTGAAGAAATTGTTAATAAGAGGTAACACTTTTCATTTGTCAACTTCTTAAGTGAAGAAGAATCTTCCTTAAGAGGCTAATTGAATGCAGAGATCAATCATCATTTAAAAAATCAAGAATACTACATGTAGTATTCTTCTCGTGATTTCATCTAGAATTCTCCAATTCTCCGATTCGAAATGCCCTTCTCATTCGCACGAAAACATCAACGGCACAAGACGTCTACCGGTTACAAAACCTTGAGAATTCGTCAAACATTGTGACAAACACAAAAAAAATGGGAAGGTCATTTTCTTCGAGAATTCGCTTCTGATGACGTCGGGCTGATAACGGCAGAAACATCACAATGGCAAAAAGAGGAGGAAGACCTTGAAAATTAAGGGGGTCTGGCAAAACCGTTAACTTGTGGCGTTGCGTGAGTTGTTCAGTAAAAATTAATCAAAAAATTACACCGAAATTTGCGAATAAGCCCGTTTTCATCAATGACCGACCCTGACATCAATAACAAAAATCTCAAAAACCGAAAAAAAACACGATAATTGGATTAACTGGAACAAACCGGTATAACAGTTCCAAAAACCATCCACTACTTCACTTTTATACTTTTACACCCCGCGCCCTCACATAATTCATTGAAAAACACAATACGATTGAATGCGAAGAGGCGCAGACACATTTTTGTTTTTAAGGGTGTTTCAAATCAAAAACCGAACAACTTTCACCGCAAAAATTTCACTTTTAATTCAATTAATTCAAATCAAAAGACTGTTTTTAAAAAAAGATGGGGGGAAATGAAAGGAAAAGTTAGTGGAAAATAGACAATATTAGTATAATGAAACCGTAGAAAGAAAGAGAAAATGAAAATACGCGGGCGGGGCAAGAGTTACAGTAATCGTGGCTATAACAAATACAAGTTTGACGATCGCCAATCACTCGACAGCCTTGCTCTTCGAGTTGTGGTTTGTGGTAGTTTCTGCAAATTTACAATATCAGTTTTAGGATTGAAAACAGAAAATGTTTGCCGAAAAAGAAATAAAATAAAGTAGGGGGCACCCGGAGTTGAACCGGGGACCTCTCGATCTGCAGTCGAATGCTCTGCCACCATAGACAACAGAGTTGAATTTTTATCTTTTTTAGAAAATTTTGTCATGGAATGTGATCAACTGACGAAATGTATAGCAAAGTGAACTCTGCTCATAGAAAAATAATTGTAAATTTAACTTTTTATACAAAAAAGTTATTCGAGTTGTTCCGTGAAAAATTGGGCTAACGGAAAACGGAAGGACATTTTCACGGAACAACTCGAATAACTTTTTTGTGTGAAAAGCTAAATTTACAATTATTTTTTTATGAGCAGAGTTCACTTTGCTCTTGAGTTCTTCCGCTCAACTCTGATAGACAAGCGAGCGGCAACGGATTGAGGAGACCAACTGACCAGTTGTCAATTAATAAGGGAAAAAGCAACGAGACCTGGTATCATAGGGGAGACACGTGAGTGCCACTTCTTTGTTATCGTCCATGTTGTGGGACACGACACGGGTGCAGGCGACGCCGGAACACTCTCCGCACGAGGCGTCCAGCACACAATCGGATCCTTCGAGGCATTGTAGACCGGCTGCAACACAGAAAAGGGTCTAAATACGCATTTACAGCACGCTTGGTGCTGTTTAGACTACAAACTAAACTTCTTAGGGGCTGATCTCGTGAATTTAGGGCTGCTCAAACTATAAACTACAATCTTTAGACGCTGCCAAAGCCGTATTCGTTTATTTATTTTGTTGTTTTCACTGGAAAACCGATCCGTTAGTATTTCCTGTACATGTACAAAAACATTACCTCCCGCCAATTAACCACTTGTCTTCTTGTCAGAAGACGTTCCCTATTTAATTGAAAGACCCAATTATTCAGAATTTTCAATTTCCATCTTGTCGAAAGCGTCTCCTTGTTGCGTTCTAATCGCATTTTAGTACAATTATCCGCTCAAAAATGTGCATTCATTCAAAAATGTGACACTCGACTCTCGGTTCGGATCGGAGCTTGCTCACTGAGACGGGGGGTGTCCTTTTCCGCTTTCTAGGGGCATCCGGTGAACAGATCGAATGTCGAAAAGGTACGAAAAAGATGGCGAACCCTGTGCAAATTGGAAATTCTGAGCACAAGTCCCCCCAGAAAGACGGGCATGGGGAGAATGTCTTGAAAGAAAGGGAAAGTCCATAAAAACTCTAAACTCGGACATTTTTATAACCCAATAAATACGGGTATGGACCTCCTCGTTTCCCCTCTCTTTCCAACTTTTTGTGCTATATGAATTCTGCGTTTTGAGGACGTCACACCGAAAATTTTGGGCTCTTTGTGAAGAAGAAAGAAGAAAATTAGATTATTGCTCAACAATTACACGGCTTCGTTTCCCCTTCACTCATTTTGGAGCCAAGCGTAAAAAGAGGAACAACGAAAATGCTGGATGGATTCTGAAGATTCTCAAGTGGATGATTCTAGTGGAAAAGAACAACGTTTTAGGGTTGTTGACAAGAAAAAAAAAGGTTTTGTGGGAAAAAAATAAACTTGGCGGTCAGGTCAGTGAGGTCCCTTTTTGTGCAGTATAAGGAAAAGTGCTTGGGATAATTTTTTGAAGCTCGAACGATGCACTTTATTTTATAGACACTTCTTGCTTTTATCGAAATTAGCTAGTACAAGCCGGAAAACTTAACAATATCAGTTCAAGACTTGAAAAATCGAATTTTCATTGTGAAACTCTTTTTTCTCTCTTTCGAGACCCCTTGACTTCTTCATTTCCTCACTTTCCCTTTTCACCCATTTCTTCAATTAGCCGTTGCCGAGTTGATGACTTCTTCGTCTTTTTCTTCTTTTCCAATTAACTGCTCCTTGTCTCCGTGAGCTCCAAGTGCACCCCGGATTATGACTTTGTGCTCTCTCTCTCTCTCTCTCTTTTCCTTTCGGAGCTCACGGAGCACGAAGACGACAACCGGAAAATTGGAGACGAAGGCGCAGGAAATCGGTGTGGAAAAGGAGGGAGCGCAACATTACGTATTCGACTAATTGGCATTCAATTACACATTCCACTTTACGCGCATTTTTACTAGAATCGTGGAATAACGTCTAGATGATTCTTGCAAAAAACAATGAGAATTTCCTTTCAGAATATTGTGGAAAATGGCAAAATAAAATGGCTCCTCGACGTTTCTTCATTTTTTTTTCAGATTTCATCTTTTCGCATTTTCGGAAGAGCGCACTTTGATGCCCGATCGGTCACCGATACTCTAATTATTGCTAATCCGTGAAAACGAAAACTTTCGCACTCGATTAATATGAATAATTCATGGATTTTGTGCCCTTTTTCTATTAGTCACACACACAGACTTACCCGTCATCCGGAGCAAGAAAAGGAGGAGGAGGAGTAGGTGCCAACGACCATAAAGCATAATAGCACTCGGCGAGAACTGATGACACTATTCCGATTATGATGCATCCGTCACCATTTCAATTTCTGCAATACAAATTTTTAAAGAAGTGGTGCACGTTGAAAACAACGTTCCGATCTAGTCACTTCTTCCCATTTGTTGATGTATTTGACAATAGTATGCACTAGATCGGATCATAAAAAAATTCAAAAAGAAAGGAACCGCATTTAATTTTTAGTTTCTTTTTGAGCACTTTTCATCTTTAGACCAAAATTTTAGGACCACTTCTTGAATACGATGATAACAGTTTAAGAGTGACTACTCGGAAACTACCGTAACTCGTGAATGGTTAGGGATGTCAAAAAACGGCCAACTACAATATTTTTGTAGTGAGTCTTGAGTCTGTCCGAATTGCCTTTTATTATAATGCTTGGCAACGAGCATTTCTCTAGGCCACGGCTACCACTTAAACTGCGCGCCGGTTCGTTTATAGGCATTTCTGAGAGTTGGGACTCGGACAGTAAATGTGGCAATGAGAGACAATTCAGACAGACACATAAACTCGCAGGGTTCCGTGGTCCTTTAAGAAAAATATCACGAAATAGTGCATTTGAACATTTCAAGCACCCTCTATTAAAAAATATCAAAAATTCAAGGGAAAAGTTCGTGAAGGTAACACAGGAAGCATTAGGAAAAGGAAGTAGGAACCGGAAACAAAAATGAGAGTGTCAAGGATTTGCTTTTTTTTTGGGAATTTATTGAGCATCGTCCTTAAAAAATAAAAGCCTAGAAAGAAAAAGAGGAAAATTAAGAAAATAGTGGTTGTTGTTCCCCGTCAAGTATCAAGACTCCTCAGGAGGAGGGGCTTTTTCCCGAGAAGGAGCTCAGGAAGTTTGTGGGCGTGGCCTACGGGAACCTTCTCCTCCACTTATATATTATTCGCGTTTATAACTTTTTTGTTTCTTTTCCCTCATACATATATTTATTTCCCTTTTTATTATAAATATCGCGTGCCTTTTTACTCTTCTACGCTTCGATGATTTTCTTGAGAAGTCCTTAATAAAAATTTGACGCCATCCTATAATCTCCAATTATTTGTTTTTCGCAAACCTGGAAATTCTACGAAATTGTTGGCTTCGATGATGTGAAAACTCTTAAAAAAAGGCTCCACTTCGGCACAGACGTCTTTTCCGAATTTAAGAGACACACAAAATCGAAAAGGCGCCGGCGGCCACAATTCGGCGCAAAATCGGCGCAGAAGCCGACACCTAGTACGCCAATAAAATCATTACTGACGGACAATTCACTGGCGCTTTTCTTTTTCACTGTAACATTTTTTCATTGTTTTACAAGTCTTTTTTGCCTTGCTCTCATTTACTTGCAGGAGCAGCACATGACAAAAGAACAAGCGACAACCGTTGGATACCGGGAAAGGTAATTAATAAATCTAATCCGTGCTTTCATTTAATTTTTTTCTATTTTCAGAACTGAAAAAACAGTGAAAAATGCAAGGACACGTCGTGCATCGGTGCCAGGGATGACGTAAATGAGTGGAACCCGAGTACGAGACACCTTCGTTTTAATGTAAATTTTCGACATTTAAACCGATAATGTGATGTCTTACTGACTGTGAATAGTAGTCTGTTTATTGATATTTATGTTGACTGAAGTTCTTCTGTAATAAAGCAAAGTTCTTTAAATAACTATTTTTGCTATTTTTACAAACAAAAATCGTTTTTCGACCCCGGTTTCCCTGCGAAGGGCGCAAAATCGGGGTCAAACGGCTTCAAAAAAAGCGAAACAGCGACTGCGCCGTGCCTGAACGGCTCAAGCGCCGATTTTGGAGCCGAATTCGCGCCTTTTTTCTTGATCAAGATTACTGCTCAGCGAGCCGGCTCACCTAAAAAAACAGAAGAAAATTCAATCTAGAAAACTACAATTTTTTGTACACCTTACGATTTTCCCGACAAAATTTATTTTATTATCTTCATAACTACTACCACTTATATGATACTCATAATAAAACGAAAGAACATTTTGGGAATTGAATGAAGAACGTCGAATAGTAATAAGACAGACGAAAAAGAGGCATTAGATGTCGGGAAAAATAGAGAATAAATTAGCGTCGATGGTAGGAGACACGGCTGAACACCGAATCCGACGCTTTCTCGTTTCTCCTTCGATTGTGGCTGAGAAAATTGATAGAATTTTTTTTTTTAATTGTATACCTGTTATGATCACTGCTTCTGGTCGGAGCCGCAATCGGAGCGCGATGGACGGTGCTGGCGACTCTGTTCGGCGCCGACGATCCGTAGCTGAGTCTCTGACGAACTGGAACCGACACGACTTCTTCTTCGACCAATTCATCCTCGTACATCACCTGCAAGAATATCATACTTTTAATATTTGTCACGGGCTGGTTTTTTAAGTTTTCAGTACGTTTTTGGCGTGTTTCATTTAGATCATTGGTGTTGAAAATGGCACCGATAGATCATTTTCTACCCAATAACAATAAAAGCAGATAAAAATGCCAAAAATCACGGTCGTCAGGCAATATCCGGGCTGTCCGTGGTGTAAAATCACCCATGAATGAAATTTTTAAAGTTTTTCTGCAAACAGTTGAGAAAGTTGTCCTTTTTTGTTTCGAAAAAGTCAACACAATGTTTACCTGGTCATCATCTACGTAGTCGACGTCGTCTTCCATAACCTCTTCGTACTCGGTCACGTCGTCTTCGTACTCCACCACCACATCGGCACGTCTTCCGCTCGTTTCGACGCCTCCCGACGCTCTTTGAAGACGTCCTTCTATTCTGCTGTTTGGTTGCGCTCTTGAATCCATGTGGATTCGTATTCCCGAAGATGAAGGCGTGACGGTGGTGAGGCGGGACCTCAAAGACGGACGATTCGCGATGGTTCTGAAGAAACAGTGTTGCTTCAGTTAAAAACCGTGATAAACTCGTACTTCTTGATCGTGGACGAAGAGATTCTTCCAATTTTAGTTCCGTGATGACGATCCGTTGAAGACGATACTTCTAAACCTTTTTATAAATGGTAACGCACTAAGAAGCTTCTAAATTTGTACCGGCACTCTGCTTCTTCATCAATCTGGCCGCCAAACTCGTTTTATCAATCGGCGAAACGTCGCGACCGCCTTGACGAACACCGGTCGTTCCTCGCACGGCCAAACCTGAAGAAAATACGGAGTTACTCAAGAGTTTTAGTCTAAGCAACCCTTAAGTTTAACTTTAGAGGTTATTTTCGAATTATTTGTTTTTATTTCTGCCACATTTCACCTTGCTGTCTCATTTCCGCGGCCTTCCGCATGATCGTCCGCGTCCGAATCGTATTGCCAGCCGGCATTTTGACATGATAAATTTCATTGCGGTCCGGTGGCGGTTTTCCGCGTCGCAACTCCGAAACACCCGAAATCGGGGAATAGGCTGAAGCTTTCAAAATTGAATCCGAAAAGTTTAATGGGAATTTCTTACTTGCTGGAGCAGTAATTCTTGATTTCACCTTCTTGGCGGGCATCTCCTCTTCTTCCGGCTCGTCCTCTTCAGTATCCATAGAGCGCTCGAGCGTCGATTTGGCCGCTTTTATACGGCGTAATATGCAGAGCTGGAAAAATCGAAAGATTTACAACAAAATCTTTAAAAAAATTAACCTGATCCCCGATTGCAGTGACTCCCAGTTCGGTCAAAGTTGGTTTATCGAGTTCCGGAAGCATTTCCTTCGTTATTCTGAAAAATTCGTACAAAATGAGCATTTCTCATATTGCTCGTTTTCACCTATTAGTGTTAAATTTCTTCGCATATTTGCCGGCGATGTCGTTCGGAATACCTGCTCGGATGAAAAATTGAGTCCATGCCTCCATTTTCTGCAACAAAACGACGTGAAAATGGCCAAAATCGGAAAGAAATGACGGGAAGATGATAATTTTCCGTCAGAAGAACCGGGGAAGATTTACGATAAACCAGGCGCACTGCCGTTATGGCGGAGTGTCGTCGTTGCATTCTTCTCTGACGCTCTCTCGCTTGGAATTTGAAAAAAACTGGCACATGTGAGCAAAGATGAAGAAAAAAAAGTTGCAATTTAACGGCCTGCCTTTCAGATTGAACACTGGCGCTTCCGGAACACTTCCTGTTGGCAATGTTTAGTCAGCAAAGTCCAAAAAATGATGCACTTTTTCAAACTTTCCGAGGCGCCACTTAAGAAAAAATAAATAAAAATTTAACAAGGTCTTGGAAAAGTTTTTTTCCTTCAGAAAGTTTGAGAATTTCTTGAGAGGCGCAAAGGAAAGTTTGAAATTTTACCTGAGATGTTCAACGGGAAACATAAAAAAATAGGTCTTCCTGAGAGAGGTCTAATCGAATAAGGTGCAAATACGTCTCACACGTAAACCTTGTTTTCCTTCTACTTTTCCCTTTTCCCAAGACCCCTCTTCCGATGAGTCTATTGGATCCCCGCGCATGTCAAACAAATGCTTCTGGAGTTGAATATGGACGACGCCACGTGGCAGGTATATTGTAGCTTTTTTCGTTTCTTATTTGCTTGTGTTACGTGAAAGTTAGAATTAAAAGAAGGTCAAGCGACTCCGACTACAAGCAAACTACACTTTTGGACGCTGCTATCGTGGATTTAGGGGCTGCTTAGACTAAAAACTACTTTTTGGGCGCTGCTTTCGTAAATTTTGGAGCTGCGTAGACTACAAATTATACTTTCGGGTGCTGCTCTCGTTGATTTTTGCGCTTCATTGTCGCTTCAGGATCCATTTTTCTATTGAAATTTCCGGCCGTCACACCAAATAATAGCCCAAACAATTTAGATCCCTTCATTTGCATCTCTTCACAATTCGAGTCCACTTCCCCCAAATTGTCTTGTCACACATCTCCTCCATTTCCAATTCTTTGTGACGGCGGCTCAAAAATATCAAACACAGAAAAAATCCCACAAGACCCCGGGCACACATCAAAAATGTGTGAAATAAAGGAGAATTTTAATCGAAAAGTGCTCTAGCAGTTTATTTTTGTTCCCTTGTGAATAGATAATAATTGCTCTTTTCTGGAAGTTTTAATATTTTATTACTCTTCCCTAATCGTTTTCCCATTTAATCCTATGGATTTGAAGGATTGTCCCGTCAAGTGCTTTGAAGCTAAGCAAAAGATATCAAATTCTCGATTTTCGTGTCAAGACCCAAAACTTCTCTCCTTCCATTTCGTCCCAATGAAACCTTTCATTTCCCCGTTTTCTTAGCCAACTTTTATTGCATTCTCCTTCTTTTTTTCTTCATCTTTTCCGGAGAAAAGAAGGAATGATAGTAGAGGAGAAATTCGATTTGTCACCCGGAGTCCCACTGACATTCATACCGATATTTATAACTCTTTCTTGTGCCCAAAATTTTCGTCGCGAAAAAGATTTGATTTCCCATCCACGAGTTTTCTTCCTTCAGCCCTACTTCAGCTCTACTGTCTACAAGAGTTTTCAAATTATCTCTTTTTTAATGTACATTTTTGAACTTTTCAACACAGTTTGTGAACAGGTTCGAGAAAACATTCAAATTCCTCAAAATCAATTAAAGCCCCAGAGCATGCTTATGCTTTCCAAGTTTCCATGAAATTTGTTTCAGAATTTTTTGAATGCTGTCCTAGAAAGTCATAAGTATCTGTTTGAAGTGCACTAAACTCCTCCTCGTCCCCCTCCTTTCGGCTCGTTTCCACTTGACGAAAAAAAGCTCCCAGGGGCTCGATTACTACATTTGTGACTTTCGAATTTTCCACTCCAAATAGCATCCGCGTCCATTGTTTTTTACCCTCGCGAACAAGAGCATTTCGAATATCCGTCCGACAATATTATCACATTCTGAATCGTTTACTTCTTCTTCCTACTTCTTTCAAAGGCCCCGCCTAGTATGGTCTTTCCCCGATTGCAGATTTCTCCGGTTTCGGCCACAAATGTAGTCGGTGGTGAGACGGGAGTACCTCATACAATGATTGATTTCAATAACATGGTATGTCCGAGTGACTTGCATTTGCTAGAGCAGCGCTTAAAAGTGCAGTTTGTTGTCTTACTGGGGAATGATCCTCAGGTATGTTGGCCTTATGGGTCGTGATTTGCATGACTCGATAGCTTATACAGAGGGAATCAAATTTTCCGTTGATCATTTTTGCAAAACTTTTCAACATTTTGTGAGCAGCTTTTAATTTAACGAGAATAGAGTAAGATAGGCTGGTCGAACAGGCGCCTGAAATCGCCTGTTCGACCAGTCTAGAGTAAGAGATTATTCAGGTGGTGCTCATGGTTCTACAAGTCCCAAAAAATCTCAAAAAGCCCAGCCAGTGTGCTTTTGAACTTTCAAAGTTCTTTAATGATATGTGCTTACTATTAGATCAGTGTGACCTCACACACTCATTTTGTACTAAAAATCTGTTTGATCCCCCTTTTCAATTGATAAAAGCAAATTTGTTCAGCACCAAATCGTGTCGCACCGCGTGCCGGCCACACGAATCTCCACTTTCGTCGTCGTTCTCATCTCGTTCCTTCTGGTCCTCGTCATATTTTCCACGTGCGTCATGTGCATCAGTTACATCCGGCGGAAGCTCAAGAAACGGGAAAGTGTAAGTACTGCAACCGAGTCGTTTATTTTTTCCGCAAAAAAAACTGTTGCAGAGCCCTTTGCTTTGCCGGAGTGAAACATCGGAAACTTTGATCGAATCGACGTTGATCAACAGTGATGCACCGACCATGTACAGTGCAATCGATGTCTGATTCCAAGTGCATACATTGCCATTTAATAATAATAATTGGAGCAGCAAACTTGTGATCAGTGTGCGCTTTCGGAAGGAGCAAATCTGTCGACAACAAAAATGTTCCAACGACACTCCGGCATTACGCGGTCCTCTTTTTCGATCTTCTTCCGTTTTTCTTTCGTAATCCGCCTTCTTGCGAGATTCATCTTTCGAAAGTACACACTGTGATCATTCGGTTTTTATTTTGTATTCGATTCATAATAAACGAAAGGGTATTTTTAGATGACGTTGCAATTGAATTCTTCTTCAAAAAACAAAACTCACTGTTTTGCTCAATGCTCCCGCCGACCACAAACAAATGTCTTTCCGGTTTGCGTCTCTGTGTCAACTCAAAACTTTTTACTCTTACTCTTTACTGCAGTAAGAAGAGAGCACCTCTCTGGCGTCACGTCCATGTCCTATGACATTTTTACCCTTTGCTCTCGCCCCACGTGCTCCTTAACCCCTCCATTCTTCGCATTTCTTTGAGAATGTTTGAGTAGGATTTGAGCGAACTTTTTGGTTTTTCTTAAACATTGGGGCGCTGCTCTCGTGAGTTTTGGTGCTGCTTAGACTATAAACTACACATTTGGGGGCTGCTCTCGTGAGTTTTGGTGCTGCGTAAACTACTAACTAAATACAAAACTTAACCGAAGAGTCCCCAAAAACATGAACACCATCGGCCAACCTAGTTAGTTTTTCTCACAGATCTAAACCGAATTGTCATTCTCTCTTTTCTTTCTTCTTGTTCCTTGCCTTTTCTAGATCCAAAAATGATTGTCGAAAGGCTGAAAGATCTATTTCTCGCAAAAACAATCCTCCCCCTTGTTTTTCCCTTTTATTTCCCGCCACCCACTTGTTTTTCATCAACAGAGTCCCATGAGTGTGTGCTCGGCGAGCACACACGTGACTTCCTCTTGCTCTTTTCTCCCTCTTTACTCTCTTTCATCACTAGCATCACATCCAAATATTTCATCTTATTTTTACATAAATATTTGCCTAAAACGTGACTTTCTGACGTTTGTGAAGTTTTAGTCGTACTTTGTCCTCTTACTATTAGATGCTTTCTAAAAAAGTTTTTTGTTGATAAGATAATAGATCAAGTTTACCGCTGACGCACCACGTGTTTTGATAATAGCTGTATGGATAGAAACATGCACTTTTCGTGCATTTTTGAAATAAAATTCTTTGACTCTTAAAATTTAGCCTTTAAGATAAGGAAAGGAAGTGGTGAATGTACTTGTTTGTGATTAATAAACGACCTTGTTTCATTTTCAATAAAATGAAAGTATTATCACTTTAGTTTTCAAAAAAGACGAGCGGAGCGAAAAAAAGATGATAGAAGGAGGGTGAATCACCATTCACAATGATGAAAACAAGATTTGGGAAACGAAAAACATCGGAAGCTAAATTCAGGTTCAGAAGACAGAAGACACTAGACGGGGACGTGCTAAATTGCGTGAACTGTGGGCAAATCGTGAGAGCAGCATCCAAATGTTGTAGATTGTATTCTAAGCAGCGCCCAAAATTCACGAGAGCAGCTAAAACTTTTTTAAATCAATGTTTTGGGTCTTGGGTCCAAAGTACGTGTCCCTCAAGAACATTATGAGGTCTCAGTGTACTTCGACCCATCTTCCGTTCTCACTCTATCGCAAACTTCTCTGCTTCTCTGTCACATTGTCTAGTCTACTTTATGATGATGATTCCGATGCCAATTCGATTTCGATTTCGTAATTTACATTTTCTATGCATAGTATATTATAGTACCGGTAAAAGTCGTACGCGCCCTTCTTCCTCATGGGGGGGGGGGGGCGAAATCGCGTTACACAGATATTCTTTGAGACTTTCGAAACAAAACCAGTTTTAATCTCACTCAGACTTTTCAGTCGGGGGCCACGTGGCCTTTACCATTTCAAACATAACTTTTCGAAGCTCCGCCCACTCTTACTTTAAAATCGAAATGTACACACAACAGTTAGACACCTGACGGAGAAGGTGTGTAGTTGATAAGAAGAAGAAGAACGACACTCTTATCATTCTTGACCAGTACATGGGCGAACCGATAATATCAACTCTTGTTTCACTTTCACTTTTTTTGCCAACTTACGTGCGAGTTTTGAAAGAAAGCTCTCGCACGTGTCAAACGTGTCTGCGTTTCTTCCCTCTGATATTTTTCCGTTGTAATCATCTTTTTGACACCGATTTCAATGTCATATAGCCAAGCCCTCGGAACAATTTGAATTTTATTCGTTAGTCTTTTTGCCCTAAATTTAATATTTCTTCTGTAGATTTTAACATTTTCATACTTTTTCGCGAAAACACTCGAAGAATTGCGTTGCTTCTCCGTTCATCTCGATGTTTCTAGAAGATTCTATTTCTTATTCGGAGTTCGCGCTCTTTCCATGGATGGCCGTGGACTAGAATTAACACTTCGGCCATTTATGGATTTTCTACTCTTCAAACATTTTCAATTGTTTCTCTTCTAAAAAAGAATGATAAAAAAAAAGCTTGAAAACTAATATGAAAACTAGAAAACCAAAAACTTCCTCCTTCAGTTTTTCAGTGATAAAATCTGGTTTTTGCGCGTTTCTGTCTTGATCGAGACAAACATTGTCTGTCTTTTTATGTAGACAGTAGATTAGAGAACCGCAAGTAAAAAATAAAAATAGATACCAAAAAGAAAAGATCAAAACGTTAATGCCGCTCCTTATCATGTTATTCCTTTCCCGTTTCTTTTTAAATTTTTTTCTTTGAAAATTCTATTTTTTGATTACATATCGCATGCCAAAAAGCATATCCGTTATCACCTTACCTTTGCCCATAAGAACCAATTTTCTGCTGGCTTCTGTTATTTTTCTGAAAAATGCGTTAATTTTCTTTTTTCAGCACTCAAATCGCATCCGAATTCTTCTAAAAACTCATCGAAATGTCCACACCTGCCCTCGTTGCAAAGTCGTGAGTTTTTATTTCAAAATTTCAAAAAGTCAATGAAAGTAGCACTAGCCGAGCCCAGAGATGCATTTTCTATTTTAATTTAACTTTTTTAATAAAAGGAACTTTGCATTTTTGCAGTGACCTCCTGAAACAAATGCCATCGTGCTCGTACACAAATCCGCCAGACCTCGACGCCTTCTCCTGGTCACGAATTTTCGAAATCGTAGCCGCCGGCCTTCCGCTTCGAAAAGCCCTAGAGTTCAAGGTGCGAACACACTCTTTTACACATCATTGATCACTTTTTCACCTTCTTATCATGTTCTTCAGACCCTGCATAGCGAGGCCTATCACGCCGTGAATCGAGCGTTCCGAAAAGTGACCAAATTGAAGATCGAGGTGCTTCAGAAGAAAACCAGCGGTGAGAACAAAGAGCCGACGATGTATACTGTTCAGGTAAGGCTCAAATTTGTGAAAAAAGTGTATAGCAGATATTTCCAGAAAAATGTTTTACCTATAATTCTTATTTTCAGGGCTCATCGACTCCAAATCCAGAAACTGCTATCGAAATGGTCCGATACGTGTTGACACACGCGAAAATGATACGCCAATTGGACATTTATTTCGAGGACCACGATTTGACGGTTTTCAATCAATTGATGGACGTGGTTATTCAGTCTGGTAAGTTTTTCCATCAAATTTCAAACATAATCGCTCTGAAACAGCTTAAAACGGCACAAAAATCAAACATTTGTAACAGGGACCGCTTAGACTAAAAACTACATTTTTTGCGCTTCTGTCGTGAATTTAGAGACTGCTTAGCCTACAGACTAAACTTTTGGAAGCTTAAACATCTTCATCAGTTTTTTTTTTCAGAAAACGTTCAACTGGAATCGTTTCTCGTAAAACGTCGCCATGCTGGCCAATCAGTCGTAAAAATAGGCGATGTGATCCGTGCGAACGCCTCAACTCTCCGCGAAGTCTCTCGAATAGGAATAACGGAAGCCGCCTACGGATTCAACGACGAGGTAAGCGTCCTTGGGAAATTTCGAATTCCCGCAGATTTTCGTTCTCATAAATCGCCTAGGTCTCGCCGCGAAACGATGAGATTTGTTGTTGTTGTCTCGTGTAAATTGTGCCGAAAAGAAAATAATTGAGGAGCATTTTTTGAAGTGGGTTTTTCGTGTCTGCAAAGCGTTGTCTGTTGTGAATAATCCTCAAAATTGTAGAAAATTTAAAAAAAAAACGGTGTTTTCAGATAAATCTGGATCGATTCGGTTGCATGGTATTTGACCTCGGTTACCAGCCGTTGCCTAATCAAATTCTTCTCAATATGATCAGGTAAACATTTGTTTTTGAGCATTTCCTGAATAACAACAGTTGATTTCCAGAATAACCGAATCGGGCGCTAAATTCAAAATGTTCTCCTACACCAGCTTCTCGGGATACGATCCGACCGACGAAATTGTTCAGAATCTTCTGGACAACGCGCAAGTAGAAGAAATCAAACTGACGATGATGAACCCGCCACAAATCGCTCCGAGACCCGGATATATGATTGGAAAGGTACAAAACGCAAAATGTTCTAAAACTTAAAAATCTAATTTTTTAGGTCCGTAGTGTGAAAAGCATAATTCTCGTCGAAGTCGTGCCGGGACCGCGAAGATTCAACAGAATGTACGCGTCTCGAGACATTTTCGAAAAAGTTTTTCCGAATTGCCACCACAATATACAATTTTTGCATCAATTCTAATTGTTTAAAACATCCATAGTTTTTTGTACACTCTGTTCATTTTTTGTATATCATTTCTCTGTAAAATCTGTACATTTCGCTCGCTTCTTTGTCGCTCCTCCTGATGATAATGCCATCCCCTCGAATTGCTTTCACAACAATTTTAATGTTTTTTGAACGATAATTTTCATAAGAAGAATTTCGTTCGTCCGGCCGGATAAAACAAGTAGAAAGGACCCTTTTGACCGGGCTTACTTCACTGAAAATAATTCTTGACGGAAATCTCCCCCAGTCAGTAAAGAAAGAGATGAATTTTACAGGAAAGCGAAAAGGAGAGAAGAGCCGTAAATCGATCGGGTCATGGGAATGGAAATGGAGAAGAAATGGGTGGAAGAAGTGCGGAAATGGGGGGAAATCAGTAATTGTTCGTGTGGAATGCGTGCGCCAACTTCAGGAAGTGCTCTTTTCGTCCCCAATCCTCTGTCTTTTGCTGGTATACTTTCGGGCCCGACGCTGAAAAAAATATGACTAAAAACCGCACAAAGGAACGCTCTTCATTAAGATACATCTCTGGAGGAAGTTGAAAAATAATCTGACACTACAAAAATTTAACTTGGCGTTTTTTTGTATCAGCCCGAAGAGAATATCGAATTACGAACATAAATGCTATAATAATTATTTCAAACAGTATCGGAGAGCACTCTCCGAAATGGACCTCCCACGGTATTTTCTGTTGGAGTTCCATTTCGGGGATTCCCCGTTAAGGCTGCGGTGACAATGCCTGTTCCTTTACACTTTTTGAATTTTGACAATGTGAGATTATGAAATAGCAATGTGAGATTATGAAATAGTAACGGGATGAAGAAGGTCTCAAGACACCTTCCCTAAGGTCAGCCTAATGGTCAGAAAAAATTTTTGACCGTGTATAGACTATAGTGGCAGATTATTTTTCAATTTTTTCCCAGGATGCTTCCTTTAAACAATATTTTTCGATTTTTTTCAAAACGAACCCTGGAAAGAGGTGTTGAGAGCGGTGTCAGAAGAGGATCTCTGAAGTCCTGCTCCGTCGACGTTGGCTCCAGAAGCGGCGAGTGCCTGGCTGACGTCTAGCATCGTCTGAGCTCTTCCGAAGCTCGGCGTTACGGGACGGGACGGCTCCGACAGCTGCGGAGCAACCGGAATGGACGGTGCACAAACTTTCGACGAGTTCTGGCCCATTGACGATTACGATTCGTGGGTACGATTTAGTCTGAAAAAGAAAATGTGAAAATGTCAGAAAAATTGAGGAGAACGACTGATTTCGTTGTTTTTCAAATTGTTGACAAAAATGAAATCGCGACAGGACCCGACAGACTAGCCATGTTATACATCGGCCCATGTGGGAAAATGCTAATTTTAACGGTCAAAAAACTGTTTTTCGACGGAAAATTTCGAAAATTCAGATAAATAACAATATGAAGCAAGTTTTCAGTGAATTTCACACATTTGAAAAAGAAGAAGAAAATATTCGTAAGGTGAGAAATGTGCAAACAAAACCTTTTCGCAGATTTTCGAACAGTTTTTTTTACAAGAAAAAGAAGAAAAAAAACGAACCTTTGAGTGCGCCTGTATACAAAAAGAATCAGACACGTTCGGTGAGACTGTTTTGACGCTTTTCAGAGCGATGCGAACATCTGAAATTTGAAAAATAGAGCAAACGAAAAAAAAAACACTTTTCTGGGCAAAAAAATCCTACGAATTGAAACGTGACGGAAAAAAGAGAAAGTGCACGAGGATGGGATATAAATAAAAGCGGGAAAAGTTCGAAAATCGAAAGAAAAACAAACAAAAACAAGGAGAGAATTGCAAGAAAAGAGACGCAGAGAACGCGGCGAGCAGCTGACGGATTGTCCGAGAGAAGTACACCAGAAGGAACATGCATTCGCGCCGAGACGCGAAGAGCGCACCGAGGGCCTGTCACATTAAATGGTGCAGTCGCCGAAACTATTCGGAAAATTCTGAAATTGTGCTGTAATCTTCTAAATTACGTTTAAATTAAAATTTGAAATCAAACAAAAGTAAAATTTGCTTTCCGAAGACCTGCATTTTTGACCCACTTGCAATTATCCGATCGGACCAAAACTTTGCAGGCTTTTCGGAAGGGCCCACTTTTCAGAGCGATCGAAAATTCCGGGCTCTTCTGTCTCTGATCCACATGTCTCGGGACCAGTTAATCTGATCGGCCTGATACTTGTTTTGAGCGTGTGAAGCAGGGTGTTTACTCAATTTAAATCAGACTTGCAACGGGCCGGGCCGGGCCGGGCCGTGCCGGGCCAAAATTGGAGATTTTCCGGCCCGGCCCGGGAGGATGCACCTAAAAATTCAAAGCGAACTAGAACTTCGAAACGAACATAATTTTATAGACTTAAAATTTTATAGACTTAAAAAGGCAATGTTATAGCATAAAAACCTGTTAAAAAATAGAAATTGCTGTTTAAAGTCGCAAAATTTTCACAAAAATTACGAAAATTTTCTCAAGAGTGGGCGGAGCCGGGCCGACCGGGCCGGCCCGGGATTTGGCAAGTCTGATTTAAATCGTTCAGGAGCTCCTTCAACGCAACTACACGCTTCTGGGGAAGACAGAAAAGACGGTGATTGCGGATCGAAAGCGAGTCGTCGCGAAGGTCGGAAGATTTGCCAAAAAGTCATTCAAGGCGTTCGGGGACGAAACAGTAGCGAATATTCTCAAACTTATCTCAACTTTTGTGTTCCAGGCCTTCTTCGAGTGGCTCAAAGAGTGTGCCAGCCAAGTCGAGGAGGGCGCCCCAGCTGCTCCAGTGCTCTAGCTCCAGTAAAGGAATCGCCAGCTCAGCCGGAAGGAACGTACAACAGCGAGAAGCGAAAGGCTCTGAAGATCCTGGTACACACACAGATTACGAAACCTCCTAACTACATTACAAACGATTTGCTTGAGGAGCTCTCGAATTCCTCTCGATCCCCCAAATACGTGAATTTCTCTTTCTTGACGTACGGTCTGTTTTTTTTCTTGTGTTTGATGACACCCACGTGCTCCCTCACTGCATCCTTAGATACATTGTTTTTTATCACAGCTTCCTCACATTCCCTCACCACATCTGATTGGTCCTCGTTGTTTTTTTTTTGAGCGTGCGCACTGCGCAGCCTCCTCCTCGGCCCTTGAATACTCTTGTTGAATCGTATATCTAGTTTAAGAACATCTTAAGCAACTTTTAATTGGAAGTTGCTTGTTGAAGCTGTTCTTAACCGTTGCTTAGAGTCTGATTTAACGCTGCTCAAAGTGTGCCCGACTTTGAACACACTTTTGAGCAACTTTTAAACGAAATTTTCGGCAAAACAACGTTTAAACACATCTTAAATAAATCGTACTTTCCATGTTTTTGTTTCGGGAAACTGATGCAATTAAAACCTTCATCACTACTGGCAATGTTTATTCAATTTAAGAAAGAAAAATGGGAGGCGAAAGAAAAAATCTAGGCGAAAGACATAAACTCTTTGAACTCCATCGGCTCCATCATCTCATTTCCCGGCTCGTGTCGTTTCATGTGAAGTTGTAAATGGTCACTGCGCGAGAATTTGCGAGCACATTCCCTACACGAGAACGGTTTGGCGCCAGTGTGTTTCCGGTAGTGACGGGTGAGCTCATCGGATCGGGCGAATCGCCAACTGCATCCCGGCCACTCGCATGGGTACGGTTTCTCGCCTGTAATCAGCGGAGAGTGATGAAAGAGACCGCCCGACGAGACAAGCAAAAAAGTGGTGAAGTGCCCGGGACGTCAAATATTTGATAAAAGACCGCAAGAGTATCAGTGATGGATTACTGTATCTAATTGGACTTCCGAACGCCCCCCGCAACACATTATACACAAACATAAAAATGTTTGCGCGCGGAAGTATCGCATTGCACCGACACCGACAAAGACCCAAACATGATGGATTACTGTTTCGACTCAGAGCTCCACTCGAGCACACTTACCGCTGTGAACACGTTCGTGGGCGGTCAGGTGAGAGCTTTTTGTGTAGACTTTACCGCAACCTGCAAAATAAATTTATTACATAAAAGATAATACTGGAGACGTCACAGAAGTCTTCAAAGAATTTTCGTCAGACTTTGAGAAACACAAACTACCGTTTTTGGGCGCCGCTCTAGTGAATTTAAGGACCGTTTCATATATTTTTGCCATCCATTAAAACTCACCGGCATACAAACATTTGTGCACTCGGAGCCTGTCCAACGTGGCCTTGTCCCTTCGTTTACTGGCCACTTTCTTCGGCTTCTCCGTGCTCTGCGGGTGATAAACTCTTCCTCGATCTTTCAGCGGAATCCTCGGATCCTCTTCGTCTCTTCCAGACGACTGTTCGCTTGAGAATGAGAACGAGGAGACGGAAGCAGCCGGCGAAGGAATGAACACTTTTGTCTCGTCCTGAAATTGTGCTCCAGAAGTTGGTTCGACTCCAGTTGGATACACTTCAAAGGGATCCGGAGAAGGTTGGAAATCAAATGGGGCCTGATCCATATTCTGATTGTTTTCTTCGAAATTCGGATGATGAGGTTGAGAATGCATTTGATTCAGATGGTTGTGATGACTATAATGTTGTTCTATGACCTGAAACAAAAGAAATTGAGAAGGTTCAATAATATTTTCTGTAAAAATGTACCTACCTGATTATTCACTGGTCCGGTGTGAAAATGATAATTGTGCACATTAATGACCGGAGCACTTGCTGCCGCCCCAATCTGAAATGCTCCAGAATGAGCATGATGCGGGTTTTGATGCTGTTGTTGGTGGTATTGATGGTGGTACTGAGGCTGATGGTAACCGTGGTACCCATTTGAACTAGACGGCATCAGACTGGAGTACATTTCTGTAAAAAGGTAATTTTCAGAATTATCTGGGTGGAAGCTAGATAGAAACGAATTAGAAGGAACGATAGATTATTTTGAAAATCTATTTAAGAAATGGTAAAAACAAGTTATAAAATGACAGATTTAAAGAAATTTGTTCCAAGTGAGGAGTACTGTATTAGAGGTCTAAAACTGTTCAGCAGAAAGTTCTATGAAAAGTTTGAGAAGTTGCATTACGTGATAGTAGTAGTAGTACTATCACAACTACATACAACAACAAATAAAATAAAAATTCCAACAAGTGCCCTGTGTATGACGTACACAAACAGAACGTCGTTTTATGGCTCAAAATGCTTGGAAGTGAAGAGCGACGTCACTTATTTGCACTCGTATTCTGAAGTTATACAATATCATTATTCACTTTTTTGCTTGGCTAGAACGCCACAAAAGATTACTGTAGACGTCTGGAAAATTCTCGAAGAAAACAATTCCGACTTGAGTCAGTTCTGACAAGCTCAAAAATGAGTCAAGACTGGAGCTCTCACTTTTTTTGGAGCACACCTTTGTTTGCTGAAAGTTTCCCGCCCTTTTGGAGGAAAGGTGTGGTGACCAGTCCGGACACTGCCCACTTTTGGAAGGACAGAAAACTTGAGCAAATTTGAGCTCGAAAATAACTGACAAATGTTTGTGTGGTTGTGAAGAGCATGATAGCCATTCTGTGATATTTGATCGGAGGATTATCACACTCGCACAACTTTGGACAAGCTTCGGACGGCTGGCGGACAAGCAAATATTGTCTAGCAAAAGAGAGGGGTTCGATACTCGAAAAAAACATTTTACAAAGTTAGTATTAGAAGAACTTACTACGAATTTGGTGCTACACAAACAACACGTTCGAAGTATCGTTAGCTTTATTTATTTTCTTTATAATTAATGTTACTTTGAAGTAACGTTAGCCTTGTTTCTTTTTTTTTATCTCTTACATTAGTTTTGACTCATGATAGCTTTGTTTTTTTTAATGCCGCCTCCAAAGTCTTGGAAAACCTGAGGATATTTGAAAATATTCAAATTTCTTGCGCAAATTTTCAAAAAATACCGTAGTTTTAGGGGTACGGTTACATTCGTTAAGCTGTGCGCACCCCCGTTTTTCACGCAAATTTCGGCCGGCTTTAGACAGAAAAACCTGCGGTTTTTCCGGTTTTCCGAGACTTTGGACGCGGCATTATGATTTACGTTACTTTGAAGTAACGTTTACTTTATTTATTTTCTTTATGGTGAACGCTTCTTTGAAGTAACGTTAACCATAAAGAAAAGAAACAAAGCTATCATGAGTCAAAGCTAGTGTAAACCTCTCGTAAATTTTGGGGCTTCTTCGACTACAAACACACAAACACTTAGGTTCTGCTAATCTCTTCAAAGTTATATTTTTGCACTTATATCTCGATTTGGAGAAGTAAGACGTTAAAACGTCCTATACTACTAACTGTCTAGATATTGTAGCTCCATGAGTTATTGTCAAATGTTTCACTTGACAGCAAGACAAAAGCCTAATACAAACAGGGATACAAATAAAATATTAAGCGGGACAAGAAAGTGACGAGTGAGTGGCACTTTTGATGCGCGAACGGACCCTCCGAAGAAGAAAACGAGGGGTGGCAGGTAGGTGGGTGCCCGTGAAGGGGGGGGTAAACAGTAACATTTGTTATGATAAGAGGGCGGCAGACGGGTGCGGAAAGGGTGCGGAAAAGGAGGAGAGGCGGTAAAAATTACTGACGAAAATAGAGGAATTGGAGGGAATTGAACAGGAACATTTTGCAACTGAAGATTATATTCAGATTTTCGGGAAATCAGGGATTGTCAGTGACACTTTGCAACTGAAAATTTTGTCCAGCACTAAAGTGGAAACGTCACAGTACCGAAAAAAGGTGACAGACACTTTGTAACCATACCAGGAAGTAATTGACTCTTGAGGAAATGCAATACATGACGGTAATCGCTCAAAAGTATTACTTTTTGGCGGTAAGGACCATAAACTATCCACCTCTAGTGATGGTCCATTATTTGCGAAGGCGGTACTTTGTCGGTGTCTCCCAGTAATCACCCTTCCGATATCATTCTCACCCATAAAACCGTGCATTTTATTTTTATTCTCGGGTGTCTCTTTTCGGAAAGAAGTTATTGCGCGCGTATTAAGTGAGCGCGTCCTTCACCTTTGGGGACACTCCTTACTGATAATATTCAGAAGACGTGACGAGAATGAAATGAATATGAAGAAATAAAAAGAAAAGAGTAAACAACTTTCGAGACAAGAGCCGAAAATCTTCTCGTTCTTTCAGAGGATACAATACAAAATATATTTTTTTGTGGTAACATTACAATGTAATATTGTGTTACTCATGAAAGTGCGAGATTAGTCCGATTGGAAAGTGTAAACAACTTTTTGAGTTTTCATAAATGTTCAATAATTAAAAATGACAGGGCCAGAGTGTCAATGCGAAACCAATGCTCAAGAGATACTTTTATCATTGGATAGAGCGCCAAAAGTTACATAGAAATGTAGTACATCGGTTTCCTCAAAAGTCATATTTAGGCCAGTAATTTTCGTCAGCCTACTCTAAAAATCACTTATCTTTGGACACTTATATCTCGAGAATTGACGATTATTTCAAAAAGTGGTCAACTGAAAAGTTGTTGTGATTTTTGTGCCTGAAAATTTTGTAGTTGATCATTATTGATTTAAAAACTCGGTATTTTTTGAGTTATGGTCAATATTTGTCAGATGATTGTTTTAAAGTTTATTAACACAATTTTATCAGACAATTACGGCGAGAAATGTTCCAAGAAGACTGAAATAAAGGCAGGTCAACGTAATTTGCTAACAATAGCACGACGACGTGCCCAAAGTGTTTCCAATTGGGCTGAAATTGCTTGTGTGAAAAACAGCCATGAATCATTGAAACCAACTAGGAAAAAGAGGGGGAGAACAGATTTGTTTAGAGTAAAGTATGTGGCAAAACGTTCAAAGTCCTTAAAAAATCTTTTTGCTCAATTTGCTCCAAAACGCTTCTACTGTGTCTGTAGATGTCAAAAAACATAATGGGAGCCACTGGAACCAGGCTCGCTTCGTGAAAATTGAATATCACTTGCTTACCTTTTTTTCCAGTGATTTTGAGGCCTCTAAAAAGGTTCCAGACGCTCCCATTATGTTTTTTTGTGATCTAGGGCAATAGTTGAATAGATTGGAGAAGTTAAAGCAATAATCAAATTCCGTAAAAAATTTGCTTCTGCTAGAGTTGCTTGCAAACAAAAATAGAGGAATCGGAACTGAAAGGGGAAGACTCTAAGCAGCGTTTAAGAACAGTTTTAGCAAAGATAAGCAACTTCCAATTGACGAAATCTGATGACGAACGAAATGAATTTTACAAACTCTCCCCACTAGCTGCATGTAGAAGAAGAATAACCGACAGAAAGTTAATTCTGAAAATTCTAGCCGGAAAGGTGGGCCTTACCACCTCCGATTTCTTCACTGTCACTCATAACAACAATACAGACAGCAAATGCAAATTTCGATATAATTCTCTTTGAAATAGAAATTTTTATTAAAGAATGAACACTAATAAGGATAATAAATTGATGACGAATAAATTATTATTATTGCAGTTATTAGGGGATTTGGCTTGGGGACCAGGAGCAAGTTTAAAAAGTGGTTTTTTAGAAAATTAAATAGAATACAACGTAAAAACAGAATTAAGGCTTGCAAGATTTTTTGGCAACTTGTTGTGAAAATAGAATTTTAGGCGAAAAAAAATTGGGGAAAACAAAAGGATTTTTTGGGAAAGAGAGGAGAGAAATGGGCGCGGAGACTCTGAGATTTGGTGAAAGGTGATGAGAAACTCAATAATTTTTTTTTTGTAATTTGTGGGTGCAAACAAAACGATTAAAGGCAAAGTGCTTCACAGTCGGACTTCTTTTCGAAACGGTTCAGGTTTCCGCCGCATCCGCGGAAGAAGAACAGTTTGCAGCGGTTATCGCGTGGCGAGTAGAAGTACTGCAGGTTTGTGCGCGTCGCCGTTTCGTTCTCGTTGCACACGTGGCCTGTAAAAGGTTGAGTTTGGAGCCAAGATCTTGCGAAAACAGACGACTAAAACTTAAAAATCACCGAAAACAGACTCGAAATTCAGGTAATCACTGTCAAAACTAGAAATTGCGCAATGTTGTAAAATCCGATTGCTCACCTTCAGACGGCTTGATCTGACATACACTCTTGTCCTGTACACTCATCGCTTTCGCTGTTGTCGCCTCCTCCAACTCGGATTCCTCGACTCCGCCCAAATCAATCGACACTCCTCCGTCTTCCTTCTGCTCGGCATCCGAAGAAGTCTGCGCGAGCTTCTCGACGATACCCATCGGCTGCTGGGGCTTCATTCTCAGATGGGCCACAAAGTCCTCGTCCTCCTCGTCCGTCTCGTCCTCATCCGAATCCGCCACTTCAATTACTTCAAATAGGGCCGTCGTCGTGGATTCGGTGTTGGAAGCGAGTCTCGGCGCGAAGATCTCCTCGGAAGCGATGCGTTGGGCGTCACCGTACAGAGGACAGCACAGACGCGCTGAAATTATAAAAATTATAATGATATTATACAGGAGAACAAGAGTGGGACGTACAGTTTCTGGCCGCATCGATGGCACAGTAGTATCCTTTGGGGCACATTTTGACTCCGTCGAACCCGGATCCGCACAGCATCGGCTCTCCGTTCTCGAGCATCAGCGGATCCGCCGCGTCGGGGCACATGTACTTGGGCGTAGAGAGGAAGATTTGACGGTTGAACCCACGTGGCATATGGGACTCGTTCTTGACCACTCCACGTCCGGCTTCCTTGACAATCTCTTCGGGTTGCACTAGAGAACAAAAGAAATTGGGTTGAGAAAACGATTTGATTGACTTACTCAATTTCGGGTCAGTTCCCGGGCAGCAGACATCTGGAGGTCCACGACGGCAGTAGTACGAAGTCGGGCATCCGATCGACTCGGTAGAGTTTCCGCAAAGAACCGGCGAAGATCCTCCGAGCGGGGCACGTCCTCCGGGACACTGTCCTGGCTGAAGCTTCTCGTCTTCTTCTGCAGCAACTGGGGCCAGCGTGCTGGTGGCGATTTGACCATTTTTGATGCCTGCAACCGGGTATTCAATGGTTTTGTTCTCTCGTTTTCTCAAACTTACTTTTAACATTGAGCACACACAATCTCTGGCAGTCCTCAAGAGATCCAAAGTTGTTCGCGTTTCCGTCGCATCCGGAATACTCGAAGAGGCGGCACGAATCGGTGACCCGATCGTAGTAGTATCTGAGATGGGCTTCTTCGCAGGATCCCTTGACGACCGGCTGAATGCACAGTGGATTGGCTCCATGACGTGGCACCGCTGGGGCTGTCTTCATTCTAAGAGCACGGGAAACGGTTCTCGGCTTCTCGGCATCGAATCTCAGTGGAGCGACGACCGAATCAATGTTGAAGTTGACGTTCGACTGCGACTGACGCTTCTGCCGGAGCGGCACCTCGTCCATGAGTCTTCTGATGTTCAGTGCTCCGAACACTTTGTACCCATTCTTAGCCTCGTCGCCTCCGTATCCGCCGAACGCGTGCTTATCATACGGATCCTCCTCTTCTGGGCAGCAGAAGAAGTCGATGCCGTTGAAGAAGCACGCGGATCCGTCGGGACACTGATTCTTGCCCGGCAGGCACATGACCGGCCGTCCGTCCGAGTATCTCACTTCCGTTCTTCCATTGGCACACGCTGGCATTCCGTTGATCGAGGTCGTCGGTCCAGCCTTGTTGAAGACGTCAACGCTGATCTTCGAGTCCTGGCTTCCGTCAAAGTTTCTGATGCCGGATGCCTTCGGTGTCTTGACCTCTCCAGTCTGGTAGTTGACCGTCTCCTTCGGCGAGGCGCCCACAAGTGGCTGTCCGTCGTTGGCGGTCGGAATGTGCTCGCGTCCGAGCACCGGCTCTGCCTTGTACGTTCCCTTCTTCTCCAGCGCCACTTCTTCGGTGGTGATGACCGTCTTGGCTGCGTGGGCGGCTGGTGGACGTGGCTCGACGGCAGGTGGCAGTGGGGTTGCGTCCTGCACAGTCGGTGCTTCTGGCTCCAGAGAGAGCAGTGGGATTTGATGGACTTGTGGGGCGATTGGGACGATTGGACCAATTGGGGCTTGAGTTGGAGCCTGAGTCGTTGCACCAGTGGTCTGTGGAGCCACTGGAGAGCTTGGTTGGTGGTCTGGAGCCACTGAAACCACTGGGACCAATGGAACCACAACCGAAGCAACAGTAGTTGTCGGTCGGACAGTCTGCGCCACCTCCGGAAGTCTCAACTCGACGTTCTCATCGACCAGCCCAAAACTGGCGGGTTGTGGTGGAAGTCCCGGCTCGGGAAGAATGATTGGGTCGGCATCCTCGTACTCCTCATCCGAGCTCTCAGCGTTGAACGGCGAAGTGGTGGCGGTGGTGGTGGCTAGGGCTGGAGCGATTGGAGCAACTGGGGCCACACGTGGGAGCTCTTGAAGTGTCGGGAGCTCTGGCAACGGTTGCTCGGGCTCTGGCTGTTCTGGCTGTTCTGGCTCTGGCTCCTCTGGCTCTTGCTCCTCCTCATCTTGCTTCGACTCAGCAACTGGCGGCAGAGTTGGCGTCTTTGGTCCGGCCGGCGTACAGATGCGCTCGCACTCGGAGAGCGTCTCAAACTGATTTGTGTTGCCGCCAAGTCCCTCGAACACAAACTGCTCGCATCGCAAGTTCTTCATGTTGAAGTACCACTTCACGTTGTAGCCCTTTCCACTGCCGGCGTCCTTCTCGAACGAGCAACGCTCCGGAACCTGGGCCAGGATGACATGATCTGCAAGTATACATACATTGTCTATGCATGAATTCCTAATCTCCCGGAGCTTACGTGGCATGCATTTTCGCTCGCAAGTGCTTCGGTCGAAGAAGTTGTTCTCGTTTCCGCCGCACGATCCGTAGGCGAACTGCTCGCACTGCCCGGTCTGAGAATTGAAGAACCAGCGAGGCGTGTAGTTGGCGCAGACACCGGCGTCCGGAGGCAAGGCGCACACGATTCTCCCGTCGAACTTAGGCTCAAAATGGGGTTGCGGGGTGGTTCCGACGGTTTCCACGATCGTAGTGGCGGTCGTAGGTGCTTGAGTTGGAGCTTGAGTAGTTGTAGTTGGAATTTCTGAAATTAAAAATCGTAGAAAAAGAGTCACAAACAACCGACTCACCTGGAACTTCGAACATATTGATGCTCTCCATCTTTCTGCTGATTCCATTCTCGACGTGCTGCTCCTTCTCCGGCTCCTCTTCCACTTCCTTATGCGGCTTCAGCGTCTCGACGGCCTTCGCCGCCTCCAACGTCTTCGACGCGGCAGCTCTCACCGGCTCTGTAGTCTCAACAATTTCCGTGTTCTCATCGTGCTCTTCGTCCGAGTTGAACGCAAAATCGGACACGATTTCGCCGCTCTCCGACGAGGTGATCATCTCAGGATGTTGTTGCGAGTGGGGGAAAGAAGAGGTGGTTTTGGTGGTGATTTCCTCTGTGGTTGTGGTTGTGGTGGGGGCCGTGGTGGTGGTGCTGTGGACTCTTGGTCTAATCTGAATCTTCTTCAGTGGGGTCGTGGTGGTAACCTCCTCCTCAACGGTTGTGGTGACAGGAACTTCGGTGGTGGTGGTGGTGGTGGGCTCCTGGGTGGTGGTGGTGGTTGGAACCTCGCCAGTGGTGGTGCTCACTAGAACCTCAGCTTTGAGTTCTGGCTCCTGCTCGTTGACCTCTTCATCCTTCTCCTCGGACGCCTCCTCAAACTCGGATCCGGACCCCTCTCCACTTCCGAGCATTTCTCGATCAAAGTCCTGCGGCGGCTCCTGAGCCCGTGGCGGTTGTACCACATTAAACTTCTCCAAATCGACAATTTGCGCATTTCCGGCCGCCTTCTCCTCCTGAACCTCCTTGATCACAGGCTCTCTGGTCTCCTCCACCTCCTGAAAAACTTCTGGAGCAGCCGACGATTCGGTGGTAGTGGTAGTGGCCTGGGTTGTGGTGGTAGTGCGTCTCGTGGTGGTGGCGGTGGTGGTGGTCGGGCGAGTGACTTGGAAACCTTGGATGCGTGCCGATGGCAATCGTGGCACGATGGTGGTGGACGGTGCGGGTGGGTGTGGCTCCTCGTGCGCTCCAATGTGCTCCAGGCCTTCCTCTTCCTCAATCTTACCATTGGGACCACGAACGGCGGCGGTTGGTGCGGCGTAGGTGGGCACGACAAGTGGCACAGTCGGCTGGATGGGCACACCGTGAGCCCGAAGGCCTTGGCGGCGTGGTGGCACATCTTCGGCCAATTCTTCCGAATCATCGTGAATGCCTGAACAAAACAAACTGAATGTGTGAAGAATCATGCGTAGAAGTTTGTTGGTTTATTGTTTGTTTGTGTTAGAGTGCATCTGCTCAAAACTTACCATCACTTCCAGTCCTCACAGACCCAATAATGAAGGATCCCCGTTGCGGAGTTCTTCCCTGAGCCCTCTCCTGCTCCAAAAACTTGTTTGCCTGCTCTTGAAAGCCCTTCGAAAGCTCCTTGAACTGCTCGAACGCCTCCTGCGCCTCCTTCTTCTCGGCCTCGGATAGGCCGGTCTGATTGACACGGATTCCAGGAATCGTCGGTCCGTAGTAGTCGCCGTTGTAGAACGTGTAGCGTGCCGGATCAAAGTTGAATCTTGGCGGCCCTTGAGCCTTATCGAGCTTCTCGATCTTGAGCTCTGGGCGCTTCTTTTGAAGGATCGGTGCCGATTGGGTAGGTGATGGAGATGGGGATCTGAGCCACCAAGGAGTCGAAGTCGTTTGATACCACGGAGTATTGGTGGTCGTGGTGGTGGCCACGAAGCGATGAGGGAACTTGGAAGACTCAGTTGTCGCGGAGGAATGCGTCGGTTGGAAAGAGGACATCGGTCGAGGTGTTCGTCTTCCAGAAGATTCTGGAGTTACGGCGTTCACTTCTCGATGAGTTTGGACTCTTGCGAACGATTCAGGAGTGATTGGACCGAGCTCAACTGGCTCAGAAGTATGAGTCCGTGGATGGAAGCGAGATTGCGGCAATTCTGGAGCCACTCCCCTCGAAGTGGTGGTTGTGGAAGCGAACTGACGTGGCGGTGTGACGCTGGAGGAGGCCGGAGCAGAAGGCGAAGTCACCACGTCTCCCGATGTCGTCGACGGCGTCTCGAAACGTTGTCTCCCGTCAAAACGGCGTTGAATAAAAGGCACTGGGAGCGGCTCCAAGGGTTTTCCGACTGCTTCATTGAACGGCTTCAGCTGCTGAGGAGGGACCACCGGTGACTCGACACGATTCTCAAAGTTCCGCTGGCTCGCCGAGAACAGTCGACGCTGGCCTTGATCCTGTCCGTTGTAGGTGAAATAGGTCGGATGGACGGGCGGACTCAGTCCGACAAGGTTGTTATTCGGCGTGGGCGGCGAGTACGAGTCGATCTTGTCGCTGCCGTACCCGATCGGCGACTGGACCGCATGGGTTGGAGCGGAAAACTGCCGGTGATGGAGCTTCGGAGCAGGGAAAGCCACGATTTCTTCTTCAACAACTTCTGGAGCTTCGGAAGAAGAAGAAGAAGTGGGTGAGTTAACATGCGGGGCGAGTGGTGCAGTTGAGGACGAGGAGACGTCATGCTGGCCGCCTGAAGTGTGAATGTGGGAGCGTGCAAGATGTGTGAAAGAAGCATACAAATTTCAGAGTTTCGCCGACAAAATCATTCAAACTCACTCAAGAAACGGGCGCAATGAACCTCGCACTCCTTTTGCGTGAAGAAGTGGTTGCGGTTTCCGGCGCATCCGCCGTACTTGAACGGATGGCACGTGCCGTCGTCGACGTTGAAGTACCAGCGATCGGCAAAGTTCTTGCACGGTCCCGGCTCGACCGGCTGCATGCACTTCTCCTCGATCTGCGCGGCCAGGGTGCGCGGGAGTCCCTCGGTTGGACGTGGCTGCTGCTCGCGGAGGGTGTTGACAGCGACTGCAAATGGTTTGGATGCTTTGGATGGTCTGCAACTTTTTCGCAAAATTTACGCAACTTATGCTGACAAGTTGCGCAAAAGTCGCTAAAAGTTACGGGAAACCTTGAAGTTGCCGAGTTTCCAACTTACATTGTCTCGGTGCAGGTGGAGCTGCCTCGGTGGTTCGTGGAGCCGGTGGTCCAACCTCGATTACTCTAATTCCAGAAGTGGTAGAAGAAGAAGAAGAAGAAGAGGCTGGTGGCTGACCACGTCCAACAGATCCAGAGGGCTGACGAGTCGGCGACGGTGGAACTGGAGCCGTCTGCGGGCAGACGCACTCCTCGCATCCCTGTCGGTTGTGGAACATCATGCAGGGCTCGCGACACGTGGATCTGTCCAGTGGGGTGCAGTTGGGCGGCGCGAGAGTGCCGGGCGGGTTGGCTGTCTTGACGGGCGGACACGAGCAGAACGGACATCCGGATCGGTCGTTGACGAGTTGGCAACGTGGCAGATCGCACGCGGGCGTCTCCGGGCACACTCCCCGATTGACGCACTTGTTCGTGCACTCTTGCAACGTGGCAAAGTTGTTGGCGTTGCCGCCGCATCCGCCGTAGGTGAACGCGCGGCAGCTGTTGATCGACTTGTCGAAGGCGAATCGGGCGAACACGCCCGCACACTCGCCCACGTCGATTTCGGCATCGCACGAGGAGGTCGGCTTGACCGCCGACGACTGGACACATCTCGAACGGCACTCTTGCAACGTGGCAAAGTTGTTTCCGTTGCCGCCGCAGCCGCCGTAGGTGAACGCGCGGCAGTCGGCGGTCTCCGAGTCGAAGGCGAACCGCTCGAAGACTCCGTTGCACTCGCCGGCGTCCACGTCATTTGAGCATACTTGGGTGAAGTCCGGAGTTGCGGATGGGGTTGGTTCTGGAAAGAAATGTGGTTGCAAAGTAACCGAATACTAACATTTACCACAAAATTTTGAAGTTTGTAGAAAAATCGATAAGATAAAATAAAGTCTGTAGGGTTGCAGAACAGGTTTTAACGTGGAGATATTGCAAAAAAGGCGAAAGCAGACGCCTGTTCTGCAACCCTAGAAGTCTGTCTTTTTTACCTCCTTGCCACATTTTTTTTTCAAGGACCACGACGCAACGCTACTATTTTGGCCGATCTCTAGTATTCTCTGACCGCCTGAAGTCTCATGTCAAGTAAGATTTTAGTCATTTCTATGTTTCTTCACAAACATTCCAGCAAAAACGCAATTGCATGTGATTTTACGCGTGCGCGTACCTGGCTTGTGGCAAATGGCCAGACACTCCTCGCGGCTGGCAAAGTTGTTTCCGTTTCCTTGGCATCCGGTGTAGGTGAACACGTCGCAGTTCTTCTTCTCGGCGTCGAAGAACCACCGCACGAATTGTCCGCGGCAGTTTCCAGAGTCGCGTGGGTGAAGGCAACGGTTCACTGCAATCGGTTAGCTGACGATTAGGATTGAAACACACAAAAGTTAGATTAAAAATAGAAAACAAAAAACCAAAAAATTTGCGTTTGTTGTTTGGCAACTCAAAAAATCATTAGGTAACTAAGAGAAGCGTTAGAAAAGCGAACCCGAGTCAGTCGTCGTGTCATCGATACCTCCAAGGAGCACAGAGTTTTGTTGGGAGACGGGCGGTTGCACGTGCAGCGGCTGCTCCTTTGGCTCCTCTCCGTCCTCGTCGACGACCTCCTCGACCTCTTCTTCCGAACTCTCCGGAGCTTCAGTGGTGGTTGTCTGGACTCTGGCGGCTCGGGTAGTGGTGGTTGGAGCCGGTCGAGTGGTAGTTGGCACTGGGGCTCTATGTGTTTGGGCGACTCTCGTGGTTGGAGCCAACGGAGTGGTGGTCTGCACGGCCTCCTCCTCCTCCTCCTCCTGCTCCTGCCAGTTCAATCTTCCTGCGTTCGGCGTGATTCGAATTCCCTGCGTCGTTCGGATCTCCGTGTTTGGCTTGTTGGTCACACGTGGCGGTTCGCCGGTTCTCTGGACTCCGCAAGCGCTCTCGCACTCCTCGACACGCTCGAAATTGTTGAGATTTCCTTCGCATCCGCCCCAGAAGAAGTACTTGCACTCGTTGAGATCGGCATTGAAGTAGAAGCGGAGCTCGTACTTGTCGCACGGTCCACGCTCTTTTGGAAGGGCGCAGCGAGAGGCACGGCCGTTGGTTTGGAGTCCCACTGAAGAAAAAGTTGAGTTAGAGCCAGAACTGATAAAAAAAAAACGACTACTCACAAGCTTTGTTGTTCTCGGGGCAGCAGACGCTCGAATGTTGCACAACACTGCATCTGTATCCCGATGGACAGTCCGTCTTGGCGCAGTTCACCGGCACTCCGATCTTGGTCTTGAGTGGCTCTCCCTGCAAAACAAAAATGTTCCCATATTTCGATCATTTGCCCCCCCGCTAGAAACCGTACAATTTCGCACTTTGGCAGTCCGACTGGCGGTGGAGCGCATCTCTCCTCGCACGCTTCTCTCGATTCGTAGTTGTTTCCGTTGCCGCCGCATCCGGAGTACGTGAAGTGCTCGCACTTTTGGCTGTCCTCGTTGTAGAAGTAACGCTGGAAAGTGCCGTGGCAAGGTCCGGCCGCGCTGACGCCCACGCATTCTTTGGTGGTCGCCTGGCGAGACGTTTGAATGCCTGAAATGCTCGAGGTAATGTAAAGAAACGAAGGACTCCCGGACATTTCGAAATCGCCACGTTTTGCAACTAACGTGTACTACTTGGCGATAGTTTGTACTATCAAAGTTCACGTGGGTATCAGGACGTCGCCGTCGGACATTTCGAAACCAGACATTTTGTAACCAAAATTTTGAGACTAGGTCTATTCTCTCCACTATTCGTGTCTCCTAGTACGTGGTTTCGAAATGTACGGGAGTCAGATAAAAAATCTTCAAGACTTACTGTAGCAATCAGGTCTCGATCCATCCCTGGTCCGACTGTTCGGCACCTCGATTCCATGACCGTCCACACAGAAGCACTGACGTCCGTCGGTCTCGCACTGAACTCGCTCAAAGTCTCCGGAAGACGTGCAGACGGGGACAAAGCTTCCCCGGATCGATGACGTGGCAGCAGAAGCGCGACGACGTTCGCATTCGGTACGCGGAGTGGGAGTAGTTGGAACTTCGGAAGTGGTAGTGGTTGGAGCTTCCGTGGTGGTGGTCTGACGACGAGTTGTTGTAGTAGTGGTTGGGGCACTTGTGGTTGTAGTTGTAGTTGTGGTTGTGGTCGACATGCGTTCAGTGGCGGTGGTTGGCTCTTCGGTGGTGGTAGTGATCGGATCCTCGGAAGCGGTTGTCGGCTCTTCGGTCGTAGTGGTCGGAACCTGTGATGTAGTAGTGGTTGGCACTACAGAAGTTCTAGTAGTGGCAGTAGTGGTAGTGGTAGTGGTAGTGGTAGTACGCTCATGCTCAACCTCGTGCTCGTTAAAGTTGAACGGCATCTCCGTATTAACTTTGTCTTCTGACTTCTGGGTTTGGGTTACCGTCGTCTGCTCCTGTCCCAATTCCTCGTGGAACTCGAACGGTTGGGGATCTTCTGTTGAGGTGCTAGTGGTCGGTGACGTGGTGCTACTCGGTGCCTCATAAGTCGACGTGGCATAGAATTCAACTCTCTTGACCTCTTTCGCCAAGATTTCCTAAAGTATTTAGTGGGTGTAGGGGGTGACATGCAAATGAAGAAAAAAAAAGTTAAAAGTGAAGTTACACCAAAATCATTTCAGAATCATCACCACGTTCCCAACCTTTTGATAGTCTTCCGTCGTGCTCTTCGGCACTCCCAAATTGGCCGGAACGTTGCTGATGCACGCATCCTCGCACTCCTCCTTGTACCGGTACAACGTCGGCTCCGACGGGTCACTCGCACAATGTCCTGTAAGTTGATTAAAACGTTTCTTTTTCATGACGATATGGACCAACCGTATGGGTAGCTGACGCATTCTCCGTTCCTCAAGTAGTATCTGAGGACGAATTGGGATCGCTTGGGCGTCTCGCCGTTTTGTGAAGGGCACCGGCCGTGAAACGGCTGGCGTTTGCATGGATCGACGGCTGAAAGAAGAGTGTAAAGTAAAGTACTGTAACTTCTGGAACCCCTTGTTTTTTTTTACCAATAAATACTACTCTGAATTGTTTAGGTCATAGATTAGTTCTATTCCGTTAAACAAATACCTTATCCTTAACCCATTTTCTCCACTTTTCTAAGCGGCGTTGTTCTTCAAAAAATCATTCAAAAAATAAATATATAACCCTATAACCCTCACAAAAAAAATACTTTTTGCAAAAATTGAGCTACTGAGCTCAGTTGAGCCACAAAAGCACAATGACCCTACAGTAACGCGTGCTCTCCAAACTGACATATCTTTTTTCAGAAAAAGTGCTGTAATTTTCAGAAACCTAGAGCCTATGAGAGTCAGATCAACCCTACAACCCTTACAAAAGGTACTCTACAGTAATCCATCACAAACTAACCTGTTGTGACCGCCGCAAAGGCAGCTAAGAGCAATACGCACAGGCGCATTGCTTCTGTGTAGGTTTGTGCCTGAAAAGGAGAAAGTTTAGAAAAGGAAAAGGAAAATTAGAAATGAAACATTCGTGACGCGATTGATCAAAAGTAGGCCGAGTAAATAGAGGGGGGTGAAAGTGAGAGAATGTCCGAATCCTCCCTTCCGAGAAGAAAAGTGACGGCGACCACGGAATGCGGTGGCTTTGTTCTGAACTTTATAAGCGATGATTCACATCTAGCAAGTTTTTTGTCGTATCTCTCTCTCTCTCTCTCTTCTTCTTCTCGCAATGACATCTCCTCCCCATTCCTACGATTGTTCGGGATGAGTGGCATCGGGAACTGGGGAGGAGATGATGATGATGATGATGATGGGTGGGTCTCAGTTGTGAAAACGGATAATAGTTGAAAGAAAGCTGACGATGTGAGATTGTATACAGCGGTTTGGAACTGGAAGTGCTAGTTACTGTAATAGAAAAACAGACGTGTACTTTCAAAACGACATATCTTTGCTGGTAGTAAAGATATCAGCGAGTTGTCAACTAAAAATTTGTTTATTAAAAAATTGTGTACGTTTTATAGTTGACCACTTTTTGATATCTCTAGTGGTAGCTGAGAATTTTGCCAAAAAGTGTCCTGAGCCGTTTGATTGGTGGTGTTTTTGAGGTCTCAAAACCGCAAAAAATACCACTTGCGTCATTTTTATTTAAAAAAAAAGTTTTTAGCTACGTGCAAATTGACGAAAAACCTCTTGAAAAGTCCTAAAATTGAATATTGTAGGTCAGAAGATCACTGTAATAGAATAATACTCTAATAAAGGCTATTCACGACAATGTATCTCAACTGCCGGTAAGGATATCAAAAAGATGTCAACTAATAAAATGTACAGAATTTTGTAATGAACAATTCATCAGTTGAACACTTTTTGATGTCTCCACTGCCAGCTGAGATATATTGTCATGAATAAACGGTTTTGGGGTGCGCTTCTACTGCCCTTCATAAAATCGAGGAATCGCTTTAAAATCGAAATTTACAGGCAAATTATGGAATTTGGTATTTGAATTCCTAGTAAAAGAAGAAGAAGAAGAAGTATAATACTACTAATAAACGTACACGAGTAATAATAATAAGACTCAAACTACTTCTTCTTCTTCTTCTGTCCCTTACTGCCCACGACGGCGCGGGATCTCGGTCGGGATAAGATATGCATCACTCTTCTTCTTCTTCTTCCTGACTACTATTTATTGTGATTGACCTTGAGTTACTTGGAAACGCGCACCCCGGCACCCTAGGAGGTTATCTGGAATCTCGAATCGACAATATCTCTCAAAAATGTAGGTTAGATGTGTGTGTGTGTGTACATTTTGGGGGTGGGGGTTCTGGGTAATAATAAGAAGCGCGAAAGTTAACGGATTTCATGAGAGGGGGTACTATAATAATAATAATAATAATAATGAGTTTACGGAGAAGTGGCGGCTAACTGGCTTGTTTCACCCGAAACACCTCTACCACTATTTGAACAACGTTTGGACGTTTTGCAACTGAGACAGTGCTCAGTTGTTAGTAGAGATATCAAAAAGTGGCAACTTATGAAATGTACAGAATTTCTTGATTGATAGCTGAGATATATCGGTTTAAAAACCTTTCAACAGGGGTTACCGTAAATTCTGGGCACCACAATACCGTTTATTCAGTGCATTATATCTCAGCTGTTTGTAGAGGTATCAAAAAGTGGCCAATCGATAAAATTCACAACATCTCTCAATAAACAATTTATTAGTTAACAACTTTTTGATATCTCTACTGACAACTGAGATATTGCGTTTTGAACGAAGTTGCATACTAGGAAGCCAGGAGGAAGTTAATAGAAACAACACAATGAGAGGTATGAAGTACAAAAATGCTACAGTACCCGCTCCCTTTAGGCACGCGATGATTTAAACTGTGTGTCCAGAAAAAGAGAAGCAACAATGACCTGACATTGTCGCGCAAAAGATACGGAGAATGTTAGTACCACCCTACCATAGGGGGCGGAGATCTGATTGTGTGCGGATTGTGAGCGAAAAAAGTGAAAAGAAGATATCAGGAAAAGAAGAAGAAGAAGAAGCGAATGCTGTGTGTGTTACCCGAAAAAAGGAGGGCATCACCGGGCCCAATTTAGGCCAACCATCGAGAAGGAATACCGATGAGGAGTGGGGGCAGGAGGAGGCCTTCAGACCCCCCCCCTATCATTCGACGATCCGTGTCAGTAGTACCGGAGAAGAAGTGAAAACGAGAGTACATTTGGGAGAAAAGAAAGAGAGAGAGAGAAAGAGAAGAATGTTGCGCAAGATGGGGTCATCCCGACACTATTCACCAGCAGGCCGTAGACACACTTTTTTGAGAGGTAGACTTTGGAAAAGTGTATCTGGAGAGCTGGTGAAGCTAGCCGGAAGGGACCAACTGAAACATTGTAGTAATTTTCAAGATGAACAAATTTGTAGTTGATCATTTTTCTTCAAAACTTTCCCCGTTTGAGTTATAATTCAAAGAATGCAAATTATTCGAATAAATACTGATTATGGCCGAGGCGACTTTTGCTACGATTTTTGCTAACCTCAACTTCATTAGTCTATATCTTGAGAATCAGTGAATCTAGAAAAAAGTGAAGCACTACAAAGCTGTACAAAATGTTATGCTCTACAAATTCTTAGTTGATCATTTCGCTATAAAACATGTCTCTTTTGAGTTACAAGGCAAAACGTCCAAGTTGTTCAAATTACTATGCACCATGAGCCGTGCCAATTGAAAGCTATTACTCATTTCAAGGTGATTCTCAAAGCACCCATAAAAGTGTTCCACCCACCGAAAAAAAAACCGGTAACTGATGGGAAAACCTCGAGAATCCATCAATGGAATAGATGAAAACGGATATTATCCCATAAAAAAGTGTGTGTGTGTGTGAGGGAAAAAGGAGAAAACGGCTATTGTGGATTCAAGAGATTCTCCAAAAGAGGAAGAAAGGGGGAACGTGAAAAAGTGGTATCGGCGGTGAAAGTGTCGGCGGTATTGTTCCGGTTGTCACACACCCCCGCACGAAGAAATTGTGCGCATAAAATCCTTTTTCCTTTTCGGACACGGACGGTTTTGGCTCATTTAGCATCACACGCCGCCGGCCGCTTCTCCGATCCAATCGGGTCATGTATCTTTTCACATTTTCTCATTTTCACTTTTCGAATCGCCCAAGAAGAAGAAGAAGCATGATATATCCGTAGTTTGGGAGAAAAGGGGATGTTCCAGTCACTAATGTGATACGGTAATTCGGATAAGGAATCTGACAAAAAAAAACGAGAATTCTTGAAGAATCACCATCGGAAATCGTGGGGAAAGCCTGAAAAAACCCATGTATATTGCAATTTTTTCACTCGAAAATCAAAAGTGTCGTGGCAACACTCTAGTGATGTTTAGGAAAAGTTAATCGTTTCGGGGGGCTGTCCCTTCAATTTGACAATCTTTTTGCCGATTTTCCAAATGTTGCGCACACACAAAAATTCTTGGGGGGATCGTGTCACAAGATAAGCCATCCTGGGGGATGGGTAATATCCATTCCTTGCTTTCTTTTTGCGTCCCCGCGCGCGCAAATCCAAATCAAGTGGGTCATCCGGCGAATAAATGTCCAAACACAGACAACTTTTCGCCTTCTCCCCTCCCCCCCTTCGCTTTCGGAAGACAGGGGGATCAACAAGAAGAAGAAGAAGAAGAAGAGGAAGAAGAAAAAGAAGAAGAAGAAGAGAAAAGACAAAAAGTCCTTCACCTACTGACACCGAATGAGGGGAGGGGGTGAAATAAATGAATGAGAGGAAAGGAAAAGAAAAGGTTAAGAAGTACGTTGGCGCGGGGAGAGTATGTACTTGGATTTTTGGTGCTTTTTGCGTTTTTGTAGAAACTGTTTCACTAAAAATTGGTCTTCAATACCATTGTCGCCCTACTTTAACAATTGCTCATCTTTGGACACTTCTATCTCGAGAACCAATCAATATTTCAAAAAGTGGTCAACTAAAAAGTTGTTGCACATTTTGCGCACAGCAACTTTGTAGTTGATCATTTTATGCGGAAACTTGTCATTCTTGAGTTATAATCTAGTTTCTAAACAGCAGTGCAAAGAGAAAACAGCCGCAATTTTAGTAAGTCTATGGAATTCACGTAAATTCCCAATGATTTATCGAAACCAATTATATCAGATGCTAACCTATTTACCCACCCAAAACATTTATCACCTCATAAAAATGAGACGTCAAGGCAATTTTTTTTTCATGTGACACCATTTTTGCAAAAGTAGAGAAAAAGAAAACCGTTTGTTTTCAATAGTTATACGAATTTCAGTGAAATGGCTAACATCTCCAAAAATCGCCAAGTGCCACTCCGTCGCCGATCACTTTCTTCTTTTCCGCATCGTATTCGAAGACGAGCGATTGCGTGAAGACGTGCGCCGAGACGTTGTCCCACGCGGAAATGCCACGTACTCGGTCCGGAAGATTCTGCAAATTTGGTTGTTTGTTTCACAAATTAACTCTTTTTTAGGTACAAAATCCACAAATTTGAACGGGTAGCTCCATTTTTTGCGCTTTTAACGCGATTTTAGTGCATCTTAGTGTAAATTGTAAATTGCCGTGAGATCTGGTTTCTCTTTACGGACAATTATCCATATCTCACGACATTTTGCGGGAACCAACCTCAAAATAGTTTTCCGTCCTTCCGGAGAGCAACGATTTGTTCCAATATTCGTCGTACAACGCGAACTTTCCGCCGTTCTGAAAATTTTAGACATACAATATCCAAAAAAAAGAAGATATTATGCACTTACAGAAAGCAGCACCTGATGCTTATTGTGCCACCTGATCGCCGCGTCCGGAGTGAAAGAGATCGAAGAGGGAAGTGTCTTGGGGAACACGGACTGTAGTTTCCAACCATTGTCGTCGTCCTTCTTGAATCCGTACACACTTCTCTCGGAAATCAACCACAAAATCTCGCGATCCGGATCGTAGAGTGCTCCGTTCACAAGGCTTGGACCTCCCGGAAACTCGTGCTCCAAACTCGTTCGATCAGTGATTCGGTTGTTTTTTATGGTAAATACTGTATGCTCATAAAATGCGTAGTCTTGGTTTTCAGGTCCGAATGTATAGGCGTCAATGCGATTCGGACAACCGGACGATGGATCACGATCCGAAGAGGGTAGTCGTCTGAAAAGTGGAAAACTTCGAAGTGATATTGTCGGTTTTAAAGTAGTCCTAGAGTCTTAAAAATAGTTTTGGTGAAAAGGTAAAGTCTAGCTTTGTATTTTTGCAGGTGATGTCAACTCGTTTCCTTGTTTAGCCCTGGACTTTTACAATTTACACTTTTTTTCTACATTCACTCGTGAAAATATACTGCAGCTCTTAGAAGTTGACAATAGTTAAAATTACACGTTGACTTTTGAAAGCTATAGCACTCTAGTAAGTGGTTCTAGAAAAATGTTGTCAACTGCAAAAATGCAGTAAATCGCATGAACTTTTAATTTTCAAACTCTAGAATCGACTCGCGGGTCAACACTCACCTTGTAGCCGCGGTGAACTTTGGATTAATTGTGGTTGTGGTGAACGCCCGCACGTCTACCGTAGTTTTCCGTTCGAGGCCGATTCCGCCGACGGTCAAAACTGGTATATTGGTTTTCGGGGAGGGCGTTGTCTTTTTAGTGGTCGTGGTGCTCGGATTATTGAATGGAATCACGACTTCTCCGGTGGAAACGTCTTCATCGGCGAGTGGGATGCGAATTTCCGCGCCCAGAGATGGTTTCTAAAGGTGTTTCTGTGTTTTTTTTTTTGGCTTATTGTGCGATATGCCGTAAAATCTGGTGCGAAAACAATTTATCTCAGCTGCCGATAGATAGAGCTATCAAAAAGTTGTCAACTAATAAAATGATCAATAAGAAGTGGTGTACATTTTACAAGTTTATCACTTTTTGATATCTCTTCCGGTAGCAAATATAAATTGCCTTCAAAAAAAAAAAAAGTTACCGGTGCGGGGGTGGTAGTCGTTTTGGAGCCTCCAAACCCGAAAAGAGCATTAGTAGAGCTCAAAGCGGTCAAAAATAGTAGAAATTTTGACATTTGACACATAGGAAAACGAGCGAATGTTTGGGTTTTGTCTGTTGAAATACTGGCCCGCAATCTTATCATTTCAAAGTCAGAAGACTTTTTCGACGATATCATCATCTTTTTTTGGGTGTTTGTATACGAATTCGTCAATTTCATCAACAAATCATTCTTCTGAATCATCGTCGGCAGTTTCAATCATTTCAATGTTCTATATTGAAAACATTTCCGACACTTCGAAACGATAAACTTTGTCAAATTTATCTCGGTCCCCACAGTCGAGTCCACTTCTAGAAGGATCTGAAAAACAACAGAGTGATCCATCGGCTATATCACAAATCTACAATATCTTTTGCTGCATCAGATAATTTCACAAATTTCACAAAAATTTCACAGTTCCTCAATTCGGTCAATGCAAACCGTCGTGAATTCCTCCAGATCGGTCCGTTCGTGTCGAGTACAACACCTAAAAACTAGATTTTGCTGAAAAAGTTGCAGTCCGAAGTAGGCCTGAAAAAGCGTTACATTTGAAATGTGTTTATTTAATCGTTCTCTTTATTTATTGGCACCTTAGCGGATACCGCTCACTCAAGACCGTATCTTTCAGCTGCCGGTAGAGGTATCAAAAAGTAGTCAACTAATAAAATGATCATTAAGAAATTATGTACAGTTTATTAGTTGACCACTTTTTGATACCTCTACCGATAGCTGAGATATGCCGTCTTGAATTACCGGTATCGGGTGGCCTTCTATTACAGTGACAGCTCTTAGAAAAAAAGGGTGACGCACTCACCCATCCAAAGCGTAAAAACAGGTCCTAACTGTTTTTTCCATGTGTCAAACGCCTGATATCCGGGTTTCGGATTGAGTTGCAGCAAAAAAAAAAATTGCGTCTTTTCCAGTAGAATTCGTGGAAAACAAAGAGGAAAAGTACATTAACCAATAGAGTGACGTGTCGACACGAAAATCGAGGAAATGTCGGGTCGATTATCGAAGGGGATGATCGACAAAAATAATGTCGATCGACAAAAAATGCGCGGACTGTCGACAAATTATCGATCGACAACACTTGCCCAATTTACTTGTCGACAGAATGTCGATAGTCGACAAAATATTTTTTGTCGACAATCGACAATGTCGATAATCGACAATCGCTCATTGTCGATAGTCGACAAACTGTCGACAATTTGTCGACATTCCCGTGGCCTAGAAAACATCACGTGTAGTCCGAGAGGACAATAAATTATCATCATTTTTCGAAACTTTTTTTCGGGAATGTCGACAAATTGTCGACAAATTGTCGACAGTTTATCGACTATCGACACTGAGCGATTGTCGACTATCGACAATGAGCGATTGTCGACAATCGACATTGTCGATTGTCGACAAAAAATATTTTGTCGACTATCGACATTCTGTCGACAAGTAAATTGGGCAAGTGTTGTCGATAGATAATTTGTCGACAGTCCGCTGTCGATCGACATTACTTTTGTCGATACTGTCGACATAAATTTCCTCGACTTTTATCGACTTTTCGGCAAACTCTCATGTCGACACGTCACTCTAGTAACCAATAGGATGGCTAACATTTTTTTCAAATTTCGTTCGACAATGTTCATTTCATCGCACTACATTCATAGCCCCTTCTGATCTCAATTTTTTCTGTCCGCCCAACCAAATTTGGCCGCTTATCACATACATTTCTGTGTTCTCCTGCGCCGTTTGTTGCTTGTGCCCGATTGTTATCAAATCGTTTTTTTTTAATATTGCAAATTCACAAAAGAGATCTAGACTGTGGGAATGACAAAAAGATACAATATCACTTTTTACTTATTTGGCGTTCACTCCAAAACCATTCGGAAGTGGAGATACGGGTGTGAATCCCAGGCTTGATTCGTTGTTTTTCTGCAATTTGTTGTAAGATCTGGTGTTCGGATCTTATGCCGTGTCCAAAGTCTCGGAAAACCCGCAAATCACGTGGATTTTGCAGTCGAAAGTCGGCAGAAATTTGCAGTTGAATTTTTTCAAAAAATACCGTTGAAAATTTACGCAAGAAATTTGAAAAATTTCAAATATTCTCGAGAAATTTAAATTTTTTCAAAAAATACCGTAGCTTTATGGTGTACGGTAACACTCGTTCAGCTGTGCGCACTCCCGGATTTCCCGCAAATTTCTGCCGACTTTGGACTGCAAAATCCGCGAGATTTGCGGGTTTTCCGAGACTTTGGACGCGGCATTATGAAACCTTTGGCTTTAAAACAGAAAAATGTACAATGCACGAACTTCACATATTTCTAGTAAGAAAAACGAGTTTTCACCTGAAAAAAGCGGATCATGTCATCGTAGGTGACGAGTCCATCTCTATCCAAATCCAATTCCGTAAAAATGGTGGTGGCTCTCTGTTGCACCGATTCCTTGTTGATTTCTTCCGTTCCGGTTCTTCCCTCGTTCAGTTGGAACACCGATTGAGTGAATTCGAGAAACGCCTGCAAATATTACAGTGTTGTGATAAAATTTTATCTTTTTCACATCTTACGACATTTTGAGCGTTTCAGTGGAAAATGCGCAAAATCATAGTTTTCGGAGCCGTAAAAAACGATATAGAAACGCCACCGAAAAGCCGTAATACAAGCCCGAAATAAAATTGCAAACGTTTTGCGTACGGGTATAAAAAGTGAAGAAACAGTGCCAGAAGCCAGAAAATACGAAAAATGTTTCCTATTCTCGTTGTCTTCCTCTCGATTTCGACCGTAATTCAATCGGCGGATCCAAAGTGTCCGGAAGGATTTACCCTTTTTAAAAGAGTACCCACTGCCAACAACAACTTTACAAAGGAGTGGTGCATGATCGTAAGTCTCTTATAAATATACCTTATACCGTAAAAACTCTAATATATCAGCTACCGATGAAGATATAAAGACGTTGTCAACTAGTAAAATGTTCATTGAGATAATTTGTACATTTTATCAGTTGACCACTTTTCGATACCTCTACCGATAGCATAGCTGAGATATGCCGTCTTGAATACGGTACCCTTCTATTACAGTTTTGTGCCTGTTTCAGGTGATCAAGAACAAGGAATGGAGTGGTAATCGAGACAAAGCCCGTTCGATTTGCATTTACTACAATAGTTCACTGACTATTCCGGAAAACCAACAAGAAGCTGACTTTTTAACAAGTTTGACCATGTTTTCAGTAGGATCCACACTAAAATATGCTTCCAGAAGACGTGAATCTTACGTACACCAACCGGGTCGCAGTCGACGGAGAGTTTATTCCAAAGTGCAAGGCCCTGGCTTCCCGAGCGACGAAATCAGTCAACTTTATGAATAGCACTGGAGATTGTGCGGTCAAAAACAAGGTCTCGAACTATTTTCCCACTCAATTGAATAATACTCTTCTTTGTAGCTTTTCGCCTTCGAGGACGAAAACACGGACACGACATTCATCAAATCGCAATTTAAGTTTGTCCCTAATTTTTCCGGAGAAAGTTGGAGCAACGGTTCAAAAATGTTAGTTTCCATGCTTGAGTTTTTTTTACTTGTCAAAGATTACTGTAACTCTTGCATTTTTCGCTTTTTGAAGGCCGTTCATCTACGTCGCGTCGTGTGCGTCTTTGTATAAACAGGAATGGTACAACTCAACAAGAACGTTTGCCGAACTGTCCGATTGTAGTCAAATGGATAAACGCAATAGCAAAGAGCAATTGGTGCAGAGCGTCGCGTGCGGGAGACCTCCTTTGTAGCAATTATTTTGATACTGTTTTTTTTTGATAAATAAAGAATCAGAATAATCATCATTCTTATTAATAAAAGTCTTCAGGAGTAAGTCCCTTTGATGGTACAAGGAATGAGAACTGGAAAATTACTGTCTGACTTATCTCCTATTGCCGGACTGAAAATCACAATTGCAACATGGCAAAATCTTTCCGATAAAGTTATCTTTGTGCTCACTTGCTACCCAGTACAAAGTTCTTGGCATCTAAATACATAGTCTGAAGCCTTAACCTCATAGATTTGAAACAATTTCCCTTGGAAAAACTGACCGAGAAGCCGAAGCAGTCCCCCTCTCCGCCGGTTATCAGTCGCATTGTCCATCGCGCGTTCGTTTCGGCGGTTTGCGGATGTACATGAGACAGACTGTTTAGCAGATTCTAAAAAGGAAACAAGTTATCTCTAAATGTGCTGAAAGTACCTCAAAGGTAATCGTCTTTTTGTCTTTTCCGGCAAAAGCGGCGAAAAGACGAGAGATGTACTGATCGGTCGCCTTTTCCGGAGCGATAATAGAAGCGAGCAGGTTGCGGAACTCTTCTTCCTTCATCTTTCCTGTTGGCGATTCCTGAATTGTGTTCGAATTTCATCAATTTCCACTCTTAAAATAACAGAAAATATCTTGAAAATGTTAAACAATTATTCTTGGCTAGAAGATCAAGCTTGCAAGCTTACTACTGTAATACCCGAGAACACCCAAATTCAAGACAATGTATCTCAGTTGCCGGTAGAGATATCGAAAAGTTGACAACTGTCAAAATGTACGAAATGTTTCAGTGATCATTACGTTAGAGATTCTCCACCGGCAGCTGAGATGAATTGTTTTGAATGAGCACTGTTCGGGTGCCCTTCTATTACAGTATTGACGGTATTTCACCTTTTTCCGGTCAAAAACCAACAATGATAAATCGTTTTGAATGAACACTATTAGAGTATTTACAGTTTTTCTCAAAATAAAGCTACAAATACCAACTTTCATAGTGCATTTCATATGAAACTCACATTCTTGAACCGCGCATACATGTACTTGATCCATCTCGGACTGAACTGTGTCCGCTGGGCCATAATCTCGAGCGAGGGGGGCTGAACCCCTATTTCCCACTTCTCTACCACTTCATCCAGGTCCATATCTTCATTCTTGTAGAATATTTTGAACTGAATCGCGCGAACGGACCAATAAACCCGATGATAGAGGGTGTCCAAAAGTGAAGAGTTTGGAAAAAGTTGAGGCGGTTCCGAGTAGGCTTTGTGGAGGGCTCGGTCAAACTGAAAAATGGGACATGGGCATTTTTATGATAATAGCTTGAATAATTTTGAAGTGAAAGGTGAAGGGGTGAATGTGAAGGGGAAAAGAACAAACTTTTCACGGAGCAATAAACAAATCTAATCGTTGTTTTTTTTTAATTTTCTGACACCGCTACTCGATTTTCTGATTGCTTTTGCCATTTGGTGTTTGCTTACAATGTACACTATCTTACGATACTTTGCAGATTTTGCAATGAATACTCTTCATTTTTTAGATTGGCTTTGGCTCAAAATTCTCGCCAAAAGCCAGCCAACTCACCCATTCCTGATACAAATTTTGTTCGTACTCATCATGAGCGATAGGATTCTTTGGGAGGGGCCGATCGTCTCTAGACGCGCCTCCGCCCATAGTTTTTCGGTGAATTTATGACATTTATTAGTAGAAAAATAGGGGGGGATGGAAGGGAAAAGTGTGGTTGGTCGGTGAACTGAGGGGGATGAATGATAGATGAGTGTTTTGGAAGTGGATGATATAACAAGAGTGATAAGAGAGAGAGAGAGATAGGATGGAAAAGAGCGAGTAAAAGTGTTTTTGAGCGCTTGTCTCGTTTCCTGTTTTTTCAACAGATTGATGTGATCATGATGAGCTCTTTTTTTTTTAGTTTTTAATGACACTTTCGGAAATTAACCTGGTTTTTTCAATCTTACAGCAATGTTACAGAACTTTTGTGTAGTTTTCTGCTTTAAATCAGGCCAAAGACTGATGTTTTCTGCTAACACAAGTTTTGGAAAAGTTAGCATTATTCAAAGTCAAAATCTGTAAATTTGAGGCAAAAACTGACTTCACCATTGCCTAAATCTGAAAAACAGGCTAAAATCGAGTATTGGCGAAAAAACGAAACCAATATTATGGATACACAAAATTGAAGGCATCTTCTCTTCTTTTTTTGAAGAAAAACGGACGGAAGTGCCCGTTTTTGTGTGAGAGAAAATGGGAAAAATTTGTTTTTTTTTTCGAGCAAACAACAGACAATTTTGGGGTTTTTTTAAACTGAAAACGAAGAAGCACAAATTAAGAGCTTTAAAACAATGTTGTGCGAAAAGATGTTTCAAAAATGAAATCGAAATCCTACAAGAGAATGAAACAAAGTGTGTGGTAACCCGAGATTGTGGAATCAGAAGCTCGCCGAGCAAGGCTCAAAGCTCAATTATTCAATAATTGTTACAAACATCTCAAATTATATTTGAAAGATCGTTTTCTCTTTTAAAAAAATCACATAAAAAAGACTTTTGAAGCAGAAACGGGGAGGGGGAGGGAAGTTTATTGAGCAATTGGTTAATTCATGAGCTCATGAATACACTTCATGATCTCTGACAAAAAACTTTCTATATTCACAAAAACTTCACATTTGTGTTTATTAAGTATTTAGTAGTGTCCTCGGGGCGAGACTTTCGCGGAAATTCTCGTTTTCGTTTCAGTTTCTCGCGTCTCTTTTTGGCAGACGCTCGCAACATTAACGTGACCTCACGTTTCGGTCTTTTCCGCTCGCAAATTAGGGAAAATATACCTTTTTTGGCATCATTCACGTCTTCAGTTGTCGTCCCAAACAATTTCAAACTGTGTTGTGTTCTCTTGGGGCCTAACCGATGGATTACTACGTCCTGGTTATATAATGCTTATAAACGAAACAGCGCGTGAAGTTGTGAACGAGGCCTTGAAGCATCCTGTTCGTAGTATGATGCTCTTGCACTATGCACTATGCAAGAGAACACAAAACAGTTTGACACAGTTTGGGAAGACAACTGAAGATGTGAATGATGCCAAAACAAATGCCTACTTTCTCTAAATTGCGAAAAATTTCAGTCGAAAGCCAGCGGAAAAGAGTGAAACGTGAGGTCAAGTTTATTTTCATCAAGCGAAATCTGTTAAATGTTTGAAAAACTATCTAGAGCTCCTCAAAATCGAGTCAAAAAGAAGTGAATGAGCACAGAAAGAGTTCCCTTCTCATTAATTATTCTTCTCTCTTTTTCTTGTGTGCGAGTGGAAAAATAATTGGAAAACGGCGAAGAAAAGAGAAATAAGATTTTTTATGCGAACGCAAAAAGAATGAATGGGATTGAACCCGCGGAGAGATGCCTGGATGCGATTTTTTTGTTTTTCGAGCAAAATTCTTTTTTTGTACTTTTCTGACTCGCCATGTGAACGAATTGAGAACATTTCGAATCAATTTTTTGAACATTTAGCTCAATTGAGCTAAAAGTACAAAGAAAGACGAAAAAGTGCAAACGAATGTTGTACTTGAGGAAGAGCGCTTTCTTGATAAATAACAAAGTACTTCGGTGACATCTTATCAAGTTTTACCAGGGGGGTGTTGTTTCAAAAAACATGAAGGTATTTTAAGATTATCATCCACTCACCTGGCTTGGTCTCCTTCGCATCCGTTCACTTGCCAGCGGCGAGAACACATTCTTGCCTGAAAACATCTTGGGAAAGTGTGTGATACTTTCTGGGATGGGGAGCACAAGTTCCTAAACAATTCATACTTTTTTTCGAGGTTCCAGAAAAAACGGGAAGAAAGGGAGACGATGTGAACGTTTTTCGGCTCCATTTGAGCTCTGCGGAGCCAATAAAATATAATGGGTACTCACTTTTGGATGAGAAAAACGAAAAAATGGGGAGGAAGAGGAAGATGCTCGCCGATTATTGTGGACTTGAAAGGAAATGTCAAATTATTGAGGCCGTGCCAAAACGGGAGAATTCACGTTACGAAAACCGCGGTGGCGAAAATCGCGAACACCAAAATCGCGGATAAAAATGCGAAAATCGAGGAAAATCGAGGAATCTAGGACGCGCATTTACAGTAAGCTTGCGTTTTTTGAACTGACGAACACGTGAAAACAATTAACCATAAGAGAAATAAATGGAAACTCGTCAAAAGTAACTTTGAAAAATCTATTTGGCCAAACAAAGTTGTATTCAAGGACCCATATGTTGGTTTTGATAAAAAAAACCCGTTAGTGACACGTGCGCGTCAAGTTTGGTGCATGCAAGAATCCGCGATTTTGGTTTTCGCTGTTTTCGTGAATTCCCCCGTTTTGGTACGGCCTCAAATCATTCTTTCCTTGGATATCGTTTTCCGAAAAATGACGGTAAATCAGATTTTGGGAGTCACGTTGTACGAAAAAAAACGATTATGTTTTTCCAGTTTTGCAGGTGAAAAATGACATTTTCATGAATAAAATGATAAAATGTCTTGAAGGGCGGCCTTTTTGAATTATGATTATGATTATTATTATTACTATTATTATGAAAATGCAGGAATGTGTGATGTGTTTGTGTTCCCAGAGAATTCCATGAGTCACGTATCCCTTTCGGAAAGCTAATCCTCTTTGATGCAAGAATATGTTTGATTAGAAAAAAAAGATGAAGGATTTGAGGGACTTCACATTTTTTGTGACATCTCCAGCTATTGTGTGGGCAACTTGGTTTCGAACAAAAAGAAAGTTTAAAATACAATTTGTGTGAATGCGATCACCGGTGTCTTGTCATGTCACACAAGAGTAGATCGAATTTCGCGCGCTTCTTCCGCTTCTTCATCTTTTTCTTTTCTTTTTCGTGTTTCATTTATGATACATGTCATTGACGACAAACTCTTTCACCCACAGATATTATATTCATAGTTATGTGCGGTTTTTGAAGTATTCTGAAAAAAGGGACCCACTGTCACAGTAAGTACTATAATAGAAGGGAACCCAATAACCGTTCATTCTACTTTTTGATATCTCTATTGGCAGCTGAGATTTACCGTGCCCTTTTTAAGGTAATTGGAAAAAATTTTGACTCACTTTCCAAACTGCCAAAATTATCGACGGCGTTGTAGTAGGTCATGAAGGTTGAGCTGAAATATCACAAACTAGTACTTGATCTTGGCAGTTGACAACTTTTTTCCAAGACCACTCCTAGGATTACTGTAGCTCTTGGACTGGGACACTGAAATTCCGTTGCTATTGTTGACTTCATCTCCCAAAGCCTACAGTGATCCGGAGAGTGGTTATACAGAAAAATAATCAATTACAAAAGCATTGTTCTTAATGAGAACTTTTTTTTGTCTGTTGACAACTTTTTTTTGCAGCCACTCCTAAAAGAACTGAAGCTCTGGAAAGTTGACAATATCTAATATATTTTCTGTCGAAACTCCTACGACGTACAAGTACTAAAATTCAAAAATATTTGAGATAGAACTATAGAGCGTCTCCTACCCGTACAGTATGCGTTCAAGTGTAAGCTTTTCCAAAGCCTTTAAATTTAAACACAATTCAGGGGAAATCGAAAAAAAAAGAGCTCAAAGCTGTGCTCTTTTTCGAGATTCTAATTGCCCACAGACATCCGGAGACATTAGAAGAGAAAAAGAAAGGAAAGGAGGTAAAAGAAGGGACGGAAGTGTGTGAAATTCCAAAAATCGCCTTTTGCCTCTTCTGGAAATTCAACACCGACCGACATTTTTGTCTTCCTTTTCCGTTGGACATCTTCAACAATTCTCGGCGGCATTCAATTCAATTTTCGGGGGAAATTTTGGAAAAGGAGAAGGGTTTGAACTTTTTCCGCTTTTCTATCTAAATTTTGCAACTTTTATCATTATTTCTACAATTTGTCAGATCTGACACATTCGTTACGACACTCGAGTATTTTCAAGCGAAAAGATGGTAGAATTATCAGTATTTGTTTGCTCTCAACGATTTCTTTGCAAAAATTAAGAAAAAATGTGTGGAAAAGCGCCGAAATTGAAGTTTCGTGTCTGACTCACTTTCCGTAGTTGTTCAAGTACATTATAGGTCGTTCTTTTCAACGTCTCCCCGAGAAAAAAGTGAAGAATATGAATGACGGCTTCTAGGAAAAACGTCGGGAAAAAACTTGCCCGAGTAATGAAGTGCGCTTCTTTCTGGTGCATTGACGGCCCAAAATTGGTTGACCGTGTGCGATGGCATTCATTTTTTCTGAAAAATTTTTGTTAAGCTCTTTTGTGAGCTATAGATGAAACTGAAGTGAGGTGCAATTTTCTGAAAAAAATTGTTTTGTTGGATTTATGTCAAGTGCTCAATAGGCCGAAAACAAGAAAAAAGTCAAGGGGCAATCATTTTTATTCGAGAAAAGCAAAAACTAAATTTAGAAATTGACTCCGTGATCGATTTTCAGCGAATTGATGACTTAGACGGCTGAAGCATTTTTCATGAAAAAGCTTCTTTTTTCGATGTTGTAGACTTACGGAGCTCTGCGATTCTCAGGCAAATCGTTTGTAATCTAGCTAGGAGATTTCGTAATCTAAACCGAGTCGAGAGTATTTCTAACCGGACCTAATTAGATTGCACTAACACCTAATTAGATTTCCAAATCAGCTAATTAGATTAACAAGTTTCTTAACTAGATTCGGATATCTCCTAATTAGATTTGGCCATATTTTCAAAATTCTCGTTAAAAATCGCCAAATTTATTGGGAAAACAACAAAAAATAAGAGTTCAACAGAATAAAAAGTAAACAATTAACAAATTAGAAGAAAATTTCGACTTCGGCTGTCCAAATGTGCTCGCGTCAGCCTACACTCCTCTCGCTCTCTTCAATTCTTTCTTGCTCGTCGAACGACTGTGGTTGCTGAAAGCAGAAAAGTCCGTGTTATACGTGCTCCGGGAAACATACAAAATGTTTGCCAGATGCAGTTTGAAAAGAATCGCAATGTTCTGGCCGATCGTCTGTTCATCGGCGTTTTTCACCTTCAGAACTTTGGCGAGCAGGCCTGGAAACAATGAAGTATAACGGTCTCTGATTTTGTACAACTGACCGGCTGGAGCGTTCAGCATTTCCGCCGGAATTGTCTTGTTCGGTTCCTGTGGTTTCAGTGAGACTGACCTGTTTTCCGAGAAAGAATGAAGATGTGGATAGGTGTGTCGCGAACGGAGAGTGGGAAAGTGCGAAGCGAAGGCGGAGAGATAATAAAATCGTTTATTTAGTGTTCGAATTATTATCAAAAGGTCACTAAAGTCTGTCGACCAGAGCGTCGGGTTATTCCGTATCTCTGGTTCGACTGCGACACGAAGTCGTTCATAAAAAGGAAGGGGTAACGGCAAAAGGTGACAGTAAACGCTAAAAGTGAAGCAATAATCGGCGAGCAAATTAGGCCCATCGCTCGACGCACAACCGTAGTCGTTGACGCTCCTAAATAGGGCGGAGGCGCGAGTGTGTGGTCGAGTGTACGCACAAGACGCTCCTAAATGGCGAGGGCGCGGGAGTTCAAATGGGAATATCTGAAAGCTGGGGTTAAGAGTAATTGCTGGGCGTTAAGGCTGGTTTGAGGGAGAAATATGGAAGAAGTTGCGGTGGAGAGGGTTATATACTCTCCTCGTCCGCAACACTCCCGCCGGCCACGATTGATGGCGAACTTGTTGTCTCGTGTAGGGTGCGTATCTGTTTTCATGTCTCTTCTCAAGTTACTGTATCACTATTTGGTAAATGTTAAATATGCTTATGGTATTTTTGTCCTATGTTATCTGTGAATTCTCTCTCTGTCTTTTGGGTTTTTTGTTTTTTGTTTTTTTTGTTTTTTTTTTGTTTTTGTGTTTTTGTGCTTTTGTGTTTTTGTGTTTTTGTGCCTCTATCGAGGCGGTATTGTTGTTTGCAAACGAGACTCTAATGAGTCAAGTTTGCTCCAGCTCCTCGTTGTTCAGCTGGTGGTGCCCATCTTTGGCTGTCGGCTTGGTTCTGATGTTGGAAATTTTGTTGTCTCTGCTTGAACTGATGTTGTTGCATGTCTTGTGCCTCGTTACATTGTTGATTTTCATACGTCTGTTGTTGAGGATTCTGGTATCCCATGAACTGTTTGTATTTTTGGAAGAAGTATTCGAATGATTCATGGAGAATGGAGTTGTGTGGTCCTTTGCAGTGTTTGCAACCACTCTGTTTTCTGCATTCTCTTGACAAGTGTGAGCTTTCAAAACAAATGTAACATAGTCCATGTTCTTTGGCCGCCAGATACTTGTCTTTTGTTGTCTTAAAACATTTCCAATATGGGTGACCCTCTTCGCATCCGAACGGACATTCAATAGCCTCGGAGCCCTCGTCGTTGTCTGCCAAGTTTACTTCAATTTCATCGCTGTATCCGAGTTCAAAATCCTTCGACTTTTTCAGCGTACCATTGTTCTCTAGATTTGATGTGATATTTCTTTCAATCACGATCTCTCTTTGGATCCATTGGTACATCGTTCTAAACGTTCCGTCGTGACCGTTTATTTCCATTGTTGTCATAATTTTTCTTTGAATGTTCTCTGGAAGCTTTGCGATTAATGGTTTCGTGAATGCAATGTTGTCGACGTTTACTCCTCTGTTTTTCAGATTTTCGACGATTCCGGCGATTCTACCTGTGTCGCACAGCATTTTCGTGAAATCTTTGTGGTTAATGGTTGCTCTCAGGAACGACGAAAACAATTCGTCCACCGTGTCTGATTTACTGGCGAACGTGGCGTCGAGGACTTCCCACGCTCTCTCATAGTTGCCTTTTTCCAGTTGAATAGCACCGATCACCGCTTTTGCATAATCGCTGACGTGCGTTTTGAGTTGGATGAGCTTTTGGATTTCCATTAGTCGTTTATTTCGTCCATAAGCTGCGTTAAACATTTCTTTCCACTCTTCGTACTCAGATGCGGTTCTTCCACTGAATCTCGGCAATTCGAACGGTTTGACCGGTAAAGTGAACTCTCCATCTGATTCCTCCAAGTGTTCGTAGCTGTCTCTTTTTCCTTTTATGACTTTTCTTTCTCTTTTTTTGTTGTCTATCTTTTCTGGTTCGCTCTCGGTTGATTCGTAATACTGAGCGTTTCTTTTGACATCCAGCTTCACACCTCTATGTCTCTTCTCTTTCTCGTACCTGTGTCGGATCTCCTCGTCCGATGACTCCTCTGACGGCTCTAGGTCCGGTTTTTTCAGAATTGGTTTTGGTGTGAGATTTCTTTCGAGCATGTTTTGGATTCCCGAATGAGCGTTTATGATTTCGTTTTCTCGTGCCAACGTGTTATATTCCGTGTTTCTTTGTCTTTTGGAATGGCTATCTAAAACTCGGTTCAGTTCGGCAGCCAATTCGATGTCTACCTGAATCCCTTTCTTCTGAGACGTCATCTTGATCAGGTTGATGACCGTATTGTTTTCCTGTCTTTGATTAGGCTCGAACGGGTTTAGACCTGGTCCTTTCGCGACCATCTCCTCGCCCTCGTTCTCGACTTGGTTGATGAATGGATTGGTTGAGTTGAGTTCTTGCGTTGTCTCGACGCCTTGGACAAACACGTCTTCTTCGTCGGACTCGGATTCGAGCTCTTGGTCTCCCTCCGTCATTGTTGTCTTTGTCGGGCTCGCCGGCAGGTCGCCCTGCTTCCATTCGGCTTCCGTTTTTCCCTGATCCATGATTGCTTTCAGTTTGGGAATTGTCCAACTTTCTACGAAGAGTTAGGTAGTCTCGTTTGTCGATATGCTCTTTCAACGTGTCTCTGTATCTCTCTTTGAGAATTGGGTCCTTTTGACAGTTGTTGTCGGCGTTTAATTCGTTTTCTAGCCTCTTCTCGATGTTGGCGACGTCGTATTCAGCTCCTTGCAGGCTTGCTAGGTGCATGAGCACGGTGTCCTCAGCGTTGGCGAGCGGCAACTCCTCCATCTCCACGTCCCCGATCGCTAGGATCGCGGCGTTGAGTCGGCGAGCAGCCACGTTGGCTACTCCCGTGATATATCGCTTGTGGGCGCGAAGATTCCAGCTTAGTTTCATCTTCACTAGCGGCGATAAGATTTCGATCCTCGATAGTCTGAAAGTTCACAATTAACGTGGCTATGTCTAACCAGTATTAACGGGTAATAAGAAGAAGTTTTTTGTTGATTAACTTGGTTAGAGGGGCTGTTAATCAACTGTGAGCCTGCGAATTCAGATGAGTGCTCACTGTTTCATCTGTCGGTATGATCAGATACCGAAGCGCTATTGACTTTTTTCTTTTGTAAGGTTTATCCTATCCCTCTGCCGATTCTCTGTGTCTGATCGGATGACTACGGCCGTTTGTCATTCGTTTCACAGAAACTCGGTGGACTCCTCTTCGAATGAGCCGTCATTCATTCTGTTCTAATCTTCTTCCCGGTCACTCCTTTTGACAGCGTGACTTGTTATCTTTCTACTTCGACGATCATTTGTGTATCCAACGGGCTATCTTCTTCCCGTCTTCTTTGATTTTATTCTCCTATCCATTACCCAACAGTATTCGGCTCTCCCTTTGGCCGCTGATAACTGTTGGCTTTGTGCACGCTAATTCTCTCTGTTCAACTTTGATCGAATTAGGTCCTCTAACGACTGCTGCCCTTGTCAGTCCCTTTTCCACTGATGATTCACTCTACTATTCCTCTTGATTGTTTCTCTCGTCTGAATTTTGATTTTATCCTCATTTATTGATTTATTTGTCGAATGAAACTGATTTGTTGTCTTTTCTTATGATTCGCTGCCTCTTTCTCTCATCCATCTGTTGTGCCATTGTTGACGGGCGATTGCGATCTCCTGGTCGATCTCGCTTCCCGTGTCCGCTGGCTGCTACAATTCTTTGTTTTTTGATTCTTCTGTGTTCTTTTCTTTCTTGTCGACGATCTCGATCTGCGCTGCTCTGATGTCGATGGTTTGTTGTTGACGCTGAAAAAATACATTTTTTCACGTAGCTGTTTGATTATTGTCTTTTGGGGTATTGTTTTTTGTTTCTAGTTTACCTCGTTTGTTGATTTTTTTCGATGTTGTCGTTCGCTGCAAGCTCTCAACCAGCGATCCACTTCGTGCTCAACCTCCTGGTCCGGTCTCTTTTGTTCGTCTTGGACGGACCATTGATTTTCGAACGTCCGTACTTTCCAGACGGCTGCTTGTTGTCGTTTTGGGTCTGCTTTCAGTTTTTCCGGAAAATCTGACGTGTTTCGCTCGCACCATCCCGTCGCTGAGATGTGCCAGTGGTTTTCAGCTTGGAGTGCCGAGCACCAATGGTATTTTGCCAGTCCTTGGTTTCGGCATCCATATCTTTGGTGTTGTGGGTGCGTATTATCTCCCAAACACGTCCAGCATACTGCTCCTCCTGTCATCCGATAGATGAATATCGGCCGAAGGTGATATTTATCGATGAAGCACTCGTGAGTCGCATGCCAGACTAGCTGGATAGTCTCCATTCCCTCCAGCTTAATCTTCAGTCGGCATACCTGGCACCTCCAAGAGTGGTACTGCTTTTCGGTTCTCCAGAGTCTTATTGCCCAGATCGTTCTGTTGGCGAGTTCTTCGTTGGCCAATAACGCGGCGATCTTTAGTTCGGCGGATTGATATGGCGATGGCGGCGTTGTTGTCGGTATTAGTCTTCGTTCTACCTCCCTATACTCCGGATCTCTCCGAATGGCGAGTCTTTGAGGATTTACTTCTTGTGTTCGCGCCAGCCATTGTTTCGTCCTTTCTTCGTCTTTCTTTTGAGTGAATTTTTCTTCCATTTGCTTCCATTCTGTCGTCGTTGGAATCAGCCGCTGTCTGTCTTGTTTCTCGACGTCCTCTGTCTCGTTCAATTCCGTCTGAAAGTTCTTTCGTTTTTTCACAGGATATTTACCCGGCCGGCGCACCAATTTTGTCGCGAACGGAGAGTGGAAAAAGTGCGAAGCGAAGGCGGAGAGATAATAAAATCGTTTATTTAGTGTTGGAATTATTATCAAAAGGTCAATAAAGTCTGTCGGACAGAGCGTCGGGTTATTCCGTATCTCTGGTTCGACTGCGACACGAAGTCGTTCATAAAAAGGAAGGGGTAACGGCAAAAAGTGACAGTAAACGCGAAAAGTGATGCAATAATCGGCGAGCAGTTTAGGCCCATCGCTCGACGCACAACCGTAGTCGTTGACGCTCCTAAATAGGGCGGAGGCGCGAGTGTGTGGTCGAGTGTACGCACAAGACGCTCCTAAATGGCGAGGGAGCGGGAGTTCAAACGAGAATATCTGAAAACTGCGGTTGAGAGTAATTGCTGGGCGTTAAGGCGAGAAATATGGAAGAAGTTGCGGTGGAGAGGGTTATATACTCTCCTCGTCCGCAACACAGGCTATTCGAGGACACAATTTTCAGGATCCTTGAATTTCATCGTTCAAACCCAGGAAAAAATTGTCGCTTCACGAACTTTTCCACATTAAAACCGAAATATCGAGTCAAAAAGAAGTGAATGAGCACAGAAAGAGTTCCCTTCTCATTAATTATTCTTCTCTCTTTTTCTTGTGTGCGAGTGGAAAAATAATTGGAAAACGGCGAAGAAAAGAGAAATAAGATTTTTTATGCGAACGCAAAAAGAATGAATGGGATTGAACCCGCGGAGAGATGCCTGGATGCGATTTTTTTGTTTTTCGAGCAAAATTGTTTTTTTGTACTTTTCTGACTCGCCATGTGAACGAATTGAGAACATTTCGAATCAATTTTTTGAACATTTAGCTCAATTGAGCTAAAAGTACAGAGAAAGAGGTTTAGCCTCATGTTCTGTGTGGAGCTCGGGAGTGGAGCCGGGGGACTCCGATGATCTCAAATGAGTCAAATCTTGTTTGAAATAAGTTTTTTGAACATTTTCAAGTCCGATTCGTTCAAGCCTCTCGATTCGCTAGAACCTGATATCAGATTTTTGGCCAAAATGAAGCCAGGCCCAACAAGGATCAGACTGGCTTGAGCGCCAAACTCCAGGCTGACATTGCACCCTTATGGAACTTCATAAGGAAGGTTTGAAATATGGAATGTAGGGCATGCTCAGAGCGACAGAAAGTTAGAGGCGGAAGTGTGCAGGAAGAGCATGGGCCTGGATTCCGACGGAAAACAAGAGAATGCTCAGAAGAATCGCGAAGAGAAAGCTCTTATGACTCTGACGAGACAACAAGCGAACGGGGAATAAGACGATAGGAAGAAGGGAGAACGACGTGGCATTGCGATGACCTGCGCTGTAAAAAGAGGTCTCTCTTTTTTCTCTTCCTTCATTTCTTTTCCTTCATCTTTGTGATGTCGGTCGACTAATGATTAACCGCTAATAGAAAACCAAAATGTTGTTGGAAAAGAAATTAGAGTAAGAAAAATCACCTGTCTTCTAGCCTCCAGACTCATTTCGGTGTTGAAATGTGCTCATTCTGAAAATGCTGGTCATTGACTTTTCTCTAGTACCTCTCAGCCACATAATATTCGCTTCAATTTGTTGGATTTCAATTCTCGTCTACATCAGATTACTGTACATTATCTATATTAGACGTCAAAAAGAATTTCGATCATCTTTTTTCGATATTATTCGTTTTCATGTAAGTTTTTATGGGAAAAATAGAAACACAAAAGACATTTCAGGCGCTAACCGATATAATAATGTTCTTGTACGTCGAGCTCATTGCCCGCCCACGCAAATTCCGTATCCACAATTTATTCCAAGTCTCAATCGATAATTGGCTTCCACAATTTGCATACTTTTTTCAAACTCTCACAAAAAACGCCATGTTTCTGGGCTACATCGTGGTTGCCGTGAACAGGTGTACTGTACTTTTTCACTGCAAAAATCAGGTTTGTGTATATGGGTTTTTCGTGAATTTTTGCATTTTTTCTCGTCGGATTTTTCTTGGTTTTGATAAAACTAGAGGCGCGTTGCAAGTGGTTCAAAAATCCAGAAAGAGGATGGCTAACGAGTTTTGTACTGACTTGATTGTTATGCAGACTGTCTTGTTAATGCCGCGTCCAAAGTCTCGGAAAAACCGGAAAAACCGCAGGTTTTTCTGTCCAAAGTCGGCCGAAATTTGCGTGAAAAACGGGGGTGCGCACAGCTCAACGAATGTAACCGTACTCCTAAAACTACGGTATTTTTTGAAAATTTGCGCAAAAAATTTGAATATTTTCAAATATCCTCAAGAAATTAACAAATTCACGCAAATTTCGGCCGACTTTGGACAGAAAAACCTGCGGCTTTTCCGCTTTTTCCGAGACTTTGGACGCGGCATAAGGACCATTCTGATTGCATGTTGTAATGGTTGGCCCGAGCAGCTTTTAGTTGATATAAAACCTGGAATCAAGATCCATCCAAAGAGAACCAATCCAAAAAAGATCGAAACGAATTGATTAATTTGACTAGAGTAGCAATGTTTTGTTCAGATCTGGAGCCCTTCCATAATTTCGATAGTCTATTTCATCGAGTGGTTCACACCCGCGACAGCACTAATTCCCTTATTTTACGCTGGAAATCATAACTTCTCATTTGTCGACGCCTCAGCCGGAGGACTTTTGTTGATGAGAGCAAATCCTGAATTTATGAAGGTAGACATTTGTTGCAAATGCGTCCGAGAATTACATTTGCAGATAGACGCTCTTCAAGACTTTATATTATCCACTTTCAGTTTTCTGATAAGCTCCGTCTTTTACATAGTCACTTTTGTGCACATTGTGGAACGTCTTCACGCTTCTGTAAGTGCGCAATGATGTGAATGAAGTTTCGAAAACGCAAAAGCGTAAAACCTAGTGGAAATTTTGGAGAAAACTTGACTTTTTATTTCAGAACCCGACGCCGTACTTCACTTCCAGAAGCTCCTCAAGCACGACTCCGCCCGCTGATTTCATTATTTTAAAGTGCGCATTTTTCTCATTTATACTATTCATTCCGAATTTCGTCAAAACTACCGTTCTCTACTTTGCAACCGACGCACAAATTGTCAATATTGGCACGGATTTATGGTAGAGCAAAACATGCTTACACCTGAATTCAACAAAATGCTTTTCAGGTTTTTCACGACCGAACTAATGTGCATCAGTTCTCCGTGGTCCCTGTTGGTCAGTAGCACCCGGTTACGAGAGGAGTTTTTGCCAGAAGAGTAAGCAATTATCGAAAAATTAATGTTGCAAAGCTGTAGCACATTTTTCAGGTGTATAAAGCTGAAAAAGTCAGTGTCTACACGAATTTCAACAAATTTTTTGACGTGACTTTGTAATCAACAATCCTACTTTTTAGTCATATCAAGCACATTTATAAATGACCCGAAGAATCGATTGGTTTTCCAAATAATTCTCGGCCACCGCACGGCCACACTCCTTCTTCAAAACGTCGACGACACAATATTGTAGGTGAGAAATCCGGTGGCACGTGGCATCTCTTAACGTATCGAAAAAGTCCCGGCCGGCGAGACCATTGTACTTCTTCAGAACTTTGACACGTTTGAAACATTCGACGAGTGGGCTTTGCTCGAATTTCAGTAATTGACACGTGGCAGAAGATTTTTGACGTTCCGATTCGGAGAATTGACATGGGTTGGACACTTTGCAGAACTGAAAACAAGTTGTATGGATAAACATTTGAAATTTAATTATCTCTCCATCATTTGTTTGGCAACCTAAGCCTATTTTAAAACAGCTTCTGGCTGCTCTTCGATTGTTTGTTTTACGAATGTGATCACCAGCTTCGTGGCGTCGAGCACCCTGAAGCTGGAGAATCTCTTTCAAAAAGATTTGGTGCTGAGCGTCCCGCGCCCTCAAAAAGAAAGACGAGATTCCGTCGATGTTAGTTGCTTATTGCAAAACGTAAGGTTAGCGATTCTCTAGTCTTTTAAAACAATTTGCTTCAATTTCTTAAATACTTACTTCGATTCTCTGGCACCATTTCAATTGATCCTGAACGTTGGGAACTTTTTCGATGAATGTATATAGAAGAAAATCCGAGAGTACTTCACACTCCAAAGCTCGGAACTCATGAAACAAAGCACAGTGACCAGGATCCCGGGCGACAACGGACCACAATGATTCGTATTGATTTTTAAGGAAAATTGAAGCTTCCCGAGAACATTCCAGACGAACCACCAACTTGAAACAGTGTTGGTCTTCGGTGAATGCAGAATATTTATCGTCTGAGGATTCCTGAAAATTTAGAACGCAATAAAGAGTTCAAAAGTTTAAAAAAGTTTGAAAAATTTGAAAAAGTGCCAACTCGCCGACAAGAGTGAAAAAGGGAAATGCTCCAAACATTTATATTTCCGCAACCAGACAGCCTTGTAGACGCCTTTCATACACTTTCGAAAATCGTCACTGAGCATGTATCCGCCTACGCATTCAGCTCGAAATTCAGAATTTGGTCCTTCAGGTGAGCACGAGTGATAGTTTGAATATGAAAATGTTCGAGAAGAAAAAAATAGAAAGATAGGAAGGATTCTTGGATTGTATCCAAACATTTTCAAGAGCAATGACTGGGTTTTCAAAAAAAATGTTACGGGTTTGAGGAGGATGAGCGAAAAGTCGTTAGAGTTTTTTGTTTTAACTTTATGTTTTAGAGACGACTAGGTGGAAAAGAAGGCTCTTTAAAGTGGATGTTAAAATTTAGTAGTCAAAACATGAGTACTTCAGTGATCTTAAAGTTGATTAACATTTTACAACACAATGGATACATAGTCAAAGTGCACAGTGAGCTGATGAGCACTGGCAAAGAAATTGTGAAAAAAATTGGTTGGAAAAAAGTTACGAAACAACCATTACAACAATTTTATTTCGCAATATTACTCAAAATTTCCGCTTCCAGACGTGGCAGCATGTAGCCATTTGTCGACAGTGTGCACGTCGTACGAGGTGACGAATTTGACGCGGCGATGCGAATTCTGCAACTTTTTTTTTTTGTTGATAAATTCCAGAGACCCCTAAAACCGCCGCTCAAAACACCGGAATTGTTCTAAAGAACAATGGAAAAATCGATAAAAACTCCCAGAAAAAATTATAGGCCTAAAAATTGGGCCATACCTTGGGCGCCTCCTCGTTTGACCACAATTGTTCGGTCCAGTCCACGACCACTTGTCCACGTGTCTTTGTGCCGTTCAATTCCACGTCCACGTACAGATATTGTGATTTTCTCGCAATTTTCTCCTCATCAATGGCCGTGGCCACGGCGATTTCATCGCAATACGAATACTGCCGGCCGTTCGCTTCGCATTTGACGCGGCCTGAAATTCAGCTAGTCTTTTCGACACTTTTCGGCAAAACACACAAAAAGTGTGTTTTTGCCAAACTCACCGATACTAGTGGCCAATGAGAGGTACTTGGCCAGCGGGGTCTCGTAGCGAAGATGGGCGGAAAAGTCGACGGACTCGTCATGAACTTTCGATTCGAAATAAAACGCCTCCCACGGAACGATGATGATCGGGCACTTCATGCGGCGAAGCACAATGCTCGCCGCCTCCGGATCGCCGTGGAAGTTGTACTCGGCCGAAGAACCGCCGTCCACATTTCCGACCGCATAATAGTTGCCGCCCATCACCACGAGACGGGCGGGGAACGTGGCAAACTCTTCGCAGAGTTGAAGAGCAATCGCAACATTGGTCAGGGGTCCGATTGTGCTGAAAAAAAGATTTGAGAAGGGAACTGGTCTAAAATCGAGGACCGAACATGGTAGAGCCGGATCATTCTCTGCTGTTTTTTAAAGTTCTACACAATTATTGTTCCGTTCAAAAGTCTCTTTCATTCAAAAGTCTAGGAAAGCGAAAGTCTTTCAATTCAATTGTCTTTCCATGGAACTCGCTTTACGGATCACGCATAATACTCGTAGGATAGTACATTATCAGGGCTCCGCGACATTTCCCAGCAAAGTCGGTTCAGCTGATAATCTTAAGGCCAGGATTCGAACCCACCCTATCTCAAATATCTTTCGCAAAGTTTCGACAGGGGTTTACCAGCACTTTTTATGACTTACACAAGTGTAGCATCGCGATTTTCTCTGAAAATATCAATGAGAGCCAGCGCGGCGTGCTTTCCCTCTCCTTCGAAATCCGATTGATCTACTTTCGGGAACTCGTCCGGCCGGTCCCCGATACCGTCGATTCCGAAGAAATCCGAGACCGTATCGTCCTTGGGAAGCGACAATATCGACTTGGAAGCACCCTTATACACTGGGATCGAATGCTGCCAAAGTATGTTTCAAAACGAAACCTTCGAAACCCTTTTTTGTACCTTAAAAATGCCCTCATTCGCTCGAATAGTTCTTTTGATGTTGGCACACGCTTGATCGACCGTAACGCATCCGTGCACGGCCGTGAAAGCGAGCACTTGAGCTTTCGGATGTTGGAGAGCCAGGGAGATGGCTCTGACGTCATCACTCACTCCATCGGAATCTGGAAATCTCAAAATTAGATTCAAAATCCCGGAGAAACGTTGCAAAGGAGTTTTGAGCCAGGTGGGTTCGAACCCGGGACTTTCAGATTACTAGCGATCACGTTAGTGACGTCCCCGCCTAATTTTGGGCACGGAACTCATTTTTTTTAAACTTAAAATCGTCAAAAACTGATTGGAAAGTTATCAAAAATCGAATTTCGACTTACCAATCACTAATTTCACCTGTTCGGCAGCCATTTTCGCTTGAGAATCAACTGAAAAATTGAAAACGATTTTAGGAGGACGACAAGTTGTACCCGGCACACAAAAGTTGCCGTTTTCGCCGGGTTTATCTTATCATTTTCTGGACATTTCCGACCGTCTTATCACACTTTTTTTTTGGCGTATTTACACAGTGTTCCGACCGTATTAACACTGGATTTTCTTCGGTTTTTTCCCTTGAATAGAGCGAAAAACGTGAAAGCTATACAAAAAAGTGGAAAGAAGAGTGAGGTGGAAAGGAAAAGCGAAAAATTGTCGCGTTCACACATGAAATTTGCCTGTGATTTGCATGATAAAAGTGTGAGAAAACCAACAAAAGTCAACGGGTGACAATGTTTCTGAGCTTGAAGCCACTGAAACCAGTCGGGTGGTATGCGGATGGGTAAATCTGAAATAGTGTGACGATATCCTGACTCGGCAAAAGATACTCACGGCTCTGAGAGCAAGTACAAAATGACCCTTTCCTTATAAAAACTGTCAAGCAAGTTCGCATTATTTGGGTCCGTTCTGGTCCCAGGTATCCCCACTTTCCCGGGCACAGCAGCAAAGTTTTCGGGCACGTGCAACTTCTCCGGGATTTGTAACAAGTCCAGGTCGTGCGCACTGCGCAGTTGCGTCGACTTTTGTCTCCTAGACTTCTTCCGCTCCCTTCCGAACAATGACGATCTGAGCAAAAAAAACAAAACAAAAACCCATTACAAACATTTTCAGCAAAAACAAAACCACTTCAGATTTCGTCTCAATTGCCTTCTCCATTCACACGTCTGACAAAATGAAAAATTTATTTGTTTTGCGCTACAATTGCCTATGGTGCATCTTTCGGGAGAAAAGTGAAGCAAATCTGACATTGGCTAAAAATCGAGAAAAACACGTAGGAGTAATATTGAAATTTGACACTTTTTCCACATTTTCTCCCTCCCCGTTTCTTCACTTTATTCATCTTTAGAAGTTTATTCATTTTTGTGTTGACAAACAAATAGTTCTCGAGCAAATATAATCTACTTACGCAATCTAATCACTTTCTAATCTTTGACTATCATGCGTAAATTCTTGGAATTGATGGAATGCTTTTGGGTACAAATCTGACATGATTCGATTTGGATTTGAGTCACATGTGGTCAAATGTCCATAGTTAGGCCACGGACGGGAGAAAGTTGGCCCAATGCCAGAGGAAAGTGTGCTCATCAATTGTGATAATAATGAGTGGTGTCTCTCTCTATCCCTTTCTCTTTTTTTTTATTTCATTTCATTATTAAATTTCCACTCATTTACACCCTGCTGCTCATCAGAGTTCTCCTCTCTCTCTCTCTCCCCTACGAGACAATTGGCTCGTTTTCTGCTCATTTTCTCACTTTATGTTGCACAAATTCAACCAATTTGATGGGCTTTCTGCCGAGAGAGAGAGAGAGAGAGAGAGAGAGAGAGAGCAAATCACACTCTTTTTCATGATTTGTAGAACTTTAGGTCATAGATCGGTACTGTGTGCATCGCTCTTGACCCAAATCATTTCGATATTGCTAACCCGCACTCTCCAGATTCTGTTGCCAAGGTAATGGACTCTCAAGGTCACCCAGGGCTGGGCAATTGGCCGGCCCGGGCTTTTTGTTGGCCGACCATTGACCTGGACATTTGAACCACTTGCAATATTCCGATCGGACCCAAACTTTGCAGGATTGTTGGACTTGGATTGAGGGCCATTGGGACCAAGTTTCAGCCCGATCGGATCGTCGGGTCCCGAGATATGTGGATCATTGGCCGATTTTTTCCAAAAAGCCCGGGCTTCCGGCCAATTTCGGCCAATGATCCACATATCTCGGGACCAGATGATCCGATCGGGCAGTTTGGGTCCGATCGGAATATTGCAAGTGGTTCAAATGTCCAGGTCAATGGTCGGCCAACAAAAAGCCCGGGCCGGCCAATTGCCCAGCCCTGAGGTCACCCATCCTTTCCTCAACCTTTGGTGTCAGTCGGGGAACGTGTTACCCCGAATCCTAGAGGAAGAAGATAGAGGTCAACGTGGCAACGGCTCGGTTTCTTACCGGCAGTTCCTAGTTCTACTCGCTTGGACGCACAAATCTTCTTCTTCGAGATAGTGGATTCTAAGTCGCAATGATCATTGGTATCCGTCTAAACACAGTGAAAGGATCTGGTTGTCCACCCGACAGCGGCTTTGGCAACAGACTCCCTCACTAGCCCTCCTCATTCCGTCTTCCTTGTGAAGTCAGCTTATTTCTGTGACCATTTCCCAGTCGCCGAGAGCATCCTCAAAATTCTTAACCGAAAAACACATAATTTCATTACATCGCTCTTCATTTTTCTGAAGAAGCTATAGTAAATGATAGCCACGACTATTGTCCATAAGCCCAGCGGACACTCATTCCGCCGGCTTGACAGATCGTTAAAAAAACGATTAAAACTTTCGCGGACAGCTCGCCTCACATCTGTTTGAGAACTTTGAGAACTACAATCATTATCAAGTTGCGAGATGCGTCTGACAAAATCCATAATTCTTTGGTGTCACTGCGTCAAATTCACGCACAATTTCCCGTTGACTCTCTGATCGATGTAAATGTACGAAAAAGGGCACTTTGTGTTTTCACACCAAACATCGTTTCTTTATTCGTAAAAAGAACAAGTTAAGTCTGAAATTTTAATCCTAAATGAAACAGAAGAAGAGGTGGTCGTAAAATGGATGGCATCTTGGCGCCCTCATCCTCTTCCGCACATATCCATTTCCATCTTGAATGCCTGCCGCATCTCGAAAATTCTTCCACACATTCAGCTCCCCAACTTTGCCGAAAATAGTTTCTTAAGACACTGCAGAGACAAATTAAAGGTAACAAAAGGCATTTTTGCTAGGGGTGGGTTCGAACCCGGACCTTCAGATTACCAGCCGAGCACTTTAGCAAGAAACACCAAAAATGGCGCGTTCGTCGATTCCTTCCGTGTCCTTTGTTTGATGCGTTAGTGGGGGGAAAGAAAATGAGGACAAACGCAGGCAATGAATGTGTTTTCCCATTCGTTTTTGCGCATTTCTGATATGTTTGTTTGCGTCTTCTCGTCATTCTTCCGGCGTCTCATTTTATGATACATTTGCTCTCGCTCGTCTGATTTTTATTGCGGCGGCTCCGAGAAGACATGGACCACATTCCCACCTGCTTCTGTTCTTTGCCTTTTTCTGTGTGTGTGTGTGTGACCAGTCGGACTACTGGAAATGACAAAAACTAGCAAAAAAAAGGGTAAGAAAGATGTTTGATGTTGATAGTGAGAGTGGAAACAAACTTGCCGGACCCCCTTCCTCATCAATTGAGTTTCTTTGTGCAAACGTTTCTTTTTTTTCATTTTTTTTTCAAATCAAACCCAACTGACCAGTGTCCAGTAGAGTGTCGTAGCGACGAGACTTGAAATGCTCGCTTTCGTTTCAGTTTCTCGCATCTTCGCACTGCTTGATGCTCGCAGCATTAACGTGACCTCACGTTTCGCTATTTTCCACCTTTTTCTACTCAAATTCTTCGCGAATAAGGGAAAGTAGGCATTTGTTTTGGCATAATTCACGTCTTCAGTCGTCTTCCCAAACTATTTAAAACTGTTTTGTGTACTCTTGGGGCCGAACCGATGGATTTCCACGTCCTGGACATGTTTTCCTTCCTTCCAAACATAAACTTTCCGGTTTTTGAAGGACCAGGGAACCATTTCAATCTTCTGGATTTGATAGCTGTCTCGACAGTTTCTCTATTGTCCAGAGAAGATTCTCGGTCCGTGGGCCGTGCGGAAACGCATAGTTGTCACTGGTCTTGCCAAACCGTGAGAAAGTGCTAAAGTATCTGGGCAATCGAGGAACTTTAACGAATTAAAGCAACGAGACCAGCGGTCAGAGGTACTTCCCCAATCAGATTCTCGATTTTTAACAACTTTTTTTCTGAATTCCTCCTGCTACGTCATTCGAATACCCAATTTATGTGTGTGTGTGTGTGTGTCTGCAGTACAAGAATAGACGATGCATAAAAACGGCAAAAAGTTGCTCGGCGTGAGCCGAAAAGAATGAATGAAACGGCGGGAGCGGGCACAAACTTAATTGAGTAAGCACTTGTCCGGCAACCGACCGCCTCGCTATTATTGTTCAACTTTTTCCAGAAAAAAAAATATTGTTCTTCCATTTCTCAAAGATCAAAAGTTGAAACGTTTCGCAACTTTTCCTCATCCACTCTAATGCGTTTTCTGATTAGATTTTGCGGTTGGCATGCAATTTTTCCACTAAAAATTTTTTGTTTTAGATTCATTTTTTCGTGTCTTATACTGACACATTTCAAAAAAAAAAAAGGGGAAAAGTTCACTTTTCGGGGTCCGTTTCAAATCGAATTTTCGTGAAAACGAGGAAGCGACTCGAGATCGAAAAAATTGAATTTCCGGTCAAGAAGACCCCCAGAATAAAAGGGAAAACACTTTATTTCTAATATTCTGGCCATAAAATGCCTTGGTTCATGCACTATTCCGATTATTTTTCCCATCTCAGCGCCTATTTACTCGCTTTCTATTTTTCAGATGCGAATGTTCTCCCGTCATTTTCTATTTTATATGCACCTATTCTCACACTAGTATAATATTTTTGGGCTTGTCGGAACTCCTCAAGTGTGTGAATTTGGAAGATTCCTTCACTTTTTGTGTCGAAAAATTCGTAGACTTCTCTCAACGAAGTTGTACTGTCGGCAATCAAACGGACACCACCTTTGCAAAAAGTAAAATAATTTTCGAAGCTCGCAATCGTGTTATTGAATCGAATTTATTAACTTTGTCAATAGTTTGAACTCTCTCACGCACCAATTCGTCTCTTGTGTTTGTACCGCACTCACTTTTCAAAACTCTTTGCAGGTATGCGAGTGCGCGCCTCATCCTACTGTCAAATGGATGATCGAGTACCGTTTCTGACGCCACACGTCAGCCATTCGCAGAGCAGACTGTCGGCAGAGATCGAGGGCGCAGTTAGTGGTGAGTTTTTGGGTATCTAAACGCAAAACAAGCACGTAAAATTGACGTGTCAGTGCTCAAAATCCAAAGTACATTACATAGTCTGAGAGTGCACGTCTAGAGAGGGACCGATCAAAGTGCATGCCTGGCGTTTTTCGAAATGAGGTGTTGCGGGCAAAAAAGTTAGAAGACGTCGCTCGCCGTGGGATCTTTATTGTGACCTTTTGGATCTTTGTGAAATGCGTACTAATTCTTTATTCTTCTTCTTCTTCTTCTTCTTCAGCCATCCCACCCACTCTCACTCGTGCTTTTTCCATTTTATCCAGACTTTATAAAAAAACATTCAAAAAAAAAGAAACGATTTCCAAAACATCTCTATGCTCCAGAAACTTTGAGAATCTTTGAGATAAGCCACTTTTGGAGCATAGAGAAGTGCGAGAGAGCAACTATATTTTTCATCCTCCGCCTCATTACTTTCTCAACACTTTTTTGCGATCAAAACACAAAAAATACGCATTGCATTCTGCACATTCTTTCGAAAATCATCATCCTCAATTCGAGATCAGCTCTATTTTTTTTTGATGCATTTTTCACTTCTTCCATCAACATGTACAAATCTTTCTTTTTTTTCTTTTTTAAACCTACTAATTCCATTTTCAAAAGACCCCCCCCCCTCTCTCTTTTCCGTGTTTGGTGGAGGGAGTAATCACCTGATATCTCACTGCTTTTCGATAATATGTACCCGAGCACTGATGCTTCAATAACAAGAGCATTTTCCACTTTTTCTCTCTCTCTCTCTCTCTCTCTCTCTTCTGACTTTTCTCGAAATTTCTAGGGCACATTATATTGAAATTTCCCCTCTCATTTCCCCTATTTGTGTCTTCTTTGCGAGAGTGCAGCGAGAAGAGGAAGAAAGTGTTCGGCCCGTGTCCCGTGAAGTGTCGGCTTCGTGAAGATTTTGGTCCATTTCTATTCGTAGCGGTTGCGAATCGTTCGGTTGCAAAATGACTACGTGAGAGTTGCGAAAATGGCGGCGAGAGCACAAAAAACACATTCGCGAAGAGAACGAGTAGGATGAATCTGCATTTCTTCGGCAAAATTCTAAAAACGTGGCCTAGCTTTCTCGTGTTTTCAGTTTCTCGATTCAACCAAAAGGAGTACATTGAGACATGTTTGTCTAACACAAAAATACTCTAAATTGCAGGAAAAGAACGAGATTTGCATTCTCACATTCATCACCATTTCCCGAAATGCGTCTGTGATCGAAACCCGGACAAAAATTGCCAAAATACGAAACATTTGTCTCTTGAAAATGTGTCCAACTCTTTGCTGAAACCCAATAGCTTCCCATTTCCCATCTGCGTGCCGTCGTCCCATTTTATTATAACTATAATAGAAGTGTATTGTGTCGCGCTCTATGCTGACACTTTGCCACGTCATCACTAAATTCTCGGACATGTGGTTGAAAGTGACGAAAACTGTTTTATGGGTTTTTCCGCGAAAAAAACCCGAAATTCTTCTCGAGACAAAGTGTTAGAAATGTATGAGAAAAAGCCGATTCCCATACATTTTTTGTAGTTTTGCGCTCGCCAAAAAAAACCAATTTTCCAGGCCCGCCCGTTCTGACTTTATCATTCTCGGGATTTCGGTGTGAGTCACAAGTGCACCTGAAAATAGATTCATTTTTTTCGTCGACCTCGCCAGACCAATTTCCGGTGGTTTTACTCGAAAATTGAATGATTTCCAATTTCCTGTGAAACTAGTGTTTCGAGAAAGATATAGACATGTTATTCACCCCAAAAAAAGTCCCCGAAAAGTTGATCAACACTCTCACACACAAGCATGATGTAAAGTTGTCGGAGATATGAAAAAAAAGCCGCATCCCGATATTATATATCCACGAAGGAGGCCTATAAAATGGTGTCATAATCCCGCAGATCTCTTTCTTTATTCCTCTTTTCTATCCGTTTCCGTATATCACTCTTCTTTTTAGTGCTGAAATTGTTTTCAGAGCAAATTTGATTTGAACTAGTAGTATAGAATTGTCGACAAAACAAAACAAGAAAAGGAAAACCAATTATCCAATCACATTTTGCTCTGTTCCTTTTCTTCTCGTTCAAACGCTTCCCATCCTCACTCAAACATGTACTCGCCGTTTTCGATATTCCACTTCAAACCACGTGATCCGTACCGCTACCAACCGCTTCTCACGCATAGCTCCTCGATGGCGCCGGCTCCTCCGCGTGCCCATCCGATTCCACGCATCACAAAGTGCTCTTCCGACGGAGCGGCGCCACGTCGGCTCTCGACGGACCGGCCGTTGCTGCAGATGTCCATGTCGCACGAGACACGTCGCAAACGGAGCCGACTCATCCGCACGCGGTGTGTCCAATCGGACAGTAAGAAGAGCTATGGTACGGAAGAGAGAATTTGTAGGAATACAAGCCACGAGAATTGCTGCGTAACGCAAAAAAGGCTTGCTGCGAGCGTATGTCTACTCACTCGGCCGGGTTCCGTAAAACTCCGAATTTCTATAAGAGTTTTGCTGAAATATGTTCCCTCACTCTATATTAGTACGCTCTCAATTTTTTTTTCGAAAGTTTTCGGTATATCGCGAGCTGCACCGCTCCAAAGTTGCCCTGTTTTTCTCGCGGTTCTCTGCTATTTTTGGCGACAGCGAAATACAGTGAGATTTTGGAGTTTCAGCTCGATTTTCCCCGTCTTTCGATGATTTTTTGTGTTTAACCGGTAATTTGAGATGGAAATAAGTTTTAGATGTTATTTATTGTGCTAACATGTTGCTTGTGTTGCTTCTTTTCAGAAAAACTGTCAACGAAACAAGAAAAATTCGGGCAATAGACAAATTAGAGGAATAAAGAGCTCGAAGCACCGTGAAAAATCGATTCGTTTCAAAAGATATTGAACATTGAAAACAAAATTGAGCTGTTTTGAAAAAAAAAGATGTTGAAATGAAAAATATGGAATGCCCCACGGTCTCCCAAGGCGCTAATGCTAAACACAGTGCGCTCGTAAATTGCGGAGTGTCGTTGCAACTTTTGAAAATTTGCAGGTCTAAAAATGCAGTTCAATTCGAGTTTACGACCTTCATTTCTTTCTTTTGAAAAACGCTTCTTGAAAAACGTCTAGAAAACAATATTTTACTTATTGGAAACCGTTCTTTACAGAATTTAGAGTTTTTCATGTTCCTAGCGTCTTTTTCGCATTTCGTCAAAACTTCAAACCTTTATATTTCAGCTCATTTTGCATTTCATGAGCCCAACGAACGATAAAAAAGTTCGCTGAATCTTTCTTCACAAAATTCAGGTTCCTGCGGTTAGTTTTTTTGAGCAGTTTTCGAAAAATATTCGAAAAACATTAAAATCCAGGCCAAAACCTTCAAATCGAAATAACTTTGCTAATTCTCAACGATATGTGAGATTTCTGTTACCAAAACGTAGCTAGTGCTCTAATTATTCGAATCCAAGGTACCAGGCGCACAAAAAATAGGTGTATTGTATAGAAAACATGGAAAAAACGCGAACTCCCGCTGAAAATTAATTAATCGGCCGCCGCGTAAATCGACACAGTCCGCCTGTTGCAAGTGCGCCCCATTGAAATCATTCGCGCCGTGGGAGACCGTGCATTGGAATAAAGTCTCTGAAACCTTCTTGTTCATTGAAACATTTGAAAGACTCATTTAAGCATATATTTTCAAAATAATAATGATGCCAATGGGGTTCAACGGGATTCGATTATCTGAAAGTCTGGGCTTTTAGGAAAAAGTTCATAAAAATTGTTTTTCAGGTAACACCTTGTCCAGCTCACTATCGACAATTCCGATAACCGGACAGCATTCCGCCACTCCAACGTGAGTTTCTTGCACTTTTTTGCCACGTCACAAAGGTCATCATTGTTTAGTCCGGCTCCAAACCGAGTGCTCGTCAAAGGACACACCGTCTCGACGTGCTCTCCGCGTTTTGGGTGAGTAATTTTTCAACAAAATGCTTGTTCTCACCCAACTGGTGGTGAGACCCTGAAATCAATGTTTGTCACATGAAATTCAATTTTCGGTGTCTCGGCATTGCTTATCGAATAATTTTTCCGGGGCTCGCGCACGCAGCAGGTGGAAACTAGAAAATAATTTCTACTTCTTCTTTCTCCGAGAAATACGGGTCGAATTGGCTCAATTTACATGCTAATCACATTCATTTTTCCTATTGATCTTTTCTTTCTCTCTCTCTCTCTCTATCTCATTTTCAGTGTCCTTTTGTTCTTCGGACTATTGTAGGGCTAGGCAAACTTCGGCCCAGGCTTTTCAAAGTCTTTTTGAGGTCTGGACTTTTGGCCCACTTGTCGTCATCCGATCGGGCCTACAAGTGCAAGTGGGTCGAAAGTCCAGGCCTCGGCAGGACGTCAAAAAGCCTAGGCCGGCCTTTTGCTCAGCCCTGGACTATTGCAAATTTCTCAAATGACTCCTATGAATCACTCACTTTCAGTCTATTCTTGCCCATGCTTTCTGTAATCCGGTACAGAAAAAACAATCCAGAGAGTGCCTCCCGACCCCTATTTTCTTCCAGTTCCTCACGCAATCTCCATCAGGTGTCAAATTTCCCCCCTCTCGTCATTTATTTATATCCATTCTGAAGCTTTTACCGTCTCACAGAGCCCAGTGAGCTACGAGCTCTTTTCAAATTTCAACGGTACCAATAGTTACCCCCACGGCATTGATACCAAAAATGGATATCGGGTCCGGCTCCGTGGTCCCTGTCCTAGCGACTGAGGCTCACCACCATTCGACTCCTCAAAAACCTTTTTTATGCTCCAAAAAGCCGCCATTTCCACCCATCATTCCCCGCTTTTCCCATCTCTTTTCCTTTTTTATGGTGTGTGTGTGTTCAAGAGGGCTCTTTTGCACATTTTTCCCGAAAATTGCCACATTTGCCTTTTGTTTCATAAAAGAAAACGAAAGAAACGGCTCATTTTCGTGATCACAAAACCGTGAGATTATGTCAAAAGTCACGTTGCTTGGTGGTTCTCTCATCAGATTTCCAGTACTTTTATCGCAAATCACATAAAAACATCTAGACACATTCCCTCTTCTCTCTCTCTCTCTCTCTTTCTTCTCACATTTTCGTGCGCCCAAGTAATGTATTCGCCATCATCATTATCCCTTTCTCATATTCGGCCGTCGTCGACTTGTCGTGAATATTCTGCAGATGCCGTGGGCGTCTTCGTCGGACGTGTCCTCCGAGGACGCGTTCCCGATGCGTCTGCTTCCCGAATTACCGCGCGCCGGCGCGTTTCAACGCAGATCGCCGAGAATGCCAAAGTACTCGGACACGATTCTTCACACGTACTCGTGTCGGAAATTGTAAGCGCAAACTGGGTGCCAAACATGTTTTCGTTCTATATATTTGGGTTTGGTCGAGAATTTTAATGATCAGAAACATGTTTTGCGGCAAGAAAACTGTTCTCAAACATGTTTTTGTTTCAAAAGTTACAGTTACATCACTGTTCAGTCAAAAGTTGACACAAAACATGTTTGGAAAGAGAAAAGCTGTTGTAAAACATGTTTTCGACCAAGAACATATTATACTTGTAAAAAAGTTCTTTAAAATGAGTACGTGGGAATTCACAAAACCCAAATCATTTGTCTCTAATTCAAAACATATGTATTTCTCAACTTTAGCTCATCAAAAATCGTCTGAAAATAGTGTACTCGTCGATGCTTCCGATCCTTCCGATCAAGCCCCGCCCCTATTCTCATTTCCCCCGACACAATCCAATTTCCGTGTCAGACGATTATTATTATTATACATATACATACATACATACACTTTTGATCACATCACTCGCTTCTGAAAAGGGGGCAGGGCTTGTGAAGCGAGCGCAAATATTTCGGCGACTAGACAAGAAAAAAACTCAATTCTCGGATATATTCCATCTTCTGAATACATATATTATTTCTTCTGTTGTTGGTCGAAATGGGATTTCTGTCAAAACAACGAAAAGCGACGTCGAGATCGTTTCGGATCCGGCAGAAACTGCCGAACCAGCAGTCGGCTCGGTTTCGGTGAGAACGGACGTTTCGCAACTGGAAAATGTGGTCCTAAAATGAACAAAAGATCAATCCCCGGCTCAGCCACAACCTTTATGCTCAATTCTTTCAGGTCCACCTCAATTCCGGCGCCGTTGGATCGTCGTCAGGGCAGAAGTTGTGAATTCCATACTTCGGACGACGATCGTCACGATCGATTCGATAATCCGATTGCGCAGGTGAGTTCTGAACGCCACTTGGTTCTTGGGCCCAGTTTTTGAGCCCGTATTGTGGCGCGGGCCGAATATACATAGAATGCGTTTTTTGCCGCCTTACCGGCCCGCTTTGAACTTTGATTTCAAAGCGAGTTTTCAGCCGGCCCTTTGCAAGTATGCTAACAATTCCTAATATCAAAAAGTGCAGTGTGGGCATTGATAAACGCCCACGTCGCTTGGGAAAAGGTGCATTCCGGCCAGTGGAGTTGTGTTCCATCCATGGGCAGTGAACATCCATTGGCTGTGTCTTATCTTGTTTCCTGTCTTCCTCGATTTCTTTGACTTTTACGACTTTATGGCATTTCCTGAGATCCCTAACGAAACGACCGTCCTGCTGATCTCGCGCGCCTCCGCGAAGAGGCCTTTTGATCTTCCGTCCCCGTCCGACAGCAGTTGAATCGAGTCCAATCCCTCTAACATCTCCACTCGTCTTTTTGCTCAATTCCTAAAATGCGGCCTGATACTAGCACTGAAATAATCGTCCGTTCGACGTCCATTGCTCACTCGCTTGCTCACAGGGCTGGGCAATTGACCGGCACGGGCTTTTCGTTGGCCGGCCCTTGACCTGGACTTTTGAACCACTTGCAATATTCCGATCAGAACCAAACTTTGCAGGATTGTTGGACTTGGATTGAGGGCCATTGGGTCCAAGTTTCAGCCCGATCGGATCATCGGGTCCCGAGAAATGTGGATCATTGGCCGATTTTTTCCAAAAAGCCCGGGCTTCCGGCCAATTTCGGCCAATGATCCACATTTCTCGGGACCAAATAATCCGATCGGGCTGAAACTTGGTTCCAATATGCTTCAACCCATGTCCAAGAAGCCGATCGGAATATGCAAGTGGTTCAAAAGTCCAGGTCAAGGACCGGCCAACGAAAAGCCCGTACCGGCCAATTGCCCAGCCCTGGTTGCTCACTATTTACGGAAAATACCGGCGACACTAAAATGGTCAGGCTCAGACACAGAAAAAAGATGGGTTAAGACTCATTTCTTCTCGATTTTCTCATTAGACAAAGTGTATTTATTTGTGTCCCTCATCCGTCCCCGACCGCATCAATTTTTCATTTGCCCTTTCTCTCTCTCTCTCTCTCTCTCTTTGGCTCTCCGCGATTTTTGCACAATTTCATGGCTCGACGAGCACACATTGATTCTGGAAAAAACGAAGAAGAAGAAGAATTTCGGCTATTCTTCATCATTTGTGAAGCAATTGCAATTAGTGCGTGCGCGACGAGAAAAACGGCCGAGAAATAGGAGATTCTGGACTCGAATTGAACCAATTTCCGTGAATTCCTTCTTCCTCTCTCTCTCTCTCTCTTTCGCTCTCCTATATTTGCTCCCGTTTCTTTTATAGAAATCTTGATTTCGATGTTTCCAGCTCTGACCTAAAACAGTTAACTTTTTTCCCGTCTCTTTCTCTCTCCGTTCTTCTTCTTCTTCCCTTTTTGCTTTCCACAAAGTTCGCCTGAAAAAAAGTGTGAAAATATGATTTCCGCATTCAAATTTACTTTTTCTTCGTCTTTTTCTCCTTCTTCTTCTTCTTCTTCTTCTTCTTCTTCTTCTTCTTCTCCGTTGTCGTCGTCGCCTTCAGAATCCCCTCCTCGGCTACTACATATTCCGACCAGAAAATGGACGATTCTCCGTTGAATCGACGAAAAACCGAACCGAAACGGTTGGCGCCGGTCGTCGCAACTAAAAACGGCTCGTTGTCCGCGAAATCGGGCTGTCCGATGCACCATAGTGAGGAGGGCGGCGGAAGAGATCGCGCGTTTTCAATGTATTCGGTGAGATTCGGGGTCAGAACGATAGAGGGACATTTCAAAAGACATTTACCCTAGGTTGGGTTCGAACCCTGGTCGTCAGATTATCGGCTGGCTGCCCTCTCGCCTGAAATTGGCCAGTCTATCCCCAACCTTCACAACATGATTTCCATTACAAACCGCCCTAGATTTCAATTTCCGACATCATCGGCCGCAGCAACCCGAGCCATGTGGGAATGCTATGTCTGGGCTCAGCAAAATGATCAAAATGCATGCGAGAAAAAGTAGATAAGAGCGCTCAAAACGGATCAGAAACGGGCGCCACCGCCGACAAATGTGAAAAAGAAATGTAGGCAATTTTCCAATTTGCAGGTATCCTCGGACATTTTGCGTGTCTCCGGCTACACTCAACAGTTCCGCAGCCTTCTGACCGCCCGTTTCTCGCCGAGAAGGGAGTCCGTTCCGAATGTGAACATCGAGGCCGGCGAGGACGAGAACAAGAACGGTTAGTTTTCAACCATATTTTCAAGAAATCTGCTCAAAGGAGGCCTGTCACTAAAAAAATGAGTGGGTGTGTGAGATAGGAATACCATCGAATCGAGTGTGCAACGTTAGACAAGAGTCCAGTACATTATTTTTCTCAAAAATCACACCGAATTTGAGACCTCAACGTACTTGTATGTGTTCCAGTAGTTACCGTTTAAAAAGATGCTCATAACTCGAAAATAACAGAAAGTGGTCAGCTGATGATTTACAACAACTCTTCAGTATTCCAAAAAACAAACGGTTTTTGAGCGGATGCGGGTCGCAGAAGTTTGAGTACGTTGAGGCCTTAAATCTGGCCCTAAAGGTGATTTTCATGAAAAATGGTGTACTCTCTCTCTCTTTTCCAAATGATATTTCGATCTTTTCGTGCCGAATGACATGCCATTCCATCCCGTTTATCTCCGATGTATCTATCATTTTTTGTGCGTGCTCTTTGCGCCGGAACGACTACGTAGACACATGAAATCCGTGCCTCGGAAGCTAATCCGGAAGAAGGAGATTCGAAAAGATTACCGTTGTGACGGGGGAAAACCGATAATATTTGCTTTATTTTTTGCGATGAAAAGAGCATTGATTGTGTCTGAAAATCTGAAAAGTTCAGTAAAATATTTCTTTCCAGTAAAATACTCGAACCTTCTAATCTCCCGTTTGTCATTCATTCGCGCTCTTTGAAAAAAGTCAGGTGATTTTACCGCACTCGCCGTATGACGTTTCCTATAAAATGCAATCAATGACATCATAAAAAGGATACGTCTTCATTTCGTCCATAATCCCAGTGACCTGAATTCCCTAAAAATCCCGGAAAATGCATAGAAATTCTGTAAGAGAATCCCGAAAGCGCACAGAAAACTAATCCCGTTTTGGTCGCGGGCGGCGGCGGCTGCTACTCGGGGCTCCGTGAGCCGAAGTCAATAATCTGTGCCTACTGATAAGATTATTTTCCGGACACTTGATTATGACTATTGTCCGTCTCTCTCTCTCTCTCTCCCCGGCGGTGATATGGATTAGAAATGGATAATATCAGCGGCGGCCCCCGCGCCAAAAAAAAGCCCGTGTTGGAGGAGCGCGCGATTAGACGGAAAAGTTGGCCGGCTTTTTCTCTCTAAAAATGGGCGGAGTTTCAGGAAGGAAAAGAAGGAGAAAGAGAGAGAGAGAGAGAGAGAGAGGGGAAGAGGTGATATTCGAGAAGAAAAAGGGAAGAGCACTCACTTGTGCTCACACACACACACGCGACCGGAGCAGCTCCACTACCACCACCACTTATATACTTAAGCCCCTCAACACTCGTTCACTCTTCCAGGACCTTATTGTCATCTTAAACTTGGCCACGAGAAAACCAAAACTGAAATTGTCACTTTTATGTATTGAAACATGTCTTAAATCGCTGTAGAAACTTTGCAAACAACTTTTGTCACCTGGCGGATTCGAACCCTGGCTGTTCTTTCAACCCTACAAACTTCGTTCCGGTTCAATTTTCCATCCTGAATCCGATTTCCGCACTCGAATCGCTCTAAACTTGTTCGATTTTTCCGAAAAACCCGAATTTTAGGCCCAACGTTTAACAATTATTCCGCCCCAACTATCATCATCATCATATCATCAACATGCTCCGGCCGAAGAGCATCCAATGAGCCAGAAAAAGGCGAGCGTTCGTCGTCGAAGTGAGCTCACGAATGGAGCAGCCGCCAATACCTCCACCGCCACGATCTCATCCTCCGCCACCGCCCACGCGTCTCGAAAAATCTCGGTCAGCGCGGCGGCGGCGGCGGCACGTAGATCCACGTTGGCGCCCGGCTCCTCGGCTCTTTTGGCTCTTTCGCACTTTGACTCGCGTCGATTCTCGGCCATTGACGGCCCCGTCGGCTTGCGGAGGGGCAGCTCAAAGAAACGGGCGATACGGAGCGATCCCAAGCAGATCATACACATTTTCACGAATCCATGTAAGTTTTGTTGGTGTTTTAGGGTTAAAATGTATGAATTCGACCCCGGTTACGGTTACTGGGCCAATTTTCCGAAACCGCTCCAGAATCCCCTATACGGACAAGTTTTCCTTCTGAAATTCGACTGAAATTGCGCGAAAAACAAATATTTTGACGGAATAGCCTCACAAAAAGTGAAACCTGAAACGCCATCACCGCTCCGCTCCGTTCTTTTTCGACACTGACGCAGTAGACTGACGCACACTTCCATTTTTTATTTATTCCCCCCCCCCCAAGCACGTCGTTTTTTTTTATTGTAGACGAGAAAAAACGTTTTCCGAATCTTGAACACTCTCAAGAATTCCAGAAAATGGGCTCATTTTTGAGCGCTCGCGCACACATTCATTTCTCAGAAAATCACGGATATTGTTGTTGGGGAGGAGGAAAAGCAGAAAAACGGCGGGACGAAAAAATTGTCCAGACCCGAAATCGGTTTCCCCGGTATCACCTGCGTTTTGTGTCTGGAAAAGCGGAGAAAAATAAATGAGAAGTGGGGGCATTATCACCTTTTTGAGGGTAAATAATGCGCCTTTTTATCAATCGAAACATGGCAAAAGAAATGCCACCGGGACGGGATCGAACTCAGGTCGTCAGATTACCAGACCACTTTCCTTGACAATAGAGCCTCCAAAAGTAGACAAGCACAAATTTCTCACGTGTCTGTGCAAAAAAAAGTGAAAGCGGATGATGCCAACCCTTTTTTCCAGAACTTTTTTTTTCTTCGTGAAGCGTTCTAAGTGACACTGGGTTAATCCAGAGGATTATCGGGATGACGTACGCGGACGCGTTATTTTGGAGTGTTGTACTAGGATTAGGAGAAAAGAAAACAAATGTATATTGGGAGTTTCGAGGAAAAACTGAAAATTACGAACCCTGGCCTTCAGATAGACAAGCAAAGTCAATAGATCAGCTTCCAACGTTCAGAAAATGCGGGGTTTCCCAGAAAAATCAGTAGCCCGGGAAAAAAAGCGCGTATTTGCCTATTTGCCTATTCAATAATGAGCAACTTCCGCGTCATTACCTTCTAATTTTCGGCGGCGTTAAGTCGTGTGCAAAAGTCGATTCGAATCACGTACCCGCCCGCCGCCCGGCCTAATTGGGTTCGTTTTTGTGCGCCGCCGCCTTTTTTTTGCGAGTGTCTGAAGATAAACGATACACGGCGTCGGATCTCATTTATTTTCCAGGAGAGGGATTTTCTGAGAATTTGTCCCCCCCCCCCTTTTCGAATGAATTTGCCAGAGAATTAGGTTGGTTAGACTTTTCACACGTATTCAGAATACGGTATTCCTCTGTGTTTTCATCTTCATCGCATTCGTTTTCGATTTTGCAAAGTTTCATGTCTTGAAAAGATGTCTGAAATGCCTGTCAATGTTTTGCCACCAAGCGGATCCGGACCCTGCTTGTCAGATTACCAGCCGCCCACTCTAACACTTGACCACTTCTCTGAATTTGCGCCCCAACCACTCAATCTGACCTGTTTTCCATCCTGAATCTGTTTTCATCGCTCAAATCTTTCAAAAACACGCAGATTTTGAGAGAACTTTTGTATTTTCAACTTATTAACCTCAACGATGTCTTCAAAACGATGTATTTTCCACTAAAAACCGCTCAAATCTCTGATCCACTCAATTTTTAATCGATCACTTGCGGAGAAGGATTATATCTGTTTTGAGGATGAATAATTAAAAGTATCATCTTCTTGTTTTTCGCCGACAAACATCTGGCGCCACGTCATCAAATCTCCCCTTCCGGATTAAAGATTTTCCAGCGTGCTCGACATCAAATATCATTGATTTTTTTGCTCAAAAACCTAACGTACTCGGCGCTGGAAATTTGATTTCAGTGGTTGGAGAATTGAATTATACAATAGTTGTATAACCGATAATTTGATAACTGCTCGTGGGTGTGGGGGGTTTTCCAACGTTTGGTACTTGTTTGACACAAATGTTTCCGACACGTCATTCGGCCTTTCAACGATGAGCCTTTGCCTTAAAAAATGCATAAAATGTGAGCACTTGCTGCGGCCAGAGCACTAAAAATTGGACCTACCCGAATTTGAATTAGAATTAAATTTTCTATGCATTTTAAATTTGACTCCTTTTTTTAGGCACAGGTCTAGAATTTCTGATGGATGGCACGTTATAGGTTTTAGCAAAGAGGTTGACGAAAATCGGTTTGCACCCGAGTTGGAATCAAACCGTCGTCTTCACATTAGGCCTCTAATGCACTAGAACTGTGCTGTAGCACTGGTGATCCCGATTTCCGTCGCCTCGTGTTACTATTAACCTTACGAGAAAAACCGGACGTTCAACCCCCTGAATTCTTTCTTTTTTCCGACAACTCATGCTACTTTTTCAGGCACACTGTTCATGGGGTTTGTCGAAGTTTCACAGGAAGGCATCGGGGTACAAATGTTCATAGTGGGAATCCGTTTTTTGTCACCTGTGGGATGTTGAGTCGATTTCTAAAGAGACCGACCGGATTTCGTCACGGCGGCCGGTCACGGCCCTGTTTTTGACACCCTTGCTCCTATGACGGTTTGCCCGATGCTCCCAGTGAAACACCTCTGATTAAAAATGCCCCCATGAACACTATGCCTGAGAAAAATGAGTTGTCGGAGGAAGGGAAGGTGTTAGACTGTAAAAACGGTAAAGAAGGACACAGGAAAAAAATTTGAGATTTTTTGTGAGAAACTAACAATTGTTTTGGTATTTCAAGAATAATGGGCCTCCAAACTTTCAAATTTCAAAGACGTCATAAAAAATGACTAAAACAACACTAAAAGATAGATTGAATCTTTGGTCCACAGTGTAAAAATTACACTTTTTCTCGAGGCAAAAAAAAAACATTTGAAAATATGTACGTGGAAAGTTTCAATCGTTTCCTTCGTTTCCTTCCGGTCATCGTCCACAAATTAATCGCCGCGAATCGTGTCGGCGTCTCTCTCGATTCTCCGCACTCTCTCGCCCATTTACTATAATTAAAAACGGCTGCGGCTCCCCAGATACTCTTTCCTCTTCTTCTTCTTCTTTTTCTCTTTCTCTCTCTCTCTCCGTCAACGCTTCACGACTCCGCAGCTCACCAGCTCAGACTCCGCCCACTTTTCAGCTCATACACCCCGCGAGTTGTGTCGGCCACTATTTTTTTGGGCTTTCGCTCATTTCTAGGCGACCCGCGCGGCATGCTTTGTGACTTTTAGACTTGTCTGAAAATGCAAAAATTTCAACAAATCGTGTTCGGGCTCTGTTTCGATTCGGACGCCAAAATATTGATTGAAGAAGGTTTGCACACTTAAATTGTTGCTTTTCGAAATTTAGAAAACGCCATTAAACAGAACTGTGGCAGTGGCCTAGAAAACTCTGGTGTGGAAACTCTTCCCCTGCTCATAATATGACACCTGTGCACTTTGACAATATGTTAATTTGTGTGAATGCTAGGAGTTTTCTTGGCCACGGTCACAACACCCAGAACCCAAAAAGAAACGTTGTTCGAAAACCGATTCGAAAAATGTGTATAAATCTTGTGTTCGTGGACCCCCCAGAGACTATGAGTACATTAGAATTGTCCATGGATTCAAAGAACATTATTTGCTGTTTCGCGCCAACCTCTAGGGACCGCCTGCCCGCGAAAAATAGAAAATATTGACAAGTCCTCTTATTTTGGGTTGGAGTTTCCCGTATGGGTTCAAATTTCTCCAGTGTCCCGGCCATTTGGAGGATTAAAATGGGATGATAATAATAATAATAATAGTAAATATGGCCGGTTTTGCACACAAAACGGTGAAATATAATAGGAGCTTAGAAATGGGAGCATGCACGCGCACATGACTTTCAGGGGGAAAAGAGGAGGGCGAAAGAGTTCAGTGGGTTCGATTTTTGAGACGATTTTTGATTGCAGATGACCGCTACGCGAACGGCGCCGTCCGTTTCGACAATGACGTCATCGAAGAGGGTCCGACGACGGCATCTGGAGCCGGATCCACTGGCGGACTGACTCCGCGCAAAATGCCCGCGTTCCGGCGACGGCAGAGCGGCTACGGTATCGCAATTTCCAGGTGAGACCCTGATGATGATTTTTTCGACTACCTAGTTATGAACTAAAAGCACACATTTTTTCGGCCACGTCATCTCTTTTGCTCTTGCTTGTTTTCTAATAATTTCAGCTTCACCGAGCACATTCTTTCTCCTCGTTCTTCCTCATTTTACCCGTGTTCTGTCAAGACACGACAACCAAAACTTTCATTTAATTGTTGAAATTTGAAATTACGTCACACACACACACACACGCGCCAAAATGTTGAGGGAAAACAACACGTGCTCAATGACTTTTTCGAATAGATTCATAGACCGAATGAGGCAATTTTTGTCCAGAAATTTAAAATTTGTCTAGTTTCACTCCTTTTCTACTTCGCTGCCATCCAATCTTCATTCTTTCGAATCACCAGAATCCTGGTAGCTTATGAAAACAAATCATATCTTTTTGAGAAGCCTTCATGTTCGAGATGAATCTAGAATGATTCTCGACACCGTGAAGCTATTCCTGAGATTAAGAATGCTGTTAGGATACTTTAGCATGAAAACAGTGTGGTATCATCACTCATCTTTAGATAAAGACAGACTAACCCAATCTGATCATTGAAATAGTTCGTCTCTAGAGCGGCTCTTACTTTACCAGTTACTTTTCGATGTCATTCTACTTACAGTAAGTGAAGCGCCCAACTAAACAATGTATTTATCAAAGAGGACACACTTCCTGACTTGTATACACTCAAAGTTTCTAGAAAAAGAGGATTGTCTTCAAAAGTTATCATGATTCTTTGTAATGAAGATAGTAGGTCATTGCAGTAGAAAGAAGAGGAGTGAAAATATGCGAATTTGGCATTTCCCGATGTGTGGACTGTCTTACTTGCATTACTTCGATCCGTTCTTTTCACCCGGACACTAACACATACCAATGAAATAGTTGGTCTCAAGAGGTGCTGTAACTTTTCGAATGCCATTATACTCACAAGGATCGAATGCGTGCTCTTAACAGTGTAGTACTCGAAGTTTCTGGAAAAAAAAGTAATGTTTTGTCTTCATAAGTTGGCAAAACTCTTTGTGATACGAAAATGGAAGATTGGGAGTAACAAAACACAAAAATGTCCGTCAATTTTTGATCGCCTCCAACTCACTCACACATGGTCCTTGGGGTATCATAAAATGGTCCGGGACCTCCAGTTTCCTCCTCACCCGTTTTTTTTTATATATCCTTGGATTTTCACGATTCGAAGTGAAAAGTGATCAAATATATCCCGAAAAGCACCTGAAAAGCTTAGAAATGCATTCCGACCTTTCCGCTCCCGATTTCCGATTCGGCCGACGAAATTTGAGATTCATGAGACTTTTTTCAGTGTTTCTTATAGAATTTGTACTTTTCTTCTTTGCAAATGTCTTCAAAAATCGATTCAAATTCAGCTGTCATCAGGAATCAAAGATTAGCCTTGTTTTCCAGCTTATTTTGATTGAATTCTTCTTCTCAGAATTCGTCCCGGGTATTTTTTTTGGAAAAGTAGAGCAAAAAAGGTGTTCCCCCCTCGAAGAAAGCTAATAATACTATTAGTTACAAGTCGTCCACACGAAAAATTGTGCTTCCCTCACTTTTCGGCTCCAAAAAAGAGCTGTCGGCTTGGAAAACGCAGGAAAACAGGCTCCGCCCCTTTTCTTGCTCACCGAGAGCACCACAACACCCGCAGCAGCGACTTACCTTGTTGTGAGAGTGTGAGCTTCTCGCAGACAAAATGCCGGAAAATCGAGTTGCTCACACGTTTACACACCGTATTCCTAGCGTCGTCATGCCGTGGTTTTGTCTGAAAAAGGATTTGCGCAAAATACTGTATGTTCACTCGCTTTTCGCGCTTATTTGTTTCTCAGAACCGTTTGAAAGTTCCCGAAAAAACTCTTCTGAATTTGATAATCTGATTAGAGAAGTATGTACCCTCGATAGCTGTCTCGTGAAAGAGTAGAGAGAGTTCGATAGCTCAAATTCTTAATAAATTCATTCATTTCGTTGATGCTCGTTCGCAATCAATCAGGACGTACATTTGAGAAAATGCCTGCCATTTTAGCCCCAAGCTTGGCCAGTCCTGAGTTGAAACATGTCGAGCCGGGTCATTGAACACTTTCTCACGGCTTGCCTGACAACTATGCTTTTCCGCGGACCGAGAATCTTCTCTGGACAATAGAGGTATGTAGTTCCCTAATCAGATTATCAAATCCAGAAGACTGAAGTGACACACAGTATTCCGATCGAATAATGCGTCAAACAGTCATCTAAACACGTTTCCCTTTTGCCTCAAAAATTGAACTACGTGAGGTCACGTGAATGTTTCGTGGGCGGGACGGGAACGGGACATATGTATATGCAATCGGTTTTCCATAAAAATCCAATCAACTTTGTGTGTGACCTGAGCCGATCAGGTGTTTGAGCCGACAAATTTTTAACAAGATATCTTTCACACACCTTTGTGCATTGGCGCACGTCGTCAACGCACTCGTGATAACAAGATAAGAAAATGGGATTTGTTGGGGGCTGAATGGGGAAAAAGAGGAAGAAGGAGAGGAAATAATCGGTTACGTCAAAGGCCGAATAATGTATTCGTTCTCTCAGGTGGTGTATACATTCTAATGAGACTTCCCTCCTTGACCCAATCACCCTGCTAATCTCTCTGAATCCTCCCCCGTTTCGCCCGCTATTTCCATGACTCTGCGCGTAATTGAATCCCTCATCTTTCCCTTGCTTTTCGCCCCGTTTTCTCGCAAGTGCTCTTTGCCTTTCTGAACAAAAAAAAAACGGCGCAAAGAGAAAAGGAACAAATTGTCAGGGGCGCGAGAAAAAAGTTAGAAGACAATTGTATCAGCCCACCGATTCTGACACTTTTTCTCGAAAGCGACACGTACGTCTCCTCGGCTGACGTCTTCTGGAGAAATGTATTCGGAAGAAGTGCTAATCGAAAATGAATTTTTCTATCCTCACGAGTGGCGGTAATTTTTTTGTAGCATGTCGAGAAAATGGCACCATTCGATTCGGCGCTGAAAAAAGGCAGGCGTCAGTTGTAATAGACGTATCTCGTGACCAGATGATCCGATCGGTCTGAAACTTTGTCCGAATGGTCCTCAATCCAAGTCCAAAAAGCCTGCAAAGTTTGGTCCCGATCAGATCATTGCAAGTGGGGTGTCAAGCTCCCTCAAAAAGCAGGGCCGCTCTCTGACACATACATACTTGATCCCTAGACTTTGGATATTGTCGACTAGAAAGAAAGGTGTCTCATGAATTCTGATTCGCTACATACATTCCGTGCCGTCACTTCTCAATTTCTCTCATTACAAACCATGAAATTGTACCCCGTTTTTCTCGGCCAAAACGCTACATTTCTCGTTTCGCCAAAAAAAAATATGGAAAAACCAAAAAAATCATGTTTTGTCTGACTGCCTCTAGTGGGCGTGGCCTTGCAGGAAAAGCCAGGCGAAAAAAAAAACAGAAACGATTTGATTGAAAACGCGACATCTGGTCATTTCGGACAAAAAGTGGTGTGGGCTCGATGAACTTTTGAAACCGATATTATCCGTCCATCTGCTATTACATATTGTCCAGAAAAAAAATGAGAATTTTCACTCGAAAAACGATTGTCGATACGATCTTTTTCTTTTTCGAGTAAGCTTTCATTAAATTCTATAGTTTTCTTCCTCATTTTCAGTGACAGCACTGCAAAAATGCGATGCCGCCTTCGAAAGCAGCTCTTCATTCGGAGAAATAAGGTAAATGTTTTTTTTTTGTCACACCAAACTTCATTCCATTTTCTTGACGTAAATAAAATTAGTTGCACCTGTCTTTGCGACGCCTACGTCTTCGAATTTGATCATATTCTTGAGAAAAATGAAGAAAAAGTTATTGGGGACCGACAAAAAAGTGCATTTTCAGGTCTGTGATATCTCACTTTTTCTCGCCGTCGTCGGCTTGATTTTGGTCATCATCGACTCGGAATTGACGGCTCTTTCCAACTCTACCGGTATCACCAAGGTAGGCGGGGGCAAAAAACATGTTCTGGCACTTGTATAAACTTTGAATGAATGACTTGGATACTTGGCACAAGTTTTGAAACATGTTTTTCTTTTACCGTTTTCAGCACTCTTTTCCGACACTTTTCAACACATTTCGACACAAAAACTGATTCGCTCTTTTCCAGGACTCGCCCATTTCGATTGTGCTCCGCTCGGCGTGCGTCGTCTCCACATTTTTTCTGATTTGCTGTCTGGTCAACTATCATGCGATCGAGGTGAAAATCGCGCTGATAGACAGTGGCGCCGACGATTGGCGCGTCGCGTTCAGCACGGACCGCTTCATTAAGATGCTCATCGAGGTGGCCGTCTGCATGATTTGTCCGTTTCCCGGTCAGTTTGGTGGGGGTGGAAAGGAGCAAGAAAAAGTGGGTAAAACTAAAAAAAAAACGTGGGTCAAACAACCGAAAACAGGTTAACTTGCGCAAGTGTTTGCAGAAATCTTCAGCGACGGACTGATGCGAATGCCGTACATAAACGCGGACACGCGACAAGTGAAAATGATCAACGTGCCGGTCGACGTGCTCCTTTCCGTGCCAATGTTCCTCCGCTCCTACCTCGTCTGCCGCTTCATGGTCCTTCACAGCAAACAGTTTCAGGTATGTCTTTTTTGGGGAGGGGGATGCACAAAAGGCTTGCCGAAAGCAAGCAATTTCGCAATTTCGGTCTGAAACTTGGACCCAGTCTACTTTAATCCAAGTCCAAGAAGCGTGGCCCAGCGCTCAAAAAAAAAATCAATAATTACAACAAGTGTTCAGGACGCCGCGACGCGATCGATCGCCGCACTGAACCGAATCTCGATGGATTTCCGATTTGTGATCAAGACAATGATGGCCGATCATCCGCTGCGGGTCCTCATCGTCTTCACCCTTTCCTATTGGATTTGCATGTCCTGGATGTTTACGCAGTGTGAAAGGTTAGCTAAAAGCATTTCTTCAGTCAACTTGAGCCTAAAGAATTATTTTCAGATATGACGGACAGCTAGAAGTGGAGCACTATTACCTGAACTCGATGTGGTTCATAATGGTGACATTCATGTCGATCGGATACGGAGACATCGTCCCGAACACCTATTGCGGACGTTGTCTGTCGATCACAACCGGAATTGTGGTATTATCCTTTTGCTCTTCCTAAAAGTACAATATCTGATTCAGGGCGCCGGAGTGTCGTCCGCTTTGATTGCGATCATTTCGCGTAAATTGGAACTTTCGAGGGCCGAAAAACACGTGAACAATTTTATGGCCGACTCGAAACTGACGAATCAGCGCAAGAATGCAGCTGCCAGCGTACTTCAGGAGACTTGGTCAGTTAGTTGACTTTTATGACTCTTAGAAAGTTGTGGTCGTGGCCTAGAAAACTCGGGTGTGAAAACTCTTGCACTTTGACAATCTGTTAATTTGTGTGAATGCTTGTCAAGGATTGTGCCGAATGCGAGAAAAAATTCGGGAAAAGGCCCATGCCACGGCCACAACTTTGACTGCGCGTTGTTCCGTTTATAGGCATGTCTGAGACGCATAAAACGGTCGATCTATACATTTTCCAACTATTGAAGGTTCATCCACAAATACAAAAAGGCGCTGCACAAGGGCGACGACCTGCGTCTCCGTCACCACCAACGTCGCTTTCTGCACTCGATCAACGAGTTCCGCCGCATAAAATGGGACCAGCGGAAGCTCCAGGAGAAGGGAAATTCGCTTTTGGACGTGGGAAAATTGCACAGTGACATGCACGAGACGCTCTGGGAAATGCACCGAACACAGGATCACTTCATCTCGCAAATCGACGTGCTCACGCAAAAAATTGTGGAACTCCAGAACACGCTGAACACGCGACCGCCCTGCTGTGCGCTGCCCACCTCCTCCAACGACGCCTATTTTTCTACGTCTACTCAACTCGGCGTTTTGAAGGTCGGTTCTTGAGAAGATTTCAGAAAAAGTGATTTTGTGGTCTAGTGATAAAGTGGGCGATCGGTAAGGAAAGTCTTCAGTTTTTTCCACAAATTTTCTGAGTCAACTGTCTCAAAATTTGGTCCTAAACCAGGTCGAAAGTTTGCATAAAAGTTTCGCACCTGATCGTCTAGACCACAAATGTCGCTTTTCTGATATCTCCCTAAAACAAGGGTTTCGGATCAGCTTTCCATGGAGAATCCGATTTTACTACTCAAAACGTGTCAATCCGAAAACAATTTCAGGACACCCCGGTCCCACCTGTCATACCATCGATCCCGCTTCCGACGCAATCCCCAATGCTGCATTCGAGTCAATCGCACCGGGAACCGCTCCAAGTGACCACCTCGGATCTTCCGAACTCCTCCTCGATCCCTCGCATATCCGTCGGCGCGACGTCATCGTCGAGTTCCAGTGCCTCGTCCGGCAACGGATCCCTTCCGCAGTGCACTGTGGATCAGCTGGCCAATTGTCCGACCGGCGGGATCTACGCGACCGTAACCACACCGTTGATTTCGAACTTCGAGGAAGTTTAGGTCGATTTTTCTTTATCGCATTTGACTGGATTTTTGATTTTTTTTTCAAGTTTGAGGTTTTGGACGTATCATAGTTGTGTGTGCTTCTCGAACTAGAAAAAAACCCTTGCAAAAAACATTTCCCTCATTTTCTCAATTTGTATCGCATTTTCTGTGATTCTACACCCATCCGGCATCTGTGTTTCTCTCTGTTTTTTTTAAACATGTTATCAGAAAATATTTTACAAGCTTCGGATCTCTTTTCTCTCCTAAAACCCCTTGACAACATCAACCGGTGTCACACGATTCTATTTTTGAAACTTTTGTATTTCTAAAGTTCAAATTCTGGTCCCCCCCACTTTTTCTATGACGCAATATCCGATTGTGATCCGCCCGTCTCTCCAAGTTGAAATTTTCTCATTTTCTCTGCAAAATGCATGATTTTTTAACCGCACATTGAATGTATTGTATATATTTATTTTTTTGAAAGATAATCGATAAATCAAGTTATTTGTCATAAAAAATGTGTGCAATCTCTCAGGAACATTGTGATTGTCTTTCAAACTGTAGCTTCGTTCAAACAATCCCTAGAAACCGCCACAAAATGAATTTTTCTGTATGAAGAAAGGGTGCTAAATTTTTAGTCTTAACACGTAAAATGCTTAAAAGATACGAGGAATCGAATGACGTTAAGCCTGAGTCGTTAGGAATTTTTTGAATCAAATTACAGTTTTTACCGATCTAGGGACCGTGTTCGGACCAGGGACCACGTTGTCGGAAATAATATCCTTTTTGGATAACAGTGCCATGATATGGGACCAACTTATTACGAAACTTGTGAGATTTTGAGCAAAATTTGGGGAACAATAGACACGTTTTTCGCGTGATTACCGGGAAAACGTGGGAAACGGACTTTTCTGCCACAAAAACACGTGTTCGGTCTGTTTTTCGCCTGATTTTTAGATTTTTACAACAAAAAGGTACTCAACATGGACTACACACGGTTCATACGTGACCGGCCCCGGTTGACCGCCCAAGCAATTTTTGTACATTGCCCTTGGTGTGAAGCATCTCCAAGGCAATTTTCAGCTCGGAAGAGTAATCTGATCTGAAGATAAAATAAAACGCTCAAAGTGGCGGCTTGCCGAAATTAATTTTTCGAGATTATGCATACTGTTGAAAAAAAAGGCTCGAAATTCGAATCGGAGTTGGCAGCGAGCCAAGGACACGCCCCCCAAACAGTTTTCACTGAAACTGCCGCACGCTGTTTGGGGGGCGTGTCCTTGGCTCGCTGCCAACTCTGATTCGAATGTCGAACCTTTCCTTTTTCAACAGTACCTGCGTTTATTCTTCAACGGCTTTTCCTTAAAAATTCATTGTTTTTAATATGAAACATGTTTAAACATGCTAAAAAATGACAAAAATTCGAGAGAAAAGCTGAAAATTTTGAAAGTTCGAAGAAAAGTCGAGACGGAGGGCGAGGTTTTGCAAATTGCAAAACCTCGGCCATCAGCTTTTTTTCGGCTGAAAACAGTTTTCATAATTTAAATTCAGATTCCATTCAAACCCCCCAAGTCTTCCGAATGTTGCTCCTCCATTCGTCATCCAAATTCTTCACAGAGCAAGCAGGAAACAATTTGTTCGAAATGTTTCAATTTTAATCCAATTATCCGTGCGTCACGTGACATTTGCGAAGTTTTTTTCGGTCAGAGATCAGACTGCAGCAAATTTTATTGTTTGTTGATACTTTAGTAATGTTTTTCAGGTCGGTGAAATCGTGAAATCGACGTCAAGCAGACAAGAATCGAACATAAAACTGGATCTGCGGTCGGTCAGTTAAGGTTGTAACTATATGTTTACTCTCCGCCACACTTTCCAGATACTTTCCCCGCCTGGATTCATGAGCATCTGCGGGAAAAACAGCGAATATTAGGTTGCGAGCACGACGGCAGACTCGCTTTTCATCGGGTATTCAGGCTTCACAAGAACAATTTTTAAACTTTCAGATAACAAAACGATTCATAACAAAAAAGAGAGAATAAAGATGAAACTGTGGCCTAGTCGATGGACATTCCAAAGTCGAAAATGGCATTGAAGCAAGGCATCTGTTGGAGAATGAGCTTCGCCTGCAGGTTTGCCTCTCGAACCGCTCTGCGAATCTGTGATTAAATGTATTGAAGAGCGCATGTAGGTGTCGGTGCATTTTTCGCGGATTTCCCGCACGCGCTGAAAAACCGAACTTCTCATTCCGCTAACTTTTGACAACAAACTTCAAACGGATAAATCTGGCTTGCGAATCGACCAAATTTGACGCTCTTGCGCTCAATAAATTCGGTTTGACCTGGTCAATCGTTCTATCGAGGCACAAACGATAAATCATCGAATGTTTGTTTTTAAATTTTGAATTTCGTGCCTGGAGACTGTGATCCGTCGGTTTCAAAGTCGTCCACAATTCATCGAAATGCCATCGCACAACATCGTTTTCGTACAAAATTGTATCATCGTCCGAATTTACGAAAATGTTCGATTGGTATTCATGAGCACGACTCCCCCACCGCCCACTTTCTATTTTCTGTCTGACTCGGACATTACCGCTTTTTGTTTTATTGCCCGCCGAACAAAAGAGACGTTAAAAATTCCAGTTCCGGGTGCACATTCTGATGATTGCTATGCATTTTTGAACACCTTTAAAAAATCGCTATTCGGTTGTTTCTAACAGTTTAGCCAGATATTTGATACATTTGCATGTGGAACAAAAGACGTCTCTGGAAAAGTGAGGATCAGATTTTTAACACATTCTTCCCATTTTTGTCTCTTTATTTCCTCTGACCTTTTCATCAAATTTCACATTTTGCCATAATTATTCTCCGTGTCATCCAACAACAAAGTCTAATGAAAATGTGATGAAATATTGTCGCCCAAAAGGTCTCGTGATCATAATGATGAATTGAATACAAAACGGAAATTTCTTTCAAGCCGACAATTTCCTTCACTAAACACTTCCTCACAAAAAACCGTTTACATTTTTCTTCTCCAAACCCCTATAATCTTCCCTTCAAACTCCTCTCCGTTTATCATTTTTTCACCCCTTATTTTTCCTGCGTATTCAAGAAAAAATATAGGCCGAACCCACTCTTTCTGTCCTCAAGCCTTGTGCTCTTTTTGTTGATCACACGCACTCAGCTCCTTTTTTCGAGAAAAAGCAGGATACATTTGCATTGATTTGCTCCGTATCAACATAACACTAATGAGTCGCTACGCAACGAATTTCGAAGTCAAATTGGCGTGAATTCGAATTTTGATTTTTGACGTACCCCGCTGCGTCACCGTTAAATGTTATTCCTGAGAAATCACTTATTTTTGAAAATCTCACGTCCAATGACGCACGGCGACCAAAAGTGTAGAAAGGGGCGTGGCTTAATCTGAGACGCGTTTTCTGAAAATTGCCGCAATTTCAGCACTTTTGCGATATTTTTGTGTTTGATATCGACGAAAGAAACGCTAGACCACGCCCCTTTCTACGTTTTTGGTCGCCCTGTGACGTCAAACCCTTCAGACGTCCAGAACATTTTGTCCTTCTTCTTCTTCTTCTTCTTCTTCTGACCGATAAATCTCCCTCGAGGGCATGAACTGATGACGCCATCAAATACCACTTGAGCTTCTTGAAGAGCAAAAACTGCTTCTCCTTTTTCTCCTACTCCTTTTCAAAACCCTTACTTTCATTTCAATAAAACAAACTTCAGAAAATGCTCCGCTTTCTGCTGGCTCTTCTCCTTCTCCTCGCCGTCGTTCACGTCTCGATTCAGTTTTCAGTGGACAAGAGAGGTACGGTAGACTCTATAATGCTAAAGACAAATTTTTTTGAAAGCCTATAAGAAGATTTAAGAATTTATAGAATTTTCTAGTAGCCAAAGTGTCCCCAAAGCCAAAGAGGGGAGGATCTTTCAAGGATGTCAACAGCACTGTAAGCACTTAATGTGCCTGCAGATTAGTAGAAACATCCTTTGATCACTAAAACATCACAGTAGATACTTTCAAACGAAATGTGTTGTGTGTTAGGTACCTACTGTGCTCCTCTAATAACCAAATGATGTCAGCTATTCTTAATTACATACAGAAATTGAACAGTGACTACTGCACATTCTTTTGGTCACTAATAAGATATCATCAAAAGGCACCTAAGGGGTGGTAAACACAGATTCCTGACAGTTGTCTAACCAGATTGTTTCCGTGCGTTGTCCTGACAACAAAATCTTCTTGAACAGTGGTACGAGACACAACATTTTGGTCACATTCGAATTCATTTACTGTACGCCGTTTTAGGATTATAATTTCAGGCGCCGCTTGGTTCCTGCGTCCCAACTGGAAGCCGCCAGCGAAACGCTTCTTCTACCCGGAGAACGGGGCCGTCGCCTACGCGCCCGACGACCTCGATCAGTACATCATTTATTGATTGGCCACTCTTTTTTCGCTTTCAAAAGATACATTGCTTGAATCGGCTTCGAATGAATGGAACAGTGAATAAATGATTATGATGTTAGCACTTTGTTGGGTTTTTGTGAAGCTTGCACCTTAAAAAGACGTTTTGGAACCAGATTATCCTTTGTATTCGTGTAGAATAACATCATTATAGAAGCGAACAATATTGTTGGATTGTGAGAAGGCCTATAAGTTTCAAAATTTAGTTGTGAACAACAAAGTGTAATAAGATCCGATCGGATCATTGCAAGTGGGTCAAAAGTCGGCCAGCACTGAAAAAAATACCTCAAACTTGCTATTACTTTCTCAAGTGAACGAACCCGAACAAAAACCGGAAACCACTGTGTGCTTTTCACGTTTACACTGTTCCTTATCACTTTGTCACATTGACCCTCTGCTGCTTACCCGTACTTTTGACTACACGCATTGACCGCGTGGTTTCTATAAAGATATTGTCGATCGAATGGAAAAGAGGTGATAAGAAAGGGGCCACATTATAGCCGAGATGACCACGAGACAGTGCGTGGCCAGAGAGAAACAGAAAAATGGAAAAAAGACACGCCTTCGGGGGGGCACAGATCGCCGCCAATTTTCGATTGTTTTCGAGACTGGTTCTATTGTATTTTCGAGTGTTTCAGTTGGATTATGGAGTAGAGATAGAGTTGTTCTGAAATTTCAGCCAATTAGCGCACTTTCAACATTTTCCAGTACACTGTTTTGTTATCTTGTGCTTGTCTACACACGTTTTTTTTCGCAGAATGTCAACATTTTCGCGTCAAGACCAACTTCCGAATCTTCCGGTGCCACCGCTTGTGGAGACTCTCGAAAAGTACCTGGATTCAGGTAACATCATTAAAAATGTTGTAAGAAAAGCTCTATTTTCAGCTTCCGCTCTGTTAACCGCCGACGAAAAAACGCGTTTGGAGAAGGAGATTCACGAATTTCAGCACTCGGAACTCGGCATTCAATTGCAGACGGCACTCGAGAACCGAGCGAAAAATCATAAGAATTGGGTGGGTTTTTTAGGAAATCGATAATATCGTTTGTCGTGTGTGTCCTCTAGACGATTTTTCAAATTCAAAAGATATTCGAGTACAGTAATATATGTACATAAAGTTTGTTGAAAACAGAAAAACAAACAAGGTTCTATAGAAGAGAGATAGCCTAAAGTTGATTTGATAAGGAATAGATATTGCGCCTGTGATCGATGATGGCCACGTTTCTGATCAATTTGTATTACATGTTCAGTTGGGGTCAAAGTCTTCGCATGCCACTCTTAAGATGATCTAAAATCTGTACTATGTCTTGTACCAAAAAAAGGCCGACCTTTCTATGAGTCAAAATTTGCAACAAACAACAGCAACAGTGTTTGCAGCTCGAGGACTGGTGGTACAACGCCTACACGGAGATCCGTGAGCCACTGGCGCCGTACGTGTCATTCGGAGCACTTAGTACTTTGTACAATTGTGTGGATGGAGGACAAGTGAGCCGTGCGGCCGATGTACTCCATCATTGGATTGTCGTCTGGGACAAGATTCGGCAGTGAGTTTATCGGGTTTTTACTCGGCAAAATCCGGTCCGACGGCCGTCCCGGGTGGCCAAATCGCAGAAAGAAAGAAACTGACTATTATTGAACTATCATTTTCAGTTCAAAATGGCCGGTGACGTCATCTCGTGGCGTCACCTGGGACATGGCCCAATTCCATCATCTGTTTTCGTCGGTCCGAACGCCAAGAAAGCCCCGCGACACTATGGATCGCTTTTTTAAGACCAGTCAGTTTATTGTAGATAAGAAAACGAGATGATAAAAAAAAAGTTGTATCACTTCTAAAATGTGGAAAAACCATCGAAATGTTTTGCAGAAGAGGAAGGAGACACGCCATGCCACGTCATCATCTGCTGCAACGGATGCTTCTGGAAACTGAACATTTTGAACGAGGAGGAGGACACCGTCAAATCCCCCGATGAGCTTTATAATGTAACCATCCGTTTAAGACTACACTATTTAGTGAAAAGAAATCCCGAAAGAGCTTCGTATCGTTATTGAACCGTTGAAATTTCAGATGCTAAAATTCGTGAAAGAGAATTCGTCGGACGAGTCGAAGACGTGTGTGAGCAAGCTCACGACCACCCATCGAGATGTTTGGGCGACGGTTGGAGAATAGTGTGTACCTACAATTTATCGCTTCTTTTTTTTTAAAGAACCGCGACGATTTGCTGCGTGTGAGCCAGGCGAATCAAGATCATTTGGGCGACATCGAGCGCAGCATTTTGTTCATGTCTCTGGTACCCAAAAATGGTGGAAATGATCAGCAAAAGGTGCGGATTTTGAGAGCTATTCAGATAAATGCATTTTATAAGTTCATATTCAGTTGATGTCAAACGCTCTTCAAGACGAAAGTTGGTTTGTGTGGCAGGATAAGTCTGTCAGTATTACCGTGTACGAGGATGCTCAAGTCATGGTTCAAGGAGATGTAAGTTTGATTTATCGATAAATTTTGGTTGCAAAATGTCCTCTTTTTAGCACTCGAACATCGACGCAATAGTTCTGCTGCAAGTGGGCGACCACGTGGCTTCGCGTGTCCGGAAACAACTTTGGCACCCGGCCAAAACGGGCTCCGACGAACACTTTGAGTTCCCCGAACGAATGATTTTCGAGCTCAGCGAGTCACTCCGCCACGCCGTTTCCCTAGCTGACGTGGAGTTTTATAAGAGTGTAAGTGTTTATTCAAACCGACGTATCTCAGCTCCCTGTGAAGTTACCAAAAAGGTGTCAACTGATGAAATGTGCCAAATGGTTTTCTGAACACATTCTCAGTTGACAACTTCTCGATATCTCAACTGGCGGCTGAGATATGGAGGAGAATTGCAGAAGCAACTATACCGAGCGCGCGGAGTTCACTTCTCCGGATACGGTAACGACGTGTGCCGGACCGCAAAAGTCTATACGGATACTGTAGTTCAACTGGCGTTGCAGTTGGCCTTTTTGAAGACTCATGGAAGGTTTGTGATCGGATAATGTTTTCTATCTGCAAAATAATCGAACTTCTCTTAAATTAGGTCTTAAAAGAACCTTACCTAACTGAGAGTGCCTGGATTGTGACTGTATTGAAATTTTCCGTTATTTTAACTTTGGTATTATGTCGAGAGATATTACAGTAACAAATAATTTTCAGCTTCGCTCCAGTCTACGAAACCGCCTCAACTCGCAAATTTTTCCACGGACGCACTGAAACAGTGCGTGGATGCACCCAACCATTCATCCGTTTTGCAAAAGCACTCTTAGTCGATCCAAAGGTAAATCAGTCTGTACTTATGCTCATTTTCTACTTATTACAAGATCATTGGAAATGAGCTAACGCTCGGAAGCGGCTTATCCTGTTAGTTTCTCAGAAGGTTCAACGTCTTGTTACCTAATCATTTTTTTTTCTACAAAACAACCACAACTCTGAACGAAACTTTTTTCAGACCGACAAAGAGCACCTCAAAAAGTTGTTCGACTCGGCGGTACACGCGCACAATCAGTTGATGGCCGATTGTATGGACGGACGAGGTAACCGATTTTTTTTTATTACAATTCTGAACTGTAATGAGCTTATCCCAGTGTAAAACCGACAAAAAAACTAGAAGAAATCCGAATCTGATCCTTCGTCGGGGTTTCAGTTCAGTTGCGTTATCAGATTTCCAGATTTTTGTGTAGTAGACCACGAATTATTTTATGTTTAGAAGATTAAGCGAAAATTCTCACATTCAGGGCTGGGGGCAATTGACAGACCCTTGTCCTGAACTTTTGAACCACTTTGCAGGCTTCTTGTACGTGGATTGAAGTATTCTGGGTCCGAGTTTCAGCCTGATGATCGGATTATTTACTGTACAAGATATAGTGCTTTAGGGCCGGTTTTGGCCAAATATTCCTTGGACCCAATACACTTCAATCCATGTCCAAGGAGCCTGCAAAGAATATAGAAAGTGGGTCAAAAGGAAAAATCGTACCTGTCAGGATTCGACCGTCACTTGATGGGTCTCAAACAGACGCTGGCCATCATGAACAAAGGATGTGGTCCCAAACGGACGGTCCCGTCGTTCCTGCGGGATGACACGTGGAAGAGGACCGGAGGAGACGGAAACTTCCTGCTTTCCACAAGGTAAATATCATTTTCCACGAAAAATCACATTTTCGGAGATTTCTCGAATAATTGTTTGCCTTACAATATCCCAAAACTGTAACTTTTGCAGTTTCATCGGTTACATGGACGGAAATCAGCCGGGAACTTTTGGATTCGTGGCCGCAATGCGTCCGGACGGCTACGGATGTTTCTACCGTATCGGAAAGACCAGGTGGGAGGCCTAGAAATCCCCGAAAGGTGGTCAAACTTTACTATTTTACAGAATCTCGGTCGCCGTCTCCGATTGGGTCAATTCTCGATCGAATATTGACGCGTTCGCAGCTAACATTCAATGGGCTTTCGACGCTTTGAGCCCTTTCCTGACGCCGGCGCACAAATTATGAAGTGCACAGTATTTGCATCAGATCTGTGCTATTTATGATCATCGAAATGATTGGGAAAAATAAATAATTATAAACACTAGTTTGCGAGTTTTTCTCGAATAAATCGCAGGTCGGCTTGCGACATAAGAACGATGAAGTGGATACACACACACACATTTACAGTGACATTTGCTGAAAAAGGGGGATAGATGTTGCGATTTTTTGTTGAAATTTTTTAGTGTGGGGGGACAAAATTATGCGGTTTCCATTGGGGTGTCATAGACGACGGCGCGTTGCGACTCCTTTCGAACGTCTTCGGCGAGCGTCTGCAAAATTGGATTTTTTTAAATGTTGTTCATATTGTCGTCTCTCTCCACCCTCCATGAATATGCCTAAACTCGACAAAAAACAGATTACTGTAAAAACTATTGAGCGTGTCACGTCTCCTCCCTCTCTCCATCACTCAAAAAGTCTACCTCCAACTCTTTGGTGTGTTTGATCGTGTTGTAGAGGTCCAAATACTGCGAATTCCGCTCCACATCCGGCAATTTCGTTTTGAGCATGTACGCCACGCGGATCACCGCCTTCTTCAACTCTTCGAGCTTCTCAACCTCCTGTTTGACGGCGTTTCCGCGCGCGCGCACGTTCAATTGCGATTTCAACGGCTCGCAGATGCGGTCAAGGCGCTGCAGGACTTGGCCCGGTGCAAGAGTGGCCACTTTTTGGAGGGTGAGGAAGTTCAGAAGCTTCACGTCGTGGTTCTGGTCGGAAAGACCGACTTCCATGACCGAAAGGAATTGCGTGATGTCGATTTTGTCGACGCAACTCTCCAGCAGGGTGAACATGCTGCAAAATTGAATAATTTTGGGCGTTTTATGCACGTTCTGGCTGACCGGGGCATTTTCATTAAATTCGGTTCAGAATGGCAAACATCCCCCGGACCCAGTTTTGTAAGATGTTATGTGGAAAACTACGGGAACTAGGTTAGGCACGGCCCGGCTATTCGTACATGCGACGGCCCGGCTATTCGTACATGCGACTAACGGTTTTTTCAACATATCTTCAGAAATCGAACATAGAGAAATCTGCTTTTTTGAAAAAAAAAAGACATAGAATTGAGATAGATTTTGCGAATTTAGAAAGATCTGTGCTTGAATCTGTAGGAATACGTGTCAAAACACATAAAACAAACATAAGATATCAGAGGGACAGTACTAAATTGGACAGTCATCAGATTCAATCATTAACCCATGCAAGTACCCTTCGTTTGTTTTTATTGCTAAAATCAAAAAAGCGTACCACTCGAAGGCGCACTTTCTGAGGTCGAGTCCCTCATCGACCTGATGCTTGAACGGTCCCATTTCGACCTCCTTGATGAGTTCCTTCCGCAACACGGTCTCCGCGTAAATTGCGGGTAAAAGACGGGGCAGGAGGTCCCGCACGAGTGCCGGTTTGTTGTGCGCCGCCGAATTGAGCACCACCAGGGCGACGCGTCTCACTTTCAGATCCTCATCCCTTACGGCCACCAGGAAATCGCCGATATGCTTGTGAAGGGCGGCTCCTACGTTTCGGTTCTCGCTATTAATCATATATTTGATGGCGGAGACGACGGCCGATCGGATCGCCGGGTCTTTCGACGCCATCTGATCTTTGATCTTCGGCAGGAGCGCGTCCGGATCGAACGAACACAGGCGGCCGAGACACTCGGCAACGACACTCCGAGTTCCGTCCTCGCTTCCGCCTGCGTTTGCCATCAGCATGCCCCAAATGTCGCCGATCGCCGCTCGGAAAACCGTCGTCGACTTCTCAGATCCATCACACGATTCCCAGACGATCACCTCTTTGAGGGCGTGCAACAGGAGGTACTGCTTCTTCGGCTGCACGCGGATTTGCTCGAGAATAAACGGCAGGTAGACGTTCAGATTTCCGACGGCGAGGGCGCCGAGTGCCTGCGCGGCCGCCGCCTTCAGCTCTTCCGACGGATAGTTGAACGCTTTGCACGCGAGCTCCTCCGGCCGAACGGCGAAATCGTGATCGTAGGTGGCCGGGCAGCGTCGGCCCAGCTCGCCGAGCGTTATCATCGAAAAGAGACGGATTGAGTCGGTCGTTTTCGTCGTCGCCTGCAGTTGTTCGGCCAGTTTCGAGGCGAGGGCGCGGCTCTGAAAGAATACAATTTGTCAGGAGAATTTTTTCAATTAAAAACTATTTTCCACTCACCTTCTCCAAACTCTCCGTGCTTTCGGTGATGACGGCGGCCGACGAGGCGATTGCCACGTAGGCGTACTTTGACAATTGCGCATTGTCGTAAACGGGCGAGGTGACCGAGTCGAGAAGACTCTCGAACGACGGCTTCTCCGGGAAATTCGTGCGGACGATGGCCGTGAAGAGGGTGAGCAGCGAGTTGAGCGCAAGACCCTGTATTGATTTGAATGTTTTTTGTTTTTTTGTGCAGGTTTCAGACAAAATCAGTGTCGGAAATGAAAAGGCACGTAAGTACAATCATTTTTAGAGTTTGAACAGCGAAAATGATCTTGAAATGACTTAAATTCGGGCATTTCCAACACAAAACTCGAAAATCGAATACATTTTATTACTTCTCAATGAAATTTGGTTGTTCCGATTTTCTTTCAAAAAATGCACCTGAATGAGTGGAGACGTCAAAAGTCGAATAATCGCCTGAAGAATCGGTTGCATGTGCAGCGAGACGCACGAGGAGAAGTTGAGGAATGCGTCTGCAAACAGAAAAAAACGTTCAGAAGCCTTAACACGCTTTAAATGCTAAAAGGCTCTGACAATTCCCATTTTTCCTGGAAAAAAACGTACAAGTCAAACAGTTGAACGCCTGGTTGGTAATCTGCAAATCCGTCTCGCTGATCAGGTTCGGCAGCTCGCCAAGCACTTGAGTCAGCTCGTCCGTCGGAATCGTATTGGCCGGCGAGTGCTTCATCAGTTTCTCTACGAAATTCAGACACGTCATCTGGAAAATTGCGGAAAATTAGCAAGTCAATCAAAAAATCTGCAAATTTCAATCAAAACTCAATCAGGGGTGGGCGACTTTGTGGTTCAACCGGAAAAAAAAATAGCGGGCGAGAGAGCAGCGATTTGCGTACGCCACAAGGGAGAGACGCAGACGCAAGACAGTTTCGCGTCTGCGTCTCTCTCTCTTTGGCGCGCAAATCGCTTTTCCCTTGCCCCCCCGTTCTTTCGCTAGGCAATTTCTCAGTCAACGCCAACCGGATTGCACACCCAAGCCTGAATTCAATGAAAAAACCCACTCTGAGACTTCTGGCCGTTTTGCGGACGTAGTCGACAATGTTGACGAGAATCGTCTGCAGAAGTTCGTAACCGAACGAAACACCCGCCTCGATCATCTGCGTCGACGAGCGAATCGCCACGAGACACGTCATGTCGCGTCCGATTCGTTCCGTCATCTTTTCCAGTAATTTCGGCAGCTGAAGCTTTGGGGACATGCTATTTTTCAGTAATTAAAAAAGGATTAGTTCAATTCCTATTTTGCGCCCGACATCCGGAAATTGGATTTTAGAAATTCTGTACATTTCTTGGCACTTTTCAAGCAAATTCTATCTGTAATCGTCGAAAAAACCAGGGCTGGGCAAAATGCCGGCCCAGGCTTTTTGAAGACCTGCCGAGGAGCACCATCGCCAAAGATCGCAGTGCATGGTGTGCTGTGATCCGCGCCCACACCACGCCAGCGAAAAACGAATCGACTATGTAACTAAGTAAGCAATATTCCAAACGGACCCAAACTTTACAGGCTTCTTGGACTAAAGTATTTTATATATTACTAGTACTTCATGTGTCGCGTTCAATGCTTCATATAATAATTTCTTACCTCCGGTCCAAAAGTCTCCTTGAACGCCGCCAAAAGGATGGCAATCGCGGCGACAGACCGTTCGCGAACCTCCTGATCCGTGTCGTTAGCCATAAACTTCCTCTCGACCACCACGAGTAGCTTCTTCGCTTCCTCAGCCCCTCCCTGCTCTGTGAGCTGCTTCAGAACCTCCACGTACTTTCCGACGACGCCCAGTCCCTCGGCGGACACTTTATAGAAGACGTCCGACACGGAGACGGTCACGATCGTCGTCAGAGGGTTCAGAAGACGTCGGAACTTTTGCGGCGGCACCTGAAGCCCCAGCGCTTTTGCCACGAACCCGAGCACCGTCATTTTGCCCTGCGCGCTCGTCGTTTTGTCGGTGAGCACGTGGCACACGGCCGGCACGATTTCATCGAGCGAATCATCGATTCCCGCAGGGAACGTCTGAATGAGCGCCGACAGCAATTCGATGCACTTCGGGCCCGACCGCGGATGCTTCTTCATCGATTTGACCGTCGAACGCAACAGATTTTGCTTCTGCTCTGCCAGCGAACCGACAATTTCCAACTGATTTTTGGACAAATAGTTCGACGAGTACTTTTTTCCGCCGATCACCACGATATCGTCGGTCTCGCACGAATCGTCGGGCACTATCGCATTCTGAAGATTCGGCACCAGAATGGCAATCTGGTTGAGGAGGGCAATGTAGGCGGACACGATCTCCGTACGCACTGTCTCTTCGCGCTCCTGGAAATTATGGTCATTTAATGAAAAATCGCAAATATTGGAAATAATTCAATTTTTTCAAATTGCGTTGGAAAAAAGTTCAGAATTGCCATACCTTCGTCAAAAAACATGACAAATTGGGCCAAAATTATGATAAACCTTGCCAGTAACTATTAAACTCTTGGTCGCTTTTTTCAAAATTTACCTTGAACCGCGACGTGAGAATGGGTCCGATGGTCTGGACGAGTGCGAGACACGACTCTCGATGCGACGTGATCATCGCTTCGATGGCTTTCGCAGCCGCCCGTCTCACTTTCCACGTGACGTCCTCGTCGTCCGAGTACTCGTCGTCGTCTTCGTCCTCGTCTGCTTCCATCTGATCGCCCTCCTCATCGCCACTTTCGTCGCCATACTCGTAATTCGGGTCGTAAGCGAGCGCTTTCAGCAGTTCGTCCACGATTTCCTTCGAAAACGGGCTAACTTCTTGCGGGCATCGGTACAGAAACACTTCCAACGACTGAATCGACGCCTCCTTCAAGTCGTCGTTTTCCTCGCTCTCCTCGTTTCGTTTCAGGAATCGCAGCAGCAGCGGGATGACCTGTGGCGTGTGCGCGGAGAACTTCGAGCCGCTCGCACGGGCGACCGTACTCAATGCGACGACGAGCGTCCGAGTCTGCGCTCGCTGCGCCGAGCTCGCCGAAGTGCTGCGGGCGTTCAGCTCGCCGAGCAACTCGACCACCAGTTTGTCGTACAACGTCGCGTTGATCACCGATCCGAGGTGGCCGATTCCGTTGATCGCCTTCTTGCGGATCGCTGCACGGCCCGAGTAGAGGTGCTCGACCATCACTTTCAGCGCCGCCTCGTGCATTTCGGGCACCTAAATGACGCATTATAACTGTGTGGAAAAAATCACACAAAGATAGCAGTTGTCACATTTAAATTTTAAGATTAGCGGAATTTCGACGGATAATCAAAAGTCTAGGACAACGTCCGGCCAATTGCCCCCAGCCCTGTTTTTTGGTGAAATCGAGAAACTGCTTGAAAAATGTGTAATCGCTAAAAATCGAAAAAAAAAGACTAACGGCGTCGCCGAATCTGAGCAGCACTTCTCCGATCAAATCGAGCACATCGATGCGGGCGGCGTCGTCGGGGGCGCACAACGGGAGCGAATCGATGAATTTGGGCAGCATCTTCTTGACGACAACGCTCGTTTGGTTGCCGCCCGCCGCCGGTGCCAGATTTCCAATCATCGATTTGAGCGTCAGTGAGTGGATGTCACGCGCCTGCTCCACTTTCGAGAACACGTGCGGCGTCAGCTCCTCGACCAGGTATTCCAACTGAAAATTGGGAGAAAAATTAGACAAAGAAGCGCTGAGAAAACATAGAAAGTTTCGTTCAACTTTATCATTTCTCGACGAAATTGTTTGAGCTCAAAATTTGCAAAATTTGCGGACTTCTCCTAGAAAAACCGGCACCGTACATGATGGGTCTTGATTTTGGAGGGTATCGCGAGGAGTCCGATGCATTTGATTGCCAAATTCTGAACTTCTCCGTTCGGATCGCTGAGCAGACGGATCAGAGCACGCATCACCTGGAAATTGTGCAATTTTTGTGAGGTTAACACCGGCAAATCTACGATTTTTTGACGAAAAAAGTACGTTTAAAAAATGCTGAAATGTTCAGCGCAATAATTACCTTGGCGGTAGAGTCGTCCTCCAAACTTAGGGCTCCCACTTGCAAGTCTTTCATCAGATCATTGCAAGCCATAAAACGAAAGTCCTTGTCAGCGTTGGACATTTTGTCGACGAGCTGTCCAATGTGGTAGGCGCTCATCTGAATTTACATTAATCAACTTCTAGAAACAAAAGTGCCTTTGACCTGATGAATCTGAAAATTAAATATTGAGAGATAACCGGGAATGGCAAGTTAAATTCTACAATTTTCGGCAATTTTTCTCTCTGCAATTTTTCAACGCTTTTTGTGATTCTCTAAAATAACCGGGGAACAAAAATTGTTTAAAAAAAACGGGGAACTGGTGACAAAGTGAAGTGCTCAATAACAGGTGCGACATAAAAATGCAATGAATAATTAACAAACAACAAATGCAGGAATTCTTGGCGATTCTCTAAATAAAATTAGACAACAAATATCATAATTTTAACGGAAATAATTGAAAAGAAACACAAAAAAATCGAGAAGATTAATGGAAAGTGGCGAGACGTTGAGTTCCCGGCGCCACGTTGCCCTCCAATTTCAGCTTTCCGAGCATCGCTCCGACGACGTCGTTCTCCTTCGGATGCCGGTGATCCTCCTCGTTGACGACCGCCAGAGCCGGACTTCTCGAGCCCGAAAAATACGGAGTCAGCTGGTTGGTGGCCGCCAAAAGGAGTCCGAAGAACGGCGGCGACGGGCTCAGCGGGTGCGACAGATACTCCGGATGGAATTGGGCGCCGACAAAGTAGGGGTGGTCTGGAATCGAAAGAAATTTAGAGAAATACCTTGTTTTCTTTATTTTAAAATCTTTGTGTGCTTCTAGTTAAAAAAATGTTTTATTCTGTTACATTAAAGATAACGTGAAAATTGCTTCTCAAAGCCACCCCTTTATGGTAAAAAATCCCAAAAACAATCAGCTCACCCTTCATCTCGAACAGTTCCATGCGGACGGCGGGCCGGGTGACTCCGTCGCCGCCCCTCTGGCACAATTCGTCGACTTTGTTGAGGAGGCCGATCTCTGCCTGATCGGCCATCTGCATCAGTTCCGCACTGCTCTCCGTCCGCTTCTTCACGTCCCAAATGTCCGTGTTCTGCTCGTCGACGCCCATTCCGACAAACAAGAATCCTTTGCGGGCCATTTGCGGCACGACACGTGGATTCACCTCGTACCGATGACGATGACGTTCTTCCACTGTGTGCGCGGCGTACAGCTTGTCTGCAAATTCGAATATGATTTTGATCAGTGGCCGAAAAGGCAGAAATTATTCACAAACACCCGACTTTTCGGCCTGAAACCAGTATATCTCGAGATCAGAAAATCCTATCGGAATGAAACTCGGGCCCAAAATACTTCAATCCAATTTCAAGAAGCCTGCAAAGTTTGGGCCCGATCGGATCATTCCAAGTAGGCTAGAAGCGGCCTTTTGCCCAGCCCTGGAAAAGCAAAATTTTCCGCAGATCCTCAACTCACAAAGTGTGCAATCGTCCGTCAGGAACACTGTCGAACGTCTTCCGAGTCTCATCGTACCGCCCAGCCCCTTCTCCTCCACATTGTGCTCCGGCATGTCAATCACTGCAAAAAATTGGGTTTTCTGCTGAAAAATCGCGGGAAAATGCAATTTCCGAGAGGAATTTTCGTGAAATTTGGCAATTCCTCACCAATTTGCTGGTCCTCGGTGAGTTTCGAGTTGAATTCGGTCGAGTTGGCTCCCTGAATGCCGAGCACATTGCGCGCAAACTCGACGGCGGCCACTTGCATTCCCAGACACACTCCCAAGTACGGAACATTGTTGGTACGGCAATACTCGGCCGCGTTGATCATTCCTTCCACTCCGCGCTTGTCGAATCCGCCCGGCACGAGCACTCCACTGGAATAATTTGATGTTTTTATTATAAATGCTCAACACCGCCCATTTTTTGCCAGTTTTAGACCACAAGTACTGCTAGTGATCGCTACTTGAGAAATACAGAAAAACGCAATTTTCCGTGAAAAATCTGCAAACTCGCGACTTACTCGGCGTTTTTGACGCTGTTCCACGCGGCGGCCGACTGTTCCTCGCTTCCCGGCTTGTTCTCCAGCAATTCCGAGTCCACGTAAGTGATTTTGAGCTTTCTCTTCGCGTGAATCGCCGCATGCGACAGTGCTTTGTTGACCGACGCGTACGCATCCGCTATTTTAACGTACTTTCCGACGAGCGCAATTTGGACCACCTGCTGGAAGGTGTCGCACAGTTCCGACAGGTTCTTCCAGTGCTGCATGTTGAATTTCAGCTCTTTTCGAATGTTTTCGCTGATCGGCGAAAGACCGAGACGGTGCGTGATTGCCTGGAAATGCGAAAATGTATACAGAGCTGGAGTTTTTCATAGAAAAATAGGGAAATCGCAATATTCACCTCCAAAACGCCCTGTTGCTGAAGCAAAAGCGGCACTTTGTAAATGTTGGAAACGTCGTGCACGCCGACAATCTGCTCCAGATCCATCATTCCGAATCGGGCGATTTTCTCGCGCAAATGCGGCTCCAACGCCTCCGTCGATCGGCAAATCAGGAGGTCCGGCACGAGACCGGCGGCCCGCAAATGGCGCACCGAATTCTGCATCGGCTTCGTTTTCGGCTCGCCCGTCGCGTTCGGATGCAGAATCAGCGAGACGTGCACGTTCATCAGATGATTTTTGAGCGTCGGACGTTGGAAGCGCTCGAACGCCGACAAATACGTCATTCCCTCGATGTCTCCGATCGTGCCGCCGAGTTCTGGAAATTGCAGAATTAATGGATTTCACTTTCTGTAAAAAAAATTTGACTGTTTTTGAAGGAGCTATCCGGGTAGAGGTTTGAGTAAAACTTGGTTGTTCCAAAACTCCAAACTGGGGTCCAAAAAGAAGCAACTGCTTCAACGAAAATATGACAAGAACGAAGAGTACATAAAGTAAATTGCCAATGAAACCTACTACAAATTTTAACAAAATAGTGATGATGACACTTAGCGACGAAAAGCGCGCGTTCGTCCACCATCAGCGATACTAGTAAACCCGCACGTTAGCGAAAACAATCTTCTCAGCGACACTCCGCTCGTAGCGTTGCGGCGCCAATCAGATTTGCCTTTGGGAGGACAGTCTGGGCAAGGAGAAAAAAAAGCAAGTGGTTCTGGTCAAATGGTCTGTCTGAATGGACGGAAAGACCACAACGCGCACCAAACTACAAACGCGTGTGTTTATGGACAGACAGCATCTGCATGCGTCAATCAAAATCACTAGTAAACATCCATTATTTTCAGTGACTGGTGTGAAACTATTGAGTGGTCCCGCGCCCGGTCCAAAGTCAAACACACTCACATCGCTGCGAGACCCGTTTGACCTACCGCGCGCAACGCGAAATATAGAATGCTCGGCCTGTTCTCCTCGCTGTTTTTCTTGTTTTTCTGTTCGATCAGAGCACGTCATCGCGTTTTTACTACACTCCCGAGCAACTGAATTTTTTGGCACTCTTCTTTTTTCAGACTAAAACTTATAGAATTTTCGAGATATCATGTCCTCTAATTGTGAAAAGAACAAACCATTCTCCTAGTAATCGAAAGTAAATAATAATTTTCACATTTTGTGCCCGTACCAATAATGCACACATCTGGCTGCTCGTCAGTGCCGTCCACGGGGATTCTGGCCACTCTTTCGATCCAATCCACAATCGCATCAGTCAAATGCGGAATCATTTGCACAGTTTTTCCGCAATAATCGCCCCTTCTCTCCCGTTCCATCACATGTTTGAACATTTTGCCCGTCGTAATATTGTTGTCGCGCGTCAGACGAATGTCGAGGAAGCGCTCATAGTTGCCCAGATCCAGATCTACTTCGCCACCGTCGTCGAGCACAAAAACTTCGCCGTGCTCGTACGGGGAGAACGTGCCGGCGTCCTCGTTCAGGTACGGATCGATTTTGATCGCGGACACCTGAAGAAATTTCGAATCTAGAGACAGAAACTGGAAATGTTGTTTTTAAACTGTCATGGATTTGTGACGCTTTTCCATCTAATTTCAATCTTAAATTAGTGAAAATGCTGATACACTGCTTTACACTGCTTTTTCCCGGAAATTTCGAAATCCCACCGAATTTTTCGCATTTTCAAATCTTGGCACTCAAAATTGTCATAATAACCTTATATCCGTTGTTTTTGAGTAGAACGCCCAAACTCGACGAGATGATACCCTTTCCGACGCCCGAAATGACGCCACCGGTAACCAGGATGTACTTGACACGCTTTTCGGACGGCATCTCTGTAAATAACGGCAAAATAGTGTTAAAATGGGTGAAGTAATCGATTTTTCAATGTTTTTTACGAGAAAATGAAGTCAAAAGTAGAAAAATCGGCAGTTTTTAGGCAAAAGCACGAGTGTGTTCAAATTTTTTCGCAGCACGAGAAATACGTCAATGACAGAAGGCAAAACGCGTCAGCAACCGCTCGCTGATACCGGCGCGCCTTCATTTTTTTTTTCCATTGAATATTCGTCGATCTTCAGGCTGTTTTGCATGCGAAAAAGCGTAAAAAACGTCTGAAAATTTAAAATTTTGCATTTCAGGCGTGTTTTGCCTCATCGAATGCTCAAAAACCTCGTGCAACGACTAACCCGAATTGTCATGACCAAAACTGTCGAGGAAACTCCAGTTGACAAGCTCAACCATGTTCAGACGGGCGGTGTGGAGAAGAAAACGAGTGAGGTGCCTCGAAAACAGCGAGTAAAGCAGGCGAAATACGCAATGCTGCTCGGATATCAGGGAAAAAAGTATTACGGAATGCAGGTGACTGATAAGCGGCCGTGAAAAGGTCATAACTGATAAAATGGCATGTTTTTCAGCTGCAAAAGGATCTTCCGACAATCGAATCGAACTTGCTTGACGCGATGCAACGGGCGGGATGGATTACGAAGGAGCAGAAGGAGAAACCGTTCGATTTCTTCTTCCAACGAGCCGCCCGTACGGATAAAGCTGTTTCTGCGGCCAGACAGGTCGGTTTTCACAGATTAATACAGCATTCCCATGAAAAATAACATTGACACGCGTTAGCGATTTCACGATTTTTTGCCATGTTGCCACATTCACTGTCCGAGTCCGAACTCTCAGAAATGCCTATAAACCAGACTTGCAAAATAAGGGCCCGGCCCGAGAAATGTTTTTGAAGGCCCGTCCCGTTGCAAGTCTGCTATAAACGGAGCATTGCGCAGTTTAAGCTGTTGCCGCGGCCTAAAAAAATCCTAGGCGATAGGATCTTTTACGGATTTTTTTTTGCATTCGGCACAATCCTCAGACGTTGCCAAGCATTCAAACAAATTACCAGATTGTGAAAGTGCAAGAGTTTTCACACCCGAGTTTTCTAGGCCACGGCCACAACTTTAACTGTTCCGTTTTTAGGCATTTCTGAGAATTAGGACTCGGACAGTGTATGTGGTTCAGACAGACACAAAAAATCGGAGAGTTACTTTAATAAAAATCTTGTTTGCAGATGTGCGGAATGCAATTGCCACGTGACGACGCCAAATATCAGGCGGAAGGGGCGGCAATCCTGAACGACCTGCTGCCGGAGGACATTCGCGTGTTCGGAATGCGCCGGACCACCAACTTTTTCCATCCGCAAAAGCAGTGCGACTACCGTACCTACAGCTACACGTGTCCCACTTTTGTGTTCGCAAAACCCACCGAGGTAGGCGTTATGCGCTCAATTTAATACAAAAAACAGTAAGAACTTCAGTGAGAACTGAGTTTTTCTGTATGAATGAACAAATTTTCAGCTGACGAATGGCTCATTCCGAATTACGAAAGAAACCCTGGCCGAAGTGAACGATATTCTGTCGATCTACAGGGGAACGCATAATTTCTTCAATTATACTGCTAAAAGGTACGGATTTAAATGTTGGGAAAATTTCAGACTTTTCTAATTTTTTCAAATTTCAGAGCCTACGACGACATGAGCTCCAACCGGTACATTGTGTCGTTTGAGTGCAAGGAGCCGTTCCTTTTCCGCGATGAATTTAGGTAAGAAATTACATCTTTTCGCCTGAAAACTCTAACGTTTCAAATTGCAGAAACGAAGACGTCGAATTCGTGCAAATCGTGATCAAAGGCCAATCGTTTGTGCTGCACCAAATCCGAAAGATGGTCGGAATGGTGATTACCGTAATTCGAGAGCTGCAGCTCAAATCCGCCATTCAGAGATCGTTCGAAGGACAGAGAGTATGTGCGAAAATGTTTTCTGATGAGAGACCCTAAAAAAGCGGGGCATGAAAAACTCATTGTGCTCAGATTTGATTGATATTGGGTACAGTGAGTACCTGGAAACTTAAGATTTTTAAAATTAGTGTCATTTGGCTCCTCCTTTTTTCTATGACTGCTGTACCCCCAAACGCAATTCGATTCCTCGCTTCTTTTTGAGCATTTTGATTTCAACATGAAAACTGCGGATTGAAATTTCCACCGAATTTTTTTTTTCGAACTCGAAGTGCCGGCGCACAACTCAAAGCACCTATGCCAATATCAATCAAATTTTTCAGTTATTCTCCAGTCTCTCAGAGTGTCGCTCGTACAAAAATCACCATTTTCTTGCAGATGGACATTCCGATGGCTCCAGGATTGGGACTTTTGCTCGAAAAAACGCATTACGACAGTTATGACAAGAAAAATGAGAAAACGCACGAATCGCTGAGCGATTGGGGAGAGGTTTTTCAACAATTTTTGCAGAATCGTTTAAACATTTTGTTCAGATCATAGAAAAAGAAGTGGATCGCACCAAATTCGAGCTCATCACCAAGGATATGCTCCAGACGGAGCTGCTGACGCAAGGGTGAATTCAATTTATTCTTTTTTTTTCCAATTTTTGAATAACTTGCTCATTCAGAATGCTAAAATGGCTCGCCGACCTCGTCAATCACGACTTCACCGTCAATCCGGAGGCCGAGGCGCCCGAAACAAAGACTTTTGTGACTATGGCTGCTGCATGTGCCGCAAAAGCTGCCAAAGAGCAAGAACAAGCTCCAGAAGCTCCAGAAGCCGAGGAAAATGCTCCAGAAACCTCGAAAGATCCGATTGCCGCGGCCCTGTGAAAACACCGACGAATTCCCCGCTAATTTAACTGTAATATTTAATATTTGTTACTTTTCCCCTGTTTTGTTGATCTGAATGTTGTTTTCTCACTTTTTCTTTGTAATTCCGTACAAAATAGTCAGGAAAACAAACTTTATTACTATTATTACTTATTACGCACGCGAGGTACGTGAAGAAAAATGTATGGAGTTGGATAGTTCAATTCAACCGTAGCCAAAACCAATATATCCCTGTCCGCCTCCATTCATATGTTGTTTTTCTTCTTCTTTCTACCGTGCACGTGGATTTGTACGATAGAAAAAATGGGGTAGCATGATTAGACGTTGTCGCGATCCGTTGGAACTTTGTCATGTAGTGCCTCAGATTGAGAACGAGCACTTGGAGTTGCATCCATTTCTGACTGCTGACGCCCAGTCGGTCTTCTGCTTCCTCACGTTTTCTTTTACTGCCTTCCTAGTCTTCCTTACTGACTTTGACTTCTCCGAAAATGCTATCAGCAAGTCGGTAATTTCCTTTTTTAGTGCCTGAGCAATTGCCTCACGTAAGATTACATCGAAGTCGGTGGGCATCATTTTAGTGGAGTTGTCATTATGCGAGAATTCGAGGATGGAAAGTTATATGGAACATAAGGTCAGTCATTTTTGCTAGAAAAAACCCAAAACTTCACAAAAGATCTTACGGTAGAAATTAAAGTGTGCAAACACCGCGACACAAAAATGCACACTTTCGTGGATTTTCATTCCCATTTCTGTCACACTTTTTCTGGCATTTATTTCCTATTTTCAGACGAAAAAGATTTGAAACGCGATGCGAGGAAGTCGAAATTTGTTGGTGAGTATGAGAAACAGTGAAAGTGTTGGAAAAATTCAAGAAAAGCATTTTTACGGATAAACGACCGAATTTTCGACAAAAACTCAATGCTGAAGTTTATTTTCTTTTGAAAAAATCCTCAAATTTTCAGGCAACTCGAATGGCGTCGTCGCGTGCTTCTGGAGCTTCCGCGGGCATCAAATTCGTCGGATTCGCCGTCGGTACAGCCGTCGCCGGAGCTGCCGGAGTCGCCGGATACGCTTCCTACGACAACGAATTCAGAAAACAGGTTCTCATCGGTTTTAATGCTGCTCAATTTCAAATGACTTTTAGCTGGAGAACGCGATTCCGGGCTCGAAAAGTGTGCTGAACTACGCGATTGGAGTGGAGGAGCCGCCGGCGCCGAGGCTCAAAGATTTGCGGCCTCTTCAATTCTCTGCTGTTCGTTTTTCTCCGAATTGTCTATTTTTGTAGAGAAAGTTGAATTTCCGGGTCTAAAAGCGCCCAACAATTTTTTAGTTACCAAGATTTTTTGTCTGATGTTTTCAATTTTTGTGTGAAAGTGTAATTTTAAGCATTTTTCCCAATTCTAGGACCCAAAAGTGGCTCCGAAGCCGTTCGAGCCGAAGCCGATCGCCGAGAAGAAGCAAATTGAGCTCAAAAAAGAGCTGCTCGGCGTCACAACCGACAGCTCGAAAACTCGACCCAAAAAGTCGCAAAATCCGTATCTGGGACCTCAAAATCAGCTGGAAAAGAACGAAAAACTAACAGAGGCGCTGAAAACGCGACTGGCCGAGGCGGAGAAAGCGACGAAAGTGGCGACAAGCGGGAAATTGAAAACGATCCGAGCCATCGAGCACCACATTCAGATGATCCGCGAGGCGATCGAGGCCGGAAAGGACGCCGACTGGGATACGGTCACTTTGGCCCATTTGGCCGCCAAGCGCTCCGCCGACAAGGACTTGGAAGCAGAGAAATCGGCCAGAAATGCCATCGCCGAGCTTGTCACGGTTTGCAATTTTTTGTAATCTGTGAAAACGCGCATTTTCAGGAGGCGAACCTCGGCGGACAGGGCGAATCGACGCAGCTGAATCCGCTGGTGCCGATTTCGAAAACGACGGCGTCGAAATTGTCGAACGAGCTGGACGAGATGGTTTCGACGGTCAAACACGTGGATTCGGAACGTCTTTTCGTGCGGGACTACTCGGAGAAAGTGGCAGAGAGCCGGAAAAAGTTTCTGCTCGAATTGAAGGCGATCCATCCGAAATTGGACTACGAGCACGGAATGGAACTCAAAAAGGGCGATCTGAAGACGATTTTGGCGCACGCGCATTTGAGAGTCGACCAATTGAACCAGCAATTAATCGATCACAAGGTTCGCACCGCGGTTTTGTGCAATTTTAGAGCTCTCCGTGGTTTTTCTGCATTGAAGTTTTTGTAACCAGTTTTTATCAATTCCAGCAGCTTTGGCGAGAGCATCCCGAAATGGAAGTGCCACAGAATTTACTGCGGGAGTTCCATTTTAGAATGCTCTCGTTTTGGCCGGATTTAGAGCTGAAATTTTTAAATAATTGCTCACAATTCTCCAGCTGAACGAAGAGAAGCGCGTCCGTTCGATTGTAGCTCAAAAAAAGCAGGATTTGCTCGAAAAACTGCGTCTCGAAGCGGAGGAAAAAGCGAATAAGCAAAACTTGACCACGCCCACTTCTACTGTCATTCCGCAGGTTCGTTCGAATTTATTACAAAATGCCATCTAATTGCAAACCTTTCTCCCAACTTTTCGGATGCGCAAAAATACAGCTTTCTTCCTAAAATTGCCCATTTTTGCAGGCTGACCTCAAAAAACTGGAAGATGAGCTCGCTCTGGCTACAGCCGACATCCAGAAGGCGTACGACGAGAAGCTGAAGGAAGTGGTACGCACTCAGAAGCAATTGTACGATATCGAGCACGCGAAGGACGTGGAAAAGGCCGTCAGCAACGAGAGAAATGTTAGTCGGCGAAAAAAATGAGAGAAATGAGAAAGAACCGTCAGCAAAACAATGAAATCTAACGAACAATTGAGAAATTAGCGAAATGCTTTAATTTTTCAGCTGCACGCCTCGGCCATCGGAAAAGCGCTGTCTCAACTGGAAGGCATCGAAACGGCGCTCGCCGGACACCTCCAAATGGATATTGAGAATCGAAAGTCAGCAAAAATGGGAATACTTGTCTATTTTACCCTTTCAGATCGAAACAAATGTGGTTGGCGACTCAAAATCTGAAGGAAACGGTGATTTTCGGGAATCGAGCCAGTTGTTGTATGGAAGGAAGACGCGCGCCGTTGGGGGCACAGCTCAAGGTGAAAATTGAGAGATTATGGGATTTGTAGACAAATTTTGACGAGAGTCACGAAATTTTGAACAAAATTGTGAACGATGCGTGTTTGTCTTATTGCAACTCGCAAAAAGAATTTGCAGACGCTCGTCTCGTGCGCTTCCAACGACCAATTCGTAAAGCACGTCGAAGCTGCGATGCCGAAATTGTCGAAAGTGAGAGGGGAATACACGGAAGAGGATCTGAACACCCGCTTCAACAAGGTAAACACAACCACGCAATATTGATTCGAAATTTTGGCTCGCACAATTTTCGCAACCGGGCGTTTCGCAACCAATTCCGCGACCGGTGTATAGCACTAGTATTGTGCACAATTTGTGCGTTGAAAGTATAGAAAAGTCAAAACGTTTGATGTTTTAGCTGATCTAGACACTTTAAACTATATTTTGAAATTGACCGTGTCTAAAGCATAAAAAATTTGAATTACTGTAGGTGTGCCGCATCGGACGTCGTGTAGCGTATGTGAAGGAAAACGGCGGAGCACTGAGTCACCTCTACTCGTGGCTCAAATCAGCGCTCACTTTGTCGTTGGTCACTCCCGAAATCAGGTGGGTAGAAAAGTTCTCTCTGCGAAAAAAAACGAAAAAAATTCGATTAGTTTTATGCTCAAAACAGAAAATCTGCAATTTTCAGCATCACTCCATTAGAGGAGACGAACATTAGCCTTCTGGCGCGTGCCGAAAAATTGTGGAAGAACGGAAAGAAAGCCGATGCGATTCGCCTGCTTCAGATGACCGACGGAGCTACCAGAAGGTTGGGTTTTGAAATAAATGAGACTTTTTCCCGAAATTTTAAAGAAAAGGTCCGTTATTGTGATTAAAAACCCGGGCTGAGCAAATTTCGGCCCGGACCTTTTAAGGCCTGGACTTCTGACTCACTTGCAATGATCCGATCGGGCTCAAACGTTGCATGCTTCTTGGACTTGGATTGAAGTATATTGGGTTCAAGTTTCAGACCGATCGGATTATTTTCTCTCGAGATATGTAGATCAGAGGCCTAAAAGGCCGCAATGAGCCGGAATTTGCCGAGTCCTGTTCAAAACAGAAAAAATCTGGAAAAATGTTATGCTACATCACTGAACGTTTCAAAAAATCAAATTTCAGAGTGGCTTCGGATTTCATCCAAGACGCCCGTCGCCAACAAGAAGCGCTCTTCCTCTCGCGGCTCCTTCTCGCCCATTCGGCCCTCGTTTCCATCCGTTCCACTTATTGATTCCAGAACAAACCCTCTTTTGTCCCGATTCTCTGAAAATTTCTATCATGCACTCTCTTTTTCCCCGATTTATTTGAGAATTATTTATGAAATATGATGATTTTTTTCGATCTATTTCAAAAATCTAGACATTTACGCTCGAATATTTACTTTTACCTGACAATTTGTCATAGTAATGACAAAACGGGACTACGAAACCAATGGAACAAGTTTTTCGAGAAAATAAGTCGTAGCCTACAATAGCACAAACCACTGTAATCTGTGTGAGTACTCCCCCCACCGGGGGGCACCCAATATTTGTTCAATTTTCTTCATTTTGCCAAAGTGCCTGTTTGTCAGTTACACCACTCAATTTCCTTCTTATTGCTCAAATGTTTAGGGCTCATCGAGCAGGTTGTTTGCAATTGTTTTCATTTTTCTTCGATCCATTGTAATTTTCAACTTGCTTCCTTATAATTCCGACCCGGCCGTGACAAGAATTGTAAAATTTAAGCCATGATTCTCCTCTCGTTCCTTTTATTCGCCAGCACTTGTTTACAAGGTGTCTGGGGAATATTCGGTCCGGACGATGCACAATATAATGAGACGGAGGCCCGGATGCTTTTGAACCTGGCCGCCGGCGCCTATTCTCAAGATCCGACGCCGTGCATCGGCAGGTTAGTTTTTTTTTTCGAAAATTTAATTTATTCTCCCCATTACATTGTTATTATCAGGTCGCCAAAACTCGGCTTTTTAGGCCTAGATAAAAGTCCAGGCCTCAAAAAGCTCAGGCCGGCCGTTCTTCCCAGTCCTGACGAAATGCATGGAATGAAACTTACAAGTCGTTCCTAAAAATTCGATTCTTACAGAACGTTCACTGCGGCCGAAAACCAGACACTTTTGGTCACATTTTCGGTGAAATGCGATTTTGTGGGCAATCCGTGTGCCGGATACGTCGTCGTTTCGAATGTGCTCCAGCAGATTACTGTTGTTTTTCGCGGCACCAAGACTAGTGTGAGTTCTTTTTTGAACCATTTGCAATAGTCCGAGCGGACCCAAACTTTGCAGGCTTCTTGGACCTGGATTGAAGTACTTAGGGTCCGAGTTTCAGATCGAACGGATCATCTGGTCCCGATATATACTGGTTTGAAGCCGAAAAGGCCGAGGTTAAACTTCAACCCAAGTCTGAAAAGCCTTCAATGTAGGGGGCCCGATTAGAATATTGCAAGTGGCCCAAAAGTCAATACCATCCTAGAAATTTGCAGAGCCAACTCCTTCTGGAAGGCTGGACAACTCTCAAACCGTCGGCGGATTTTTACGGAATCGGTTTGGTCAACACTTATTTCAAATCGGGCCACGAGAAGACGTGGGACTACGTGGCTTCGGCCCTGAATAACAGTCAATACATCAACTATGATGTCTATGTGACCGGACATTCACTGGGTGGAGCACTCGCGGCACTGGCGGCTCCCAGAATTGTTCATGAAGGTACAGTAAGAAGTGCAATAACAGAAGACAACTTTTTGATATCTCTAACGGCAGCTGAGATATATGATTATTGTAGGTCTGCGACAAAGTCATCAAGTCAAATTGATTACTTTCGGAGAGCCTCGAGTCGGGAACTTGGACTTTTCTCGTGGATACGATCAGCTAGTGCCGTACAGGTTGGAAGATTATCCAATTTCCCCGAAAAAGTGTTTTTTTTTCTCAGTTTCCGTGTGACGCACGAGATCGACGTGGTCCCTCACCTGCCCGCGTGCGTCAAAGATCTGTCGTACACGCCGCCGGCGGGCAGCGACGGTTCGAAACCGTGCGATCCGGACAGTACTAGTGGAGGATATCACCATGCGATCGAGATTTGGTACCCGGGGAACATGACCCAAGGGTCGCAGTACATGGTGTGCACCGGACTCCCGAGGGACGAGGATTTCGGGTGCTCAAACGGACCGAAAGTCGATTTGGACGACACGACGATGGGCGTCTGGGACCATCGCAACTATTTTGGAGTCGAGGTACGCACGGAGATACTGGGATCACTAGGCTATCCGGACATTTTTCCTAAAATCTCTCAAAAACAGGGTCCAGGACCATGTAGTTTTTGACGTGTAATCCAAATTTTTGGTTTGTTTTTTACGATTTGGCTCAAATTCGACAATCCCACTTTTCAGGTGCCCGATTTCGGAAAAGGCGGTTGTGATCCGACGATGACATTCGAGGGTCCACCCAATAAAACCGGAGGCCTTTTATCGCTTGTCAGCAGTGTTTTTGGTTAATTTTTGCTAAAATTACGTGTTTCTATGTACAAATCGGTATGGAAATCATGAGTAATAAATTGTTTTGTTTTGTGGCCCAGGATCAGAGTTGAGCGGAATCGATTTTTTGAAAAGGCGGAAAGCGGAGGCGGAAACTGATATTGAATTTTTGGCGTCAAAGTCAGTTTTCTGGCAGAAACGTTTTCTAAATGCGAGTGCGCTTTGTCTTTGTGCCCGATCCACTCGGTCCAAAATAAACTTTATGCAAATCACTTTTTATTACAAAAGATGGCAAAAAGTAACGCAATTCTTCTGAAACCGATTATGCAAACCATTCTCACACTGTTTAGTACAACTTAACGTTTGCTTTGTTTCATAAAGAAAATAAATAAAGCTAACGTTAGCTTAATTTAGTTTATTTATGTTGCACAGCTAACGTTACCTTGAAGTAACGCTTGCTTAATTTAATTTATATATATTTCTATATATGTTACTTCGAGGTAACGTTAGCTTTATTCATTTTATTTATGTAACAAAGCTAACATTACCTCGAAGTAACGTTACGGACGGCGACGCGGGCGGATCGCACGCAAGTGGCTCCGCTAGCTTCCAGTGGCTGCTCTCCGAGCATCCGAGGTTGGAGATGCTGATCTTCCAGCATCCAATATAAAAACAAAACTAGAAAATCTTAACATTTCCGACATTTGTGCTCGTACCAAGTGTTCTCGTGTATCCAATTAAGACATTGCGTGCCTTCTACGCGCTCCTGCTGCTTCCAGCAGACTTCTTATGCACTCTCCGGGCTTCTCAGAAACCTCGCCCATCAGAATCTCACGACGTCTCCCCCGGATGCTGGAAGAGCAGCATCTCCAGCATCAACTTCACTACATTTTCAAAAACTAAAGGGATTTTGCTGTAAGGAAGGAAAAGAACTGTGATATGGATTCCGAAAATGTATTCTCGACTTCGTAAAATAGTCACTTTTACTTCTTCTTGTGCTTTTAACCTTATTTTTAGTTTTGTTCTCTCCTGATCTTCAACGAATTCTTTGGCGACTTCTTCGCCGAATTCTGAAAACGCCGCTTTCTGCTAAACAGGGCGACATTACGACACTTCAAAGGTCGCCGGCGGCCAGTGAGAAAAGTGCCAGCAGCTTTTATTTTCGACTTTTCAGTTTTTTTGCAAAATTTCTATGCTTTTTTCTCGATTTTCAGCCAGGAAGCGATGTCCGATTCGGCGGAAAGACTCGCGTTGCGTGGAGTACCAAAGTGCGAGCGGATTGTAAGTGATGCCGCGTCCAAATTTTAAGAAACAACCTGGAAATCGCGCGGATTTTGCTGGGATTTCCTTTCACTTTGGACGCTTTTTTTAAAGACTTTAGACGCGGCATGAAAAACGTGAAATATCACCGAAATTCGTTATTCATCAGGTGGACGTCGTGAAATGGCTGACAAAGAACAAGCTGTCGGTGGAAGACGCGGAAGAGGCGACGCGCGAGAAGTACAACAGGTACAGGAACGTCGAGATGACGATGAGCGCCCAAAAAGCGCGGATGTGCGGGAAGATCCCGGAATTCGACAACAACATCGGCCTCATCGACATGCTGATAGCGAAAAGGGACGCCAACGAGCCGTTCGTGACGTCGTTCAAGATCTCCGAAGACGTTTACCTTAAAGCCGTCGCCAAGAAACCCGAGGGAGTCAGTTTTTCGTCCTTTTCGGCGATTTTTCCGTTTTTCCAGGTTACTCTGTGGGTTGGCAGCGATTTGATGGTCGAGTACGGTCTGGAGGAGGCGAAACAGATGTTGCAGACGAACCGCGCTTCCGTGCAGATCATCGCCGACGAGCTGATCCTCGACATGGAATACCTGAAGGATCAGCTGACGATGACCGAAGTGAACCTCGCGTGCATCATCAACTACGGCGTTAGAAAGCGGCGCGCCATTGCCAGCAGAAATTGAGAAAAAATGAGTCTAGTCCATGTATTTTTGTGTATTTTCAACTTTTTCCAAGTTTTTCCCACTTGTTCATAAAATCTCGCTTGTATTTTGAAAAAATCAATCCGTGTGAGTAGGAGATGTTGATTCATCGTTTTTTACCGCTTTTTTTGTGGACTTTTGCACTTTTACAATTGCCCAACTGTAGGAAATCTCGATTGCTGTTCACGCCAAATGTGGTTGAAAAAGTTTATCTATTCCATTAAAAACAAATATATTTTAGTACTGGAAAGTAAATCTTAGTGCGTGTACATGCAGAAGAGTTTTTGGAAAGATATACATGAATGCTCAAATCGGGGGCTTGTCGTACTGTTCTTCTTCCTCTCCGAGTGCCTTTTTCTGCCCATCAAAAGCGATTGCGCCCCCGTGGAACAAAAATTTGAAATCGGTGGAAGCGTCCGTCCGTTCGTACATTCGGATGTGCTCTCTGTTTCTCGCTGGATTCGAACTCGGTCCCACCAGGGTATTTATTGCGGTTACGTCTATTATCGGACACGCCAAGCACATCACTTGGATGTTATTTGAACTGATTCCGTGCTGAAAAAGTGATAAAATCGGTAACTATAAAAAACATCAATTATTACCTTAATCATTTCTTTCACACTTTCCATTGAGATCGATTCAAATTGAGCGGAAAACGTTTCGAAATGCAAGTAGTTTCTCGTGGGAATCGAACAAAGCAGTCCGATGATATTCGCGTGAACCGCCTGCTTCCATTGCTCCGTTCTCACCACCCGATCCATATTTATTTTTCTATGCGGCAAAACCTCAACCCGCCCGACTATCCCAATATATCTCACGCTTCCTGGTTTGAGAAACGGGAGGAAAAACATAGCATCTTTCTGCAGTTTAACGTTTTGCACCTCAAAATATTGACAGTCTAGACGATGATTCAAAGATTTGAAAAACGAGTGAAGATGGCTGAGAAATGACTTTTTGACGGACAACTCGTCCATCGCCGACCCAATCCCTGAAGTATAGACGGAAAAAACGTCGATTTTCAGTTTGGGATTTTTGAGAATACACTTGAGATCCCCGAGGAACACTTTCCAGTAACGTGCTCTCTCCACCCAGTATTCTTTGGCCCCTCGCTTCTCCAGAACGTCGATTCCGATCTGCCTGTATTCTATGCGTTTCTCAGTCTTCGATCCGTGCTCGCGGTACTTGAGCTCCGCGGAACAGCCGGTGAAAACGAAACTGAGGCAGCCGAGGTGCATTTCGGTCTGGTCCACAGCTTGTTGAAGTGACGGAGAGCACTTTCGGAGCGAGCTTCTCAAATGCTATCCAGTTATTTTTCGAAATGACTAAACTAACTTACCGTGATTTAAAATCCAATCTACTGGTTATCGATTCCAAGACAAGGAAGGGCATGTCCTGCAGAACGGGCTCGGCTCGTCGCATCTTGTGTTCGAATGAGAGTTGTCTGGGGGGCGCATTGACTGGACCACATCGCTGCCAAAAAATAGACACGTCATCTTGTGGATAGGTCTGTCTGGGGGGTCACTGGGACTAGAGGGAAAATACAAAAAATCAATGAAATCTGGAACGACAGTTGCGATCGTTATATCAAAAAGTTTTCAAACGGAGGAGCATCAGAGTTTAGTAACTCTTATGATATGACACTTGCCTTTGGCACGGTCTCCAGAGCTGACAATGGGCGCAAGTGCGCCCCGCCCAATGGAGCGATACATTGGCGCGAAATTCAAATTTTAACAGCAAAATGCGTGTTTTTTGCCAGATTAGCCACGAAAAACCGATAATTTCTCATTTTTCTCTCGATAGACCGATTGTATAGGCTATTACAAATTTTTTAAGCGCAACAGCGTTAAATTTGGTCAAGTCTCAAATCACATTTATCCGTTTGAAGGTTTTTGGCTAAAACTGCGTGAATTTCAGTTGCTTTTCGGTAATTTTCGCGGTTAGAGCGCTCAAAATGCTTGTATTTACGTGATTTATCATTCTCAAAACCAATTCTGTCTGAAAACGGTCAAGAAAGCGCAAAATGAGAAGTGCGGTTTTGAGGCGGCGATCGGCGACGAAAGCGAAAAGGCGAAGTCCGCGAAAAATGCGCTAAAACGTCATTAATTCTGAGAATTAGTGTGTTTTCATGTCGAACAATCATTTTTCATCGCCTTTGACCACAAAAATCAGAGAAAACCTGCTCAATTCATGAAAACGCTATTTGGCCGAGGCCACGCCCATATTGTCAGCTCTGGAGACCGTGTTTGGTAAAATCCTGAATACGAAAATTTTAACAGTACTCGGAAAAGAACGGCTATGACATCGTCATGGTCTATGTGGTGAGAACTCACGAGTCATTAGTTTAGTAAGTTTTGATCTCTGGAAACTATATATTACGACACTCCACAACGAAAGTACCGCACCGCGCTGTACACGAAACACATGTTTTATTGATTCCCTATTTGTCACATCTCTTCCTACTAATCGTCAAACTTAAACTCATTTTCAGAGAAATGATCAGCTCCGAAACAATACAACTGTCCCTCAACTTGGACCATATCAGCGAGGTCGACTTCGGACGGCTGGAAAGGAGGCAAAGGTTCCGATCGCGGAGTGTCGGCCACCAAAGATCCGATCACAACATGCTGAGCCGTTGGGCGTCGGCCATTTCACTCGAAGAAATCAACGAGTACGGAAAGTGGAAGGTCGAAAGGGCGCAGAATGTGATGGAACAGGAAGTGAACAAGACGTCCCATTGTGTAAGGTTCTTTCGATCTACCGACACGAACGTCTATGATTGCAGTTGGAAGAGCTCGAGGAATTCCGGAGTGAGAAGTTCAGAAGGACCGTCCTGGACGGGCTCGGATTCGTGGAAGACTGGTCGAAGAGCATGGAGTTCCGGACCAAAGTGGTCAAACTTGTCATGGTTTGTCCATTTTCAATGTCGACGAACTCATCCTTTTGCAGGAAACGGGAGCGCCGGAGAAAAAGTCGAAGGAGGAACGGGCCGGATGGACGGTGCGGACGAAACTTGCCGATCTGAGTGCGTTCCAATTCTATTGGGGCGTCAATTATCGGCGCGGAAAAGGGGAGTGGTACGAGACTACGCAAAGATCCGTTCGGCCTGACGAGAATTCTCGACGGCCCAACTCATCTGACGATGATTCGGAGTCGTCTGACAATGGGAACGAATTCACAACGGCCGAAATTAAGCCGCAGCCGATTAAGCAGTTGAAAGAATATACAACTTTCTTCAAAGGCTGTTTGTCGGAAGCGGATCGCATTATTGCCGGATACAGAAAAAAGTACATTGCTCCCAGAGTGAGACCCCGAACTTGATTGAATGCTGCAATTCTTATTATTCTTTTTCCAGATAGCCGGACCGCCGATTTTGAATCGACACAACTCTTTCTTGAAGGCAATCCTCACAGTTCTCAATTTCAGAAAGATACTTTTCGCGTTCTTTCTGACGACCTTCTTGAAATATTTGTTCAACCCGGAAGTCATTTTTGCCTTACTTTGGGGAAAATCCCCGGTTTCACAAGAGTTTAAAGCGGCGCGAGGTAAATTCGCAGAGCTCCTCAAGTACATGTTCGATTTGACGAGTGTGACGAGTTGTATCCACGAGTTGGACAATTCGAACATTTCCTTTTCTGTGCGAGAATGTCTCGATAGAACTTCTATAGTTTTGGCCAAGGAAGTGTTGAAAACGGTGAGCTGGAATTTACATACTAACCAGAAAGTCGCTGTGAGTCGGTATACCCAAAAAACTGACAGAACTGCATGTCAATATAGTTCATTCGAAACGATATATCTCAGCTGTCGGTAGTGATATAAATAAGTAATCAACTAGAGAAATGTACACAATGTTATAATGAACAAAAGATTAGTTGACAACTTTTCGATATCTCTATCGGAGCTGAGATATGTTGTCTTGAATAAACAGTTTTTAGAAACCGTACTATTACAGCTAGGGCTATATGCTACTTTTCAAACTTGACCGATTTTCAAATTTAATGCAAATTTGTAACTCAAGACTTAAAAAAATAATTAAAACAACTCAATTGCAGCTCCAGGTTCCACAACCGACAACGCACAGTCCCGAAGAGATGGGAATTTCCCAATTGACGATCGGCAGACAGAGACATTTCGTGAACGCGGCGACTGATGATCTGATTCCAAAGTACGGACCCCATCCTAGACATGTCTTCAAGACAATCGCCAAGAAGTTTGGATTCGAGAAGGACTGGCAATCGAATAGGCTCATAGTCGACTGGTTCAATCAGTTCTTCGAGGCCTACTTCAACCAGACGGAGAACTTCCACGAGCAGTTGAGGGTCAAAGTGAAGAATGGGACTTTGGATTGGAAGATGAAGGCGTACTACGCACACCGGTTGTTCGCTCGATTCTGGAGATTGACGAGGCACGGAGATGTGGAGGCGATGTCTTTTCAAACTCAAACGGCTGTCTTTCGGAACTTTGCGGTTGAGCGCAAAGTGCTCCACGCGTTCACCATCTTTGCCATCAATGCAAGACTGAGCCGAGAAATGAGACAACACGTGGTCACATATCAACTCAACTCCCAGTACATGGTCTGCAAAGAACTCGTCTACAAACACTTTGAATCGCTACTCGTGGAGCCGTCCGGCATTGCGCTTCACTATGAGCTGAATCCCGCCAGATTTCGCATATACAGAAACGAGAAGGATATAAAACAGTGAGTCTTTGAAGAGCTTTGGGCAATGTTAATTTTAAATCGAAACCATGTACGTGTTGTGAACTACGACATTCCGAAAGAACCGCACCTCAACGCGCTGCGTTCTACAAACGTCGTCTTTTATTGATTCACACTTATTGTCTTTCCCTCCCATTATTCAATCCATTATTTATTTTCAGAGGAATGATCAGCTCCGAAACGATAAAACAGTCGCTCAACCTGGACCGGATCAGCAGGATCAACTTGCGTCGTGTGAAAAAGAATATGTACGGGCCAAAGTTCCGATCGCGGAGTGTCGGCCACCAAAGATCCGATCACAACATGCTGAGCCGTTGGGCGTCGGCAATTTCACTCAAAGAAATCAACGAGTACGGAAAGTGGAAGGTCGAAAGGGCGCAGAATGTGATGGAACAGGAAGTGAACAAAACGTCCCATTGTGTGAGTTGCTTTCGAATTACCGACACGAGAGACTATGATTGCAGTTGGAAGAGCTCGAGGAATTCCGGAGTGAGAAGTTCAAGAGGACCGTCCTGGACGGGCTCGGATTCGTGGAAGACTGGTCGAAGAGCATGGAGTTCCGGACCAAAGTGGTCAAACTTGTCATGGTTTGTCCATTTTCAATGTTGACGAACTCATCCTTTTGCAGGAAACGGGAGCGCCGGAGAAAAAGTCGAAGGAGGAACGGGCCGGATGGACGGTGCGGACGAAACTTGCCGATCTGAGTGCGTTCCGATTCTATTGGGGCGTCAATTATCGGCGCGGAAAAGGGGAGTGGTACGAGACTACGCAAAGATCCGTTCGGCCCGACGAGGATTCTTCTGAGCCCAACTCATCTGACGATGATTCGGAGTCGTCTGACGATGACCGTGAAGATGAATCGAAGGAAGAGGTGAAATCGAATGAAATTGCGCCGGAGCCGTTCGAGCTGCTGGATGACTATAAAAGTTTCATCGAGGACATGAAACTGGAGATGCGTTTCATTAAATTGGACTACTCAGAAAAATACACGAAAAAAAAAGTGAGACCCCAGACTGAATTAAACGATGAAATTGTTTTTCTTTCCAGGTAGACGAGTTTGGAGTTGTATCCCAGAGCACGAATAAATACGGTGTTCTCACAAGGGGCTTCTGCAAAATTCTACACTTCAAATTCGTCATTTTTGAGCATTTGTTGTATACCTTCTCGAAATATTTGTTCAATCCGGAAGCCAACTGTGCCCTTCTTTGGGGCCCTTCCATCCATTTGAAACGACACTTTAGAGTGGCGAAAACGAAATTCAAAGAACTCCTCAAGGAAATGTCCGACTGTACGATTCTGGATAAGTGTCTGAAGGAGTTGGACGACTTGAAATATTATGCTCGTGAGAAAGACGAGATAAATAACACGACGTCGATTTGGACCAGGGAAATGATTAGGGCGGTGAGTGGGAAATGCCCTTCAAACTCGACCCGCTTTAATTTGCTATTTTGCAGGTCGAGATTCCCCAATCGATGACGTACATTCCGGAAGAAATCGAATTTCCCTCACACTCGGTGGTGGGCAGACCGATAAATCTCATGACCGTGGCGATTAACGAACTTATTCCACCGTACAGACCCCATGGAAAACAGGTGTTCAAGACACTCGCCAAGAAGTTTGGGTTCGAGAAGGACTGGCAATCGAAAGGGCTCATAGCCGACTGGTTCAATCAGTTCTTCGAGGCCTACTTCAACCAGACGGAGAACTTCCACGAGCAGTTGAGGGTCAAAGTGAAGAATGGGACTTTGGATTGGAAGATGAAGGCGTACTACGCTCACCGGTTGTTCACTCGATTCTGGAGATTAATGAGGCACGAAAGCACGGAGGCCGAGAAGTTTCAAAAAGAAACGATTGAATTTCGGAACTATCCGAGCGAGCGCAAAGTGCTCCACGCGTTCACCATCTTCGCCATCAACGCGAGACTGCCAAAAGAACGACCGAACGAGTACGTGCACGCGTTCCAACTGCACCGCTACTACCACTTATCGCGAACACTACTCCGCGAAAACTACAAACCGCCACCCGTGGACCCGATCGACTTTGTGATTCGATATGACGTGCAGCCGGGCAGATTTCGTGTGTACAAGATTAAGAATAAGGATAGACGGTGAGTGTTTGAAAAAGATCTGCCTTCATGAATCTATTTTCAGTAGTTGTATTGCTAAAGCTCGCATAAGCAGAAAGAGGCCAGCGAAAAAAGAATGAGGAAGGAGCAAAACTATTTGTATAATCAATGTTTATTTCATATTTTCACATCGTATACCTATTGACTATTATTATTGATAAAGAGAATACAATCAGCAGCGATCAGATAACCTCGCGCCGCTGTAAACTCTTGTGAAACCGGGGATTGACCCCAAAGCAGGGCAAAAATGACTTCCGGGTTGAACAATTATTTCCAGAAGGTCGTCAGAAAGAACGCGAAAAGCCTCTTTCTGGAATTGAGAACTGTAAGGATTGCATATTCTGCGCCCTTTCGACCTTCCACTTTCCGTACTCGTTGATTTCTTCGAGTGAAATGGCCGACGCCCAACGGCTCAGCATGTTGTGATCGGATCTTTGGTGGCCGACACTCCGCGATCGGAACCTTTGCCTCCTTTCCAGCCGTCCGAAGTCGACCTCGCTGATATGGTCCAAGTTGAGGGACAGTTGTATTGTTTCGGAGCTGATCATTTTTCTGAAAATGAGCTTAAGTTTGACGATTAGTAGGAAGAGATGGGACAAATAGGGAATCAATAAAACATGTGTTACGTGTACAGCACGGTGCGGTACTTTCGTTGTGGAGTGTCGTAATAGTTTCCAGAGATCAAAACTTACTAAACTAATGACTCGTGAAGGGCAGTGTTGAGCGGAATTCCGTCTGCCGTCTTCCGTGGTTTATTTGTTCCGTCTTCCGTCTGCCGTCTTCCGGAATTTTTTCTTCTTACCGTAAAGGAGTAATAGTTTTTCAGAAGCCATTTACTAGCCCGAAGAACGCGAATTTCCACGGGCAGTGACCCAGATTCAATATTTTTGTTGTTTAGTTATTTTTTTCCAAATAAAATCGGAGAAAATGGTTCTGCATTGACAATTTTTTTGTTCCGTCTTCCGTCTTCCGGGAAAAATGTTTTCTTCCGTCTTCCGTCTTCCGTGAGAAAAATTTTCTTCCGTCTGCCGTCTGCCGTCTTCCGGGATTTCGGATTTCAAAATTCCATTTCCGCTCAACTCTGGTGAAGGGTTTCACAAAGCTTTCATGGTTTGAAAAGGGTCAGAGGGAGAGGAAGAGAGAGAGAGAGAACGACTTCTTGCATAGCAATAACTTCGGATCAGAGGAAGAAGGGATACAAATAAACAGTAATACACTGCCGGTCATAATTATTTGTTCACTTCAATTTTTCGAATATTTCGAAAACTAGGCGCTGTATCCAAAAAAGTTCTTAAGGGGATTTTCGGTCACCCAAGATATCACGAATCCACAAACCAAACCATTAGACTTCAGTGAGAAATTTTCCAAAAATCGAGATTTCTCGAAAAAGTGACTTTAGCGCTTGGTCAAAATTATAGGTTCACTGAAATTCACTGAAATTAGCCAGAGGGTCAACTGAATAATTTTTAATTTCAGTCATAACGTCTTCAAAGACTGATTATGACAGTCTTACATCGATTTCCGACAAGCCTCTCGGTTCCCAGATTTTTTGAACCAACTTTCATTGAGTTTTGGGTCAATCATAACTCTTTGTCTTAAAATCGAACCTAACTTCGGTTTTTTGGCCGGACGACAACAGGATCATTCTGGAATGAGTATTTTGTGAAGTTTTGGGAAGTTTCATTGAGAATTTACGAGAATTTGATATCTTTCTCTAATGTTGAAGTGCTTTGGTCGACTAGTCCCAAGTAAGTTTACATCTGGTTTTTGCTCAAATTTGGAGCAATCTCTGAGAGACTTGACGGCAAAATGAAGGACCCATCCAACAATGCACTTGCCAAGTTTGGTACGAATCCGAGCATTCTGACCAAGCTTCGGAGACGGTTGTCAGTTTCGGTCCTTCAAAAAATGCAGAAAAATTTCATGCTCCGGATTTGCTCGGGACTAAGGGGGAATGAGAGGTCCCATGAAGGGTACAAAGCGCGTAAAAGGTCTCTGTTTCTTTTTCAGGACCTCTCATTCCCCCTTAGTCCCGAGCAAATCCGGAGCATGAAATTTTTCTGCATTTTTTGAAAGACCGAAACTGACAACCGTCTCCGAAGCTTGGTCAGAATGCTCGGATTCGTTTCGTACCAAACTTGGCAAGTGCATTGTTGGATGGGTCCTTCATTTTGCCGTCAAGTCTCTCAGAGATTGCTCCAAATTTGAGCAAAAACCAGATGTAAACTTACTTGGGACTAGTCGACCAAAGAAAGCACTTCAACATTAGAGAAAGATGTCAAATTCTCGTAAATTCTCAATAAAACTTCACAAAACTTCACAAAATACTCATTTCAGAATGATCCTGTTGTCGTCCGGTCAAAAAACCGAAGTTAGGTTCGATTTTAAGACAAAGAGTTATGATTGACCCAAAACTCAATGAAAGTTGGTTCAAAAAATCTGGGAACCGAGAGGCTTGTCGGAAATCGATGTAAAACGGTCATAATCAGTCTTAGAAGACAATATGGCTAAAATTAAAAATTATTCAGTTGACCCTCTGGCTAATTTCAGTGAATTTCAGTGAACCTATAATTTTGACCAAGCGCTAAAGTCACTTTTTCGAGAAATCTCGATTTTTGGAAAATTTTTCACTGAAGTCTAATGGTTTGGTTTGTGGATTTGTGATATCTTAGGCGACCGAAAATCCCCTTAAGAACTTTTTTGGATACGGCGCCTAGTTTTAGTTAGTGAACCTATAATTATGACCGGCAGTGTAGTAGTTGTAAAGAGCGGGGGCAAGGAACGTCGGATCAGAGGAAGAGAGAGATGGTTGGGTGGGGAGAGACCCCATGGGTAAAAATGGAATAAAAAATGAGACGGCAATAAATAAAATGACTATTTCTGCCTTTATATACCCCTCTGGGCGTGGCCATTCTAATTAGTGGGCGTGGCCACTGCACCTGGCTTTTCCTTCTTCCTGTTGTGGGCGTGGTATACTTTCCCATCAGACTCCTTTGCCGGCATTCTTATCACTAATCTCCGCCTTTAATTAAGACATCAGGTGTGGGAATGTGAGCTTCAAGCGGATTTGCGGCAAGTTTCAAAGAAGCTGACTTAATTACAGACGGAGATTAGTGATAAGGACTCCGATGGGAAAGAACGATTGGGATTTCGAAAAGTCATGGCACCATGCCAAGAGGATTCGGAAAACGAGTGATAAGGAATTGAAAAATGAAAAAAAAAGGGTGCGCCAAAAGTATGGTAACACATTTCAATTACACGAACCAACATGAAAATGCAGCTATAATAGCCTATAATTTATTGAAACCACTATAAACGAGATAATATTATAGTTGTTCGATGCGGTTGCCTTTGTTCTTGACAACATCGTCAAGTATTGTTATCGACAGAATCAAGTAGATATTGCTCGTTTTATTCATGAAATGTATGCTTCTAAAGTTCACAGAACTGTCAATCAATTACAGACTTTAACAAAAAACAAATGAAGAACTACTGGTAGCGTCTTGCGTTCACGTAGCTCGGTCCTGGCTCATTGGCCCCACCGGCATGCTCATTTCTTCTGTTCGGACTCAAAATGGCCAACTCTTTGTTCAAACATTTGTTCCGCTCGCACACCCTGAACACATTTGGTTTTGTGACCAATTTGAACTTTGACTTACTCGGCATAATTCTCATTCAGCTGCTTGTTTTCATTAATCAGCTCCGTGTTACGTTTACTCAGTCTTTCATTTTCATCTCCCTGTCTGAAATAATCGAGACGGGTTGTTCGAATTTCAAAGTGTTCTCACATATCCAAACGGTGGAATGCTATTTGCAAATTATTCAATTGGGCCTCTTTTGCATTCAATTGTTTGCTTATGTCAGTGCATTCTCTGGAAATTCATAAAAACGTATAATGATAGTACATGGTATCGTGATGCTCACTTGGAGAACTGCAAAACTTGCTCCTTCAAACGATCAATTTCCAGATCCTTTGTGCCGATTTCCATCCGTCCTGATTCCTGCGATTTTCTGAAAATCGAAACTTTTCGCGATCTTTTGCAATTGATTCACCTCAAATTTCCGATTTCCCGATTCAATGCGTCTTTCCTAGAAACTTTTCTCAATTTTTTAGTCGAAGAATGCACGAAACTCACTCGGTTTTCAATTTTTGGTTTTCCGAAATCAATACGCTCAATTGATTGTGATTTCCACAAAGTTCGTCTGTTTTACTGTAAAATGGAACTTTAGCACCACGTGACGGGTCAAGAATGAACTTTTTCAATTCGTTTGCCAGGTTCTCGGTCCGCTTGCTTTCCGTAATTATATAGTTCTTATAAACGGAAATTTCTTCTAACAAATTTGCAACTTCACTGGAAAAAAATATTGTCAACGTGAACAAATGCAATCGTTTTCGAATAACTCACGCTCTAGACATTATTGATTGAGCGAAGACTGGAAATGTGAGTAATAGTGAGAAATGATGTTATCAGTGAGAATGACGAATCGGAGAGAAAGAGAGAGAGAGAGCGCTTTGATTGTGCTGACTCTTCCCTTTTCAGTCCTTATCAGTTTGACAAACGTTTGCTGCAAACTATTGCGCCAGCAAAGGAGCTCTACTAACTTTGTTAGCGTTATGTACATCGGAGAATTGTTGAACCGAAAGTATTGATTTTGTAAAAAAAAGGTTCTGAAAATGTGGAATCAAGACTGATTCGCAATATGGTTGGTGTATGAGAATCATGGCGATGCTCGTGATGATTCCATGGGAGTAACCGATTTTGACGAATCCTCAAATAGCTGCCTAATAAGCTACATTTCTTCTTGTCATTTACCCTGATTATGATACCCTGTGAGCACTGATATTGTAAACAGAGATCGAAAAGGCCGCAAAGGCCTGAAACGTGGGCCCAATATACTTCAACCCAAATCCAAGAAGCCTGCGAAGTTAAGGTCCGATCGGACTGCTAGTGGCCCATTCATGAAAAGTAACACATAGCAGCCATTGTCGAAAAAAAATTTAATTAAAAAAAAACAAAAGACAACAAATGACAGTTCAGATCACAGCAGATCTATATTTAGTCGGGGAATCTCATTGCGGAGACGGGGAACGGGATGGATCGCGACTGGCCGAACGGGAGCGGACTGGACTACGGCTGGCCGAGCGAGATCGGCTGCGAGACGGAGAACGACGTTTCGGAGAGGCACGGTCACGGGGAGATCTCGAACGGGAACGCGACGGAGAAGCACGACGAACTGGAGACCGGGAGCGGGTACGGGACCGGGACCGGGAGCGGGAACGGTCACGGCTGGTCTTCTTTCCGCCGGCCGACGAGTCCTCGCGAACACGGATGTACGCAGTGTCACCCTGAAAATATACTGTGATTAAGAAGAAAGGGTTGACTATGAAACTAACCTTATGGGAGCGGAACTTGGTATCGTCCAACTTGCGGATCGCATACTTGACGTCCTCGTAATTGACGAACTCGACGATTCCGGTTCCGTCTCGGGCGACGTCCGCGTAGCAGATATTGCCCGCCTCGCGCATGTGGTCCTTCAGGTCCTGCCACGATCCGGTTTCCGGCAGTCCCTCGACGATCACCCGGTGTCCGGTGCCCTTCTGCGGTCTTCCGCCTCCGTTGCCACCTCCGAATCCACGGCCTCCGCCGCCGCCGCCGCCGCGCGAGTCGTTGATCGGTCGGCCGCCCGGTCCTCGCGGACCCACTCCACGCGTGAACTCGACCGTTATGCGCTTTCCGTCGAATTCGTATCCGCTGCGGCCGTGGAGCGCGTCCTCGGCGTCACGGTTATCCTCGAACTCGACGAAAGCGAAAGCGGGTCCAGAGCGGCCCGACTTGATCGAAACGTTCTTGATTCGCCCGTACTTGGTGAAAATGTCCTCGACTTCTTGCTCGCGCACGTCGCTTGGCAGGTTGCCAACGTACAGTTTTTGGTCTCCGCGAGGCATCGTTGAGGCTTACTGAAAGAACATCGAATTATTAAGGTACGGGGGGAAAGGTGAACGGAAAGAAGAAGACGAGAAATGGAAGTGAAAGAGAGAAAAAAGAGCTCACCAGCTCGGACGAGGACCGAACGATGAATGAATGAATGTGAGGGGGCTCTGTGACGGTCGGAGAATGAACGCAACGCGGTGCAAGAAAATCAATAGACAAGTGGGACACTGTGCGGCTGACCTAGATGGGGCCGAATAGGTGAGAGGAGGAGGGCGAGGAGGGCTCACCAACGAATGACGGATGGAGAATGGATGGAAGATGGGGTTATGGGATGAAGGAGGGAGGTAACGGTGCAAACAAAAGAGACAAGACGAGAGCAGCACAGAAAGGAATTGACAATGTTTGAAGTTAAAGCTTTCAAATCCGAATGATCAAAAAGACATAATTTCTGCCAGCTCAGAAGAGAACTTGACATTTTCCCTCCAACAGAACTTTCCGCGCTCAGTACGTGTCGTCCGGGGAGGTTCCTATATCGTGGTTCTTGCACTGAATCTGATAGGATACCAGTTTCTCACATTCGGCTCCGGTGGCTCTGAGAAAACGCTGATAACCAGTTCAAGAAGCTGTACAGAATGTGACGCTCACCTCTTTAATGACATTCAAATCGAACTTTCGACCGGAATGTGGCGACGAAACGGATTGTGCCCACTGATCTGCGAGTTACGATTTCTCCGCTTTTCCGAATCAGATGCCGAAACGCCGCATATTTTTCTAAAACTTGGCCTTCTCGGTTTCAAACGAGTATATCTCGGGATCAGATTATTCGTTCGGTCTGAAACTTGAACCCAATATACATCAATGCAAGTCCTAGAAGCCTACAAAGTTTGGGCCCGAGCGGAATATTTAAAGTGGGTCAATAACATTTTCGAAAAAAAAAAACACGTTACTGACACCAGAATAACAAATTAGTGCAGTTTTTAAACAAAAACAGACCTTTGTCGCAAATCTGAATTTGCTACAATCACACTTTTGACAATAAAACCGCCGTTCCGATGACGTTTTCCGTAGTTCTCGAAAAAACGGAACTATCGACATTTTGTGTGACGAATCCTAAAAAATACGAAATTTCTGCGTGAACTATCGGAAGACTGACGAAATCTTACCATTTTCACTTAAAAAAATTCAATCGTATCTGAAAGTTAGCAACGAAAAACAAAAAAGGACGGGAACATAGGTAAAATCAAGGTTTCGGGTCAGTTTTCTACTCTTGAAGGATGACGGAAATCGAAGAAAATGTCCGTAGTTGACCGTGAAAGTGTTTGCGGAAAAGAGGGAGAGGAATAAGCAGTTTTACACCGCTATTAGCGAAGGGTTCTCCATTCTGAAATACATTTGAAGATCAATTAGAGTAAAGATCTTTCAATCCTCGAAATGAACACAAACTCACGGAAAAACAAGTACAAATGCAAATGACACATTTTAGAAATTGGATAATTTCGACGCGCACTTCAATTCCTTTTTACACAAAATGGCACAAACCACACATGAATTGAGTTTAATCACAATAATGATAATAAAGACATCGGGTGAGAAATAGGGAATTTTTACAATCAAATGGATAAAAAATTAGTGAAATCAGTGGAAGAGTCATGAATTCTCTTCGTAGTCGAAGGAAGAACTGCCGGATCCGGACGGTCCCTCTTCGGCCGGTCCCTCGTAGGCCAGCACGTGCATCACCGGCTCCCGTCGTCGACCGTTCAGCACCGATGTCCCCTGTTGCGTCTGAAATCGTTTTCAGTTGTTAAAATTTGAAAAATCTGCTAAAAATAGGCACAAATCTGCAATTTTTCATGAACTTTGCTGGAGTAGCGTAGAACGTTGAAAACTTGCTGAGAATCGAGAAATTACACATTTTTGTTATGAACTTTATGAATTTCAGTTAAAAAACCGACAGAGCACATTCGCAAAGCCCAAAATCTAACCGGATCACCGTTGGAACTGGTGACGACACCAGCGGCCACGGGGGAAAGCGTCGAGTTGGTGGTAGCGGGCGTGTGTGCCGTGGTCACCGTCGAGACAGTCGGAGTTGCATTCGAAACCGTCGCGACCCGGACTTCGAGCGGTCCAAAGGCGCGTTGCAGAGAACGATCGGACATCGGTGTCGTAGGCCTAGAATCGGAACGGGTCCAGGTGGTCGAGGTGGCCGATCGGGTCGGAGTACTCGGAGCCTGGGCGTACGTGCGCGGCGACGGGGTGCTCGCGGCTCGCTGCGGTGGAGGTGTTTGGACAGTCAATTCGATTACATTCCGGAGGCATTCGTTGTGGGCAGAAGATGAAGAAGAAGGAGAAGGTGCCGGCTGGGTCCCTGAAACTGGATCGGGCCCATGGGAAGCACTCGATGATTCTTCGGACGGAATGGATCCGGAAGTGGACTGCTCTTCCGATCCTCCTTCGTTGGCATTTTCACCGTCTTCCACTTCTCTGGGACACGCCTCCTCTTTTCGGTCGGATTCTTCCGCCTTTCCCACTGCTTGATTAGCTTCCGTTTCCGGCGCGTCTTCTAAAAATTTTTCAATTGGAAAAGGGTTTTTAGGCAGAATTGCGTCATTTCTGTGTTGTTTTTGTGTGAAACGCGGAAAAAGGCAGACTTGTCTGGGTTTTAGTACTAAATTTTGAAAAATAGAAGATTTTTGACGAGCCTAAAATCGGGGTTTTTCAGGTCGTTGAAATGTCGAAAAATCACGGCACAAACCGGGATTTCTATCGAATTCATCGTCTCTCAACTCTCCGGCATTTTCCAACGCACTCTCCTCCTCGTCGAGCGCTTCAGAAGACAAATCGTTTTCATTTTCGAGGTCCAACGTCGTTTCCTCCATGTTTTCCAGCCAATCCCGGCGATTCAGCCACAGATGAGCGTGCTGAAAGGCACCGATACTTTTTGTTGGCAAAAATTAAAAAAGCAGCCAACTTTGTGGTCCAATCGGGGTGCCAGTCGAGGTTCCGGCCACAAATTAGTTCGGACCTCGAAGGACGGGCTGACTTCTTCGGGCGACAAGTATGTCTCCGTCCTCGTCGGCTTAGACCAATTGTAGCTGAAAAGTTGCAATTTGAGCGTAGCATTTTTGTAGAACTTGGAAAAAAGTGACATATACTCAATTTACCGCTCTTGCCCTCTCGGTGTTTGCAGACTCAAGCCTAATTTCAGGAAATTTTGGCTTGAGTCTACAAGCACCGAGGGGCAATAGCGATGAATTGAGTTAACAAAGTTATTTTCAATTGAACCACATCCTCTATCATTTCCCTGAAAATTTAACAAAAAAGTTTTTTAGAACAAAACGAGCTTATCTGAAATCGAAAAAATGAGGAAGAAACAAGGAGCCACAAAAACCGTGAAAACTTTAGCCGAAATACGAAATTTTGTGCGTTTTTGAGATGAAAAAGTTAAAAAGAACATAATTTTTTGATTATCAGTTGAGAGAAGCAAGAAAAGCGACGGAAAACGGCTCGTAAATTCAAATGATTCTGTCTGGCGCCGCCGAAATTCAAAATTTGCAATAGAGCACATTTGCAACGTTTTGTCAGGAAAAGCTAAAAAATTCACGTTTTATGCGAAAAACGTTGGAAAACGATAAAAATTGTGATATATCGAACAGAGTGGGAAGTGTTTTTCATGTTTATATATATACATACGAGCGGGCTCATTTCACTTGGCGTCATATTTGTTATGTTTCTTCTTCGCCTCCATCGCTCGTCTCTCCGACGCAGTCTGAAGGCGTTGAATCCGAATGTAGGGTTCGGACTCCAACTCCAGGTACCGCAACATCGCTTTCTTCATCCCCGGATCCTTGCACACAGCGATGAACTCACGGAAGTCCTTCCCAAAGTTGTTCTTGATGAATTCCGGCTCGTTCTTGAACGGGACACACCTTCCGTACACATAATCCGGCGGGAATCGATTCTTTCTCGATCGGAACATTCTGAAAGTTATTGAGATTGAAATCTGGAGGACAGGAAGCCAGGAGTTACTCGAAAAGGTCTCGGATCTCGGGCTGATTCTGATTGATCAGCATCCATCCGTTGCCGATGAGCATGAACTGCTTCTTGGCACGAGTTATGGCCACGTTCAGGCGGCGTAGGTTCGACACGAAACCCAGGTGCTCTGCAATTACAGACATCGAAAGAGACGAATGAGCATGACTCACTTTTCGGATTGTTTCTGACCAACGAAAAGATGACGATGTCGTACTCCTGTCCCTGGTAACTGTCGACAGTGCCGACCGCGAACATTCCGGCCAACTCGGGGATCTTCTCGTTGAGCAGCGTGCCGATCAGGTCGGTTTGTCCTCGGTACGGACTGATGATCGCCACGTTCTCGTGACTCGTGCCCAGCGAGAGCAGATTGTAGTAGTGCTGCACGACGAGTTCCGCTTCTCTCCTGTTCGCGTAGGTTATCGAACGCTCGTCGGATCGGTTGAACACGGCACTCTCCCACGTGTCTGGGATCTTGGCACTGTCCGTTTCCAAACAAGTGTCGATCATGACGAACGGGTTGTAGAGCTTCTCTTCGAACGATCGCAGTCGAATTTCCGATCTGAAATTCATCGTTTTTTTTTGAACGTCACTAATCATTCGTACTCAATCAGTCGACTTCCATCAGAAATTCTCTGCTTCAACTCGTTATTGTAGAATGACTTGTTCGACCATTCGGTGATCCATGAATGGGATCTGTACTGATTCTGAAGCATAACCCAACTGTACTCCTCCTTCCGTTCGCAGATCCGCTCCATGATAGAAGTTGCCAGGTGGAACTGTATGCCACTGAAATTATACAATGAATATACGAAAATGATAAAGTGGGGGAGGGTCAACTCACTCCTTAGTGAATACTAGAGCCGGAAGTTGGTATGGATCACCGGCCATCACAATTCGCGGCATTCGGAAGACGGACGGCCACGTGTGGGCTTCCATCACTTGCGCGGCTTCGTCTGAATATGGCTTTGTTTTCGAACCTCGTAGGGTCTGAACTTGCCGATGATGCACACGGATGGATTGAACTCTTTGCACTTGCCGACAATGTGCACAAAAGAAGAGGTGACCGTCGAGAACACGACCTTCACCTGCTTCATCAACATGTTTGTCGTTCTGATCTTCAGAATGTGCAATAGAGAATTCCGTTCCTTCTCGTAATCCTGCTCCGTGATTGCTCCCGCCTCCAGCTGATCCTCCTTACCCTTCAAACATTCCGCCACTTCCTTAGCCTCTTCGGAATGATTCATAACATAGCTAAACTTGTTTATGTCCATGAAATCTAGAAATAAAATCATTCATTTCGTGCTGACTTACTGTCTACCCGAACCATTCTCTCCAATTTCATACCGCATAAGCGCCAAATAGTTCTCGGTGGCCGCTTTTATATTGTTCATCGCCTCGTTCGTCGGCGTCAGCACCACCGCCGTCTTGCCCGATTTGAGCAGTTGGTAGATGATGAGTGCCAGGGTGCGGGTCTTTCCGGTCCCGGGCGGTCCCTGAATGCACACGAGCTTTCGCTGTTCGTTGAGAGCCATCGAGGCGGCCCTCAGTTGAGACTGGTCAAATCGGCATGCGGCCGTGTTGCGGTCTTCTATCTGCTTCAGACTCTCCACGTCTGTGCGGAAGCCGTCGAGCACATTAAGCAGCGACTCGTCTTGGTTTTGATTTCCGTTCTCCTCAACTGTCGATTGGAAGATTTCGTTTTGCAAATACTTTTCTTTTCTGAAATTGGGATTATCGATGGCCTAGTAAGAGTCTGTACCTCCAGTACTCCAGAACGTCGGTTTTAGTCGTCCGCTCAAATCGGAAGATCGCATCAATCTCAAACTGCCTGGCGAACATTCGAGACTCCCTGGAGCGCAGTCTGACCATGCACCTCTTTCCCTTGGTGCCAGCGACGAACACAACTCCGTCGTATCTCTCCAACGCCGGATCGTCGACGTACTCGTCGTTCGCGTCCAGCCGCATTTTGACGAGAGTCACCGGAGTGGCGTCCGCTTGCTCCATGAACAGTTTCTGATAGGTCATGTCCATAAGACTGAACACCGGCCGAGGACCGTCGAGCACGTACTTGGTGTTGTACTTGACCAACTTCAGTTTGCCGATGACTGTCCAGCAGAACGTCTCCATATTGGTGCTGAACGCCTGCTCGATCGCCAACACATCTGGCAGTCTTCGGAACTTCTCCAGGGTTGACTCCGCACGAGCGGACATGCCTCCTTCTTGTCTGATTGCCTGCGCAATCTCAATTTCGAACGTGTCATCGAAGACGTTCACGACGAAGACAATCGAGTGATAGATCCCCGGAGCCATCTCCCGCTTCGTGTCGTTCATGAGCCCGAGTCCTTCGTGTCGGTAACACCCTATGGTCCCGAAATCCTTCACGCCCACAGCCACGTTCGTCATCGAATAGACAATTCTGTCGGTGACGCTGTCTTCGTGGCGGATGGATCGGAGGCTGCCCTCGTGGAATTTGATGACGACACCGTCAGAGAGTTCCACTTCGCTGTGAAATATGAATACTACGGACTGTTAAATAAAGCCAACTAACATTGTGGAAAAGTGCACGATAGCCCCAAGTGCCTTATCAATTCGCTCCGTACTTTTCAGATCGTACACCGCGCGAATATCAGTGTATGCACTGAAACAGGCGATTCGATGAACAAACATTCCGTCATTTCCGGGCTCCCGAGAGCAATAGAGATGGAAGCCGAAGTGATAGTCTTGATTAGACATTTCCACTCTGAAATATCAATGTTGGAAGAGAGGCAAACAGTGCGGAACGGACAAAATGCAAATGCGAATAGAGAGAGAGAGAGAGGAGGGAGAGAGGGATGACGAGCAGATGGATTCACAAGACAATTCCCAGACGAGAAGAAAGAGGGTGAGAGAAACGAGAGAAGAAAAGCCAAAAGAGAAAGGTAATGAGGGGTTCAGTGTGCGCGGTGAGCACCTGAAGTAATCACGCGTGATTACTCATTTGGAAAAGGTGTGATATCGGATAATGTTTTGGTGATCTTTCAGAGAGCGCATTTTTCGACTTGAAAATGAGTGGAATTGGCGATAGCTTGAAACATTTGAAAAGATTGTTGGAAGGGTGACACAAAATAACACAAACATGTTGTTGGTTCGCAATGACCTTCTGGACTGCTGGGCATATGTGAAAAACTTTGTTATTATTGTTAAAAAGTGTTATTATGTTAAAAAGCGATTTCCCGTTAATTTCTCTCAACTTTCGCCAAACTTTATAAATTTCTTCCGTTTTTCACAAAAAGTGTTTAATTTTCCACTGAATAGATGGATTTTCCACTAAAAACCCAACGATCTTCGGCTTTTCTAGTGAAATTGCAAAGATTTTTCAATTTTCCCTATTGTCGATGCAATTGCGCTCTGCTGCACTCATTTTCGAAATTGATCTCGGCGCGAACTTTTTGTAGGCTTTTTTCTCCGTTTTCCATCGCAAAATCGTTGTTTGTCTCAAATTGAAACCATTCTTGTTTCCCATCTTGAAGTCGTCAAAATGTAAATGTTTCATCAATTTTTCAGCAGAACGATGGACGACGTGATGCGATTCGTTCATCGGCTCGATCAGTGGTTCTATCGGGATATTTCTGCAGTGCTCATGGTAGTAAAATCCGCCCAACTCGCTTTGTACACTGCTTTTTGAGATTATTCTCAAAAATTTCGCATTTTCAGCTCCAAATGGCTTCAAAAGTCGCCGGATCGGACCGAAAACTGCTGGAAAGTATCGGACCGAAAACTGCTGGAAAGTCGTCACGTGGAAGAACGATGGCTGCTTTTTAGCAAATGGCTGGAAACTGCGCAGAAAATTAAGTTGGACCTCGAAAATGACAAAGATCGGTCTTCTGAAAGAGACGACGAGGAGGAGAATCCGTTGGAGATGGCCGGAGTGCACCTAGAGGTGGAATCCGACGACGATCCAGGTACTTCCAGCGAAAATTTTTTCACAATTCCCGACTATTTTTTGCTCGAATTGCAATGACAAAATCGTGAAATTCTCCGCCCCGAGAGGCTCCAATTCATTCGGACAACTTTAAGAGACTATATCGCCTGTTTTTGCCGGCCGCCATTTGTTTGAAATTTGCAATTGATTTGAAAAACAAACGGCGGAATTCTCTGATTTGGAGCCAAAATCTGCAAATTCCGCCTGTTTTTTTTGGCGCTTTTTCCGATCCATTTTCGATAAATGTGCTTATTTTTCAGATGCCGCCCGTCACTCGGCTCCGCCCCCTTCCGCTTCGTCTTCGTCTTTCAGCAATGCCCAATTCTGTCTTCCCCGAATGAACCTGGCACCTCTGGTCTCACGATCGAATTCCGAAGATCTGCCGACGCCGCCGAATTCAGCTGTCGCCGCTCCGTCGCGAGCCTCCGCCCTTTCCGCCAACGACGTCGTCGTCATGGAGTCTCCGCGAGATGCTCCGGCCGTTCCTGACGCTCAAAGACTGTAATATTCGGAGACTTTGCTGGAAATTTGCCTTTACGGGTCTTTTTCCTGTAGAAGATGGCCAAATTTCCGTTTCCAGACGGTTTTGTTTGCTGAAAACTGATTTTCAGTGACCTCGCCGTTCCGCCCCCACGATTGGAGCCCACGACTCCGTCCCCCTCGGAAAATTCAGACGAAGAGCCGATGCCGACGGGTCCGAACACGGCCAGATATGCTTCCGACGCCCCAGGACCGTCTTCTTCGTACTCCACGGCTCTGCCCACTTCTGAGCCAGCGGCCACAGCTCCGGTACAGTTTTTTTGCGACCGGACACCATTTTTTCGAATTTGGATTTATGACCGCATATTTTTACCTCATATTTTTGCAGTAACAGAAGAAGAAGGAGCGGCTCCTGCCGCCGCGGAGACAGCTCAACTGGAAGAACCGCCCGGTTCTTCTATTTCTTCGTCGAACCGATCGGCATCGACCGACTAGGAGAACTCGGCGCCTTCCGAGTTCCGTCCATGAATAATCCCAACCGATTTTTTATTTGTACTACCATCTACACCCTAACCTGATTATTCTCATTTAATTTGAGTCAACTTCGTGTTGTCATCCTTCTGTCCCAATTACATTTTCGTGTAAAATTATGCTCGCCATGAACTTCCATCGATTCCCCCCCGCCCATCTTCACTCACGCGACGCCTCACCGACCGCTACGCTTACCTTTATCCCCCGAATCCATTCATTCGCTCACACTTTCTCTTTTTTTTCTTGTGCTTTTGATTGCTTTTCCATTCAAAACACAACTTTTTCCAGCAAAATGCCGCGTGGAGCCGCTCAAAAACTATTCGTTGGCAACCTGCCAAGCGACGTGCGCGAGCAAGAAGTCGAGGACATTTTCACCAAGTACGGCCGCATCCGGAACGTTTCGATCAAATCGAGCCGCGCCGGACCCGCGTTCGCTTTCGTCGAATTCGAGGACAATCGGGACGCCGAGAACGCTATCCGCGGTCGCAGCGGATACGAATTAGACGGAAAGCGCATAACGGTCGAGTTCACGCGAGGAGTGGGACCGCGAGGACCGGGCGGCCGACCGATGAACGACTCGCGCGGATTCGGCGGCGGTGGAAGACCGCAGAAGGGCACAGGACACCGGGTGATCGTCGAGGGACTGCCGGAAACCGGATCGTGGCAAGACCTGAAGGACCACATGCGCGAGGCGGGCGATATCTGCTTCGCCGACGTCGCCAAAGACGGAACCGGCATCGTCGAGTTCGTCAATTACGATGACGTCAAGTACGCGGTCCGCAAGTTGGACGATACCAAGTTCCGATCCCATAAGGTTCGTTTCAATATCAGCGTCTACGTTATATCACGGCGTTTTCTCAATTTTTCGTCCACGTAAACGAAAAAAAAACAGTGAGCGAGAGAGAAGCGATTTGCGTGTGAAAAGGCAGAGACGCAGACGCGCAACTGTTTTTTGCTCCAAAATTCGCCACAGAGTGCGTTCACATTAAAACAATGCCCCGATAATATATTTTCTTTTCAGGGCGAAACTGCGCACATCCGTGTTCGCGAGGACCCCGGAAGGAGATCGGCCCGTTCCCGATCCCGCTCGCCGGCCCGTCGTGCTTCTACCTCGCGTTCTCGTTCTCGGGACCGTTTTCCGCTGAGAGAATCGCGTCGACGGTCGCCGTCGCGCAGCCGTTCTCCGTCGCAATCCCGTTCCCGCTCGGCCAGTCGCAGCCCTTCTCCATAATGAGAATTATCGAATTGTTCCGCTGAAACCGTAAATGATCAATGTTACCGCAGCCCACCCATTCCAGTTTTTTTGTTTTAATGAATTTTTGCTCATTTTGAAACAAATTATTCATCAATGTCAGTCTATTTTTCGAAAAATTTAAATGAAAATCTGCACATTCTCTTCGGTGCGAAAAGTACATTTTTGTGTGAAAGAAAATAAATTTATTTCAGTTTTCATGGGGATTCCCAATACGAGTTCATGAATTTCTAGGCGACAACGACGTTGGGTCCTCCTGCAGACTTCTTTTTGCGTTGGAAATAGAAGAAGGCGGCGGCGGCGAGGGCCGAAGCACAGCATCCGATGGCGGCCAGCGCGATGAGCACGATCACCCACGTCTCGAGCCCTTTCGAGGGACAACCCAGCTGCTGAACTCGTCAGAATTGTCGAAAGTTTACCCGGGTTCAACATTTTTGAATAATTATTGATTTTTCAGGGTTTAACTCGGAAAATTGCTTTTCTTCAATGAAATTAATTAGCTAGTGCTGGACAAAATTCGAGGCCTGGACTTTTGTCCCACTTGTAATTATGGGTTTCTTGCATCAGACCGATCGGATGATCCGGTCCCGAGATATGATATCGGTCTGAAACAACTTGGACCCAATGCACTTCAATCCATGTCCAAGAAGCCCATAATTGCAAGTGGATCAAAAGTCCGGGCCTCAAAAAGCCTTCAAGACGCCTGGCCGGCCTTTTGCCCTTTTTCGTAAGTTTTTAATAGTGCATCAGAAGTGGCATTCCATAACAGATCTCATTCGAAATTAAAAGTTCTTGAACTACCCAACTTACCTTTCTGGCCTCGCTCGTCTGTAAAAAACAACAATTGTTTACGAATCGATGAGAATTTCACTAACCATGTCCGGATGATCGCAAAGAAGCGCACGAGCGGCAGCCATCTGGGCTTCACTCATTCCGATAATTCAAATTGAGAAACTGATTTGTTTGCTCCGCTATTTGCCAGCCTATCGTTCTTTATCTAATCAGTTTTAAATTTATTGATAAACATTTCGATAAACTTATCGCTAAGGTGCAAATTGAGCGGTAGCTGAAGCAGAATTCGATTTCTGACTTTTCAGTGTACCTTACTTCCTCGCACAAAACTTTTGTTTTGTGGAATGCTCCCCCCATTTTCCCACAAAAACACATAAATCGTTCCTCAGCCGGAAATTCTAATGAGATTTTCAGCGGCTCGCAATTTTCGGTGAGATCGGCTCACGACTTTGCCGGTTTCCGTCTCAAAGTCATCTCGGAAATGAACGGCACTTCGCATTCGATTTGGAATGAGAATCCGACGTTTTACCGGTTGGCGAAGCGATTCTACTCTGCCCTCCTCACCATCATCTATCCGTTCGCCCATTATTGTGTGCTCCGCAAATCACCGAAAAATTTCGGGGCTCTCAAGTGGGTCATCTACTTTCACACTGTTTGGTATGCACCTTTTTGTTGAATATTTGTTGAACATTTTAGACGTTTACAGTATAACTTGTGAATGGTTATCCAACGCTTTTCTCATAGACATTTTCGCTTTTCAACCGACGGTTGTCATCCGATTAGATGGCCTTTTGAGCGGATCTTTCGATGCTGTCACTCTTTTCATTTGGTACACTTTTATCGAAGAAAGTGGGTTTTTGGACACAGCATTTTATAAATGAAAATGTATCGAACAACTTTTCAGGCACCTCCACTTCGGCCCTAATTCTGTTCACGAGCCGTCTCATGCTGATAGTCAACATGTACCGTCCGTACCGTTCCTACAAACGCTACTTTCTGGAATTTCTGGTCTACCTACTGGTGACCGCCTTCGGAATGTGGTCCACAGCAATTACAATAGCACACCTACCCGATCAGGCTACGGCTAAAAATCAAATGAGTCAAGTGAGCGATTCTTAGTAAAAGAGAGCTAAAAGTTGAGGTTTTCAGGAAGCGTTCTATCCGGACTGCCTCTTCGAGCCCTCTACCATCGTCGTCAGTGATACGAATTCGGGAAGTGAGGGATGGATTGCCGTCCTGACGATCGTCAACTGGATCTCTATCGGAATCGCCATTTTCGCGTCCGCCAAAATCGCTTTCTGGATGTTGTCGCGAAGAATGGTGAACGAGTCGGAGACGACGAAGAAAATGCACCGAAAGTTCAACCAGAGGACAATTTTTCAGGTTAGAAAGAAGTTTGGATGGATATCATACAGTTGCGAAACGTCCCGAGGACGCCAAATTTGTTTTACAAAACATTCACACCCCGTATTTTACTTTTGCAGTTGACAACTTTTTTCTGCGATCATCCTGGGGATTGCTGTAGCGCTTGGAAGTTTGCAATGAAATGCAGTAGCTAATGTGGACCTTAACTTCAAAGCGCTATAACACTCCAAGAAGAGGTTGTCAAGTACAAAAATATTGTACTACATACAAACTTCTCACAAAAACACTTTGAGATCCATAGGACACTCTGCAACTGTACAATATCCATTCAAAGTTTTAAATGTTCTCAGGCGGTCGTGTACCTCTCGTTCGCGTCCATTCCGTTCACGGCCCTCTACACCACCATCCTGTTCGAAGTTTACATTCCGGGACTCTCGTACTTTATCGATTTCTTCTCGGAAAACCACCCGACCGCCTGCGCCGTCACTCTATTTCTCTATTATGATCCGTACAAATCGTACCTGTTCGAAGTGCTCAGAGTTCGCAAATCCAGTATAGATATGGGCAAGAGTTCGACGATTCTCGTGGATAAATCACCCACATTTGTTATTCGAAATTGACAACTCCATGAAATAAATGAGCATTATTCCAGCTTCAAAAACGCAAAATTGTACGGGAACGCGAATCCGACCGAATTCGCACTTGCGTCCACGTTATCGTTGTAGTTCGCGTAGATCACTGTCGCGTTGTCGTACTGGACACGGCGCGCGCGCGCGGCTTTTGCGACGTTCACCAAACGTTTGATCCTCAGCCTGTGCATTTTTGCACGCCGGTGTTGCTCTGCGTACAGTGCATTTTATGTTACGCGCAAAGTTCATTTTTTTTAGTTGTTGATGAATTTTCTCCAAATTTTCCAGGGCTGGGCAAAACATTGGCCGGCCTTGGCCGGCCAGCGGTCGGCCAAGGCTTTGGCCGGGCTAGTTGCAAGCGCGCTCCACTGCAAAAAAGCCCTGGCCGGCCCTGGCCGGCCAAGGCCGGCCAATGGTACGGTAAGCAATTCGGTTCACAGAGCGGTGTTTGCACACAAAGCATTTTTAAATAAAGAAAAAAATCGAAGAAATTATTTTAAAAATGAGAAGAAGACATGCTTGAAAGTAGAAAAAAAGGTGAAAAAGAAAGTAAGTGAATTAAATTTCGATGAAATGAAAGCTGACAAATTTCGAAAAATTAGCAGAAGTGAAGAGAAAAAAATAAAAAGAAAAACGACAGAATTAACGAGAACGAGATGCATGAGAACGAAACGAAAGAAAAAAATGTATGGGAACAACGTTATGAATCGAATTCATCGAATAGAGCATTTTTTTCTGTGAAAAATATTTGATCATGAAGTGAAAAAAACATAGAAAAAAGAAAACCCTTTCGAAAACACGTTTTTTTCTTTATTTAAAATGCTTTGTGTGCAAACACCGCTCAGTGAACCGAATTGCTTACCGTACCATTGGCCGGCCTTGGCCGGCCAGGGCCGGCCAAGGCTTTTTTGCAGTGGAGCGCGCTTGCAACTAGCCCGGCCAGGGCTTTTCATTGGCCAGCCATGGCCGGCCATGGCCGGCCATTTGCCCAGCCCTGAAATTTTCATCTCTTTAAAGCATTTTTCTCTTCTTTCTACCTCAATTAGATCTTTTTACAGATTTCAGATAAAGTAATACGCGAAGAGAAGTCGATGCGATGCAAAGAAACGCGTAAGTAAGTGAAAGTAAGGTTTTATTCAGAAAATGCACGATTTCTCGAAACACGTGACTAGATTTTCTAATCTTTTGGTTAAAAAGCTTTCCTTACATTTCTGAGAATGTTTTCGAACCAAAAAGAAGTAGAGTGACAGCTCGCTTTCGCGGAAAAACCGATCGTTTGCCGGAAGACGGTGAAATTTCCTTGAAAAATTTTTTTTTTGCTTTTACGAACTGTCACTCTACATTTTTTTTTATTCGAAAACGTTCATAGTCATGTAAGTGAACTATTTAAACAAAAAAATTAGAAAATCTAGAGACGGTTTTGAGAAATCTTTTTTTTTCAACGAAATGTCACTGCCCGGTGATGTTCTGATTGTCGGCGTTCATCGACCGGTAGAACCCGGTCTCCGAGTCGTTTCCACGCATCTCTGAATGATTCCGCATTCCGTCCGAATGTATTCCAGCTCATTTTGAGGGCTTTGTAGTACTTACATAAACCGCACTTGTCTGGCCTTGTTTAACAAATAGAAGTGTTCCAGACCTGAAGATTAATGCTGGAGTACAATAATTGGGACAACATGACTTGCATCCAAACACTTGTGGTTCGGCACTTTCATTGTGATTTCCAAATAACGCTCAGTGACCTGTAACCTTTATTCACATTTACATCTTCATTACAACGTAATAAATGCAAAATTATAGGGATAAGCGTATCCGACAGATTTGGCAGTTCCGTCATTGTAATTTCCATAGTATGCCGAGTCAGTTGTGCGCTGAAAAAGGACACTTAGAATAGAAGTTATGTGACCCGAACTAACCGATGAAAAGTATTCCGAAGCTTGTGGGAAACAGTTCTCCGCAGCCTTCTGCGACAAGAAATATCCGGGCACAGACATGGGCATTTCCATGTAGCCGAGTGGTGACGGACTGTTCTGGAAGTGCGTGATTCTCGTTGTCATGTTGCGCACTTCGTAGCAATTCAATTGTTTTCCGCATTTGTTGGCGACCGCCACCCGTACATCCTGGTCCATATTCCCGTAAATCGGACCGGGCAAGTGTTTGGGACTGAGTGTCCAGCCGTCGGCAACGGTCATTTCAATCGCATACTCGTCCACCAAATAAGTCGTCAGGTTGCCGAGAGTCAGGATGCGCACTGGTTTGAAGTTCACTATTGAGGGCTCCTGTGATGACAGACATTCTTTTTTTGTTAATTACCAAAAAAGGTAACCTTGAAGTTATCGGATAGTCGGGAGTTGATGTAGGGAGGAGTTCCAGTTCTGAAAGCCAGAGTTTCGAAATATGTTTTAATGGGAAATGTTTTGCAACTGTACCCTCACAACTCACAATTCAACTGTTTCATTCGTCCTGATCGTCCTGAATCCATATCCAAGAATTCGTGTGGGTTGGTAAAACGTGTCATAATCCGTGTAATACTCGTAAATATTGTTCATAGTATCGTATTTGTATTCTGCAAACAAACAAAAAACATTCACTTTTCTCTAAAAACATCCAAACCATTCGAATAATACGAAGACAGCTCGATGAGTTGGATGTCGTCACTGTTACAGTATCCCGGATACGGTGCCAAGTACCCGGCCACTCCGAAATCTTTCAATCCCCAATACTCAATTTCGTCGGCAAGCGCAAAACTGTACTTTCCAAAGTAAGAATCGTAAGCTGAATGGACTTCTCGTAGTTCCGGACACGAATTGTTAGCGGGCAGTTTGGCGAGCATCGAGAAGTAGAGATTTTTGGGAATTGGATAATCCGAAGAGTCTGAACACTAGAAGTTAGGTTTTCGATTTCACAAAATTCACTTACTGAACCGTTTGAGCATTTTGCTTTTCGTCAAACTTGTATAGAAAATGCGTGAAGTATCATCGAGATTTGTGAAAATCGACACCTTAGTGAGCTTGACCTCTTCAGTTACCTAAAAACAAGAATTTCGAGAAAGTCAATAGTTTTTACTCACCGCAGCTGAAAAGAATCCGAGAAGAACCACTGTAAATATGAGATGCTTCATGATTTTTCGTGGAAAACTTGTGAGAGTTCAAAAGTTTATAAGGAAAGCCTTCAACAAAAGGTTCAGCATTTTCTGTATGACTTTCTCATCGAACATTTGTCTGGTTTTTGCGAGTTTCACAGCCATAAAGTTCAAAACTGAATCTTTTGAAAACGTCTTGAAGTTCAATACACAAAACACCCTACGTACATAAGAATGAGAACGCGACAAGTGAGATTTCTGGTGACCGAGTTGGTCTAATAAATTCATGTACATTAGAGGAATCCGGAGTCTTTGAACATTTCCGGATGCGAGAATTCCAACTTGATGACGTTGAACACGCGACCGAGTTCTTGTTTCGGACGAGATTCCCAGATCATTCTCTGCAAATGCATAATTGAAAATGAAGAGGTCTTTAAGATTGCCTCACCTGTATCGCATTGTTCACTTGCATAAGTTTCGCGAGTCGGTAGAAGTATCGGGGCCTGTTCAGTTCATTTACATAATAATCGTGTAAATCATTGGCGAGTATCTTTTGAAATTGATCCGTCACTTTCATAATGTCTCCCTGATATCGTTTGCCCGCATATTCGAAGCATAGTTGGGCGAACATGTAGGTCAGCTCAGTGTCAGTTGGGTCGATCGCCAGTATATGTTCGGTTGTGTCAAACTCGCTGCAGTTCTGAGCCGCCATGAATCTTAACAAACTTGTTTTGCATCTTTGTTCTAACATTCATATCTCAGCTGCCATTAGAGATATCAAAAAGTAGTCAACTGATAATTTGTTCAGGAGGACATTTTGAAGATTTTATCAGTTGACAACTTTTGATATCTCTAGGGCTCAGGTAAATCGTTTGTAATCTAGCTAGCTAATTCGCGTTTCTAACCGGACCTAATTAGATTGCTAATTTACTGCGATTAGATTGCAAATTCTTCTAACTGGACTGATAAATTTTCTAATTAGATTGGCGAAGCTAATTAGATTGCAAAAACACTGATATTAGATTCAAAATTTATCTAATTCGATTAAAATTTCGGGCAAACCTAGCTAGATTATGTTTAGATTGCAAAATCAGCTAGCTAGATTCAGAAATCTGTAGCAATCTAACTAGGTCCGGTTAGAAACGAGAATTAGCTAGTTAGATTAGAAACGATTTGCCTGAGGGGCAGCTGAGATATGTACATAGTGTTCAATGAACTCTTCTAGTGCAGTGTTTACGATAACTTACTTGTGAACCTGTTCCGATGGATAATCACTCATCCACCTCAAGTCCATTTTCGTCTTCTCCATATCCATATACATATTTTTGATGATAACTTCAGATTTCTTCGCCCTTTTATTCACTTTTCGAAACATTGCGGTGCTGACATGCTTGTGCAGCTTGCTCCAAACATGCCAGATCGACTGGAGAAGTGTCATCTGCAAAACTTTGAGGGTAATTTTTTTTGAAACCTTTAAAACCCACCTGCAAGTGTCTGTTCAACTTCTGAAACTCATCAAAGTACATCAGCCACTTGGTGACCGTGATGAAGTAATATTCCCACATTGCAAACACTTCTTCTCGCCCCGCATACCCGACCGCTTGAATGTTTTCCATATCGAGTTTGATGAAATTGAATCCGTTGTTCAATTTTCGCAGCTGGTTCGGATTTTCGGTGTTGAGAGGTGAGTGTGCTCCAGAATTCAGAATCCGAGTCGCTTCTTCCAGCAGATGTCTCACGTCCACCCGCACTTTCGAGTCGGGCGATTCGGAGCCGCAGAAGAGAAGAAATTCCGGGCGGCCCACGTAGTTTTCCAAGCTTTGCGGCAGTCGGAATTGGCCCGACACCAGAATTCCGTCGCGGTTGTATTGGAATTCTAGAATTTTTCAAAATCTACTGGAAAAAAAAGCGTCGGCTGACTCACTTGTAGTGTCCATTCCCATATCTCGACAACGTTGCAGCCGGCATGGTTTGCAGAAAAATCTGAAAGTTTTTGAAAATTTACAGCAATTCTTGTTTCACTCACGTCTCTCTGTCACAAGATCCTCCACGACACGGTAGTTTGCTCCATTTTGAGCCGGCGGTTCTTCTGAAAACGCGACAGTTTTTGAGGGGATCTGTGTTTACTATCCCAACGTCATTGTTAACCAAAATGTTTATTATACGAGGATGTCGAAATTGCATCATGATCCGAACATTTTTCAGAAACTTATACTCATTTGAACTTGTTATCATACTTTGGCAGCACCCTTTTGTTTTCGTGAGCAACTATGAGGTTCGCTTTATGCGATTCAATTCTATGATGCAATTTTCAACAAAAGTAGTTTGATACCTGAAAAATGCGGCACACGCGCGGCAACTGATGACTCCAAAGTGATTTCCGTGCGCTTTGTGATTGCAAACTTTGCAGGCGAACGGAGAAGTCGAAGTGGAAACCGAGGCCGTGCTCCCGTCCATTTTCAGCACGATCCAAAGTTGAAAGACAACTGAAAAGTGTGATCAAGTGAGAGAGAAGGACGGAACAAGGGAGTAGGAGGCGAAAAAATGCTACGGGCAACTATTGGCATTGTGAAATACTCACGGAGAACAGAGACGCAGACGGAGAAAGTTGGCGGTGCAGATGACAAAAAATGATGGAGAAAAGGGCACGGGGACTAGTTTTTAGCGCAGTGGATTTGCACTCCGAAATTATTCATTCAAATACCCATGTGCTTCTTGTGCATCGCATATTCGACAGAGAACAATTGAACATTTCGCCATTATTATTCAGTTAAAAACGTTATAAAACTGATGTTTGACAAACAAAAAACGATTGCGAAGGGTGGTGAGAGATTTCCGACAAAAAGAGACGCGGACACAAATAGACTAGAGTTGGTTTGTTGGTGTTTGAAAGAAATGAGATCAGTTGAACCCCGAATCCTTGAACATTTCCGGGTGCGAGAACTCGATTTTGATAATGTTGAACAGTTTGGCAACTTCCATTCGAGGACGGTGTTCCCAGAGGTTTTTCTGTGAAACAAAAAAATACAGGTTGACCCTCTTGTTCGGAGCTCACCTGTATAGCATTGTTAACCTTCATCAATTTCGTCAACCGATCGAAATACTTGACCATTCGCAGCTCGTTCACATAATAATCATGCAGGTCGTTGGCGAGGATGTCTTGGAACCGTTCGGTCACTTTCAGAATCTCTCCCTGATATCTTTTTCCGGCGTACTCGAAGCACAATTGAGCCAGCATGTAGGTCATTTCCATTTCGGTCGGCTCCAACTCGATGAGCGATCCGATAATGCCGAAGTGATCACGAGAACTTTGACGCAGAAAACTTTAAACGTGTATGAATGAAAGACAACGTTGAAGAAACGTACGACTCACTGAGCAATTTGTCTGGACGGATAATCACTGAGCCACGTGGCGTCAAAGTGCACATTTGCCAGGTCGATTATCACTCCGCGCCGCGAAATTATTTCGGTTTTCGGCGCGTTCGCATTGTTTTTTCGGTGTATCGCCGTGGCCGCGTGTCGTTCGAGAGTTGCCCAAATGTGCCAAACGCACTGGAGAAGTGAGAACTGAAGAAGAACAGTCAGAGAACGTTTGCAAACAATCATGGATACCTGAACACTCCTGTCGAGCTTCTGAAACTCCTCAAAGTGCATGAGCCACTTGGCGACCGTCAGAAAGTAGTGTTGCCACGTGGCGGACACCTCTTTCTGCGTGGTGTGCACAATTCGTCGTGCTTCTTGCGTGCTCTCTCCGCTTCGGATCACTTTCATTCCAAACGCCAACCGATGTAGTTGACTCGAACCGACGTAGACCATTTCGGGACACTGGTTGAGCACTTTCGCGGCCTCCACAATCAAACACCTCACATCGATCATCGTTTTGTGCGTCGGAGCGTTCGAGTCCCAGAAGAGGACCATCTCGGGTCGGCCTACAAATCCGGCTACCGTTTGGGCCGGGTTCTTTTGGAACTCTTTGAGGGTCGCGTTGCGCAGACCGTCACGGTTGTATTGGAAATCTGGAAAGGATACCTTCTTTAATACTGTACTATAAGCCAGCAAAGTGCGCTCACTGGAAGTCTTCATTCCCACATCGAAACATCGTTGTAGGCGACAGGGTTTGCAGAAATAGACCGATCTGTCGCAACTTCCTCCTCGACACTTTGCATTCGTCCATTTCGAGAAGGCAGTTCTTCTGAGAAACGAAAAGTTAGACGCGGCTACAAACGTTGTGCAACAACCTAAAAAATGCGGCACAAGCTCTGCAACTAGTAGCTCCGAAATGGTTTCCGTGAACTCCTTCGGCGCCACAAACATGACAGCACAATAGTTGAAGGTTCATCTCTGCATAAACACCTATAAATATATATTCAATAAAGAGGAAAATGATGAAGAAGGTGTGGAGTGACATTAAGTGCACCTGCTAGAGACGCAGGAGGCAAAACGAAATGGAAAATGAAAAACGTTTATTTTATAAAGGACGGAATAATGAACGAAGTGATCTTTGGAATGTCTAGCAGAATCCAGTATCGAAAAACATGTCGGGGTGTGAGAATTTCACGTTGAAGACGTTGAAAAGCGAGGCGAGCTCGGCGCGGGGACGATTCACGAATATGTCTCGCTGAAAATTTGCATCACTGTGTTTTGTGCTTTTCCTTTTTGTGATTTGTGATCCGATACTTGTCGAACCTACCTGAATGGCGTTGTTAATCTTCATGAGTTGACTCAATCTCCCGAAATATCTCGGCATTTTCAGTTCGTTCACATAATACCTATGCAGATCGTTGGCCAGCGTCTCTTGGAACTTCTCGCAAATTCTGAGGACGTCGCCTTGAAATCGTTTTCCGGCGTAGGCGAAGGCGAGTTGTGCGAGCATATAATTGAGTTCCACGTCGGTGATTTCCAAGTCTACTATTGTCTGGATACACGGCGTCAGATCCCAAGTGGTTAGGCTGTTCAGGAAACTGAAAAATTGCTCAGTCGGTCGATCACAAACTCGAATAGCCAACTCACAATAAGACTTGGTCCCGTGAATGATCAGTGAGCCACTTGAAATCCACTTTCGTCCGATCCATGTCCATCATCATCCCATTGCTCATCGCCCACATTCGGTCCGTCTCACACACTTTCTCCCTTCGACTTCTCGCCGTCGCCGCCAATTTGTCCAGTCGTCCGAAAACATGCCAGAACGAGAGAACGAGCTGCAGCTGAAATCATTCGGTTTATTTTTTTTTGTTGATTTTTGACATTCTAGCAAAACTTACCTTCATTTCATGTGGAATGCTTTGAAATTCCTCGAAATTGTTCATCCATTTGGCGGTCCGAAACACATAATACTCCCAGAATCGGACCATTGTTTTCTGGTCGAGTTTCTCGTAAAATTTTCCGCATTTTGGATCGGCCGTCGAGAAATTGAAGGACGCTGTCAATTTGTGAAGTTGGGAGGGTCCGATGTACGGGGTTTCCGGTCCGAATTGCAGTATCTTCGATGTTTGGCTTATCAAAACCCTCATATCGATAAACGTTTTTTTGAACGAAGTTTGTTCGGGAGAGCAGAAGAACACGAATTGGGAGCGGCCGAGGAAATGTCCGAAACTATCCGGAGATGGCTTTCTCACCGTCAGAGGATCACGATTATGTTGAAATTCTAAAAACACTTTTTAAATCCAGAATACATTCAAATGGAGTCCTAGTACTCACTGTCAGTCTTCATTCCAACCTCATAACACTTCCTAAGTCTGCACGGCTTACAAAAGTACACTTTTTGATCACAATGGGCACTTTGACACTTCAGACTCAAGTACTTGGTTCCTGCTCGGCGTCTGAATAGTTTTATAGATCAAATCGGTTGGGGGTCTTACCGAAAGAATACCGCACAGGCTCTGCAGCACTGAACATCAAAGTGCTTGCCACGAGTGTTTTCCGAGCCACACACGAGACACTTTTGGGTGGAAGTTGAAGACGGTTTCATGTCATGTCTAGAAATGGGACAATATTGGAAATAGGTCTCAAGGGCAATAAGTGTCTTCATTTGTTCAATGATAGTGATAAGATAAGCGATATAGACGCAGACATTCAAATAATTTACACATGACCGGTGTTTATTGTTGTGCGACTAATGATGTAATCACATAATCTACACAAATCCAGTATCTTTGAACATGTCCGGATGTGAAAAGTCCAGCTTGAAGACGTCGAAAATCTTTGCAACTTCTGCTCGCGGCCGATATTTTCGAATGTTTTCCTGTAACATTGCCACACTAGTTATACGTTTTGAACAGAAAATCAAGTCAACCTGAATCTCCTTATTGATCCTCAACATTTGCATCAATCGTCCCGAATATCTGACCATATTCCGTTCGTTCAGATAATAATCGTGTAGATTATCGGAGAGTTCCGCTTGAAATGCGTCCATCATTTCTCGAATCGCTCCTCCGAATCTGGCGCCCACGTACTCGAAACTCAATTGGGCCAGCATGAAGGTGAGCTCAGTTTCGGAGAGTTTCAGCTCGATTAGCTGCTCGATGACAGAGTACAGGTCCCAGACACAGATGCCGTCGAGAAAACTGCGAAAAAGAGGTGTTGGTCGATGGATGCACCACGTTTACAACTCACTATCCAATCGTGTCTAACGGGCAATTCGTCATCCACGTGGCATCTCCGTCGAACGTCACCATATCCTTTACCAATCCGTTTCCGAACACTCGCTCCGTCTCCTTCGCGTTCTCATCTCTTTCTCGATATTGTGCGGTCGCCATTAGTTTGTCCAACCGACCCCAGACATGCCACATTGCGAACAGGATTTTCAGCTGAACAAAATCAGTTTAAAAATTAGTAAGATGTGTAAAGTGTACCTTCAAATCTGGCTCTAACACTTGGAATTTATCAAAGTTGACAATCCATTTTGCAACTGTGAGTAGATGAAATTCCCAGATTCCCGCAATCTCGATTCGAGTGATTCTGTCGAGCTTCTTGTGCTCCGGCCGCATTTTCAGACTGTTCATTCCGTTTCCCAACTTCTCCAGCGGATTTTTTGCGTAAATTGGAGTGGGCGGACCCATTCTCATGATCTCGATCGCTTTTGAGACCAAAATGCTCAAGTCCACAAACGTTTTCTGTTGTCCGCTCTCCAGATCGGAAGCGCTGGAGCAGAAGAGCACAAAATGTGGTGTGCCGACGAAATGTTCCAAAGTTTGCGGTAATTTTCGCTTCCTGCTGGTCATAAGGGCGTCGCGATTGTGTTGGAATTCTGAAAAAGTGTACAATATTGGCGAACTGGTGCTCGAAAAGATGCCAGAAATCATAAAGACTCACTGGAAGGATCCATGCCGACATCTCTGCATCGTTTGAGTCGACATGGTTTGCAGTGGTACGTTTTTCCATCGCAATGCCGACTGAGACACTTCATACGGCTCCATTTCGAGTCTGCCGTTCTCCTAAAGCCATCTGATTCAAACGCTTCAACCCCCCATTTTTGTAGAGACTCACCTGAAGAACGCGGCACACGCGCGACAACTGACCACGCCAAAGTGATTTCCCTGACCGTTCATGCCACAGATCATACAGGACGAATCGTTTTTATCCATTTCTTATGAATACAAAGTTTCGATGAAACATTCGAGAAAGATAAAGACGTATTCGTAAGTAGCGTAGGGGGGAGAGAAGGGAAACGAAGATAACACAGGTTGGGCGAATGGGATTAGAGAGAGGAGACAAAGAGACGCAGACGGCGAGACGACGAGTACTCTTGTTTGTCTGGTCTTCCAACTAACAACCAGTGTCGCTGAACATTTCGGGGTGCGAAAAGTCGGCGGTGAAAATGTCGAAAGTGAGGGCGATGTGCGCCTTTTCTCGCTGTCCACGAATTTGGCTCTGAAAACTGTTGGATATTGTCGGAATTCTAGAGCGAATTCTAGAGAGCCCCACCTGAATCCCTTGATTTATCTTCAAAATTCGAGCGAGCCTTCCTGCGTAATTCGGGCTTTTCCTCTTTTCAATTGAATAATAATCGTGTAGATCGTTGGCCAGAATTTGAACAAATCTATCGGTGACCTCTTTAATTTCACCCAGAAATCGGCTACCGGCGTGTTGGAAGCACAATTGAGCGAACATGAACGTGAGCTCGACATCCGTTAATTTCAAGTCGGAAACTGGCTGGATATAGTCGTCCAGTTGCCATTTCCCATCTTTGTCTGCGCCCAGAAAGCTGTAAAAGAGAATTGCACGGTTTTTGTGAAACGTCAGTGTTTTGTACTTTACTTTATTTCACTCTCTGGAGTACTGTAGGTCTTGGAAACTTCCGCGAGCTACAGTATCGCAAGGAGTAGTTATGGCAAAAAGTTGTCAAGTACAAAAATGTTAATCAAGTCTTAAACTTAATTTTTGTAGTTGACAACTAGTTCGTACAAACTCTTTCTGGTCTACTGTAGCTCTTGGAAGTTCACAATACTTTAAGGCATAGAAATTGCAAAGCTAACTTCCAAGCGCTACAGTAATCCAGAGAGTGGTCGTGGTGAAAAGTCGTCAACTGACAGAATATTGTAAAAGATTCGAACTTTTCACAAAAAATTTTTCAGACTTATAGGACGTCTCTGAACACGACAATCTCGATTCAAAGTTCCTCACACTCACTATTGAATCTGCTCCAACGGATACGGCGAGAACCAGGACGTTTCCACTTTGGCCTTATCCAGATCCAAACAATATTTGTTGCAAATTTGCACATGTCGGCCCGTCAATTCCTCCGTTTTTCTCAGCCGTCCAGTCTCTACAACTTTATAAAGACGTCCCCAAACGTGCCAAATCGATTGTAGCAGTTGCATCTGCCCGAAAATTGGCTCAAACTATCAACAACCGATAAATCCTACCTGGAATCCACGTGGCAATCGTGTAAACTCGTCAAAATGGGTCAGCCACGTGGCAGTGTTCAGCAAATCAAACTCCCAAATCATTGAAGTGTGGCGTCGATCGAATTCGAGAACACTTTCACATTTGCCGGAGCCGTTTATTGATTTTCCCAGCGCAAATGTCAATTTTTGCAGTTGTGACGTGGCATTCAGGGGGCTCGGCGAGCCGACTTCCAGAATTCGATCGGCCCGAGCAACCAGTGAGCTCACATTCACAAAAGTTCGCGCTTTGGGGGAAGTGTCACAAAAAATGACGAGCGCCGGGCGTCCGACAAACTTCTCCACTGATTTTGTGACCCCCCAAGGTGAATTTTTGTGTAAAGATTCTGAAAATGATGTAATCGAACAATAAGCAGTGTATGCTCACTTTCGTAGCTCATACCAACTTCCAGACACTTTTCAAGCCGACAACTTTTGCACGCATACTTTTGTCCGTCGAAAATTTGACAAGAATTTTGGTTTTCGCACGGTTTTCGACGGCTTTTCGCTAGTTTTGCTCTCCTAGAAACTATCAAAAACCTTTTTTTTGTGACAAAGGTGACAAACTTGAAAAAAGCGGCACAAGCCCGGCAACTAATCGTCCCGTAATGGTAGCCATGAGCCGGCTGAGAACAAATTGAGCAAAACATCATTTTTGACATGATCCGGATTGGAAATAATGAAAAAAGACGAAGAAGTGTGTGATAAACGGGTACGAAAAGAAGACATGGAAGGGAAAACGATAAGAAGGAGACACAAACCACACGCGTTGTTTGCTCAAAACTACACTTTTTAGTGTTTTATGAACTTTTGTCTTGGCACAATACTGATTTTCAACAACAATCTTGAAACATTTCCGGATGTGAAAAGTCGACGTAGAACGTCTTCGCGAGTTCCGTCTTCCTCTTTTTTCAGAAAGTTATACTCATTTGAAGTTCTCTGTACAATACTTTTACTGCTGACCTTATGAAAACTTCATTTATGAGCAATCCAGTATCCTTGAACATATCCGGATGTGAGAATTCGAAATTGAAAATGTCAAAAACTTTGGCAATATCAGCGAGTGGGCGGTTTTTTTCAGGTCGATTAGGTGGTCGAGTATTCCTTGAGACCACTGAAAAAGTGCTGTGATAGAAGCGAACACGAGTAGCGTACATTCATGACAATATATCTCAGTTGTCTGAAAAGATATCAAAAAGTTGTCAACTGATAAAATGTTTACTAAGAAACTATGTACATTTTTTTAGTTGACAACTTCTTGATATCTCTACCGGCAGCTGAGATACATTGGTAACTGGCCGATGCACCACGGACCCACTCACTATCCGACTTGTTCGTTCGAATACTTGCTCATCCACTTCACATCTCGATTCTTGGGCAGTATAGCCGTCACTGTTCCGTCTCCAATCACTCTTTATTGTGCGATCGCCATCAATTTATCGTCCAACCGACCCCAGAAATGCCACATTGCAAACAGAATCTCTTACTGGAAAGCATCGAGGCGTGACGGTCACGGGTACAAGGAATTTTTTCTGGAAATTGGAACCTGATTACTCATAGAATTGCTCGTTTTTAATTTGGGATTATTGTTTATCCTAATCGATTCTCCTGTCGGCATTACTGAAGCATCAAAATGTTTCAAGTCCCCCAAGAACACAATTGCGGACCGGAGTTTATTTCGAGAGTCTAGCACGCTACTACTTATCAATGTCAATAAAATTATACGTAAGCACATTAAAGTTTGAGTTTGATCTTTGGCAAAACGAGAATAAGATAAGCGGAGAGCAGAACACGACACTAATCATTCTTTTCTAACTTTCCACGATGCCTGTGGACAACGACTTGTCGGAGCAACAGAAAAAGAGTGAGCCATCATCAGAAGACAATTGAATGCTGTTTGAAGGTAATTGTTTTCAGAAACCATAATCAAAGCGAGAGAGTTTTTCTTTGCCTTGAAAGACATCACCGATATAGCTTTCCTGACAATTCCAAAGTTGCACCCAATTGGTGCTGCCGTCCTGGTTGCGTTCAATGTTGCCAAAACACTTTTCTCTATTTACGGCCCAGACGAGAAGGATGATTATGTGCAAGAGCTGCGTAAACTGGGAGAGCAGATGGATACTGTAAGAGGAGCAGTTTTCGATGACAAAAAACCAACGTTTGTTTTTTTGTTCAGCTACTCGATCGTGTTGCAACTTACTTCACAGACTTCAAAGCCTTTGTGGTTGAGCATGATTTCTATCTAGTAAAATTGTATTCTTGTACTTCCAAACGTTTGAGTTTCCAGGATGTTCCGCTGGAGAGCTCGGTTCTGTACCAGTACATGCAAGAGGTTGCATCGAATCCATCGAAGAACAACGTCAACGAGTTCAAACGACAATACTTCAAAACGAATCCGGTGCGGCTGGCACGTAAACTGAACCAACAGTTGGCGAAAAACATAACGAATCCGCTGAAGGCAGCGATGGAGGCCGATCCTTTGATGACAACTGGCACATTTTCCAAGTGGAAATGTGTTATTGAGGGCGTGTTCGCGCAGCTTGTTAGTGACCTCTTTTCACTTCTGAAACAACTAACTTAAAACTTTGAAGTGGTTCATTGAAATCGCGGCCGGCGTGTTCATTAACAACGTAAAAGAGGAAGAGGTGAAAAGCATCGAGGATCTGCATCGAGTGAGCCAAGTGCAATTGGAAATGGAACGATTTGCTGGTTTGCTCGTAAAATGGAGTACAGATTATGCGGTAAGTGTTTTGCATATGTAGGTTGACTTTCAAATATCAAAGCTTATTAGATGAACGATTATTTCTGGCCTGAGAAAGTGCGACAGTTTGTTGAAGACGTTCAAGACAAATACCCGCAAAAGAACATTTATGCGAAAGCCGATTTTATTAAACATGCGCTTGCCAATATTCTTACAAAGTAACGTCAAAGTTGAATCATCAACGCATTCTCCAACACAATTTGTTGCAGAGATCAGTTCTACGTGATAGTGTACTCTGGAAAATCATCCTACAAGTGGCACGTACAACATACAACGACAGAGGGCTCGAAACAAGTGATTCTCTCGGTGGATCGTGGCGGATGCAGTGTCATTGTGTACCGTAGTCGCGATGCTCATTCGGCAAAAAGCTCGGAGATTGATCAGATGGAGATTGATATACAACAGTACCAAGCGAAGATCCCAAAGCATATTACTCTTGGGTTTTGGTCGTCAAACAACAGTATCAGAAAGTACTCTGAAGCAACGATGAAAAACTACGGCATGATTCTTGCAACCCATCTTGTTGATGTTGCAGTAAAGTGGACAGGCCCGCTCAAAAATGGCCCCGGAGCGTTTTGTAGCGGCGAACAAGACTGCCAACCTATCTTCGGTTTGTTGCCCAGTAAATCCAAGTACGTCGTATTGGCTGGCTTCAAATGATTGACAGTTTCACATTCAATGCGCCTATTATTCTTCCACTTTCACTCTGTTTCAGCCAGGTAACACAAATCTTTCTGGTACTCAATAAAGGATACATCCATGATCTACACCTTGAATTATTTACGATTGTTTATACAGTCGGTCCAAATTTTTGGATTATCTCAATGTCTAATATCCAATTTTCAGTGAACAGTTTCAGGGTCACAAGATGTGATGAGTGATAATTTTACTGAGCCTTCTTAATAGGGTTTTAGATGTTTGATTCCAAACTGTTTCATGGAATTTCGCTCTATTTACGATCGCGGAAACTTTATCAGTTGTGAATTTCAGTTAATCAGACGCTGTGATCAAACAAAGGAATATACTTTTGAGCAACATTTTTGAGCAACATTTTCAAAAATGAGCGAAGAAGGTAATCAAGAGATCTAGTGTTTATAAGTGTTTATAAATGTATAATATAATGAATAAAAAAAAGTTTGCAGATGCAATCCAACACTTGAACGCGGCCACCACAATTGCAAAAGAAATGCTTGATGTTGGAATGTATTCGGCGAAAAAATGCATTCCAGCGATTGCGGTCTTCGTTGAGCTCGGTCTAATCGCAAGAACAGTGGCCGGTTTTGCGACGCCCGGCAAAAAAGACAAGGTGTTGGAGGAGATTGCCGCACTGAGTGAAAAGTTTGGAAAAGTGAGGTGAGACGATGCGCTCGCGTAAGCTAAACGATTTTCAGATTGAGGAGAGTATCAAAGAAAACTTTTTGAACCTCAAGTTATTCATGAGCGCTCACAGTTTTTTCAATGTAAGCTCAAATACATTTCTAAAGCGAACATCTTTACGATCAGGATGTTCCACTCGCAACTTCTGTTTTGTTCGAGTCAATGCTAAAGGCGCTGACAAAACCTGGAAAAGATAGCGAAAATGATTTTCGCGACCAGTACGCAATTACTCAACCTTTGGAATATTCGAGAGTATGAACAACACAATAGACCACATGTACGGAAATTTCGGTTTCAGAGATTGAATCATCAACTACTGTATGCGACCATGAATCCGATGAGATGGGCGATGGCGAATGAGGCAGTCAAGTCGACAAAAGTGTTTGAAGAGTGGAAGAACATTTTCGAAAGTGTCCTCGTTCAGTTGGTTGGTGTTTTAGCAATTAGGTACCTGAAAAATGAGTGTTTCTTAACTTTTAGTGTATATTGGAAGCATTCGCGTGCGGATTGATTAACGGAAAAGACACTTTCAAGGTGGAGGCAACTGTGAAAGAGTACAACACTTTCAAAAAAAGAGTGAAACAATGGAAGAAGCAATATCAGGTGACTATATTTTTCTCAATAACGATGAAAATATGGCTCACAGACGGAGAATCAATTTTGGCCTCACGCCGTCAAAAAGGTTGTGGATGAGGTTCAAGACAACAGTGCCAACAAAACGATTGAGGAGAAGGCCGAACTGATTCGCACTGGAATCGAGCCGATCTTGACCGAGTGAGCTCTTGTTCTTCTTACTTAAATGACCGATACGTCTTCTACAGTTCCATATTCTACGTGATTGTCATGCCCGAATCGTTCACCACTCGACACCATGCTAACCTTCCGGATCAAGTGTTCATCTCACTGAACCGAGGCGGCTGTCACGTCTTCGTCTACCGTAGTCTGAAAGCAATAGCTGAAGCCGAAGGCATTCGACTCTTCAACACAGTCGTCGATTATTTTCAAAAAATGAGAATGCCGGAATACTCGAAATGGGTAGAATGGCTTGGTCAAAACGAACTTCGAAGAATGACACTTGCGCTACTTCGTAAGAGCGGAATTGTGTTGATTGTCGAAAATGCGAAAAAAGGCGATGTTGCTGTTCGATGCACCAAAACGAACATTCTCGAGAATGGTCCTGGCAAATGGTTTTACAGAAGCAGAACTCATGACAAAGAGACAAGTTGTTTCTTCCTTACTGGATTCAATTGAATGTTTCGATCGATATATCATGCAGAGTCCATAGCTTTATTTATTCAAATAAACTATGAAACGTCCTGAATGAGTCTAGTCTGTCAATTGTCTTATCAGTTGCGTGGCAACACTACCTGTCTAAAGTTTAAAACACTATTTCGAGTTGAATAATTGAATGTCTTACTATTAGAACGAGGTTTGGGAAATACATGGCGGGCCACGAGCAACTTTCGAGTGAGTCACGTATTAATGTTAAAAATAGTCTCGATTTAAGATCGAATGGACGAGGTCTGTGTTGCCTTGCAAGGATGTGTCGACGTGGGCGGCTTTTGTTTCGACGAGATTTCCGAACATTTGGAAGCGATCGTCGAGACAGGAGTCACTGTGAGAAACTTCGAAACTGAAGCGAGTGAACTAGCTAATTGCATTCTGGAGGCGTTCAAACTTGTTCTCGAAGATGTGAGTCTACTTTTTATTATTATTATAGATCTTATAGTTTCATATGGTTTCGCAGGTGCAAAACTACATGGCGTACCAATGCGAAGACCTCAAAGAGTTCAATAACTATGCGAACTTTGCGCACATCGCAATGAGTCTCCTCAACCCGCTGGTTGCCAGTTTGTCGACTCCAGGACAAACGGATGCCAACTTCGAATTGGCAAGCGAAAGAACACCTCCAGTGGACTGTGGCCTTGTAAAACATTAAAAAGTTCGAAACAATACAATTTTCTCTCAGAAACTGGTGGATTTACTCGAAAAAGATCCGGACAATCCGCTGAAAGTTGCTCTAAAGAACGATCCGGAGAGATCATCGCATTTTATCAAGTGGGACAGTGTTGTCGACAGTGTACTCGCTCAATTTGTATGCATAACACATTATATGCTCAAGTAATGTGTAACATTTCAGCTGTTCATCGAAGCCTTTGCCAACGGCTATCTCCACAATGGAAATATGGACGGAGCGGTGAAGTTGAAGAAGAGGATTGAGGAATTCAAAAGACAAGTGAAGAAGTGGACGGGAGAAGTGAGTTAAAACTGTCAAAGTTAAATTGAATAGGAAAAAGTTATTTACAGTTCACCTGGCCTGAAGACATCAAGGAAATAGTCGATGGCATTCAAAACAGCAAACAAGCATGCGTTGACAAGGCTGAATCGATTCAGAAGGCGATAGAACAGCTCAAAACCGACGACCTCTTCTACATCGTCGTCTTTCCGACTTCTGACGGATACGTCTATCATTCGAAGCTTCCCGATCAACTTTTCGTGTCTCTGAATCGCGGAAACTGTAATGTGTTCGTTTATCGGAGTCTCGAAGCGAAAAGTGCGGACAAGAACGAGCTAAAAAAGATGGAGACCCAACTGAACGGATACAAGAAACTTCTGCGACTGCTGACCCTCAAACTGTTTGTAACGCAGGCACAAGTGGACAAATGGGCAAAGGAAGAGATTGATAATAATGGATTTGTGATTGCGATCAAAGCATCGCGAGATGCGACCGTTCTATCCACAAACACTGATGTTCTCAAGTGGGGACCGGGTTGGTGGATCCACGACACTGTCATTCTTCTTCTTCTTCAACAGAAGTACATCATTCTCTGCGGATATAAATAACTTGATATCCGATTATTTATAATACACTTATTTAGCACAATACCGATTTTCAACAGCAATCTTGAAACATTTCCGGATGTGAAAAGTCGACGTAGAAGATGTCGAACGTCTTCGCGAGTTCCGTCTTCCATCGTTTCTCCCATATAATCTTCTGCAGCATATTGTTGATCTTCATCATTTTGCCGAGCCGTTCCGAGTAGTTTCGAACATTCTGATTCTCATAGTACTTGTGCAGGTCGTCCGAAATCACATCCTCGAATTGTTCCATTTTGACGAGTACGTCCCCTTGAAAACGTTTTCCAGCGTAATGGAAACATAATTGACACATCATAAAACTGATTTCAATGTCTGACGGATTCAAGTCTTCCAGATATTGCACCAATTCGTTGTGGACCCAATCGTCGGACTCTTCTAGGAAACTGAAAAAAACAACAACTTTGAAGTTAACAATAGCTACTGCATTTCAGCGCGAACTTCTAAGACATACAATGAGCTTAGGAGTAATTATGGAAACAAGTTGTCAATTGCAAAAATGTTGTTCACATCTAGAACTACACTTTTGTAGTTGATCATTTTTCTGTACGACCACTTCTAAGGTTACTGTAGCGCATTTCACAAGACATACAGTAAAAGTTGTCAACTGTAAAAACATCGTAAGACTCACAACTTGATCTCGTCATTCGTGTACTTTGAGCACCAAGAAACATCCAATTTACAGCTTTTCAAATCCAAAAACACTCTATTATCGATCATAAACTTGTGCTCTCCGATCCTCGCGTTCTTCCGTAACTTTGCAGTCGTGCTCAGGCGGTCCAACCGGGCACGCAGATGCCACGTGGCCATCAGTACCTGGAGCTGGACGGCCAGTGGCAAACATTGGAATCCGTCAAAGTGTGTCAGCCATTTCGCAGTCTTCAACAGATCCGTTTCCCAGTAATGCAAAAAGAAGCGCTCGCCCAAAACTGGAACTTGCTGGAAATCCAATCCGTTCTCGGTTTTTTGAGCCAATCTGTGCGCCCTGCTCATTTTCTCCAGAATTCCCAAGCATTCGATCGAGACGGACGGCGCTCCGAATCGCAGTAAATCGGCCGCTTTTTCGATCAAATCCGTCACGTCGACCATCGATTTTTTGAGGCCGGCACTCGGAACGCAGTGGATGATGAAGGCGGGCCTTCCGACGAACGTGGACATCGATTCGGGGATGATCGGCGGGGACGGCGCTTTGATTTTGTCGCGGCCGTGTTGGAAATCTGAAAACTACTCAATTTCAGCAAAGTTTTGAGAAATCTCAGAGAAATTCATCGGGGTTTTTGAGCGTAGCCTCTCAATTTTTAGTCAATATCACTCAAGATGATGAGGTTTTGAAGAAATCATCGAATAAAGTGTTCAGGTATACCTTTTTGGTTAAATCTTTCTATAAATCTAAGAAACTCACGCTTCGGATCCATTCCTTTATCGAAACACGTTTGCAACCGACACTTTTTGCAGTAAAACCTATACAAATTGCGTCATTTGCCAATATTTTCCTTCCAAAACTCACTTTCCCACAAACTTCAGCGAACAATCGTCGTTTCCACGCAAACATTTGAAAGTTGCATCACTGTTATCGATGATACTTCTTCTCAAAAACCGACAATTCCGTTTCCGGTTCAATTTTTGGGTTACCTGAAGAAGGCGGCGCACGCCCGACAACTGACGGCTCCGAAATGCGTTCCATGGCCTGGTTTACCGCAAATTTGACACGGAATGGAGGCCATTTCAGGGCAAAAAAGTGCGTGAAATGAGAGAAAAGACGATAAATTCGGGGGGGGGGGAAGAGAGAGGGGAAGAGAGAAAGAGAGACAGAGAGAGAAAGAGTACGCTCTCATCAAACAGATGATTTGTTTGATGTCAATTGACGCAAAAAGAGTTGATCGACAATATTTCTGGAAAAAAACTGTTCGACAACTGTTATTTACACCCCTATTTCGAGGATTACTTTGTTGAAACTCCTTAAAACTTGACAAATTTTAGAAATGTCAAATATGGTTAATCAGAATATCGCTATTGTCCACTTCCCGATTCCCGTTCTCGTCAATCAACAAGTGTTTCACCCCCAAATACTTCCACTTTCTCTCTCTCTCTCTCTCTCTCTCTCTCTCTTTCGTTTTGTTTGGCTAACCGATCAATCTCTGGGTCTATTGTCTGCGCACTTCCCGCCGGAAAACTCTACTCTTTAAAACATGCCATTCTCGCATTTTTCACACTGGATACCTTGTTCAACAACACTTTTAAAGGTTCTTTTTTGGGATGTTTTTCAAGATTAAGGTCACACGTTTTGTTTTCACTTCAAAAAAAGCGTTCAAAACAAGAGCTCCACTATTTTTAGTGGAAAACCGTTCAATTTTGAGCGTATATTGTAATGCTATAGTGTGTCCTAGTGACATAAATTGTTTTCTATTGAAAACTCGACGTTCAGTACTTCACTTCATTTTTCCAATTTAACAACTTTTTTTGATGTTGGTGGACATCGACGAGAGTGCGAAAACATTCCGCTTGTGTTCCCAACTGTGACTTTTAATGTTTTTGCACTTTGCGTCTCCTGACGCAATGCTCGCCCCACAACAACCCTCGTCTTATCGCCGCCTTTTCCGACATTGAAACGACAAAATTGCTGTCAATTTTTGCTCACTGATAACTCGTCTCTGTGTTGTCCATATTTTTCATTCTTCCAGACAGATCACATGATGATGATGCAAATCGACTCTTCGTCGCCGTCCTCGTGTTCCGATTCTCTGGACGAGCCGTCGAGTTTATCCATGCTTTTCGAGGTGCCTTTGAACTTTCTGCCGACGTGTCAAGTTTGTGCTCAACCGGCTCACGGAAACCATTTCGGAGCGATCAGTTGTCGCGCGTGTGCCGCGTTTTTTCGGTGAGCTTTCTAGGTTTAGGTCATCTAGGTTGAACAGTTTGTTTTGCACAACCGTCGAATGTTTCAGAAGAGCGGCGACCGGCGCGAAAACCATCTACAAATGCAAAAAAGACAATAGTTGTGAGATTTGGAGGAACGGACGGTTCTCGTGCAAAAAGTGTCGACTTGTGAGGTGTCAGGCAGTTGGAATGGACCCGAATAGTGAGGAAACTGATCGATTTTCGAGTAATCTTCAACTATATCTTCTAGAATTTCAATTCGATCGTGATCCCATATCGACAACCGAACAATTCACGAATACAAAGCAGGGAAAGCGACAAATATTGTGGGCCAACTTGCCGGAGGTACTCCTACACACTCTCTCAACTATTATCCGATTCTTTAAACCCGTTCCAGACAGTCGAACACTTTCTGTGCCGTCCCCACTTCATACTGTTCATGGAGCCCACTTCTTCGATGTTCTCCGACAAAAACTTTATCGATTGTCAGTATCTCATTGAAAAAGCGTGCGATTTGTTGGCTCAAGGCGCCGCGAAACCGATTTTCGCGAAGAATCACTTGGAAAAACTGGCGTTGGGCTTGAATTTGGTGCGAGATCAGCCGATCACGGAGGGCGAGATGCAGGTGATTCGCAAGTTGGGAAAAGACGAAGCGATGACTTTCTGGGAACGGGATTTTTTGGCGGTCGCCAGGTGGCTCACCTACTTTGACGATTTCCACGAACTTCCGCATGCCCAGCAGGTACCTTATTTGTAAATTCTTCGAATATTTTGCATAGGCTGTTTTGCAGGTCTCACTCCTCAAAGCAGTGTGGCACGTGTGGGGACGGTTGGACAAACTGGCACTGACGGCTGTGGGACGACGCAGGAATTTGTGCAAGGATAAGATGGTCATGCTGGGCTACAATTCTCTGATGGATGTGAAGAATGTCGAGCTGGACATCTCCTGGTTCACCAAGTACAAGAAGGAGCAGTTGGGATTGTGAGCATATTTTTAATTCAAAGGACCAGGAAACCCTACTAGTTTTTGTGTCTGTCTGATTCATCTCAGGGCTTGCTGTTTCTTTAGTTTCTTTAAAAGTTGACCGAAAGTAGACTACAAGACACTATAATACTTCAGTTTTTTCGACGAACTTGAAGACTTCATGATGACCGAAATGCTCAACCCCTTGATGGAACTTGAACCGACGGACATCGAGTTGACCTACATGCTGTGCCAACTATGTTTCCATTACGCCGGAAAACGGTTTGAGGGTGAAATGCGAGATGTGATGGAGAAGTTCCAAGATACTCTCGCCAACAATCTACACGATTACTATGTGAACGAACTGAGAATGCCCAGATATTGTGGACGATTGAATCAAATGCTCAAGATTAACAATATGATTCAGGTAAGTGTAACGCTGCGTCCAAAGTCTCGCAAAACCCGCAAATCTCGCGGATTTTGCAGTCCAAAGTCGGCAGAACTTTGCGGCAAATCCGGGGTGCGCACACAGCTGAACGAGTGTTAGCGTACACCATAAAACTACGGTATTTTTTGAAATTTTTTTTGAAATTTTTGGAGAATATTTGCAATTTTTCAAATTTCTTGAGTAAATTCTCAACGATACTTCTTGAAAAAATTTAAATTTCTCGAGAATATTTGCAATTTTTCAAGTTTCTTGTGTAAATTTTCAAAAAATACCGTAGTTTTATGGTGTACGGTAACACTCGTTCAGCTGTGCGCACCCCGGATTTGCCGCAAATTTCTGCCGACTTTGGACTGCAAAATCCTCGAGATTTGCGGGGTTTCCGAGACTTTGGACGCGGCATAATGCTGCCAAAAAAAAAAAAAAATGAAATGCATTTTGAACAACCGATTTTTTCAGAGAGACATTTGGGAGAAACGTGCGAAACACGAGATTGCCAAAGTGTTCAACGTGTTTTGTGTGGAATTCTCACATCCGGAAATGTTCCAGGATTGTGCGTCTTAATGAAAATGTTCTGTACATGTTGAGATAAATGTAGATATTTATATGCTTTTCCGCAATGTACACATGGTTTTTTATAAAAAAATATCATCATTCACATTACAACTTCACGGTCATTCTCACTTTAATCGACACTCTGCTGCTCTTCTCCGTATCCACGCCTTCTCTCCGTTTCAGTGCAGCAACGACCAAGAATGCTTCGATCGCAAATCCGGTAAACTTTGTGAGAACACCCAAAGTTCCGAGATCCCGAGTGTTCGCCGCCACAAATCGGGCCAGGATGGCCGACGGAATCAGGTCGAACACGATTATCATGAAGGTGTCGATGAGCGCGAGACGATTCGCCTGAAATTATCCTTTTTTTGAGAACTTGGGGGGCAGCTTTAGAGCGGTGTAACTCGGGATGTACCGAACGTTTTGGGGAGAACAGAACTCATTCAAACAAGAATTTAACAGAAAAACCCGTTACCCTTGATAATTCCCGATTCTTTTTTGACTTTGAACAATTGTTCCAGACGAAAAGTTTGATGACCAATAGGGTTGAGGTGAATCCGATGAACGAGAACACGACCTGAACAGTTTTCAGTTAGATTGAATGAAAATACCCAGTCACGTACCCGATCAAAAGATAGCCAATAGTTGCGGTAGCACGCATTAATCATGCAGAAGAAAGTGAGACATCCGGGCGGCATGATGAGTTCGAACTCGCACAATATCCAAAGAATACAGTTATCGATTGCACAATACCCGAAAACGGTGACTATTATAATAACGGAATTCGAGACTTTTCTTCGGTAAACGTGATGTTTGATGGGGATGTAAACGGCCAAAGTCCGGTCACAAGTGATAATGAAAGCCAGAAGGGATCGGATTGAAATAAAGTTTATAGACGGCCAAATGATGTAAAAAGTGACGGCACGGTACGGGTCCAGCACTTCCTGGACTTCCTCAAAGCCGGAATAGTAAAACATGACGAAAACGAGGTTGGCACCGGCTGAAACAGTCATAGTTGTCACGGGCCGGGCCGAAATTTCCAAAACTCCGGCCCGGCCAGGTCGGCCCGGTTCAAAAAGCGGGAATTCAAAATTTGAATTATTGATCGCATGAAGCCATTTTTTGTAGAAATAGGGGTTTTTTGCAAGCATCGAACATTGAAAAACAAATGTATTTCTCATAAAAAATTCATAATAGCAAAAAAACAAAGAAGAAACACAAACTTTAGTTCGACAATTTTTTTTGTAATAACGAAAAATTCGCAAAAATTTGAATTCCCGCCTTTTGAACCGGGCCGACCGGGCCGGGCCGGGCCGGCACTTCACCGACCCGGCCCGCATGGCCGGCCCGAAATCTGGCAAATCTGGAAACAGTTTCCTAATTTAAAAAAAAACGTCAAAGGAACGTACTGCCAAAACAGAAAAGTACGTCGATTGCGAATCTGGCATAGAATAGTGTTAGATCAGCGGAAAATTTCAGTTGTTTGGAGCTGAAACTTTGTCAAAAACATGTGTTTGAAAGGAAGCGATAAACTTACACGAACACCGCAAATAGCACGTAAAGATTGATGACAATTGTAGCTGTGATCGATAGTAGCGAGAGAAAAGTTATAGTCAAAAGTGTCCAGTACATGTTTTTTGTCTTAAAGCAAACTGAAATCGAAATGGAAATGTTAATTCAACTCGGCGCTTGGTTCGCAGACGCTTCCTCACTTCATTAAGAGAATTGAGAGAGAGAGCCGCCCACGACGTCGTGTGTTTTGGAATCAAACAGACTAATGGCCTTCTTTTTCAGTTGTCTTCTATGTGTTTTTACGTTTGGGAAAGGGTTTTTTAGATTCGAGAAAGAGTAAATTTGTCTGTTTTTGTTTTTAGGTTATTCCCGGATACCTGACCAATCTTCACGATTTCCGAAATTTTTGTTTTCCAATTTGTCTAGGTCACTTTGGTTCTTTATCAGTAGAAGTACATATTCACGGGGTTGCCTAGTCGCATCCGAGCGTTAGCTGGTTTTCTTCAAAAATCTCGTAATAATAGTATAGTCAGTCATAGTCATAGTTATAGTTATAGTCAAAAGTGTCCAGTACATTTTTCTCTTTGGTGCTCTGAAAAAAGTGTGCACACAAGGTCTGTTTTGTGTTTTCCTTTTGCTCGCAAAGTTTTTTTTAAATTAAAGTCTTCCAGCTTGTGTTCCAACTTTATGAAATATCATGAAAACACCCGGGACTCAGATAAGCGAAGTTTATTGAGGAAATCGGTACCAAAGAGAAAAGAGAAATGTTTTAGTAATGAGTTCCCATGAAAAGTGGGCGATTCTTGTGTAAAACGGCGAACAGGAACGGGTGATCGGCGATGAAATCGATCGGATTCGCCAGAATCATCATATCCAGTGTCGGCTTGAACGCCGACGAAGCGGCCGCCGTCGTGCCGTCCTCGTCGACATCGATCACCGATTTGTGGATGCCGGAGGAGATTCTGAGGCCGTCGGCGATCGCGGAAACGTCGCCCGAGTCGCTGAAGATGTCCCGGACGCCCAGGGCATCCAGCGATTCTCTGAGCGACACCTCCGTCTCGATGTGCATTCTCGGAATGCGCACGTTGACGTACGAGTTTTTGAGGTCGACGAGCAGCATTTGGAAGCTCCAGCCCGTCAGTTTCTGCAACGAAATACCGTCTGTTCATGTCGAAATATGTACAACACTTTCTCAATGAAAGGCTCACCTCCAAAGCTTTTTGCAGTCCGAATTGCTCTTTCGGCAAAAAGATGACAAACTTGAAATCCTGGTCGACATAGGGCAAAGCCAGCACTTGCCACGTGTCATTCTCGGTGTAGTCTCGATGAATTTCGTTCTCGTTCAGGAAGCAAATCTGCGAAACCAATCAAAATCACTACAAAACACTTGGGGGGCGCAGTACCTCTCTGCTCTCGCCCTCTTTCTTATGGAACGCCAGCTCGAAAGTGCTGTGCTTTTCGAATTTGTCGAGCCAGTCGGCGTTGAAATGAACCGCGTTGACGAGAAGTGCGAAAGCGTCGTGGACAGTGTCGGAAGTGATCAGTTTAGTGATTTTTCCGGAAGTTTGAGCCGCCACGAACTTGTTGATCACTTTCGCCGCCTCTTCTGACTGCGAAAAGTCGAGGCTCTCGGCGCCGGCTTGATATGTTTTTTGGATTTCGTTCAGGTAGGATTGGTTGATCGCGTGCTCTTGGCTGAAAATATTTGTCAATTTGTGGATGTTTGGTGAGCTTGATGAAAAATGTTCAGTTAAATGGACCCTCTGTGTTGTACTGCCCTATTCCTGTCCCAATAAAATTATCGATCGCACAATAAACAGAGCGCCAAAAGTTACATCAATACGTTATGTTTCTTAAAAATAGCACTCTTTTCACCCTATTCTCACTTATAAATCTCACGTTTTTCCGTTTTGTCGCTTTCTTGCCGTCTACTGTTTAGCAACTAGACCATAACTCCAGAATGACAGGCTTTGAGATAGAATGATCAACTACAAAGTTGTTAGGCACAAAATTTGCAACAACTTTACAGTTGACCACTTTTTGAAATAATGATTGGATCACGAGATATACGTGTTCAAAGATGAGGGGTTTTAGACAACAAGTTCATCTAAATCAGGCTCTAAATGTGATTTTTCAGAAAAATGATATACTATGGCTTTATGTAATTTTTGTCGCTCTATCCAATGGTATAAGTAGTTTCAGTCTTTTGAAGTCGATATTAAAAAAGAACGTTTCCCAAACTCACTTCACAAAAACCCGGTTGGCAATGCTCGTCTCGACACCATTCTTTGCATTTGTCACCTCGCCGACAACTTTTGCGAAATGCTCGGCAAAACGATCATTTTGTGTTCCATCCAATCCCAAAACCGCCAGCTCGAGCTCTTTTCTCGCGTGGCCCCTGGCTCCGGAGTGAACGAGCGCGAGGCCGAGAGAAATGGAGAGCGGCGAGAAAACGAGCGATTCGTCGTCCTTTTTCGGAAAGGTGCCCAGCAGACGGAGACCAAAGTCCGTCTCGCTTTCGACACTGCAACAAATAGATGAGGATGATGGAGTGTTGGCGGAGGGAGCATTTTGATTTATAGGGGCGCTGTGAGTCATGCCTAAAAATAGAATGGCATCAAAACGGATGTATTGGACTTTGGACCTTTCAACTTCCAAGCGCTACAGTAGCCCAAAGAGTGGTTGTACAAAGAAATGTTCAACTACAAAATTAAAGTTCACATCTTGAACTCTACTTTTGTAGTTGACCACTTTTTTCAACGACTACTCGCTGGAGTACTGTAGCTCTTGGAATGTAACACTGACTGACTGAAATTTGATGCCATCTTTGACTACATTTTTAATGTTTCAACTCACATTTTGTCAAAACCCATCTTTTCGTTCCAAAAAGTCGGTTATCGATGCGAAAACGAGCTGTGAAATGGCAAAAATAGCACAATGTCGGGAGCCACCGAGAAAAAAAAACAGAGCACAACACGTACACACACACAAAATGGGAAGTAAACATCGAAAAAGGGGAAGAGGGGTGTAAAGTGTAAAGAGAAAATGGGAAAAAGAGACGGCAGACGTGAAAAGTGGAGAAAGATGAGAAATGGGCGCACGAGAGTTGGGAAACGGCGGTGGGCAACTGGTTTTTTTTTTGGCTAACTTTGACTGAACACTGTACAGTTGCAAACTGTCCTAGCGGTCTTTAAAGTTTTTCAATAAAAAGTTCAGGTCTAATATACCATTTTTTCAGTTGACCTCTTTTCTCTACGACTGTTCTCCGGGTTACTGTAGCGCTTGGAAGTTGAATTGTACGGGTACGCGGCAATTTTTAAAAATTGGCATAGACCCCTTAACTGTCACGGGTATGGGGCAATTTTTAAAAATTGGCATGGACCCCTAGACGGTCACAGGTACGCGGCAATTTTTAAAAATTGCCATGGACCCTTTGACGGTCACGGGTACGCGGCAATTTTTAAAAATTGACATGGACCCCTAGACGGTCACGGGTACGCGGCAATTTTTAAAAATTGGCATTACGCGTCAAAAAGGTGATTTTTCTCGAATCTATTATTTTTGTACTATTTGGTCTAAAATCCGAAATGCCTGATTTGATCAGTAAGAACAGTAGATTAGGCATCAAAAGACACCAAAACGTTCAAAAAACGATAGGGACTTGGGGCAGCACCCTCCAGGAAATAGTCATAGAGAAGAATGATCAAGTACAAAAATCAAATACTAGATCTCTAGTTTTCAGCAAAAAACAATTTCGATATCTATGGGTACAGTCACAACAGAAAAGACGAAAAACGACGTTTCTCTATCCCTTTTTATATCAATTTTCGACTGATGAAATTTCATTGAAACACACAAAAACCGATAGCGAACGCTTATCAAATTGAAACAAATGTCGGTTCGAATCAAGTGTAGATGCCCATGAAGAGCGGAGTTTGGTCTCGGATGATCGCGTAAACGAACGGATGATCGGCGCGAATATTCAACGGAGTTCCCTCCGCTGCAGACGTGAAGAAGAGTTTGGCTTCGGTGACGGCGGCGGCACGAGTTCCCACTTGATCCACCTGAACAGACACACTTCTACCCCCATATATTCGACACTCCTCTTTGCCGACCCACCTCGATAAGTGCCTGATGACTGGCGGCGGCCAATTGAAGCCCCGGTCCGATTCCGGAAAGATCGGCCCGCTCGGTGAACACCTCCGACAGACCGAACTTGGCCAGAGCCTCTTTCAGATTAATCGCATAATCCTGCTTGAACTTTGGGAACGTCAAGTAGACGGATTGGCGGTAGACGTTGTTGATGAGATTATGGAATTGAGCGGCGTTCAGGGACTTCAGGGATTGGCGGAGACCAAATCGACGAGTCGGCAAAAGGATTGCGAACCAGGCGGACTTGTCTTTGAACGGAATTCCGATCACCTGGAAGAAGTTGAAGTTGTTTACCGCTAACACTGTTATAGAAGGAGGGTGTCTATTCAAGACGATGTATCTCACCTGCCGGTGGAGATATCAAAAAGTTGTCAACTGATAAAATGTTCACAATATCCTTCTTAGCATTTTATTAGTTGACAACATTTTGATATCTCTAGTGACAGCTGAAATACAATGTTTTGAATAGACGGAACTTTTAGGGCCATCCAACATTGTCTTGGCATCTCTTCGGACATTTTCTAACTGGACAAATGACACCCAAGATAGTTGCAGCAAAGTTGCATTCCGTCTCGGTTGCGAAACGTCTCCTCACCTGCCACTCGTCGTCCTTATTGTAGAAGTACTCCCTCAAGTCCCTCATCATCGGCACCAACCGATGTTCGCTGGCGGAAATGGAAAAGTTCGATTCGGCCGGCGCCTCGAATCGCCGTCTCCAATCTCCTTGGAAGAAGACGGCGTTGACGAGAATCGCATCCACGTCTGAACACATACCGTCGATTCAAAACTATATAACGCAGCTGCCATTGAAAATATCAAAAAGTTGTCAACTGATAAAATGTGTACAATGTATTTTTGAGCATTTTATCAGTTGACAACTGTTTGAAATCTCCACTGGCAGCTGAGATATCCAGTGCCGAATGAACGACACCTGGACGTACCTTTCAAAGTGTCCGCTTTGATCATTTCCGTGATTTTTCCCTTGGTGCTCTCCGAAATGTACGCATTGATGAGTTTCGCGGCGTTCTGCTGGTCCTTGAAGTCGATTTGGGCGCTCGCGGCGTTGTAGTGCTCGTTCAGGTCATCGATGAACGCTTTTCGAATCGCTTGCTCTGGGCTGAAATTGTTGAAACTTTGCAAAAACGATTTGACCCCGCCGGGGATTGAACCCGGGGACCTTTCGGTTGATCAATCGATAACCGTTCGGTTATTTTTACCGAAAATGCTCAAAAATGAAGTCCGCGCTTTGAAACACACGAAACTTACGCGACAAACAGGCGATTTGCAATGAGCGTCTCCACATCGTTCACCGAGTTGTTCACCAGCTTATTCATAAAACTGAAGTGCTCGACAAACTCGGCATCCGTCGATCCGTTCACAATTCCGTCGCGAATCTCGTTCTTCGTGTGACCCTTGGCTCCGAGATGGACCAAAGCGAGCGAGAGGAGGATGGAGACGGGCGAGAAGACACAGGGAACGAGTTGGGTTGCGGACAAGTCTCCGAGCAGTTTCAGGCCGAATTGGGCCTCGGTGAACGAGGAGTTGACGAGCGAGAAGCTCATGTTTTCGCTCGATCCGGCCAGCAATCAATGAGACGATGTTTTCCGGAACGAACTGGAATGACACCTGTTTGTTACACATTGTGACGGACGAGAAGACGGGGCAATGTTTGTGTGTGTATTGTTATTGAGTAGGTCAATTCAGTTCGAAGAAGGGTTATTAGGCGCATTTCCGCGAGAAAAAAAAAACACATTCATACAAAAACCTTATAATTCAGAATGTACAAAAAGTAAACCAGTGAGACGAGGGGGGTGTACAAAAAACAGATGCCTAATATCCTTCGGAGACGAGTCTGTCGTAGGCGTCAATCGTCAAGAAGTCGCTGAGTTTCTCCTCGGTGACAAACTTCTCGAGCAGCTCGGCGGCCTCCGGAATGCGGTTGACGACGGATCCGGCGCGGATGAGACGGCGTTCCGCTTCGGCGGCGATCGTCTGCTTCACGAGACCGTCGTCGATGGTGCGACCGTCCTCGAGCTTCGCGTCGTGGTGCAACCATTGCCAGAGCTGCGCGCGAGAGATCTCGGCCGTCGCGGCGTCCTCCATCAGGTTGTAGAGGGGCACACAGCCGGTTCCGCGGAGCCACGAGTCCAGGTAGCCTGCAAACGGTTAAAGTTGAAGGTTAGCTTTTCGAATGGTTAAACTTCTTACCAAGAGTGACAGAGATGTTGTGTCTGAATCCTTGCTCGGTGCGGGATCCTTCTGGAATCACGGTCAGGTCCTCTTTGGTGATGGGCGAGCGCGACAAAATCTTGTTGACCTGGTTCGGTTTCGGCATCATGTGGTCGAAGACGCCCTTGGCCAGGGGAACGAGTCCCGGATGGGCGACCCAGGTTCCGTCGTGTCCGTCGGTCACCTCTCGCTCCTTGTCGGCTCGGACCAGCGCGAATGCCTTGTCGTTGGCCACCTGATCGTGCTTGATCGGAATCTGCGCGGCCATTCCGCCCATCGCGTGGATTCCACGTTGATGGCACGCCTTGATCACCTCGAGAGAGTAGTTGCGCATGAACGGAGCAGTCATTCCGATCTGGAATCGATCCGGAAGGAGGAACTTTCGGTGGCTCTGGAACGTCTTGATGTAGGAGAAGATGTAGTCCCAGCGTCCGCAGTTCAGTCCGACAATGTGGTCCTTGAGCGAGTGGATGATCTCGTGGAGCTGGAAACTGGCGAGAAGGTGCTCGATGAGCACGGTGCACTTGATGGTTCCGCGCGCGAGTCCGAGCTTGTCCTCGGTGAACTTGAACACGTCGGCCCACAATTGAGCCTCCTCGGCGCTCTGCAGCTTTGGCAGATAGAAGTATGGTCCGGAGCCCTGCGCGATCAGCGCCTTGGCGTTGTGGAAGACGAAGAGACCAAAGTCGAAGAGGGATCCGGAAGTCGGTTGGTTGTGGATCAGCACGTGCTTCTCCGGAAGATGCCATCCACGTGGACGGACCTTGAGCACGGCGTGCTGTGGGTTCAGGGTGTACTCTTTTTTGGTGGTCGGATGCACGTAGGAGATGTTCTTGCGCACCGCGTCGTACAAGTTGATCTGTCCCTCCAGCTGGTTTCTCCACGTCGGCGAGTTCGAGTCCTCGAAGTCGGCCATGAAGACGTTGGCGCCCGAGTTCATCGCGTTGATGACCATCTTACGATCGGTCGGCCCGGTGATCTCGACCCTTCTGTCTTGCAGATCCTTCGGAATCTCGGCTCCTTTCCAGCTCAAATCGGAGCGGAGCACCTCGGTTTCCTTGTCAAAGTCTGGGAACCAGACGGACGAGTTGATGTCCTGCTGAACCTGGTTTCTCTTGGAGAGCAGACGAAGCCGACGTGGATTAAACTCGGTGTTGAGGTCGCGGATGAAGCGGAGCGCGTCTGGAGTCAGGATCTTCTCGTCTCCAGGCACCGGCTGTGGCGTCAACGACAAAATCTCCTCGTCCTCGGCAGAAACAGCGGCGGTTTGGAACTGCGCTTCTTCGGTGGATCCGGAAAGGGCGGTGGTCGAGGAGAGTCCTCCGGTGACCGCCCGACTCACGGCGTCAAAGTACCCGGTGCCGACTTCTCTCTGATGCTTCACCGCCGTATATCCATGCTTCTCGGCGGCAAACTCTCCCTCCTGAAGGCTCGAGTAAGCGAGCATTCCGTGCTCCTTATAGTTTCTCGCCAAATCGAACATGCTGTAGCTGTTGGCGTGGAATCCGGCGAGCGTGATGAACTGATACTTGAAGCCCATCGCTCCCAACTCCTTCTGGAACTTCTCCATCTGTTGCGGCGAGAGATGCTTCTTCCAGTTGAATGACGGCGAGCAGTTGTAGGCGAACATCTTGTCCGGATACACTTTGCGGACTCCTTCGGCAAACTCGCGAGCGTCGGCGATCGTCGGATGCGACGTTTCCATCCAGATGAGGTCGCAGTAGGGAGCGTACTGAATCGCACGATCCACACAGTATTGGATGGCTGTCGAGTCCTTGAGTCGGTAGAATCCTTCGATAGTTCGTCCGGACTCGTAGTCAATGTACGGATGGTCTCTCGGATCAATGTCCGAGGTGAGCAGTCTCGATGATTCCGCGTCGGTTCGCGCGACGATGATAGTCGGCACTCCGCACACGTCGGCCGCCAATCTCGACGCATTCAGGTGCCGAATGTGCTGGGCCGTCGGAATGAGCACTTTTCCGCCCATGTGTCCGCATTTCTTCTCCGATCCCAACTGATCTTCGTAGTGAACTCCGGCCGCTCCAGCTTCAATGTACGACTGAAATTGTTCGCTTTTCTAGTCGCCCGAAAATAGTTTCAAGGTTTGTGTGTGTGAGAGTTGGTCAAAGATTGCCCGATATTGTAAACAACTCATGTTTTTGGTTGCCCCAACGTGTTGTTATCTAATCAAAAAAGGGAGAAGAAAAGACGACGACAATAATTCTCGTTCTCTTCGTTTGAACAAAAACGATGCAATGCGGAGATAACCGAATGTTTTCTATGACGTGCACTTGAAAAATTGGGAAAATTCTATACACTGCTCTAAGGTACTTTTTGTTGCTTCGTTTGTTGAACACTTTTACTGGCTCTAAATCCCGATTTTCTAGCTTTCTAGAACTTTTCAAAGTACAAAAAATGTCAGTAGAAATTGTACATTGACCCCCTCCCTAACACGACAACTATACACACGTTTCCCCTCTTACACATTTGCCCCCCGACAACTGTCGTCCACTATCACTCTTCCAATGTCTCCCAAAAGCGTCCAGTGGTCAGAGCGGGCATCAAATGGAATGGCAACTGCTGCTCGGCTTCAAATGCTCCGAGATCACTCACCTTCATCAGCTCGAAGCAGTTGAGGGCGCCTCCGAATCCGGCTTCCGCGTCGGCCACAATCGGCGCGTACCAGTCACGTTGGGCGAGGTAGTCTTCCGCTTCACACGCCTCGATCTAGAACGAGCTTTTCTTCGTACACGATACTAGAGTGAAATGGGAAAGTATTTGCGATTTGCAATCCTACAATTGCACTCCCCCAACTTGTGCAAAAATGTTGCGTATGAAAGAAACGGTACCTGATCGGCTCTTCTCAGCGATCTATTAATGCGACGTGCGAGTTCTGGTCCCGAGTTGGCCGGGTACAACGACTGGTCCGGGTACATGTCCCCAGCGGAGTTCGCGTCGGCGGCCACTTGCCATCCCGACAGGTAGATCGCCTTGAGCCCGGCGCGGACCATCTGCACCGCCTGGTTTCCGGTCTGTGCTCCGAGCGCCGGCACGAACGGCTCCGTGTGCAGCAGCTGCCAGAGTTTGTTGGCTCCGCGCGTGGCCAGCGTGTAGTCGATGTCGATGGAGCCGCGCAGTTTGAGCACATCTTCGACGGTGTAGTCGCGCTTGATTCCCTTGAAACGGCCTTTTGGAGCCGATTTGACGACCTGAAAATAGAATGTTTTTAAGATGGAAAGGAACCGGCTCACTTACCTGATAAAAGTTCTTGGTTGCTCCACTCATTGTTGTCTTGTGGTAATATCTTTCACTTTCGGAAAGAGTCGGCACACCCCGTCGTCGCGCCTATTTATACGGCTCGTCGGCCAGAGACGCAGAGGGTCCAAAACTATAGGAAAGGGGCGGAGCCTTGATATTGATATCATTAGGCAGGCGATAGAGTGGAAGAGGTAGAGAAAAGAGAGATAGAAGCAACACATGGGCTGTTTACTGAACAAGTGTTGCCCCGGCTTCGCAGCGACAATGATCTTTGATGGGGCGGCACGTCTTGTCGTGTCCTGTGCAACTTTTTATAGAAATTTTTGGAGAAAACTCACTGCCAGACGTGTACGTTGATCATTCGGATTCTGGAAGGTGTGTAGGAACTGTCGAACGTGGTTTTGGATCACAAGGAACCCGATGTGGCCGGGGAAAGAGGTCGTTGTCACCTCCAACACGACATTATTGATTTCTCACTTGATCTACCCACACGCGTCATTCTAATTTGCTGCACTGCTCGGCTTTGTTCTTGTTGTCTAACCCTCACACCTTTTGGAGAAGATCCCGTCACTTTTGGTCCAAAGTACACAGTCACACCGTACTTTGTCCCTTCTTCTTCTTCTTCTTCTTCTTTTCCACCACGTGCCCCGAAGTGTATCAGTTTTACGACACGCCGATCGAATCGGCGAGCAGAGAACGATCAAGTGATCCGAATGAGAAATTGGTGGATCACAACTATTATCGGTCATCACGAGGTGTCTGGACGGACTGTAAACAGGTTCTTTGAGTTTGTAAACGGTTTTGCAGAAAAGTGTTGCGAGATGTGGTGCATGTGCCGTAAATACGTGCTATACAATGAACTGTTTATACACAACAGTATATCTCAGCCGACGGTGGAGCTATAGAAAAGTTTTCAACTAATACAATGTTCGGTAAGAAACGGTCTACATTTTTTCAGTTGACACCTTTTCGACATCTTCACACACAGCTGAGATATACCCTGTGGAATATAGGGTATTGGTGTGCCCTTCAATATTTACGGTTCTAGTTGAAACCTTGGTTTCTAGAAGTTTTCAGAATGTTAGGATTGAAAATTTTCACCGTTTTTCATAGTACCACAATGATTTCGCTAAAACCGGTTCACCGAAACTCAAAATATCATCGGTCTGTGTTCATTGAACCTCGTCGAAGATCACCGAACCAACATATGTTGCCTTTCTTATCAAAACGGGGTCAAACAAAATGCAACGTGGCATTGATTGATAATATTCGACGATGGTCTTACAGCAGAACGTCCAAACGACTGTGTTTTGATAAGTGCACAGCAGAAACATCGGACATCATCAAAAGTGATAAGAAGAGCACAATGTTCGAGCCAACTACCGATGATATCTGGACCAAAGAAGCTTCAGACGCGCAACTTCACTGACCAGAGATACGCAGAAATCGCAGAGATAAAGATAGGCCCACCACGCGATTTCTTGTTTTTTTGTTACATTTCGCCCTGGTCTCTTTGGAGACCAACAACGTGGATTTGCGAGATTTTCGAGTGTACTTTGGTGGCGGATCAACTTTCGCATGATCTTTGACTCTCTGGGGCAAACTATTAGTGGCTTCACAAAAGTTGAACGCACGGTACACATACCGTAATCATTCGGCCAATTCAAAACGACGTCTCTCCTACATTTCTTCAAATTTTCGCACTTCCTGAACTCCAAATGTTTCTCGATTCAAACGCGCTATCACGGGTGTACTCTATTCGAAAATGTGCATGTTTCGACTACAATAAACATTTTCGAAACGGAGAGCGTGCCTCGACTGATGACAACTGACGCCCAGAAGCGATAAGAAACTTCTTCTTCTTGCGAGCGAGAGAGCGAAAAAGAGAGAGAGAGAGAGAGAGAGAAGAAGAAGAAGAAGAAGAGAAAGTAGCGTGGGTATTCCCCCGAAAGAACGGTCAAAACGAGACGGCGCACACGTTGTGGCGGAAAGGCCCCGTGCTGGTGGGAATGGGGGTACTCTGGTGTTGATGGGGAAGAGAGGAAGAGAAAGAAGAAGAAGAAGAAGAAGAGGGAGAGGGAGAGGGAAAAGGAGCAATAACGTGATCGGATGGACGAACTATGATGTGATTTGGTACTTTGATCGGGCGGGTCCGTTGGATGGGTCACTGAGCCAACAGACTTTAGGATGAACGAGGAGGGACCGGGAACTCTATGCTTTTATTTATTGTCGACTTCAACGGACTACACTAACCCAGAGAGTGGCTGTACTAAAAATTGATCAACTGACAAAATGTTCTGTGTGTCTTTTGCTATAACTTTGTAGTTGACAACTTTTTGGCATTACTACTCCTTGGGTTACTGTAGCTCTCGGAAAATGACTATAGCTAAAACATTCATCATTTCACTGCCGACTTCCAAGAGCTACAGTAATCCAGAGAGTAATTATACTGAAAACCGATCAACTACAAAAATACAGTACTAGATGTGAACTTTTCATAGAACACTTTTAAAAATCGATACTACATCCCCTAACCCGCCAAACTTCACTTTCATCCAAAAAAGTCATTTCAGACACTGACGTAACAATTGCAGCTCCAAACCCTTCAATTTCGCCGATGTTTGCTCTTCTGAATCACTGTTAATTGTCCAATTTCTCAAGTTTTGAAAATTTTCAACAAAAAAAAAGGAAAATGTGAATGGCAAATAAAAAGTTCCGGTAATTATAGTTGTCAGGATTTCTAGTCGAAAAGATTGCCAAAAGGTTGTCGTATTTTCGCATATTTTCAACGATTTTCCGTCATTTTCCCCCAAAAATAATGCTTTCGGGTACCGATTTTTGTCCTCTTGAGTGTCCCGTTTACTATGAACCCATTTTACACTCGATCGGCGTCATTTCCACGTTTCTCAACTGTTTCGGCATATTTCCGACTTTGACAATATCGAAAAAGAGTAGCCGATACCGTTTCTGTCAACTTTACGTCCAGGTAATCCGAAAATAAAGTGTCCTTCACAGTTTGATACCTTCAGATGACGTCACTTTTGACCGAATTCGACCTGTCCCTACTCAATCCCGCCTACTTTTTCTTTCCAATGATCGGAGGCATCAATTGTGGAGTGCTACGTGGATTCCAAGTGCAATTCGGCATTACCTCGCATGTTTGCATTGTGAGTTCAGATGGGAAAACCTACAATATCCGAAAGTTCAGACCGTGTTCGCATTCATCATTTGTATGCAAGTACCCGCTTTGCTCTCCTGCTTCTTGTACCGACATCAAGCGGCGGCTGGGTGTAGTCCCGACAAGGTGGCTATTCAGATTCGGACAATATCAGTTGGCACTAAAACTTGTACAATTTCTTCTGTCCAAGTTTGGTGTCAATTGATTCAATATTCGACAAGTTGCCGTAAATAGAAGAGCACCACAAAATACCAGTTCATTTAGAACAATATATCTCAGCTGCTATTGTAGATGTGAAAAAGTGGTCAACTTATAAAATGTGCACAATTTTATAATGAACAATTTCTTAGTTGACATCTTTCCGATATCTTCAGCGGCAGCTGAGATATGCCGTCTTGAACCTCGGGTAGTGGGCTTCCTGTTTACGGTGTCTGCCGACCAAGTTTCGTGTCAATTGCATCATTTTTCGATGAACCTATCAAAAACGCCGTTTTTTCAGAGTTGGAATCTATCGAGATTGCACATAATCGTCACCCTATTCGTCTACCACTCTTTCCCCTTCCTCATCGCATTTTCACTCTACCACTCCGGCCTGTCTATGGAAGAAAAGAAGATTTCCCTTCAGTTGGTCGGTGGCCTAGAATTCCCATTTCAAGGCCATGGTTTTCTCTTCCAGAACTATCCGGACTGCGTCGAATCGCTCAACGACTTCACCTTCGACACGTACGATTATAAACTCAATTCGACATTTGTCGCGTTCGGCATTCTGATCTCAATGTACTACATAATGGCCGGTGCGATCGGGATCGGGCTCTCGTGGCGCACCGGACAGATTCTGCACAGATATCGATATATTATGTCGGCGCGAACGTACCAACTACACAAAAGTTCACTCGTCACACTCACCGCTCAGGTTTTTTTCTTTGCTTCTTGCCACGCCTCCTTTTCACGTATCTGAATGTTTTTTCAGGTGTCCGGACCGACTCTGGTCCTCGGCATTCCGGTTTTTGTTGTCTACATTGTGGTCGCCAGTCAAATGGCCCAGTTACACTGTGAGTTTATGGCGTCTTTGACAAAATTGCGTGTATTTGTGCGCGTTTTCAGCCCTCGCCGCCACCGCCCCATTCTTCATTTCGATGCACTCGGCAATTTCGACAATTTGCACGATCATGACGACTCCCACGTACAAAAGTTATGTGAAAACCAAGTGGGAAAGCGTAGGCGTCAACACTTTTTGGAAAAGTCCGAACAAACCGATGGCCAGCCCGATGGCAATGAATCGGCCGGCGATCAGTGCGGTTCACACGGTTTTCTGAATAAAAACTTGTTCTGTTTCACAGTTACTCACTAAATACAGTGCTGGCCATTAATATATGAAAAAATGGTTTTTTGAGGATAACTTTTTTTCTAGTTATCCGGGGACCCTGAAACTTATACGGTATACAAAAAGTGCCGTTAGGCAAAGTTGCGGACTTTCAAACTGCATCATCATTTTTTTTTTTCAGAAAATGTTTTTTTTTCCACGCTCGCGGCATTTGCTCATGCATGTAGTCCGACAAGCAGTAATGAATGCGGATCATTGGAGGCGCCTTGACTCACCGAAAATAGAACATTCAATTTTTCGGTAGTAGCGGTAGCGGAGTTTGCTCGTGAACGATACGAGTTTGGGACGGGTGCCAGAGGTGATCATGTGAAAACCATCGGACACCTCTCCCCACTGCTCGTTCTCGCACTGCTCCTTGATCTTTTGCGTCTGGATCTCGACGATTCGGTCGGCGACGACGAGGAAACAGAATAGGTTGTCGTTCAAATCGTCGAGCTTCAAGATCTCGGCTCGAATCTTCCATCCTTTCACGATGCCCCATATCTGTCGGGGCTTCCGAAGTTGCGCACACGTCATGGCAATTCCGTCGAGGGTTCCGAGCACCGTTTTCGACGGCATTGTCATGTGTTTCAGGGCGAGCAGAGCAGAAAACAACGGATTCGCATCCTGATTCGTCTTCGTGTTGATTTTATGCATTTTGGGTGTATGTGTGGTTCTGTAATGCAAAAATACAAGATCAGAATATAACTTTTGTGGTTAGCATACATCTGAAGGTTGCCTTCGGTGTACTTCATCTCGACGTACTTGTCGATGCCCTCAAACACCGTCACCGTGACCGTATCGCTATTGGTGCCGCGAAAGTTGATGCGTGAAATGTGCATGGGAGTCGAGTCGACGACGAGTTGGGTGGACTTTGCCACGTGGCGGAAACAGAATCCGCAAAATGTTTAATGGATACAACAAAACATGGACAAAGTTGCCTGGTCCGAAGTCCCATTTTCCGAATGATCTGCTGCTTGGCACCTAGCGGAAGTTGGTTCCAGCTGCTCATCTTTCACAGAAACTGATGCGGATTTGATTTATTTCAATTCTCTTTCTCTTTTGGACGCTCAATTTGTCCTATTGAAACGTGGCGGTCACAGAAGAGTGCCCTGTCACGTGTCACGTGAAACTCGAAGAGAATGTTTGTCGATAAAATAAAAATGATGTTACCTCGAGAATCAATAGCTTATTTTCAAAAAATAGTCAACAGAAAAGTTGTTGCCAATTTTGTGCTTGTTCTTTTAAAAAAGGATCCTTTAAGATTTTCTTTTTGTGCTCGGCTTTTTGTGCTCGGCGAAGGAGTTCACTGGTTTGCACCTGACGGACCCGCAAGTCGCGGTTTTCATGGGTATGGCCCTAACGAGACCGGTCCCAGGCACCGGGTTCAACAGTCACGAACAACTCAAAAATGTCCACGAAAAGCTGCGCAGGAGATCGCCGAGCTTCTTGTCAAATGCGGTAAAACAATATTTTTCCTTCAAAACATTTATTGATTGAATTTCAGATCGAATGTATCAGCAATTTGTGGAGTTCGTCCAGGGAAACGTCGGCCGATTGAACGTGCATTTTAAGTTCCGAATGTTCTTCGCCATCCTCACCGATATGTAACAACTTACTAATTTTTGTTTCTTTTTGTTTTTGTAACTTGGAATTAATAAAATAAGTGATTGAAGTACACTGCTTGTTAAAGATATGCTTTAAAAAAGAATAAACCAACCGTATTCAAGCTGTCAATATGTTTCACACACAAAACTCATAATACAATTTGACAAGGGTTTAAAGCTGATTGCGATCGAGAATTATGATAGATGCACCATAGATGCACCATGGACAAAACATTTCTGACATCCGATAGTGAGTAAGTAGCCGGGGTAAGTAGAAAAACGGGGAGAAGAGAAAACATTGAACAAGAAACACGAAGACAATATCTAATAGGGACACTGAAAAACTTTTCCGTCGCCCTCGACCTCATCCTCGTCTTGCTCATACTTGAGCCGTTTCGGAGGCGGCTGCGGGGCTCCGATGCTCTCGAAGCTTCTGATGTTGCCGTTCGCGTCGATCATCTTCTCGACAGAACGCTCAGTCCGGCACGATCGGCAGCTGGAAATGTGTTCATTTTATAATTGCCCCCTTGCAAATGAGGTCTTACCAATAAACTTTAGTTTCACAACGCTTGCGAGTTCTCGTTTTCAGAAACATCGTGCCCTTTTTGTTCTTCGGACACGGGATTGTGGCCGGAAGATTCGGTGGGTACGGATCGGATTTTATCTGCAATATATACATTTATATTCAAAAAAAAGCAGACTTGCAACGGGCCGGGCCCGGCCCGGGAGGATGCACCTAAAAATTCAAAGCGAACTAGAACTTCTAAACGAGCATAATTTTATAGACTTAAAATTGGCAATGTTATAAAAAGGCAATGTTATAGCATAAAAACCTGCTAAAAAAATAGAAATTGCTGTTTAAAGTCGCAAAATTTTCACAAAAATTACGAAAATTTTCTCAAGAGTGGGCGGAGCGATTGATTGCAACTCTGGCACGCCATTTTAGCAATTTTGCCGCACGCGTTTTTCTCTTCCTTCATATTTTTTTTGCATATTTTTTTGAGGTCTAACTTCCGGGCCGACCGGGCCGGGCCGGGCCGACGATTTGCTGGCCCGGCCCGGGATTTGGCAAGTCTGAAAAAAAGAAACGGTGTCTAGAATTGTGGCTTTTTAGTGTTGTAACAACTGTAAAACGAAAAGTACGCGCTACTACAATCTTGTGTAACTCCTTCAACAAAACTCACTTCTTTCGGACTGTTTCTGACGATTTTCTCGGGAATCTCAACTGTTTGAGCTTCGATCGTTTCGATCTTCTCCTCCTGAACGTTTCCTCGCAATTCGTCGAGCATCTCCAATCGTTTATCCATTTTAAACAGCTTCGGAACATCCATTCGGAGGAGGTGTCCGATCGATTGCTCCGGATACGTGGTCCGAGGTCCACGGGTGCGACGGACCGCGTTTCCCGCTTGCTTTCGCTTTCCGAGATTCGGTGTACTTGGCTGATTCATCTCCAAAAAGAAGTGTTATAAAATGTTGGAAGAGTTTGTCGAATTCGACGATTCGAGTATGTTGAAAGCATCAACATTGATGATGGGTTACGGTATTCAAGACGCATAGAAAAATGAAGAAATTATGAATCCTACTGTGAAACACCCTAAATTCTTACAAAAATTGTAGATACAGAGAGGGGAAAGAGAGGAGAAGTGAGCAGCCGAACGATTTGGGAGGAAGCGAAAAAAAGGAGAAAGCGACAATAGTCAAAATGAGAAAACGGGAGAGAGAGAGTGAGTGATAGACGGAGACGGTGGAAGCGAGAGAGGGAGAGAGAGAGAGAGAGAAAGAAGAAGCAGGAGAATGGAGAAAGACCGACAGTTTCCGATGGACATGTCCGTTTTCGCAAAACGATGAATAATGTCTGGCCTTCCGAACAAAAACATACACGAAACGATAATATTTGTGTTTGCACAGAACTTTCTGGGAACTCGTTGGAAACTGGAGCCGATTTTCCGAGAAAACCTCTCGTCTTCATTCCTAAACCACAGTCACCAATAAACATAAAGCGCCAAAAAAAGAGCCATCAGAGTGGCGATGGATATGACAATTTTCCGGAAATTTTCCGTTTTAGCGCTAAAATTCGACGACTTCTTGTCCTTTTTGCACGCCGATTCCCAATCGATAAACGATTGCTCGGCCATTTTGAAATATCCGTTTATCGGACAAACATTGTTGATCACCGGAAGTACTTGCACTTTCAGCATTTTCGCATCCAGTTCCCAGCCGTTTGTCTGAAAAGTTTAGCATTGAATAAGGGCGCAGAAAAAAGGTCGTATTTTGAAAATGAAGAATTTTGTGATAAAATGGTTAACTAGAAAGTTGTTCAGCGCAAAATTTCCTATCATTTTGTAGTTGACAGTATTTTGGATGAATCATTGATTCACGAGATATGCGTCTCTAAAGACGTCCCAACCTCTTTGGCCACATTCAATTGATACCATCGATCGAACGGATCCGCACACTTTGAACACGTCCATCTCAACTCACACATGCTCGATTCCTAGAAGAGTTTGAACATTTTCAGTCAGAAAAACCGGGATACAGTGTACCTCCGGATAGAATTTGTACGTCTGCGTTCTTATCATCACTCCACACGCCGTTTTTCTGCGGCACAACACGAGTTCGCCGTTTTTTCGGATCCATTCGTCACCATCCGACGACCTGAAATGCATTATCTGACAGCTTCTAGAGTTTTCTATAACTGGCAAAAAACCGAAAAAAAAAATTCATAAAAAAGATACCGCAATTCTTACCGTTCCACACGTAATCCCAGCTGGTTCGCTTCGTCATTCCAAAGTTCGACCATCTCTTTTTTCACCGTCTCTTCCGTACTATAGAAACCATCTGAAATGGGTTGAGTGTTGGGTGCTATCGAAAATGAAGTCTGCTCACAAAATCCGGTGATCTGCGGCTGTCTCGGCAGCGCTTTTCTCGTGAAATATCTCATTTTCCGGGTGTAAACGACGGGCACGGTCCCTTTCGAATCCTTCATCAAAATGTGAATCTCGGAAATGTCCGTGCGCGCCACGTGGCATCCGATCGCCGCGTCGTTGAACGAGTCCGTCTTGAGAATGCGCGTTCGGATCTTGGGACCGTCCTTCAGAATGCTATCGATCGTCCGAAACTCGTCCACGTCTAGAATTGCAGCGAACTCCAGCGTTCCGAGCACAGTTTTCGGCGTTTGGACGATGGATTTTAGGGTGGTGACGGCCAGGAAAAACGGATTTCGACACGGAATTCGTCTCGTCTTCGACTTTTTATTCCGCTTTTTCGTCGTCCAGCTCGTGCTTCTGAATTATAGGCGTATTTTTACGAGATTTCATCGATTCACACCAACATTTTCAGCTCGGTCACATTGTTGACATCGCTTCCGAATTCCAGATCAATCACACTTCCGATGGCCAAATAAATTGTCAAATTTATTCGATTCCGCGCGTGTGCCTTGAAATTGACGCGTGGAATGCGGAGATTCAGAGAATCGACGGCCAGCTGAGTCGACTTTGCCACGTGGCGAAAGCGGAATCTGAAGAACATTTGTTCCAAACAGCTTGGGACCGTTTGGATACTTGTTTGTAGAAATGTGCACTTACCTGGTTCGAAACTCTAACTTTTCAATGATTCTCTGCTTCAGCGCCAGTGATAGGTCATTCCAATTTGCCATTTTTGTACGGAAAATCGATTGGACGCAGTTTTCATCTCAACAAGTTTGCTCCATGACGTGGCAAGGTCACCTGCTGAGTTTAGAAACGAGAATTGGAATTTCGCGTGAAAAACGGAAAACGGACGAACGGATATTGTAGAGTGTGAAAAATTCACACATATGGTGCATCATTTTTGCACTTTTTTGGACTAGTGTAGGCATTCGAAGTGAGGATAAGAATGCCAGCTAATGCCAACTTCCAGAGACTGCAGTACTCTTCGGAGTGATGATACTAAAAAAGTGTCAATTACAAAAATGAAGAGCACATTGAGTACGACATTTTAATACTTGACACTTTTTCTATACGACCATTTCTAACACTACTGTAGCTTTTGGAAGTTGACATACAAAGCGATCCTGAAATGTAGTCAACTACAAAAGCAATGTAATCAAAACGAATTTCATTCAGGATTTTAATACAAGTAGAAATACAATAGGAAAGCGGAAAAAACGATAAAAAGAATGAGAGCAGCTTCGCGTTTGTAGTAATGTTTGACGTAGAACAAATAGCTGAAAATGTAGAAGAGGTCGGAAATGGCGTCTAAAGACATTGTGCAGTACGGCTCTTCAGACGACGATTCCAAGAATCAAAGTTCGAGAAGGTCGTTCGGCGACACGTAGTGACAGAAGAACGCGTCGTTGGTTGTTTCCATTTTCAGAATTCGAGTTCGCATCCGACAGCCGTCGAGGATCGGGTCGACAGTCAGAAAATCAGACTCTTGACGGTAGACCGTCACTTCCAGAGCTCCGAGCAACGTTTTCGGGTTTGCCGTGATGCTTTTCAGGCATTCGGCCGCAGCAACGGGCACGTTTCGAGAAGTATTCATCTTTTCTTGATGACGTTGTGCTGCAATTCCAGCGGCAGATCACTCCAACCGGCCATTTTCGGAACAACAGAAACTGATGGGAAACTTTGGAATTTCAAACCGAATGACGCTGTGAATTGTTGTCAAGTTTACGTTTGGACGACTATATCTCGAGAACCAATAGTTATTTCAAAATGTTGTTGAGTACTGATCATCATGAAAACATATTTTATTCGTATCGACTGTAATTACATTGTCAATTTCCGTTATAGTCCTTGGTACAAATGTCCACAATCGGACGGTAAATGTCTTGCGGAGCACGAAGTCCGAACACGAAATCAAAGTGATTGTAGTCCGTGAAATAGTTGTTTTGCTGCGGAAAGAAACATCGAATCAGTGTGGAAATCGAGCCACTTACAGTAATCACGGCAGGATTCAATCGGGTCAGCAGGAAATCGGTGATGTCTTGCTTGTCAGCCAACCAGTCAGCGTCGCTCCAGTACAAGTAGATCTGCACGTTTTTGATGGCCGTAAAGTCGTACTCTGGCGGATTTGCCTTGAATTAATCATTTCCGAAGCACAAAAACAATTGTCTCTCACCTGTCCGTACTTCTTCTTGTTCTCCTTGCTGCCCCAGTCGTAGGCCGGAACTGCTCCATGTCGGACCATCTGGATCCAGTGCACAATGTTCTGAGTGGCCGTTCCTGCCGGATCATGCGACGCGTACACTGGCACACGCGTCGAATTCCACTGATCGCTTTCCGGACCGGCGATGAGGAAGCAGACGTTGTCGCAGAGATCCGATTCGATTTGGAGTCCTCCGCAAATGTCTTTTGCCGCCAGTTTCATCGCCCAGTTGTTGGGAAGGAACTCGCCGGCGCCGAAGACGTCGAACCAACCCTGCACAGCTTTTTGTATCGTTCGGGCTACTTTTATCATGCAAAGTTCGACTTTGTAAACACAAACACTTTAACACGTCTATTCAAAAGGACGTACCTCAGCTGCCACTGCAGATATCAAAAAGTAGTCAACTGATAAAATGTGCAAAATATGTTTTTTGAGCAATTTATCAGTTGACAACGTTTTGATATCTCCACCGGCAGCTGACTTACATCACTTTTCGTTTCGCAACTAAATTTTCCTAACGCCGTTCATTGCGGACAATAGATCTCCGTTGTCAGTGAAGATATCAAAAAGTTGTCAACTAACATATTGTTCATTGAGAGATTTTGCACATTGTCTACCGGTATTTAAAATACAGCGTCTTGAATAAACGGTATTGGAGTATTCCTAAAAACCAACTCACATCGAACTCCAACGAGAAATAGTGCGCGAAGAATGACATGAATCCCTTGATGTTCTTGACAGCTCCAACTGGCGCCAACGCGAAGAACTTTTTGATTTTCTTCCCGAAACTTCCATCGTCTTTTGACAAATGACTGAACATGGTGAGCGTTCCTTGCGAATGCCCCATATAGTACAGGTTCTCGTGTCCCGTCACCTCCAGCACCTTGTCGATCATCGCCGGAAGGTCGTAGGCGGCCATTTCGTCCCAACTCCACTCCCAAAAGTCCGCGTGCGACGGCTTCAGATTCGTGTGCTTCATGCTGTACGTGTTGCCACGCATGTTGCCGAGCCACACGTCGAATCCGGCGTCGGCGAAGATGAACGCGGCACTCTGCTCGGGCAGGTTCATGGTCCAGTCGCTGGAGGCGCACAGGAGTCCGTGTTGCATGAAGATTACTGGCTGCTTTCCACTTGGCCACGTCACATTTGCTGAGAAATTTGGTCATTTCGAAAATGTTCTTTTCAGTCATATCTATAGATTACTTTTTCCATGCGGAATTCTGTGTAGCTCCAAAATGTATCCGTCATCGGTCGTCACCGAGTAGATCATCACCGGATAGCCCCATCGTTCGATGATTTGAGGCTGTACGAAAAAATTTCTCAAAAAGTAGCATACAGCATCCTACCGTAGTCATATGAAGCTCCGGATCGCTTTTTGCCGCCACATTTGTACAGAAGAGCAGGAAGAGAGCACAGAATAGAAGTTTCGCGGTCATTTCTGCTCCGTGCGCTATCAGTGTGCTCGAAACTTTCGGTTTTTAAACGGACAGATGCGCCATGTGTTTGTCACGATGTCGGGGGGGAGTGAAATCAGCGAATCGTGTTCTATGTACTTTGTGTGTGACTTGGGGGGAGCGACACGTTTTTTTTCTCATGTTGATTATTTGTTGGAAAGCGAAAACAAACCTAGACTATTCTTATATCGAAGAATTCTGATCCTAGCCAGATGCTGTACAAGGTTCCAAGACGAGAATTCAAAAAAAAATACAGGGGTCCCAAGTTTTGGCAAAATGTCACAAAAGTTGACTGTGCCAAGAAACATCCGGAACTTGTCAAGTTTTCTGGAATCACTCAACTCAATATTATCGGTTTGCGATCACATGGTTCACATGCCGACTGACGTGATAACGCTCGATTTGCAACATCAGAAACACTCGAGTTCACCCGAGTACGCGACGTTCTTCATGAACGATATGCTAGTTGAAGCAAATGTTTAGCACAATAACTAGAGTCCTTTTGAGAATCGTTCTGCTCATTTCCATTATCAAAAGGTTCCATTTGAACTTGCGATTGATCACGGACCACATCCGAATTCTGCGGCTTAGCATCCACATTGACATCCTGTTGTACCGGCGGCATGTTAAGAAATACACGAAGATTATTGGTTTGAGGGTTCACGCCCAGTTTCACACGATGTCTCCTAAAAGCCGACGGTCCTTCCTGACGGTGACGAGTTGGTCCCCGTCGGACGGAAGCTCTTCTTCTGGAACTTGGGACCACTTCATTGTTGGTTTCCAGAGGAACGAGAGCAGTGATTGGATCGCGGTGTTGTCGGATAAAATGGATCGCCGCCTCGAGTACGGCCAACTGAAAAAAGAACGTTTAAAGAGGCGGGACACTGAAAATGTGGTGTAGAGCCGATTGCTTTCTCACATCAACTGAGATTGAAAAGTTAGTGTTAACATACCCGCGGGGCAGTTGACAAATCTCGGAAATCGGCCGGGACTTCAGCTTTTAGAAGCGCAACTGCTTGAGAGATCTATAAACAAAGACTAAACTGAGACATGTGTTCGAAAAATAAACTTACGGTTTTGCTCTTGAGCTCGCCTCCGTAGGGACGTCTTCCGGACATTTTCGAAGATTTCTGCAAGAAGTAGACTTATAATAGTAGAAACACGAGGAAGAAAGAGCAGAAAAGCAGGCGCACCGACTCGCAATGAGGACGGAATGGTGGAATGACTGCTCATCGGGCGGGGACCGAAAAAAGAACAGATGGTACCGTCCCCATTGCGCGCGCGATCCGCAAAACTATAATAAGACCACTTTCCCAAGTCTACTTTTATGGATAGCCGAGCTGTGATGAATTGTAACGGTTAGATGGCACTCTTAACTTATTTGCATTTCTGCCGGGTCACCCCCGATCTGCGAACGTCGCTTCTCGGACAAGAAATGAAGTTGGAGTTTAGCAAGACGAGTTGTTGTGTTTGCCTCAAACTTGACTATCGCTGAAAAAAATATACTTTTGATTCATCAAAACGAACTGTCATAATGATTTCTCGAGCGATTCGATGATATTCGAAAAGGTCGTATGGGTAAACAAGTCAACACACATTCCTTGCTCATTTTAACTTTCTGACCGCCTCCCTTCCTCACTCTTATTTCACACAAACAACACACGCATCTATCTGTTTCATTTCGTGAGGCATTCGAGGTGTTTTACACGTTTACCACTTCTCCGTCGCTTTCCCTAAGGTGGCACAAGGACTGAGAACTCTTTATTTCACAAAAACACACTTAAATCTTTATGGGGTTATTCAGGCTGTGAAAAAAATGATTGTTTTCCGTTTTTTTCGTTTTTTTACGTCAAAAAATCCAATTCAGCGATGTAAAAAAACGAAAAAAACGGAAAACAAACATACGCTGAATAGCCCCATTACTGATATTTCAAAATGATGAGTTCTCAGCAGTTCTCGTTTGTAACTATCCTCATCCTTACAAGTGCTCACTTATAACAGTTCTTATTCCTAGTACCTACCCTGCGAAACGGTTGTGTTTCAGAGAACAAATGACATTCGAGTCGGAAGTGGAGGCGGATCGCGACAGTTTCTTCCGCGGCACTTGCAAGCAACTCGAATACGGAAAAACGCCGACCGGTCAGAAGTTTGCCACGGTTATCACGAGTGGAGCGTGGTACGCGGTTCGGGTCTATCTGGAGGAGGATCATACGGAACTGACCAATGCATGGTTCCAGCCGGGAGACCGATTCCTCTTCAAGACTCAGCACGCCACGTGGGATGGTGCGCTTGAGAAGAAGAAGGAGTATCATCGACAGCTCACCCATGGAAAGTTCAAGGCTTTTCTGTGCAACTTGCCAGCCGAGAAGCGTTACCGCCGCAATATTTTCTCAGCGGTCACTCATTATCTGCTCGACGACCAGGATTTCGAGTCTCGCGACTTTTCAAGCGCCAGGATCGTCAAGACGACGCCGAGTGACTGTGCGGACCGTCCGGACAAGTACCTCAAGCGTGGCGACATTGTGCAAACCGACTTTTTGCTGGCCGCCAACCACGAGGGCATCTACATCGGAAACGGGAAAGTGATCCACGTGTCGGGTCACGGTGGTGGCAAGTCGGCGTCGGTGGCTCGTGAGGGCAGACTTCTCGGCGACTTTGTCGGCAAATCGGGCGAGAGTGTTCGGGTGCTGGTGCTTCGTCTCAAGTTCCGAACGGGCGAGGAGATTGCGAGACAGGCGGAGGCGTACAGTGATGGAAAGTTCCGCGAGGGCGAGTACGATCTGTTCAGTAAGAACTGTCAACACTTTGCTGCTCTTTGCGCACTCGGCGTCGAGAACAGTGGAGATGTGCAGCGCTTCAAGTCGAACTTCAACCAAATCGCCATGGCTGCTGTGCACTTGTTCCGTTGAGGTATCATACGCTTTCAAGTCTATTGTAGCTTTTGTAATGTATGTAAAATTCTCAAACATTTTTCAGATCGATACGCTTTCCAGCTCGCCTATGCTTGCACACTCAACCGACAAATTATACTTGTAGATAATCTTCAATACATGCATTTTTATTGGATAAATAAAGTATCACTCCACAAACATTTCGAGATGAGACTTTTCACTGCAAAGTCCGTCTTTCTTTCTGCTGCCCCTCTCCGAAAAGACAGACAGACAGACGGACGCCTTGTGTGTCTGTATATAAGAACGATTGTCGATTTTTCGGTCTCTTCCCATGAAAATACGCTTTATCAACATTTCTCTTCATGTTCTCACCTAATATTATCATTTTCCATATTTCAGTCATGCAAAACTCGCGCCCGATTTGGCAAGAACTCCCAGTCCACTTCAAGGAATCAGTTGTCGATTTGTTGGACTTGAAATCTAGGTAATCAGTGAAATGTTTTCAAAAAACTATTGTAGATTTCAGAGTTCACCTTCAAGTTTGTTCGAAAGCCGATGCAATGCTTGTGGACAATCGTCCAGTTTTCTTGAAAAAAGTGGAAATCAATCGATTCGAAATCTGTCATCCCCACGCTCAAATGTCTGATTTTCAAGGGAACGAGTACGAAGAATGGGATGCTCGCCGCTTTTTTCACTGGCTCCATCCTAAATCTCACGTGGAATTCATGGACATCCGGATAGACGGCGAATCGGTTTGGCGCCTCATGGATTCGATCAAAACGCCCATAAAATCAGAAAATGTATCGTTGATTGATGTGCCGAAGAGAAGTCGTTTCGATGAAAAGAAACGCGTAAGTAAATCAAAGTAATGTTTTATTCAGAAAATATACGATTTCTCGAAAAACGTCTCTAGATCTTTTAATCTTTCGATTTAAAAAGTTCACTTACATGACTGCAAATGTTTTCGAACCAAAAAAAAGTAAAGTGACAACTCGCAGCAAAAAAAAAAATTTTTCCAACGAAATTTCACTGTTTTCCGGCAAACGATCGGTTTTTCCGCGAAAGCGAGCTGTCACTCTACTTCTTTTTGGTTCGAAGACATTCTCAGCAATGTAAGTAAAGTTTTTTTAACTAAAAGATTAGAAAATCTAGTGACGTTTTTCGAGAAATCGTGCATTTTCTGAATAAAATCTTACTTTCACTTACCTACGCGTTTCTTTTCATCGGATCGACTTCTCTTCGCGTATTACTTTATCTGAAATCTGTAAAAAGATCTAATTGAGGTAGAAAGAAGAGAAAAATGCTTTAAAGAGATGAAAATTTGGAGAAAATTCATCAACAACTAAAAAAAAAAGAACTTTGCGCGTAACATAAAATGCACTGTACGCAGAAATGCACTGTACGCAGAGCAACACCGGCGTGCAAAAATGCACAGGCTGAGGATCAAACGTTTGGTGAACGTCGCAAAAGCCGCGCCGTGAAGTTCGATGGAAAAACGCTGGAAAGACTTCGACTGCATAGCCGAATAATTGAGAAAATGCTCGAGGAACTGGCTCAAACGGATCAATGGAAAAGTGCTCGGGATGTGAGCATTCGAACGGATCGACTGCATTTGGAGCACTTTCTTCACGCCAATACATTCGAAGTTCATTTGAAAACGCTGACTTCCGAAGGTGCACAGAAACGTATCGAGGTAACCAACCATATCGTTTCGTTTCCCTAACGAAAATCTTTTGCAGAACCTGAAAACCAAAAGTGTCGGATGTGGATTCGAAGTAATCCTGCCGATCAGCTCCGAAACTAGTGAACTTTTGGAAAAGCACAAACGATCGGAGCCCGGCGAGCCTCAACCGATCAGTTTACCGTCAAAGGACATTGTGCTGGTTTTAAAGGTCTACACCAACAGTTACCTCGGCGTCATTTGTCGTGTCGACCACGTTGAGAAGGATTGCTTCGCGTTTTTGATGAATAGTCTGTGATTCACAACTTTTTCCGACCACTCTTTTTCCTTCTTTCTCTCTCACCTTTTCGTCACTTTTTCCCTTTTTCTCTTCCCGTCTCACGCTTCGATTTCATAATTCTTGAGAGGAATGACCCTTTTGTTTGTTGTTTTCAGCAGAGTTGCCACGGGCCGGGCCGGGCCGAAATTTTCAAAACTCCGGTCCGGCCCGGCCCGTCGGCCCGGTTCAAAAAGCGGGAATCCAAATTTTCAACTATTGATTAAATAGAATGTTTGTTTTTCGTAGAACTAACGAATTTTGCAAGTATCGAGCACAAAAAAGAAATGTAGTTCTCAAAAATAGTGTCGTTTTTTTTTTAATTTTGATCCCCGCAAAAAAAAAAACGAAAAAAATATATTTCCCCCAAAAATTTGAATTCGCGCCTTTTGAGCCGGGCCGACCGGGCCGGGCCGGGCCAGCAAATTTTCGGCCCGTAATTTGGCAAGTCTGGTTTTCAGAACAACTGATAACTTTTAGATGAGTCCCAAGTTGGTGGGCATGTTTTCGAGTTGCTCCATTCTCGATATCGCTCTTTTCTAGTTTGCAATAAGTGGTCAATTTACAGTTTGTGATGGAGCAGCGATTGAAGATGTTCCACAATATCATTCCTGATGTGGAGAAGCCTAAGGCGATTTGGCAAGACATGCCCCTACATTTCAAGAGAACCCTTGTTGATTTGTTGGATGTAACGTCGAGGTAAGAGCCGTTTGTCGTCGGAACCACGCAGATCAGGATTTCGCACAGTTCTCCTCTTTCAGTTTCACCTAACCTTTTCGCTTATGCACGGACACCAGAGCTGACAATGGGCGCAAGTGCGCCCCGCCCAATAGAGCGATACATTGGCGCAAAATTCAAATTTTAACAGCAAAATTTGTGTTTTTTGCCAGATACGCCACGAAAACCCGATAATTTCTCATTTGTCTCTCGATAGACCGATTGTGTAGGTTATTACGAATTTCTTAAGCGCAAGAGCGTTAAACTTGGTCTACGCGCAAATCACATTTATCCGTTTGAAGGTTTTTGGCTAAAACTGCGTGAATTTCAGTTGCTTTTCGGTAGTTTTTGCGGTTCGAGCGCTCAAAAAGCTTGTATTTACGTGATTCATCATTCTCAAAGACCAATTCTGTCTGAAAACGGCCAAGAAAGCTCAAAATGAGAAGTGCGGTTTTTAGGCGGTGCTTGGCGGCGAAGACGAAAAAGCGAAGTCCGCGAAAAATGCGCCAAAACGTCATTAATTCTGAGAATTAGTGTGTTTTCATGTCGAACAATCATTTTTTATCGCCTTTGACCACAAAAATCAGAAAAACCAGCTCAATTCAGCTCTGGAGGCCGTGTTATGTGATTTTTTGCGCCTCACCAAAATTTGATAAAACATTTATTTTCAAACTTTTGAAACGTGAACTTTGCACAGAACATTCTCGACAAACCGCCCACTGACACGTACGTGAAATTCCATCATTTCCCCATCATTATCGTTGTTTTCGTCATTACGATCGGTCGAGCAATATTCTGAAAAAGTTGTCAATCATGAACTTGCATCGTGGGATGTATAGTGAGTTTGTCAGCCTCGTCACAACCCGGATAATCTAATTTTCCCGTTTAGAATCCAAGTTCAAGCGCATTCCGATTGCTCTGATTATCTGTATCCTCTCCACTTTCGTCCTTGGTAAGTTCTCTGCTATGACATTCCACGTGGCAGAGAAAACGATTACAGAATCGACGGCCGTCAATGAAATTGGACCCGACTCCCAGGAAATGGGCATCAGAAGAGCTCCGAGAGCCGGTTAGATTCGAGTCCAGAAACATCGGAAACTTGATTTGTTGCAGGAGATTCTCTGTCGGAATTTGCCGAAAAAATGGCGATGACCGCCCGTGTCACCAACGCGATCTTCCTCCAGAACGGACTCGCCAACGGCTCCGTTCCGATCGAGAACGTCGTCGCAGAACTTCTCAATTTCGGGTCTGTTACGGTCAAGCAAGTAGTAGGCATTGACACTAAAAAAGTGATCGAATTGACGGAATCCCTAAAAGGAATGCCTGCGAGCCTTGATTCTTCCGACGCTGTACATACGTTCGAGAAGTTTTTGTTAGATACGAATTACATTCGAATCGAATCAGAGAGCATAGGAAATCTCACAAGTTTACCGGGACTCGACGCGTTCTTCAAAAACGTTGAAGACTTTAAAGTGAACAGCACGTCTTTCGATCGACTATCTCATATCAAGCAAGTATTCGAGTCTGTCCTTGAACCATTGAACAATATAAGGGATGTATACGAAAACAAAACTAAACGTAAAGTCCTGTGGATAATGAATGAAGTGGATTTGTTCCATTTCTCTTTGACCAACGTCACCACTTCTCTGCATGACCTCGAGAGCATGAAGCAGAGCTTGACCAACTTTGTCCCTTCGAATAGTGGGCTACTCAATCTGCGACCTGTTCAAAGAATGTCGAGTCTTCTCTTTTTCCGAGACAATCTTCATATTGCCGACGACAAAAGCGACCTGAACTTTGATCAACTGTCGAAAATTTCCGCGAATGCGTCGAAGATTTTGGTAGACTTGGAATCGTTTGGAAAGCTTGTTAGAAACCAATTCGCGCCTCTTCAAAAGCCGTTTGAGGAGTTTCTAAAATTGTCGACAGATGTGAATATTAATGATTGGACCCTACAAGTTATTGGATCATCGAAGAATAACACAAAATTGAGGGAGGCGCTGAAGCCGATTCTTCTGCTGCACAGAAATCTCAGTGGAATTGAGAAGGACTGGAATGGGATCGGCACTGTTGAGATTCATCGGTCGACTGACAATTTGATAAGTATAATGGAAACGATCGCAAACGTTTCATTGAAATCTCAAGAAGCGTCTCAATTTTTCAACATCTCTTACACTTGCTTGAAGCTTGGTGATCTTGTAACTACAGGAACTACTCAGGGTGTGAATGCGTTGATCAATGACGTCACACAGTTTGACAATCGTGTTCAATCGCTTCAAAAGTTTTTCGATGGATTATCTGAATTGGATTTCGACGCAATACTCAGCAAAGTAGCAGCTATACGTGAAATCATTCAATTTTCATCGCCTGCGGAAGCTTTTAAAGAATTACCGGGTATTCTGGAGAACTTGAAAACGAAAGGGAAGGATGACGTGGAATCACTGCTGAACTTTGCAAGGTCCGTATCAGCTCTCGCCAATTCAAGCCTACCGACGAACAGTAACGTGACTTTTGATTCTTTAATCAACACGATTATTTCGCGAAAAGATGCAGTTGAAGCGTTCCGTAATAATATTGTTGTTAAGAAGGAAGTTGCACTGCACAAATGTCTTCTCGGCGAATCGGAAAGGAGCGAGAATGCCGCCCGGGCAATTCGGATGATTCAGAAACTTCGGAATGTGACCAGCACGGAGAGTGATGCCGTGGCAAAAATAGCTACCACGGTCGGCCAAACTACTGCCCTTTTGAAAACACTTCCGAGTGTTCTGAAGGATATGAAAAGTCTTTCAAATATGCCAGAAGCAGAAGAGTTCAAGAAGATGAAGAATGCTCGCAATGTCTCGAGAACTGTTTCAAGAGCGGCAGCGGGGATCAGGAACATCTGGAAGTTATCGGAAGCGACATCTTCACTGACTACTATCATGAATGCAAGTCTGTTGGTGACGGAAAAAATCGCCCAGATTCCCAATCGGAAACGAAGAGCCATTCTGAAATCGAAAGTGCTTCAATGCTGGGGAAACCATTCGGATGACGTGGTGAATATCGACACGGTGCTCAAACAGATCGGTTCCTTCCGAAGACACATTGATCAGGCGAAACCGAAAAGTCTGAAGGATTACGGAACGGTCTTCACGAATGCTAGTCTAATCGACAGCATTCAGATGGACGTGGCCAAGAAGATCGAAGCCATCACTCAGATTCTGACGATTACTTCTGATCCGACCGAAGTTAAGAAGCTCGAAACAATCAAGAATTCTCTACAACATCTGGAACCACTTGATCTTCAGTTCGCCGGCTACCGTCTTCATTTCCAAAGCGCCCCAGAGTCTCTCGACTCCTTGTGGAACTTCTTCACCGAATTTTTCACAGTTCCGGTTTCTGCCCCCGCACCCGCACCGTCTCAAGCTCGAACCACTTCGAATGGCTCAACTGCCAGTGTTGAAAGCACCGAAAAGGAGGAGTCTTCAACTCTAGAGTGAGTTTACAAAAAAAATCACAAATCTGAAGTATCCCGTTTGCAGGATTATCGGAATATGTGGGGGAGTTGTCGGCGGACTTTCTCTTCTGCTGACCGCAGGATACTATGGCCGCAAAAAATTGATGCAGCGAAAGGCGCTGAAACGACTGAAACTGCTGAGAATCGAACGTGAGTCTGCCTTAGTCTCGTCTAATAGTTTTATATTTTACAGAGGACCGCATCAAAGAATGGCCGCTCCTTCTGAAATGGATCAACGGTCTGAGGTTCAGCAGTCACAGCGAGTTGATGAAATTGCTGGTAAAAGTGCTGCTAGTCATGAAGTACGAGGTGGCGGTGACCGTGCAGAACGGTCTGGGAGACCGCAGTCGATCCGGCATTCCGCTCAATCCGAAAGCCTTCTTCCACGATCGAAAAGAGCTGAACGTGTTGGACGGCGGTCAGATCATCACAAAAAGGGGTCTTATGCTTCGCGCGACTCAGGCGCCGATGGACGGCACCGAGGGGAAGGCTAACACGACGGCCGACTTCTGGAAGGAAGTCTCCGACGCCGCCACCGAGTTTATTATTCATTGCGGACCACACCAGGAGGTCGACATGCAAAAGAGCGGCGTTTATTTTCCGAACATCAAACAGACGGCCGTCTACGGAGACGTGGAGGTGAAGACGATCAGCGAGAAGGCGATTATGAAGGGCGAGGTGATCGAGAGAAAGTTCGAAGTGACGGATACGACGTGAGTATTCAAACGATTCTGTAATTTTGATTTTAAAAAAATTGAATTAGATCCGGCCATCCTACTCTGACAGTCACTCACTGGCAGTACATCACGTGGCTCCAGATGGACGTTCCTGAGACTCCGGAGGTTGCGGTAGACCTGCTGATGCTGGTCAACAAGTGCAAGACGCCGGTGATGGTGGTGTGCTCGACGGGACGAGGACAATCGGTCGCCCTGATTGGTACGGCTTCAATTTGTCCGGTTGCTAACAAGAAACGCGACGACATTTCAGGCATGGAGTACATTGCGAGAATTGTGGAGAAAAACCCTAACGCGGACCTATTCGACATTTGCGACGAGCTGCGCGAGATTCGATATCTGGGACTTACCACATTGGCTCAAGTCGAATTCATGCTCGTCGGCACCGTTCTTCTTCTCCACAAGGACTATGCGAACGGTGACATGAAAGAGTACGAACTTCATCTGAACGAGTACAAGCGGGAGCGGCCGGAGCTGCTCGGCGATATTCGTAAGGCGATATATTAGGAATAGGAATTTGAGGACATTGAAACTATTTCCAGCGGAGCGCGTAAGAAGTCTGCAAGAAATTCAACCGTTTGTCAAGAAACTGTACGTTTCGTCAAAGTTGATACAAAACGAGAAGATCGCGTTGGAAAGAATGATGCTGGCTGTCAGTGTGCCTGCCGATGCCGTCGAGATTCAGGCGAGAAGATGCAGGTGTGTGAACTTCAGAGCATTTCTGCCAAGTTTCAGCAAATTCTTATTTACTGTCTAGACCCTTTCGGAAACCATTTTTCAGATCAGCGAAGAAATCGCCGTTCAAGCACAACCTGGTATCCGTACACGATCCGGATCAGCCGAAACCGGTGTGGATGAACGCGAGCGACGTGCGAATGAAAAACGGCACGGTGTTCCGCGTGAGCGAGGTTCCGATGGACGGCAGAGACAAGGAGAAAGACAATACCATGTGCGACTTTTGGATGATGGTCCAACAAGGACGCACCCGGTACGTGGTGCAGGTGTGTCAGATGGCCGACGAACGCTACGATTTCGTGTGCCCCCAGTACTTCCCGGACGCCGTCGGCGAGACGGTCAATTGTGGCCGGATTTTGCTGAAGACGATCAAGAGACGGACAATTCTGAATGGAGACGTCATCGAGAGAGAACTCGAAATCACTTCCAAGAGGTAATTTATTCGCGAATCTTCGAAAGACGAGGGAACGTTTTCAGCGGAAAGTCCGTGGTCACTCACTTTTTCTTCGTTTGCTGGCTCGACAAGATTCCAAATGGAAAGTTCGAGACGGTCTTCGCCGTGCTGAACCGCGTAAATAAATCGCCGTGGCCGGTGCTTGTCGTGTGCGAGAACGGCATTGACAAGTCGATGGTGTTCACCGCTGTCGAGTACATCACACGTTACGCACAGTGCAATCCGACCACCGCCCTCGGCAACATTTTCGTCGAACTCTACAAACAGCGGCACGGGTGCATATCCAGAATAGACTCGTACTACGCGTGGACGGGAGCACACTACATGCTGAGAAAGGTATCACACTTGCCCTGAGAAATTGTGCAAACTTTTGCTCAAATCGCAGACAGTTGCTCTTTTTTGCGCCCTCAAACACTGCGGAAATTGAAGAAATTGGTTGTAGTTTGCGCGATTTCTCTGGAACATTGCCCATCATCTCATTCATGTCTTTACAGATTTACGGAATGGATATGGAGGATTTTGAGAAGGCATTGACCGACTTCAAGTTTCACACGGGCAACACGTTTATGGCTTTCGATAAGGAACGGCTACACGCGCGCTCCAAGAGGCGAACCAACGTGAAGTGGAATGCGAAGGTGGAAAAGCACAAGGCACGACAGAAGAAGCTGGATGTGGTGGAGGAGAAGAGAGCCGGAGCAGGAACTGACTCGAAGGCGACGAGTTCGATTTCTTATTCGTCTTTGGATGATTCGGATGGCCCCACTTCCTCACATTTGGCTATTGAATTGGAATAAAGACGAATTGGTGCTGGAGAACACATTGAAAGCATTCAAGTTTTGTCTGTATCATGGATTGGTTTTTAATAAATGACGCGTTTTTGTTATATCCAAAACTTGTAAAACACCTTTTTCGCCACATTTCTCATTTTTGCGTGAACTCTCTCAGTCGAAGGTTCGAGAACCGTCCCCCTGTCGACGTGGGGTCCATCCAACCGAATTCCTCTTCTTCTTCACTTTTCGCACTCCCGAAATGACCGGCTGGACGGATTTGCCGCCGAAAACCAAGGCGCGAGTGGTCGGCCGACTGGATTTGATCAGCAGGTAACTCGTGAGAAATCGTCCTCCGATTCCAATCGGACCCCGTCCCAGAACCGCTCTCAAATCGTGCTCCCGCGCCGAAAGAGCCCTGGTCGATTCGACACCGCTGTTCCTGCCACGTGTCCGCTTCGTCTTCCAAGAAAGTTCGGCTCTGATCGTGGCCTACTCGAGCATCGAAAGGCTGCTCCGGCTGCAGTTCTGTATCGATCGGAATATCGACAAAGGTGTCGACGTTTTTCGGTTAGTCTCCAGAACCTATCGGGAAATGTGACACTCTGATCGGATTTCAGAAGCGACAACTTGTGGACCAGCGGATGGATGTCAAAAGTGCGGAGCGATGACGTGCTGCGAGTGTCGGTCTCCGTGCTGAAGTGTCTGTTCGCCTCGAAAAACGTGGAGATCGGAGTGCTCGAGTGGGAATCGGCGGCGGCGGATCGGGAAATGAGCGAGAAATGGGCGAAGCGCATCATGAAACAGCTGAAGGGCGCCAAGTTCCGGACGAGAAAGATGGCGTTCAACTGGCGATTCGAGGAGGCGACCGAGATATTCAAAAACTGTTGTGTGTGGAAAGAGTTGGAGGAGGTGGAGATCGACGGAATTCAGAGTCGGGACGAGATCGACGGCACGTACACGGTCGACCGATTGGACAACGGGGGCTACTTTGGCAAAATGAAAAGTTTGAATAATTCTAGTTCAAAACTATGCATTCTTTTTCAGGAAATGTGACGATCTTCCTGCACGGATCGAGTCTGAAACTCCCGATGATCGCCGAGTTTGCCGATAAAAAAACAAAGCGGCGAGGATCCGATTCGCCGATGTGAAAAAAAGAAGTTGATGACGGCGAAGGAGCGGAAAAAGTGCACTGTCCGTGTGCATCTCTTTCTTCGAAATCATCACATTGTTTGCAGGCACACCACACGTGGCACTTTCATCAAATCGTACTTGGTTCCTGACCGACCGGAACTTCTCTTCTGGTTCTGCCAATCCAGATGTGGTTCGTGGATCGACGTGGTGCCGCGGGACATTGAGAACGAGCACATGCGCACATTGGAGGTACACACTTACACCAAAAAAAAAGTGACCTCCTAGAAGGGACCGAAACAAGACGGTTTCAGGACGGGAAGTGTCCGCTCGGCTGGTACTGCGAGTCGTGCTCCGATCGGTTCGAGTTCGTCTACCACCGGGATCTGCCACGACGCGCGCTCACCGAACCGACGGTCCCTGGAATCTGGATGCCGACGACGCCGAACCTCGAGGAGCACCTCAATGCGCTTCGCAAAACGTTAGTGACTCGAAGTGCGATGCTCGACCATTTGGCCGCTTTTTCGACGGAATTGACGGACGAGTACATTGGGTCGGAAACGGAAGCCCACGTGGCACGCTCCCTTCGAATACTCCTCTGGCGACTCTGGAGACCGAAGAATCTGAAATCGTGGAGGGCGTGGAATGAGTTGGCAGAGGAGGAGGAGAAGAAAAAGAAGAAGAAGATGAAGGAGCGGATCCAGTAGATTTATTACTTGTTCTATTCTCCTTTATGCACAGTATCTTTTACTTTTTGATTCTCAACTTTTCTTTTGTTCTTTTCACATCTATAAATGTGTTCTCTAATAATAATTAATCAACAATATCCATTAGAAAACGGCACACAAACCACTCAACACACTTTCCATCTCTGCGTCTCCTCTCTGTGTTTGTGTCCGAATGGTCACAAAACATGAAATACACTATCGGGCAGTATAAAGAACGGGAAAGAGGGACTGAGAAAAGTCATCCTCAGCCAGAATGTGTGTCCTGTTGTTTCTATCCCTCTTCTCCGCGTACCTAGCCTATGAATTGTACTGGAAGCGTCGGAATCTGCCGCCCGGACCGTGTCCTCTTCCGATTTTCGGGAATTTGCTGTCACTGAACTACCCTCCACCTGGATATGCGGCATTTGAGCGATGGACGAGGCAGTTTGGAGATGTGTACACGTTTTGGATCGGTTTGTTCTTGCTGTAATTCTAAACTTTTCCAAATTGTAATTTATAGGAAACGCCCCGCACATCATGGTGAACAGTTATATTTGAAATCTGTGAAAAGATCTAATTGAGGTAGAAAGAAGAGAAAAATGCTTTAAAGAGATGAAAATTTGGAGAAAATTCATCAACAACTAAAAAAAATGAACTTTGCGCGTAACATAAAATGCACTGTACGCAGAGCAACACCGGCGTGCAAAAATGCACAGACTGAGGATCAAACGTTTGGTGAACGTCGCAAAAGCCGCGCCGTGAAGTTCGATGGAAAAACGCTGGAAAGACTTCGACTGCATAGCCGAATAATTGAGAAAATGCTCGAGGAACTGGCTCAAACGAATCAATGGAAAAGTGCTCGGGATGTGAGCATTCGAACGGATCGACTGCATTTGGTGCACTTTCTTCACGCCAATAAATTCAAAGTTCATTTGAAAACACTGACTTCCGAAGGTGCACAGGAACTTATCGAGGGAACCAACCATATCGTTTCGTTTCTCTAACGAAAATCTTTTGCAGAACCTGAAAACCAAAAGTGTCGGATGTGGATTCGAAGTAATCCTGCCGATCAGCTCCGAAACTAGTGAACTTTTGGAAAAACCACAAACGCTCGGAGCCCGGCGAGCCTCAACCGATCAATTTACCGTCCAAGGATATTGTGCTGGTTGTGAAGGTCTACACCAACAGTTACCTCGGCGTCATTTGTCGTGTCGACCACGTTGAGAAGGATTGCTTCGCGTTTTTGATGAATAATCTGTGATTCACAACTTTTTCCGACCACTTCTCTTTTTCCTTCTTTCTCACCTTTTCGTCACCTTTTCCCTTTTTCTCTCCCCGTCTCACGCTTCGATTTCATAATTTTTGAGAGGAATGACCCTTTTGTTTGCTGTTTTCAGAACAACATAACTTTTAGATGAGTCCCAAGTTGGTGGGCATGTTTACGAGTTGATCCATTCCCGATATCGCTCTTTTCTAGTTTGCAATAAGTGGTCAATTTACAGTTTGTAATGGAGCAGCGATTGAAGATGTTCCACAATATCATTCCTGATGTGGAGAAGCCGCAGGCGATTTGGCAAGACATGCCCCTACATTTCAAGAGAACCCTTGTTGATTTGTTGGATGTAACGTCGAGGTAAGAGCCGTTTGTCGTCGGAACCACGCAGATCAGGATTTCGCACAGTTCTGCTTTTTCAGTTTCACCTAATCTTTTCGCTTATGCACGGTCACCAGAGCTGACAATGGGCGCAAGTGCGCCCCGCCCAATAGAGCGATACATTGGCGCAAAATTCAAATTTTAACAGCAAAATTTGTGTTTTTTGCCAGATACGCCACGAAAACCCGATAATTTCTCATTTCTCTCTCGATATAGGCTATTACGAATTTCTTAAGCGCAAGAGCGTTAAACTTGGTCTACGCGCAAATCACATTTATCCGTTTGAAGGTTTTTGGCTAAAACTGCGTGAGTTTCAGTTGCTTTTCGGTAGTTTTTGCGGTTCGAGCGCTCAAACAGCTTGTATTTACGTGATTCATCATTCTCAAAGACCAATTCTGTCTGAAAACGGCCAAGAAAGCGCAAAATGAGAAGTGCGGTTTTTAGGCGGTGCTCGGCGGCGAAGACGAAAAAGCGAAGTCCGCGAAAAATGCGCCAAAACGTCATTAATTCTGAGAATTAGTGTGTTTTCATGTCGAACAATCATTTTTTATCGCCTTTGACCACAAAAATCAGAAAAAACCTGCTCAATTCAGCTCTGGAGGCCGTGTTATGTGATTTTTTGCGCCTCACCAAAATTTGATAAAACATTTATTTTCAAACTTTTGAAACGTGAACTTTGCACAGAACATTCTCGACAAACCGCCCACTGACACGTACGTGAAATTCCATCATTTCCCCATCATTATCGTTGTTTTCGTCATTACGATCGGTCGAGCAATATTCTGAAAAAGTTGTCAATCATGAACTTGCATCGTGGGATGTATAGTGAGTTTCTCAGCCTCGTCACAACCCGGATAATCTAATTTTCCCGTTTAGAATCCAAGTTCAAGCGCATTCCGATTGCTCTGATTATCTGTATCCTCTCCACTTTCGTCCTTGGTAAGTTCTCTGCTATGACATTCCACGTGGCAGAGAAAACGATTACAGAATCGACGGCCGTCAATGAAATTGGACCCGACTCCCAGGAAATGGGCATCAGAAGAGCTCCGAGAGCAGGTTAGATTCGAGTCCAGAAACATCGGAAACTTGATTTGTTGCAGGAGATTCTCTGTCGGAATTTGCCGAAAAAATGGCGATGACCGCCCGTGTCACCAACGCGATCTTCCTCCAGAACGGACTCGCCAACGGCTCCGTTCCGATCGAGAACGTCGTCGCAGAACTTCTCAATTTTGGGTCTGTTACGGTCAAGCAAGTCGTAGGCATTGACACTAAAAAAGTGATCGAATTGACGGAATCCCTAAAAGGAATGCCTGCGAGCCTTGATTCTTCCGACGCTGTACATACGTTCGAGAAGTTTTTGTTAGATACGAATTACATTCGAATCGAATCAGAGAGCATAGGAAATCTCACAAGTTTACCGGGACTCGACGCGTTCTTCAAAAACGTTGAATACTTTAAAGTGAACAGCACGTTTTTCGATCGACTATCTCATATCGAACAAGTATTCGAGTCTTTCTTTGAACGATTGAGCAATATAAGAGATGTATACGAAAACAAAACTGAAAGTAACGTCCTGTTGTTAGTTGGTGAAGTGAATTTGTTCCATTTGTCTTTGACCAACGTCACCACTTCTCTGCATGACCTCGAGAGCATGAAGCAGATCTTGACCAGCTCTGTCCCTTCGAATAGTGGGCTACTCAATCTGCGACCTGTTCAAAGAATGTCGAGTCTTCTCTTTTTCCGAGACAATCTTCATTTTGCCGACGACAAAAGCGACCTAAACTTTGATCAACTGTCGAAAATTTCCGAGAATGCGTCGAAGATTTTGGTAGACTTGGAATCGTTTGGAAAGCTTGTTAGAAACCAATTCGCGCCTCTTCAAAAGCCGTTTGAGGAGTTTCTAAAATTGTCGACAGATGTGAATATTAATGACTGGACCCTACAAGTTATTGGATCATCGAAGAATAACACAAAATTGAGGGAGGCGCTGAAGCCGATTCTTCTGCTGCACAGCCATCTCAGTGGAATTGGGAAAGACTGGAATGGGATCGGCACTGTTGAGATTCATCGGTCGACTGACAATTTGATAAGTATAATGGAAACGATCGCAAACGTTTCATTGAAATCTCAAGAAGCGTCTCAATTTTTCAACATCTCTTACACTTGCTTGAAGCTTGGTGATCTTGTAACTACAGGAACTACTCAGGATGTGAATGCGTTGATCAATGACGTCACACAGTTTGACAATCGTGTTCAATCGCTTCAAAAGTTTTTCGATGGATTATCTGAATTGGATTTCGACGCAATACTCAGCAAAGTCGCAGCTATACTTGAAATCTTTCAATTTTCTGCGGAAGGTTCTATAGAATTACCGGGTATTCTGGAGAACTTGAGAACGAAAGGGAAGGATGACGTGGAATCACTGCTGAACTTTGCAAAGTCCGTACCATCAGCTCTCGCCAATTCAAGCCTACCGACGAACAGTAACGTGACTTTTGATTCTTTAATCAACACGATTATTTCGCGAAAAGGTGCAGTTGACGCGTTCCGTAATAATATTGTTGTTAAGAAGGAAGTTGCACTGCACAAATGTCTTCTCGGCGAATCGGAAAGGAGCGAGAACGCCGCCCGGGCGATTCGTATGATTCAGAAACTTCGGAATGTGACCAGCACGGAAAGTGATGCCGTGGCAAAAATAGCTACCACGGTCGGCCAAACGGCTGTTATTTTAAAAATACTTCCGAGTGTTCTGAAGGATATGAAAAGTCTTTCAAATATGCCAGAAGCAGAAGAGTTCAAGAAGATGAAGAATGCTCGCAATGTCTCGAGAACTGTTTCAAGAGCGGCAGCGGGGATCAGGAACATCTGGAAGTTATCGGAAGCGACATCTTCACTGACTACTATCATGAATGCAAGTCTGTTGGTGACGGAAAAAATCGCCCAGATTCCCAATCGGAAACGAAGAGCCATTCTGAAATCGAAAGTGCTTCAATGCTGGGGAAACCATTCGGATGACGTGGTGAATATCGACACGGTGCTCAAACAGATCGGTTCCTTCCGAAGACACATTGATCAGGCGAAACCGAAAAGTCTGAAGGATTACGGAACGGTCTTCACGAATGCTAGTCTAATCGACAGCATTCAGATGGACGTGGCCAAGAAGATCGAAGCCATCACTCAGATTCTGACGATTACTTCTGATCCGACCGAAGTTAAGAAGCTCGAAACAATCAAGAATTCTCTTCAACATCTGGAACCACTTGATCTTCAGTTCGCCGGCTACCGTCTTTATTTCCAAAGTGCCCCAAAGTCTCTCAACTCCTTGTGGAACGTCTTCACCGAATTTTTCGCAGTTCCGGTTTCTGCCCCCGCACCCGCACCGTCTCAAGCTCAAACCACTTCGAATGGCTCAACAACCAGTGTTGAAAGCACCGAAAAGGAGGAGTTTTCAACTCTAGAGTGAGTTTACAAAAGAAGTCGCAAATTTGAAGTATCCCGTTTGCAGGATTATCGGAATATGTGCGGGAGTTGTCGGCGGACTTTCTCTTCTGCTGACGGCAGGATACTATGGCCGCAAAAAATTGATGCAGCGAAAGGCGCTGAAACGACTGAAACTGCTGAGAATCGAACGTGAGTCTGCCTTAGTCTCGTCTAATAGTTTTATATTTTCCAGAGGACCGCATCAAAGAATGGCCGCTCCTTCTGAAATGGATCAGCGGTCTGAGGTTCAGCAGTCACAGCGAGTTGATGAAATTGCTGGTAAAAGTGCTGCTAGTCATGAAGTACGAGGTGGCGGTGACCGTGCAGAACGGTCTGGGAGACCGCAGTCGATCCGGCATTCCGCTCAATCCGAAAGCCTTCTTCCACGATCGAAAAGAGCAGAACGTGTTGGACGGCGGTCAGATCATCACAAAAAGGGGTCTTATGCTTCGCGCGACTCAGGCGCCGATGGACGGCACCGAGGGGAAGGCTAACACGACGGCCGACTTCTGGAAGGAAGTCTCCGACGCCGCCACCGAGTTTATTATTCATTGCGGACCACACCAGGAGGTCGACATGCAAAAGAGCGGCGTTTATTTTCCGTACATCAACCAGACGGCCGTCTACGGAGACGTGGAGGTGAAGACGATCAGCGAGAAGGCGATTATGAAGGGCGAGGTGATCGAGAGAAAGTTCGAAGTGACGGATACGACGTGAGTATTCAAACGATTCTGTAATTTTGATTTTTAAAAAATTGAATTAGATCCGGCCATCCTACTTTGACAGTCACTCACTGGCAGTACATCACGTGGCTCCAGATGGACGTTCCTGAGACTCCGGAGGTTGCGGTAGACCTGCTGATGCTGGCCAACAAGTGCGAGACGCCGGTGATGGTGGTGTGCTCGACGGGACGAGGACAATCGGTCGCCCTGATTGGTACGGCTTCAATTTGTCCGGTTGCTAACAAGAAACGCGACGACATTTCAGGCATGGAGTACATTGCGAGAATTGTGGAGAAACCCTAACGCGGACCTATTCGACATTTGCGACGAGCTGCGCGAGATTCGATATCTGGGACTTACCACATTGGCTCAAGTCGAATTCATGCTCGTCGGCACCGTTCTTCTTCTCCACAAGGACTATGCGAACGGTGACATGAAAGAGTACGAACTTCATCTGAACGAGTACAAGCGGGTGCGGCCGGCGCTGCTCGACGATATTCGTAAGGCGATATATTAGGAATAGGAATTTGAGGACATTGAAACTATTTCCAGCGGAGCGCGTAAGAAGTCTGCAAGAAATTCAACCGTTTGTCAAGAAACTGTACGTTTCGTCAAAGTTGATACAAAACGAGAAGATCGCGTTGGAAAGAATGATGCTGGCTGTCAGTGTGCCTGCCGATGCCGTCGAGATTCAGGCGAGAAGATGCAGGTGTGTGAACTTCAGAGCATTTCTGCCAAGTTTCAGAAAATTCTTATTTACCGTCTAGACCCTTTCGGAAACCATTTTTCAGATCAGCGAAGAAATCGCCGTTCAAGCACAACCTGGTATCCGTACACGATCCGGATCAGCCGAAACCGGTGTGGATGAACGCGAGCGACGTGCGAATGAAAAACGGCACGGTGTTCCGCGTGAGCGAGGTTCCGATGGACGGCAGCGACAAGGAGAAAGACAATACCATGTGCGACTTTTGGATGATGGTCCAACAAGGACGCACCCGGTACGTGGTGCAGGTGTGTCAGATGGCCGACGAACGCTACGATTTCGTGTGCCCCCAGTACTTCCCGGACGCCGTCGGCGAGACGGTCAATTGTGGCCGGATTTTGCTGAAGACGATCAAGAGACGGACAATTCTGAATGGAGACGTCATCGAGAGAGAACTCGAAATCACTTCCAAGAGGTAATTTATTCGCGAATCTTCGAAAGACAAGGGATCGTTTCCAGCGGAAAGTCCGTGGTCACTCACTTTTTCTTCGTTTGCTGGCTCGACAAGATTCCAAATGGAAAGTTCGAGACGGTCTTCGCCGTGCTGAACCGCGTAAATAAATCGCCGTGGCCGGTGCTTGTCGTGTGCGAGAACGGCATTGACAAGTCGATGGTGTTCACCGCTGTCGAGTACATCACACGTTACGCGCAGTGCAATCCGACCACCGCCCTCGGCAACATTTTCGTCGAACTCTACAAACAGCGGCACGGGTGCATATCCAGAATTGACTCGTACTACGCGTGGACGGGAGCACACTACATGCTGAGAAAGGTATCACACTTGCCCTGAGAAATTGTGCAAACTTTTGCTCAAATCGCAGACAGTTGCTCTTTTTTGCGCCCTCAAACACTGCGGAAATTGAAGAAATTGGTTGTAGTTTGCGCGATTTCTCTGGAACATTGCCCATCATCTCATTCATGTCTTTGCAGATTTACGGAATGGATATGGAGGATTTTGAGAAGGCATTGACCGACTTCAAGTTTCACACGGGCAACACGTTTATGGCTTTCGATAAGGAACGGCTACACGCGCGCTCCATGAGGCGAACCAACGTGAAGTGGAATGCGAAGGTGGAAAAGCACAAGGCACGACAGAAGAAGCTGGATGTGGTGGAGGAGAAGAGAGCCGGAGCAGGAACTGACTCGAAGGCGACGAGTTCGATTTCTTATTCGTCTTTGGATGATTCGGATGGCCCCACTTCCTCACATTTGGCTATTGAATTGGAATAAAGACGAATTGGTGCTGGAGAACAGATTGAAAGCATTCAAGTTTTGTCTGTATCATGGATTGGTTTTTAATAAATGACGCGTTTTTGTTATATCCAAAACTTGTAAAATAATATGTTTTTCGTTGACAAACGGAGAAAAAGGCGCACGCGGCGAGCGAAGTTAAAGGCGCAGCGACTTTGGAGGAGGCGAGGGTCTCGAAGCGAATTGCACCAAGCGGTCGCGGTAGGCGGAATTTGAATTCGAAAAGTCATTCTACGGAATTAGCAAGGTTCCCGGCCCACCCACCCAACAAGAGAATGAAAACGAGTGTAAAATGGTTGCAGAGGGCGCGAAACGACAGTATGTCAGAGAGTTGGAGACGCAGGCGGGACCTCGGATGCAACATCTCATCGACGCGCTGAAGCTCGTGCCGTACGAGTCGAAAGCTATGTCCACGGCGAAGGCCTACAGAGCGGAAAATGTCAAAAGGAGCGCTTGGATCGAGACGATGCAGCTGCCGAAGAACGAGTCGTCGTTCCTGCTCTACCTCGTGGAGCGTGGGAAGAAGATCGGAAGCAGTGCTATGTCGAAGATCTCGGCGGCGTATCAGGTGGCCAATGAAGGTTTCCAAGATCGGCGGGACGTTTGTGACGGACATCATCAAGATGAAGAGAAGACTCGAGATTCCGATGAAAAAGAAGCCAGTAGAGGTGACTTTGGAGGACATTGAGAAGATCACGCAGCGAGCGATGCAGTCAAACAGACCGGCGAGCGATCGGGATGCCTTGCTGGCGATCCTGTCGTTCCGCGTGATGCTGCGAGCGTCGGAGGCGGCGGAGATCAAGTGGGACGGCGTCACGCAAGCAGGAGATCTGATTGAGGTAGTTGTGGAGAAGGCGAAGAACGATCAGATGGCTCTGGGACGTCGTTCGTTTTTCAACTACGAACCGGGCAGCGATGCGGACATTCTGATGTGCAGATGGAGACTTCGCTGCAAGGAGAGGGCATGCGAGTACGTGTTCTCCAATCTGGAAGGATCCAAAAAGGCTGACGAAGCAATCGATCTCGGCCCTGGCTTCGAAGATGCTCAAGGCGATCGGGAAGTCGGGAGCGACGCACCACGGATTCAGGAGAGCCGGAGCGAACTACTTGCGAGCGCAGGGACATTCGATGGACGAGATCAGGTGCCGAGGACGTTGGAGATCGATGGAGGGGCTGCAGCGGTACTTGAAGGATGTTCCGGAGGCGCAGGGATGCAGGCGAGCGGTCAAAGGAGTCGGAGGAGACGCAGACGAGTCCGAGTCGGACGAAGAATGAGCTCTTTCGCCAAATTTCTCGTATCATGTACAATTCGTTTGTTGTGTTCGCACATTTCGTTTGTTTTAGTTTCTGACTGAGTGAGAATATCGTGTAATATTGAGTAGTAATAGTCAATTGTTTGTGTGTTTTTTTGTGCGTGAGAGCCCAGTTGGCTCGGTTAAAACGACCTAACTTATTCCCAAAAAACCTACTTGTTCAATAAAGGCTGTAAGATGAACGTTTTTCCTTTTTCGGAGTGAGGAATCAGAAAAACATATTCTCTAGTAGCGCAGCGAAAAGAGAACACCTTTTTCGCCACATTTCTCATTTTTGCGTGAACTCTCTCAGTCGAAGGTTCGAGAACCGTCCCCCTGTCGACGTGGGGTCCCTCCAACCGAATTCCTCTTCTTCTTCACTTTTCGCACTCCCGAAATGACCGGCTGGACGGATTTGCCGCCGAAAACCAAGGCGCGAGTGGTCGGCCGACTGGATTTGATCAGCAGGTAACTCGTGAGAAATCGTCCTCCGATTCCAATCGGACCCCGTCCCAGAACCGCTCTCAAATCGTGCTCCCGCGCCGAAAGAGCCCTGGTCGATTCGACACCGCTGTTCCTGCCACGTGTCCGCTTCGTCTTCCAAGAAAGTTCGGCTCTGATCGTGGCCTACTCGAGCATCGAAAGGCTGCTCCGGCTGCAGTTCTGTATCGATCGGAATATCGACAAAGGTGTCGACGTTTTTCGGTTAGTCTCCAGAACCTATCGGGAAATGTGACACTCTGATCGGATTTCAGAAGCGACAACTTGTGGACCAGCGGATGGATGTCAAAAGTGCGGAGCGATGACGTGCTGCGAGTGTCGGTCTCCGTGCTGAAGTGTCTGTTCGCCTCGAAAAACGTGGAGATCGGAGTGCTCGAGTGGGAATCGGCGGCGGCGGATTGGGAAATGAGCGAGAAATGGGCGAAGCGCATCATGAAACAGCTGAAGGGCGCCAAGTTCCGGACGAGAAAGATGGCGTTCAACTGGCGATTCGAGGAGGCGACCGAGATATTCAAAAACTGTTGTGTGTGGAAAGAGTTGGAGGAGGTGGAGATCGACGGAATTCAGAGTCGCGACGAGATCGACGGCACGTACACGGTCGACCGATTGGACAACGGGGGCTACTTTGGCAAAATGAAAAGTTTGAATAATTCTAGTTCAAAACTATGCATTCCTTTTCAGGAAATGTGACGATCTTCCTGCACGGATCGAGTCTGAAACTCCCGATGATCGCCGAGTTTGCCGATAAAAACAAAGCGGCGAGGATCCGATTCGCCGATGTGAAAAAGAAGTTGATGACGGCGAAGGAGCGGAAAAGTGCACTGTCCGTGTGCATCTCTTTCTTCGAAATCATCACATTGTTTGCAGGCACACCACACGTGGCACTTTCATCAAATCGTACTTGGTTCCTGACCGACCGGAACTTCTCTTCTGGTTCTGCCAATCCAGATGTGGTTCGTGGATCGACGTGGTGCCGCGGGACATTGAGAACGAGCACATGCGCACATTGGAGGTACACACTTACACCAAAAAAAAAGTGACCTCCTAGAAGGGACCGAAACAAGACGGTTTCAGGACGGGAAGTGTCCGCTCGGCTGGTACTGCGAGGCGTGCTCCGATCGGTTCGAGTTCGTCTACCACCGGGATCTGCCACGACGCGCGCTCACCGAACCGACGGTCCCTGGAATCTGGATGCCGACGACGCCGAACCTCGAGGAGCACCTCAATGCGCTTCGCAAAACGTTAGTGACTCGAAGTGCGATGCTCGACCATTTGGCCGCTTTTTCGACGGAATTGACGGACGAGTACATTGGGTCGGAAACGGAGGCCCACGTGGCACGCTCCCTTCGAATACTCCTATGGCGACTCTGGAGACCGAAGAATCTGAAATCGTGGAGGGCGTGGAATGAGTTGGCAGAGAAGGAGGAGAAGAAAAAGAAGAAGAAGATGAAGGAGCGGATCCAGTAGATTTATTACTTGTTCTATTCTCCTTTATGCACAGTATCTTTTACTTTTTGATTCTCAACTTTTCTTTTGTTCTTTTCACATCTATAAATGTGTTCTCTAATAATAACTAATCAACAATATCCATTAGAAAACGGCACACAAACCACTCAACACACTTTCCATCTCTGCGTCTCCTCTCTGTGTTTGTGTCCGAATGGTCACAAAACATGAAATACACTATCGGGCAGTATAAAGAACGGGAAAGAGAGACTGAGAAAAGTCATCCTCAGCCAGAATGTTTGTCCTGTTGTTTCTATCCTTCTTCTCCGCGTACCTAGCCTATGAATTGTACTGGAAGCGTCGGAATCTGCCGCCCGGACCGTGTCCTCTTCCGATTTTCGGGAATTTGCTGTCACTGAACTACCCTCCACCTGGATATGCGGCATTTGAGCGATGGACGAGGCAGTTTGGAGATGTGTACACGTTTTGGATCGGTTCGTTCTTGCAGTAATTCTAAACTTTTCCAAATTGTAATTTATAGGAAACACCCCGCACATCATGGTGAACAGTTATGAGAAGATGAAGGAGACTTTCATTCGGGACGGCGATTTGTATGCGAACAAGAAAAATCCGCCGATGTTGGATTTGTTGAGAGGAGGAGAGTATGGGGTTGTGGACACGAATGGGGCCGTGTGGAGGGACCACCGAAGATTCGCACTCTCCAGTTTGAGGGACTTTGGACTGGGCAAGAATTTGATGCAGGAGAAGGTACGAGTTCTCTGTAAACTTTGAAGATTTCATTGATTTTGTGCAGATTCTGTTGGAGGTTGAAGACGTTTTCAAAAAGTTCGATGCATCTGAAGGCTCCGAAGTTTCAATTCCTCCGGTTTTCGATAATGCCATCGCCAATGTCATCAATCAACTGCTATTCGGATACCGATTCGATGAGGTTTCTCAAACTTTTAGGTTTCATACTTTACATTTTTATTTCAGACAAGACAAGACGAGTTTATAGCGCTCAAAAAGATCATCGACGCTCCTCCAGAACTATTCGGACGTTTTCATATCTTTCTGGCGATAAACCTTCCAGTTCTGGCCAAATTCATCCCGAAAAGTATCTTCGAGAAGCCGTAAGTCTATGCAATCATTACTGCTGTAACATTTGAATAATTTAGGATCAGAGAGTTTCGCGAGACCACATTCGCCTTTTTCAACAAGCAAATTGAAGAGCATCGGAGGAGGGTGGACTTTTCTGAAACGGAAAACTCGGATTACGTGGAAACCTTTCTAAAAGAGCAGAAGAAAAGAGAAGCGGACGGGGATAGGGAGATGTTCTGGTAAAGAATTGATACTATACGAGTACCAAGGCTACTATTTTCCAGTGACAAACAACTGGCAAACATGTGTTTGGACCTCTGGTTTGCCGGATTGGCCACCACAACGAATACGGTCACCTGGGCGATCAGTTACGTGCTGAACAGTCCGGAAGTTCAGGAGAAGATGCACGAGGAGATGGACAGAGTGATCGGAAGTGATCGGTTGGTCACCACTGCCGACAAGAACCGTCTTCCCTTCATGAATGCCGTTATTAATGTGAGTTTTATCAACCTTTCAACCTTAAGGCCAACTTTTTCAAATTCAGGAATCCCAACGATGTGCCAATATAGTGCCTCTAAACCTTCAACACGCCACCACCCGTGACACTATCATCAACGGCTACAAAATCCCAAAAGGCACTGGAGTTGTGGCTCAAATCAGCACAGTGATGAACGACGAGAAGGTGTTCAAGCAACCGGAGACTTTTAATCCGGAGCGCTTTGTGGATGCGGACGGGAAATTGAGAAAAGTGGAGGAACTGGTGCCGTTCTCGGTCGGAAAACGGCAGTGTTTGGGCGAAGGGCTCGCCCGCATGGAGCTCTTCCTCTTCCTCGCCAACTTCTTCAATCGATATCGGGTTTGCCGATCGCTGAAACGTTGTTTCTATTGTACAGATTTCAGGTCTCACCTTCCGAATCCGAAGGACGTCCGTCGTTGTCGAAAGATTGCGGAATCATGGTCACACCACGCTTGTTTTCAGCGGTTTTGAAGAAAAGACGATAAAATTGTCTTGAATTGTATTTATGCACACATTTTAAAGTTTACTGAAATAGACATCTCTTAAAATTAGCAAACATCACTCTCAACCCAAGAATAATCTGCTTAAAACATTTTTGTCTGATCTGAAAACCATCGTTATCAGTCATAAACTCCAGAACACGCCGTGTTTCTCTGCGTCTCTTTTCAAAGTGTACACTGTCCTTATCGGGTCACAAAGCATGGATCGCACTTGCTGACAATATAAAAAACAAGTTAGTGGAATCAGAAGTCAACCAGAATGTTTGTCCTGTTGTTTCTATCCCTCTTCTCCGCGTACCTAGCCTATGAATTGTACTGGAAGCGTCGGAATCTGCCGCCCGGACCGTGTCCTCTTCCGATTTTCGGGAATTTGCTGTCACTGAACTACCCTCCACCTGGATATGCGGCATTTGAGCGATGGACGAGGCAGTTTGGAGATGTGTACACGTTTTGGATCGGTTCGTTCTTGCAGTAATTCTAAACTTTTCCAAATTGTAATTTATAGGAAACACCCCGCACATCATGGTGAACAGTTATGAGAAGATGAAGGAGACTTTCATTCGGGACGGCGATTTGTATGCGAACAAGAAAAATCCGCCGATGTTGGAGATGTTCCGAGGGGGTGAGTACGGTGTGATCGACGCGAATGGGGCCGTGTGGAGGGACCACCGAAGATTCGCACTCTCCAGTTTAAGGGACTTTGGACTGGGCAAGAATTTGATGCAGGAGAAGGTACGAGTGATCTGTAAACTTTGAAGATTTCATTGATTTTGCGCAGATTCTGTTGGAGGTTGAAGACGTTTTCAAAAAGTTTGATGCATCTGAAGGCTCGGAAGTTTCAATTCCTCCGGTTTTCGATAATGCCATCGCCAATGTCATCAATCAACTGCTATTCGGATACCGATTCGATGAGGTTCCTCAAACTTTTAGGTTTCATACTTTACATTTTTATTTCAGACAAGACAAGACGAGTTTATAGCGCTCAAAAAGATCATCGACGCTCCTCCAGAACTATTCGGACGTTTTCATATCTTTCTGGCGATAAACCTTCCAGTTCTTGCCAAATTCATCCCGAAAAGTATCTTCGAGAAGCCGTAAGTTGTTCTCTTTTTTCCTACTTTCTAACAGAGTTGCCACGGGCCGGGCCAAAATTTTCAGAACTCCGGCCCGGCCCGGCCCGGCCGGCCCGGTTCAAAAAGCGGGAATCCAAATTTTGAACTATTGATTAAATAAAATGTTTGTTTTCCGTAGAACTAACGAATTTTGCAAGTATCGAGCATAAAAAAGAAATTTAGTTCTCAAAAATAGTTTTTATTGGCATCAAAGCAAAAGTTTTAATTTTGATCCCCGCAAAAAAAAACGAAAAAATAGATTTCCCCCAAAAATTTGAATTCGCGCCTTTTTAGCCGGGCCGGCCGGCCCGTAATCTGGCAAGTCTGCTTTCTATTCTCACCTCTTTTTTTCTGTAGGATCGTATATTTTCGAGACACCGCTTTCGGCTTCTTCAACCGACAAATTGAAGAGCATCGGAGGAAGGTGGACTTTTCCGAAACGGAAAACTCGGATTACGTAGAAACATTTTTGAAAGAACAGAAGAAGAGAGAAGCGGACGGGGATATGGAGACTTTTTGCAATAAGCAACTGGCAAACATGTGTTTGGACCTCTGGTTCGCGGGCTTGGGGACCACAACGAATACGGTCACCTGGGCGATCAGTTACGTGCTGAACAGTCCGGAAGTTCAGGAGAAGATGCACGAGGAGATGGACAGAGTGATCGGAAGTGATCGGTTGGTCACCACTGCCGACAAGAACAGTCTTCCCTTCATGAATGCCGTTATTAATGTGAGTTTTATCAACCTTTCAACCTTAAGGCCAACTTTTTCAAATTCAGGAATCCCAACGATGTGCCAATATAGTGCCTCTAAACCTTCAACACGCCACCACCCGTGACACTATCATCAACGGCTACAAAATCCCAAAAGGCACTGGAGTTGTGGCTCAAATCAGCACAGTGATGAACGACGAGAAGGTGTTCAAGCAACCGGAGACTTTTAATCCGGAGCGCTTCATGGATGCGCGCGGGAAATTGAGAAAAGTGGAGGAACTGGTGCCGTTCTCGGTCGGAAAACGGCAGTGTTTGGGCGAAGGGCTCGCCCGCATGGAGCTCTTCCTCTTCCTCGCCAACTTCTTCAATCGATATCGGGTTTGCCGATCGCTGAAAAGTTGTTTCTATTGTACAGATTTCAGGTCTCACCTTCCGAATCCGAAGGACGTCCGTCGTTGTCGAAAGATTGCGGAATCATGATCGAGCCACGTGTGTTCTCTGGTGTAGTGAGCAGGAGACATTTGTAATCTTCTAATCAACTTCCTTTTTGCCTACAATGTTCGCACATTATTACACAAACACAGAAGACAGAGGAGATCGCAGAGACGCAGGTTTTTGTGCTGAGAAATGGACATTGCATTGCTAACACTTATTTGCGATACACAACATTTCTTTCCGTCTCGCTTTCTCTCAATGTTCATCTAAATTCGAATATTTCATTGATAAATTGATAAGGACAACTTTTCACTCATTTACTCTCACGTTCTTTCTGTTCACTACCATTGTTCTTTGTTTTTTCATCTCTTTCTCTTCACCTTTCTCAATTGTTTTGCATTTTCCAATTTCAAAAATAATTTCGCAGAATGGTCCTCAACGTACTTCTCGTTGTTTTCGCCGCTTTTCTCTTCCATCAACTGGTTTGGAAACGACGAAGTTTGCCGCCGGGTAAGAAGTCGAATTGGGCCGTCTTATGACGAAACGGTTTTATCTATGAGCGATTATTTATTGCAAACTGGTCTTTTGATATTTTGTGTTCATCGAAATGAACAATACCGTCTATTCAAAACGATTTATCTCAGCTGTTCGTAGCGATTTCAAAAAAGTTGTCAGCTGGTAAGATGGACAAAATTTCTCGATGAACATTGTATCTGTTGAACACTTTTTGGTATCCCTACAGACAGGAGTGTTTACTACAGCCCAACTTCCAGGTCCGACACCACTTCCACTCATCGGAAACCTCCTCTCCCTCCGAAATCCGTCGCCCGGATACCAAGCGTTCGCGCGTTGGCAAAAGGAATACGGCGACATTTACACGTTCTGGGTGGGCACTCGACCGTACCTCCTGGTCTCCAGTTACGAGGCCCTCAAGGCCACTTTCATCCGAGACGGAGAGACTTATGCGGACAAGACACCGATGGCATTTCAAGAGGCATTTCGCGGCGGAAGTTATGGAGTCGTCGAGACGAACGGACCGTTTTGGAGGGAGCATCGACGGTTCGCACTGCATCAATTCCGCGATTTCGGGTTGGGAAAGGAGCGGATGGAGCATCGGATCATGTTGGAAGTGGACGATATCTGTGCGAATTGTGATAGAACCCATGGGCAGGCAGTCAATTTGACCGATATTTTCGACAGAGCCATCGGAAATGTGATCAATCAAATGCTCTTTGGATGCAGGTTCGATGAGGTATTCAGATTTTCTTCACTGACATAATATCCACCTAAATCGATGTTGTGCAGTAGACTTCGGTATGATTTGACCCTAAAAAGCGATCGCATAGACCCGTTTCGATTAATGTTTCTAAAACATGATAGTTAGCCTGAACCTCACATGGCCATATTATGGATTTCAAATTTCCAGACGCGTGCCGATGAGTTCCGTACGATCCGTGCGTTCTTCAACTTCAACACTGGCGAATTCGCGACCTTCTCGATGCGAGTCCAATTTTTCCTTCCCTGGATGGGCCACTTCATGCCCGGACCCACAATTCTCGACCGTTTCAAAAAGTACCAAAAGGGATTCACCGAATTTTTCGGAACGCAAATCGAGAATCATAAACGAGAAATTGATTTTGAGAAGGAGGAGAATGAGGATTATGTGGAAGCGTTTCTGAAGGAGCAAAGGAAACGGGAGGCTCAGGGCGATTATGAGAGTTTCAGGTTAGCCTGGTCCGTATTGAGATCTAAGGAAATGTATGTTTAGTACAACTCAATTGTCGAACATGTGTCTGGACTTGTGGTTCGCCGCCCTCATGACCACCTCGAATACAATGAACTGGGGCTTCGCGTACACTTTGAATTATCCGAAAGCTCAGCGAAAAGTGCACGAGGAGTTGGACCGCGTGATCGGAAGTGACAGGAAGATTACCACTTCCGACAAGAATGCGTTGCCCTACATGAATGCGTTTATCAATGTGAGTTTTTAGCGCTATTGACGTATAATCTATTCTCTGCAAGACTTGAGCATGTCATAATCGGTAGGGCCTAGGCCGAATTTGGATCCTATTCACCTGGGCTACCTTTTGAGAACAAGTGATGACACCTCTAAAGTTAACATTATCATATTTTGCATAACTTTCAATAAACTGACTATCTTGACTTAATGCGCTGACCTATTTAAGTTAAAATAATTTAACAAAACATTTTCAGGAGGTCCAACGTACCGCCAACCTGGTCCCTCTCAACCTCCTCCACATGACCACTCGTGACACCAAAATCAACGGTCACGAAATTCCAAAAGGCACGGGAGTAGTCGCCCAAATCAGTACTGTAATGTACGACGAAAAAGTGTTCCCGGAGCCGTACACATTCAATCCGGACCGCTTCATGGATGCGCGCGGGAAATTGAGGAGAGTGGAGCAACTGGTGCCGTTCTCGGTCGGAAAACGGCAGTGTTTGGGCGAAGGGCTCGCCCGCATGGAACTATTCCTCTTCTTCGCCAACTTCTTCAATCGATACAAGGTGGGTGACTTCTAGACTCGAAAACTGAGAAATGCGGACATTTCAGCTGGCTCCGGATGAGAACGGTCCTCCGTGCATCGACAAGGCCGTTCTGAAGGGCATCCACACAAAACCGTATCACGTGATTCTACAAAAACGTCATCATTGATGATTTCTTCTTTTTCTTCACGTCTTGTTTCGCTTTGCTTTTCTGTAAATGTCTTTTTAGTGTATTTTCAACCGAATATAGAGCTCTTGTAAGTTGAATTGACCTAATTTTTTATTCGCTTTCAAAGCGCTTTCTAAAAGGACTTCCAATACTAGTATGTTGCAAAGCGCGACTGCGTAGGCGAGAATGAAATCGAGAAGACGTGGCTCACGGATCAATCACAACAAATGTAGAAGCAGATGCATTTCTCGGGCAGCGGTAGCGGGGCAGCAATCTGGAAATTTCCGACTTTACCGCGACTGTAAACGCTGCTTACTTTGTTTGAGGCTTCTTGCACCGACCGATTTCTTGCATAGCAATAACGTCGGAGAGAGGAAGAGAGAGAGAGAGCCCGACTTCTCGTATAACGATCCTCGAAGCGCACGTGGATGTTCGAGACGAACACCTGAAAGAGCCAATTCATAAGCGTTAGTTAGATCGAAAACTTCGATGGTGATGATGATCTTGTTCTGCTTTCCAGTCGACTTGTCGGTGGCAGACACGTTGAGGATTCCGTTGGCGTCAATGTCGAAGGTGACCTCGATTTGTGGGACTCCGCGTGGCGCTGGTGGGATTCCAGATAGCTCGAACATTCCGAGCAGGTTGTTGTCCTTGGTCAGGGCACGCTCTCCCTCGTAGACCTGGATCAACACTCCCGGTCCGTTGTCAGAGTAGGTGGTGAAGGTCTGGCCGGTCTTGGTCGGGATGAACAGCTTCTTTTCTCTGAAAATGATCTTCAACTTTGTGCTTTTTCTTGTCAAAACGTTTACTGTGATGTAAATGAAGTTTTCAGAACGAGAAATCACAAAATTAAGCGGTAATTTTGGAGAAACGTGTATTTTCACTCTAAAAACGCACTTTCAAGGGTTTCGGCCATTTTGTCCATCGAATTGCCTCCGTAGCTGCCGATTGTCGACGCCAATGTTGTACCAAGCGAAAAGTGATCAAAAGTTGGCTTGAAACATCAAAAAACTGGAAATTTTAGTAAAAAAACCGAGCCAAGATCACAAAAAACAACTTTGCGCGATAGGTTTGGTGTACAGTACGCAGAGCACACCGTGTACAAATTTGTCGAAAACTTGAAGAAAGAAAGTAATCAAACAAACTGTAGCAGATCAGCTACACTAAAATTAGCATCAACGAAAAAAAGTGTCATCAGAATTTTCGGGAATGTTATCAGTTGCACAGCAGTCCTGGCAACCAATCAATTTCTCCGCAAAATCACAATCACTACACTGTGGCCGCCTTTTTCTCTGCGTCTCCTCTTCCCGCCAACTCTCTCGCCCGCTACGTTCAGTGGGTTCAACGACTTTTCCGTGTGACATTAATGATGCGCATTATTTTTTTTGATTGATTTTCTAATTTAACTTTTCGTTGACTTAAAAATGAGCAAAATCTGATTTGCAGAGAACAAAAAACTATGAAAAAGTTGGCGAATACGTGTGAAGTGTGCCAGTCGACGAACAACGTTTCCTGCAATCATTTCGGCGCGAAAACGTGTAAAGTGAGTGTTTTTGCACGATGATTCTTTGCGAGAATGCAGTGAGGAGCGAGAGAAAGTTCGGCCCCCGTCCCGTGAACTGTGTCGGCTGCTTGTTTCGTCGGCCGCGCACCAGAACTTCAGATCTGATGCGTGCTGTTCGCAGAATACTGATTCATTTTTCCTAATTTTTTGGGAATGAGCTCATCATGATCAGAACTAACGAAGAGCAACAAGAAACTCGCAGAAATGTCTAGGGACACTGCCAAAACAGCTTCTTTTCGAAATATGACTACTCGTGCGTTTTTTTTGGCCTCATTGTTAGTTTACATTCTAATGAACTCATTCCAAAAAAATAAAGTGAAATGAATCAATATTCGTCAGACGGCACGCATCTGAAGTCTCGGAACAGCACAAGAGCGCGCGGGCGGCCAAAAACATTTTCCAAAATGTTTGCAGGCATGTGCCGCATTTTTCCGTCGGACCGTTTCGATGAAGTTGGATTATTCGTGCATCGACGAGCCGGACTCGTGCCGAGTTCACTGCAATTCCCGCCTCATCTGCCGATATTGCCGCCTTCAAAAATGTCTGGATATCGGAATGAAACCCTTGCGTACGTCGTTTTTGCCTCGAATTTTAACCGAGAAATTCGCGTATTTTCAGTGGTAAAATCGAAAAATGAGCGGAAGAAGTACATTCGCATCTCGAAGGGACTTGTCCGGAAAAAGTCGCCATTGGGCGAGGAGGATGTGGAATCGGACCCGGAACCCGATGATAGCGAGATATTGAACGAGGTCGGTTCGTGGCAGGATGTTTAGAACCATTTGAAAAATTGCTTATTTTCATTGAAATTAGCTAGTAAGCTCAAAATTAGAACAAACGAAAACGCGGCCTAAACATTTCAATGTTTTTTTCCAGGCCACCCCGGGACCGTCGTCGGAATGCGCGTTGTCGGCAGAAGTGCACGAGACGTTGACGAAGTTCATAAAATTGGAGACGTCGATGTGCGATCGGAGACGGCTTTTGTACGCGGACACTCCGATTCGCACTGTCTTCGAGGGAGCCAAGGAATGGGTACGTTCGATTTACCACGTGGAACGGAGGGGCAATATTCCGATCGGATCTGAAGTTTGCAGGCTTCTTGGACTTGGATTGAAGTCTCTTGGGTACCAGTTTCAGACTTATCCGATTATCCGGCCCCAAGATATGTGCCTTTTCTTCCTTTGCTCCACATATCTCGGGACCAAATGATCGGATCGTTCTGAAACTTGGACCCAATATACTTCAATTCAAGTCCACAAAGCCTGCAAAGGTTAGATCCGATCGCAAGTGGCTCAAAAGTCCAAGCCTCGGCCGGCCGCAGTATACCTATAGGACACCTCTATAAACTAACGAAACAAAACTTTGCAGCCGTACGACAATACAACTCTGAAAATGTTCGACTACACGGCCTCGCAGGGAATGTCGAAACACGACTTCGTGATGATCATGGACTACGCGCGCGAAATGCCCGGATTCGACGAGCTCAACTATGCGGACAGTGTGAGTGGCCGAAGTGTCGGATCCTAGGCCACCACTCAAAACGTTCTCTTTTTCTCAGGTCTTTTGTTATCGTCTCGTGTGCGCCGTCGATTTTGTGATCAATTCGGCGTTTTATAGCTACAAGTAGGCAGATTTTGAACCTAGAAGTACCACTAAAACTCTTTTTTTTTCATTTCAGACGTGGAATCGAGCACAACGAACTGGTGCTCAACGACGGAAAGTACATTCCGATGAACCCGGCCCCGTTGACCGGGTACGAGGAGAACGCGAATCTTCTCTTCCAGAATCAGGACGATCTGATGAAGTTCCGAACTCTGATGCCGTTGCTCCTGAAACAGTGGCAAGTGGCGGTCCCGTTCGCCCGTTTGGAACTCTCTTTCGAAGAGTTTTGCCTGCTCAAAGCCATTTGTATTTGGCACGTTTGTGAGTGTTTTGTACGGTTGCGAAACGCCTTATTACCGCTGAAGTTTTTCTGTGCATAAATTGATTGGTAAATTGCAACAGCGCCTGTACGCTTCCGAGTGGTCAATTTCTTTGGTTTCCAGCCTACTACCGTCTGAGCGAGGAGGGCCGCCGCGTGGCGTCCAACCAACGGGACCGCTTGATCCGAGCCCTCCATCACGCGTGCCAACTTCGAAACGAATCGATTCTGAACCCGACGGAAGGCGGCGAGGATGAGGGCGAACGATTTGGGAACGTCATGTTAGGACTCAATTATATCATGGTACGACATTCGAGCATTTTCAACACAAAACTCGAAAATCGATAGTAACCGTTTCCAGGAACAAATCCGCAACCTCAACTGCTCATTCGTCATGATCTCGTTCTTCGGAATCCTCAACGTCGACAGCCTCATGATCGACGTGACCAGCTTCTGGTAGTCTTCACACACCAATTCCATTCATCAACGCATCACAACTTTATTCGATTTTTCAAAATAATCGGAGTTCCGTTTGACGGCTTCAGAATCAGCTCGGGAATCGGCAAATCGTCGGGCCAACGAGTCTGAGACTCGACGGTAAAATGACGGAAAATCCACGACAACACTGCTTTTTCCTCGAATAACGCGAACTTTTGACCTTAAATCCTATTGTTGTGGTTTTCTCCCGAAAAAATGTGAGTACCTATGCAATTGCGGGGTCCAGCTGAAAATGGAACATAGGCGAATGCTTCGCGAGCATTGACCCGTTCCGGATTGAAATGTTCCGGATAGAACTCGAACGGACGTTCAAAGTATCGAGGATCTTTCATAATTGAGACTATATTGATCATGGTGCTTAGGCCAGCCGGCAAAACCACCTCGTTATGCGTTGGATGGGCTGGAATTTAGAGGATTGCAATATGTGTAGAAAATGGCATATTTTGCGGGGCTACTGTACAGTTGCGAAACGTCCTATGGGTGCCAAAATGTTTTCGTGAAACGTGTATGTCTTTTGGAGTATTTTTGTAGTTGACACCTTTTTCGCACGGCCACTCCTTGTAAGCGCTACAGTAGCTCAGGGATTGGTTCTAAAAAAAAAGTAATCAACTACGAAAACAAAGCTCACGGGTGGTACTACATATTTAGTTTTGACAACTTTTTTCTTAAATCAACCCGAAGAGTACTGTAACAATATTATAGTTCTGGATGTCAAGAGTATACTCAGAAAATTTTGAGACGATAGGACACTTCGCAACCGTACAGTATCCATTCAAAGCTGCGAAACAAAAAACTCACGAACAAGCACGTCCTCCGTGAGAGTTCGGGAGACGAACGGAACAGGCGGTGTCACCCTCAACGTCTCCTTAATGCACTGCTCCAGATAAACCATCCGTTTGTAGTCCTCCGCGTCGGGAACTCTTTCGTAATCCTCTCCGAATATCTCGTCCATTTCCTCGTGCACTTTCCGCTGATAATCCGGATTCTGGCCCAAGAACCAGACCGTGAAAGTGATCCCAGATGAGGTGGTATCGTGGCCCTCGAACATAAAAGTGTCCACTTCTTCGCGAATGTCCTCGTCGGACAGTTGATGATCGTCTTGCGATGTGATCAAGAAATCCAGAAATGCCAACTTTTTCGGTTTTTGGTTCTCAGTCCCCGTCTCAGTTTCTTGGCCAACTTTCTGTCCAATTGACTTATTTTTAAGTTCGATTTTCCGATTTTCAATCACGTTTCTCGTGAAATCGGTGGTTAGCTTAACGTGTTTGTCGAATTCGAAACCCTTACCGGACAGGTACCAAATCGGTGAAAGCCAGTATTGAGGGCTTCTGCAAATATTTGTCTTAAAGACACATTTTTCAAAACAAACTTTTCGTAAAGCCACACCAATTCGCTCAATCTCTTCACCGAGTTCACATATTCGTCGCTTGAGCCCATTTGGCTGCCTAGTGAGCAGCCCATTGCGGTTTCTGAAATTTTTTTTAGCGCAATATTGTAGTTCTAGATGGGAAGATTTCACATAAACTTTTATAGGCTGAAATTGCGTGTTCCGACGCAACTGTGCTCATTCAAAGTTTGCCCATTGTCAATTAGTTTGAACTAACCACAAATGATATCCAAAGTGCACCTTTTCACATAAGGCATAATATCGAAGGGATACATATTGTTGGCCCGCAATTTGAGCACATTCACCAACACTTTTCCCTGAGCGCCGAAAACTTTTTGATATTCTTTGAGCACTGCGAAATGGAACGTTTGAGTGAGCATCTTCCGGCGAGATCGCCATTTTTCGTTTGTACTTCAACATGAAACAGATATTGTCCGTGTTCTATTTTTTGAAAGAAAGAACCTGATAAGAAGTCCGTCACCGATCCATTCTTTCAGTTTGTCGTACTGACTTGACTTTGTAATATTCACAGAACTGTCGAGTATTATCTGACAAACAAACCTTTTCTATAAAATGTTTCTTTTTCAAACCTTGGCGACTTCTCCTCGATTCACTCCGACCACTGGGACCGGCCCGAACCAAAACTGTGGAAAAAATTATTCTTGATGGCTAAAAGTTCAAAAAAAATAAAGGTACTGTTAAAAGTCCCGCCGAATCTGGACAATTCGAATATTCGTTGACCCATCTTGTTCCTTGTTTGACAAATTCTAAAAGTTCAACGCTCATTTGAAAGATGCTTTTGTGCTCTACAACTTTTCAGTTAAACAATTTTCACGATCACGCTCCTCCGCCGACATATTTCAGTTTTACAAACACTTGAAAAAGTGCGAGGTCTGTAAACTCAAAATATCTCAAACTACGTGTGCAGAGGTGAGAAATGATCAACTACAAAGTTATAGAGCATTAAATTTTCTATCGAATCGTTTTTTAGCTTTGCAAAAAGGTTAGAAATTCACAAAGTTAACGCGTACCAAAGTTGACCTACCAACAGGATCCCTTTCGAAATACCATGTACTTCCAAAAATCGGAACCGTCGGCGGGCCTCTCAACTTTCGGAATTCGCGTACACAAATTTGACGAACCCGCCAAAATTTCAAAAGTTTGCCACGTCGTCTATATGAGAGAATCAGTAAAAAAGTGAGCAAGACGAGGAGAGCAGCAGTGAGCATTATATTGATAAGAAATGGAAATCAAAAACTTGTGGTGCGGGCGTTTTATAGGAGAAAAAGTGAATGCAAAAGTGATGAGGGTAGAGTCTGGCTGGGCGAGCCAGTATCAGAGTAGATTGTAGGGCGAATAATCACGCACTTGTAGTCTAGTTTAATGTTTTCGGACTAGAATTTGACTAGATTTAGTCGAGTTGTAGTTGGAAGAGATCGTTTGAATGCATTTTATTTAAATAAACGAATGCAAATGAAGACCGGCAATGCGGCCTATGAGATGAACTAAACAACGAATCCTTTATCACTGCCTTTCTTCGAATTTGAACATTAATGACGACTTTATTCAAAACGATTGAAAATAGTAACAAATATTCAGTGTCGTTTTGTTAAAACTGCATCGAACTTGATAGGAGGAATGCCTGCCGTTTTTGATTTGTCAATATCTGGCACTCCGGCGGATGATGGCGCAACCTGGAAGGGTACAATACATTTAGATCACTAACACCCTCACAAACCCGATATCGATTGAAGAAGTTGGCGAGGAAGAGGAAGAGCTCCATTCGGGCGAGCCCTTCGCCCAAACACTGCCGTTTTCCAACCGAGAACGGCACCAGTTCCTCCACTTTTCTCAATTTCCCGTCCGCATCCACAAAGCGCTCCGGATTGAATGTGTACGGCTCCGGGAACACTCGCTCGTCCAACATTACCGTACTGATTTGCGCGATCACGCCGGTGCCACGTGGAATTGCGAATCCTTTGATGGTGGTGTCACGGGTGGTCATGTGGAAGACGTTGAGAGGAACGATATTGGCGCATCGTTGAGATTCCTAAAACTTTGGTTCGGTTGAAGGTGATCCTTAGAGATGTCAAACTCACATTGAGGACGGCATTCATGTAGGGCAGACTGTTCTTGTCGGCAGTGGTGACCAACCGATCACTTCCGATCACTCTGTCCATCTCCTCGTGCATCTTCTCCTGAACTCCCGGGTTATTGAGCACATAACTGATTGTCCAGGACAGTGTTTTTGTGATCGTGTGAAGTCCGGCAAACCAGAGGTCCAAACACATGTTCGTCAATTGTTTGTTGTTGAAACTCTCAAAGTCGCCCTCGGCTTCCCGTTTTCTCTGTTCTTTTAGGTACGCTTCCGCGTAATCCAGATTTTCCTCAGAGTCAAAGTCGATCTTTTGACGATGCTCCTCGATTTGCCGCTCGAAAAAGCTGTAGAACGCGATTTTGAAGTCTTTCATTCTGAAAACACTAGATTTCGGTGATGAACAACGGCACAGTTCCCTACATTTCTTCGATAGTCGGTCCCGGCATGATTCGATTCAGCTGCGGTACGAATACCTGCATAATAACTTTGAACTGTTTGAACACTTTCTCCTGGAACTCCATCAACTCCTCCAACTTGTGATACTCCTCCTCGTTCCCATCATCAAATCGGTATCCGCACACGAATTGATTGATCACACTCGCCACCGCCTTATCGAACACCTTCGGAACGTTCTGCTCCTCGCCCAAATGCGCGTCGAACTTTTTGAACGTCTCCTCGACTTCCATCAATATCTTCTGCTGCATCAAATCCTTTCCGAGTCCGAACTCTTTCAAATTTGCCAGTGCGAACTTTCGGTGTTCCCTCCAAAACGGTCCGTTCGTCTCGATGATTCCGTAGTTTCCGTCGCGGAAGTGCTCCTGGAACACTTGTCTCTTCTTGTCCACATAAGTTTCCGCATCGCGCACAAAAGTCTCCTTTATCTGTTCCAAAGAACTGACGATCACATAGGGCTCGGATCCTGCAAAGTTAGAAACTATCATAGGTTTCCCAACAAAAAAAAAAACGAAAGAGTACCCAGCCAGAAGGTGAAAACATCTCCGTATTGCTTCGTCCAGTGTCTAAAACACTCGTATCCGGGATGTGGTTTGGCCAACGAAATGGCATTTCCCAAAAATGGAATTGGCGTCGGGCCAGGCGGCAGATTTCTCCGTTTCCAGTACAATTCATGGAAGAGGAAGAGGAAAAGGGCGGTGGAAAATAGGAGAAGAAGCATTTTCGGCTCGTTGAGAACGAATTGGTCGGAACCTGAAGATCACAAACATTTTCCAGACGTATTTATGTGACTTTCAATCATTGTTTGATACAGATAACGCGGTGGTGGTCGATTGCACAACATTGGAAGTCTGATCAAAAAGTTGTCGATTCTGTGTGCTGATGTGTGATTTTGTGTCGAGTATGAACTCTGTCTGACAGTGTCCTGGTGGCCTAAAAACGTTTTTGCGCATAGTTCATGTCTAGCACTACACGTTTCCAGTTGACACTTTTTCTCTACGACTTCTCGGAAGGGCACTATAGTTCTCGGAAGTTGGCAGTGAAATGCGGTAGCTATTGTCTCATCCAAGTTCAAAGACATACAGTAGTCTTAGGAGTCTTTGTACAAAAAAGTTGTCAACTACAAAAGTATAGTACCAGATGTGAACTTTATTTTTGTAGTCGATCATTTTGCTCTACAACCACTCCCTGGGCTAGTGTAGCGCTTGGAAGTGTTGAAGTTGATAATAGCTGCCGCATTTCAGTGCAAACTTCCAAGAGCAATGTACAGTAATCCAGTAAGTTTCGTTAACTTTTCCAGAAACCACATAATTTTTGACCTCCTCCACAATCAAACAGTTTCGTAATACGCCCTCTGTCAACACTCTCACCGCCGCACTTTTAATACTCTGTCTCTCGCCGTCTGCGTCTCCTTCCCTCTCATTCGCTTGACACTTTGTAGTATTGTCGTTTTCCACTTTTTCCCAATGAAATCGTCCCTCCAAATATCACTTTGTCAAATCTGTGGCCAACTGGCGAATGGCCATCATTTCGGAGCGATTAGTTGCCGTGCTTGTGCCGCTTTCTTCAGGTATTTCCAGTTTTTGTGAGCCGATATCCTCTATTGTCAATTAATTTTTGCGTTTAGAAGAGCCAATGGAAGTACGAATACGTTTTGTCCGTTGGAAAATTGCAATTTTTACGAAAATGGCAAGTTTCATTGCAAAAAATGCCGATTGGCTAGGTGTTATCAAGCTGGAATGGACGCTGCAAGTAAGTTTTTGTAGAGAACTATTGAATTCTTACAAACAACTTTGAATATTGTAGAGTTCCAACACGATCGTGATCTGATATCATCCACTTCGGCGACGTATTCGCAAAAACGGACGGTCCCCCGAAGTTTGGCCTCATTTTTAGGCCGTCCCGTCTTTATTCTGGCCTGTGAACCGGACAGAGCTTCGCGCGTGAAAACAGTCATCGACGTCACTTTTCTTATAAATCAGGCGGCTGATATTCTCAAAAATGTACGTTTTTTTTGTTTCAAACGTATCGATAAACTTGTATGCGCATTTTTAGGGTGACACCAAAAAATACATTGCTCACAATAGTCTGGAAAAAATGACGATGAAGTTTGGCGATTTGAGAAAGGCGCACAGTGATTTGAAGGTGACCCTTGTTACACAATTTATCTCAGCTGTCATTAAAGATATCAAAAAGTTGTCAACTGATAAAATGTTCATCGAAACATTTTGTACATTTTATCAGTTGACCACTTTTCGATATCTCCACCGGCAGCTGAGATACGCCGTTTCCAATGGACCCTTTTTTCAGTCCATAAAAGTGTTGGGACTGAACGAATGCATGGCTTTTTGGGAGCAAGATTTCCTCTCCGCCGCCACGTGGCTCACCCACTTTGATGAGTTTCAAGAGCTTCCGTCGAGCGTCAAAGTGAGCCATTTTTTGAAATTTTTCTGAAATTGTTTCCGGCAGATGCAAATCCTAAAAGTCGGCTGGATTCTGTGGGGACGCTTGGATAAACTGGCCAAAACTGCGGAGCACCGGCGGAAGAAGCTGTTCGGAGAAACGTATTTTATGATCGGAGAGGACGTGTGTCTCGACCTGGAGCAGTTCGACGTCGACATTTCCTGGTGTACCAATTACAGCAAAGAGCAGTTGCAATTGTGAGTGCCGTTTTCCAACCGGACACTTTGCAACTGAAACGATTTTGACTTTATCGCATCTTTGGAGGCCTGTATCTTGGGAACCAATGACGATTGCGAAAAGTGATCAACCGCAAAGTTTTTGCAAATTTTGTTCTAAATAACTTTATAGGCAACTATTTTTTACCAAAAAGAGTCACTTTTGAGTTATGACCTTTCCTACAAACAGTGTCCACAAGAGCGAGTTTGGAAGCCTATATCTCGAGAACCGATCATCATTTCAAAAAGTGGTGAACTGAAAAATTGTTGCAAATTTTGTGCTTAACAACTTTGTAATTGGCTATTTTATCTGAAAATGCTCCATTCTCAAGTTATGACCTGTTTTCTGAACAATTCACTTTCAGCTACCTGGACTGTCACCACGACCACACCTTCCAGAAGATTGTCAACCTGCTCATAGATCTGAATCCGACGGACGTGGAACTCAATTACATGCTCACCGAACTCTGTCTCCATTACGCCGGAAAACGGCATCAAGGGGAAGTGCTCGAATTGACGGATAGGCTTCAAGAAGTGGCGTCGAATAATTTGCACAACTATTACGAGAAACACCTGAAACTGGCGAACTATTCGGCAAGATTGGCCAAAATGATCAAAGTGAACAACTCGATCCGCAGAGATTTGTGGGAGAGATTGGAGCAGCAGACGGTCGCAAAAGTGTTCAATATTATCGCTGTACACTTTTCACATCCTGACATGTTTGGCGAGTTTTCCTAGTTCGACGCCTCTGGCTCAGAAATAAGCCTATAACTCAGGAACAAAACGTTTTGGTGATAAATGATCAATTGCAAAGTTGTTCAGCACACAATTTGCAACAACTTTTCAGTTGACTACTTTTTGAAATCATCATTCGTTCCCGAGATATAGGTCTCCAAAATGTACATATTGTAACTTCACTTTTGAATAAAGATCTCTGTTCAGAAAAATATTGTTGTTTTCCCTTTAAAAAAAAAGATCAAGTATTCACATGCAAAGTACATATCTGTGTGCACTTCTTCAACTGTCTGTGCCCTCTTATCGCCAGTTTCTATGCGACACATTCTCACTGCCACCACTTTGCTGCAGCGATTATCGATTGTTTTGCGGATGCCCGCCGCCCTTTTCCTCTCGGGACCATGCGAAGTCTGTGGACAGCACGCGTTCGGCAGGAATTTCGGAGTGATGAGTTGCCGCGCGTGTGCCGCGTTTTTCAGGTAAAAATGATGAAAAGTGTCCAAAATTTGAATGAAACGAAAACAATTGTTTCTTTTCAGAAGAGCAGCGGCAGCGTCAAAACGAAAAGTTGTCGAGTGTGACGTCGGGAATTGTTCCATTTTCGCCGATGGAAAGTCAGTCAACTTCTGCGTCTTGTTTTGCTCGTATTCCGCGTGTGTTTTTGCAGATTTCAATGTAAAAAGTGTCGTCTGAAACGGTGTTATGATGTGGGAATGGACCCAACGAGTAAGTGAGGAGAATCGTTGAAAGTAGAGAACGTTTTCAGAATTTCAAACCAACCGAGATCTCATTTCGACGGCGAGCAATTTTCAGCGAAAGTCTAGAGTCGCACCGACATTAGCTCAATTTCTGGGCCGACCCGTTTTTATTCTCTGCTGCGAGCCCGATCGCGTTTCACACATTAAGACCATGATCGACGTCACGTTTCTCATCGAGAAGGCTGTTTTGGTGATGGAACAGGTAGAGATGGACGGACGGACAATCGCTTTGAAGAGAATTGGCCTCTTTTGGCCCACCCGGGCTTTGCACGCTTCTTTGGTTCAAGTTTCAGATGGATCCGATCATTTTGAAGCCGATTTGAAGCCGAAAAAGGATCGGATCGATTTGAAGCCGAAAAGACCGCAGTTTTCGTAAAAGCTTGGGTCTACCTCAAAATCATTGCATCGGATCCATCTGAATCTTGGACCCAATACACTTCAACTCAACGCCAAGAAGCCTGCGTGGCCCGAAAGTCCAGGCCCCGTCAGGCTTTCGAATTGGCCTAGGAAATTCGAGTGTGAAAACTCTTCCCTGTCAAGCTGTGTGAATGTTCTGAATGCAAAAAGGTCACATGGCCGAACAATTTTCTAGGCCATAGTAAATAAGTTGTTGTGTATTTTGTTCACCTGCGCCACGGCGACCAAAAACGTAGAAAGGGGCGTGGGGCCTAGCGTGCACGGTTTATCACCATTTTGGCGCGAAATTCGAAATTTAACCCCATTTTTCACGTTTTTCGTCAAAAATTCCCCAAATTTTGTACGATTTCGACGATGTAATTGCATAACTTTGTTAAACTAATCATCGCGCGCACTTTTTTAGCTTAAAACGAGCAGGTTTCATTCAGAGAATGAATCGATTGAATCGATTTTCAAGTTTTGTGCTGAAAATGCGCGAATTTCAGTCATTCGCCGATACTTTTTGCCGTTTGAACGCTTAAAATACTTGAATTAACGTGCTTAATCACTTCCGACACTCACTTCGTCTCAAAACTATCCAGATCGGCCGGTATGAAAATTCCGAAATTGCGGCGGCGATTGGCCGCGGAGAGCGTATTGCGAAATATGCCAAAAACGTCTCAAACGCGGCGTTTTCACGAAAATTTCGATGTTTTCTCTTTTTAATGTCTCTTCTTTCGTCGATATCAAACACAAAACTATCGGAAAAGTGCTGGAATTGCGACAATTTTCAGAAAACGCGTCTAAGATTAGGCCACGCCCCTTTCTACACTTTTGCTCGCCGTGACCTTGTAAACCAAACATATTGTGACATTTCAGAACGCCCAGAACCCGTACCTGGCTGACAATTCGCTGGAAAAGATGTGTCTGGCACTGGGCGACATGCGCCTGAAACCGCCCGACACGAAACTGATCCAGATGAAGTCGTTCGGCAAAAACGAATCGATCGCCATTTGGGAGGGAGAGTTTCTCGCCACCGTCCACTGGTTCTCGCACTTTCGCGAGTTCAACGAGCTCGCTCTGTTCGTGAAACTCGACATTGTGAAGACTGGATGGCTGCTGTGGTCGCGGCTGGAGAAACTGGCGCAGACGGCCGACTATCGGCGAAGAAATGTGTTCGGCGACGACACTTTTATGGCCGGCAACGACGCGTGTTTGGACATGAAGGACTATGAAATTGACATCAGTTGGTGCACGAACTACTCGCTCGAGCAGTTGGGATTGTGAGTCAGAGCTCGAAAACTAGAAATTTTGAGATGAAATTATCAACTACAAAGTTGTTCGACACAAAATTTGCAATAATTTCTCTCTTGACAACTCTTTCAAATAACTATTGCTTCCCGAGATATAGGTCTCCAAAGATACAGTAACATAATCATGTTTGTTGTCATCTCGGATACTGTTTGCTCATAGAGTCATAACTTAAAACTGAACTATTTTGGTACAAAATGAGATATCGGGTCTCTGAAGTGAATTTGTTTTCAGCTACGCGCTCCCCGACGTGGAAAAGAGTTGCCGTCAGTGTGTTCAAGACCTGATCGATCTGAGACCGTCCGAGATGGAGCTCAACTTCATGCTCGTCCAACTGTGTCTCTATCACGCCGGCAAAAAGTACCAGGGTCCGGTGCTCGAGGCCACGGACCGTCTCATTCAGATTCAGGCCGACAGTCTGCACGAATATTACGTTAATAAGCGGAAAATGCCGCATTATTCGGCCAGACTGACCCGACTTATGAAGATCAATCAGAGCATCGAACGGGACATTTGGGACCGAAAGGAGCGGAACGATATCGCCCGTCTTTTTAATATACTGTCCATCGAGTTTTCTCATCCCGAAATGTTCGAGGGGTCTTGATGAATCTGGAATATTGTTTAATGCATTCTTTTGTGTAAAACACCACTTTTCTCGCTCTAAAAGTCCTAACCTCATTTTTAAGGGACCCGGAAACCGTACTTGAGCCTTGGCCGCTTGTCTTTTCACTGATTGATGTTGTACTTTGGCTCGCTCTCTCTCTCTCTCTCTCTCTCTCTCTCTAGGCTCCGGCCTCCAGTGAAGCTGAACTTTGGAGCCCGCTCACAACAGGAATCTCAGCGTGCGAGGGAAAGAAGAACACTCGATGATCATCCTAAGACCAGTCTTTTGCCACATGAATGATGGCCACTATATAACAGGAGCCTACAGGAACCATGAACAAATCCCATCACAACTATATGCACTGCCACTCCATCCTCGCCCTCTTCGCTCTTGTCTATGGTGCATCGGCCCAATGCTTCGGCGGCGGTGGCGGCTGCTTCCTTCCACCACCGCCATGTTCCGGATGTGGATGTGGAAATGAGTGCGGACCACAAGTGACGCTCGTCCAGATTCCGAGCAACAACGGATGCTCGTGCTCGCCGTGCTTCCAACCGATCTGCCCGCCGAGATGCAACTCGTGCCCGCCGCCTCCGATTATCATCGGGCTGAGCTCCTGCTGCAACGATAATAGTGAGTTTTCATTGAAATTTGTTTGCATAGACCATATTTGCAAATGTTGCAGACTTCTCGTGCTGTGGATTCCGTCATCGCCGTCATCTAAAGGCCAAAGAGACTATTGAGGCCGTGTCGAACGCTACGAAGATTCAAGAATGAGCCTAGTGAACTAAGTGTTTGTATATACTGAAATCGAAATAAATAATAAATAAATGTGATGTCTAAAGAAGGGTTCAATACGAACAATTTTGATCTTTTGAACCACTATTTTCCTCTCTCATATGCCTAATCAAACACTTTCGTTCAAAGCCTTCGTCTCTTATTTTCCCCTTTTCTCTTCCTCCTCGGGCGTCGATCAACGGCACAAACTATGATGACACAAATAAATAGATTGTTCCGTTCTTACCACTCTTCTTCCAATTATCCTTCTTCTCGTTTCCACCGCCGTTTTCTTCTTAGTTGCAGGCGGAGAACCGTTTGTCATTGTGACTTCCAGATTAAAAACACTTTCATTCGAGACGGAGATGCTTATGCATTCATTTCGTCCTCATTGAGAACTCCTCACTCACGTGTCCCTTCTGTGCGACCGAAGCTCTATCATTCTTCTGGAAAATAGAATAGTTCGATACATTAATGTCAAAAAAACGATAGGGACTACAGAAAAATTAGAATTATATTGAATTGTATGCTAGTCTTCATTTCCTGACAAAAACAGTACGTTTCATAGATTTTACAGATCTTACGGAATTTACGGATTTTACGGCTTCTTGAATCCGTAAATTTGCGTTTTAACGGATCCGTAAAACCTGAAAAAGGCGCGGAAGGTTGTCCTGAAAAGGATTATGTTAGGAGACCGTCTGGTATGGTCTATAAACTCCACATGGAAGTGGAAACATTTATCGACTCTTGGTATAAGTTCAGTCAAGTCGTACAACGTTTTCAAAGGTAGAAAGATGGATTTCACGCTGATGCTGTTGCTGCCAAGTGTAAGTTTTTTCTTTGTTTAATTCTAAAATGATGTACAATTATGCGATTAGCTCTCCTCAATGTGAGTTTTATTTATTTCCAACATTCGAATTTCAAAGAATGGTTAGTTATCCTTGTAGGCCGCATAGTCGGCCTTCGACTTCCACGAGAATGCGGTGTAAATTGTCTGCTGTCCCTCGCTTCTTGTACCCTTTTTCGGACTGTAGCAGTAACTCGCTTTCATAGTTTTAGGTTCCAGCTTCCTCTCCACACCTTTACGGGGCCATAACTTTTATCGACCCATAACATTTCGTAACATAAAAGAGCTCGGTTTCCTCCAACTTCATAGTCAAGTATGAACTTCTACTCTCTCCTCCTCTTCGCCGTCCTCTCCATCGCTCTCGTCGCTTCAAACGACGGCGCCACTCGCGGACCTCCCGGAAAGTTCGCAAGAAGACATGGACTTCAAGAGTACGGAAATGACGACGACGGAGTAGTCATCATTGGCAGCGTGGACAAGGGAATCGCCAGAGTGCCGCTGAACTATAGAGAGCCCGGTTATTGAAAATCTGCATGGATGTTGGAGTACTGTGAATAAATTTTATAATTTTTATAACACTGCTGCGCTTCGCCGCTTGTGCGCTTCTCAAAACCATGGTTAACCGATGTAAGGTTTCTGAAGACGTCACGGAGCAGAATTCTCGATTTTTAGTGAATGTCGTGAAAAATCGAAAAAAAAAGTCGTGATTGTGATCACTGAGGGCTCTGGTTTTTTGCCAAAAGTTTCTCACTATTGTATTCGATGATTTGAGCCAGGACTCCGATCGATGTAAGGTTTCTGAAAACGTCACGGAGCGGAAATCTCAATTTTTAACGAATGTTACCAAAACTTCGATGGAAAACCTGTAGAAATTAATAAAAACTGAAGTAAAAGTAAGGAAATGTATGAACTTCAATGACAAAACACGAATGAATCACTTAAAACTGCCAGAGAATCTTTTATAGCAGATAATTCAGTTCGTGTGTTGAAAAAACACACGTGGCCGAAGTTTCGCAAGGCGCAAAATTTTCTCGGCCAATGTATGAATTGCCGGCCCGTGACCAACGTGCCCATTTCTCAATTTCCAGAAATGAACAAGTGTACGGACAATGCGTTTTTACATGGATAGACGCAACATTTCAGTGCAATCGAAAAACTCTCTTGGGCCATATAGTCCGGAAATCATTTTCAAGACATCGAATTTCAGAAAACACTCGAAACTAGCTGGTTGGATTCAAATCTTGAGTCATGCACAGACATAGAGACGACACTTTGAAAGCGTGTAATAGATCAAAAGTGCGCTGGTTGAATCACTGTTCCTCCTGGTCAAACATCTCGTCGTCTCCTCTTCTATTTTTCGCCTATCCGGTCAATATTTCCCCCGCTCTCCGCGTCTGCTCCTCTTTTTCTCGACGGCATAACCTGCAGTCGGCATAAACTACGTTTTGTTCGAATAAATACCCATTCGGAATCGTGCTATTCTCACCCAAAAATGATCCTTCTTCTCGTTTCCGCCGCCGTTTTCCTCTTCCTCTTCCATGAATTGTACTGGAAACGGAGGAGCCTGCCACCTGGCCCCGTTCCCATTCCATTTATGGGAAATGTTTTGTCGATGACTCGTCCGAATCCGGGATATGAGTGCTTCAGACGGTGGACGAAGAAGTATGGAGATGTTTTCACTTTTTGGCTAGGTACCTCTGTTTTGTTGTTGGCAAACCTAACTTTTTTAAAGGCGCCGAACCCTATGTCGTAATTAGTTCTCATGAACTGATGAAAGACACTTTCATTCGAGATGGAGAGACGTATGTGGACAAAAAACCGCAAAAGTTTCAAAAAGAGTTTCGTGGAGGGAACTATGGCGTAATCGATACGAATGGAGACGTCTGGAGGGAGCACCGACGGTTCGCACTCACCAATTTACGCGATTTCGGACTCGGAAAGGATCTGATGCAGCAGAAGATGCTGATTGAAGTTGAGGAGACGTTCAAAAAGTTCGACGCGCATTTGGGCGAGGAGCAGAACGTTCCGAAGGTGCTCAGTATTGCTGTTGCGAACGTGATCAATCAGGTCATTTTCGGATACCGATTCGAAGGCGAAAAGGAGGCGGAATTCCAGAAACTTCAGGATCTTTTGGACTTTCAAGAAAAGAAGTTCAACAATTTCAAGACGATTGTGCGAGTTTTTGTACCCCTGGTGGGCAGACTGCTTCCCGGCGAAAGTTTGGAGGAATTGTGCGTCGAATTTTACTTTATTTTTACACACAACTTTCTGTTTTTCAGACTGAGCGAGTACAAGACATCGTTCTACGCCTTTTTCGACAAACAAATCGAGGAGCATCGTCAGAAGATCGACTTTGACTCTGAGCAAAATCTGGATTACGCGGAAGCCTACCTAAAAGAACAGAGAAAACGGGAAGCCGAGGGCGACTTTGAGAGTTTCAGGTTACTTTTCAGCAGTTTTCAGGCCAACTTTGCCGGTTAATATCACTTTTTTCAGTACGAAACAATTGTCGAATGTCAGTTTGGATCTCTGGTTTGCCGGATTGGCGACCACCACGACAACTCTGTCCTGGGCGATCAGTTACGTGCTGAACAGTCCGGAAGTTCAGGAGAAGATGCACGAGGAGATGGACAGAGTGATCGGAAGTGATCGGTTGGTCACCACTGCCGATAAAAGCGACCTGCCCTTCATGAATGCCGTCATTAATGTGAGTTCTAGAGGTTTCCTGCTTCGATCCATATAAAAACATGCAAACTTTTGAAACTGGTTCACCACTGTTTTCATGTTTCAGGAATGTCAACGTTGTGCCAACATAATTCCCATCAACCTCCTCCACATGACCACCCGTGACACCACCATCAAAGGATTCGCAATTCCGCGTGGCACCGGCGTGATCGCGCAAATCAGTACGGTGATGTTGGACGAGCGAGTGTTCCCGGACCCGTACACATTCAATCCGGAGCGCTTTGTGGATGCGCGCGGGAAATTGAGAAAAGTGGAGCAACTGGTGCCGTTCTCGGTCGGAAAACGGCAGTGTTTGGGCGAAGGGCTCGCCCGCATGGAGCTCTTCCTCTTCCTCGCCAACTTCTTCAATCGATATCGGGTTTGTGAGGGTGTTAGTGATCTAAAGATATTGTACTCTTCCAGGTTGCGCCATCATCTGAAGGTGTTCCATGTGTCGACAAAACCAAAGACTACGGTGTGACTCCACGGAAGTTCAACGCAATCTTAACAAAACGTCATGATCTCTGAACTTGTATAAACGCCGTGTTACAAAATACAAAACTATTTATCTAGCACATCATTTCCGGATGCGAGAACGTCAAACTGAACACATTGAACACCATCGCCAACTGTTTCTTCTCGTTCTGCTCCCAAAGATCTCTCCGCATCAGATTGTTGATTTTCATCATGCGGGTGACCCGTCCCGAATAGTTCGGCATACTTCTCGCTCTCACATAATAATTGTGCAGTTGATTTGAGATCACATCTTGTAAACGGTCCATTTCGTTTGCCACGTCACCGTCGAGCCGTTTTGCTGCTTGCTGGAGACACAGTTGGAGGAGCATAAAGTTGAGTTCTGTGGACGTTGGCTGAAAGTCCATCAGCTCCTCGACTATTTGCTGATAGTTCGCGTTGAAGTAGCAGTTCATAAAGCTGAAATTGAATGCGTTCAGCCACGTCACCTCACAATGAGGCCCACTCACAGTGACAGCTGTTCCCTGCTATAATCGGTGAACCACGACACATCCACGTCGGTCTTCTCGGCGTCCAAACACGCGTCGTCGCCGACCATCCACATCCGATCGCTCATGAACACCTTCTTGCGGCGGTACTCGGCCGTCTTGGCGAGTTTGTCCAGTTTCGCCCAGGCCGTCCAGATCCCCTTGAGGATGTCCACGCGGATCGGCAACGGAAGTGTGTTGAACTCGTCAAAGTTGGTGAGCCAATCCGCCGTGTTCAGGAATTCTTGCTCCCAAAACAAAACTGTGTGCTCTTTTCCCAGGTGCCTGATGAAGTGAGGCTCCGAAGAGGTGCCCAATCGCAATGACTCGAAGCTCGCCGAGATCTTCTCCAGACTGCTCATCTCCGTTCCGTACGGCTTGCAACTTTTCTGTCCGGCTTTCAGAATCTCCGTCGCTTTATCGATTAGATACGTGCAATCCACGACTGTTTTGATCGTTCCGACGGCTTCCGGATCGCAGAAAATCAGAAAACTCGGGCGGCCGAGAAAAGTGGCCAGGGTTTGGGGGATGACGAGCGTTTTTTGGCGAGCACGGAGTTGTGGGGAGACGGAAGAGGAGATGAGGTCACGGTCCAGTTGGAATTCTGAAAAATGATCATTATCTCAGCTGTCCGTAGAGATATCAACACGTTGTCAACTGATCAAATGTACAACATGTTATGGTAAACAATTTATTAGTTGACAACTTTTCGATATCTCTACGAACCGCTGAGATACATCAATTTGAATGAACACTGGTTGTTTCATTGATTTCTAAATGTGCACAAGCACAAGTTCGACTTCCAAACCATACAAAAAAAAAGCTAATAAAAACTCACTCGATGGATCCATTCCGCGGTCCAAACACCGCTTTAGCCGACACTTTTTACACGAAAAATGACCATTTTCGTAAATTGTACACGGTCCATGCGCACAGCTCACATTGTTTGCCTTCGATGGGTTCGCGGCGGCACGTCTAAAAACGCTATATGTATATTGTTTGCCTGATAAAGCGAGAGCAAAAGAGTGTTACCGGAAAAACGCGGCGCAGGCTCGACAACTGAGCACACCGAAATGATTGCCGTGCGCTGAAAGTCCGCATATTTCGCAAGCGGGCAACATTAAAAAGTTTGATGATGATAATAGTGGGTGAGTGATGATGAAATACGACAATAGTTGGTTGGAGACAAAGAGAGAGACGGAGACGGAGACGGAAAAAGGTGGGCAGAAAGAGAGAGAGAGAGAGAGAGAGAGAGAGAGAGAGAGAGTGGGCAAACATGCATTTTTCGGGTTGATAGTATTCATTCTTTTGCATCAAAATGTGTGATTGCCAATTTGAACGAGTGTTTCGCCAACTTGGCCGCCATGTTACACAATATCTGGATTTCAAATCGAGGTAGCCAGAATTCCTTCTTTTTTTCTGGAAATTTAGCCGGATCGTTTCCAGAATCGCGATGCAATTGGTCTCCAAAAGTGTGGCGGAAACGGTGCGATCGCTGCCCCCCGCACACTTTGATTTCGTCGAATTGACGCCATCAGCAGGACCATCCAAAACCGTCCGTATTTGTGTGATGGACGTGTCCGCCTCGCCGATATTTGTTGTCGATCGAACGTTTGAGCGGTCGGAGGGAATCGACAACTTTCTGAAGCTGTTCAAAGACTCGAACTCATCGATCGGCACTCTTCTTTTGGGCGCTCCCACCGGCACCAACCGTGCATTTCCAGAGTTTTTGGCGGATTTGGTGGCGAAATGGACGGCGGCGCGTGTGTTGAGAGTCAAAACTTTGAAATGGGGCCTCAATGAGCAGGGCGGAACGCTTTTTTTGAGAGTTTTACGGAAACTTGACCCGTTTGAACTGAAATCGATGACAATTTGGAATGGCGTTTTGAGCGGGCCGGTTTTGAAGGAATTTGTGGGCACCGAGCAGTTTGGGTCGTGTGAAAAAGTGGAAATCGAACCGGTTATCGATTATTTATCGCATCACTTTTTCCATTTCAAAAAGCTCAAGTTGAAGGTGAACGGTCTATCCGCAAATGTTTTTTTGGATTTGGTTAAAGTGAGCAAACTTTTTTTCAGTGAAAAAATACGAAAATTTCCAGATTTTTCACTCAAAAAATCACAAACCCGGCTCATTTTTCTACCTCCATTCCCTATCCTCAGTTGACATTACGCAGATAGCCGGCGCCTTTGAAATGGCGAAAAATCGAGGAGAACGATTTGAAGAGTAAGGTTTTTATGGGTTTATCTGAAAAATAACCACTTTTTCAGATGCTACACGTTCAAAAATGCCAAAAGCCAGTGTATATTGTGTGTTCGCATTTCTGAGGATCAACTTTTTGGGGTCGTGTGTCGGGCGAAGCATCTGGAAGAGGATTTACGAGAGTTGTTCGTTTGGAACATGTGAAACATTCATGGCTAGATATCTCGGCTGTCAGTGAAGATATCGAAACGCTGTCAACTAATAAATTGTTCTTTGGAATATGCTCAACATTTTATCAGTTGACAACTTTTTGATATGTCTAATGATAGCCGAGATACAGTGCTTTGAACAAACGTCTTACGTTGTGTATAAAAATAACGTGACTTTTCGACTTTGATCTACCAAAAGTACAACATACACGACCACATTTGCGACACAATGTTGTGCAATCGGCGTGCGTCTCTCCACTCATTCACAATCCAATAATTTTGTCCGATTCCGTCTGCGTCTCCTTCCGATTTCTCCATTTCCCCGTCGCGTTCATTCGCGACTGTTTGTCGTCTTCCATGAACGAAAAAATCCATGATATCTTGTCGAATTTGTGACCGCAAAGCTCAGGGAGTACATTTCGGAGTGCACAGTTGTCGGGCGTGTGCCGCGTTTTTCCGGTGAGCGTTTTACAAAAAAAAAAAAACGGTCTTGTTTTTCAGACGATCGGCCAGCTTGAAATTGCACGAAAAAGGATGTATGAGCAGCCGGTGTGGAGTCGAATTGTACGGTTTTTCAGTTAAAAAGCGGAAGGCTGTGAGGAACAATGCATTTTTTTTTTCAGTTTTCACTGCAAACCATGTCGACTCAGAAAGTGCTACAAGACTGGAATGGATGAGAAGAGTTAGTTTTGAGAACTTTTTTTTGCCTTTTTGGCCGATGATCCACTCGGGACCAGAAGATACGATGAACTTCATGCCAAGCTCAAGAGGCCCTGCAAAGTTTGGCGCCGATCGGATAAGTCCAGGCCTGAAAAAGCCTGGGCTGGCGTTTCCGGACACAAATTGTATTTTTTGTGAAAGCACAATATTTTTTTGCAGAATTCCAATTCGATCGTGACGCCATAACGTCTAAAATCATGCCTCAAAGCTTCGACACGTTCATCGGGCGACCCCAATTTCTTCATTTCTACGATCCGGAAGCGACGAGCACTTCTCGAACTTTTTTGGATTTATCGCAACTTGTCGCCAAAGCGGAACGCATTTTCAAACACGGTCCCGGTCCGTGGTCCGCCAAGGGACCACTCCGAAAATTTGCAAATTTTTACAACTTGTACGAGAAGATGCCGACGAAAATGGCGGTCGGTACCTTCCCCACTTTCCACGACTTTTCGAAAAGCGTTTATTTGACATGACTTTCAGACAATGGACACGTTTTCGACAAACGATTGTGGTGACACTTGGGAATACTATTTCCTGACCACTGCCACGTGGCTCACTCATTTCGACGAGTTTCAACAACTGGCACTTGACGTTAAGGTTCGACGTCGAACTTGAAACGGATATTGTAGAGTTGCGAAGCGTCGCATCGCTTCCAAATGCGTTTTGACGAAACTTGACATCTGGTACTCCATTTTTGTAGTTGACACTTTTTCTCTAACACTGCTCCTTGGACTACTGTAGGTCTTCGACGGAGGCAATGAGCTTTTTTGGCTATTGTCGGTTTGATAGATCACAGTACTCATAGGAGTGTTTGTACGGAAAAAGTGTCAACTACAAAGTTAAAGTACTTGAGATGGCCTTCAATTTTGCAGTTCACATTTTTCTAATACAATCACTGCGAAGAGTACTGTAGCTCTTGGAAGTTGAAGTTCACAACGGCTCACATAAGCGCTACAGTAGTCCAGCGATTGGTCGTAGAGAAAAATGATCCTGACGTCTATTGTTCAGATGAAAGTCCTATTTGCCATTTGGCACATGTGGTCGCGGCTGGACAAATTGGCGGCGACGGCGTTGGGAAGGCGTCGAAAAATGCTGAAAACGAATTCGATGATCGCACAGAGTAACGGAATGTTTGTGGATGTGAACACTCTCGAGTTGGACGTCTCCTGGCTGTGTCAGTACCATTTACAGCACGTCGAATTGTAATTTCACTAAATATTTCCCCTCGCCCCTCCCGAAATGTGTCAATGTTTCCGGTTCAGTTTCATCGACGGCTTCCGCAACTGGGATCTAATGGATATTGTCGATGAGCTCGTCGAGCTGAATCCTTCCGAAGTGGAGCTCAACTACATGCTCGCCCAAATGAGCTTCCATTACGCCGCAAAACGGTATCAGGGCGAAATACTGGAGGTTATGGAGAGATTCGAGAAAACGTTGGCCGACGATCTACACGCGTATTATGTGAACGAACGGAACGCGGCAAACTATTCGGCGAGGTTGAGTAGACTCATGAAAATCAACAATGCCGTGCAGGTTGGTGAGGAAATGAATGCGCTGAAGAGAAAGTTTTGCATTTTGATGGCAGGCGAGCGTGTTCAAACATCGTCCCAGAACGGAAATCGCAAAGACGTTGAACATTTTCACCGCCGAATATTCTCATCCGGAAATCTTGTTCGATACTGGTTTTTGAGCGTTTTGATTGCGAAATTGTCTCATGATTTCGGCGGTCTTATCGCTCATCTCCGTCTTTTTGTCCCCGATAAATTGTGTGTATGTGTTTGCGCACTCCCTCTCCCTTTTTTTTCTGCCAATTTGATTTGCTACCCACCCATCAATTTCTCACTAGAAAACACTGTTTTCACTGTTGTCACATTTCCGCTATTGTCAGTTTGATTGATCGTAGAAGTGTTAGGAGTGACTGTATAAAAAAGTTGACAATTACAAAGTTCAAGTGCTTGAGATGATCTTTAATTTTGCAATTGGCAATTTTTTAGTACAATCATTCCGAAGACTACTGTAGCTCATTAAAGTTAGCAATGAAATTAACGCTACTGTCAGTTTGATAGATCATAGTAGTGTTAGCACTGTTTGTACGGAAAAAGTGTCAACTACAAAGTTAAAGTACTTGAGATAAACTTTAATTTTGCTATTGACACTTTTTTGGCACAATTATTCCGAAGACTACTGTAGCTCTTCAAAGTTGGCAATGACGTTGTTGGCAATATTCAGCTATTGTCAGTTTGCTGAATCATAGTAGTGTTAGGAGTGTTTGTACGGAAAAAGTGTGAACTACAAAGTTTGAGAACTTGAAATGATCTTCAACTTTGCTATTCACTTGTTTTCGCTAAAATCACTCCAAAACACGTTTTTTGCAGAAAATACATTCAGGAGAACCGCTCGACATATCCAACACATTCGACAGACTTCGCCGCATCCCGAAATGTCCCGTGATACTGGATTCTGAGAAAAATAAATAATATATTGTTTGATCTATAGCAGAAAAGCTCATAGATCGCACTCGGTCACCTGCCCTTTTCCTATTATCCGTCTGCCTGAGTCTAAGTAATTATATTTCTCTTTTCTTTTTCATTTTCACACTTGTTTTCGAGCACAAATCAAACTTTTTTCTGCTCGAGCTTTTTAGTTTCTTGAACTCGTCTTTTTTTGTTTTCTCCTAATAAACTTGAGCAAAAAAACGTTCGAGCGCACACTTGTTTGGTTGCGAAACGTCCATTTCTATCTGATTTGTGATCGAGTTCGGCAAAAGCGCATTTTAGGTATGAAAGCGGTGGCGGATTGTGAGGTGTGTGGTCACAAAAGTCAGGGATTCCATTTCGGAGTGCTCACTTGCCGAGCTTGCTCCGCTTTCTTCAGGTTTGTCACACTTTTTGATCTGGCAGAGTGGATGGATGGTTCACGAAGCTTTTGAAAGCTGACTTTGAGTCCAACGCTTCTCTGGAGCCTGATGACGTGTTCTGGTCTCTGAAAAATGGCCGGAATCACGTTTTGGTATAAGGTTTCTGCTGTCGACAACCTTGAAGATCTCTCGAATAAATTGGGAGTTTTTTTTAAGGATAATTACTTGGAATTTCAGACGAACAGCCACGTCGCACTGGAGCAAAGTAGTGTGCCAGAATGAAAAGTGCAAAAATGCGCTCGAAGGATTCAGAGTTCACTGCAAACCGTGTCGTCTGAAGAGGTGTTTGATGGCCGGAATGGATGCGAGCAGTGGGTTTTTCTCTTTGAGCTCTCGTTTCTCGTTCAATTTTGAATATTTTTCATTAATTAAAAATGGAATTTGAAGGAAATTATGTGCTCTATAACTTTGTAATTGAACACTTTTTGTGATCATGTAGCTGCTCCGAGATATTATCGATTTACTAAAGCGCGCATACATCGTTCATTCAAAACGACGTATCTCAGCTGCCGGTTGAGATATCATAAAGTCGTAAACTGATAAAATGTGCAAAATTTCCTGCTGAGTATGTGCTCTGTTGACAACTTTTCGATACCTCCACCGACAATTGAGATACATCGCTTTGAATCGCCAACTTCCAGAATTCCAATACGACCGAGACGCCCTGACCAACGCGAGCACCAAAAAAGTGCCGCCGAGTTTCGAGGTGTTCGTCGGTCGGCCCGAGTACGTTCTCTTCTGCACGCCCGGCACTTCGCAACAAATATCGCACCCGAAAATACTGGTGGACGTGTCGAATCTGGTGAATCGTGCTCTGAAAATATTCGAGAACGGTCCGGAAACAGTGATCGTCGGCAACTGTCAACTGCAAAAGTTGGCGATCGGATTCGCCTTCAACGGAAACGTTTCGAGAAAGTTGAAGACTGTTCGGTTGGCGACCAAGGAGACGGTCATGAAGATTTGGGAGTTTTATTTTCTGACCACAGCCCGATGGCTCAGTTATTTCGACGAATTCCAAAAGTTGGATCAACAACTCAAGGTGTTAGGCGAATAATAATGAGGTTTGAAATTGAATTTCTTTTAGCTCCAACTTCTTTTTGCCACGTGGCACGTCTGGGGACGTCTCGAGAAGCTGATAGCGACGGCGATCAATCGAAGACGTCGGGTGTGCAAATCGAGAAGCGAGCTGTGTTTGTTCAACGGCGTCCACTTGGACATTGAGAAGCACAGGACGGATGTCAGCTGGATGAGCAACTATCCGTCCGAGCAAGTTGTGCCGTGAGTCTATGTGCAACGACAATATCGGTTGGGAAAAGCGCCGCTTCAAGAGTTGGTCTATAACTTTTAAAGGTGGTGTCTAACGTGACATACAACATGTTTTTAAAATAAACTTCAAAGTGGGGCATTCACTTTCCCGAAGTCCCGAATTACGAAAAAAATTCCCCGATTTTTAAGATTTTTTTCAAAAAAGTTAATGGTACCGAGAGAATTCAGCCACTTTTTGTAAAACTCTATTTATTTTTCAGCGCGCGAACCGAAGATTGAGCGAAAAACCCGGAAAAACAACAAAAAAAAGTTTCAGATTATCGACTTTTTTGGCGTCACGGCACAGATAAAATTATAAATTTTTTAAAATATTGCAAATAAGTGTGTTCAGTGGAAAAGCGATTGAAAATTTAAGAAAATTGCATGAAAACGGAAAAAATTCGGAAGAAAAGGGAATTCCATCCGGGGACTTGAAAAATTTAGGCCGGCTCTTCCATTTCGCCGTGTACTTCTCTCGGTACCATTAACTTTTTTGAAAAAAATCTTTAAAATCGGGGAATTTTTTTTTGTAATTCGGGACTTCGGGAAAGTGAATGCCCCACTTCGAAGTTTATTTTAAAAATATGTTGTATGTCACGTTGGACACCACCTTTAAAAGAACTTTGCCTCTATCTGGGCGGTTCCATGATAATTATTAGGGCGCAAGGACGATTTACAGGTTCCAGAAAATGCGCAGAAAAACAATTGTTGACCGACAATATCCAAAAATCATTTCCAGATTCATAAACGGAGTCCGTTCGTGGGACCTCATCGAGTGCATCGATCCGCTGGTGAAACTTGAGCCGTCCGAAGAGGAAGTCGCCTTTTTATTCGGCCAACTTTTGTTCCATTACGCCTCGAAACGGTTTCCGGGCAGAATTGAGACAATTTGCGATCGGTTTCAAGAAATTCTCGCCCAGGATTTACACGATTATTATGTGAAGGAGATGAGAATGAGCAACTATTGCGGACGATTGACACGACTCATGAAGGTCAACGGAGTCGTTCAGGTTTGTCGTTGTTTCTCGGTCAATTTTGATTATTTTTGAATGGTCAAAAAACGAATCGATAGATAATTTCAAGCTCTATAACTTTTCAGTTGACCATTTGTTCAGATCACTTTTCTGTTTCAAGATATTTCAGTTTTACGGAAGCCCACTCTCTAACAGGGTGTCGTTCAATAAAACGACAATATCTCGGAGCACACAAGTGATCATGGAAAATGGTTAACTACAAAGTTGAAGAGCACAAAATTATCTGTCGATTCGTTTTTTAACTTTTGAAAAATGTCGAAAACTGATTGAGATAATCGAATTCAGAAAAACATTTGGGAGAACCGACCGAAAATCGATGTGGCAAAGACGTTCGACATCTTCAAAACCACCTTTTCGCATCCGGAAATGTTCATTGATACTGGATTTTAATCGTTTTCTTTCGTTTCTCGTTAACACGCTTTTCTGCGTCACTTTCCGTCAAACTCTCTCACTTTTTCTTTGTTTCTCGCTCGAATCTCTACCATTCCGTGTGCTTTTTGCATGAAAATTGAACAATATATACGTTTATCGACAACCAACTTTTCTCTCAAATACAATAGTTGGCCGGTGCTTCGCAGTCCTCCAAAATGTGTCCTTTTCGGCAGATCGTCCCGTCGACCTGTCGTTTTTGGAGCATCACGCACAGAATGAGCCGTCGATTCCATTCCAGCTCAAAGTTTTCGTTGCGCAACTCTTCGATCGTCTCTCTGATTGATTGTTCTTTTATAGAAAAAAATTGCCGAATTTTTGTACCGTACTCACAGGAATAAGTGCATTCGATCCAACTTTTTGAGGATTGATCTCACCTCGAAGTCGCCACTCGTTTTGATTTGGAAAAAGGATCCGAGTGGACGGGGCGTTGAGATGAAGCTCTGAATAATCGATATATTAATGCATTTTTTTCGATAAAACTTATCGATATCTATAAACCAGACTTGCCAAATTACGGGCCGGCCCGGCTCAAAAGGCGCGAATTCAAATTTTTGGGGGAAATCTATTTTTTCGTTCTTTTTGCGGGGATCAAAATTAAAAAAAAAAAACTACGACACTCCGACATTACGGTCGCGCGCGCTCTTTAGCCATTTTTTTCCAACTTTCGGATTGCGGCGTGTAAAACAAAAAAATCGTTATTATTTTCTTCTTTTTTAATTGTTACTTTTGCTTTGATGCCAATAAAAACTATTTTTGAGAACTACATTTCTTTTTTATGCTCGATACTTGCAAAATTCGTTAGTTCTACGAAAAACAAACATTTTATTTAATCAATAGTTCAAAATTTGGATTCCCGCTTTTTGAACCGGGTCGACCGGGCCGACGGGCCGGAGTTTTGAAAATTTCGGAAAAAAAAAAAAAATCCCGGCCCGTGGCAACTCTGCTATAAACGGACCAACCTTTACAACTGCAGCGATATCGTCCTCCGAGCACGTTCCATTATTGATTTTGATGCGATTGAAATGAAGAAACGGTTCAAAGTTCGTGTACACCAACTTCTGCACGTAAATCGTCTTGGCCCGCTTCCATTGGGCCAACTTTTCGAGCGTGCGGACCATGGCGGGGCCCATATCAAACCTGAGGACTAATTGATCGATGACGTCTTCGTCGACGTGTCCCAGCACTTTTGTAACATTAAAAACACAGTGCGCCTCTTGACACCAGTCGAATTTGTGAGCGCGAATTTTGAAATGTGCGCCGAGTTTTTCGAGTTGCTCGATAATTTTATCGATGAAAGCCGTGAACGCGTAGAACTCGCGCACGTGTCCGTTTATGCAAAGCGCGTCAACTTTCGACTGTCTGTTCTTGAATATCGACACAAAGTTATCGATAACATTTGTTTCGATATAGTATCCGTCTACGGCATTCTTGCCGGCAACTCGCTCGGAAAGCACTAGGATCGGAACGGTGCCCGAGTTCCCACTCGCTCCTTCGTAGACTATTGTGAGTGTGGCGGATGTTAGGCGTATTGGAGCTGCGCCAACAAGGGCACGGTTTTGACGGGAACACCGGCTCAGAGACTGTCTGCAAACGGTTTGTTTGCAGAGATGTTGGGAATAAAAATTTTACTCTAAGGAACACGGAACACGGAAAACGGAAATTTTTTTTTTTACGGAACACGGAACACGGAAAACGGAAAAAACTTATTTCTACGGAACACGGAACACGGAAAAAACATATTTCTACGGAACACGGAACACGGAAATTTTTTTTTTACGGAACACGGAAAATTTTTTTTGCGGAACACGGAAAAAACCGTTTTCAAGAGAATTCCAGTGATTTTTTTTAAAATAATGTTTCGTTTAATTCGATTATCTGACTGACAAGGCAGCTGTTTGACTGATGTGAAAGTTTTACTGAAAATTTCATAAAAATAACAAAACCAACAACACAACAGCAAACAACTACAGTAAAAAACGACTGAAAATGGAATCCACTTTTCACGAATATGGCCCGAATCCGAAAATTTTCAAATTTTGACCACAAAACGTCAATTGTCCTAATCTTTCCGGAGATAAATTTGTGATCGAATTTTTCCGCGGAAAATATAGTTTATACGGAACACGGAACGCGGAAAACGGAAAAAAACTTATTTCTACGGAACACGGAACACGGAATTTTTTTTTTTTTACGGAACACGGAACACGGAAAAAATATTGAAAAAAACGCGGAACACGGAACACGGAATTCCCAACATCTCTGTTTGTTTGGCGAATTTTCATTGAAAAAACGAACCAACCTCGACTTGTAATCAAGTTTTCCAATCAATTTCCGTTTGAACGTGAGCGGCAGCTGTTCCCAAACCGACATTTAGTTTTTGTAGGCGGAAAATCGCGAGTCTAAAATTGAGGGGGACAAGAAACGAGTGGCGAAAAAGATAAGAAAGAGCGCTTTATGTCTACGTGTTGTGTGCTGGACACATGACACGCTCAATTTGCGACGGCGCCGCCCACACCGACAATAGTCACTTTCTTCTTCGTGTTTCGGTACGCTTTGCTGCTCTCCGCCGTCTGGAATCCGCTTTTGCGGACTAGAGTACGGTAGACGAGGAGCGCTTCGATTGCACATCCGAACAGTTTCATTGCGGCTCCGTACGGACCAATCTTCTGCAAAATGTTGTGTGTTCAGCAAGCGCTGACGCACGCTTCATCGTACTTCGAACGAAAATAATTGAGTTTGCGAGAACTGATTGGCTAGGAAACTCGGCAGAAAATCGAAAATGCACACGTTCGCGGCGTCGATTAGAGCTAGACGGTTCACCTGCAAAACGATATATTATTATGAACATTATTGAAACAACAACAATTAACTCACTCTCGACAATTCGCCGCCGTTTTTGGCGGCGCCAAATTTGTTGAGCACAAAAAGTTTGACGCATAATAGCAGCGAAAATAGACATGTTAGAGCAAAGATTGTCTGGAATTTAAGACGGAGCCGGCTTTTTCTTTGATAAAACTCCAAACTGACCGTTTTATGCGTCGACCAAAACGACAAGAAACACGTGTTTATGAGGCAGCCCAACGCGACACAATTTTTGGGAACCACCAATTGAAAGTCACAAATTTGGTAGAGGACGACGCTTTCGAAAAAGCCGAAGAGCAGAGCGACGACGAGAATGAGGACGGTGGGAAAATGGTCGCGAAAGTTGTGGAAGAAGATTGGCGTGTAGGCGGCCAAACACCGTTCGACAGTAATTGTTAGAGTGATGAGTGACCGCGTGGCGCCCATGTTCGAGGAGGGAAGTGCGAAATAGAATATGAACTTTTGAATATAGTCGAGTTGTTCCGAAAAAAGACCGTAGAGGACTGAAAGTGTCAGAAAGGCGAAGACGAGAATGCCGAGGATCACGTCGATTGCGAATCGATAATAGAACATTATCATGTCTTGCTTTTTTCTGAAAACAATTGTTTGAATCGATATTGCGAAAGTTGCGAAACGTCCTATTGGTTTCAGAATTGGTTTTGTGAAAAGTTTACATTGACACGTTTTGTATACGAACGGAATACTGTCGATCTTGGAAGTTAGACGTGAAGTTCTAAGCGTTTTAGCTATTGTCAAGTTCAAAGAATCATAATACTTCCAGGAGTGGTTGTACTGAAAACATGTCAACAGAAAAAATAAAGTACTTAATGTGAGGATTCTGTTTATAGTTGACAACTTCTTAAAAAAATGGCTCCCTGGAGTACTGTAGCTCTTCAAAGTTTGTAGTGAAATGCAGTGGCTATTAGCTACATTGTCAAGTTCAAAGAACGATAGAAGCTCAGGAAATGGTTTAACAGAAAAAGTGTCAACAGAAAAAATGAAGGTCTAGTTATGGTCAATATTTTTGTAGTTGACAACTTTTTGATAAAATTACTCTCTGGAATACTGTAGCTCTGAAAAGTTAGCACTGAAATCGAGTTGCTATTATCCACTTCACCTTCCAAAAGCTACAGTACTCTTAGAAATGGTTTTACAAAAAAGTGATCAATTACAGAATTAGAGAACTAGACATCATAAACACTTTTGTTGTTGACAACTTTTCTATAAAACCATTCCCTGGATTACTGTAGCTCTCGGAAGTTTTGCCGCCAACTATTATCCACTTCAACTTCCAAGCGCTACAGTAATCCTAAAAGTGGTCGTGGAAAAAAGTGATCAACTACAAAAACACTATACTAGGTCCCATGTTTTCACAAAATAAACGTTCAGACTCATAGGACGTTTCGCAACCGCACAATATCCATATTCACTTACTTTGCAACTTTTTTCAACAAATACAAGTTCATGAGAGCTGTGTAGGCCGACGAAATGACTCCGATTGCCGCAACGACAATAGCGGTTGCGCTGATTTGCATGCTTTTCGATGGCAAAGAGCAAAGAGCACAGGGAAACAAATATTTGGGTTGGGTCCCGGCAGCAAAAAAAAAACACGATTCTTATATATTCTCAAAGAAGAAAAAGGTCTGAATGCATAACGAATGGAGGTGAAGGGGAAGGGAATTGTGAATTGAGATGGAAAAATAAATATAAAAACTAAAATCAAAAAGTCATCGTTTTGTTTTCGGTTCGTTTGTTTTCAATCAAGTTCCAGACTCTGGCAGGTTTTGCATTGCGTACCCGGTGGGAACATTGACAAATTCGAAGGCGCACGCGAATCAACAGAACGAGATCATCACGATTTGGACCACACGGACTGGACCACAGAGATCGGGGCGCCTTGCGAAGAAGAGTGCACCCGCGACTTTTTTCGCATCAATCGACGCGCGTCTCCGTTGCAGCCGATGAAGATGATGCCGTTGCAGATGCCTAAAGATCTCAAATTCTATTCGTCTGTAATTGGGGGCGTGGTCTAACAAACTTTATGCGCACGCTTTTCAATTACTATAATCCGTGTGTGTTGCCTGGTTTTCGAGTTGAAACGTGATGTGTTAAAAGTAACAAAGTAAGAGCAAATGTGATCACCAAAGACCACCGGGGCACGCATGAAAATACGTCAGAGTGATCCCATGGCTCTCTAAAGCAGACGTTTCGCAACCAAACGCTTCTCGGGTTGCGAAACGGCTACTCTGTTCGATTTGTAATGTCAAAAATGCGAAAAACCCCGAGTCTCGTGGCCGTCAACCAGAGTTGAGCGGAAGAACTCAACGGAAGAACACGGAAGAATTTTTATCTTTTTTAGAAAATTTTTTCATGGAATGTGATCAACTGACGAAATGTATAGCAAAGTGTACTCTACTCATAAAAAAATAATTGTAAATTTAGCTTTTTATACAAAAAAGTTATTCGATTTGTTCCGTGAAAAAAGGGCTAACGGAAGACGGAAGGACATTTTCACGCAACAACTCGAATAACTTTTTTGTATGAAAAGCTAAATTTACAATTATTTTTCTAGGAGCAGAGTTCACTTTGCTATACATTTTGTCAGTTGATCACATTTCATGAAAAAATTTTCTAAAAAAGATAAAAATTCTTCCGTGTTCTTCCGTTGAGTTCTTCCGCTCAACTCTGCCGTCAACCAACCGCTGGACAACAAAGACGCCGAGTAGAACGGTCCGAAGAGTCGGAAAATCGAGAATCCGAGCAGTTCGACGACGCCGACGCACACGCTGGGAATTGTGAGGAAAAAGAGCGAGGAGATGAGGATTCCGGTCGATGTTCGGTTCGCCTGCAACACAATTATTGGCACAAAAGCTCTAGAGAAAGTGTGGGAGAACCTGCATAAATTTGCTATGATTCTGCTGCGCACCAACGCTGCCGCTCCTCGTTTGGACCGCTTTGATTTTGAAAAAGATGCTGATCGACAAAACAATCACTATGAATCCGAGAATCTGAAGAGAAGACAAAAAGGAGCGTTAATAGTGTAGTGTTCCGCCCGAAACGTGCCATATTCGAAATTCCCCAATAGTAGCGGAAGCGATCGCTGACGAAACATCCGCTCGTCGCGCAGTTTGGCATTCGCGTCGGCGGCGACAGCAGAAACCAGAGGAACGCGTCGAAAAAGGCGAGAGAAAGCGCGACGGCGAGCACGATGTTCGAGTAGAGGCCGTGCTCGATTCGACGGAACGCGGCAGGGAAGAATATGGCCTGAAGTGTGCAATTTTTAATCGATCGATATTGTCGGCTTCAAAATTGTTGACATTGGCGTTCGATCACTTATTGGAATACTGTAGTTCTTGGATGTTCTGACGTAAAAGCGTTGCGGGTTTTCGCTATTGTCAAGTTCAAAGGTGGCAACAAATGTCAGCTATTGATAATAAAAGTTACGCTGATTCTAATAAAGTGCAACGAAAAGTGGAAAAAAAACACTTGCGAAACCCATGAAAAACTGCAAAACTTACAATGTTTCGATTCAACGCAATCGCCACCGTAATCGTGGCCGACACTTTGAGTTGCATCGGCAAAGGGATCGATGATATCAGAATGACGAGTGGGTCAAAGTCCAACAGAGTCGGATTCCAATTGCATATCATATAAATGATATAGGGCGCTTCACAGACGGCCGTCAAAAAATCGCCGATCGACAGAAAGTACACCAGTTTCAAATGTTTGTTTTTGTAAAGTCCCGGGACTCTGGAAGCAATTTTCAGGAGCTGATATTGTAGTCTTCTAAATAAATTTAAAAAAACAGACTTTGCAAAAAACGCGATAATAATTCCGTTGACTGTGGCGCACGCCAACTCCAAAAGTATCACGAGACAGTAGATTCCGAGGTAGACTTCGTTGGAGAATCCCGACATTGCGGACAAATTCTTCAACATGCTGGAAACACGCTGAAAACGCGCGAAAAAGTCGGAAGAGAGACTCAGAGATATAGGAGCGGATTTTGAGGAAGGGGGGTCGCCGGAGCATGCGCCATTTCAGGAAGTTTGTGCGAAATTGGCTGGGAACGTTTTGAAGAATAGAGTATGAATTTGAATGGAATGACGTGGCACTAGATGTACAATAATCCTGTGAAATGTGCACAACATTTTGGAAGTTGGTAATGAAATTCTGGGGATTTTAGCTATTGTCAAGTTCAAAGACGCATAGAACATCGAGGAGTGGTTGTACAGGAAAAGTGTTCACAGAAAAAAGAATGTGCTTGTCTTGAAGATTATTTTTGTAGTTGACAACTTTCTGATAAAACGGCTCCCTGGAGTACTGTAGCTCTTCAAAGTTTGTAGGGAAATGCAGTGGCTATTAGCTACATTGTCAAGTTTAAAGAGCGATAGAAGCTCAGGGAATGGTTTAACAGGAAAAGTGTCAACAGCAAAAATAAAGGTCTAGTTATGGTTAATATTTTTGTAGTTGACAACTTTTTGGGTAAACTACTCCCTGGATTACTGTAGATCTTGAAAGTTTGGCCTAAACTACAACTATGCCAAATCTACAGATCAAATACTGGTTCCAACTACAGTAATCGTCGTTCCTTTAGCACACATTGTTTTGCATCAAAAACCTCATTATGACTCATATACGTCTCTCTGTTTTTTGCGTGTTCTGCTCAACTTTTTAATCTCCTGCAAAACGCCAAATGGTCGTGATTTATGCCATTTTGGTTTGGTGGTGAGAGATTCGGCAAATTTGATTGATTACGATTAAACGGATCTACTAAATGCGATTGAGTTTGGAGAAAAGTCATGGAAAGCAGGAACCACTGCGACTATGACTATGACTCTGATCATGTCGGGGACCGTGTGCGACAGGTGAAAAACGTCTAAAGGTTAGCGGATTTTGTTGCCGTGATTTGTGACCTTCTCTGACGAAATATTCATCATTGAGGTGAAGCGAAACACTGGAAACTGGGGACCAGGGTCTCACTAATGGCTATGAAATGGGTTCAAATCGAAGAATTCTGAACTTTTCGTGGTCTTATAATGAAGAAGTATCTAGTGCATTTCCTTTCAGACGGAAAATATTTGTTAATGAGCAATGAGCAAGCAAAAGATTACGTCTAGAATGATCTTAGAACTGACATGAAATGTAAAGGTTCAACGGAAGTCGATTAGCGATACTTTTGACAATAAAGTGTGCAAAAAACCACCGTGCCCTGATTGAGCATGGCTACCGAAGGACAACTTATGACATAACGGCAACATGAGCCTGAGTGCGATGTATGCTATTCACCCGACTCGTTCTCTCGCTTATCATCGTGCTCATGCGTTTGCTTTTAGAAATTCTACAAAGAATGTAAAGGAGGTGGGCACGGTAGGAGTCGTAGAAGAGCAATTGGCAAATGGAAGAGATGATTCCGTACGTGGCGAACACGAAGACACAAACGTCGTTGGCAACTGAAAAATGAATTGAAAAAGGTTTTAGTGAAGACTCTTACACTGCCAATAATGATCGATGATAGTTGTGATTGCCCAGTAGAAGATTGGTGTGTAGCACAGTGCAGTTGGGATTGCGATCTGAATATTATCAAGTTGAACTTTTGGGGCGCGATCCAACCTGTGCGACGAGAGCGGCCAAGAATTTGATCTGCATCGTACGCGTCTTTCGCGACAGTTTTTGGGTGAGCGTGGAGAAAAAGAGGAGCCACGAGCAGTGGAGAGCCAGCAAACCACACTCGGCGCCGACGAAAACGATGAGGAACGCGAGGTAGGGGAGAAGAAAATTCATCGAGGACTGCAGAATGAAGACGGACGGATGGAGGAGAGACTTGGGCGGACATCGTTCTTCCTGTCAACGATCAGTGCATGAAGAGGAGTACATATTTGGGTACCTTCAACAACTGCATCTTGACACTCAACTGCTCTTCGGGTGCTGTGAACAGGGCCGGCAGAGTCATGTTCACGTAGAGCATGTAGTTGAACAGCAGCACCGGCACCAACCATTTCGGCGACAGTCTGAGGCGGTGGCCACTTCCGACGACCACTTGGTGACGGATTATGAACAGAACTGCCACACTCGCCACCATTGCTGCAATTTGAAGCAAACAGTACGGTCGCTGATTTGGTTGACATACAACATATTTTTAAAATAAACTTCGCAGTGGGGCATTCATTTTCCCAAAGTCCCGAATTACGAAAAAAAATTCCCCGATTTTTAGGATTTTTTTCAAAAAAGTTAATGGTACCGAGAGAAGTACACGGCGAAATGGAAGAGCTGGCCTAGACTTTCCCAGTCCCCGGATGAAATTCCCCTTTCTTCCGATTTTTTCCATTTTCGTGCAAATTTCTTAAATTTTCAATCATTTTTTCACTGAACACACTTATTTACAATATTTTTTAAAAATTTATGTTTTTTTTTCTGTGCCGTGATGCCAAAATAATCGATAATCTGAAACATTCAAAATTCAGACAAAATTCAGAAATTCAGAAAAAATCAGTCACTTTTTGTAAAACCGAAAATGGGAAATTTTGGATTTTTCGCATTACTTTGAAAAATAGATCTTTTTGTAACTCGCAAACTTTAATTAAGCCACAAGAAATGATTGAGCGACCTCTTTCTATTTATTTTTCAGCGCGCAAACCGAAGATTGAGCGAAAAACTCGGAAAAACAACAAAAAAAAGTGTCAGATTATCGATTTTTTTGGCGTCACAGCACACAAAAAATTATAAATTTTTTTAAATATTGCAAATAAGTGTGTTCAGTGAAAAAACGATTGAAAATTTAAGAGAATTGCACGAAAACGGAAAAAAATCGGAAGAAAGGGGAATTCCATCAGGGGACTAGAAAAATCTAGGCCAGCTCTTCCATTTCGCCGTGTACTTCTCTCTTTCGTAACACGTTCGTGTAGGTGTTCAGTTTTATGTCGTAGACCAGACAGACGGACTCTGAATAATTCACATGTTCTCTTCTAGAATCAGCTGGTCACTGCACACTCTATACGTTTTCAAAGCAGGGTCTATCTTACAAGCCTGTAGGAATACTGTAACCATCCTCTAACAATTTGTGGGAAGCTCAGTGAGACGAACCTCCAAGACACCCGAATCCGAGATAAATCTGTTTGGGAATGTCCAACCCGATCCGGAGCAGTACGCCCAGCGACCGTCCGCCAATGACGGGGAAGTAGAAGCGAGGAACGACGAGGACGGATATCATCGAATCGGTCATTGCTATCCTGCAAAACACTCGAATGAGCGGACCTCCCGAGATGGAACCAGGGGTGTGCGGAAAATATTTCGATTTTCCGAAATTTTCCGATTTTCCGAGAAATTTTCGGAAAATTTTCCGACGGAAAATTTTCGGAAAATTAGTGTGGATTCAAGGTCAATTTGTCCGAAACCACCGTATGCTTTTTAAAGGCGCATCACAAAATTTTTGGAAGGGTCTAGCAGCGAGCGTCTTTTTTTCCGAAAAATTTCTCGGAAAAATCGGAAAATTTCGGAAAAATCGAAATATTTTCCGCACACCCCTGATTCTCACTGACAATCGGAAAACACTGGACCCGGAGAGCTTCTCTCGGCTAATTTTTTTGCAAAAAAATATTCCATTGCTTGGCTTCCGCCCACTCAAGTGATTTCAAATCATAATAAGCATTTTTTTGTATTAGAACGTTGTTTAAACACTTTATTGAACCAATGAACAAGTGAGTTTTCCGATTTTTCCGATTTTTCCGAAATTTTCCGAAAAAAAAATTCGGAAAACCCGATTTTCCGAAATTTTCCGAAAAAAAAATTCGGAAAAACCGATTTTCCGAAATTTTCCGCACACCCCTGGATGGAACGTACCAGAACTGCAAGTTGAGCAGACACCACTTGAAGTGGCCCATTTGTGTGTCTGAATGGAAGAGGATGCAGTAGATGGCGATCACGTTGAACGGCACCGAAATGAGTGTGATCGCGTGCAGACTCAGCAGATATTGTGCGTCGTCGAGGCGCGGCGTGTGGATGTGCTCGCACGAGGAACCGATGATCGACCACTCCGAGTACGTGTACTCTGTACTTTGGGACAACAGGTAGTCCGCTTCTACCTAGGTCCGGTTATTGAAAAAATAGATGCTACAATACTTACCTGAGACATGTCAAGCAGTTTGATAATAGTTGAAGGAATTTGAGAATAAGAAAGCAAATTCCGCACCTTTTCACCGGAATTTTTCACCTGTTCATTCGTATACGGGACTTTTGCCGAATGTTCCACTTACATTCGCACCGTCCTAATTATAAGGAAGCAATAAAAAACATGTTAAACTTTCAAGATTCTGTACGAATTCGGCGGAAGCATCAGAGATCTCTCGCCGCGCGTTGGTTATCCGAAACAGGTGAAAATTTCGGGAATCGGGAGTTATTTGTGATGCAGATTTCGATTTTTAAGGTCCTGTCTTTGTATTTTGTTCGCGAAAAACAATATATTCAATTTTAGGGGTTCACTGATACCATGAGAATGTCTCCGCGACATTTCGTTACCAGCCATTTCGGCACCGGGCCATTTCGGCACCAGTCATTTCGTTACCAGCCATTTCGGCACCAGTCATTTCGACACCAAAAAAAAGCGAGAATTTTTTAGTCGAATTTCACTTGTAATTTTCGCAGTACTAGTCAAAGGTTTTCATCAAAACTATTTCGAATTTCACTGCGCGTCATATGCACAAATTCAAGTGAAATTCGACTAAAAAATTCTCGCTTTTTTTGGTGTCGAAATGACTGGTGCCGAAATGGCTGGTGCCGAAATGACTGGTGCCGAAATGGCCCGGTGCCGAAATGGCTGGTAACGAAATGTCGCGGAGCCATCAGAATCAGCTCGACGAGTTCTATCCGAATATGTAACTATCCTAATCCCTTTCTGATATTTTTTCGCACCGCCGGTCCCCTCCATCTTCACCTGCCAAAAACATTGTAAATGACGCGTCTGACAGGAACAGAGGATGGTTTTTCGCACGGATCTCGGTTCGTAGTGGTCCGATTGGAACCGTTCAACTTGGAGCAGGCGTATCTTGAATAGATGTGCTATAAACCAATCTTCTAGCTATCATCGATCATTATTGGCAGTGTAAGTCTTACCTAAAACCTTTTTCAATGCTTTTTTTCAGTTGCCAACGACGTTTGTGCCAATTGCTCTTCTACGATTCCTACCGTACCCAATGGTACTGCCTATATCATCTATTTCTTTTTATCTACTTCATCTTATAATTATCTCTTGACCTGAAAGTGTCTTAATAAACAGATGACGTCACTAACCGGTCCTTAACTTTTGAGCTCAAATTCATGTGTACAAAGTTAAACTTTTAGACACACGATGATTTTTTGATATGATTCATTCGATTCACCACGAAAACGAGCAAGAAAAGATAAACAAAGGCGTCCGATGACACATTAATATTTCAATTCAATTGATATAAACATCCATTAGGAAAATAAAAACAAAAAATGCGTGGGCGGATGGTATATAAGCCCTCGGCACCTTTTCCGATCTTTCAGTTGTCCACGAGGCCTGGACTTTTGGCTCAATTGAAAAAGGCAATCATCCTGTCGAGACCAAATCATTTGCAGTTGTTTGGGTCCAAATTTCAGACCGATTGGATCATTTGGTCCTGAGATATGCACGCTTTTAGGCCTAAAAACAGAAATGTTCGCAAACCCCCTGCTTTTTCGGTTTCAGATGATCGGATCGGTCTGAAACTTGGGCCCAAACAACTTTAATCCAACTGATAAAAGTCTGCAAAGTAGGTCAAAAGTCCAAACTTTTTGTGATATTGTGCAATTCTTGATGATTCACACTCGTCTTAACTTTTGAGCCTTATCACACTTTTTCCGTCTTCTTTTTCTATTTCCTATATAAATAGTCGAGGTTTCGGCTAGGTGTTTCCATTTTTTCTCTTTTTGTCATGACGCTATTAAAACTGGGGTTTCAGATTCGAAAGATGATCAGATTTGCTGTGAGTTTCTTGATTCTCGTGGCCTCGACGGTGGCTGTCAGTTTTTGTAAGTTTTTTGGAAAAATACAATAGCTAGAGAGCTGAGAGCAACAATTTATGTCTAGTATTGTATGTTTGTAGTCGACAACGTTTTTCCACAACCACTCCTTTGAGTACTGTAGGCCTCGGAAGTGTTGGAAGTCAACAATAGCTATTACATTTCTATACTAACCATAGTTGCCACGGGCCGGGCCGGGCCGGGCCGGGCCGGGCCGAAATTTCCAAAACTCCGGCCCGGCCCGGTCGGCCCGGTTCAAAAAGCGGGAATTCAAAATTTGAATTATTGATCGCATGAAGCCATTTTTTGTAGAATTAGGGGTTTTTTGCAAGCATCGAACATTGAAAAAAACAAATGTATTTCTCATAAAAAAATTCATAATAGCAAAAAAACAAAAAAAGAAACACTAAAACTTTAGTTCGAAAATTTCTTTTGTAATAACGAAAAAAAAATTTCCGCGAAAATTTGAATTCCCGCCTTTTGAACCGGGCCGACCGGGCCGGGCCGGGCCGGCACTTCACCGACCCGGCCCGAAATCTGGCAAGTCTGATACTAACTTCTGTGAGCTACAGTACTCTTTGGAGCAGTCGTAGAAAAAAGTTGTCAAGCACAAAAATATTTTTCATGTCTAGTACTACATTTTTGTAGTTGACAACTTTTTTCCACAACCACTCCTTTGAGTACTGCAGCTCTTGAAAGTGAGCAGTCAAATAGGGTTGCCTTTAATTTCCAGAGCCTACAGTAATCCAGGGAGTGGTTGTAGATAAAAGTGGTCAACTACAAAAATATAGTGCTAGATTTGACAAACATTTTTGTAGTTGACACCTTTTTGAAATGTCGGCTCTCAAGACTGTTAGGCACTGAATTCCACATGCCTTCAGCTATTATCATCTTCCAAGACTACTTTCTTATCATTTGTGTGATGATTCTCTTATCACATTTTGCGGCTAGAAAAGTTTGACCTAGCGCAAATTGGAAATTGGCGTCACTTTTATTTGTCTAGCTGTCTGGTGTGTACGGAAAACGTGCAAAAATCATTTTTCCAGCATGTCCGACCGCAAAAATCACTCAAACGACAATCGGAGGGAACTTGCCGGTTGGGACCACTGTTCCGGTCCTCGTGCCGGCCAACACCAATTGCACAATTACTGTAGGATCACTTTTTAGGCCAAGCAAAAAAATTGTCGATTTAGTTTGACATTCCAAAAGGATTCGTGCTGAAGATCGGGCTTTCCGCCGATTTCCAATCGACAAACGATACAGTTCAAGTTGTGGATAATCTCGGAGTCGTTAGAACGTTAGTTTACTCATTTTTTGACCATTTTCCACCAAAATTCATCGTTCTCAAGCTATGACTCCTCTTTTTTAGACTCCAACACACGGGCGTTCCGATCAATAACGCCCTCATCTACGTTTCGGCAAGTTTCGCCCAAATTCGTGTGGCTTCAATGTCGGGAAAGAGTAGTTTTATGGCGACGTACCTGTACCAGTCATGTGGGCACACATTTGTGACCATATAATAACGGGAATCAAGTGTCTTTTTCAGTGTCCGGATATACTCAAGTCACCAGGAAAACGGGCGAATTCATTGCACTTTCCTCGGTCGTCGGCACTACTTATTATTCGTTCACTTCGGCGAAAAATGACAGGGTTTGTACCGAGATATTTACACCATTGGATAGAGCGCCAAAACTTGCATAGAAAAGTCTGTTGTGGTCGTGGTCAGAAATCAATTTTAAGGCCAAGTCCGAGTAAAAAGTTCATAACTCGGAAATGAGACGTTTTTTGACAATACGATCAACTACAAAGTTATTGAGGAGATAATTTGGGTCAACTTTCCTGTTGACCACTTGTTGAACGGACCCCGGGTTTTTGAGATACAGGTCACAGAAGTCGAGCTAAACTTTTGTCGCCGTTCTACACGCCGAGTTTTTGCAGATCGTGGCAACAGTGGGACAACGAAACACTCAATCGACAGACTATGTGCTCAATCAGATCTACGTGTACGACGGCGCCAACTTGACCACTGCGAACATGATCGGACGGTTGGACTCGCTCGGAACGTCAATATCGCCTTCTTCCGGCAGCGCCTATTCGCTCGTCAATTTCTACGGATACAGGTCCACTTCATACCTTCTGGCCAATGATTATTCCGGTGAGCATTCGATCGTTTTCAATTTTAAAAAAACTCGAAATTAAGTTCATTTTCAGCCGTCCAAAACCTGAACAAGTACACGGTAATCGTGACAAGTCTGGGCAGTACGACCAACGGACAAGTGATGGATTTGAGCAATAACGGAGCGTCGTACACGTTCATTTGCACCGATTGCTCCAAATTCTATCTGACTCAGTTCACTTTTGATAGTTTGAAGACTGTCGCCAACAAGGGATACGTCACTTTCCAGGGACAAACGCCCACGCACGGAAGGAACAAGTTGATCAGATATGAGTGAGTTCTAAGCTCCTATGAGACCAATTTACCACTTTTTTCTACGACCTGCTTGAAAGTTGAGGTCAACAATAGCTATACGATTTCATTGCCCACTTCCTTCACATTTCTCAACTTTAGCGCGATGACGTACACGTCAAAACAGCTGCCCCAACTCATTCCGACCAACATTTTCACGATGGGACTCTACGTTTCGGGCATCAATTTGATGACCTCCACCGTCAACGACGATACCGAATGGAAACGACCGTACGACGGCCGAAAAGGATTCATTTTCTCGCCGAATCTCTGGGATTCAACGACGACGAACTACAACTACGAGTTCCGCAACGATTCGCAGCTGTTCAAGTATCAATTGAACTTTGACGCGGCCAAGTTTGCCAGCGTGGATTCGTTGAGTCTGAAGATCGGAACCACTTCTTCTGGCACTCCGGCCGTCAATAATCTGTGAGTTTTCATGCTTTTTGTCGAAAATATCCCGTATCAGTTGAAAACGAGCAAATTTCATTGACGAATGAAAATTTTGAATCGATTTTCGAGAGTTTTGCCTGAATTTCAGTCATTTCTCGGCCATTTTCACGGTTTGAACGCTCAAAATGCTCGCATTTACGTGCTCTTTCATTTCCGACACTGATTTTGTCGGGAAACGTCTCGAATGTTGCGTTTTAGCGAAATGTGTCTCAGCATAGGCCACGCCCACCTTTTCACTTTTTTAACGGTGTTCTTGTAAAGATATCGAAAAGGTGTCAACAAACGAAATGTACAAAATGTCTTACTGAATATTTTCGCAGTTGGCCACTTTTTGATATCTCTACCGGCAACTGAGATACAGCGTTTTGAATGAACGGTACTGTGGTACGGTTCTAAAATTTGGGAGCCAACAATATTCGTTTAATTTACAGGTACCCCAGAGACACGAGTTCCACAGGAGTGGTCTCTTCAAACGGAAATTACATGCAACTCGGATTCAACGGATCCGTTTCTTCCGATGTCCGACTTTCCTTTACGATGACCCAAGTGTCCACGGCTTCAGCCATCCGGCTCCTTGTCCCCATTTTTCTTGCCTTCTTCCGTTTGCTTTGAACAATAACTTTATGAAACAACTTACGTCTCCATCTCATAATACACTCTTTTCAAATTCTTTAACGCAGTGTTTGATGAGTTTTACGGAAAGGTTACAAAAAAAGTGACTCATTTTCCAAAAGACTGAACGGATTGTATAGTTGACACTTTGTGCATTGAATTTTTTGCACGACATGCGTCCCAATTGCCGACGATAAAGATTACTGCGTTTATAACTCCTGAAAATAACGTTCAACACTTTAGGAGTATTGTAGAATCATGAATTTGAAGTAATGCAATGCTGAACATTCTTCAGGGGTCATGCCTAACTTTTCCTTGATATTGCATGTTCTAGAAAAGTCCTGAGGACCTATAAGGAAAGTTGAAGACAACAAAATTTCACAAGCCACTTCCAAGAGCTACAGTACTCGAGGGAGTGGTCCTAGAAAAAAGTTGTCGACTACAAACATGAAGTACTACTAGATGTGAAGATTTTGCAGAAACTACAATACTTGTTTCAACTCACCACTAACCAACAGGCAGGCCGAGTAGAACGGTCCGACCAATTTGAAAATGGAGAATCCGGTCAGCTCGACGACGCCCACGCAAACGCTGGGAACGGTGAGGAAAAGGAGGGAGGAGATGAGAATTCCGGTGGATGTTCTATTCGCCTTCGCGTACCGCCTCGATCCTTTCTGTGAGACGTCCGAGTTTTTCGCCTGCACCATACGGATTTTCACGAAGATTGTGATCGAAAGGAGCACGGCCATGAGCCCAAGAATCTGAAAATCATATATTTATTTCTTGTTTTCGAGCCATCACCGACCATGTTCGAAATTCCCCAATAGTATCTGAACTGATCACTGACAAAGCAGCCGATAGTCCCGCAGTTCGGGTGGTGTTCCAATGGGGTCAGGGCCCAGTAGAGGAAAATGTCAAAGGCGGCCAGGAAAAGGGCCACTAGGGCGGTCCCGTTCGAATAGTCGCCCTGGTCCATGCGACGGTAGATCGACGGCAAGAATAGAGCCTGAAATGCAACTGGAGGACGTTTTGCAACCGCCGGAAACACTGGAATAGAAAAGAAATGGGACATTTTGCAACTAAAAGGTTCTTTGCACCCTTTAAAGTGTCGGCCGCACAACGTCCATCAGTTGCAAAGTGTCCCCGTTCACTCTAACCTACAATATTCCGTCCCAACGCGATTCCGACAGTGATTGTGGCCGAAATCTTGAGCTGAATGGGCAGCGGCTGAGCCGTGAACATTATGTACATCGGATCGTAGTCCATGTTGTCAGGACTCCAATTCATCGTCATGTAGATTATGTACGGTAGTTCTGGAAACAGTTTTTATCCAAAACTGTGAGCAAAAACGTGTCACGTCACCTCCGACAGCTAGAAAGAAATCGCCGATTGACAAGAAGATCACTAAACGCATATATTTGTTGCTGCGTAGAGACTTCGATCTGAAAAAAGTCTTCCGATATTGTCAAATTACATACAATGCAGTTACCTGGCAAAAAAGAAAATAATCGATCCATTGAGTGAGGCGCACAAAATTTGAAAAACCAAAATGAAAATGTAGACGGCCAAAGTGATGTTGTTCGATAGAGCTCCCAGCGATTTTTGTGCCATTTCTGCAATTTTTACTATTTTTTTTCGGCAAAATATGCAAGCTGTAATAACAAAATTACTGAAAATCGGATTTCAGCAAGTCTCTTGTTATCTGTTATCTCTAAAAAAACGATCAACGAACTCTTTTTTCTAAAAAAAAAAAAGAAAAACAAGTCAATTTCCGTGTTTTCCGTTCCGCATTCTCACGATTTCGAAAACACTGGGTGTGGCCCTAAAAATTGAGAATTTTCTGAATCAGCCAGTGATTAGTTTGAACAGCTAATAGTAGGCACAAAAATTTCATGATAATGATTTCTTTTAGCCAAAAATAACACAAATAACACGTCGGGTACATGCGGAATATGTGCTCGGTTCCAGTACTCTCTGTTTTTAGGTTATCCATCTGCTGCCAGCACAAAAGGCTTACTATTAGGAATGTGTGCTGCTCGGTTTGCTTTTCAATGACCCAAAATAGAAGACACACCTATTTTCTAGTACAATTTCTTGTGTGATGGCATCCGATAGTAGTCTGGAATGTGACGAAGAAAGTGAAAGACCCGACGCCTCGGCAAACCAGCGATCCTGCTCGTAGAGCTCGGCCAACTTGTCGAACCAGACATTTCGCAGCGCCACCGATCCTCTGTAGCTGTCGGCGAGTCGGATCGGATCGTTCGCCGCGTCTTTCAGAGAGCGACGTCCGGCTGGCTGCGTAGAGGACGATCGTACCGGGGGAAGATGCTGAAAATATCAAAATTGATAATCAAAAGCAACGAAAATCTGAAGAAAAACGATAAATCGGGACAGGAGAGACCTTTTAAAGCTTTTCAAATCGATGCAAATTTAAATTTTTGAAAAGCACGGGTCGAACGATTACTGTAGCAGTGAGAAGTTGTGCAGTCTGCACTTGCCACATTTGACGACTGTGTCGATTTTCTTGAATTCTTTTCCGTGTTTTGAACGGAAAAATCGAAAAAAAAATGAAAAAGAGAAGGAACTGCGTTTGGAACGTCCTGAAATTTGAAAAGAATTCAATTATAACCACAAAAATTGTCTGTAAACTGAAAAAAGAAATTTTCTAAAAGTTAAGACGAGCCTGCCTGTCATGGAGATTTTCCTATATTGGAAATTTAAAAATAATAGCTGTTTCTCCTATGCTTTTTTGTGTCTTTGTGTCAAAAATCCTTCAACACTCTTTTTCGAATCCTCTTGGTACGGTGCCATGACATACTTTCCCATCACAGTTCTTTGTCGCCATTCTTATCACTAATCTCCGTCTTTAATTAGGTGTGGGAATGTGATCTTCAAGTGAATTTGCGGCAAATTTCCAAGAAGCCAACTTAATTACAGACGGAGATTAGTGATAAGGACGCCAACAAAGAACTCCGATCGGAAAGAGCGATTGGGATTTCGAAAAGTCATGGCACAGTGCCAAGAGGATTCGGGAAAGGAGTGATAAGGAATTGAAAGATTTCCGATTTCGGATGCAGACGCTCAACACATTCCGATCGGTTTGAAATTTGGACTCATAGACCCGATTGCCAGTCGTCCGAGATGGATAATCGGCTCCAGAATGTATTTGAGCCGTTTTTCCGTCGTGGATCGTCGCTTGCAGCTTCTTCCGGATCAGCTTTTTGTCGTCTAAGTCCGAAATGAATTCGGTCGACGACTTCCAGTAGACGGCCAGATTCTGCAGCGAGACCAGCTTGTAGATGATCTTCACTGCGTCTTTGTGGATCGTCTCCTTCCAGTTCTCGTTAGTCGTCTGTAATTTTTAACTTTTCTTGAATGTTCGAAGCGGTTTTATTAGTTTCAGGCACCAGAAATTGAATATTTCAAGCTGTAAAAGACAAAGGTTTACGGTACCTTGAAGTAGAGCTTCTCCAAAATGACTCCGATTGCGAACGGACGATGACGGTTCGTATAACGATCCTCGAAGCGCACGTGGATTCCGTTGGCGTCAATGTCGAAGGTGACCTCGATTTGTGGGACTCCGCGTGGCGCTGGTGGGATTCCAGAGAGCTCGAACATTCCGAGCAGGTTGTTGTCCTTGGTCAGGGCACGCTCTCCCTCGTAGACCTGGAGCAAGACTCCCGGTCGGTTGTCAGAGTAGGTGGTGAAGGTCGGGCCGGTCTTGGTCGGGATGGTGGTGTTTCTCTTGAAGACAGCAGTCTCAATACCGAGCGAAAGTCGATTGTTCCGCGGTGCGCGCTGCTGGTCAAAACCATTTAGGGCGAAGTGGGTCTCGCAGCGGTAGGTCAAAAATATGGGTGCGCACATTCTTTCCGCGTTTTCACAAGTTCTACACAATACTTGGAAACGAGAGCTTGATGTACGTCATTTTGAGGCCGGAGAGTTGTTTTTTCCGCCATTTTTCTCGCTTCAAATGCTTGAAATCCTGACTGTCTTGAGACCGTTACAGGTAAATCCCCATTTTCCAGGCTAAGGTTCCACAAATTTTCCTATTTTTCAGGCGAGGTGTACAGAGGAAAGTTGGTCGAGGCCGAGGACAACATGAACTGCCAGTTGGCCGAGACGATCGTCACTATAGAAGCCATCAGCTGGAGAATGTGTTCATTCGCGAAAACAAGGTACCCAAGTCCATGATTCGCACTGAAATTCACCGAAAACTCGTTCAGATTCGCTTCATGATCCTTCCGGACATGCTAAAGAACGCGCCAATGTTCAAAAACATTGTAACTTGTGCGTGTTTTCGTGTGCAGACCGAATTGAATTCATTCCATCGTGATCTCGTTCCGATTTTTCTTGTTCCTCTGTCTGCACCCTCCCTCTTTCTCCTTTTCACATTTTGTTTTTCGTTCGGCCCAATTTTATAATATGAATTATTCCCTTTCTATGATGACCAGTTCGCCCGGAGATTTTCCCTCGAGATTTGCCTACTTTTCGCCACTTTTTTGCCCATTTCCACCTCATGGATCACTCCCCGATCGGATTATTCCTATTCTCGCTCATTTTTTATTCGCATTTCAACGGAATTTTCGACAGTGTCGAACATTCGCCGATCGGCATTTTGGATAGGTCCCGTCTTTTGGCGGGCACCGACAAATGCGTCCTCAAATACTTGCAAGGCATCGATCCGCTAAAAGTAGGCTAAAATATTGAAAGTTTAGCGAAAAAAAAACGTATTTAGAGCTTCCAACTTTTGCCATTCATGCTCGAAAGATGTGCTCTTTCCGAATATTTCCCGCTCGAAGAGTACGGCGCCCGTCGAAACGGCACGGCGAGAATTTTTACGATTTTTCCGCTTTTTCAGGTGGAAGAATTGAAAATATTCAATTTTCCTCAAAAAAACGCACCTTTTCAGCATGCCCATCTGAAAGCGTGCAATAGTTTTCTGTTTTTCGGCACCTCTTCATTTGAAATGGCGCCAGAATTGGAAATTTTGACGTCGGCCGATTTTGGCCAACTCGACTGCCGTTATTTAATTGTGGAAAAACGCGAAAATACACATGGGGTACGCGCTTTTCGTGTCTCGTCGCGTTTCCGGTGCCTTGACCCTGTTTTTGCAGCTTCGCCACTTTGTACGCGTTCCAGAATTGACGGAATTGCACTTGAATGATGTTCTGATGCAGTACAAGGATGACAAGGAATTTGTAAGCAACATTTGAATTTTTGAAGACTATGGATTTGAAAAGAATTGCAATCAAACTGCAATCAGAACGTTTGTTTTCGATATTTCGAGCGAATTCAATTTTTGCAGATAATTGAGCACTTGTACATTGCAGAAATGCGTGAAATTTCCGAGAAATTCGCGGAAAAGATTCTTAGAATCCGCGAAATTTACGCGGTTTTACCCTGTCAAATAACCGTCAGATTTTCAAAGTTTGTCCGCGAAGAGCGATTGTGGAAATTCGCGGAGGAAGTGCTCCAAAACGAGCAGTACATTCTGATGAGCGTTCGCACAATCGGACACTATACAGAGTGCGTGAATCGATCGATAAACTGTCTAATGGGGTTATTCAGGCTGTGAAAAACATGATTTTTTTCCGCTTTTTTTTCGGTTTTTTACGTCAAAAAACCCAATTCAGCGGTGTAAAAAAACGGAAAAAGAACGGAAAACAAACATACGCTGAATAGCCCCCTAAATTCGCCGATAACTTTTCCGATTTTTCCACTATTTTATCGACAAACTCTCCAAAAATATATCAATACCTATTTTCTGTTGAATTTTTCAGATTTTATTTGTTCGCCAGTGCCGAGTACGAATGCATGATGCGCTATGTCTGAATACAACTTTTATTGAAATAAAAACTTATTCCAGCTGTCCACGGTGTGAAAAACGATTTTACGTTTACGGTGGTTTTTACTTTTTTTTTATGATAAAAGTGATTTTCCTCGAATCTATTACTTTTGTACTATTTGTCTAAAATCAGAAATGCCAGATTTGATCAGTAAGAACAGTAGATTAGGCATCAAAAGACACAAAAACGTTCAAAAAACGATAGGGACTATAGAAAAGTTAGATAAAAATTGAATTGTATGCTAGTCCTCATTTCCTGACAAAAACAGTACGCTTTCATGGATTTTACAGATCTTACGGAATTTACGGATTTTACGGCTTCTTGAAACCGTAAATTTGGATTATCCCTGGAGCGTACTGTTTTTGGCAGGAAATTAAAACTGCCATACAATTTTTTTTTGTTTAATTCTAAAAAGAACAATATTATTTATAAATTGTGATGAAAAAGGCAAAAGCTTACAACATCCAGGATTCCCAGGCCGTCTTCTTCAACGTGATATGCCACAGGTGAAACGCGGTTGATCAATTATACAATTAATTGAGCCAATTGTAGACAAATTATCAACAAACCGCGAACGGGATGAGAAGCAGATTGGCGCAAAACACAGTGTATAATAGAGAAATCGCGCTTGTTCGCGATTGATGTATAATTAGTGAATTATTGACAAGTTCGCGAACGAGGGTGCACAGCATTCAAACATTTGTGATTTTTTTCATATTTTCGTTTGTTTTTATTGCAATTTCGCATGCTTTTATGTAATTAAACCAGAGTAGAGCATACAGGATTCGCATTTCAACTCGTTATGGTTCATTGCCACAACTAATACTTCCTTCCAGAAACAGACAGCCGCAGGTGAGAAAATGGATTTTTGATTCAATTGCATCAGAAAAAAGATTTCAGATAATGCAAACGAATTTGGAAAAAGAGAAGAATAACTGGAAGAATTATTCCGAATTATTAGGGCATAACTTCATGAATACGCATCCACTTTTTCACTTTTAGCTATTTTTTATTATTTGAATGAGTTCATCATTGTGATATGAAACGTCATGAAGCCCTTTCAAATGATTATAATTCTTTGTAGACAAGGATGACTCGATCGGTTCCGTCGTCAGGGACCAGCAGTTGAGATCCGTCGGGACCGCATTCCGACGACAAAAGCGTTTCGGTGACTTTCTGAAATTGGGAAACTTTGAAAACCCATTACAAAAGTTGAGGTTCTCCCGACCAACCTGATAGCCCCTCCGACTCATCAAGCACTGATTGGCCAGCGATGAAATCTCGGAGCCGATTCCGGAGAGTTCAAATTCTCGAAGTTTCTTGACATCTTCCGTGGCTTCCATCAGTTTCGAGGCGATTCCACGACGTTGAAACTCTTTGGCGACCGACAGGATTTCTCTGAAAACTCGTTCGTTTTATGGCATGGTAGACGCATATCAGGGATGTATAACGTTAGCAAAAATAGTTTGACCCCGCCGGGGATTGAACCCGGGGACCACTAGGCCACAAAAGTCGGGTCCGGATGTAGTTTTCAATTTCACAAAAAATTTCCAACAACTCTTTCAGGAGCGACACTTCTTTCACATGTTTCTCCAGCGACAACAACATCGAAAAATGTCCATTCGTAATTTCATTTCCAGTTCCAATCATTCGTGACTTGTGACCCAACCCAGCGACAAAATTGTTTTCTGACCCTTTCTAGAACGACGTCATCGTCCGCTTCGCCTTCAGAATTCGCCAAAAAAAAGACGCAAAGATCTCTTCCAATCGCGCGCAAAAGTTCAGTTCACCTAAAAATCTGGGTCATATCGGATTGGGCCAACTCGATGAGAGACGTGAAACTTGAAGAAGAAGAAAAAAACGACGGACGTCGCCTGATTCCGTTTGACTTTTTTGGGCGAATAGACAGAAGAAAAAAAACCGGTTGTGTGATCTTGCGAATTTGTTAAACAATACTCGAGTTGGCACTATAAATACGAGATTGCAGGCGACGAAATGGACAATATCCATCAAGCGATATTATCGAAGAAGAAGAAGAAGAAGAAGAAATGGCATCGCTCAAGGCTCTCGCTGTTTTTGCGATTCTCGTCATTTGCTGCTCAATGTTCAGTGCCGCTCAGGACTTTGACAACAATTTCGAGCTGGATTCCGATGCACAATTGTGAGTTTTTTATTTTAGAAAAAGACTCAAACACTATTCCACTTTTGCAGACTCCGCGCCAAACGTCAATGGGGATGGGGAGGTCCCGGAATGTACGGTGGATATGGACGTGGCATGTACGGTGGATACGGTCGTGGAGGATACGGTGGATACGGTCGCGGAGGATACGGTGGATGGGGCGGACGCGGAATGTACGGTGGATGGGGACGTTGAGCGAATCGAACTTTTGTGTGTAAATGAGTTTAATTGCGCTTTTCAATGAACATTTTGTGTATTCGAATTGTTGACACGATTGGCAAGCAAACTCACAAATGCAGAACGTGCTCCAGATCGGGTTTCAACTCGAAAAACTTTGCGTGCAACTCGGTCAGAATCTTGCCGACCGCCTCGATTGCCAAGTCTTTTTCAGCGCCAAAAGTGAACTCGTCGCCGGCAGTGTGCTCCGCCGCCGAGCTCTCGTTCTTCCACAGTGACGACATGGCGCAGGCGACCATTTTGAGCGATTCTGACAGTGGATGGGAAACATTTTAGGTTGCTCTTAAGAGCACTCACTTTTCTCCAGAACCGCATACGAAAACGGAACGTGCAGTGTGCGTTCTAGCAATTTTTCGACAAACGGTTTGAAGCTCTCCAACGACATGCTCGACGCCCGATTCAGAGTTTCTTCTTTCAAAAAGTGTTCGATCAGGAACTGCGTGAGGTCGAACGCGTGCTGCGGGCCCAAGTTGATGAGAAGATAGCCGGCTTCGAATGGTTCACGCATTTTGCTGAAACAACTGAAAAATGCAATATATATTGTACGTGGTGTACAGAAGAGCCAAGTTTAATAAAACAATATGTTGGTCAAGTTCCCATCTGTTGAGAAAAATGTGTATAGTATTAGAAAAGCTTCCACCAAAACGAGGCGCCAGATGTTATGTTTTCGGGGGGGGCGAGAGCGGAGAGCACGAGCGGATGGATGAGACGAAAATGTGAGAGAGAGAGTCGGCTCGCCGCGAGCAAAATGAGAGAGTCACCGAACTGGAGAGAGTCAGAGAGAGAGAGAACAAGACGGAAGCCAGTGTTTCGGGTTGCCATGAAATTATTTCATTTGGGTTTGGAAGATGTATCGAGCTCACAGGGCCTGATTCCCTCTGGTTGAGCATAACTTGAGCCAACACAAAGATCCGAATCATTCGTTTCTCACGCGTTGCTCCTCCGGCTTTTCATTCATTTCTCACACGACAACATGTATGAATCACGGCTAGACATGCACACAGAACAAGGATTATCAATTAATTATTCATGGGGAATTGCATTCCTCGGCGCTTGTGTTGTTATTTCAGAGATTCTTGAGACCACTTGTTTTTTTTTGTGTATTGTAGACTTTTCAAATCTTCCAGAAGATTCGATAGGAGAGTGAGAACGCAGAGAAATAGGTTTCGACGACGGCCTAACCTTTGCATGGATACTTCCGATAAGTGGGATGTCATTTGGTACTTCTCATCACTGGACTTCAGTGTTGAGCGGAATTCCGTCTTCCGTCTTCCGTCTGCCGTCTTCCGTCTTCCGTCTTTCGTGGTTTTTTTGGTTCCGTCTTCCGTCTTCCGTCTTCCGTGGATTTTTTCTTCTTACCGTAAAAGAGTAATTGCTTTTCAGAAGCCATTTACTAGCCCCGAAAAACGCGAATTTCCACGGGCACTGAATCAGATCCAATATTTTTGTTGTTTAGTTATTTTTAATTTTAAAAAAACCGGAGAAAAAGGTTCTGCATTGACGATTTTTTTGTTCCGTCTTCCGTCTGCCGTCTTCCGTGAGAAAAATGTTCTTCCGTCTTCCGTTTTCCGTGTTCCGTGAGAGAAATTTTCTTCCGTCTTCCGTCTTCCGTCTTCCGTGAGAAAAATTTTCTTCCGTCTTCCGTCTGCCGTCTTCCAAATTTCAAAATTCCATTTCCGCTCAGCTCTGCTGGACTTGTGAAATCCCCAGTGACTGACAAAGTTCAAGCCCATAGTTTGCACGATTATCAGTCGTGTTTTAGAGTATTCACTTTGAAAGTTTCAGACCGATTGGACACTCGACCAGATAATCGGATCCAAAACACTGCAGTAAAATCAAAAGTCTCCCTGTGTTCACTTTTCAATTTCTTATCACACAATCAGTGTTTTTTATCGCGCGCGATCTTTCGATAAATTTATCATCAACGCACCCCTCCTTCCTGTGGCTTTGGCTCTTTACCTTATCGAAAAACAGTTTGTCGATATCACCATGTTTCATTATCGATAAATGTATCGAAGAACGCGTTTTTTGGATAAAGCAAGTTGCGTTCTTGCCCGCGCCGATCGATATTGGCGCTTTTTCGTCTGCGCCTCTGTCGTCAGTGTCTCTTTCTTTCGAAACGTTTAATCGACGTTTTCTGGCTTTGTTTTTCGGTTTTCCAATTCCCTATTCAGAAATTTCGTGCTGCGCATTCAAAAAGTACAATAACACGTTTCTTTGTTAGTTTCAGACGTCAATTTTACAGCTCAAAATGGATCGACACTTGGATGTTCCGAAACTGAAACCGATTTGGCAAAGTTTGCCGTTCCATTTCAAGCAGTCACTTGTCAAAAAGTTGGACTACAAATCCAGGTGAGCTTAATAAATGTTGTCCGAAAAAAAAAACAAATTGTTGGAACAGTTGAAACAATTGCAGAATTCGTCTGGGTCGTTGCTCGACAGCCGAAAGGCACCTCCTGAATAAATGTCCGATTTATTTGCATCGTGTGACCGTGCACTGCCCGACAACTGAAAGTTCGCACGCTTCTCTGAAGATCACCGACGCCGGATCCATAAAAATGATCGTGAATGAAGAGTACGAACCGGAGGCGGTGCTCCGCGATTTCCTCTCGATTTTCGCTCACCACAAATCGATTGTGAAGAATGTGAATTTCGAGCAATGCCTTCGTGAGTTGTCAAACTTCTCTCTCTAACGGTCTAACTATTTTTAGGCAAATATACGAGTCCAGAACCGGCTGGAGTATCCGAGTTCTTCCAACAACTAATCGCCGGCTTCGACGCCCTCGGCGCCAAGTTCACGATCAAAGCGGAGGAGCTGGTGTGGGGGTGTGCGGAGGGTTCGGAGCCCGCGTTCATCGAGATTCTCAAGTTTTTCGACGCGAACACTCTGCGAAGACTGCACCTGTTCACCGCCTCGAAACTGTTCGACTGGCACCGATTGGCGGCGATGAAACAGTGGCTGAATCTGTATGAGATTCAGTCGGCGGCCGACGGATTCCCTGTCAGTCTCATGCTGCCTCTCGACAAGTACATCGGACTCTACCAGCATTTGACCACTCCGCAAGCCGCCGCCATCATTGAGGTTCGCTCTTTTTGTGTATTACATAGGAGGAGATGTTTCAGGCGGCGCTCAAAAAAAAAGTGGGCAGCCAGTACTCGATGGTGACGCCGCGGTTCAAAAGCTCTCAACGCACACAGATTGTCGAACAATTCGGTGCGGAACTTCACGAGCCGGAGGGGTACGTTGCGTGTATCTCAAGCCAATCAACAACTTTCCAATTGATCATTTTATTCCGAACCCCGTCGTGTTTTTGAGTTATAGTCTTTTTTCTAGACACGCTCGCGGTCACCAGAGCTGACAATGGGCGCAAGTGCGCCCCGCCCAATAGAGCGAAACATTGGCGCGAAATTCAAATTTTAACAGCAAAATTTGTGTTTTTTGCCAGATTAGCCACGAAAAACCGATAATGTCTCATTTGTCTCTCGATAGACCGATTGTATAGGCTATTACGAATTTCTTCTTTACGAATTTCATATTTATCCGTTTGAAGGTTTTTCGCTAAAACTGCGTGAATTTTAGTTGCTTTTCGGTAGTTTTCGCGGTTCGAGCGCTCAAAAAGCTTGTATTTACGTGATTCATCATTCTCAAAGACCAATTCTTTCTGAAAACGGTCAAGAAAGCGCAAAATGAGAAGTGCGGTTATCAGGCGGCGAAGACGAAAAAGCAAAGTCCGCGAAAAATGCGCGAAAACGTCATTAATTCTGAGAATTAGTGTGTTTTCATGTCGAACAATCATTTTTCATCGCCTTTGACCACAAAAATCAGAAAAAAAAACCTGCTCAATTCCTGAAAACGCCATTTGGCCGAGGCCACGCCCATATTGTCAGCTCTGGAGACCGTGACGCTAGACATTTAAATGTGATTGAGTGTTTCCAGCGAACAACACAACGGAATCTACAAAATCCGGATTCCAAACTCGGAGAACGTGCTCGTGTTCACGACGTTTGTGCATTTTCGCGGAAAAGTGTGCCGCTGGGATAAAATCGAATTGCCGAAAGGGCCGTGAACATCAGAGCTGAAAGTGGTGGTGTTTCCACTGATTCACCCCCCAATTTTATGACCTGTCCTTTTGTGCCTTCCCCTCTCACTTTCTCGCGTCTCTCTGTGTACTCTCTCTCTCTGTCTCTCTTTCCTCCCCCCACACAATTTCTTTTTTGCTCGTTTCTGAACATCAACGACGACGTCAAAGATCAGCAGGAAACGCGTCTTCTTCTTCTTCTTCTTTTCCACTTTTCTCGTCGCCATTCTTGTCGGAATTTCATATAATAATTGTATTAAAGTTTTGCGAAAAGAAATGATCTCGCCTGCGATAGTCTATGAATATTGTCGAGTTTGTGGTCAGTTGGCACACGGCAAACACTTTGGAGCGATGACTTGCCGAGCGTGCGCCGCGTTTTTCAGGTATTCGCAATTTGCAATAGAACATTTCGAGCGCCGCGTGACGATTTTTTTCAGACGAGCCGGCGTGTCGAACACTATCAAACCGTGCAAAAAAGACGACAATTGTGTTTTTCTCAAAAACGGATGGTTCAATTGTAAAAAGTGTCGATTGCAAAAGTGTTGGAGCGTCGGAATGAGCGCCGAAAGTAAGTGTTTGGTGTTCTGGATTGTTGGACCACTTTCAATGATCCGATTGGGACCAAACTTTGCCGGCTTCTTGGGCATGGCATGAAGTGTTTTGGGTCCAAGTTTTAGACCGATCCGATCATCCGGTCCCGAGATATTTGGACCCCATTGGCCGTCAAGCACTAGATCTCAATATTTCCAGATTTTCAATTCGATCGTGACACATTTTCGCCCAAGTCAAAATTCAAAAGTGCGGGAACGTTGGTGGCTCGAAATAATCATCAGATTCCGGAGTCGATGGGCACTTTTTTGGGTCGTTCCAACCTGATCCTCTTCTGCGCCCCACAAAACATGGACTTGTGCTCTAAAAACTACATCGACGTGCAGTTTCTAGTGGAAAAGGTGGCGAAAGTGTTGGAACGGGTCGGTGGACGAACTTTTCGCGATTCGTCGCCTAACAAATGCATTTCTAGGGCGCTGAATATCCGATTTATGCGCGAAATTCACTGCAAAAACTCGCGCTCGGCCTACAATTGATTCGAGGAGGAAGTGATAAGCGGAGGAGTACAAAAATTGTGACAAAGATCGGAAAAGACGAAACGTTTGCACTTTGGCAAGAAGATATGCTCAAAGTTGCGAGATGGCTCACTTATTTCGACGAGTTCAGACGATTACCGCCGGGTTTGCAGGTCAGTCGACGAAAAACGGATATTGTAGGGTTCGGCGACGTGCTATAGACTAGAAAATTTGTTTATTGAAAAATTGACATCTAGTACTGTCGTTTTGTAGTTGACCATTTTGATGTACGGTCATTTCCTGGAGTACTGTAGCTCTTTGAAGTCGCTATTGTTGACTTCAACTTCAAAAACCTACAGTAGCCTTAGGAGTCGTTTTTCAGAAAAATGATCAATTACAAACTTGAAGCACTTAAAATGAACATTATTTTTGTCGTTGACGCTTTTTCTGCACAACAACTCCTAACGCTACTGTAGCGCTTTGAAGTTCCCAGTGCTCGACTATGTACAAAAAGCAAGCAAGTGTTAAAAGGTCAACCATTTGACACGTATTTCAGATGGAAATGGTGAAGAACATCTGGAAGATCTGGAGCCGTCTCGAAAACCTGGCCACTACCGTAATCGGACGTCGTCAGCAGATTTGCAACAAAGAAATGATAATGGTGAATTTGGAGGACGAGCAACTGTTGTGCAATATCAAAAAAGTGGAAATCGATTTGTCCTGGTGCTCAAAGTATTCGGTGGAGCAGTTGAAATTGTGAGCATACATGCAACTTTTTTTTTAAATCAAAAAGCACGCTTCAGTTTTGTCGACAACGACAACGAAGAGCGTCTCGACGAGTTGATCCAACTGATGACCGACCTGAATCCGTCGGAAATCGAACTCTCGTTCATGCTCTCTCAATTGTGCTTCCATTACGTCGGCAAAAGATATCAGGGCCAAATACTGGAGGTGGCCGATCGATTCCAAGACCTAATTGCCAATGATTTACACGAATATTATGTGAACGAGTTGAGAATGACACAATATTCGGGTCGGCTGGCACACATTATGAAGATCAACAATCGTATTCAGGTAGCGTGGGCCTACGAAAAAGTTTAAGAATCAATCGTTTGTACGTGTTCACTTACAGCAAGACATTTATCGAGGACGTGCCAGGGCGGATCTGGCCAGGGTGTTCGACGTTTTTTGCGTCGAATTCTCGCATCCGGAAATGTTTGTCGACATTTGATCATCATCATACCGTTTTATGTTTCAACTTATAAACCATGTCATAAAGTGTGCCGAAACGTTTGTTGTTTTTTTCGATGAAAACGTATGATGCAAGGGTAATAGCACCTGATTGGCACAGTCTCTGTACGCGTTTAAAGGACCAGGGAACCCAAAAATTTTTTGATTTTTTTGTGACTGTTTGAATTGTCTCTTATTGCCTCATACACTGCTGAAATGCTGCTTCTCAAAAATGCCAATGAACGAAACGGCATGCAGTTGAAGGTGTGGCCGTGGCCTAGCGCCAATGGCCTAGAAATATGCGCTTCTCGGCCATTTTATTTTTTCCGCTTTTTTCCGGTTTTTTCGCGATAAAATCGCCCTTGTTCCACGGAAACCACTCATCTGGCACTTCGTATCGACTGAATGAAATTTTTTAGCAGTGAAAAAATAAGTAAGTGCCGAACAAATGTCAATCAACTGAAAAATGGGAGAAACCGTGAATTTTCGGAAAAAAACCGGTAAAAAAGCGGAAAAAATAAAATGGCCGAGAAACGCATATATTTTTATATATTTTTCGGCTATTGGCGCTAGGCCACGGCCACAACTTCAACTGCATGCCGTTTCGTTCATTGGCATTTTTGAGAGGCAGCATTTCACCAGTGTATGAGGAAATAAGAGACAATTCAAACAGTCACAAAAAAAATTCACAAAAAAATCAAAAACGTTTTGGGTTCCCTGGTCCTTTAAAGCCCGTTTTCACATTTTGTACTTCAAGCACTCTATTTTCGGGTATGAACCCTAACAAAGTGTCCACTTTGATTACGCATAAATTATCACAAACACTGCTACTCGTCGACTTTCCGCATGAATCAACGTTTCAAGTGAGCGGTTGTGAAGACGTCAACACAGCGCCAAAGTGCTCAATTTCAGGGCGTTGTCGTCAAAAACCGTGTATCGACTGGTCTGTTTCACATACTGAAACGATGGAAAGATTCCGATCATGAGAAGGGCTTCGTTTGGGAAAAGGGTGAACCCGCTTATAACAAAGGGTTTGAAAGTGAGTGAGGCGAAGGTTGAAAATGAACAAGAAAGTGAAAAAGAGTGTGTCCACAGGTCTTGCACGTTTTCTACAATTGGAGAATGTTCAAGTTTTGCCCAAGCTCTGCCAAGAACTGGCCCATCTTTTTGCGAGAGAAGAACGGCTCCGAGGTTGGAAATCGCAGTGAAATTTAAAAAAAGATGCACAAAATTCATTTTCAGACGAACACAAAAAGGAGAAAAAGTCTTGGAGACAGAATGAAATTGGACAAGAATTGAGCGAGATGAAAAAGTGCATGTTTGCGTTGATGGAAAACGGTATTACTCCTCGCGAGCTCACGACGACCAAAAACGTAGAAAGGGGCGTGGGGCCTAGCGTGCACGGTGTATCACCATTTTGGCGCGAAATTCGAAATTTAACCCCATTTTTCATGTTTTTCGTAAAAAATTACCCAAATTTTGTACGATTTCGGCGATGTAATTGCATAACTTTGTTAAACTAATCATCGCGCGCACTTTTTGAGCTTAAAACGAGCAGGTTTCATTCAGAGAATGGCTCAATTGAATCGATTTTCAAGTTTTGCGCTGAAAATGCGCGAATTTCAGTCATTCGCCGATACTTTGTATTAACGTGCTTAATCACTTCCGACACTCACTTCGTCTCAAAACTATCCAGATCGGCCGGTATGAAAATTCCGAAATTGCGGCGGCGATTGACCGCGGAGGGCGTATTGCGAAATAAGCCAAAAACGTCTCAAACGCGGCGTTTTCACGAAAATTTCAATATTTTCTCTCTTTAATGTCTCTTCTTTCGTCGATATCAAACACAAAAATGGCGGAAAAGTGCTGGAATTGCGGCAATTTTCAGAAAACGCGTCTCAGATTAGGCCACGCCCCTTTCTACACTTTTGGCGCCTCGTTCAATTCATTCAATTCAAACGCACTTTCAGATGTCGTCGTGAAGCTGCAAGACCGAATTTATGAATGTTTGCAAGCGGTTGCGAAACCATCATCTCCTAATTGGAAATACGGAGGAACTTCATTGAACGGGGAGGAGAACGAAGAGTTGCTGGGAGTATACTGGATTGGACACCACTTTTGCGTGAAGCAACTTTTTTCGCATGAAACCTACGATTGGGACGGACGTGCGGTGAAGAATCTGATCACCGCTGTTATCATACCACGAAGCGAGTTCGAAACGCGAGTGAATCAGCTACGTATCTCTGAAGTTTACCCTGATGAGACACCGATTCATAACGATGAGTCACTGACAATCTCTCCGTTGCATTGCGTTTTAGCAAAGGACGGTGACAAAGTTGTTCACACGATAAGTTGCAAAAGTCCGCAGAGGTACATGTTCGTGATGCAATCTTCCGCGAGTTCCAAATTCGGAATTCGGCCTTCTGCTGATTTCGTGCACGGAAACACTCAAAGAAAAATAACAATAACTCGAAGATCGGGATCCGATTCGCCGTATTACATTTGTCTTCAGTTTGCCAAAGCCCCAAGTGATGCCAATTATGCATTTGATGCATTTCGAACAGTTTTTCCCAGTGGCCGCATCTTTATCACTGTTTTTAGCAGCTGGGAACAGTTTAGAAACTATATGTAGAAAATTCGTTGACTTTTTGTGTTATTTCAAGAATTTTTGATACATTTTTTGTCACACCTGCTCTATTTTTTACAATAAAATATTCGTTCCGTCCTTCCAATTGTCATGAAGCATAATTCTGCTGAACGCGTCAAAAGAAGAGCCCGCGCGGACTTTTGACAACTTTTTCGTCGATTTGTCCCACCGCGAAATTTTTTTTTCGTTTTGCCACACGCATCACTGATCACAAGTGTAACTTTGATCTCCCGTGTCACTTTTCCCGCACGAGCACGTGTCTTTCTGCACTTTTCTCGCGCGCATCTCTTTTTTTCTCTAATTTCACCGCGGCGTGCGCGTTTTCGGTCCAACTGGTCGAATTTTTCGTGGCGATCGAGAGAAAAATCTGGCAGTTTTTCTATGCGTTCTCAGATTTTAGACGAATTTCAGCCAATTTCAGTAGAATTTCAGTGCATTAAATTTGAGCCTGCAAATTTACCGTGACGGTGTTTGCACAGTTCGCCCGTGTACTTCTCTCGGACAAAACTTTATTTTTCGTTATTTCCGCTTAAAAATTAAGAAAATCAAGGTTTTCAGCCGAATTTTCCAGTTTTCTTGCGTTTCAAAAATCGAATAGCATTTTGTGAACAGGAAAATCATAGTACCAGTTGCAGAAAATGCCTCTCGTCGGGTTCATCGGTCTTGGCAACATGGGCGGCCATATGGCGCGGAATTTGCTGAAAAACGGCAAGAAACTGATTGTCTACGACGTGAACAAGGCCGTCGTGGAGCAATTCAAGGTATTATTAGGCCTCAAATACCGGATAAGCGGGAATTTTGCAGGCGGAAGGCTGTCAAGTGGCCGCCCATCCGGCCGACATCGCCGCCGCTTCCAAGGAAATTGTGACGGTCCTGCCGAGTTCGCCGCACGTCAAAAGTGTCTATCAGGGCGATTCCGGTATTTTCAAGTAGGCTTGAAAATTGGTTTAATCTAATTTTTCCAACTTGGCTCGAAAAAATGGTCAAATTTCCATTCAAATTTTTCTAGGACGATCCAACCGGGCACTCTGTGTATGGACTCCTCCACAATCGATCAGATCGTCTCATTGGAAGTGGCTGAGGCGGCCGCAAAGCTCAAGGCCGAGTACATTGATGCGCCGATTTCCGGCGGAGTCACTGGTAATTTTGTAAATGATAAACAATTACCGTTTGCCCTCAATTTTGCTGCATTTTGCGGAAAATTTTGAAAGAAGGTGCTGAAAATTCGCCGAAAAATCCAATTTCAGGTGCCCAAAACGCAACGCTCACTTTTATGGTCGGCGCGGGCAACGACAAAACGTTCGCGCGCGCCCAGGAAACGCTCAGTCTGATGGGCAAGAATATTGTGAATTTGGGCGCGGTCGGCAACGGAACCGCCGCGAAAATCTGCAATAACATGCTGTTGGGCATCCAAATGGTCGCCGTCGCCGAGACTATGAACCTCGGAATCTCGTACGTTTTCAGCGTTTTTCAAAAAACCCCGTGTTGTCTTGCAGGATGGGTCTCGACGCGAAGGCGCTGGCCGGCATCATCAACACATCGTCGGGACGGTGCTGGTCGTCGGACACGTACAATCCGGTGCCGGGAGTGATCGAGGGCATCCCGTGCGCGAAGGGCTACGCGGGCGGATTCGGCACCCAACTAATGGCCAAGGACCTGTCGCTGGCGCAGAACGCGTCGACGAACACGCAGGCGCCCACTCCGATGGGCTCGCTCGCCCACCAGATCTATCGTATTCTCGCCCGCGATCCCGTCTATCAGGCCAAGGATTTTGGCGTCGTTTATCAATTCCTCAAGAAACAGAACGTGTAGAGCCACTCTTTTTTTTTCAGAATGTGTTTTAGATATATTTTTTTAAATGGATGAACAGTTTTATCGCATTTACTTTTGGGATTCAAGTGTGAAACAGGTTTTCAGGCTGCCCCAAGTGCCTCCATTACTTCTATGAGCTTCATCATTCTCATTCTCATCCTGCTCATTACCCGTGTATCCCATACGTATCATCATCGTCGAAACATGTGTGTCTGCGAGTGTGCTTCAGAGACTTCTCGCCACAAATTGTGTGCGTGTGGAAAGTGTAATATTCGTTTCTCTCTCTCCCTCCCTCTCTCTCTCTTTTTTCTCTTCCATTTTCCAAGAGATAGAGAAGGAGCCCGCAACTTTTGTGCTTTCGGCGCGAGCAAAGTTTTTCTATATATTTTTTCTGTGCCGCCCGACGACCAATTGACTAAAAGAGTCGTCGTGGGAAAATAAATGGATGCGAATGCAATTTTGACCGCTTGTTTACTCGTTTTTCTCTCGATTTTCTCGGAATTTTGCACCAACAAAAACGTGATTTACCACATTTCTCTTGTTTTTTAGAGCATTTTTTGCAGTTGTCCACCGAAAAAATGAAAGAATTGAACCGAATACGACGGTCGAGTTTCGGCGGTTCCGCGAGCAGTTTGGCCCGTCGCAGCTCCATTTCTCAAAAGGATATTATCGCGTTGCAGGAGACGTTACAGGTTACTTTTGAAATTTCTGTATAATTTCGAGCTTACGCAACTGAATAAAGCGCGACGTTTTGGAGCGAAATTCAAATTTTTAAAGAGCGAAATTTGCGCTGTAATTGTAAGCTCTGGAGACTGTGCATTGTCGAAAACTATTGTAAATGTTGCAGAAACAACAAAAAGTGTCGGCACAAGTGGTGCTTGTCCTTTTCCTGGTCGTCCCACCGGCCACCTTCCTCATTTTCTACTCGATTTCGATGCATTCCGGCCTATTCGTGCCCGTAAGTGATACGATATCGCCAAGTGCGCCAGCATGTTCGTTGTTGCTGACGCGTTTCTTGCAGACAATCACCGCCCTCTTCTTCCGGTTTCCGTTCGTTTTGCAGTGCGTTCCGCCCGTCTGGGACACTGCCGCGTGGAAGTTTTCGATTGTGCACTGTGCGATTCAACTCATCTTCTATTGGGTTCTACCACACGATCAGGCACTTTTTATGAGCTCCGCAGGTTAGAATATGGATAAAGCATAGATAAACGTTTCATTTTTTAGGCGATCAAATGCGAGAAATAAATAGTTTTTTCTCGTGCGTCCTCACGTGTCTTTTGTACGTTTTGGGCGCGAGTGCGGGCATTTATCGCGGCGATTTCGTCTACATTCACTTCAATTCCATCGTTTTGATTTTTTCGATTTTCGCCGTTCTCGTCACCGCCTATCTGGTGTTGTCCTATCATTTTGGCACCGGAAATAATGGTAAGCACTTTCCCCAACTTTGACACCCTGTAATTCGGTAAATATTGAGAATTTTTCAAAAGTTAAAAAACGATTGGATACATAATTCCAAGCTCTACAACTTTGTAATTTATCATTTTTCATAATATCGACTACCCGCTCCGCTATTATCGTTTTCCTTAAGTGCGCCACGTTCAATGAGTGTGCTCTTTGGGAAAACGATAATAGCGGAGCCAGCAGGCAATATTACGAAAAACAATGTGTTACAAAGTTGTAGAGCTTGAAATTTTCTATCCAAATATGTTTTTAACCTTCAAAACATCTTCAAAATTGAGCGAATTACGGGGTTTCAAACAATGCTTTGTTTTCAGTGACCACAATAAGCGAGCTGTGGTTCGGAATCGAAGCGCATCCGAAAGTGTTGGATATCGATTTGAAAAGTTTCATTCGAACACGTTTCACTTTTGTCATCTGGCCACTTTACATCATTTCCGCGCTTTATTTTCATAAAATCACCTACGGACACGTTTCCAGTCAGTTTTTTTTCTGAAGTTCCATGAAAAGGGGCGAAGTTAGGCCCAAAAAACCGTGTTTTCCCGTCTTTTGATCCAAAATCGCTTGCAGACAGTTTATTCTGCGCCTCCGTTGTCCAACTCCTCTACATTTCGCAATTCCACTGGAACGAGGATCTCTACTTAAACTCGCTCGATTCGAAACGATGCGACTGTGGTTTCTACCGTCTCTGGGCGGATTTCGTGCTGGGACCCGTCATTTACACGTCCCCGATCACGGTCCTCGCCGCTTCCAACCGATCGGTCGGCCTCATTTCCAACTGCATTTTCACACTGGTCGCCGTGATTTCCATCATTTTCACTGCGAAATGCGATCGGCAAAAATATGAGTTCCGGAAATCGAAAGGCGATCTGAAAATGGGCGGAGTCGACGCCTTCTTCATCAGCGCAAAATATCGCACGGACTCGGGCGACTCGAATGTCAATTTACTTCTTGGTGAGACCAAAATTTTCTATAGTTTCTGAAATCATTCAATTTTTAGGCAGTGGACACTGGGGAGCGTGCCGACACCCCAACTACACTTCGGAAGCGCTCACATTTTTCACATTTAGCGCTTTTCAGGGTTTCCCCTCGATTGCCGCACACTTTCCCGCGTTCTTTGTCATTTGTTTCCTAACTGCTAGAGCTTTTACCGATGAGAATCGATGTTTGATCAAGTACGGGCAGTATTGGGCTCAGTATTGTTCTAAAGTGAAATACCGGTTTGTACCAGGCGTGGTTTAGTTTTTTCGGCAGCGAAATAAATTCGTTGAAATCTGAACGTTTCCCATCCCTTCTCTGCTCAATCATCTGTGCTTTGGATAGATTTCCAGAGAAAACTAGTCGGAATTAATAACAAAAATGTATTTTGTTGTCCAACAATTAACAATACATTTAGACAGTTTCCTCCTTGGTGAACTTGACTGGCTTTCCTCCACGAATTCTTCCGGTACGACGGGCGGCGATGAGACCGACCTTCTTTCCGGCACTGGCGTCTCTTCTGACGGTAGACGGGTGTCCAATGTGCTGATGGTTACCTCCTCCGTGGGGATGCTCAACTGGGTTCATGGCAACTCCTCTCACGCGTGGCCAGCTGTTTCTCTTGGCCTTGTACTTGTGGTAAGATCTTCCAGCCTTGAGAAGCGGCTTGTCGGTACGTCCTCCTCCGGCGACGAGTCCGATCATGGCTCTGTTGGCGGACTGGATGACCTTCTTGGCTCCGGATGGGAGACGAATACGGGTCTTCTTGGTGTCCGGGTTGTGGGCGATGACGGTGGCGTAGTTTCCTGAAAACAAAATGAATGAATCTAAAAATTCTTTCGAGATTCAACTAACCGGAAGCACGAGCGATAACTCCGCGGTCTCCAGACTTGTTTTCGACGTTGCAGATCGTGGTTCCTTCCGGAAGGGTTCCGACTGGAACGATGTTTCCGATCTGGACTTGGGCTGAAAGAAATATAATTTGTGAGAGCAGTTTTATTTTTTCGGGTGGAAACAAGTGATGAACAATTGTGCATGCGCGCAATGACCGATTCTGACACAAAATCACACCGGGGGTAAGAGCCACGAGTTCATATTGTCCTCCTGGGTGAGCGTAGAATTAAACTAATTCAGGCAAATTAAAAGAGGACAATGGTCATTTTTCCAAAACAAAAAATCCTCAGAACTCACCCTTCACTCCACAGTGGATGAACTGTCCGGTGTGCATGCCCTCGGCAGCGACGACAGTCGTCTTGACGGTCTTGTACTTGTACGGATCGCGGAAGGCAATGATGGCGAGCGGAGCTCCTCTTCCTGGGTCGTGGATGATGTCCTTCACGAGTCCCTTGATGTAACCGTGACGCTCGGCATAGTCGAGCGGGCGGAGCTTGGAGGCTCCCTTGCGGTGCTTGTTGTGGCTCTTGAAGATACCACCAGCTCCCTTACGCTGGATACGGATACGGCGTCCCATTTTACCCTGCAAATAAATCAGAATTAGGCGCATTTTCGTAAGAAAAGAAGAGAATAGATAAGTTTACGCAAAACTTCAAGTCAGTGGAACGTGAATCAAGAAAGAAAGCAAAACAATTTCAAGAAAAAATCCCACCTAATCTCAAAATCGTATCTTTTCCGTTAAAAACACAATTTTCACGCGGAAAATTCACGATTTTTTTGCGAACAGATGAGCAATTCAACTTTTCCTAACCCGAAAAGTGCTAAAATTTTCAAAAATTGACTGAAAAACGTCGAAAAAAATTTAGGCCGAGCGAAAATTAGAAGAAAATTTTTGCGGCTGCCTTCGACGAGGCAACGGGTCTCGCCGCGAAATCGGCCGAAAATTGCATGCGCCTTTAAACTCTCGCCGTAAATCGACACACGCTCTCGTCGCTCTTCGAAATTTTTGCACGGAGAATCGGAAAAAAATGGACGGAAAACGCTGGAATTTTCAGTCTCCAAAAAAATTATTGAAAATCGATAAAAATACACTAAGACCAAAAGAAAATTGTAAAAATCGAGAAAATTGCCATAAAACCCCGCTCAGAATTGCCAATTTTTGGTCCCCGTCGAAAATCGATACGAAGTCGCCGTCTCCGCGCCGAGCACAGCTTCTCTGCTCGGATGCTCTGCCGACTAACATCTGTGTGCTGCGAGCACTAATTCGCTCCAGAATCCGCCACTCTCGCCGCCGATTTTTCGCCGAAAATGTCTTCGGACCAATTTTCGGTGCCGGCCGCCGACGTGATGATGTCCGTCGTGCTTCCGACGATTATTTTCTGCATCGGATTAGTCGCCGCCATGCTGGTAATGCCCGTTTCAGATAATTTTTCCACAAAAATTTTGCAGCTCGGAATAAACAAATGCAAAAAATGGGAACTGGATAAAGTGGTCGAATTGCGACGGTCGCGACGAGTTTTGCAGCGCGTCACCAATCGATTAAGGGAGAAAAACTTCAAAACCATTCAAAGTTGGCTGAAAGTCTGAAATTTCTGCCGAAAATTCAAAAATTTAGGGGCTCGGACTATGAGAAAACGGGCGGCGAGCGCAAAAGCGAGGACCGAATTTTCGCCGCCAGCTTATGTGTCCAAGAATAATTCGACCGAGTTTCCGTGAGTTTTTATCGGACTTTTTCAGAGAAAAAGAAAAAAAAAGTCAATTTTTACAGTTGCGGAACGTCTCCGCCACCGTCTTATGAGGACGATCTTCTCGAAGAGTATTATAAAGAGTGCCATCCCAGCAGGTTCGTTTTCAATAGACCGACAATTGTTCGTCTCAAAATGACTCAAAAAAAATGACTTGGAAAATTTCAAAAAATCGCAAAAGAACTGCAAACCCTGTAAAACGTTTTTTGTAAAATTTGCAGGAGATCAGCGCCAGTGCCGGATTCTCCGCGCCGCTACGTACGAAACCGTGCGAAACCGCCGGTGACGCAGCGGAGAGTGAGCCGTTCAAGTGTGCCCACCTACGCACCCCGCGGATCCATCCAAATCGTCTGAATATGTCTGAAAATCACTCGTCCCCATCTCTCTTTCCGTTTTCCACCCGCTTTAGTCTTCACTCATTCCCTGCCCATTATGCACTTTCCTCCCACTAAAACCTCAACATTTTAATAAATTTTTACATAAAAATGATACATAAAAAATAGAGAATCTATTAAAAATGAGTGGGTCTTGAAGCGAAAAGCGAAAAGCAAAAAAAAAATTATGAAAGAGTGGGGGTTTGGTGAACTGAATCGACTCGAACTGTCGACGAAACAAGGTTGGTGTTGCGAGCATCGATGAAATCCAAATCGGGGCAATCGATCGATAGTGGCGTTCTGGAAATTTGAATCTATGAAACAGACATTTCAAGAAGAGCACATTAAAGTTATCGTGAAAAGCATTTTCAGCACAAAATTCGTAAATCGATTCAGCTTTCTCATTTCTCAATGAAATCTTCTCGTTTTGAGCTGAAAATGTGCACAACAATTAGTTTCACAAGTTTTATGGCGAATCGCCGGAATTGGTTAATTTTTGACGGATTTATATTTGAAGCCCAAAAATGCTAGGCCACGCCTCCTACTAAACTTTTAGTGGCCGTTTAAACGTACTTGTCTCTGTGCTGAGTGACCATGACTTGTGGAATTGTACTGGGCCTCCGAATGCCCGATTCCTTCCGTTTACAGCACCCGCAACTGATTTGACAGTACAGAATTAGAAGGGCGAAAAGGCCGAGGCTGACTATGATGGCCGAGAAAATGATGAGTACGAAGTTGAACTCGTCGACGTCCAGGCCGAGCTCCGGATTGAATATTGACATTTTACCTGGAAATTTTCGGTAAAGTTCGGGGGAAAAGTACACAAAATGAATAAGATGGGAAAGAAAGTTCGGCAATTGCAAATTAGGTTAGCTTAGTTCAATTTAGCAAGAAAACGAAATGAGTTCACTTTTTCAAAGAGCTTGAGCACAATTAGCCTTTTTTCCAAAAAAAAATTTTAAAATTCGCGCCCACGCATCTTCTCTCCCATTAATCGGCTTAACCCATCAATTTGTCGGGGGGTATTAAAAAAAGAAAAGTGAAAAGGGGGTGTCTCGGAGTGAATAAAACGTGAACAAAAGCAAAAAAAGAGCAAACATTCTCTCGGGGCGAAAAGGCGGCTCGGGGGAGGCTCCGCAGTAAAGGTATCATCGGTGAAAACGCGGAAAATCGAGAGACGGCGACGGGAAAAGAGCCGATTTTTGTGGTGGGGACAGCGAGGAGGGCGACAGTTGGTTCGGCGGGGCTCCGTGAGCAACAGAAAGACGAAAAGACGCTTCGGAAAGAGAGAGAGATTCGCACCTGCCGACGACGGCGACGATGAAAATGATGAGGATGATCCATTTTTAATCACTTTTTAGCACGAAAAGTTATTGGCTTTTACACTTTTTGCACGCGAAATGATGCGAATGCGCTCCGTTGAGAGAAGCTGCTGATGGCCAATGATTTGCAGAAGAATCGAAGTTAGGCCATGGAAGAGTTGAAGGCTTTTTTTGCAGGTTTTCTAGCGATTTGGCGCAATTTTTCTGCAATTTCAGACAGATTTGAAGTTTTGACCTGAAAAATGTGAACAAGCTCACGACGACGAAAAGTTGGAGAAGGGGGCGTTTTTTCATTTCGTGCTTATTTCGTTTGTAGAAATGTGAAAGCCACACCCCCCTTTACAACTTCTGGTTGCCGTGAAACTCTATTTTTAACTTATTTTTCAGTTTTCCAGCATAAAACCTTTTCAAAATCAGTGGATTGCCATGTTTCCCCTTCTTTATTTGAATTTTGCTCCAAAATCGAGCATGGCCGCGCGCCGATGGCCTAGAAATGCGCAAAGTGTAATAGAGCGCACTTGCATCATTTCCGCCAAAATCGCTTCCATTACCCATCTGTTTTGCACTTTTTCCATTGTTTTCCATCAAAAGTTTTGTGATTTCTTTACCCAAAAAATTCGTTAAAATCAATAATTTGTGAATCGATAATTTTCGCGGCTTTGCAGGTAATTTGCAATGTCCAGACACGAGAATTTGCTCACCAAAGTTGGTTTCTCGGCGATTTTCTCCCTGAAAATTGTTATTTTTGCAGGAAAACTGGCAGAGTTTCGGCTTGTGCCCGCCGGGACCGTCCAATCAGAGCGGATTATCGATTCCGTCGGCGGTTTTTAGCGCCAATTCGCAATGCCGGCCTCAGACCGCCCGAACTTCGAAGCAAACGTGGACTTGCAGGTACGGAAGTTTCAGAAAAATGTGTAAGATTGTCAGTTTCAGCCTGTGCAAGAAGGATTTGTCGTCGAAAAGATCGTACACTGAGCACATGAACATTCACAATAAAACGAGGCCGTTTCGCTGCGAACATTGCACTTACGCGGCAGGTTAGTGACGAAAATCGATGGAAATTATGGCAAATCATAGAAAAACGACGCCATTCATTTTCCTGTGAAAATTTATGAAAATCACCAAAAATCCACTCGGAATGCGAGTTTTCCAATAGTTTGCACCGTTTATTTTATAACTTTCAAAACGCTTGTATTCCTGTCAAAACATAATTCTACCACTGCTATTGAGCTCTACTCTGCAAAATTCAACGTGAAAATAATTTTCAGCCAGTCAAATGACGCTCCACCGCCACAAATTGCGCAACCACACGCCCAAAACGGAATGGGGATATCGGTGTCCGTACTGCGAGGACGCCTTCATGGAACCCGCCGGATTTCAGCAACATGTTCAGTGAGTCGGGCCGGAAATTTCAATTTTATTGAATTTTTAAAGAACAATCGCGAACGCTCCATATTTTCCCGTTCAGAATCCGTCATCCGGGCAAATCGGCGACCTACGGATGCCCGTTTCGAATTTGCAAATTCACATCGAAATCGCAGAGACACTTCCGAGAACACCTGCTGAAACACGATCGGTAAGTACTGAAAATGGAGCGCAATACATTTATTTAAAAATGTTGCCTTTAGAAACGACAAAATCGAGGGAGGTGTGGATCCGTGTGCACTTTCGAATCAGCAGCTCGTCAGATACATGATAAACGACGAAATTGGTAGGCAAATCGGAAGAATCTCCAAAATGTGTCCACTTTCCAGGACACGGATTCGAGCGTAGCATGGTCCCGTCGACGTCGGCGGTCCGTCCGAAAGTGCTCATCCGAGCCCGTCGGCCGATCGCTCCGAAATTGTACGTGACGCCCGAAAATGCACACTCTTCCGCCGTGCCAACTCCCGTTTCTTCTTCGGCTTCCAACGGAAGAACCGGAGAGGGCAAAATTGTGTGGCATGTCGAAAAAGTCGCTGTCCGGAAGGTGCCGAGGTAAGAAGTCCAAGTTTGTCCTAATCGTTTCTAAACATCTATCATGCAGTCCCCCTCTGCCGCCGCCGACGGTCGTCCGCTACTACATTCCTTCGGCGTCGATGCCCGGGCAGTCTGTGTCGGCACCGCGTGTTCCGTACCGTCCGCATCCGCACCTCCACCACCAAATGTGCCGCGCGGAGCCGCTTCCGCAAACGTACGATCAGATTCCGCGCGAGTTCGAAATCGAGGCGGACGAGTCCGATTTTGAAGCGGAAATGGCCGAGATGGAGGAGGATTCGTTCGACGAGGGACCGCCCGTACTCGACAGACAGGAAGACCCATCCGAATCACCCTGGAGCAAGTCGGATAATGAGGTACAACAACAAAACAAATGCAATCTCTTAAAAAATTAGTTTAGATCAGCGGCAACGACGTCGGAATATTCCCGAACGGATTCATCGACGATGAACTTGATTGAACCCTTTTTTCTCTTTTTTCTAATCAATTTTTGTTAACTGTGCATTTTTCCATTCAAACAACGGGAAAACCCTTCAAAATGTGATTTCCAACTATTATAAAACAACGCTACTTATTTCCTATTGCATTTTTAATAAGACACTTTTTTTTGTTGATCCTTCGGTGTTTTCGAGTTTGACAGGTTCTCATCCTGTTTTAGCTATTTTTGTGTAAAACTGAACGTTGTCAAATTATGTTGTAGAATAACGAAGCGGATGGACGAGGGGCCGTCTTCGTCGTCGAATGGCTCCGCGAGCAAATGCATCGTGCCCGAAGAGGAAGCGGAACGCGTGGGCGGGCCCCAATTGCGTTTGAATGTCGATCCTGATTTTGTGGACGAACTGGACCAAGAAGACGGTCCAGCTGAAGGTAAAAGTTGCTGAAATTACTGCTCTAAAGTGTTCTCAAACGTTTTTTCACACCAACAACAGTTGTCTCGCAAAAAGGCTCGCAACACATTCTTTGGAATTTAGGCATCATTCACGTCTTCAGTTGCTTCCGGTTGTTATCAGATTTTAGTAGTGGCAAGGTAAAGCCTGATCCATTTTCAATCGTATCGATTCTGTTGGTAAATGCGTTCATTGCGCAGTGAAAGGGTTTGGAATTGTGATTTGACAATTGCGGGTTCGGATCCCACTGCGCGAAACTGTTTTGTTGTTGCAAGAACCGGTCTCGTCTGTCTACAGTGCATCCGATTGAATCTGGATGTCAGCATGCCAACCGGGCAGGTTGATCACTACTAAAACCAGTTAAGGAAACCGCTGTGGGAACCCTCTCGTTGCGAGCCGAGTAGTTGTTAACTTTTTTCAAAATTTTTCTTTTTTCAGTAGGCGCCGACGCGGTTTTCGTGGAAAATGCGGAGCAAATTGGCGGCGTGGCTCCAGAACATCAAGAAAATGCTGCGGAAGGAGGGGGCGGAGTCAAAATGTCAATAGGAAATGAGGAAGACGAAGAGGAGACGGAGGAGGATAGAAAACGGAGATTCGCGGAAGGAATACGGAGAATCGGACAAAATGTGAGTAAGAAATTTAGTTGGCTTCAGCAGTGTGCTGAAAATGCTCGGATTTACGAACCGAACAGTTTGCGATCAAGAAAGCTGAAAATTTCGAAAATTAAAACAACAAAAAAAAATTATTTTTTTGCAGAAACAACAAGAAAGTTTCGACTTGGACGAGGCGAAGACGGTCAACTTGCGCCAATTCATAAACGGTCAAATGTTCACGGAGGACAATGTAAGCCGCTTTTCGGCCCCCGGAACTAAGCTCCGTCCTCTTTTTGAAAAACTTGCAGCAAATCGACTTCGATCCGGTGATAAAACGGAAAGACGTGAAAGTGGTCGAAGGATACATTTGGGGCGCACAAATCGGAATGGGATCCTACGGAAAAGTGAAAGAGTGCATCGACGCGAGCACGCTCACGAGAAGAGCCGTCAAAATTATGAAGGTGCGGGCATTTTTGGTTTGGATTTTGTGTCGTGCACTAAAAAAGTAACATGTTTTTGAAATGAAGATCAAAGAGGGGGATTCATGTTCTCAAAGTCCCAAATTCTGAAAAAAATACTTGCTTACTTACTTGGATACTTACTGCAGACAAGGTCAGTCCAGTTTGGACGATCTCGCGCGTAGCAGGACCTCGTGATTTTCGTGAACTTTTCGAACTTTTTCCAAATTTGGCGGCTGAGGGACTAGAAAACTTCACCCGCCGTGCACTACTAGTAGCCTCCTTAACTTTTTTGCAAAATTTGGGACTTTGGGAACATGATTCCCCCACTTTGAACTTCTCTCTAAAAATATGTTACTTTTTAGTGTTTTCACGGAAATTGCATCAAATTTTCCAGTACGAAAAGTTGCGGCGAATTACGCACGGATGGGACAATATTCGAACGGAAATGGCGATTCTCCGACGGCTAAGCCATAAAAATGTGATCAAAATGATCGAGGTGAGCGGTGAGAAAAGCGAGGGTGTTGGAAATAGATTGAAATTGTGGACAAGCGGACATTTCTCATCATTTTATTGCATTTTTTCACACATCGCTGAGGAAATGAAACAGAAATTCAAGGAGAAAACTGCAGGTGTTCAACATTCCGTCGCGCGGAAAAGTGTACATGATCTTCGAGTACTGCATCGGATCCGTGCAGCAATTGCTCGATTTGGAGCCGGAAAAGCGGTTTCCGGTGGGCGAAGCGCACGCGATCTTCGTCGAACTCTGCCGCGGACTACAGTATCTGCACTCGAAGCGCATCGCGCACAAGGACATCAAACCCGGCAACCTGCTCGTTTCCATCGAGTTCACCATCAAAATTTGCGATTTCGGCGTCGCCGAACAAATTGACACTTATCAGGTTTGGTTTTGAAAAAAATCTGACTTATTTTGAAGTTTTTCATACTTGAAAACGGGCCGATTTCGGGCCGGCTGATAACTCGCTTTAAAATCAAGGTTGTGAGTAGATCTTGATAAGTTCTTCCCGAAATCAGCCCGTTTGCAAGTATGATGCTCATTGATTTTTCAATTTGTTTGGAGCAAATCATGTTTACTCTGGATTGAGACGGTCAAAAATGACCGTAATATTGAAGAAGCTGACAACCGGAAACATTTTTCCAACAAAAAAGGATGTTTTCAGAGCGACGGAAAATGTACAAAAGTGAACGGAACACCGAAATTCCAGCCGCCAGAGTGTGTCTACGGAAATCATGATTCGTTCGAGTACGGCCTTTTTTTTAGAACATTGTTTCATGTTTACACTGCAAAATAACGAGAAAAACATTTGAAACTTTACTTGCAGTGGCTACAAAGCGGACACGTGGGCGGCGGGCATCACACTCTACAATCTGGTGTCGGGCGAGTATCCGTACGACGGAACGGTCCTTTTGAAATTGTACGAAGCGATCGGAACGGTCCCCGTCGAACTGCCCAAAAATGTGAAATTGTCCAGTGACCTTAGAGAGTTAGTTAGTCCATCTTAGTATTCTTAAAATTAAAAATATTGCAGTCTTCTCAAAAAACTGCTCGAAAAAGAGTATCCGAAACGACTGACTGTCGAGGAAACGATGACGCATCCGTGGTTTTTGTCCGCTTTTCCGGAGGTTTGTGGAAAAAATACCTTGGACTTTTGACCCACTTGCACTAATTCGAAAGGACCCAAACTTTGCAGACTTCTTGGATCCAAGTTTCAGACCGATCCGATCATCCAGTCCCGAGATACGTAGACTAGAGGCGGAAAGGCAAAGTTTACGCATATCTCGGAACCAGATCGGTCTGAAACTTATGCCCAAGATATTTCAATCCAAAACCAAGAAGCCTGCAAAGTTTGGGTCCGATCATTTGCCCAGTTCCAGCAAAAATTTGTTGAAATCCCGTGTTGCAGGACCAAGGAATGGGCCGAATAATGGAGAGAATGCGTACCGGAGACCGGCCGCTGACGATGCTGCCGGGCTTTGCGTACTTGTACGACAATGTCGGCGACGAGGTGGAAGTCGACGACGACGGAAACGAGATGTACATTCCGCCGCTGCTCGTGCAAGGAGGTGAGATTGCAGATTTGTTTTTAAGAGTTGGCGGCGCGATAAATCGCCAACCCTCGTTTAGCGTTTAGCGCGTTTTTCATTTTTTCCCTCAGAAACGAACATTTTTGCAGGGCCAGTTGACAAAGAGACGTTTCCGGGCCTGAAATGGATCGGGAAAGAGAAGGAGGAGTGCCCGTTGGCCCAGTCCGCGTCCCGTCCGTCTTCTCGCTCGGCGCCGACCGCTCCGCCGCCCACGCAGCCAGAATTCCCGGCCGCACACATCGATCGGGGTTCGCGGACGAGCTCGCGGAGCCGCAACGGCCTAAACTCGCCGGCCCGAGGCCCGGAAGAAGGCCCCGCGGCACCGTTGGCTCGGCGAGCATCCCCGATCCCGCCGCAAAGACATCGGAATCGACGGAGGACTCTATTTTCTTGTATTTTCCGCACTCGCACTAATAGCTGATTTATATATGAGGTTTTTAGTTATTCTTTAACCCCATTCTCCGTGCTTCTCTTTTGTCTATTGCTCAACTCGAATTCCACTGATCACTAGCTCCTCGTGCTCTGCTCAATTACATATTTTTAATTTTTTTTTTACAAAAAATAGCCTTCACAGGGTATCCCGAGTGTCACTCTCCTATTTATTTCCCCCCTTCTTCTACTGCTATTGTCTATTTTTTTGTTTTTTGTTTGATTGCCCGGAAATTCAAATTTCCCCCTTCCCCCACTCGCCCACCATCATCATGTATAGAAGAAATGGCCCAATTGAATTGACTAGATGTTTTTTTCCGAAAAAAAGTTTAAGCATTTGATTTCTCGATTTTCTTTTGCATGGTTTATACCAGTGTTGAGCGGAATTCCTCTGAAAAGGCAGTTGCTGTTCCCAGTTTTATACAATTGCTTGTCACAAATGGCGCTAAAAACATCTAGATACTGCGAAAAAGTGAAGAAAAATGGTGGGCGGAATGTGTGTATACAGACAAATAAATTAGGTGCAAGAAAGCGATAAAATAAGTTATATTGGCACTTTTCAGCACAATCCCTCGTCCTCTTCTTCGTCGTCGTTTCCTCCGGAATTTCCGACCGGCGCTTTCAGCGTTTTCATCACACGCAAGTACTGGAAAAGGACAATTTTGAATTGAAACATTCATTTTTTGTTCAAACCTCATTATCCATAGAGCGTAAGACTCCGTTTTTAAGGACATTCTGGAAAGATTCGTCGTCTCCGGCTTCATAATATCCTATGAGATTCTCGCAAACACGACCGTCGTCCGAGAATTGGAAATCCGGCGATTGGCTGCAAAAAATGAGCGAATTTTCGTTTTCGCAACTCGTACGATTCGCAACCAGACACTTCGAAACCGGACATTTCGCAATTGCTACTTCTCGCAACCGACCCGTTGCGAAACGTTCGGTTGTAAAGTATCCAAGAGTTGCGAAAACGAGGGGAGTCAGCAAGCGTTCCCGCACCAACCAACCTGATGACCCATCCGTAGTCCTTCGTGGCTGCCACCGAGTCCTCGAGGGCCAGATTGACCAGGACCAGACCGATTCCGAGTTGTCCGATGCGTGGGTACTCCTGAAATTACGAATAAAAATACTGAAAGTGCATGTGTTTTCCAAAAGAAGGTGCGTACCCGAATTTCGACGAATTTCTCGATTTCCTCTCGGATCGAGGCCAGCGCCTCTTTGTACTCGTTCAATTGCAGACTCAACTTCGTGATCTGCTTCAGAAATTGACTGGCCATTTTTGCGCGGTCCGATTGTTGGACAAGTGAGAGACCGCGTTGGAAAATCTGCAAAAACATTGTTTCTGCAAATCCGGGAAAAAAAAGCCTACCGCCAGGGCCTTTTTGGGATCGTCATTCTTGAGCACATCGGCCGCCTTCTCGACGGTCATCGCGGCCGTGTCGAGGGATCCGCTCTCCGCGTACCCGTCGATCGCCTTCTCGAACAGAACGACCGACTCGGAGAACTCTTTGATGTCCCGCAGCAGCATCGCCGCTCCTTCACGAGCTCTGCAATTGGAAATTTTAATACATGTCGAGGTCTAGGCTTTTAGAAACCCACTCGCATTAATCCGATCGGGCGTCTTGGACTTGGTTTGAAGTATTTTGGGTCCAAGTTTCAGACCGATTCAATTATCTGGTCCCGAGATATATCGATTTTAGAGCAAAAAAGCCGAGTTTTTGCGTAAATTAAATCTCGGGAGCAGATGATCGGATCGGTCTGAAATTTCAGACCGAAATACTTCCAACCAAGTACAAGAAGTCTGCAAAGTTTGCTCGCGATCATTATTCACTCACTTGGCCGCGTGGAACAAATTCCGGTTCTGCTCGTAATACTCGGCCGCCTTCTTCAGACTTTCGGCGGCTTTTCGCGGATCTTGTGCATTTCTGAAAATTGACTACTTTACACAATTTGTTTTCAAACATTTCAGAGCACAAATTTCGAGGCGCTATTTTCGCAACTCATACGTTCCGCAACCGCTACGCTTCGCAACTCTAACGGCTTTCGCAACTCTAACGGCGCTATGAGTTGCAAAATCGGTGAGAGCCGAGAATATTATCCGAAAAACTATCGAGAGAAACAATGCCGATTTGCCCTGGTCTGGTCCGCGCACCTATAACACACAGAGGCTCTTTCCATGGCGGTGGCCGCTCCGTCATAGTCCGGCTTCAGTTTCAGCTTGATAATCGACGTCTTCAGACAGTCTTCTGCTCTTTTCTCGCACTCGGCCGCTTCTTTCAGACGAGACGCGTTCGCTGACATTATTCCGGCTGCAATACTTTGGCGGTTTTTTTGGATTTTTGAGAAAGAAAAGACAGAAAGAAGAGATATTGGGTGTTGAAAAGTGAAAACAAACAACAAATCCGGAGCATCTTCTTTAACTTTTGTCATTTTCTCATTTAGCAAAAAAAATGACGTGGAATGGAGGAAAAAAAAAGATAAAATCGATTGGTTTTCAAGTTGGAGCCTCGGAAAAAAGTCTTGGGGCGCAGATTGGATTACAAATCGGATTTGGCTGTGATTTTATGCGAAGAAAAAGTACAATTTTAGTTTTCAGGACATGATGACATGATTCTCAATGCCAGGAAGGCAAATTGCAATGCAGATCAAGTGGATTCTCGAGGATTGATGTGAACTTCAGGATGGCCAGAAAATTGGATCATGGAAGGATTGATGACTGGGAATAGGCCAAAGGGAGATTGTGTCTGAAATGAGAGAGAGAGAAAGAGGGGAAGAAGGGAGCATGCATTTCTATCGCAAAAGTGGAAACATCTGACTGCCAAAAAAAAAAAAAAGAGTTGTATACTTTGTTAGCTTCCAGTGTTCTTGAGAGCGTGATAAGATTCTTTTTCTCTGTATTTTCTTAGCACGCTTTCAAGAACACTTGAAGATCTTCAAGTATTCAATGAAAGAACCTTTTCGAATTCGCATTTTTCTGCAATCGCGCTCTAACTCCCACTGAATTCACGTGATGTGCGGTAGAGCGCGATTGCAGTCAAACGCATCCCTAATAGGAGGATCTTTTATGTGTTGAGAAATTCTTCAGGTCCGAGTTTTTTTGGGCGCAAACAAAACAGATAAAATCTGGTCTTTCCCCAATGAAAAGCAACATAACTTACTCTGCTGTGAAAGAATTATAATGCCCTATAATAGATTCAAGAGAAAACCCCACCATGAACAAAGAAATCGACTTTTTGTTAATAGAATGAGTGGAATCTGGAATAGATATTATGAATCTTCAGAAAAAAGAGCATGCAGCACCAAAACCACCGGAACAACAGAATGAACGGGGGATGTGTGTCTGAAATCGTTTCAGACTGAGAAAATGAGAACTAGATGGACTCAAAAGTACGTTTTTCGGAGGGTTGACCAAATTTTGTGTGCAAATGAATATGAAATGTGATATTCTTAATAGATTTATTGATGCTGCCAATGTGTGAGAGAGAAAGAGAAAGCGAGAGGAAGAGAGAGAAGGAGAGAGAGAGAGAGAGAGAGAGAGAAATAGCCGATTATTAAAGAGTCTATAATATAGACTTTTTGAGAGTGAAGAACAAAAAAGAAAAAGTTTAAAACTATTATCTTACGTCACAAGACAGATGCTTTTTTGGTTGCAATAAATAAATAAATATGAAGAGAGGAATCAGAAAAAGAAGAAGCCAAATGGGATTCTGGAGATTCTGGATGAAGAAGAAGAGGAAGAAGAAGGAGAAGGAGGAAGAGGAGAAGAAGAGGAAGAATGGGACAATTCATCGGCGCCAGTAAGACTGAAAATAATGCGTTTTTTAAAGAGATAATTAGATAGATTAGTCGATTTTTTCGGATAAAAAGGTGGTAAGTTGCTATCTTTTAAAAAAATAAGGCCCCAAAGGAATGGAATGCTGCGCCGAGATATTTGAGATTCTTCGAGGAGAGGACAGAGAGGAGATTCAGGTTAAAATAGGCATGGGAAAGAGGCCGAGCCGGGCTTTCGGGGCCAAGCTTTGCAGGTTTCATGGACTTTGCTCGAAGTATTTTGGGTCTATTTCAGATATATCGATTTAGGGCCGTAAAAGATCGGCCTTTCCAGTCTTAAATCGTTATTTCTCAACTCCGTAAATACTGTAATAGAGGAGCGTCCCAGTACCGTTCATTCATGGCAATATGTCTCTACGCACAGTTGAGATAGAGCGTCTTGAATAGACCGCAATGGAGTGCCTTTCGATTACAGTAATCCAAACATAAGATTCCTACAAAGTTTGGATCCAATCCGAATACTGCTAGTAGTACAAAAGCCCCGACCGGTCAATTGCCCAGCCCCGGATAAGAATGTTAACAAGAAAAAGAGGAACAAGATCAGTAAATTTACGGGAAAAAAGAGAGAAAAGTGGGCCTCGCGGGCTCAGAATCTCCTCCTGACGGCTCTCGCCATAACTCTTCCGTCCTCATCCTCTCCGCCGCGTATCCTTCCGCCGCCTCCATTCCTTCCTCCCCTCCGCACCTGATCGTTGCCGCCCTGCGGGGGTCCACCCGGTCCGCCGGGACCACCTTGCGGTCCTCCTCCGTATCCGTCGCCGAAGCCCGCCGATCCATGGTTGGCCGACATGCCACCTTCCTGGCCCGTACGCATTTGCGCCATCGCCGCCACGCCCAATCCGAGGCCCAGGCCCATGATATTGTATTTGGCGAGCACCTGCAAGCAATTTAGGACTAGTAACTGACTACGCTCACATTTTATAACCAGAATTTCAAAAATTTCGCTCATTCAGGAAGGGAAGAGCAACCGTACGCTAGGCCATTATTTTTTTTCGCGTTTTTCCTTAAACTTGACCGATTTTTCAGTAAAAACTTAAAAACTGTTTTTTTTTATGTTTTCACGTCGATTATCACTGAAAGAATACTGAAAAATCGTCAAAAAGTCAGAATGCTGCTATCAATTAGATGGTCTAGCGTGCAGTTTCTCTTCCATTCCTTTAAAGATACATGTTCGTGTCCGGCCTTTCGGAATCCGCCATTTTTGCTGTTTTCCGATCATTTGTCACTTCCAAACAATTACCTGCATCGCCTGCATCACTTCCGACACACTCTGCTCGTTGAATCCGGAGGTGCGCAGTGTCGACTGCAGGTTGTCCAGGAACGAGAGCAGTTCGTTGTTTCCCAGTCCGCTCATCGGATACTTTGCATTCGGTGCTCCGTTTCCGAAAGAGGGCCCTCCGAACTGCTGCTGTCCGCCGTATCCGCCCGGTCCCGAAGGCCCGAATCCGGCCGATCCGATGTTCATTTGCGAACCGTTGAAGGCTGGCGTCGAGGAGAACGGCGCGTTGTTCGGTGGTCCGCCCGGTCCTCCGACTGGCCCCGATCCGGAAGATCCGTTCGGGCCGGAGCCCTTTCCAAAGTCCTCCTTGTTGATTTCCGAAGAGTGGTGCGGGTCCGAGGCCACCTTTTCGAGAACACGCGCGGCCGCTTGGATCAGGGCCTGGAAAAAGGGAATGTGAGATAATTTTCATGAATTTTCTTTACAAGGGAAGTCTTTGGCTACATCAATTTGGAAATTTCTGAATGTTTTTATAGTTTTCTCAAATTTCTGATTGGATATGCGGCACTTACACCCGATGTCTTGAAATGCTAGTAGTTCTTTTAAAAATCTCAATTTCCCGAAGAAAAAACGCGGCGCTCACCCCGGATTCGTCGTGGGCGACAGTGACGACTCTCTCGAGCGAGGTCTTGGCTTCGGTGGAGCCGGCCTTCGGGTACACTTGGATTTGGCAGCCGAACTGCTCGCGAATGTCCTTGATGTTGGCGCCCGACTTTCCGATGACCATGCCCGCCGACGTGTTCGGCATTACAATCTTGATTTCGGCGCCGCGCGACGTGTTCTTATGGTCGAACGCGTCGGAGCCCGTCTGGTCGGCGCACTTCTCGCGGATCTTGTCCTGGATCGACTCGATCACCGCCATTATGTTGTTGAGACGGCCCTTCACCAGGCAGATGCGCTCAGATGTTCCTGCAAAACAAATGTACACATTTTTACTAGATTCTGGGAGACACTCGACGAGATTTGTCGTTTTTTCTCTAGATTTCCCCAATTCTCCCCGTACCTGGATAAGTCTCGCTGTTCTTGCTCATCTGCACGCGGCAGTTATTGTCGTTCTTGAGATTGCGCATCGCCTCGCCGCCCTTTCCGATGATCGCGCCGACCGCGTTCGACGGAATCAGAATCTTGATCGCCAGATGGTCGCCCGAGCCGTCGTCGTCGTTCTGTCCAAAGTGCGCCTTTTTGTTGGCGGGCCCGTCCGACGCGTCTTGCGTCCGTTTGAGTCCCTGCTGCAAGGCGGGCTTCTCCTCCGAATAGTCGTCGGCCATTTGTTCTGCAAGTGCTGGCCACGCGTTATTATCAGTTCGTATTCCGAGTTTGACACATTTTACGCGAGAGAATCGAAAGGAAAAACTGTTTCTGGTTGAAGGGGGCGTGGAACAAAAGAATTGACACCATTCGATGCAGCGTTGAGAATAAGACCGAGGTTCGATTATTAAAAATTTGAAAAAAAAGATTTATTAGGTCAGAGTGTCTTGAAATGGCTTGAAAGGGGCGGGGTTAGCACTTTTCATGCCAGTTTGAGCAATTGAACCTTGGTCTTATTTGAAACGCTGCATCGAACGGCGTCATTTTCTCGAATACTTTTTTTAGTGCCACGCCCCCCGTAAAAAGCTGGAGAAATAGAGAAAACCAGTTAAGAGCTAGGAAAAGCCGCCATTTTTCACGCTTTATTCGTTTTCCGCTATTGTGCGGCGGAGTGGAAGAGAAATGGGAGAGGAACGGAGCGGATAACAAAAGGGAGAAAAGAAATGAATATTCATAGAGGAAAAAACGGAGACGCAGGAAGAGATAGAAAAGTGTAATATTTGGGATTTTTTGCGGCCAAATACTACTAGCTGGCTGTAGAATTGAAGTACGAGTGGGAAAGCTCAAGGAATAGAACTGAAATTCCAGTTTTTTCGAAAAATAACGAATTTTCAGCTCGTGAATCCTGTTCCTTGTAAATACTCGTCCTAGCCAGAAAAATGCCAATTTTTAGAGAACCAGAAAACGCAAGGCCTAGAAATTTCGGAAAAGGTTGGAAAAAGAGCATGTGCACCTGTTTTTGCAAGCTTTTCAAGAAAAAGTGTAAAAAATCGGAAATTGAATCGAATCGGAATCACCTGCTTCTCGACAATGTCTAGCTGAACGTTTCCCTAATTACTATCATCAATTGGTCGGAAAATCAGTGCGAAGCGCAGAGAAAACATAGAAAATCGGGTCAAAAAATGTCGCGGAGACACGGAAAGCACACACACACACGCTCGCATTCGTTTGTCCGTCCGAATGAGTGACCCTTTTTTCTATGTCTCCCTCTCCGCAACCTCTCCGTTCCCAGTGCTCTCTCGTCGTGAGCGTCTCGTGAGCGCAAACTCTGCGTCTCTCCGTTTTCGAAACAATTTCGCCGAAAATCGATTGAAAAGAAAGAGAGAAAGAGGGAGACAGAGCGAATTGGAGCAAAGCCAAGGCCGTTTAGCCGTCCAGTCGGGGAAGAAATGAGGAAAGGAGGCAAGACGGGGCGAATGAGTGACAAATGGCCGCGAAAGGAACGGGAAAGCGGGTTTGAGGGCGAGGAGCTGCAAATTAGGAAGGTATTGATGGAGATAGTTTGGAAGTTTTCGTTGTTTTGGGCAGTCTACATCGAAAGAAGTAATTTTGAGAAATTTCTCGAAAATTCCTTTCAGCATTGAAATAACATCACTGTTTCTGAAATATTAGTATTAAAAACCGGGATGTCGGTCTGGTTTCGAATTGCTTTTCGAAATAAAAACGGGAGCAACTGATTTTTCGGACCGTTGTTCTCTTTTTTGCGTTTTTGAACGCGAAAACTCACCGTCCATGCCGATTCTTGAATGTCCAAGCTTATCCGTGAGGGAATCAATGATTTTACCCGTTAAACGCCGATGATTCGGCCTGAAACCCGCAGAGAATTCGAAATGAAACTGGGCGGTCGGTTACTGTAGCTTGTTCACCGCCGCGCCTGCGTACACCGTGTTTGCAGACTTCGCCCACCGTACCACAACGGTTTCCGAGGTATCGGCTCTTTCGAGCTGTTTCTTCTGCTCTAACTCATTTTCAGGCTATCTCTCAGGTCATTTTCAGTATTTTCAGTATAGAAACGGAGACTCGAAAATCGGGCAGACACCTTAAAACTTCAGATCTTTCGGAATTTACGGATTTTACGTCAAATGTGTGCTGTGGTGAGGCCTCGTTCTCGCCGTCCCTCGGACGTGTCGGTTGCGCGCAATGTTGAAGAGCGGCGACGCGACGTTAGCGTCGGTTTAATTACCCAAGTTTGAGGTGCGAACCTGGGAATGACCTAAAGAAATTTAGCGTCAGCTTTCAAATTTTGGAAAGTCTCCTTTAGGGGAGACAAAAGAAATAACACTCAAAGAAATTCGATGCGCATTGGTGCAGTTATGCTCAGCGCAAGAAATGAAAAAAGGGAACGAAGAGCCACTATGCAATTGCAAACCTTTGTCTGAGACGTTTTTCAGCCATCTTTGGCGTAAAATTCTGGAAAAACGCGAAAAAATGGATAAGCGACACGAATTTATTTCAGCAGAAAAACCAAGCATAAAATACTTGAAAATAAAAAAATACTGGCGTCGTCTTGGGCGGGCGATTTTTTGAGGCAAAAATAGCGCAAAACTGAAAAGAAGGCAGCAAAAGCGGAGAAAAAGTCTCAATAAATACTAATTTAGGCGGTAAAAATTGGAGAAAAAAGTCGTTATTTTTCTGGGGCGTGTTACATGAAAATGAGGATAAAAAGCTGGGCTTGAAAGCTGGAATCTCGATTTTTTTCGGTTATTTTTTTAGTGTGGGAAATTGGGAATAAAAAACATTAAAATTCTTCCGGCTGTCCTCCGTTCACCTCGTCTTCGGGCGGTGCAAAGCCTTCCTCCGTCTCGTAGAGCACCTAAAAATTGAACAATTTCGAGGAAAAACTTACACAAATTTGTTACCTCGAGCACTCGGGCCGCTTCCACATTTCCGATCGATTCGTTGTCCTGACAAATGACCTCAATGGTGCGCAATTTGCTGAAGTAAAAGTCGCGCTCTTTCTCGAGACTCGCAATCACATTGTCCGATTCGGTCAGTTGGCGGGTGACCTGCAAAACACTTGGCTCCATTCTTTTTTTCAGATTTTCAGCATTCTAGCGGGAAATTCTAGGTGTCCTGACTGCTTTCATAGAAATTTCCAAACAATTCGCACCTCCTCCAACTCCTCCTTCAGCTTGTTGAACGTGGCCAAATCGACACCGGGCGGCGCGGCGACGGTCGACGCGGAACGGACGGGCGCCGCGGTCGCTGAGGGTTTCGGCGGAGGAGCGGAAGCAGCCGGCGCTGGCCGCGGAGCCGCACGAGCCGGGGTCGGACGGGCCGCCGGAGCAGCCGCCGCCGGCGTTCGGATCGTCGTCACTGGCTTTCTGTAAATAGGGCTTATTTTTACAGAAAATTTTTTACAAAAAGGTGTTATTAGGCTGAACAGAACGGTACGGTAATTTTAGGATTTTTTTAAGGAAACCTTTCTGTTCAACCTACTAAAAACCAGACTTGCCAAATCCCGGGCCAGCAAATCGTCGGCCCGGCCCGGCCCGGTCGGCCCGGCTCCGCCCACTCTTGAGAAAATTTTCGTAATTTTTGTGAAAATTTTGCGACTTTAAACAGCAATTTCTATTTTTTAACAGGTTTTTATGCTATAACATTGCCTTTTTAAGTCTATGAAATTTTAAGTCTATAAAATTATGTTCGTTTCGAAGTTCTAGTTCGCTTTGAATTTTTAGGTGCATCCTCCCGGGCCGACCGGGCCGGGCCGGGCCGGGCTGGGCCGGGCCGGGCCGGGCCGCGGGCCGGCCCGTTGCAAGTCTGCTAAAAACAGCTGATTGTCTCGCAATTGAAGATGCATAGAGTCGCGCGTTTTTCCAGAAAGTGTCAAAATGTATTGGCAATAACGTACGCGGCGACAGCACGGGCGGGCATTCTCGAGGCGACGGACGTCTTGGTGGCCCCTCCGGCCGCGTTCTCCGTCGGAAGATCCTCTCCGTTTCGCGCGGCGACCGGATCGTACTCGTGTCCGTCGTAGTTCGCGTCGAAAAGCTTCTTGAACCATTGCAGAAATTCAAAGTTGTCCTGCAATTTTTAAAAAAGTATTTTTTTAAAAGATTTTTTTTAGAAATCCTAGCTTTTTCCTCATAATCTGAAATTACAGGTCTCACCTGAAACTTGCCCTTGATGAGCCGATCGACGGGAATCACCTTCTCGACGCCCAGATTCTTCCAGGCGGTCTGCACAATCTTCCAGTTGGACAGCCAATCCAACTCCAGCCGACTGTTCCACTTCACTTTCTTTAACTGAATCGTTTCCGGGAAAAGGAAATCGGTGAACTGAAAAACTTGAGGAAAATGTCGAGTTTTTTTTTAAGGTGTGGTGTAGGTTGACCGCAGGCCGCCTGAATTTGTCAGGCGAAGGCAGCCGCCCTACCTATTGTTAGTTTTCCGTCTAAAAATTCACAAAAAACGTCTGCTCACCAAGCAATATCCGGCTCCAGTGTGCAACTGCTCAATCTTCGTAAAATGGGCCTGGAGACAGTCGTTGACCCACATGAGCATCTCGTGCCGGGACAAATTATCCGCCGACGACGCCGTCGTGTACACATTCACCACTTGAGCGGCCATCTGAAAATTGGAGGAATGCGTGGGCGTTGGAAGTGCGAAAAAGGTACGAAACACGTCGAAAACGCTCGAGTACAACAGTAAAATACGGCGGTCAAGGCTAAAAATGGTTTTTGAAAAAATTAAGGGCGTCGAAAAAGGTACAAAATGTGTGAAAAACGCTCGAGAAAGATCAGGAAATGATGGAAGTAAAAGCTGGAAATTTTTTAAACGGGGCAGCTTGAGATGAAGAATAATATTAAAGAGACTCCGATTTCGAAAAAAAAAAACAATAAAATTGTGAGGAAAGTAAATTTTTTGGACTGGACTTATTTAGCCGGGTAAAAATGTGTGCTTTTTCGGTTTGACCGTCAAAGTCGGTATTCTTGCTTTTTTCGTACAAAATTGGCGCTGTTTGAAATTGGTGTGGTTTTTTACACACCAAACAAGATTTTTTTAAACAAGCGAACAAAATGGTTTTTTTTTTGGGTTTTTTGTTGAAAATCGGGATTCTTCGACATTTTCACCCGCTGACCAAGCCGAGCCGAAAATATACAATAAAAAGCGTTGACAATTAGAGAAAAGGAAAGGTGCATTATTCATGTGGGAACGGTGATGCGGGCGGCGGTCATCATCAGAATCTCCTCCTTCGTCTTGCGCCAGTTGGCCGGATCCTTGGCGATCGGCTGCCAGAGGTCCCCGTAGCGCGGTTCCGCCGCAATCGCCCTCTCAATGACCGCCCGTCGCTGCTCTTCTTTTCCGTAAATCTGCTCGAACGCCAAGAAATGCGCAAGGTAGTCGCCGTTGTCCGCGTCGACGTTCACGCCCCGCTGGAACCAATCGCGCGCCTTCTTGATCTGGAAATGGACAAAATTGGATGTAGTTTTCACTGTTTTACAGTTTACTTTGAAACATGAATGTTTTCATCGGACTTGCAAAGATTCCAGCCAGGTCCAGTCAAAAGCCTGGAGAGGCGTTGCACTAATCCGATCGGGCCCAATCTTTGCAGCCTTCTTGGACATGGATTGCAGTATTTTGGGTTCAAGTTTCAGACCGATCCGATTATCCGGTCCTGATATATGAATCAAAGGAAAAGGCCGGTTTTTTTTTTACAAAAAATTGTGGCTTTTTCTTTCTGATCCACATGGACTATATGATCGGATCCGTCTGAAACTTGGACCCAAAATACTTCAATCCACATCTATAATGCTTGTGACCCAGTCTTTCACTAGAAAACCCCATTTTTGAGTGTAAATTATCGATAAAAGTGTTCAAACCTTTCTGTCGCTCCAGAAGAGGAGTGCGGCGGCGATGATGACGTGCGCGTCGTGCTCGCACTTTGTCAGCGCATCGATCGATTTGGCGCGTCGTCCGTGCGGTCCTTCCATCCAAATTGCGTCCGCCCACAGCTTTCCTGCAACAAATTGCCCGTTATTATGTGTGCATTTGTGAGCGGCGCCAAAAGTGCCAAAGTGTCGGAAATGTACAAATCCGGGGGTGTTCTCGGACTCTCAGACACCAAAAAATGTGTGAAATGGGCGTTTTGTTCCGAAAATTTTGAATACGCGCATTTGAGCGTTCGAACAGCAAAAATGACAAAGAAATGTGTGAAATTCAAAGCATTTTTAGCACCAAACTCGAAAATCGATCCAAAATTTTATTTTTCTTTTCAGCTGAAGTTTTTTGCAAAAAAACCCGAAACGTACCACTGTTGGGGCACTCCTGAAGTGCTCTGTTCATGCGTTCCCTCGCCATCTCCGGATGATTGTGTCGTTTTTCAAATCGGACCGACTCCAGCCACAGATCCTCGTTTTTCGGGTTGCGTAGGCGCGCCTTCTCGAGATCTCCGCGCGCTTTGACCACTTGGCCGACCGATTCTTCGAGATGCACCAAGTGGATCCACAGTGGAACGATGCTCGGACATTTGCGGATCTGAAATGAGAAATTCTGGGTGAAAAAGCGACAAAAAACGCGTACTCCCTGCGTGTAGGCCATCCGTGCCGCCTCCACATCGCCCATCTGCTCGAGTACTTGTCCGAGGAGCAAGAACGCTTTGTAGAATCCGTCGTACGTCCGAATGCACTCCTCGCACAGCCGTTTCGCCTCCTCCAACTTCCCCAGACACCGTTCGAACGTGGCATTCTTGACCCACACACGGGAGCTCGGGGCTCGAGCCCGTGCTTTTGCGAAAAGTGCTCGCGCGCGGTCAAACTGATCCGTCTCGATCTCGATCTTCGTCGCCGCCAACCAAATCTTCTCCGACTGATGGCCGTGCTTCTCGAACGCCGCCATCAGTGTATCGCGCGCTTCGTCAATGCGCGCGTTCACAAATCGCAGCTTCGCGAGCATCAACCAATAGTTTTCCACTTCGGGCACCTGCTCGCACGCCTTCTTGAGAATGCGCTCGTGCTCGTCGAGAGTTCCGTGCTCGCGCTCGAAATGAATCGCCGCGTCCCAGACGTCGCGCTTCCGCGGCATCTCCTGAAGGGCGACGGCGAAGACGGCACGCGCGCAGATAAACGCCTGCTCCTTCTCGAACGCCTCCGCATCCGCCAGCCACGTCGTCTTCTTGTCTTCGTCCTCGACGCCCAGTCCGATCACATTTCGGATTATCGATTGGCACGTCAGTGGGCACTTCGCCTGCTCCGCGTCGATCGCATCCTTCAGCCACTGGTCCCGATTGATTTCTACTTGGTTGGCGCGTAAGGAGCTCAGCGCTTTCGCGACAATTTTATCGACCATATCGCGTTGGCCACGTGTCTCCTCGAGACGGGCGGCCGAAAGCCAAATGTGACGATCGGTGGGAATGTGCTCGCGTGCCTTGTTGAGTACTTTCCGCGCGTTTTCGTAGGTTTCTAGGCGAGCAAGTGCGAGCCACATTTCAGTGGACGAGCTGCAACACTCGACGGCTCTGGTCAGGAGGATCCGTGCGTCTTCTCGTTCCTCCAGCTCGACCGCCGCCTTCCACAACTTCACCGACGACGGAATCTGCTCGAGCGCCTTCCGCAGAACCCTCTTCTTGTCCCGCGTGTCTTGCTCCAAATCCGCCGCTGTGCACCACAGGTTCACGCTGTTCGGGCACTTTCCGACCGCCTGCGCTACTATGGATTTACCCAATTCGGCCGAGTGGAGGCGGATCGCGCAGAGCCACAGGTCCTCGGATCCGGGATTCTTCTCGCATCCCTCCATGATCAGGTTGCGGGCCGTCTGGATCTTGCCGACCGTCTCCTCGAGCGCCGCCGACGCTTTCCACGACGGCGGATGATAGGGATTCGTCTCGCGCACCGATTTCAGCAGCATTCTGGCCTTTTTGACGTCCTGGAGATCTCCGCCGTACTGCGGCAACATCGAGTTCATGTCGGTCAGGTAGCCCTTCGGATCGACGACTGTCTGGCCGCTCACCGAATCGGAGACCTGCGTCAGTTGCAAATCCATAATCTTGTTTCGCGCCTGACCGATTTTGACGAGATCCAGGTTCGAGGTGGCGGTGCCCGTTTGGATGCCCGTCTTCCAGCCGGGCGTCAGCAGACCACTTTTTCCTCCCGCACCGCCCAGCGTCGACATGAAGCCGGAGCTGAAGGGCGTCGCCATGCCGCTGCTCACGTCGATCGAGTGGCTCATCGCCCCGTAGCCCAGATTCATCGCGATGACCGAATCCGGCACCGGCGTGAATTTCTCCGCCCGCGCGTTCCGCTTCGCCTTGTTTCGCATGTCGCCCACTTCCGGAATCGCCTGCCATTCGTCCTCGGTCACCTGCAATAATAGAAAAACTAGATTTTCACACAATTTAGAAATCGTTTTGTGCAAATTTCCGCCGCTTTACATGAATATTTCAACTTTGCTCACAAAAAACTCACTTCGGCCAATTGTCGCTTCAAATCCGAGAATCCAGCTTGAATTTTCGGTCGTTCTTTGTGGAACTTCTCCACGGCCTCCTTGTACTTTTTCTCTCTGAAAAAACGAGTGTTTGAATGGGGTAAAACGGGGAGAAAAAGGGGGGGGGCACTTTTCGGTTGCAAACATATTGTTGAGTAAACACACACGTCTTGGGCTCGAAATCGGCGATTTTTGATGCTTTTGTGCCTCTTTTGAGGTACTCTAAAACTCCCGAAAATCACCTGCGATCCTTGTGCCGCTCGTCGAGCCGATCGTCGACTTCATTGTAGATGCGGTCGGCGTCCTCGTCCTCCTGATCGTACGGATCCTTGGCGAACAGGGACCCGCTGTAGCCGCTGAACTCGTCGTAGTTGGCCTCGTTCAGATCCTCCGGGTCCGCCTCGTCCTCGCGTGCTCTTTTCGGCGGCGGCGCTCCGGTTCCTTGTGGCGCCGGTCCAACCGGTCCCGCTTCCGGCAGTTCCGTCGGATCGCGTGCCGGTCCGATGTCCGATCGGGTCGTGAATCCGGTCGCTCCTGGAAAAAATGAGGAATTTTCAGGAACTTTGCGCACGAAAATCTGATAGAAAAAGAAAACGAACCTCTACCGACTCCGGGCACGTATCCGGTCGGCGCCGGCATTCCCATGAAGAACTTTTTGGTCTTGTTGACCAGAGAACCAGGAATTGTCGTGGCCATTCCTGCAAAAATTCACTTTTTTGTAAAGAAACCAGGTAGAAATCGATAAAGTATCAACGATCTTACAGAGCTTTCAGGCATTTTTCCGCTTTTTCCGGTGGGTTTTCGGGGATTTTCCGAGCCGTTAGTGATAAATAAAGAATAGTACACTGTCGGGGAGGTCAACGCGGAGCTCCGGCCCGCACGACATATGTTTTTTATTACACAAAACGTTTTGCGAGTGCCGAGTTGACCGGATATTATTGATGGGAAAGTGGGCGCGAAATGTCTGGGGAAGTGTCTGGAAAATTCTAGAAATTTTTTTTTACAAAATTTTTGCTTCTGCTCGAGAAGGAAGGTCAAATTTGAAGAAAGCATTGAAAACATTCAGGGATGCGGAAAACGCCAGCCCAGCCTTTTCGAGGCCTGTACTTTTGATCCACTTGCCTTGTCGGCCTCAAATCAACTTTTCTCGGGACCAGATAATCGGATCGGTCTGAAACTCGAACCCAAGATACTTCAATCTAAGTGCAAGAAGCCCACAAAGTTTTGGCCCGATTGGATTATTGCAAGTTTGTCAAAAGTACAGGCTTCGAAAAGCCTTGAAAATAGCCTGGGCCGGCCTTTTGCCCAGCACTGGATAAATCAGAAGAATAATGTTTGCAACGATTTCCCTCATTTTCTTCTGGCAAAAATCGATATTTTTGCAATCTTTTCGATTATTTACATTCTCTTTGCAAATTTCCGTTTTTCCGGGGCCGGCTGAGGGATTCCAGAGCGTGCCCATATCAATTCAGCGGTTTTTCTGTAAAAAATCGAAAAATTTAGGAAACGTCCGGAGAAATGCAAAGAAAACGCGGAAAATCGATTTTCGGGCGCGAATTTGCGAAAGACGAATCGAAATGCGGGAATTTGCGAAAAACGAATCAAAATGCAGGAATTTGTGAAAAACGCATCGAAACACAGATTTTCGATTGAAAATTGTCCGGAAAAAGAGGAAAATGATGAGAAATTCAAAATTTCAATTGAAAAGTGTGAGAAGACTGCGAAATTTCCCATTGTCGTTTTCTGAGCGTGGCAGTATACGCTCGATATTCGCAGACCATTTTCGAAAGTCGCCTTTTGTGCGGTGGAGCGCGTTTGCATTATACGCCTCGAGAACAATATGTATGGTTTAGAAGATTTTCGAGGGGAAATTGATAAGAAAATGTTAAAAATGAGTAAATTAAAAATTTAACAAAAGTATTGCACAGCTTTTTTTTTACAGATAAAATACTTAAAAATCCATGCTTACAAGTTTTTAAGACAATTTTTTTTATTTTGTTCTCTCAAATTGAAAAGAAAAGGAAAATAATAAGGACAGCGTAAAAATGTAATGAATTTTACAATTTTTTCAGTAAAACAACCAGAACAGTCCAAAAAAAATTGTTTTCTTAACTGACCTATTCACAAAATAAATCTCGTTTTTCCGCATAGTAAAGTGTAGCATAATAACGTGGAATCTCAATTGGAAAGACGACGCGAATATCGAATTATTTTATCGCCGACCGCAATCTCGTCCAGTGACCGAACACTGAATAGTACGGATTGGCGGAGTGAACGTTGTTTTGACGGTCACTTTATACTATATTCTACGCCTACAATCACAATTATACCGCGTTGTTATGATGGTTGGGGACACAAAAAGTTTCATTTTTTGCAGTTTTTTACGTCGAAGCACCCCGAATTCTTCGATAGACGCATGATAGACCGGTCAGCACGGCCTGGAGGGAACGTTGCCATCGTTTGTGAGTTGGATCCGCGTCCGCAGCACCGTCGTCTCATTTCGAATCGATTTCATCTATCAACTGAGATCACCGATTCGCGGTTTTTCGTGTACAAATTCGCCCAGAGCTCGTCTGCATCGCTTTTATCTTCATTTTCCCGTCAATTTCCGATGTTCAATTGATTCGGCGTTTTCGCGCGGTATGATCTACGGGCACGGAACCCCAGCATTTTAATGCGCAAGCAAGTTGTCAATGGGGCGCGCTTGCATCCACCGTCGACTCGGAGTTTCTTTTTTCAATTGAAAACCAGAATTCTTTCGTTTTTCTCTTAATAAACACTCAAATTTTGTTCTTTGCGAACCGTGGGGCGATTGTGTGAGTTAAAAGCATCGATTTAAGCGCGGAACGGAGCAGATTCGTTCAGAATTGACCAAATTGAGGGATTTTGTCGAAAACTACTGAAAAAAAGGGATTTTTAACGATTATTTGCCGAATCGCGTTCAGACACTGGCATTCGAACCGTCCAGTCAACAAGGAGTTTATTGCGCATCTTTTAAGCGCTAAACCGTCGAAAAATATACAGAATTGAGATAATTGAGGCAAATTTTCGATTCCAACAGGAAAAAAATAATGTAATTTTCACATCGCAGTTAACATTTCATTTTTTATTCATTTCTAATCATTCTCATAAGTTTTGACACTGATTGGTTCTGAAAAGATGGGGATAATGCAAAAAATGGGAAAACTGAAATGAGAAACTCTACAACGGCGCTCCGGAATTACGCGTTACGCGCCTTGTTTAGCGCACCTGAATTGCGCCAATGGAATTTTTTATTGGAAGGCTGGGGTTCCGTGACGGGTCTCGCAGCGAAAACAACAAAATATAGTCAAGTCAATTCTCAATTCTCAATTCTCTATTATAGGGGCACCGCACAGAAATGGCGCTCTGTTGAGAAACTCCTTTTGCAGTGCAAATTGAGCGACCTCGGGGCCGAGTTTGAAAAGTTAGGCCACGTTTTCAGTGGAAAATTACTTCGCGGCCTAGAAATTCGGCCAGATTGCGAACAGCGCGCCCTTTCTGTCCGGTGCCCCTATAATATTTGAGTTCATTTCCTTTATAATAAAGGCTTTCTTTGAGCTGTGCGTCTTCAATCATGCCTGAAACATTTCTTTTTTGTGTCCTCGATGCTTGTATGTAAATATAAGTATGTCAAAAGCAGAAAAAAACGATCCACAGTCGGTTGTTAGCAGTGGAATCCAGATCGAATGCGGATTCAAGTAGCAATTGACCTCGATTCCCTCAACATCTTCAGCTTCTCCTCGATTCGTTCCGTTTCCATTTCCATTTCCAAATGTGACACAGTAATAAGTGGATGGAGTAGAAATGGACGATGATGATGATTTCTAATGGATTCCCGTTAGCATAATTGTTGCCACAATCCATTATTTCTACGAATTGCTACTATTATGCAAGTATTTATGTATGTTGGTAAACTTTATTGGCATTTTCACTTTTAAAGTCCTACAGTAGTGGTCTCTAAAATTTGTATCGATTTTTTACGCCACTGTAATAGAAGGGTACATTCAAAACTATGTATCTCAACTGCTGGTGGAGATATCAAAAAGTTGTCAACTGACAAAATGTACATTGTTTTGTGCTAAACAGTTTATCATTTGACACATTTTTGATAGCTTTCATAGCAACTGAGATACATCGTTTTGAATGCATTTCATTATTTATTTTTTCCTTCATCTTTGAACGCTTATATCTCGAGAGCCATCGATTATTTCAAAAAGCTGTTAACTGTAAAGTTGTTGCAAATTTTGTGCCAAACAACTTTGTAATTGATCATTTTATCCAAACACTTCTCATTTTCAAGTTAAACCTTGGTCTTGTCAATCCCAAATTTGCTTCCTCGTTCAAAATGAATCGGGTTCTTCTTCTCCTTCTTCTCTTTCGAATATGAATCCACCAATCTGGATCTGGACCGTTTTTTTGTTGCTTTTATTCTTCTGACCACAAAAGAAGACCCGCTTTGTGTCGAAAATCCGCTTCTCCTCTTCCAATTATCGCGTAGGCGGGCGGGGCCGCCTACGCGCCGGGAACCTGATCCACGAATCCCGTTTTGGAGCGACAAAGAGCGAAGTTGCAACTGACGGAGTGTCTCTTATGCAATCCGAGTGGCGACAACACTCAATTGGCTAATATTTGATCGTTTCACATAATCACATTATACCCCCTAGCTCTTTTTGGCGCCTTTCTTGTCGTTCTAATGCCTATTGTTTAGAAACTAGACTATAACTCAAAAATGACAAGTTTTCACAACAAGTTGTCAACTACAAAGTTGTTGAGCACAAATTTTGCTACATTTTTTCAGTTGACCACTTTTTGAAATAAGCATAGGTTCTCGAGATATAGGTGTCCAAAGATGAAGGAATTTTGCACAATGTCTAATGTAAGTTTTTCAGTATTAGCCATGCTATAAGGTCTATTTCTCGTGTTTTCTACAATATAATTCGTTTCCCTCTTAGTTCGTGTCCCCGAAATGCACTTTTCCGTTTTCCGTGCTTGCACTTTGCGATACATTTCCCTTCCGAGACAGTTTGGCGCCGTTCTGGGAGGCTACACAATATCCGATCACAAAAAGTATTATTGCTTTTCTATTTGTGTCTTTGACAATCTCTTGAGGGAACAAGTTGTCAAGTAGGACACAACATCTTCATGTTAATGGACAATAGCTGAAGTCAATAAGTGACCATATAATAATGTTCCAACACTTTTTAGTTGTGTCTAGCATAACACATGGAAGTTGTTCCAAAACCCTCAAAACTTATCCGATCGGGCCCAAACTTTGCAGGCTTATAGGACTTGGATTGAAGTATTTTGGGACCAAGTTTCAGACGGATCCAATCATCCGGTCCCGAGATATCGGGACCGGATGATTGGATCCAAAGTGCTTCATGGCACTTCCTAGAAGTCTGCAAAGATTGGGCCCGATCTGGATATTGTAAACTTGCGATTTTTCAAAACTCCCCCCCTGGATAGTCACTTTGAATGTGTGTAACCGCAATGCAGATAGCAGCAGTCGATTTTCGATGCATATCTTCTCAATTTGACACAAGAACCCCCAAGAACCGGTCCGTTTTCCTTCTCTCAGCCACCACACGCACACACTTTTCTTTCCTTCGTTTCCCTCCCCATTCATTCTCGCCTTCTCATTATCATTTCCGCTATTCGACACGAAAATCCTGTTCAATCTCTTTTTCGTGACGCTATTCCAGTGCGTTTCAAAAGTAGAGTTGTCCGATGACTTTGACCGAACGTAACTCGGCGGGTTTTCAACATTTTGGCAAAGTTAAAAAACGAATCGAACGGCGTTTTGACGCTCTACAACTTTGTAGTTGGTCGCTTTTTACGATTGTGCTCCTGCTTTGAGATATGCCCATTTTTCCCATCCTCATTGTGTTAGGAGCTTTGAAAATGTTGTGAAAAAAATCTTCAAAACCTGCCGAGATCCGTCTATTTTTATGGATAAAACGCGAGGAATTCAAATAAAAAAGTGTGAGACGGGTCACAATTAATCACTTTTCCGCCTTCATCTCTCTCTTTCATCGCCGATTCTCTCTCTTTCTCTCTAATTTTCCGACCGCCCGTCTTCTCTTGATATTGTACATTTCTAAATTTTCAAAAAGACACATTTTTAGGTTCGAAAACCCGCCGCGACAAGAAAAAATGAGGAATCTGCGGTTTAGCGCCGTCCTCGCACTTATTTCAGCCATTTCGGTAGTCGTCATTGCACAAAGTGAGCTTTTTTTTCCAAACTTTGAAGCCTAAAAGAGTTCTGACGGAAAATTGCTGCCAAAAGTGTCATTGTGACGGCATTCGAGTGCAAGCGCGCTCTACCGCAATCCCCTGAATTCACGTGGTGTGCGGTAGAGCGCGATTGCCGTCAAATGCACCGTTTGAATAATATAAATGTTTGCAATATGATTACTTGTCATTCAGAAAAGTTCTACACTTTTTTTTAGGATCCCAGCAGTCGGTGATCGCGGATCTCGGAAAGTTGATCGTGGATAACTGTCCGCCTATGCTGTGCACTGGATTGGATTGTGCGGTTGTCACCGAGCGAAATGGATGTCAGGTACGCGAAAATTCCAATTCAAAACTTGATTTAGCCGTAGAAACCGAGTACTGTAGTATAAGAGTCTATTCAAAACGATGTATCTCAGCCGCCAGAGAAGATATCAAAAAGTTGTCAACTGGAAAAATGTGCACAATTTTATAATGAACAATTCATTAGTTGACTACTTTTTGATATCTCTACGGACCACTGAGATACATCAGTTTGAATGGACGGTATTCGAGTGCCCTTCTATTACAGTACTTACGGAAGGCTAATGTAGGCTTTTTAAGAGGGTTAGGCTCTTTTTTATGTGGATTTTTTCCTAAACTAAATATTATCCAAAGAAACGAACCCGTTCTATCCCATTTTCCTCCATAAAATCGTTCGAAATCCGACACTCTTTCCATTTTTCCGCAGTTGTTAAAAGAACAGGTTCTTTTTGGCGGGGCATGGTCACACAGAGCGAATTCGAACGAAACAAAAGAGTAAAAGTGGAACACTGTTTGAATGGATTCGAATCGGCGCTGATTCGAATGAAGATCAAGATTGGAATCGATGAGAAAATCCCTGAAATCGTTTTGAATGCATGCATTTTTTTCCTTCATCTTTCGACACTTATATCTCGAGAGCCATCGATTATTTCAAAAAGCTGTTAACTGTAAAGTTGTTGCAAATTTTGTGCCAAACAACTTTGTAATTGATCATTTTACTCTAAAACCCGTCATTCTTGAGTCATGGCCCAGTTTCCTACCAAGACGTGTTGTTGCAGCTGTGCGCGTGCCCGATCGGATCGCCATCCCGCGGTTGCGACCCGATGCCGTTCATTCTTTGGCATGATCTGATCGTGAACGGATGCCCGAACGTGACCCTCAACAGCCGCGATCCGGCGCAGAAAGTGCACCGTTGGTTCCGTCGCGTCAACCGATTCACAAACACTGATCAGTGCGAGCCGTACATCTTCCCCTACTGTCCGGAACTCGATTTTAACCTTTGGAGATCTCCAAGAACGAAACAGGTATGCCAGTTATTAATGGGGTTATTCAGGCTGTGAAAAAAATGATTGTTTTCCGTTTTTTTCGTTTTTTTACGTCAAAAAATCCAATTCAGCGGTGTAAAAAAACGAAAAAAAAAGCGGAAAACAAACATACGCTGAATAGCGCCATAATTAACTTTTTGTTTGCCTCAAAAGTTGCACCAAAATCCGTCGAACTTTGCTCACTCGCGCACAAAACATAGTGGGAGGCGGAACCCGCGAGACGTCGGCGGCGGCCGCAAAAGACCCGCACGTGACGCGCGAGCGGCCTCAGCTTTGCGCTGGGGCGATAACGTGACCAATGAGGCTTTGCCGAGGTGCGTTTATTGCTGGTTGAAAACTTTTCCCAATTGCCCGCGATGGCCCCTGAAATACGGGTGCCGTACGCAATTTTTGAACGCCTCGCGGAGGCAGACGATATTGAAAGTAACGCATCGCCTCTAATTTTTGCAGGAATGCGAGCTCTACTGCTATTCGATCGACGAGCAGCGAAAGCGAGGAATCATCTAAAAAAAAGTGTTTCAGACTTTTTCTGAAAAATTCTAGAACTAATAATAAGTTATTTCTCGATTTTTCTCCACCCCCAATTCGTCCCCTTTAAATTCGTGCCACCCTCTGTTGTGTTTTTGATTGCTGTAATCCGAAATTCGAGATAAACATTTGGAAAATAAAAACTCTTTCATATTATAAACATTTTCTAGCGTAGTAAGTAGGTCAAATGTACACAAAAACCGTCATGGTGAAGAAAAAGGGGAATATGAGGGGGGCGGGGGGCAAGCGAACCGGTGTAAAGCTCTCTAATAAGTTCATGCGTTAAAACAAGTGAGATATTATGTGACTAGTTTTCCCTGCGGCGTCCACTGAATGCACGAAATGATGACGAACGCGCAAAACGGAAAAATCGAGGTGATTATGAAGAGGTACGTGTAGCCGATGGTGTGCAGGTAAAATTGAGACACTCCTGCCAGCAGGATTCCGCTCATTGTCTGCAAAACATTTTTTTTCTCCAACAGGATGTTTCAATCAATGCTGCCCACCGTGGAAATAATGAGGTAACCGTAGTTGTTCGCCTTGTGACGACTTCCGAAACATTTGACGGTGGCCGTGATGAAGAGCGCGTGCGTGGCGCCCATGCAAATGAACGTGCCGACCAACTGCAACGTTGTATGTGAAGAATTCAGACTTTCAGTCAGTCCTATAACAATTGCCCATTTCCAGCTTTCTCACCCAGAAAAGGTAGGCGAGTTTTCCGAAACTCTTGGCCAGAGGCATTGTGAGTAAAAAGACACTGGCCAGACACGTGGCAATCGACAGCGATATCTGGAAACTGGTCCGATCGGTCAGGTATCCCCAGCCGATGCGCGCGATCGCATTCGCCACCGACGCCACCGAGAACGCCATCGCCATGAACATGTCGTCGTCGATGAACGACTCCGCGTACGTCTGAAAACACAAAATGAGCGAGTATTTCTCATACAACAATCCGTTCGGATCCGCACTTTGTCGCTTTCTTGCACTTGGTTTAAAGTATCTTGGGTCCGAATTTCAGACCGATCGGATCAACTGGTCCCGAGATATGTGGATCCGAAGCCGGGAAAAGCTGTTCCGACATCAGATTTTGATATCTCGGGACCGGTTGATTGGATCCGTCTGAAACTTGGACCCAAAATACTTCATGCCAAGTCCACGACGCCTGCAAAGTTTGGGCCGAGCTAGTAGTACCTTGTACAAATTGTAAAACATGTTCGCGTAGAAGGAGCAGCAGAAAAGAGCGGCGAAGAGGCAGAAAAACGTGGGCGAACGGAGCATTTCCGACGGCGTCATTTGGATTGTCGTGTCTTCGTCTGGAATACGATTTTATGGAGTTAAACCTTTAAAAAATGAGAATGTACCTGTCAGAAATAATTCAGACCTAAAATTTTCCAAAAATTCCTACCGTAATCCTTACCGTTATCAAAAACGGGTCTTTCATAATCGTCGTCCTCCTCGTCGCTCTCCTCTCGATTCGCAATCGATTCCGTCGACCGCGATTTCTGCAAATTCACAATATCCGTTTCAGAAACGACCAAAAAAGCCACGTCATCATGCGAAAAGGATCACAAATTGCGTCAAGGGCGGACGCATTTCCAGTGCCATGCAAAAATGGAGGGGAAATCATGCGTTTTTAAAGAATTTTTTCAAAGAAACCACCACAAATCACACCGAAAACCGTTCAAAAATGCACCGATTGGGCGGCCGAAGGTTCTGGAGCATCGGATGACGTCACGGGTTGCTCGTCAAGCCGCACACGACTGTACGACACTCCGGAATAACGGGATGATGACGTGGCGCCGCCGCCGGCCGAGAATATGTAATCCGAAAGGGAACCGAGGCCCGAGTGGCGGATCTGAGAGCACAAAAACCGGAAATTTGGAGGGCCACAGAGGGGACATTCGGGAAAAAATGGTTCTTTGTTCGGATTTCTAGGCCATCCTATGCATTTTCTAGGCCACAAAATTTCAGAAAATTTTTCGTGATCACGACTCCGCCTCTTATTGCCTTATTCACAGTCCGAGTCTCAACTCTCAGCGCGCAGTTAAAGTTGTGGTCGTGGCCTCGAAAACTCCTAGGCATTCGGCACAATCCTCAGACGTTGCCAAGCATTCACACAAATTAACAGATTCTCAAAGTGCAAGGGTGCCGTATTATCAGCAGGGAAGAGTTTTCACACCTGAGTTTTCTAGGCCACAGCTTTAACTGCGCGCTGTTGTGTTTTTCTGCATTTTAGAGAGTTGGGACTCGGACAGTGTATGACAGACACAAAAATGTTATAAAATTTGAGGGTTCCCTGGTCCGTTCAGAAATCCTCCGGAAATGCCACAAATTTCTCTGGCATTCAAATAATTGTGAATTTCGCGCTTTGGTAACTTTTCGATAAATTAGTAAACTTATTGCACACAGATAGCCTAGAATCCGATTTCTGCTCAAAAAAAAAGCAGGCGCCTACCCGGAATGGCGGATCGCAAACGACGACGATAGCGATCGCTTGCATCACTCCGTAAATTATCGCCAACTTTGTGAAAAGCGACGGGACACGGACGAGGAGTTCGTGTTGCACAAAGTACCTGCAAACAGAAATTCATTTTTCAAAATTCAAACTCAAGTTCCTGTTAGAAACATTTTTCACTGGACTTTTGCTCACCCATCCTTGGTGGCCGGCAAATTTTGCGGATTGACGATCCACGTCTGAATTGGGGCGAAAATCGAGGAGGAGAGTCCGAATCCGGCGGCGACGATACCCGAAACGACGCCGATCTTGTCGGGAGCCCACTGAAATAAAAACTTTTGAAAAATCTAGGCCCAGAAATAATCTATCTTTCTGCGGCCCGGTGTTGATGAAAATCAATAGGAGAGAATGATAAAAATGTGAAAAAATCGTTTAAAATTTGGTAGCTTACATTGATGGCCGTCGAAACGGCCGTCACATAGGCTATTCCGGTGCCCAGGCCGAATAAAAGGCCGTAAACGACGAAGAAAAGGGCGAATGAGTGCTGGATTGCGTAGGCGGACAGGGCCACGCTCGAACTGCAAAACACTTATCATCATCATCATCATTCGTAGTAGGAACTGACGTCACAAGAGCGCATCCGAGAAAAGCGGACATTCGCGGGCTGAACATGTTCGAAGTGAGGCCGCCGATGACCATTGCGAACGGAAAACAGCCCTGAAACGTCGGAATCCACATCATGTGCTCGATTCGGACCGTCGGATCCGTGAAGTTTCGCATGTACGACGCCATGTACGGTAGCATGTTGCCTAGATTTTTTTTTAATTTTTTCAGCTAATTTTGATATTTTTTGTCTAAAAAGATTTATTCTGCTTTTCACCCACCAAACGTGTGATAAGTGCCAATGGTGAGGTGAATTGAGACGGCGCCGAATAAAATGACACATATTCGATTGAACGGCGATAATTGGTAGATGGCGTCGGCGATGGGGTCCCTCCGCCGACGGCACGACGACATCTGCAACTCGGATTATGAAAATTTTTTTACAGCGCAGCGAAATAATTTAACAGCGCAGCGAAATAATTTAACAGCGGAGCGAGAAGATTCAACAGCGGAGCGACATAATTTAACAGCGGAGCGAGAAGATTTAACAGCGGAGCGAGAAGATTTAACAGCGGAGTGAAAAGATTTAGCAGCGAAGCGAAATAATTGAACAGCGGAGCGAGAAGATTCAACAGCGCAGCAAAATAATTTAACATCGGGGTGAGAAGATTTAACAGCGAGTGAATTAACTTAACGAAATAATTTAACAGCGGAGCGAGAAGATTCAACAATTTATGAGTATCTTGCATTTTTTTTTCGAAAAATTAGCAGAAACACTGGAAAGTCGACCAGAAAGGGGGCTAATTGAAAAAAAACGAACTATATTAACATTCACTCAATTTTTACCGAATGTCCTCGAGAAATCAACAGACAACTGAAAAAAAACAGCTGAGACGGAAACCAACAAAACAAACAAATGAGGCGAAAGTGGGCCGATGGGCAGTAACCTTGACAGATTTGTGATTGTTATACGTATAAACCGCCTCTCTTTTTCTTCGTTTTTCACCTTCTAATCGGCGGCGCACTGTATAGTACACGAAGAAAACGAATAAAGCGAGCGCGGATGAGAGAATCGTGTTCGGAAACCGGAAAGGATGCAAAAAGCCAGATGTTCTATTCTGACGGAAATTGGAGAAAATCGCGTAAAAATATAGGGTTTGGGGGTCAAAATGTTCTTTTTTTCAAGTTTTCGGCGAAAAATAAGTTAAGTTGAAGGTAAAAGTTGGTGAAAAAGTTGAGTGATAAGAAAACGGGAAGGAGAAGATAACAGCCGTGTTGTCTGTTTTTTCGTCTCCATTCCGACGGACTCAAAGTGCAGAGATCGGAGGGCCGCCCGGTTTTCACTCTTTTGGCGAACACCTTCTGATTCGGGAAACAACCAGTTAACCAGACAACAAAAGATGACAAATAAGCATTTTTTGCCGGGCCGAGCACTAAAATACTACTTACACCGAATATTGAAACGCTTTATTTAAATGATAGCTTATCAAAGTTCAAAGGAAATACGAGAGCCGGATTTTCGATTTCACGTCTCATTTTCGCAACTCTTGCGTTTCGCAACCGCTACGTTTCGCAACTCTTGCGGAATTGGTTGCGAGACGTAATAGTTTCGAAAATGGTGAGAGCCGAAAATAACGCCGTGTCTAAACAAAAAGAAAAGAGAAAAACAGCGAGCGAGGAGAACCGACCGAAACTCAATGGATTCGAGTTTACGCGCGGTATGATCTATGGGTCTCGCAGCGATTCGACAAAAAACACGAATACGTCTTTAATGTGAGTGTATACGATTACTTTGCCTCTGGGAAGGCAGTCTGGGCAAGGAGGAAAAAATTTTTGAACGGTCCCTGACCGGGGCCATTTTCTTCTTTCCTCCTCGCCCAGACTGCCTTCCCAACGGCAAAGTGATCGTATACACTCACTCTAAAGGCGCATACCTATATTTTGTTGTTTTCGCTGCGAGACCCGTAGATCATACCGCGCGTAAACGCGAATCAATTGAATATCGGTCGATTAACGGTCGGTCGGTTCTTCGTTGTTTTTCTCGATTTCTTGTTTTGATACGAGCAACTTCGAAAATTATTTGTCTTTGTTTTCGGGAAATAACTGCTTACCTCCTTTTCAGAAAAAAATGCGGGAAAATCGAAATTCGCACACTTTATCGAGTCGAAAATTCCAAAAACTCATCTTCGTCCACTTCTTTGCGAAAAAGCGCAATAAAATGTCTGAAATTCCGAGAAACGTCGCGCAAATTCATCAATATTTTAATATGAGAAAGTGGAGCGAGCCCGGAAAGGAAAAGAGCTCGGCGGAGCCAGAAATAGTGAGCGAAACCGGGAGACCGACGGCTTTTCGTGCTTTTATCGATTTTCGCGGCTGCTTTACTGGTTTTCTGCTTTTATATTGGGTTTTTATTGCAAAATTTAATGTGTGCACCCGTTCCTCTCCGAGATCTTAGTTTACCTCCGAGTTCTCCGCCGATTTTCAACCCGAAACTGCGTGTTTTTTTCTATTTTTCGGACAGGATACGGTCGTCGACGACAGTGCATATTGGTGCTTGCGGACCCGCCCTGTTTGCGGACTTTCGCCCGACCATCGCACATTTTTTCGGCGGTGACCGACCGATCCAAACTCGCAAAAAAGCACTTTCCGAGCCGATTTTCGCACATATTTCTGGCAAGAACCAATAGAAAAGGTCCATTTCATCGTATTTCATCGATTTCTTGCCATTTTCCCTAGGAAAATCGACTGTTACGGGCGATTTTTCGCGATATCCTTTTTGTACTGATAATCGATATCAGTCGTGAGACTTTGTTGCATTTATAGTTACTGAAAGTTTTATCATTTTCCCCTTATTCTTTCAACTCTCAGTTTTACTCTGAATTTCCTCCCCAAACCCAGTGGTTTTTGCTCATTTTCTGTGAGAAAGGGAAACAAAGAAGAAAACCACTTGAAAATCTAATTTCCACTCAATTTCCCCTCGAACTTCTTTTTTTCGCTGTTTCTTCTTCATTTTCTTGTTTCTCTTCAATTTTTCCCCAACAACTCTCATTTTTCAGTCGAGACATGTCGGCGGGCGAAGAAGTGTTCGCGAATCCGCTGCAATCGACCGACGAGGACTCGACGGCCGAAATTTCGCTTTCCGACGAAACTGAAGACACTTTCCGCACCGCCCGCACCGATTTGACCGTCAAGGAGGTGCCGACAGAGCCAGAAGACGTTCCCGTCGCTCGGGAGAATCGGGTCAGTCGGAAACGGATGGACATATGGAAAATTCGGCGAAAACGCTGAAGAATGACGTAGATTGCAATTTTCTGCTCATTTTCCCGGTTTTTCAGTCAGAACGCCCCCGTTTTGGCTACAAAAATGTAAATTTTCTGCAAATAAAAGTGCGGAGGAATGATAAAACTGTGAATATTGTACTTGTTTGAGAGGCGTCAGACACCCTATCAATTGGCCCCCCACGTATCACGACGAAATTGACAGTTTTTGTCCTCTTTGTTTTCCATTCCCTCAAAACCATGTGATTCTCCTGGTTTCTCTCTTTTCACTATTGATTTTCATCTGAACATTGTCGTTTTTCAGTATCGAACCGAAGAAATCAATATTGATATGGACTCGGCCGACGCGATTCTCGTCGATATTTCCGACGCGCTCTCCGAGAGGGATAAGGTACTGTTTTTTTTAATGAATTTCTCAGGAACAACACTAAAATATGAGACTCATAATTTTGCAGTTTTCTGAAAGGAGATGCCTTTTTTGCCTTGTTTTCAGTATGAAATTATTGATTTTCATAAGAATTCAATTTTCCAGGTGAAATACACTGTGCACACACGGACGCGGCTCCAGGACATGAAACCGGAGACGGCGGTGGTCCGGGAGCACGAGGAGTTTCTCTGGTTGCACGGCGTTCTCGAGGAGAACGAATCCTACGCCGGCTTCATTGTAAGACCCATTTTTTCCCTGATAAAAATGGCCGAATTCTCATTTTGCCCAGATTCCGCCAGCACCGCCGAAGCCGAACTTCGACTCGTCGCGCGAAAAACTGCAAAAATTGGGCGAAGGTGAGGCGACGATGACAAAAGAGGAGTTTTTGAAGATGAAACACGATTTGGAGCAGTTCGTTTCATTCTTTGTTCAATGAAAACATTTTAAACATTTGCAGAGATTATCTGGCGCAATTCAAAAAGACGGTCGCAATGCACGAGGTTTTTCTGCAGAGAATCGCCGCGCATCCCGTTTTTAAGAACGATCAGAATTTCCGCATTTTTCTGCAATACGAGAATGAGGTGAGTCGGAGAAAGGGGTAAAAATAGATGATTTTTCAAAATAAACCATTTTTGCAGCTGGCCGTGCGCGGAAAAAACAAGAAAGAGCAGGTGGAGTCGTTCTGGAAGCGTTTCACGCAATCGGCCGACGAAGTGCTCCTCTCCGGACAGAAGGACGTCGACGAGTTTTTTGAGAAGGAAAAGAGCTACATGGTCGAGTACAATGTGCATATCAAGGAGGCCGCCGCCAAGTCGGAGAAAGTGATCAGCGCCAGGAAAAGTACTGAAAATTTGGGAATTTTCTAGATTTCTAGTGAATTTTTGCAGATGTCGTCATGGCGTTCTCGAAAATCGGCGACAATTTCGAGCGAATCGCGCGTGGAGAGCCGAACAAGAAACTAGCGAGAACGTTTGCTCAGGGAGCCGATGGAATGTTCAAACTCAAAAAAGTGGGACCATTTTAGATGAAAATCTGAAAGTTGTGGCCGTGGCCTAGAGAAATCCTAGGTCATGGGATCTTTTATGAGTTCGGCACAGTCCTCAGACGTTGCCAACTGCTAACAGAGAAGAGTTTTGCACACCCAAGTTTTCTAGGCTACGGCCACAACTTTAACTGTTCGCTGTTCCGTTTTTGGCATTTTAGAGAGTTGGGACTCGGGCAGTGTATGACAGACACAAAAATGTTATAAAATTTGAGGGTTCCCTGGTCCGTTCTTAAATCCTCCTGAAATGCCACAAGTTTCTCTGGCTTTCAAATAATTGTGAATTTCAGGTGGAATCGCGTGCGGCGAACGACGAAGAGCTGAAACTCGGCGACACTCTTCACTATTTCGCGCGTGACACGCAGGCGGCCAAAGATCTGCTGTACCGTCGGATGAGGTGTCTCGCCAACTACGAGGCGGCCAACAAGAATCTGGAGAGGGCCCGCGCCAAGAACCGCGAGATTCCCAAGGTGATTTCGGGGAAACAATAGAGTTTTCTGTGATTTTCTAGCCACGCCATTATTTTTCTAGATTTTTCTCAAGTTTTCCTCTCAATTTCATTTTTTCGCTTTCAGGCAGAAGCCGAACAGACGGAAGCGTGCAAAAAGTTTGAGGAAATCACGGGATTAGCAAAAACAGAGCTGAAAGAGCTGAAAGTGCGCCGGGTGCAGGCGTTCAAGAAGAATTTGACCGATTTGGCCGAACTGGAGATCAAGCATTCCAAGGTACCCTTTTTTGGCCAACCTTTTCGTTGGCCGGTCCTTGTCCTGGACTTTTAACCCACTTGCAATAATCGGATCGGACCCAAACTTTGCAGGTTTCTTGGACATGGATTGAAGTAAACTGCGTCCAAATTTCACTCGGCTAACCTCTGTAACTTTTGCGCAAATCTTACGCAACTTGCCAGCTAATGGTGCGTAACCTTCGCTCTATAGTTGCAGAGGCTTGCCGAGCAGCCCGATCGGGACCAGATGATCCGATCGGGCTAAAACTTGGACCCAAGATACTTCAATTAGTGCCCAAGAAGCCGGCGAAGTTTTTTCGATCGCATCATTGCAAGTGGTTCAAGAGTCCAGGTAAAGGGTCGGCCAATTGCCCAGCCCTGGGTTTCAGGCTGAAAATAAAAACACAATTTCCAGGCCGAAATCTCACTTCTCCGCGACGTTGTCGACCGATTGCGAAAGAGCAGCGAATAAGGAAGTATGTAAATTATGCTCACATGTAATTTATTCGTTTTTTTTCCCGAATTTATCTAATACCTCACAGATTGGCTGCTTTTTTTCCTCTTCAAAAGTGTCTTGATGGATTTTTTTCTTGTTAATTGTTTCACCTTTTTTTGTAAATCCGATGGTGGTGGTGATTTTTGCCTTGAAAATGTGATTTTTACAGAGAAAATGGATAATTTATTTGTATGTTTCAAATTTTATTGTAATTTATTCCCGGGTCGCTCAAAAACTCCGCCCCATATGAGAATTTTGCGAATTTTCATGGCTGTCCCTCTCTGAATTTCCACACACTCTTTCTTTTTCTTTTCCCCCTGTGAATGATGATGATGATGATGATGATCCGATTATTCTGAATGTGTTACTGACGAACTATACAGCGGTCGTTGTCCCCCGCTCTCAATACCTTTGAATTTGTGAATATGATACATAATACTTGTGTATCGAGTGTGTAGGTGAGAATTTTGATGGTTTTCCGAGTGTAGAATGGGTGGGAATGGGCTAGGAATTGAAAAGCCAGGACTTTTGCCCACTTGTAGTGATCCGATTGAGTCCAAACTTTACAGGCTTCTAGGACAAAGTTTGGGTCCAATCCGATCATTGCATTGCAAGTGAGTCAAAAGCCCAGGCTTCAAGAAACCTGGGCCGAAATTTTCCTGGCCCTGGATTTTTTGAGCTAGAGTTGAGTCCAAAGAACAGAAAAAAAGCTAAAAATAATGATCGAGTTCAAGATTAGCGGTTCGAGAAAGTTATTTATAAAAGGATCCTATCATCTTTTTCTTTTCTCCTTTTCCGCTTCCTTTTCATATTTCCGATGATATCATTGAAAAGACCAAATACCAAAATCTTCTCTCCCTCTCTCTCTCTCTCTCTCTCTCTCTCTCTCTTTTCTGCCCCGAAAAAGAAAAAGTGCGAAATATTGTAGAAGCGGGGGCGTTTCTGAGACGATTTTTGAAGGTTTTCGAGCCGCAAATTGTCTCTCTTTCCTATCCATTTTTTGTGAGCGGAAAACTTCGTTTCCCTATGCCTTTGATACGATTTTGTTTATGTGAAAACACGACTTGTTCTATGCAAAGCGTACAGTTCATTTGAATCTACCAGGGCTGATCGAAAGGCCGGCCCAGGCTTTTTGAGGCGTGGACTTTTGGGCCACTTGTAATAATACCATCGGACCCAAACTCTGCAGGCTTCTTAGACTTGGGTTTAAGTTTATTGGGTCCAAGTTTCAGTCGGATCGTCCGGTCCCGAGATATGTGGATCGGTCTGAAACTCGATCACGATATACTTCGATCAAAGTTCAATATCAATTGCAAGTGGACCAAAAGTGCCGGTCTTTTGCCCAGCCCTGAGCTGCAGTGTATTTCTCTTTAAAGAGCGCTTTCTTACTAAAAATCAAAGTATACACATTTTTTCCAACAAAAGTCATAGATAAAACATTTTCTCAACTTTTATGATCACTCAGTTTCTAGAAATTTCGTCGATTTTTTCTTTGAACATGTTGAAGTTTTCCTATTTAGCGCGTAAGAGAACCCCATGAAAATTGCATTATTTCAATTTCCCTATACAATTTTCTTCAAACGTCCGTATTTTGCACAGATTACGCGCCTGACGTCTTTGAAAAAGTCGGGCGACTGCGGCCGTCCGCCTAGGAAAGTGAAGGCGGAAGGCGTGATAACGGCTGAAGTAAAGAAGCGCAGTTCGTCTTCTCTGTGGACAAGAAGGTGTCCAGCGGCCTGTTGTCTCATTCGTCTAGGCGAAAGCAACACATTTTTTGCAATAAGAAAGAGTACGGAGACTAAAAGTTTATTGCTAGTCAAGTACTTGATAAGAATACCCAATTGTGAACATAAATGCTATAATAATCATCTCAAACACTATCGCTGACATTATGCCTGTTCCTTTACAATTTTTGAATTTTGACACTAAGACTTTGAAATTCTACGTTAACGAAATGAATAAGGTCTCAAGACACCGTCTTTTCCACAGAGAAGAAGGCGTCCTGTGTCTTTTTATCTCAGCCGTTATCACCGACTTTCAATGGCGTCCGGCTGCCTTTGCCTGGAAAGTTCTTCTCTAAGGCGAAGCGGCCTGCGGTCAGTCCAGAACAGATACTAGAAGACTCGACATTTTTGTGTTTTTATGGATGGTCTCGAGGATACCGGAACGAAATTAAACGTGTCGAACTTTTTTCGGGAAACGTTTTACAGATTTTGGGACTTTGGGAACATTGAACTTCACTTTTAAAATATGTTCCTTTTTTAGTGCACGACACGTTAAAAAAGATGCCACTGACCTGTGAATAATTTGCAGAGTAGTCGAGAGAGCTCAAAGAACAGAGAGATAAGAAGAAGAAGAAGAAGTGGAAGGAGGAGAAGCAGAGCGATTTCTCCCTTTTCCTGCCAAATATGAGTTCGTCTAATTTGGCAGCCGCAGCCGGAGCCGTCTCGGACGTCTCCTCCACCGGCGGCACAATCTCGTCCGGATTCGGAGGCCATTCCGACACGATCGGCTCCGTAAGCAGCGGAAATTCGATCGGAGCTCCGGGCGCCGCGTCGCCGATCGCACAGGCGGTCGCCAATTCGGCGGCCATCGTCGCGCAAATCAACCCGGCCGACCGGTGGCCCACCGAACCCTCCGCCTACAAATTGGACGAATCGATCGGCGTCGGCGCCACCGCCACCGTTTTTACCGTACGTTTTTGGAACCGGAATTTGCAGAAAAATTGGCGGTACAACCTAATAGAACTTCTATTCTGTCGCAGTTCTATTAGGTTGTACGATGCGCGCTAAAAAGAGACAAAAGACGGAAAAAAAACGGCGCGGAGAAGAAGAAGAGAATCGAAAAGAAGTCACGTGGGTCTGCGCGGGGGGCACTGGGACACTGCAGATATGGACGAAAAGGAGGAGAAAGAGAAGAAGGAATCGTTTTTAGAGATACTTTTAATGTGAAAAGTTTTTTATTATGCCCGAGCGGCAATGATGGATGATGGACGGAATAGTATGATATTCGGGTGGAATAAGACATTTGGTCGCTGAAAAATTGATTGAAAATTTGACGGGGCCATTGAATAACTTCCTTCAGAGTCAACATTTCATTCAAGTTGAGAGTTCGAAATGAGCATTTGACTGCAAGCGCGCTCTACCGCAATCCCACGTGAAAACCCGGCCGCCATCGCGACTTTTTCCATGTTAGCAGTGCTAGCTTAGCACTGAATTCACGTGGTGTGCGGTAGAGCGCGATTGCAGTCAAATGCACCCCTAATGTACAGATCGGCCAAAAGAATCAATGCTTTTTTAACCTATAGTACCTTGGTTTCACGTCAATTTTCGCGTTTGCATCATAAAACTGCGCGCAGCAGTGGTTTAGCTGTCGAATAAATTTCATGGGTATTCGTGAGTAGTAAAGCGCGCCATAATATCTTTTGGCAATGGCGGAGCCAATAGCTATTCATATTATTGCGGTATCTTTCTTGGCAGTGGGGTGTTCACAGACTCTGTTGTGCAGGAATTGGAAATCTCCAAAAAGTATGGATTGACTTACATTTTTTCTCATCTTGACGCCAAAAAAACGGCAATGACCCACTGGATTGGGCGACGACGACACGACGAAAATAGGCGATCAAAGATTGCGCGCAGACGCGGACAGGGAATAAAAAGCGGAAAAAGAGAGGGAGAGGGAGAAGGAGAAGAATGAGTATTGTGTGAAGCACATCTGTATGGACGAGAGAGAGAGAGGGTATCACCATCACGTGATGAATGAAATAGTGAGAGAAAGAGAGAGAAGGAGGCATAGCTTTGAATGGATGGACGGACGGTACAGAGCAACACGTTTTGTATGGAGGGAGAAAAAACTGGAAGAAAAGAGAATTTGTTTGGAAAATGTGAATTTTGAGCCACTTGCAATCATCCTATCGGGCCCAAACTCTGCAGGTTTTTTGGACTTGGATTGACGTACATTGGGGCCAAGTTTCAGACCGATCCGATCATCTTGTCCCGAGATATGTAGAGATCAGAGGCCAAAAACCCGAGTACCACATATCTCGGGACCAGATAATCGGATCGGTCTGAAACTTAAACCCAAAATACTTCAATATAAGACGAAGAAGTCTGCAAAGTTTGGGCCCGATAGGATGATTGCAAGTGGGTCAAAAGTCTAAACCTCGGCAGGCCTTTTGCCCAGCTCTGAAAAAAAATCTGAAAAATCGGAACTTTTATCCAAGTTGTTTAATTTCCAATATCTTCATTAATTTTATTTTCCAGGCCTACTGTCTTCCGCGCAACGAAAAAGTGGCGATCAAATGCATCAATCTGGAAAAGTGCCAGACGTCGGTGGACGAGTTGAGCCACGAGATTCAGGTGAGAATTCACCGAACTTTTCATTTTTTCGCCAAGAAAAAGAGTTCAAAGTGTGGCAAAAGTGATGCAATTGTCCGATTCAGGCAATGTCGCAATGCAATCATCCGAACGTGGTCAGCTACCACACCTCTTTCATCGCCCAGGAGGAACTTTGGGTCGTGATGCGTCTCCTCAACTGCGGATCCATGTTGGACATTCTTAAACGGAAGGTTAAGGTCAGCATTCAGTCTCTTTTCTTCGTATTTTCACACTTACTATGAAAATTTGAAGAATGTTGAAGCGGAAAACGTATTTTGCTATTTTTAGGCCATTGGAAAGGAGCAGGCGCAATTCGGAGTGCTCGACGAGGTCTCGATTGCGACGGTGCTCCGCGAAGTGCTCAAAGGACTCGAGTATTTCCATTCGAACGGACAAATTCACAGGGATATCAAGGTGAGCGCGGCAAACGAATGCTTGCAAGATTCTCTTGGAGAATACGTTATTTTTAGCCAGTTTTTCCGGATTTTTAAAGTGTTGCATGGAATGGGGACCATTTAGTTTTCCTGAATCATGGTACTTGTGGCTCCCTTCGCCCGCGTCCCGACTGTTTGGATATCTGATTTGCCATTGAAGCGGAGAAAAAACCTGGGGGCGAGAGAAAGGCGATTAGCGTGTGAGAGATCAGAGACGCAGACGCGAGAGATTTCGCGCCTGCTCGCCCAGGCCTGCGTGAAGATTTTGGTCGGTTTTAATGGGTTTTATGCTACACACCGGTTACGGAAGCGGTTGCGAGACGGCCAGTTGCGAATCGTACATAGCATTATTGCAACATTTCAGGCCGGAAACATTTTGCTCGCCGACGACGGAACGATCCAAATTGCGGATTTCGGAGTGTCCGGATGGCTCGCCTCTTCCGGGGGAGATCTTTCCAGACAGGTTTGTCAATGACAAAACACCAATTTTCCACTCATTTTTTTCTCATACTTCTCAAAAAACGCCAGATGTAGAGCGGTTTTTTTTTGTCCAGATATATCATACAAAATACTAATCACATCGGTTGCAGAAAGTGCGTCACACATTCGTGGGCACGCCGTGCTGGATGGCTCCGGAAGTGATGGAGCAAGTGCAAGGATATGACTTCAAGGCGGACATCTGGTCTCTGGGCATCCTGGCGATCGAACTGGCCACCGGCACCGCGCCCTACCACAAGTACCCGCCGATGAAGGTGCTCATGCTGACTCTGCAGAACGAGCCGCCGACGCTCGACACGAACGCCGAGCGGAAGGATCAGTACAAGGCGTACGGCAAGAGTTTCAAGACGCTCATTCGCGACTGTTTGCAGGTACGCACGTTTTTGAAGATTTGTTCCCAGAATGTTGTACAACATAGGAAAAGACCTGAAAGACACTTTAGACAAGAGGCATAAGAACGCCGAACCCCTTAGTCTCTTTCTAAACCATTGTGGACGTTGCAAATTTTTACATATTTTTTTGCAGAAGGACCCGGCGAAGCGTCCGACGGCGTCGGAGCTCCTCAAGTACTCGTTCTTCAAAAAGGCAAAGGACAAGAAGTATCTGGTGCACACGCTGATCGAGAACCTCGCCTCGGTGCCGGTCGTCGCGCACAGCAGTTCGAAGAAGGTCGCGTCGGGAAAGTTGCGGAAAGACGCTCACGGAAACTGGGAGTTCGAGTACGACTCGCCGGAAGAGAGCGATTCGGACGAGGAAGACGGAGGAGAGGGCAGCGCGAAGAAGGAGAAAAAGGAGAAGGAGTCGTCGGGCGGTGCACAGACTGGAGCTCAGACGGGCGGCCAGGCATGCTCAGAGACTCTCAACATGGTGCTGAGAGTCAGAAATCAGCAGAGAGAGCTCAACGATATCAAGTTCGACTACACGAAATCCGCCGATACTGGTGAGGAGAACTAGATGTTTTGAAAATGTTGAACTAAAAAGAGAAATTATCCCCGAAAATGAGGCTCTAAATCAATTTTGCAGTGGAAGGAATCGCGCACGAACTGGTGACCGCCGAGCTGATCGACTGTCACGATCTGGTGATTGTGGCGGCGAATTTGCAGAAATTGATTGATTTCGCCGAACAAAAATCGGATCGACGCTCGATTACTTTTGCGTTGAACTCGGGAGTGCACGCCAATGAGGTTTGTTGCAATTCTTGAGGTTTTTAGGGTTTTCGAAAGAGTTTCTGATCTCCTTTTAAGAATTTGACACCCCTGACTTATGTATTATCAGCCTGTGATGCTATTCTGGTCGGATTGACGTCGAGATGAGATGAAGCCGAAAATGCGCACTTTTTCGGCGCCGCAGAACTCTGATACATATATGTTTCCCGTCTATTTTTTTAGATGGAAGTCTCTGAAACTCCATGACGGAGGGATTTGTTTCAAGTGAAATTTTTTAGGATTTAGAGCTTTATTGTGCTTTTCTTGGTGTCCGGATGGTTTAGAAAGGTCCCTAACCCTTTCAAGTCCAAGAGCCGATTCGTTGTTTACAAATGTGAAAATGTCGGAGGCCTAGAAAACCGCGCGTTAATTATACTTTTATGCTCTGACAATTTCATTCGAAATGTCATGCGGTTTGGCGCACGCGACCGACGTACTTCATCTGAATATGCGCACACACATACACTCACTGACAAACGGATGACGTCAGCGCATTGAAATCGGAAATTTGAACTCGAAAACCACACCCCACGAAAAGTAGCACAATATTCAATTTTTGGTATGTAGCACGGAAAGTCCCTTTTTCTACGGCGTCTAGCAACATATTATCCATTCCTCGGCTCAAATGCGGATTAGCCTGAAAGAAAAAGAAGGCGTAACAGCCGTGCGGCGGGTTTCTCTTGATGCGAAAACTCAAATCTCGCAATTATGGAATTAGGTGCCTTGCGCGGTCCTCGGAGATCTCAAGCTCTGATTTCTGTGTGCTCCACGCGCACCTAGATTAGAATGCTCGGGCCGCGGGCACAGATGGAGTGATTAGTCGACGACACCTGGCACACGCCCGCCGGATATATCCTACGAATGGGTGTCGAATGTCGGCGGCGACGGCTCATTATAGATTATAGAGCTCGGGGTTTTTAATTGGGGCACAACGGAAGGACACTGTTTGTGAGGCTGAGGCTGAGATTAGGAAGGGAATTGAACGGAGCGTTTGGGATTGTCGAACGAGGCACAGAAAGCCAGGTTCGGCATCGCACCTGTAAAATCAAGGCAAAAAAATGCGTCGTAGAACAATTGATGTTTTACGCATGTCAAGTAAAGGACAGTCAAGTTAATGCATCAATCTTGTGTGAGAAAAAACGAATCATGCCAGACTTGCAAATTTTTAGAAAAGAATGAAAGTTCCCCCCACTTCGTTCGATTTTCTTTCTCTCTCTTTCAAATTAACCATAGTTAGTTCTCCTTCTCCGTCTCGTTTGTATACATTCGAAGGAAAAACATTGTTTGTAGCGGGTGACGATCATGCTGATGATGATGACTGCCAATAGTAATCGGCCTTGAAGCGGCGAATTTGTTCTCGAATTTGACCCTTATCATGTAAAAGAAGATGAAAAGTGCGCACTTTTTTCTGCTGAAAAGTTTGAGAGATCTTTTCACAATTCGATGTCAGAACTAGAATGAAATCAGCGTTATCAAGTTCGCTTTTGGCGAAAACCAACCGAAACCAGTTTTCCCATCGAAAAAAGTGGTTGGAGACGATTTTTGAGCTCTTCTGGAACTTTTATGGAGATATTGTGAAACATCACTGCACTTGGCCTCGTGCGAACCCATGGGAAACACTTTGATCAGAAGGTATCTTTGGTTTTTATGTGATTTCAAGCCAAGAGCATTCTTTGCAAGATTATCAGTTTTGGTATGGATTGTGTTTAGAGAAACTCTAAGCCGGATCGGATTATTTGGCGTTGGGGATATACTATAGCTTCGTGAAAAGTGCGGTCATTTTAATACATTCCAACAACTGATAATCCGGTCAGATTGAAAGTTTCACTGGACACACTACATACCAAGATTGAATAATCCTACAAAAATTGGGTCCGATCGGATGAATGATAATAGCGGCTGAGTCAAAAGTCTAGACACCTCTTCTGCTGAAAATCAAACCGAAAATAAAGGGCTTTTGTCACCTTCTAGACATATTCTGATCAAAGTGTTTCCCATGGGTTCGCACGAGGATAAGTGCAGTTTTATCCGAAAATAGCACTTGAAAGTTCCAGAAGATCTCAAAAATCCCAAAATCCACGATTTATAATCCATTTTTCGATTATGTAAAAAGTAGTTGAATGCAGGAGGTACGGAAATTGCGAATAGATGGATTATCTGCGCGGGTGACCGGAAACTGAAGGATTTCACTCGCATTTATACTAATGACGTACATGTGCTCTTTCCCATTTCCTGCTCAAATCCGCTCATAGTCTGATGGAGATGCTGTGGAGAGGAGTGCACCCGATAAACAATAATAATAATAGGGGAAAAGTAGAGAAGGAAAGGTATAATCAGAGCAAATCAGCCGACATTATACTGATCACCAGAGTTGAGCGGAAGAACTCAACGGAAGAAAACGGAAGAATTTTTATCTTTTTTAGAACATTGTTTCATGAAATGTGATCAACTGACGAAATGTATAGCAAAGTGAACTCTGCTCACAAAAAAATAATTGTAAATTTAACTTTTCATACAAAAAAGTTATTCGAGTTCCGTGAAAATGTCCTTCCGTCTTCCGTTGTCCTTCCGTTAGCCCTTTTTTCACGGAACAACTCGAATAACTTTTTTGTATGAAAAGCTAAATTTACAATTATTTTTTTATCAACAGAGTTCTCTTTGCTATACATTTCGTCAGTTGATCACATTTCATGAAAAAATTTTCTGAAAAAGATAAAAATTCTTCCGTTTTCTTCCGTTGAGTTCTTCCGCTCAACTCTGCTGATCACTTTGAAAATGGCAAAGTCTAAGTGAGTGGGCGGCGTTGAGAAAAAAATTAGCTCAAATTGCGGTGTTAGATTCGGAAAAATGTTGTTGGGAGAGTTGGCAAGATGCCAACCGACTGGACAGAACACACAATGACTCCGTATCATCGCTTTGCGATTTTCCGATTAGTTTAGTTGTTTTTTCGGAAAAAGATATATATATATTCAGGTGATTTTTCACCTGCTTTTCTCATCTCAATTTCCAGTTTACCAGAAACACAAAAATCGACGGAGCTCAGAAACTCTTTCAAAATCGTTTTCCCCAATTCGCATCAAATTCTTCCAACTAAAATCGACTTTTTTGCAGGTGCCCGACGAGCGGACGCTGACCGGATTTGCCCAAATTTCGCTACTCGACTGAGCATCAAACGGACGGCGGAAAATGGCTCATTTTTGTGTGTGTGTAAATTTTTCGGAATTTTTCTCGGTTTATTCGCCGAAGATTTCCGCTAGATTTTTTCTTGTGTTGTTGTTTTTTGCGGCCCCCTTTTTTAATTCTCAAATTAGGTTTCTTCGTGCCCCCCCCCCCCTCTCCTCTATAGTCATTACTTTTAATGGGAAAAGTGGGCGTGGCCTATACGAAACCCCGCCCCTTTCTCCACGCCTCCGTTTTTCATTTGTCGTGTGATTTTTCGCTCCCCTCCCCCTAACCCATTTTTCCGCTCTTTTTCAGACCATTTTCAGACAAGACAAAAAATTTGTATAAAAACAATCGAGTGTTGCCTTTTCGTCCCTCTAATGTTTCGCTTGTTCTTTCTTTTCCCCTTTCTTTTTCCAACTAATCTTCCCCCGCCCACGTACCACACACATACAGAGAGAGAGAGAGATAAACAAGAGAACATGGCAGAATAAATTTTTATAAAATTTATTACCCCTCCCTCCTCCCGCCCATAATTTTTTTGCACTCGATTTGGACCCTTCTCGGACCCGCTCATCCTTTTCTGAATATTTTTAAAAATGTTGCTCTGTTTACAACTATCGTCACCTGTGAAAGCGTGAAATATTGCTCAGTGCTCCGAAACCCCCGGCTCTAATGAGGCTAATCAGTGGAAAAAGGGGCGGAGCCTGCGACATTGAAACGTTTGATACTCAGCCGAGCAGGAGCAGAAGCAGCGAAATTGTGTTGAGCCGTGCCGCCGCACTTTCGACGTTTCGGATAAGCCATTCTGTCGCTTCGAAATATTCGAGTGGAAAAACTAATATTTCTAGAAGACAGCTGAATATATATTGTGAGTTTCACTTAGCGCGGAGCCTAATCGTGCGGAGTCCAGCAAGTTTACCTTTCGAGAAATAAGATCAAAAACCTTTAATTTCGGCTCTCACGGGATCAGTACACGTTCCCACGAATAGCATGTGGTCGAGGTGTGAGAAAATAGAAAAATGTTCCGTTCAAGGTCTCTTTGCTTTGTGACGACCTCGGCCCGAACAAGCAGCTTTTTCAAATTGTACATTCACATTACAGTAGCCGCGCAAAAGTTTGTCAGCATGCAATTAGTGTGTCTAGAATCTCGAGAAGCGTTGGCGGAAGAGGCGTGTAATTTGTAAATCGTTTTCCTAAACGAAAAGTTTAGAGCCCTTTTAGAGCATTTCAAATGTCAAATCCCCGTGAATTTTGATCACCAGAGCACAAGTCACACTTTTGAAATCCGTTGCGCATCAGTGGTTTGGGGGCTCACGTGCCCTTCCTTCTTCAAAGTTTCCGCTGAAAAAGTGTAATTAGGTGCAGACTTTTTTTTTTCTTGCGCTTTTTTTTTCTCTATTTTTCAACTGTTGACAATACGTTTCAAATCAGCATAGCCCATTTTTCCAAAGTCTTGACAAAAGCGCTTTCCTATAGTAATCGTTTCTCAGAATCAGTAAAAGGTAGGCGTGCTCACGAGTCCTTCAACATTTCTCACCATATAATTATGTGGGTTGAGCCTAAGCCAGCATACATCTCCATCAGAATCTGCTATATAACATTCGTAATGCTTTGGCCCCGAGCTCCAGGCTACATCACTTTCAAGCACTGATCCTTTTCCGTTCAGCATCACAAGACCTTCAGAGTGACATCCTGTAAAAGCACGCTTTCCAATAGCGATCCCGGATATAGATTCGGTTAATCCAACCTCCAGCCCGATCCGATTTTCAAATTTCCGGTCACCTGCATCTTTATCCTTTCCTCGTGAAAACTCAAATTTCCTGTTGTGCACACTTTTGGGCTTTTCCGCTGATTAAAGTGTCTCCCATCGGTGCTCACGCGCGAATTAGTACCTTGTGATATATTATACGTACGTACGCGATAACCAAAATTGCGTTTTAGTCGGTGATTATGAGTCAGAAGCTGTCCCTGATTAGCACTCGGCTTACGTATTCTCAAATCCGTATGATAAGACTAATCGTCGTCTGGTGCAAACTACATACAAAGCTAGGTTCCGTGTAATTGCCAACAACAAACTTTTCGAGAAATGAGATCTGAAAACTTTGATGTCAATTCTCACGGGTACTCACGAGGTCCAGTACATGTTTTTCAACGTGCTCAGAGGGGCCAGAGGTGTCTCCCAGGGATAAGGCAGCAACAAGTCCGTTGCCCGCTCTGAGCATTCCAGATTCTGTAAGACTACCGTTGTTTTCTGGAAGTATGGGATGACCCGTCTGAGACACAAGCTAGATGCCTCCTTGCAGCAGTTGACGAGTTGCGTTCAAGGTCTCTTCGCTTTGTTCGGGTTGATACGACCTCGGCCCGAACAAGCAGCTTTTTCAAATTTCTCTTCTTTTTTCTTCTTCTTCCTCGCTATACGGGCCGAAAAGAGACATTTTCCTAAGCGTACATCTTGAACACATGCAATTCGTGGAAAATGTACTCGTCCTTGTGAGTTCGCGTGACAAAGGACATCAATGTTTTCAGATGTCACTTCTCGAAAAGTTTGTTGTTGGCAAACACACTTTTGTTGTCAAATTACATGTTTTGTATGATGGATTTGATGGATTTGAATATACGGAAGCCGTGGGCTTATCAGTGACAACTTCTGACTCATCATCACCGACTAAAAAGATATTTATGGTTAGAGCTCTACAAACGTTTTTCGGCTTTTGAACCTTATCCGTTTTTGGCCTAATGCCTAATAATATTGCAAAGTTCGGTTCCCATCGACTATTTGTACACAGCGGTACGTTGCCATTCGAAAAAAGGGCACCAAACAATATACATACACTTTTGTGTGAATACATATACACAATTTCTTTTTTGATGTAATGTCACCGGGCTCTCGTTTTTACACAAGCGGCATGTTGGTCGAATGACTCAAATGGCACAGCTACATATTTGGTGTCACTAAAATAAGGGTAATTAGGAGAAGTCTAGGAAGGGACTGGCCGAAATCTCAAATTTCTTCGTTGTGTGACATTTGCTCAAAAGTTTTAAAGTGAATGAGTAAGTAGTATCTGTTCAAGAGAGGTTCTCACGCACATTTGTCTACTGTAGTATAACCAGTTGTGTGGCCCATTGTAAGTGACAAAATTGACACGTTAGACCGTATTTTGTTGTCTCACCATTTGAGAGCCTCAATTGGCGCTCTGTTGAGAAACCCCACAGAGCGCATTCACTTTGAAATGCGCCCTTCTAGTAATAATCTGTTTTTACAACAGTAAACGATTTTCTGGCTGACTACTATTGTTCACACGAGACAGTTGTTGACGGAGACTCCCAATATTACAGTCTACGGAGGCTCACGAAAAACAGGAAATTTTCCGCTTGAAGTGACTCCACGAAAAGAAAAATTTGTAACGCGCGCGCCTAATTGAGCGATCCTATAAATACGTAGAGATGGTGGCACTGACTCCCATTCTTCCTACATTTTTCACATAGCCTACTTTCCGAATAATCATTCAAAAGTCGCAATACTCATTTAGAAGTAGCGGAGGACTTTCATTCACTCTTTTCTTTCACGTAGCTTTAATTATTACGAAATCAGAAGCTCTTACACGCTCACACACACACACACGCATTCACAAACGCGCATTCCTCTCTACTCTCTTGCTGCACGTACTTGGTTGTAACACCCGCCAATATATCTATGCGACTGCCGGCCAGTGGCCAGTTGCAAAGAGAGAATGAAAGAGAGAAAAAGAAGAGAGGAGTAGGAGCCTCGCGGCGCCATCATTTCTCTTTTTTTTTCGCACAAAGTCACAAGTACTCTCACATACACATACACACACACACACCTCGTTATGATGAAGACGTTTTGCAACTGTCTTTAAGGTCTTGGTTGCGAAAAAATCATCCGGGATGTTTTGCAACCGACCTGCCTTGGCCTCATCTTGATGCAATGCCATTTTTGATACTGACAAACGGCTGAAAATAATGCGAAGCGACCTCAGGACATTTCGCAACCGATTGTCAACCCGTCACGCTAATTTTTTCAATCATCACTCACGTAAACGCCACTTTTTAAATTTCCGGACGACTGAAAATTATTCGGACGTTTCGCAACCGACTTTTTCCTCCTGTTAGTTGCAAATTGTTCTATGACAGCACATACTAGGACGTTTCGCAACCGATTGCCATCTCGCAACCGACCTGACGACCTGATCGCTCCATTATGAGATTTAGAGGACCGATAGATGGATGTAGATGTACATGGTGTCTAGATAAACCATACCGCACTGTATCTTGTTTTTTCTCTTGCCCCAGAACGGTGTGGACAAAACCTACTTTTTTGCGGCAAAAACGGAAAAAAACCCGGTTTTGACTGGAATGGACATCTCGCAACCAACATTTTTCTAATGTGGCTATTCAGGGATCTCGAAAATTCGGTTTTTTTCATATTTTGACATTGCTGTATGAGTTGCTCAATATAATATCACGAACATACAAACAGCAGGCTCTTGACCACCCATACTCGCTTCGCAACGTCTGTCTGTGTACATGTTTCCTCTTCTTCTTTTCCTCCTTCTCCTCAACCCGATCGGTTGATGTTTGGTGCAAGTGCGCCCCGTCTCACACCGTCCCGCTCTCGCTCTTTCTTCAGGTCGACGAGTGTCTGAACCCTCCACACACTCTCTCTCTCTCTCAATGAAGGAGACAGCATATCGATCGAGGAGAGCGTGTCGGCGGGAGAGCCGCGACGCGAGACACGCGACGCGTCGCAGGCCCGTCTTCGCGTTTCTCACGCACACTCTTTCTCTCTCGCACTGCCGCCCTCCGCTCTCTCGCTTCTTCTTCTCCTTTTTTTTGCCTACGCCATCCCATTTTGTTCCACAATTGACATGCGAACCTTTAACTGTTTTTCCATAAACGCATCATATTTGAGCGCCTCTATTAAACGATAGCAAATTTGAAGATGGTGTGAACTAACTGCACTCGGCAAATTTCGCCTGAAACCTCGAGCACACATGTTCGCGTTTTGTTCAAGTTCATTTGAAAGTCGCTATAAGTATAGTGATATTTTTGCTAGTTTTGTATTCGGACAATAAATTGATTAAAGAATTGATTGGATTTTGGGATTTTGTGATTTCTGATCGGTTAAACTTGATGTTTAGGTGTAACGTGGCAAAAATGTTGAGTGGGAACACAAATTGTTCTAGAAGCTTGAGAACTCTATTTTACATTAAGAAAATGATTTTCCGAACCTTTGTGACGCTTAAAGAAAACCTTACTGCTTTGTTCTTGTCGGTTTTTACAAGAGATCCTATACGTGTGTTTAGCAAATCTCTAATCTTTGACATCATATTCAGAATTTAAGAAAAATGTTGTTTGAGATTATTTTTATTCTGAAAGCATCAAAGCATCCCTGTTAGAAAATTCCAATTTTTATTTCCATTTTTCAATCATCTCCCTTTGATCTTTTTCACTTTCTCCTAGTTGAACTAGACTAAATACGATCCGATCTCGCTCTTAAACCCATTTCTGCCCATCATAGTTGAACAATTTCCAAACCACGATTTTGGATTGTGCCCTCAAAATCGTCAGAGCGCAGCTAATCTTTTCACATGCTTCACATGTTTCCGCCATCGACAATAGTTAGTGTTTTGTTTTCATAATAATGTGAGATATACTACATTTTATACTGTGAACTTTATCCTTTAATTTGTCAAATTGTGAATTGGTTACCATGGCAACCAATTTTTTCTTTTGCAATTTGCTATCTTAACAATAATAACGCTGTCATCTTTTTCTCGTAAACGTTTCCATCGATTGAAATTAATCGATTTTGTTGCAGTTTCCCTCGCCGCCCCTATTGTTTTCTATTGTCCGAATATCAAAGAGAGCAATGAGAAGAGAGTGAATCTGGAAAAAAAGAAGTTTTTCGAAACAAAAAAAAAGAGCAATCAGAAGCAGAGCAGAAGATTGAAAGTTTGAAAAGAGCGCCGCCTCGTTTTGGGCGAGCACAGTTCCGAAAAGGATGACGGAACGGGATATTGTAAGTTTGAACGAACTTTCAAATGAGTTTTAATCAAAAATGTGTTCAGAATGACAGAGCTCGATCACCGCCGCCGATCAGAGGACCGAGAACACCGGTGAGTTAAGAAAATTGTAGACAACAACACAGTGCAAGTATTGTAGCCTGACGAGCCGATGATCCAAGAACCGCAACCGTCGACATCCTACTATTATGCGCATCAGCAGTACGCGATGCTTAACAGCTCGATCGTCGGAGGTGCCGATCCGTCGGTTCCGCCTCCGCCGAACACTCCGCATCCGTCCAAGCGGTGAGTTTTCTTACTCTTTTAAAATGAATCCTGTCAGTAAAAGATTAGCACTCAAGTTGTGTATTCCATTGAATAGGGCGTAAGGAGTTGCATGCATTCCAAGAACAATTCAATTTTATTGACACAACTTGAAGTTATGAACATTCAAGAATTTCCAAATGTCAAACATTGTTCAACACTTTTAAAAAGCAGAAAACCCTTAATGTAAAAATAAACGAAACATGCATGTTTGCAGTATTCAAAACGAGAACGACGGCTACTTTTCGACGCCGAGACAAACGAAGCATGGACCGAGAACTCCGCCGTTGCCGCCGCCGCCACAGGATGTAATGTCGGCACATCAGTTTCCGTTCATGTTTCAGTATTAGTGAGTTCTTTCTTCAAACTTTGTGCTTGATTCTCAATGCCAAGTGGAAAATGAGACGATCATCAAAACGAACTATTTTGCAGTGCACCACCACCCGGATGGACTCACGAAATGATGCAAATGGCTCCGCCGGGCACATTTGCACCGGCTCAATATTTTCCACCACCAGGTACGATTACATCACTTTGATTTGGAAATTGACAAAAACTGATCGGTTGCCATGACGACCAATTGTTTCTCATCGACTTATAACTATCGGTTTGTGTGTCAAATGCTAAACTCTTAAACAGTGTTGTCATGGCAACGAAAATGGTTGACCTTAACGGTTTTAGGGACCACAGAGTGTTTCAAAAAAGTATAGAATCTGTCAAAATAAATGTGTTCCCCATGTTGACATTAATTAGTCTAACCCTCAAAGAGTGATGTAGTAATTCAAGAACCTTGCAAAACGTTTTATTTCAGGTCTGAGCTACCCACCGCCACCAATGCCGGCGCATCAGTTCATGCCGCCCGGATTGCACACGACCGTCTCCGCGCCGATCACCACCACCGCCACATCGTCGTCGTCGTCGTTCTACAAAGTGACGCCGGTCAATCCGCCGCCCAACCCGCCGTACCACTTTGAGCCGCCCGTCCCGCCGCTCCTAAGCCCCGCGAAGAAGAAGGAGTCGGAAGTTCCGCCGCCACCGCCGCCACGTCACTCGACAGCAGCGCCACCTCCGCCACCGCCGCCGCCACGCAAGTACAGACACGAGTACGAGCAGCCGACCTCGTCGTCATCCTCATCGTCGGATATGGTGTACGTGAAAGAGCGCATCCACGTTGTGCCGACGTCGACCGGATCGGCGACCACCGGCCACAACAGTGTGGTTAACGGAAGTGCGGTCGCCAACGGACGCACCGTCGCCATGTTGCCGTGGAGACGGAGCGAGAAGGAGAAGGAGTGAGTTTCGGGTGTATGCGTGAAGAGTACATTGGAACATTTTCTGGTGGTTTTCAACATCGAAACGTTCTCAGGCAAATCGTTATTAATCTGTGCTAGCTACCGAGTTCAGAATCTAGCTGGATGATTGTCCTATCAAAATACACTGATAATATTGTCAATTCTCATGTCTTCTTGGCAATAAGCCTCATTAGTGAGAGCCTATGGTTGCAAAACGTAATGAGATAACATTTGTTATAAACTAACCATTGTCTATCGATTGACATGCTTTCTGAACTCTACGCATTGAGGGCGTAAACAGAAAAGAGAGAAGCGCACGTATGCGTAGACGCAGACGTCTAGACACTAGCGAGACGGAAGCAAACTGAACTGGGAGGTCGAGTTTTCAATAAAGTTTATTTATTTATTCTCGTAGATAAGGAAATGAAAAACGATAGTATAGAAATGCACACTTGAAAAAGAAGAAAACGGTGACAAGACTTCCAGAAGATGTCTAGAGAAAGAGGCTCAATTAGTATCTGACAATGAAATATTGTTCACTTTTGCAGGTTCCCTCCACTTCCACCGCCACCGATCCCTCCGACGAATCTGCCCGCCGCGCCGCCCTCCAATGAGTTCATCATGGACGTGCTCAACGGCGCGCACGTCGAAACGCCGAAAAGTGCACCGAAAAAGAGAAAGGAGCAGCGGAGAGAGGTAGAGAAGACACATTTTTGGAACGACCCTAATTGTTGTGTTGCAGAGTCGTTCCTCACCGAAATCGTCGGCCTCAAAAACGCCGTCCACGCCGATCGCTGTCGCTTCGCCCGTTGCGTCCACGCAAAAAGAGGCGGAGGTTACTATGACCACACCGGCGCAGATCCAAGAAACGGTACAACTGGTGGCGGAAGATGATGGAGATGCCGAAGTGGCGATGGCGATGGAAGGGGCGGAGCCTCTGGCGACAGTGCTCGCAGGCACCAGATCGGAATGCTCGACACCCGGAGGACTCGGCGGCGTCCGGCCGCCCCAATTCAACCGCAGCTACCAGGATCCGGCGGAAGCAGGCGCGGCGGCACGACTCGGATCGCCGCTCGAAAGACGCAGTGCCTCGCAGCCGCCCATCTCGTCGTCGAGCCGCCGCGGCCACGGGTTCCGCACGAGAACTCGCGAGTCGAGTTCGCCGCCGCCCGACCGCTCCCGGCCACGCTTCCGATTCAATCGATTCGCGAAACGATCGACGTCACGCCGTCGTGCCAATTCGGACGAACCGCCGCGTCGCCGTGCGCCCGGACCACGCACCCCATCCGGAACACCGCCGCCCCGAGAGGAGACGGAGCGAGAGCTGAGCGCCAAGACACCGTTCTACACGTCGCCGTCACCGTCTTCCACCTACATTCCGCTCATTTCGAAATCGCCGAAAAAGCAGAAGAAGCGAAAGATGAAGCGTGTCGTTATGGATTCTGACGACGAAGATGAAGAGACAAAACGCGCGCGTATAGCGGCCGAAGAGGCCGAAAAAGCAAAGATCGTTTCGAGAACGTTCCTGCCCGATTGCTTCTTTGGTCTTCTGGGCGCTGCTGGTGCGGCCGCCGCAGGAAACGCGGAGAAAACAGAAACAGTGACGGCGCCCAGTTCGGTGGAGAAGCCCGAGGAGGAGCAGGAGCCGATGGACCTCTCCAAGTTCGAGGAGGCGTTGAAGAAGAGCCGCAAGAAGCAGGATCGGGATATTGAGGTCGAGTCGGAAGATGATCGAGTTTCCGCACCGGCTCAAGTGGCCCATGCGCCGAGTGGATCCGAAGATGCGTCGACTGAAAGTCCGAGCTCGGAAGCGCCAGAATCGCCGACGTTTTCCCAGATCAAGTCGGATACCCGTAACAGCAGCATTTCCAAGACGCCCGTCACGTCAACCACGCCGAAGAATGTGGATCTCAACGAGCGAATGAAGCAGTTCCGGATGCGGAAATTAGCGTCGACGCAGAAAAAAGATGGGGATTGGGTCGATGAACCGGTTGCTCCGCACGAAGATGTCGACAGATCCTGTGGATTCAGTCCGAGCCCCGAACCTCAAAACGAGCCCGAGCCCGAGCCAGAGCAGCACAATAACTATACCGAGGAGGAGCTGTTGCACGAGGAGGCGATGGAAGTGGAGGAAATTGTTCCGGCGGTGAATGAGGAGGTGTTGCTTGCGGAGCCGATCAACGAGATTGAGGTGTACACGGACGACGAGCCGATTGCCGAGGAGGTGCGGGCTCCGATCAGTCCAATTGCTCAGGACCAGCTTATGGATGAGGATGAGGAGTATGGTCGTGACGCCGACTTCTCGGACGAGGAGTCTGACGATGATTCGAGCGAGGTCCGCTTCAATAACACCAATGATTTCTTCCCGGATAAAAAGCCCGATGAGGTTGAGCCGATTCTCGAGCAAGATCCCCAACCGGAACCGGAACCAGAAGTTGAACAAGTACTAGTAGAAGAGGAACCAATCGTCGAAGAAGAGCCACCTGCCAAAAAGCCACGTATCGTCACAGAAGTCCCTGTTCTGGAAGGCGATCCATTTGAGATTATCACCGATCGAATTCAATTCAAATTGGAGGAGAAACCGATCAAGCTCGAGGAGCCGGCGCAAGCCCCAGCCGCCTCCACAGCTCCGCCGGCGGTTACTGTACTGGATGTCGATGATGACGACGATGATGATATTGTCGAGATTCCGATCGTCGCAAAACCGCCCGTCGCGCCGACCCCTATCGCCACGTCGACACCTCTCAAGCGGCCGCCCGTCGTCACAAAAGCGGCGCTGAAGCTGATTCCGCCGCCGGCGCCGCCACCGAAACCGCGCGGACGTCGCGGGCGCAGGAAGAAGAGCCCGAGCCCGTTGTCGTCGAGCGAGAGCCCGAGCCCGGTTCGAAAGATTGCACCGCCAACGCCCAAGTTTACGGCGCCGACTATGAGCTCGAGAATCGCTTCACGTCTTCTGGATTCGCCCCCGCCACCGGCACCGATTTCACGGCATATTCGAAGCGATTCGGTGCTCCAGACGAACCCGCGAACAGACCACACTACACGTCTCAACGATATTATGGCCTCGTCAAAGTATGCGGATGCCGTGTTCGAACGACTCGGCAAATTCAAAAATCATGAGATTTACACGTCGAGATCACCGCCCGAATCGGACAAAAATCGATCGATAATCATGCGAGCAAAATCGGCAAAAGTGGAGGAGAAGTCCGATGCGGAGGCGGACGACGTGAAGCCGAACGTGACATCTCTCAAACGACACTCGGATCATTTCGACGCGAGCGATCCGGCGAAACTGCACATTGAACTACTCAACCGACAACGCCTCGATCGGCCCGCGCGTCGTCCGTACGGGACTTCGTCGAACTCGTCGGGCGCCGCGTCGCGTGCCGAATCGCAAATGTCGGAGCGCGACGACTCGTGCATGCTCATCGGTCTCATGTCGCACATGAAGAAGGAGAACAAGATTGTGGATGTGGACGCGCGCACGGCGGTGCTCAGCAAAGTCGCGAATCGGGTTAAACAGCATGGATCGACGCACGCGCCGGGCGTCCAATCGGCCATCAAACTCGTGGAGATGGACGAGGAGGACGCGAAGAAGGGCAAGAAAAGGCAGCATCCGGACTTTGAGATGTCGAAACAGATTGCTGCCGACGCGGCCCTGAACCCGCACGATGTGTTTTGGCTAAAAGTGACGAGCAAGAATTTGAAGATGCTCACGCGGGAACACAATTTGCCGAAAATGGACACGCCGGTGAGTATGACAGAAAAAGTGGTGAAAATTGGACAAAATTTGTATTCTTTTCAGTTCCGCAAGTATGTGCGTGTACACAATCATCCGAACGGCGGCGCCACCATAATCAAGTGCGATCTGAATCGTGTCAAAGGCGAATTTCCGCTAAAGTGCGTTTTTCTGAAAAAAAAAAGAAAATATTGGATCGATTTTATCATTTGCAGAGTGGACATTGATCGCTTCGCGCGCCAATACATTCGTCTGAGCGTGTCGGAATCGAAGACGGGCGTGCCGATATTCGCGATTTCGGTCATCGAGAACGGCGCGACCGATCTGAAGGACTTTTTCGAGATGCTCGAATTGGAGAACGAGAATCTGATGGTGAAGATCGGAAGTCTGCTCAACAAGCAGGAAATCATCACGATTCCGCTCAAAGAGTACCGAAGAAAAGTGTTCGAACACTTGGAGGGCAACACTTTCCGGTAGGTTTAGATGAAGACAAACTGAATGGTCGACCAATAACTCTTTTTCAAACAATACGAAAAACACCGCTCTTGCCCCTCGGTGTTTGCGTACTCAAGACTAATTTCAGAAATGTTGGCTTGAGTCTGAAAACACCGAGGGGGCAATAGCGATGAATTGAGTTTAGCTAATTTCAGTGAAAAAAATACCAATATTCCGAGTGAAAATCCAAATAATCAAGTCTGGAAATAAGCATATTGCAGGTACGGTCCGATGATGGAGGTACAGATGGCGGGCGCGAAGAGCAATGACTCGGGCGGCGGCTACTTCCGCAAGATGCTCAAAGAAATCGAGAGTTCGCCGTTCATGAAGCCGATGATGCCGTGGGGCGAGTTCTCGCACACGAAAGGAGTGCATCCGAAAAAGCAGGACGACGGGCCGATCTTCTGGGTCCGTCCCGGCGAGCAGATGGTTCCGACGTCGAAAGATCGCAATACGTCGTCGTTGCGTTCCGTCGACCGCCGCGAACAACTGTTCCTCGACCGCACCGCGTGCCACGCGGACCAATGTCCCGACTCGAAGGAGAACGGACCCAAGTCGACAGCCGCCGCGGGCATTCTGCAGGGCATCCGCGACCCGAGCGACCCGTACTCGGAGGAGCAGCGCCGCGCCGTCAAGGACGTCGTCGTTTTCCACGGAGGCGACTTCTCAAAGGTTGTCGACGCGCTCCAACTCGACATTTACGAACCGCCCACCGCTCAGGTAAAAGGGGTGTGTATCGTTTGCTTCACTCGCTTCGTTTCTTCTCCTTTCAACCCCTTGGAAATAATAACTTTTAATGGACTCATTCAGTCGGGAAAGGACTCAAACGCTGTTCCGCAAAAATGAAACCCTAAAAAACGATGTTTTCCTGTTTTGAATTGAGCGTTTTTCGCCGACTGAATGAGCCCCTATACACGTCGCACCACCGATCTTCGGATCGAATTTCGACCCGCTATGAAAACGCGCTCCTTTTCGTAAGTAAAAAAGAAATTTGCAGAGTGCAGTGGAGTGCGTTTTCTCAGCGCAAATTTTGCGATCGTGTAATATGAATGCAATGCAATCCTCATCGTCATTTTTGGCTGCAGTGATCCATAAAAATTCCTCCTTACCCCATGCATGAACAGAAAAAGTTAGGCATGAGGCTGATGAGCTTTGACTTGAAAAAACTACGGAATGGCTTCTTTTCAGATGACATAGAAATTCAAAAAAACAACTAACACACCCTGAAAAATGCATACATGTTTTAACCTCCAAATGCGCCTTGCCACCTGAGTTCTTCCACCCCAGAAACCTATTTAGTCGTGTGTTCATTTTTTCAGTTAATTTCCATAAAAATGTGCAATTTTCAGGCTAGTTTTAGTAGTTGAAAACGTATTCTGAGTTTATAGTTTTTCCTCTCGCGATCGACAATCACAAATTGAATGCTGCGCTTTGAGAATGCCCGTCCTGCCTGCCTTTCATCTCTTTTGACTCTCTCTCTCTCTCATTCTCCGTTCATTCTTCTCATTTGTTGTCTCCTCTCATTGGATGCAAAAAGCGAACGACGCACCCCTTTTGCCCCCGCCACGTGGCAAAAAACTCGAGCTGACGCCTTTGATATTGTGAACAGTGGTCGTGATTGTGAAAATTGTAAAAAAAAAAAATATTAGTATTAAGGCTAGTTTTAAAGCAAGACTTTCGAACCTGGGACCGATCTCACGCTCGGCAGCGGCAAAGAGCCAAGTTATGATGGCTAGATTATCGATTAATTATAGAAATAGAAAATAGCATTAGAACACACAGACATAGTTCGATTTTTGAGAGTAAGGCTTATTCAGTGCATGTTTTAATTCGTTTTTTCGCTGATTTAAGCTTCTCGACGTAAAAAACACGCTGAATAAGTATAGTTTTTAAAAAAAACCTAGCGATGGTGGCTAGATTATCGATTGGTTCAGTGAACGTTGTTTTTTTGTTCCTTACGTTGAAAAACTGAATATAGCAATCAGAAAAACATGCACTGAATAACCATTTCAAGAAGAAAGATTGCCTTTTGTGAAGAAGCCTGAAATGATCCGTAAATCCGTACCTTTTCAGTTTTGCCAATGGTCACTAAAAAATGATTAACCGATATTAACCCGAAGGAGTATTAGTTGAAAATATGTGTTGATACCTAAAAAAAATAAACAATTTTCACTAATCCATCCCGTTTTTTCAGTGCGCCGGATGGCTCGAAGAGGCCAAACTCAACTCGTTGAGAGCCGAAGGAATTCGATGGGCAAAACTTGAGGTTTGTCGAGGAACTAATTGAATGCTGAAATCCCGTTTCTATTTGCAGTTGCACGAGAACGACATGTACTTTTTGCCGCGCAACGTGTGCCACCAGTTCCGCACAATCGCCGCGTGCACGTCGATCGCTTGGCACGTTCGTCTGCGTCACTACTACGAGACGAAGCACACGCCGAGCTTCCCGGATCCGGAGTTTGAGTGCAACGATCCGTACTCGGACATTGAGTGCGACTTTCAAAAATGATATATAATTACCTTTTCTTTCTCCGGCAATTTTAGTCGATAATTCATTTCTTTCCCCTCCCCTAAACCTATGGATATTGTTGTCGTCTGATCCCAGTTTTTTGTCTTTTTTTTTTGAACGCCCCCCACACTGATGAAATCTCATTGCTTTTTTCTGTACCTCATCCCCCCTATAAATTAGCGTTTTTTTGTCTAGCCGAAACATTCAACCTTTCCGTCAAAATTCGATCTCTTTGAAACAAAAATCCCACTCCAATTCGCCCGCCATTTTACCCCCCACCACAAACTGTTTGTTTTTAGAAGAAAATGTTCCAAAAAAGTCACCCCCCCCCCTCTAAAAAAAATCTAATTATGTGATTATCCCTCTTCCGAAAATTCAATGTTTTCCTCTTGAATCCCCGTTAACTTTGCTGATTTTTGATTTTCAACTCTTTTTCATCGTAGTCACCAGTTTTTGCCTGATTCTTTTTATATTTTTGTGTGTGTTCCTCTTTGTCTCATCATATCCCCTCCCCCGAATACCAAATCGATAGAAGTTAGATGTTCCTCTGTCCTCCCCCCCCCCAACCTGTTTTTTTTGTTCATTTTTCCGCATTAATTATGATTTACACCACACCGCAAGACGATATTTTTTAACGAACACACGCCCCCAAGAATTATGTTCCTTTTTTTATTTAGTGAACACGCATTTCAGTCAATAAATATTGCTGTATATAGTTTTTGTCTTTTTTGTCTGCCAAAATGTTCAATTTTCTTGATAGTTTTTTGCTACTGTCGCCCTAAATTACAAAAAAAAACAACGAATAAATTTATTCAGGGGCTAACACATTTTACACTGAAAACGGACAATGACTTCGAAAGAGTGGGCAAAAAATCACAGCGATGTTGAAAAAAGAACGGGTTAGTCTGGAAAATAGTTTAGTTAAGCACAAGGAAACGGAATTCAGGTCTATGGCATTCAGAAATACAACAAAATGATTTCATCGACGAGGCGGACGATTAGCACCGTTTGTACCAGAGAATGTAGGCGAGCGACGGCTGAAAAAATCGCGTTCTTTAACGGAAAGTGCAATTTTTGGATAAAACACGTACGTCAACAGAAAATGAGCTAATCGGACGGACACTTTCATCGTCGAATCTCAGCCATCTATCGGCGCGCAAATGCGCGGCCACCGACGTGTAATGGCCCGAATTGAGGCGTCCGTTGTGAATCTGCAAGACATTTGCTTGAAATTTACACAATTTCTTAATGGAATAAAGCGATGAACATGTTTTCTATCAAATTTGCTCGAAAAATGTTATGAAACCCTACCGTGGTCGCGTACAGCTTGTAGTACGGTCGATCCGGCGCAGCACTCTCGTGCAGGTACGGTCGGACGTCGAATCGTTGCGGATCGAACGTGACGGCCGCAGAGTTCTTCTCGAAATCACCGTTGAATAGGGCGAAGCGTTTCAGATGGATTACCTGCAAAAAACAGATAAAATACTGAAGATAGGCGTTGGTTTTCCCAGGTTCCCAATTACAAACAAATTCCTGATTTTCAAGACTTTTTAGAAAAGTTAAACGGCGAAATGCAAAGAGCTGGACTAACTTTTTCTAGTCCTCACAATCTAATTTTCGCAGGTGAATCGCGGATTACACATTATGGGACCACCGTGGCGCATGCCCCATTCTGGACGCATATACAATTCCTATGACTTCCACGCGCGGTCCGTGTCCCGTATATTGGATCCACGTGGGTGACATTTTCTCGCCGCTGTGGACCCGCGTGGGCGCAAAATGGGGCGCACAATGGACCCATATACTATTCCTTACGGGTCCGCCGCGATTTATCTGTGTTTGTCAATTCTTTACTCGGTTTTATTCCTGGACGCACATTTTTGCAGAATTCCAAACATATCAACTCACCAAAACTTTGGGCAACGACCACAATTTCGATCGGCGGGTACTGGCGCGGGGTGTCTTGCATTTCGGACAATTCCAACGAGAATCTCCGTCCAGAACCTGAAAACAATGGATGTTTTTTTAAAGTTTAGAACAAAAATTATGTACCGTCTCGGAGAAGTGCGACTTGAGGCAGCTGTCGAGTGTGCACTCCCTCGTCGACGTCAATTCCACCGATATTATCGTGCTCTCCTCGAACGTCGCCGACGATTCGCCGCACGTTTGACACCGAATTTCCGACACGGAGAGGCCCTGAAAAATGTTCGTTCTTTTTCAATTCACAAGAATCAGCTTAAAATATGAATGCAAAACACCTGGGGAACAGGTCATTTTTTAAGGAGACAGACCCCCAAGCAACCAATTCCAGAAACACAAATAAAATTCCTACTCCAAATATTTGATTGACTGGCGAATTCGAGAATTGTCGCTGTTTTTCGATGAAATCCGTCGCCTCCCGTTTGATATTCGCTCCTCCGCGGTAGTTTTGCTCGAAACTGATTCGGCGGGCCTAAAAAACCAACAATTTCCATTGAGAACTTTTTTTTTCGATTTTGTTCAAGAACGGCTTTTGTGCTCGATGTGCTGATTTTCCACTCGCTATTGTCAAAATCTACAGAATTCAAGCGCCAGTCATTCATTTTTTGACAAAACCGACTGGAAAATCGGCACTAATTAGCAACAAAAAAAAAACCGTTGAAATATAAAAATCGTAAATTATACCATATTAGTGTCCTCGTGAAGTGCGTCGAGCAGGAAAATCTGAAATTCCGACGCGTCGTGTTGTCGTCCGTCGGAAAGTACGCTCGAGACGGTGTCGGCGAACAGTTGCTGTAGAAAAAAAGCAGAGTTTTTGAAGGACTGCCTAGCTCTGATCTTTAGGCCCACTTGCAATAATCCCAGCGGAACCAAACTTTGCAGGCTTTTCCGACTTGGATTGAAGTATATTGAGTCCAAGTTTCAGGTCTAAAACTTGAACCCAATATACTTCGATCCAAGTCGAACATGCCTGCAAAGTTTCGATCCGATCGGATTGTTGTAAGTGACTCAAAGATGCTACAACGTTCAAAGATACAACGGAATGGAACTGTCAGAAAAGGGAGCTCAATTTACAACTGTCAAGGCAAGAGTGGGCGAGTTCGTGGTTCAACCGGAAAGAAAAACAAGGCAGCGATTTGCGTGCGCCTCTCTTTCTCTCTTTTGGCGCGCAAATAGCTTTTTCCTCGCAATTTCTCAAGGTCAAGGTAAAAAACTCCCTGTCAATTGAGTTCTATTCCGCTCAAGTTCTATTGCGTTGTAGCGCCACTCAAAGGTATACGCCTCGGCAGGTCTTCGTAAAGTGAATATTGTGGTACCAAGAATCGGGACGGTTTGATCGCCTCCATCTTCCCCTCCCAGATCGAGTCCATGAGCGCGGCGAATCCGGCCGAAATGATTCCTTTCGAGCCCATCCGCGATTCCGTGTTCACTTTCGACGCAAACGTCCTTTTTGAGAACACTTCCGGCAGGCCCGGCGTTTGGAATAGACACTGCAAATCAAACTTGGTTTCGTAAAAAGATGATATCAATAGGATTTTCTATTTTCTATCGGAATTGAGAAGAACTATTTTCAGAAAGTTTCGAAAAAATGACCTGCAACGTGGCGGACATGAAGCACGTGTTGCCCATGTTGAAGAGGCCCGTCGCGCCGGGATTCGGAGTGCTCGACTCGCGGCTCATCCGTCTGATCTGCATTTGCATTTGTTCGTAGATCGACAATAGCTGCACCTCGTACTCTTTTCTGAACACAGTTTTTTCGTCACAATTCTCAACTAATGCGGAAAAACTGACGACATTTGGTGTGTGGCCGGTTTGGAGGATCTGTCGAGCAGTGGCGGCCGTTTCACCTCTCCGCCTCCGTTTTGTCTCGTCGGCGATGGGTCCTTTTTGCGGAAACGCTTGGGGATAAGAACGGTAATGCGCGGGCGGGGCACTTACTATCGTCGGTCTCTCCGGCGGTCCCATCGACGGCTTCGACGTGCGGTCCGGGAAGATCGGCACTTCCGGCGACGGTTTCTGCGTCGAAACGGGCGGCGGCGGAGGCACTACTGTCGTCGGGTTCGGGCTGAAGATCGGAGCGCCCGGACGTTCCGAAGTCGGGGGCAACGTGGGTCCTACGAGGAAAGCGCTTTTTAACTGTCCTGCTCGTTTTTTTTTTTGAAACTTTTTACTGATCTTTTAGGTCCTAGAACACCCAAGAAATTGGTTGTTCATCAGGAGCTTTTATGGTTTTTGTAAGTCTACAAAAACAGCTCAAAATCATTAAAATTGGAAAAGGCGGAAAACGTAATAAATTACCGATTTTCGAGAGAAAACACTAACTTTGGGGAATATTGGGTGTGTAGACGCCGAATCCGGGCCGCGGGAGAGGCACTTCCGGCTCCTGCGGGAACATGGGCGGTCTCGGAGGGATCGCCGGCTGCTGTGCCACTCGGACCGGCGGTTCGCGGGATCCGGGCGGCAGGGCAGTCAGATCCGGGTAGGTGATGTGCGAGAGGTCCGTGTAGTTGGCCGCGTACTTGCTGATCGCGTCGTCCACACTGTCGGAGGGCGTCGAGCGTGCGCTTAGCGGTTGCTGCAAAGGAAGCATGTAGAGATTGTGAGACTAATTTTAATTTTAATAGAAACTCTCACACTATTATGTCACTTTTGTGCGAATTTAGCCGATTTCCTTTTCAAAAATGCTCACCTCTTTTTTGGTGTACGTCGGCCAGTGCATCTTCCACATTCGGAAGCCCCCCTCCATGAAAAGCGGTCGTTCGCGTGGCCGAATATCCGAAGAAGTGTACGATAACTGCAACAAAATTTGTAAACACAATTTGTTCTTCAAAAGCTCTGAAACGATAACCGTAAGGAGGGCTTTGAAAAGCGCAGAGGCCTTCGTGCCAGGCTTTGGGGAGCCGTTCGCCAGTTCGGGCGAGTCGTCGTCCATCAGAACGATGTAGTCGCAGCCGGAGATGCGTGGGAGCAGTGCCCGCTGGTTCACCGACAGATTGTTGCGCAGGTCGTTGAATGTCAGACTGAACGTGTTTTTTTAGGACGCGTTGCCGAAAGTGTTTCCGATCTGTCTTGTGCGGATACCCCATTGACCCCTTGTCACAAAAACCACGGCACCTAGTGGAAGCCAAAGTTCGGAAATCGACCGATTTGTCCAGGATTGGAATAAGAAACTATTTTTCTCATAGTTAATATATACTATATATATCAGATCGTAGATCTCGATGGGTTATACAAATACGACAAATATGGCTATTCTTAGAGTTTTTCGAAGCATTTTCCTATAATATATAATTTGACATAGCCGGGCCCGATTTTAAGGTATTTTGATAGAATTTTGTTTTGTAAACTATTGCGTTATGCACCTGCTATTGAGAATGTCGTATGGCACCTGAATGACCGTAATCATCTCGCTTCGACTGTAAAAAATGGCGTCCGCTTGATTTTGTCTGAAAATGTTGATTTTCAGGTGAAAAAGGCAGATAGTATAAGAAAAATACCGAATATCGAAGATGATGGCACTCTTCTTTGGATCGTCATTTTCGACGCGACGGACCAGTTCTCGAGGCGTTATAAGTGGGCGATGCGCTCGAAACGCCGCTGTCGTTTCTGGAAAATCATTCCGAATACGTTTTTCGGAAAAAAAAACTTACCCGATTTCTTCTCGGCCTCAATCGAAGCGGCCCTATCCAATTGATCGCGGCGAATTTGCAAAGATTCATATTTCTACAACAAAACAACGTTTTTCTCCAATTTTTTTTCATAAATATTGTCAAACTTTTTGAAGGACCGCTTGCAGATTGCTCGCCTGATCGACCACTTTTCCGTAGTCCGCGTGGAACAGCGTTTTTGTGCCAAGCTGTAATTGTTTAATGGATTTTCCAGTGAATTGAAACGAAAAAAAGTCGTACATCCCAAGAGGCCAAACGGGGACTTCTCCTGATGATGTTGGCCAATTCTCCGGCCTTCAGCAGTAATCGATACTCTTCTTCCAGGTCTCCACGTGCTTTTACAGCCGCATCTTTCAGCTTTTTCATCGAAATGTATATTCTGAAAAATGTTTTCATTATTTTAAAAGCTCCAGCGCTATTTTTATGCCTTTCGCACGTTTTTCGACCTGATTTCTATCAAAATCTGCCAAAATTTCAGTTTTCAAGCAATTATCACTTTTGTCCAAGAAAAATTACATTTTTATCATTTTCAGCTGACAAACAATGTTCCAGCGCAATTTTTCTGGCGCTTTACACGTTTTTCGACTTGATTTCCAGCCAAAATCCACCGATAATCCAGTTTGCAAGCAAAAACTTACGCGTCGCAGGATTTCTGCTCAAAAATGCGCGTCTGCTGCTCGGTGAGGTTGCACTCGTGCAATAGTTGCTCCATACTTCTGTATTTCAACCCGGATGAGTCCATTTTTCATCTGAAATTTGTCGCTAATCGTCTGAAAATCCGCGAAAAACGTCAAGAGAGGCGGGTACGTCATTGCCCGTCAAATGTGTTGCACTTACGCAAAATTGCACACTTTTCGCGGAAAAACCCCGAGGCCGTGCCAAAACAGGGGAATGCACGAAAACCGCGGAACCGTGCAGGCGCAATACTTTAAGCGCATTTGAAAACTGTTGAGTTTATTCAATAGAGGAGATTGAAATTGAATCGCATCAAACAAAGTAATGAAGTTTGAAAGTTCTGAAAAAAAATTGGAAATGAGTTATATTTGAAATTATTTTGACAGATATCATCAGCATCGTTCTATTGTCTGCAATTCCACGGCGAATGTGTGGTCTTGAATAGAAAAATCTCGTGGTGCCTGCCGGGTTTTCACATTTAGTTGGGACTTGCAGAATAATTTTTTGTCGATAGCAAAAAAAGGTATTGCATAGTAATAACATCGGAGAGAAGAGAGAGAGAGAGAGAGCCCGACTTCTTGCATAGCAATAACGTCGGTGATAATGAGTGTTCTACTCGGTTTATATAGCTACAGTAAATTCACGCCCACTGTGCTTCACCATCATGCTCCACCACGCAACTTGAATTATCGGTGACAACGGTGATATGTAGGAGCAGGCGGGCGGAAGGCTTTTGAAGATTAATTTTTCTCTAGAAAAGTGTCAGATGGATGGGTCCTGAGAGTTCTATGTATGCTTCTGTCAGCGTGGAAAAACGATGGGGAAAAGGAAGTGTGAATGCAGCTAATGGGCGGAACAGAGAAAAGAGCGACAAATAGGGAAACGACCTTGATGTGTGAAAATAGACGAGGAAACGAGCACATAGAAAACGTTTCAATTTCACGAAGAATGAAACGATCGGTGACAAAATTTGACGACATCATGACGTTACAGAACGAGCAGAGTCTCTGTCAAAGCGTGTAATTTCCGTAAAATTAACTTACCCGGTTTTGCAGGGTCCGTTGTACGACGCGGTGTGGTTGCTCTCAGACGCTGCGGACACAGTCTATCCATTTCAAACGATCGCGTCCGTTGGAAGAGCTCGTGATCTTTAAGACAAAATTTTCATTTAACAAAATAGACGTGCGTGTGAAAGAAATGCTCACAAATTTTTGGTCAAAAACTCAACATTTTTTCTATAAAAAAGACAGGGGAAAATAAAAGGTGCAAAAGCGAACAGCAAGATGGAAAATACAGGAAAAAAGGGAAAGGGGGGGGAATTTTTCCTATTTATTGGCAGACGACGCCACGACGGGCACGAATTGGGCGGTGATGACCTGCACGTTGGGCGGAAGAACACGCGGGAACGCGATGACGGTCGTCTCCTCGAAATGGTATTCTCCGTCGCGCATCACCGTCCGACGCGTCTCGATCGTCAGCGTTTCGGTCGCAGAAGACGGAGAGGCGGCGACGGTGGCCAGCATCGGCGGAGAGCACGTCGACGAGGAAGACGTCGAGTGCGACGACAGCGGCACCGACGGCGGAGACGTTCCGTGAGACGCACCTGCAATAACATTTTTTACAATGTGTTTGACAGTTTTTCTTCTGCAACTACCTCTGGCGGGGGGACAATTGGCTCTGATTTTGTGCTGCTGCTCGTCACTGAGCTCCCCCAACATCCTTCTCCCTCCGACTCTGCCTCTATTTCCGATGGCACTCGACGGGCGGCTCGAAAACGCCGACGGCGGAGTGCTGCTCAATTTGAGCGCCTTCTCCAGCTGCTCCGAGAACTTGTCGATTTCCGGCGACGCGGCCCTCTTCTCGGCCGCAGACACTCTTCCGACCGCCACGGATGGAGCTCTCGGCGGAACACGATCCCCGTGGTTGAACGCATTGTAGTACGACTCGCGCGCCTTCTGATTCTGCAGTCGGCGCGCCTCGTAAGTGTTGTCGCATTGGCTTTCTGGAAAAGATAACAAAATTTAGATCACACTTTTCGAAGGCTTTTGAAGGCCTGGAGTCCATAAGCACGGCCCTGGAATTTAGTCTCTTCCATTCCCGTACCGTTAATCTTGCCAACTTTTGGCGCAGTCAGAGGCTGTTCCCCGCTTCCCGCACTGCAGAATTCCAGTCCGTCGCCGCCGGGCGTGTCAGCCGTCGGCTCCGGGCTCTTCTTCGGGCACTCCTTCGATATGTGTCCGTGCTCGCCGCAATGGAAGCAGTTTCCCGGACCGCCGCGGCCCCGCCTGCCCGATCGTCTCGTTCCACGAATGCGCTTCGACGCCGACGACGAGCCGGCCGTGTTCGAGCGCGACGGACGGCGGAAGCGATGGGCGCCCGAGGACGGCGAACGGTCCTTGTCCGCGCCGCGGTACATCCGGCGGTTGAGTGACGCTGAAAATTGTTAGTTTTGACAGACCGCAAAAAACCGCGGTCGGCAAATGCCCAGCTCTGAAAAATAGCTCAAAAACGTTCGATTTTTACGAAAAAAAGCGCGCAGAGACCTGATCCGCCAAATCCGGAATGCGAATAAGAGGTCTTCTTGGGGTAGTCCCCAAATCCGCGTTTCGCGTTCATTCGGGACGCAAATTCTGGACCGAAAGCGATTTCGCATCCGCGGCAAGCGGTCCCGGCGGTTGGCGACGGTTTCGGCGACGGATTCGAGTCTCGGTATTTTAGCGACGACGACGCCAGTTGTCTCTGAAATTTAGTCAATTTGTGGGTAAAAAGTGCCGGACAAGGGGCGGCCAACTGCTCAACCCTGAAAAAAGGCAATTTACCGATTTATTGTGCATTTCATCGATATTTCGACCGCTCAAAAAGTCATTTTCCGGCTGAAACATTGGTCTTTCGGTCGTTTTTCCGTCGGACGACGCTTCCAGTATCTCTATCAATTTCGACAATCTGAGCAGGTATCAGAATCTGTATAAACTCATCTTTGAGTTAAAAATGCAATGAAAACGGGTAAACAAGAGTACAAATAATGCAATTTTTAAAGGAAATACAAACGTTTCGAGGAAAACAATTACTTTTACCTAATTTTTACTGAAAAACAGCGAAACTTTGACTGGATTTATCAAGTTCATGGCTAAATTGAAGAAAAAATCAAGAATTTTTAAAGCTGAAAAATGCGCGTTCGGAACGAGATCCGAATAACAGCGGTAGGAGGTCATCCAAGTCGGTGATCCAACTCAAATGAAAGCGAAAAATTCAAAATTCGCGCTTTTCGTGGCGAGACCCGCCATCTACAGTAATCCTTTTTCTCTACGTCTCCTCGCTTCGCACACTCTTTTTCGCACGATCTACGCTCGAAAAAATGAGAATTCGATTCAACAAATCACTTACAAAACAATTTTATTCAAATTACCCTAAAATAAATTAAAATGATTAATTTGGCGCAATGTCAATAATTTTGTCGCCATTCACGGACGCCGGTTCTCTTGAAAACGTCATAATCGTGTTATTCAGCTCGCATTTTTGATCTTTTGCAACGTTGAATTCTTCCTGAAAAATTAAATGAGTTCTTGCAAGAGATCTTGTTTACCCTCACCCCCTCAAAAACCCTCGAAAATCCCCACAATTTTCCCCCGATTTTCCACAGTTGTTCTAAAAATGCGCACCTCAACAGTCCTCAATTCACGATCGCGTTTGATGTGAAAATGCCATTTTCGGAAGTGTTCGTCTGTGATGAGCACCATCGAATGTCCGCGCGGAGCCCGGTATTCGTCGTCGAGCGTCGTGTCCACGAAATCGTGACGTGGCGCCGGAAATGTGAACAGGCGCTCGAGCTCGTCCGTGCACGGAATGTCTGCAACGCTACCATTTTGAGAAAATACTCGCAACAATTGGAAAAGGTGATAATTTTCAATGCATTTTTTGAACTAAAAGTTGAATTTGTACAGATTCTGAGATTGTCCAAATCGATAGAGATGCTGGAAGCGTCATCCGACGGGAAAACGACCGAAAGACCAGAGTTTCAGTCGGAAAACGACTTTATGAGCGGTCGAAATATCGACACTAAATCGGTAAATTGCCTTTTTTCAGGGTTGGGCACCAAAGTTGAGCGGAAGAACACGGAAGAATTTTTATCTTTTTTAGAAAATTTTTTTATAGAATGTGATCAACTGACGAAATGTATAGCAAAGGGAACTCTGCTCATAGAAAAATAATTGTAAATTTAACTTTTCATACAAAAAAGTTATTCGAGTTGTTCCGTGAAAAAGGGCTAACGAAAGACGGAAGGAAAAAATAATCCATGAAAAAATTTTCTAAAAAAGATAAAAATTCTTCCGTTTTCGTTCGTTGAGTTCTTCCGCTCAACTCTGTTGGGCACTTGGCCGGCCTTTGTCCTGCACTTTTGAACCACAAATTGACTAAATTTCAGGGATAACTGGCGTCGTCGCCGCCGAAATACCGAGACTCGAATCCGTCGCCAACCGCCGATCCAATGGATCGTACCAATACTCATGTGTAACTTTTAACGCTCTATCCGATGGTATCATAGGGTTTTGACCCACTTGCAATAATCTGATCGGACACAAATTTTGCAGGCTTTTTAGACTTGGATTAATGTATTTTGGGTCCAAGCTTCAGAGCAATCGGATTAAAAAAAGCTCCGATCGGGATATTGCAACTGGGTCAAAATTCAATTTTTTGCAAAACGTACCGCCTTTGATCCGCAACAACTTCAACTCGGGCGTATCTTGAATCTTCTCCCTCAGCCAAAGGATCATATTTTCCAAGGACATATTGTAGAATTCCATAGTGGGTCCCTGCCGAAATGTGATCTCCTCGAACTCGCGAGCGAACCAAAACAGTTCGGGAAGACGCGGATGCACCGACTTTTTGGTGTCCAGGAACGCGTTGACCATGTCCTGAACGAGCGTCCGCCGGCGCTTTGGACACACTTGCTCGTTCCACGCCTTTTCGCATTCCGAGTACGCTCCATGGGCGCATAGCATAAATTTGCCGCGCTTTTCCGGAATTGAGTCCTTGTACGGCGGGTTTTGATAGAAATCTTCGAGAATGTTCCGGGCGTTCACCGAAAGTCCATCGCTCGCTTTTTCAGTCGTTTCCGCCGCTTCTTCTGACATTTTTTTCTGCAAAAACAGCGCATTTTTCTCGTTAATAAGGACTTGCGCAAAAAATTCGTTTGACTATTGTGTGAATTACGGAACGCTTGCATTTCTCACAAATTTATTGTTGAAAGTTCACAAAAAGAAGTGTATTGGGGGACCATTAATCGATACGGATCTTCCGAGAAGTGCGGAGGATGCGGTGGCCTAGAAAAGTCTACGGCCGCGGCCAAGGAATCAGCGGGAGGGGGGAGGGGGGTTGTTTATGGCGGTGTTTTTGCAATAGAATTGCTCGTCGTGGAATTTGGATGATGAAGGATGGATAATAGCGGGAAGAATGGGTTGGCAGTCAGAAGAATAGTACATTTTCATGTTCCTGATCCTGTTCCTGTTCATATTGCTCCTCGTGGTCTTCTTGGTCGTTTTCTATCACCAGACGTCCGTTTCCGACTGGAAAAATGCGGATTTTTTCGATTATGACAGTTTGTGGCGTTTCTCAAACATGCTGATTTTGTATGGTTTTTCAAATCGCAATCCTTTTGTACAAAATCAACTGATCACGATTTGACTGTGAAAATTCGTATAAAATCAAGTTTGTCAACTTTTGTCAATAGGTTTCGATTCGGCATAGTCTTCTGTATCACCCTAAAAACTAAATTCAGTTTCCCCGTTCAGGAAATGTTGAAAAACGAACGATTAGTGAGGTAGGTGTCCTCGGCGTCGCGGTACTCGATGACTTTTGCGCGCACGTCTTCGATCATCCGCACATAGTGCTCGAAACTCGTGGCTCTGTGGAAGATTTCCGCCTCGGTCTCCTGTCCGAAACGGAAGAGGTCCGGAGAAGAGTAGACTTTTCCGTCGGGCACTGCACACGGCACCACGTACTTCATCAGAGAGAAGTAGGCGTTTCGGCGGGCGGCGAGCGGAAACACGTGTTGCCACGGTTTCGTCGGCGGCGTGTGCGGTGGATTCGGAAAATCCATGAGGCCACAGGCGACGTTGAGAATCGCCAACTTTGAGGCCGTTGGTTTCGACGTGTCTCTGGTGTAGGCGACCATTTGGCAGAGGAACTGCGAGAGCCAGTAGAGCGATCCTGAAGTTTTCGACCGTATTTGACTTTAAAGGATCAGGGAGTGCTTGTCTGAACAGGAACGTATCTGCTGTGACAAATGCCGAAAAATTGGAAATATTCCGGATAGCCACCCCAATACAAATGCGGAAAGTTCTCCGTACAAATTAGTGAATCAGTAACGTGATCCCACGTTATCCCTTGGCTATTCAGAATATTTACGATTTTGGGACCTTTTTTTCCATAATTTTCGAAATTGGCCACCGCAGACACTTTCCTTGTGTGTCGTCTTCATTTGCCACACACTCTGTCCGAATAGAAACTACCTGAAATGGCTATGAACGGAACAGTGCTCAGTAAAAGTTGTGGCCGTGGTGCAGAGAGAACCTCGGCCACGGCCACAACATTAACTGCAGTTAGGCTCATTGAAATTCCTGAAAGAGTTGGAATTCGGACAGTATACGTGGCCTTCAAGGATTTGTGAAAAATGTTGGTATTGCTTGCTCACTTGCATCAGTGATATCATCGCCGAGGCCCGGAAGTGTGGCCGCCAATCCGGGGCTCCGTTCGCCGGTTTGATCGAGACCGAGGGCCACCCGATAGGCGCCCAGGCCGCTGTTGCTGATCATCTGATTGTACTGCTCCTCCTCGTTGGCCGCCTCATATATCTTTTCCTCGGCGCTGACGACCCACTCGATAAGGATGCGGACCGTGCTGAGGTTGCTGTTCACGAGAAATCTCCAGTTGACCGGCAGATTGGCGTGCAACAATCGTCCCAATTGGAAGTGACGCTCGCCCTCTCCGACGAGCACACCGATCGGATTGATGTCCATGGCTGGAAATTAATAGGTATAGAAAAGTTTATATAGAAAAGTTTGAAGCTAGTAATAGCATTTGTTAAAGTAGAAAGAAACATAGTCTTCAAGTTTTCAGGTCGAAAATGCGACGTCATCAAGAAGGCGGATGACGTTCGGTTCAGCTATAGACGTCAAATGAGAGGATTGGCAAAAGTCATCGCCGAAAAAATGCAATCACAGACAATTGGAGAGCGCCGAAACGGGAAGTGAATCGGCAGCGGCGCGACGTCGTTGTAAAATATCGACTTTTCCTCTTCTTCTTCTCCATCTTCTCTGTGTTCTTCTCAGAAAAGAGCGAAAGAGAGAGAGAGAGAGAAAGCAGAGGCCACAGCGCCACGTTTTTTATTTTTATTCTCTCTGCCTTCTCTAACTCTCTTCGCTTCGTTTTCCCGAAGCGAATAGAGAAAAGGGGGTTGATGATGATCGGAGAGAAGAAACAAAAAGAAGAAAAAGAAGAAGAGAGACTATCAATAGGAAAATTGATAAGGATTGTTACACAAAAATGGTGAAAAAAAACCGTAATTTTTGCTGTGTAAAAATGTGCGTTTTAGTGAGTTCAAAACATGGGCTGGGCAATTGGCCGGCCCTTTTCGTGGACTTTCGACCCACTTGCAATGACGCGATCGGACCCAAACTTTGCAGGCTTCTTGGACATTGGCTGAAGTATACTGCGATCAAATTTCAGCCCAATCGGATCACTTATTCTCGAGAAATAGTGCTTGAAGGCTGAAAAGCCCGGGCTTTCGACCAAAGATCCACATATGGGACCAGATGATGCGATCGGGCTGAAACTTGGTCCCAGCATACTTTGATCCAAATCCAAGAAGCCTGCAAAGTGTTGGCCCGATCGGATCATTGCCCAGCCCTGGGCAAAAACAAAAAATGGTTCAAACTCAAGACGAGTAAACAAACATTCAGACATTTCTCATGATTATCAAATTTATTTACACGACTCTTGAGACAGACAACTTGAGAAGCGAAATAGTATAATTATGATAATTTGGTGTTTGAGCATTGTTATGGGGCTATTCAGAACATTCTCTATTCTTCGTCTTTTACATTGTTGAACGAGAAAAACGTCTGCTGAATAACCCCAACAGTTGTTGATATTTCTTTCAGAATCGATCCACTTTGCGACTGACTTCGAGCCCTCCGAAGCTGGCCGCTTTTTTCTGTTTGTCCTTGGTCGACGGGTTCGAACTGGCGATTGTGGTGACCGTCTGACTGCGTGTCGATCGATCGATGATCGAGTTGTGATCGGCGCTGCTCGAACTGTAGCTCTGCTTGAAGGTGCTCCGTTGATCGCCAACTTTCCGGCCCTGGCCGAACAGTTCGAGAAGGCCGCGACGCAACTGGAAATGGTTTATTTTTGAAAAATTGTTCAACAACCCTTTTGAAAACATGTTTCGATCTTTTCCTAAATACGCTACCTGAAAATCGGTGCAGAACGACAAAACCGGATCGAGAATGCATCGGACAACCAGAAAACATCGGATAATTCCCAGCAATCTCATCATTTCAGCGTAATTTCGCTGGAAAAGACACGGATCTCGATTGAGAACGAGCCCGACGCACCTGCAATGTTTGAATGTCGAAAAAAGGTTTGTTGGGCCTAAACGAAATTACCAAAACGCGTAGGGAACGTTCAAAATGGCAAAAGTGCCGACGTTCAACGCGAGCTTCCACAACGGAAATCGGACCATTCGGATGCGGCCGCCGCCTCCGTCTTGTTCACTGAAAAAATTGAAGTTTTTGAGGAAAACATGAGCCTGATTACCGTTTTTTGAAAGAGTTACTAAAGTTTTGCGCTTTTCGAATGAAGAAAACGGTGACGACGAACACGATAATTGTGAAGAAGTAGACGGAGGCGGTGAGCAGGTTACGCAGTCTGTCGATTGGAAATTTTGTGCTTGACAAGTTTGTCTCAATTTTCTGCAACCCCAATCTTTCATTGAGGTTGGAAATGTTTAGTAAAGTGAACGTAACTCGCTCGATACAGGGCATTGTTCATGAAGCATTTACAAGAGCAAAGTTGTAGAGCAAAAAATTTTCTATTTATCTATCGAAATGTTACCTGTACATGTTCCTCAGACAAGTTTCCGCTTTGCACCCGGACCACGCGTTCAGATCGGGAATTTTGACGAGCGCCGAGATGGCCAATGTGTAACTGACCATCAGAACGAGTATTGTCCAACTGAATTGCTTTTCTAATTTTTAATTTTTAATTTAAGAACGAATCAAGCCAACCTGATAATCATCAAATTGATGCATCGTCGCATTGTGAACCATTTTCGATAATGGAACGGTTTCCAGACGGCGAACAGTTTGAGAACGGACAGAGAACAGTAGGAGACCATGGCCGACCAGAAGCTTCCGATGAAAAACGACTCGATGACGACAACCATGTCACGGCTGAAATTCTTTGTTTGTCGAAAAGTTGTACATTACTATAGGGATGCAGAAGAGGCGATTTCAGGCGTCTCCGCCTGTTCTGCATCCCAACATTACTGAATTGAGTTAGAACTTTTGTAGAAGGATGAGGACGTACTTGATGTCATGCCAAGTGAGGACGTAACAACACGTGACGAGGGCAGAAGCGCATGTGAGGATGTCTCCGATTGCACGATTCATGAGGAGCGCGTAGCATTTACGCGACACTCGACGTGCTTTTATCGCCTGAATTTGGTTGAGTTTCAGCTTTAAGGATCCCTCCCCGAGCATTTGTTATGCGCCTTTAAGAATAATCGATTACAACGCATTTTAGTGAAATGTTTTGAATACCAATTGCCATCATTGCGATTAGAATATAGGGGTCATCACTCAATGTTTTAGCAATACTAACTGAAGGAACGGAGAACTCGAATCTCAATTATGACTTTAAAATCTATATTTAGGTCGATTAAAGGTCTTCCTAGGGCATCAAAAATGTATTATCCTTTCCTGACCTACCTTATAACAACTGATGATGAAGACGGCGGTGGCGATGGCGCCGATGATGGCCAACGGAAGCATCGCCCATCCGTAGAACGTTCGGAACACATTTTCGACGCGCAGTGCTTGACGACGCTGGAAATAATTTCCGATTTTCACACACGGCGTGAGTTACTTCGAAGTCACACCTACACATGTGAATTACTAGAAAAAAAAATATGAACTCACCCGAAAAAGATCGATGCGTTCGGGTGTTGTAAGGTTGAAAAAGCAGTCGGTTCGTTGATTTGCACTCATGTCATCTGAGGTTATGGAATCGATAAAATGGTTGATAAAATGGATATTCGGGAGAGAGAGAAAGTGACGGAGAGAAGGAGGGAAAGCTACAAAACACGAAAGATGTGATGACATCGTAATATTATGACATCTGAAGACGTTTTTGTCATTGTACAGTAGTTTTTCAGACGGTATTTGTTGAATTGAACGTGAATAGAGGCTTGTAGAACTTTTAAATTCAAATTTAGAGAAAACGTGAAGAAATACATTTTGAAAACACGAAGACTACGAAATGACTCACTAAAAGTTCAGAAATCCAAAAAAAACGCCTCGATGCGAATCGTTGGGCAATACGACTTTCAAAGGGGGATTAGGTACTGTTCGGGCAGACAATTTTTCCGAAAAAAGTGAAGATCAAGATAGTAATGTATTCAACTTTCAAATCGTTTTTCTCAGTCAATTTTAAAGATTATTTGAAAGTTAAAAAACGATTCGATAGATAATTTGGTGCTTTACAACTTTGTAATTGACAAGTTTTCACGATTCTGTCTGTGCGCGCAGATATTTCAATTTTACTCAACCTCATTGTTTCGGAAAAGAATTGTAAACAGTAATTTCCAATTATCTCGACGTTGGTGCATGATCTCAGAAACTGATAAACTAAGAAGTTGTAGAGCACAAAATAATCTATCTTTTAGTTTTTTACCTCTCAAAAAATGTTCAAAATGGACCGAGAAAAGAGGGAGCAAAGTTGGGTAAAGTCATTTTCACAAAAATGGCAAATCGGGTAAAAGTTCGACTGCCACGAAAAAAAATAATGATGACGTGGCAAAAAAAACAAGTGTTTGGACATGAAAAAGTATTGAAAAGTGCTGGAAACGCACACAAACAGAGAGTGAATGAGTGGAAAAACAGCGAGTACGAACAAACAAAAATACTATTCAGGAGAAAAACACCGTTTTGTTCGGATAAACTATGGCCAAACTATGCATACATTTCCGGGGTAAAATGTGAAACAATGTTCAAGTTTGGTACAAGAAACTTCTTTTTTTTTGACGTAGGTGACTTCTTTGGCGAATTTCCATGTTTTCAGTATGATCACCGAACGGACATGTTCAATTTATTTACTATTTTTCATTGGGAGGCCGTTCGCCATTTTTGATGACGTCAAAGTGATAAGGATACGAAAAATTTGGAGTTGCCAATGGGTCTTGCCACGAAGACAGACACGAACCTTTAAACTACAAAAAGAGAGACTATTCTTAAAGGCGCATAACATTATTCATTTTCATAGTTTCTAACAATAATTGAATACAAAACAGTAAAAAAAAAGGGGGTGTCCTTCTCGTTTTTTCTGTCTGACGCCATGTAGTTCCCTTTGGCTGGCTGGGGGCAAGTCGAGAGGGAACGAAACGAGTTCTTCGTCTTCTTCTTCTTCTCGGTGTCACGCCTGACGTCAGAAGACACCGATCAACGACGTCTTCTTCAAACAGTCAACACTCTCTCTCTCTCTCTCTCTACCTGTCTTTCTGACCTGAAGGACGTCCGAAGAACTGACGATATTTTTGTGGCGAACCAAACAATCCGCCCGTTCTTTCCTTCTTATTTTTTTCCACTTCAGTTCGATCAAGATCACGATCACATTTTTTGAATTATACTTTGTTCGGGAAAAAAAAGAAGACGATGCAAAGCCATGGAAGCAATCTGAATGTTGAAAAATCAAAGTAAATGTGAACTCTGTTTTAAAAAAATCCCTCCCTTTTTTCATGTTTTCCACAAAATTGCATCAAGAAACATGCACAGTTTGATCAGTAATAAAAGGAAATAAAGCTTGACACGATTCAGTATCACTCATCTGTTTGCGAACAAAAAAAAAACGTTGACGGAGTGAGCAATCACTGATAACAAAGAGCATATTAGGAAGTGTTTATGTAATACAAAGTCACATTTCACCTTGTTCGCTTCAAATTTTTACTCACTTCTCTCAATTTTTTACCCGAATGGCAACTTCCCTGTACAAGTATCAATCAGCTGAAAAAAAAGTTACATCGCAGAATTGTGATATCGAAACAAATAAGACGGATGAATTGAACTGGTAAGCAACTACAGTTTCTATGTAATACTCCCTGATGTCGCAATCTTAGGACGTGGAGCTGTTCGACTGAGACTGCCGACAATTGTGGAACATGCGTGTATTCGTCTTGGGTTTTCGACTGGAATACTATTAGAAATCAGGGAGTAAACGGGTTCAGAGGGCATATCATCGTTTCGTACAAATACAAGACCTGGACGTGGGTTCCGATTCGATACGATGTGAAATTGAGGCGATCGGGACAGTGCATTAAGCGATTGTTGAAATTGCTCCCATTTGATTTCTATCAGTGCGATAATTCTTTCAAGTTCGAATTCGAACTCGTACCGATTCGAGCTGAACCCAGTGCCATTATTGAGAGCATTTTGACGGCCAACTTCGAGCCGTCCAATCTGAATGACGCAATTCTGGTGGTCGAAGAGAAGAAAATGCATGTGAACAAAACGGTGAGCGTAACGCAATAAGAGGAATGTGTTCAAACTTTTGCAGTTTCTCTCCTATCACTCCGACTACTTCTGTGCTCTCTTTTCATCGAAATTCAAGGAAGAATCGATGGAAGAGATTCCGATGAAAGACGTGAAGTACGACGATTTCGCCCGGCTTCTCAGTGCCGTCTACCCGAATTCAGTGCTTCCCACAAGTATTTTACAGACTTGCCAAATCCCGGGCCAAATCGTCGGCCCGGCCCGGCCCGGAAGTTAGACCTCAAAAAAATATGCAAAAAAAATATGAAGGAAGAGGAAAACGCGTGCGGCAAAATTGCTAAAATGGCGTGCCAGGGTTGCAATCAATCGCTCCGCCCACTCTTGAGAAAATTTTCGTAATTTTTGTGAAAATTTTGCGACTTTAAACAGCAATTTCTATTTTTAACAGGTTTTTATGCTATAACATTGCCTTTTTAAGTCTATAAAATTTTAAATCTATAAAATTATGTTCGTTTCGAAGTTCTAGTTCGCTTTGAATTTTTAGGTGCATCCTCCCGGGCCGGGCCGGGCCGGGCCGGAAAATTTCCAATTTTGGCCCGGCCCGGCCCGGCCCGTTGCAAGTCTGGTATTTTACTGCTTTTTTAAACTGACAACAACGGCGATCTAAAGTGGAAAAAAAAGGGCGTGGCATTCGCTGAGACGCGTTTTCAGAAAACTTCCGCGATTCTTCGAGGAGTTTTTTTTGCGTATTCCGGCCGAACCTTTTTTGTTTTTCCAAGAAATCAAGTGGAATGAATCAGTATTCATCCGACGGCACGCATCTGAAGTCGTCCTCGGAACAGCACAAGAGCGCGCGGGCGGCGGCGGACGGCGGCGCGCTCTCCACTCCTTTGCTGTTTTGAAACTTCAGATGCGTGCCGCCGGACAAATATTGATTCATTTCACTTTATTTTTTTTGGGAATGAGTTCATTGTGATGTAAACTAACAAAAAGGCACAAAAAGCACGCAGTCCCGCGAGACCCCGAAAGAAAAATCACCGTGCAAACATTCATATTTCCAGTCGAGAGCGTTCCGATGCTTCTGGAGCTCGCCGATCGTTTCCTGATGCGAGCCGTGATCCGTCTTTGCGAACCGCTGATAATTGAAGAAGATGAATATTACAATCTGAACCAGAAAATTGCAATGGCCGACAGATATAATCTGGAGATGCTCATGAAGCACTGCTTTCTAGATTTGCTTCAGTCTGCGGCCGATGTGAAGAAACTGAGCACTGCTTCCGAGTACAGCGAGCTCTCGGATAAAACAAAGTTGAACATTCTCGAGCATCTTCTCACTCTCATTTAAATTTTTAAAGTTCCTTAAAATTTAATGTTTTTTCCTCTAATATATCTATCAATCTGAGAATCTTTAACAATGACACTGTGGCCTAGACAAACATTTTGCTCAAATTTTTCTAGTTTCCTATTTAAACCATGACCCCCCCCCTCTGCCCTCCTCTTTTTTGGTCATAATCAGAACTGGTTCTGTGAGTAGTACTATGATATCAATTTCAGATTCCCGTTTCACTCCACTTCAGAATGATCGATTACGATCGAGTGGAGCGACGATCTGAAAGTGATCTGAAACATGAACACGTTAAAAAAGGGATGTATCCAGGCAAAAATAAATCGGAATAAGTTATGTGTAGTTTTCAAAAGAAACACGCTCATGAGACTGGAAAGAGCACTGCAACAAGTAGAATGACACGCCACGTGGCACTCGGCAACGTGCCTGAGACGGCCGTCGAATCCGACGGCGGCAGGGAAGGCGAGGCCGTCGGCCAGCAGTCATCGCCGCACTTTTCCTGCAGAGAACGCGTCTGCTTCGCCGAATACGTCATCTTGAGCTTCTCCTCCGGGTCGTAGTCAGTGTTGAGCGGAATTCCGTCTGCCGTCTTCCGTCTTCCGTCTTCCGCGGTTTTTTTTGTTCCGTCTTCCGTCTGCCGTCTTCCGTGAGAAAAGTTTTCTTCCGTCTGCCGTCTGCCGTCTTCCGTATTTCAAAATTCCATTTCCGCTCAACTCTGGTCGTAGTAGTCGAGGAAACGGAAGTTATGGGCTTCCATTATGAATCGAAGGAGGCGGTGGAATGCATTCGTAGATGAACTATCTTCGGAATGCATTCGTATTATAGGGGCACCGCACAGAAATGGCGCTCTGTCGAGAAACTCTTTTTGCAGTGCAAATTTAGCGACCTCGGGGCCGAGTTTGAAAAGTTAGGCCACGTTTTCAGTGGAAAATTACTTCGCGGCCTAGAAATTCGGCCAGATTGCGAACAGCGCGCCCTTTCTGTCCGGTGCGCCAATAATAGATGAACTATCACTTTTCCGGGCAAATCGAAAAATTCGAGGTGAGAACTCGGAAAAAGTTGCGAGTTTCGGTTTCCTCCTGAAGAATGATTCTCGATTGATTTACTGAATAAAAGAAAACGCACCACAACTTGTTTAATTTTTGCTTTAATATTTTCCACTTCTCGCGTGAATTGCAGAAAAAACGATTCATCTGTCTCTATTTTGTCTTGATCCGTCATTTTTGCTCTGAAATTTCAGGTAAGAAATCAGTCAAACACGCAAAATGAATGCAGAAAGTGAAGAGAATGGAGAAATGGAAGAGAATTACGAAAAACTAGTCCCCGGTCTTCTCCAGCTAAAATACCCGAGAATTTTAGATTTTCCCAAAAATATTTTCTGGTTTCAGATATAGAGGTGTTAAACAGACAATTCGACACGTTTTCAGACTAATACAAAACTATCTCCAAACTCAGATCGCTCAAAAACAAACGATAATCACAGATGGCCTAGAAACCCCACTCGGCGCGAATTACCGCATTTGAAATTTGATTTTAGCACTGATAATCTATGATGAACAAGGACGACATTCTCGCGCAGACAGTTGAAAAGTATTTTTTTTGTTAAGGATTTTTTGTTATCATCAATCAAAATAATCATTTTCAGTGATGCCAACTACAAAGTCCGCGCAGCACTTATTCGGTCGAACGATGAAATTGACGCGAAATTCGGATTTGATACGCACTCAGAAGCAATTGTACGATATCGAGCAGGGGAAGGACGTGAAAAGGCCGTCAGCAACGAAAGAAATGTTAGTCGGCGGAAAAAATGAGAGAAATGAGTTCCAAGTTTGCAGGCGGCGGAGAAGGCATTGCTCGAAAAAGTGTAAATATGGTATCCGTCGGAGAGAATCATTAATCAACCGCCTCCGCTTCTGTCAAAGCTCCGACAACGTCGGTCTTCGAGGAGGACACCGACTCCCGAGACTTCGGTTCGTCCTAAATTGTGAAATTGGATCTAAAACGTTATCGAAATTCCGAGATTTCAGTCGTTTTTTGCAGGAATTTCGATGGGCAGGTGTGGCGGCGACGTGTCCAGTAGAGACTTCTTCTGCCACGAAGAAAACGGCGCAGAAAAAGCGGAAACCGACCGATTCTGAAGAGGATTTCGACTAAATTTCTTCCCGATTTATCCCCCCTTAAAAATTCCTTAACAATTCTATGCTTTTTATGAAACCCCCCTCACACTTTTTTGTTGCTTTTTGTACGGGTTTTCCGAGCGCAAAACGCACTTTTCGATTCTCATTCGTCCCCTCGTTTAACCCCATCGTGTATTTCTGTGTGTGTGTGGAAATTATTGGAATTTTTAGGTTATTATTTGATTATCCGTGTGTCAACTGAAAAAGAATGGCGAAATTGGAATCGATTTTAGTCCTGTTTTTACTGGTTTTTTTTTATCCCAGAACTTTATCTTATGTTTTAGTCTTTTTTAGAGATTTTTGCTTGAATTTCGGTTTCAGAAGACATGACGTCGTCGCACACCATCCTTCTCATTCAAACGTCGTCACGTCTCGACACGCGCACTTGGGCCGACTTTGAGAGTGTCACCGATGCTCTCGATTGTACGTTAATTTTTTTTGGAACAAAAGGGACGGCTCAGGCTTTTTGAGGCCTGACTTTTGACCCACTTGCAGTATTTCGATCGGACCCAAACCTTGCAGGCTTTGCGAACTAGGACTGAACTATCTTGGAGCCGAGTTTCAGACCGATCGCATCATTTACACTCTTGATATAGTGCCTTGGGCCAATTTCTTCTGCTATACCCGAGATGTACTGGTTTGAGGTCGGAAATGCCGGGATTTTGTGATGTTTGCCGTCTTCTCCGCCTCAAGTCAGTATATCGGTCTGAAATTCGGACCCAAGATACTTAAATTAATATTCAATAAGCCTGCAAAGTCTGAGTCTGATTGGAAAGACGAGAAAGTCGTTTTTTCTACGCGAAATTTCACAAAACATTGACGAAACAGCAATTTTCAGCGCTCTGCAAAATGTTCGAAGAGTTTTTGGCGAAAAAGACGAGCGGACCGGTGACCTATGACGTGTCGCAAGTGTACGAGTTTCTCGACAAGATGTCCGATATCTCGCTCATGATTTTCAATCGGGTTTGTAATTTTGCTGTTAACATTCTATAATTTTCAATTGTTTAGGAGACCGGCCAGTACATTGGACGTACTCGTGCGTGGATCAAGCAGCAAGTGTACGAGATGATGCGTGGACGCTGCAGACATCCGGAAGGTGGCGAGAAAGTGATCGTAGGCTACTGAAGTACTTCTGAATAACCCATTCAATTGATTGCCGATCCCTCGTTATCCCTTGAATCTCTTGAACTTTTGTGCAAATGCTCCGATTTTTTTTAATGTTTACAAGACTGATAAAAGGTAGATAAGGTTATTAATGTGTTACCATACTTATGTTGGGTCCAGATTACAGACCGATCGGACTATCGACTCAGTGTTGAGTGTTGGCATCCGAAATCGGAAATCTTTCAATTCCTTATCACTCTTTTTCCGAATCCTCTTGGCACGGTGCCATGACTTTTCGAAATCCCAATCGTTCTTTCCCATCGGAGTCCTTATCACTAATCTCCGTCTGTAATTAAGTCAGCTTCTTTGAAACTTACCGCAAATCCGCTTGAAGCTCACATTCCCACACCTGCGGTGTTAATTAAAGGCGGAGATTAGTTATAAGATGCCGACAAAGGAGTCTGATGGGGAAAGTATACCACGGAAGAAGGAAAAGCCTGGTGCAGTGGCCACGCCCACTAACTACACTCAGTAGCCACGCCCACGGGGGTATATAAAGGCAGAAATAGTCATTTTATCAGTTACCGTCTCGTTTTTTTTTCATTTCTACCCAATTTGTTCATTTCTACCAAATTTGTTCATTTCTACCCAATTTGTTCATTTCTACCCATTTTTTCATTTCTACCCATTTTTTTCATTTCTACCCATTTTTTTTCATTTCTACCCATTTTTTTTCATTTCTACCCATTTTTTTTCATTTCTACCCATGGGCATGCAGGTAAGAGTCATGGGGTAGGCCTAGAGAGGAGAGAAGGTACGGGTAACGGGGGAAAAAAATTTTTTTCGTTTTTATTTTTTTTCATTTTTATTTTTTTCGTTTTTATTTTTTTTAATTTCTATTTTTTTTCGTTTTTATTTTTTTTAATTTCTATTTTTTTTCATTTTTTTTTCATTTTTACCCTTTTTTTTCGGCCACTCGGTTCCATAAGGCAAGATGGGCATGCAGGTAAGAGTCATGGGGTAGGCCTAGAGAGGAGAGAAGGTACGGGTAACGGGGGAAAAAAATTTTTTTTCGTTTTTTTATTTTTCATTTTTATTTTTTTCGTTTTTATTTTTTCATTTCTATTTTTGTTTTTATTTTTTTCATTTCTATTTTTCATTTTTTTCATTTTTGCCCTTTTTTTCGTTTTTACCTTTTTTTCGGCCACTCGGTTCCATAAGGCAAGATGGGCATGCAGGTAAGAGTCATGGGGTAGGCCTAGAGAGGAGAGAAGGTACGGGTAACGGGGGAAAAAAATTTTTTTCGTTTTTATTTTTTTTTCATTTTTTTATTTTTTTCGTTTTTATTTTTTTCATTTTTTTATTTTTTTCGTTTTTATTTTTTTCATTTCTATTTTTTTCCGTTTTTCATTTCTATTTTTTTCGTTTTTTTATTTTTTTAAATTTCTATTTTTTTCGTTTTTATTTCATTTTTACCCTTTTTTTCGGCCACTCGGTTCCATAAGGCAAGATGGGCATGCAGGTAAGAGTCATGGGGTAGGCCTAGAGAGGAGAGAAGGTACGGGTAACGGGGGAAAAAAATTTTTTTCGTTTTTATTTTTTTCATTTTTCGTTTTTATTTTTTTCATTTCTATTTTTTTCGGCCACTCGGTTCCATAAGGCAAGCTGGGCATGCAGGTAAGAGTCATGGGGTAGGCCTAGAGAGGAGAGAAGGTACGGGTAACGGGGGAAAAAATTTTTTTCGTTTTTTATTTTTTTTTATTTTTATTTTTTTCGTTTTTATTTTTTTTTCATTTCTATTTTTTTTCGTTTTTATTTTTTTTTCATTTCTATTTTTTTTCGTTTTTATTTTTTTTAAATTTCTATTTTTTTTCGTTTTTATTTCATTTTTACCCTTTTTTTCGGCCACTCGGTTCCATAAGGCAAGATGGGCATGCAGGTAAGAGTCATGGGGTAGGCCTAGAGAGGAGAGAAGGTACGGGTAACGGGGGAAAAATTTTTTTTCGTTTTTTATTTTTTTTCATTTTTATTTTTTTCGTTTTTATTTTTTTTTCATTTCTATTTTTTTTTGTTTTTATTTTTTTTCATTTCTATTTTTTTTTCATTTTTTTTTCATTTTTGCCCTTTTTTTTCGTTTTTACCTTTTTTTCGGCCACTCGGTTCCATAAGGCAAGATGGGCATGCAGGTAAGAGTCATGGGGTAGGCCTAGAGAGGAGAGAAGGTACGGGTAACGGGGGAAAAAAATTTTTTTCGTTTTTTTATTTTTTTCATTTTTATTTTTTTCGTTTTTATTTTTTTCATTTTTATTTTTTTCGTTTTTTTATTTTTCATTTCTATTTTTTTCCGTTTTTCATTTCTATTTTTTTCGTTTTTATTTTTTTAAATTTCTATTTTTTTCGTTTTTTTATTTCATTTTTACCCTTTTTTTCGGCCACTCGGTTCCATAAGGCAAGATGGGCATGCAGGTAAGAGTCATGGGGTAGGCCTAGAGAGGAGAGAAGGTACGGGTAACGGGGGGAAAAAAATTTTTTCGTTTTTATTTTTTTTCGTTTTTATTTTTTTCGTTTTTATTTTTTTTTCATTTCTATTTTTTTTCGGCCACTCGGTTCCATAAGGCAAGCTGGGCATGCAGGTAAGAGTCATGGGGTAGGCCTAGAGAGGAGAGAAGGTACGGGTAACGGGGGAAAAAATTTTTTTCGTTTTTATTTTTTTTCATTTTTATTTTTTTCGTTTTTATTTTTTTTTCATTTCTATTTTTTTTCGTTTTTATTTTTTTTCATTTCTATTTTTTTTCGTTTTTATTTTTTTTTCATTTCTATTTTTTTTCGGCCACTCGGTTCCATAAGGCAAGATGGGCATGCAGGTAAGAGTCATGGGGTAGGCCTAGAGAGGAGAGAAGGTACGGGTAACGGGGGGAAAAAATTTTTTTCGTTTTTATTTTTTTTCATTTTTATTTTTTTCGTTTTTATATTTTTTTTCATTTCTATTTTTTTTTGTTTTTATTTTTTTTCATTTCTATTTTTTTTTGTTTTTATTTTTTTTCATTTCTATTTTTTTTTCGTTTTTTTTTTTTTTTCATTTTTTTTTTTTTCATTTTTTTTTTTTTTTTGCCCTTTTTTTCGTTTTTTTACCCTTTTTTTCGGCCACTCGGTTCCATAAGGCAAGATGGGCATGCAGGTAAGAGTCATGGGGTAGGCCTAGAGAGGAGAGAAGGTACGGGTAACGGGGGAAAAAAATTTTTTTCGTTTTTATTTTTCATTTTTTTATTTTTTTCGTTTTTTTATATTTTTTTCATTTCTATTTTTTTGTTTTTTTATTTTTTTCATTTCTATTTTTTTGTTTTTATTTTTTCATTTCTATTTTTTGTTTTTTTATTTTTTTCATTTCTATTTTTTTGTTTTTTTATTTTTTTCATTTCTATTTTTTTCGTTTTTATTTTTTTCATTTCAATTTTTTTGTTTTTTTATTTTTTTCATTTCAATTTTTTTGTTTTTTTATTTTTCATTTCTATTTTTTTCGTTTTTATTTTTCATTTCTATTTTTCATTTTTTTCATTTTTGCCCTTTTTTTCGTTTTTACCTTTTTTTTCGGCCACTCGGTTCCATAAGGCAAGATGGGCATGCAGGTAAGAGTCATGGGGTAGGCCTAGAGAGGAGAGAAGGTACGGGTAACGGGGGAAAAAAATTTTTTTTTCGTTTTTTTATTTTTTTCATTTTTTTATTTTTTTCGTTTTTTTATATTTTTCATTTCTATTTTTTTCGTTTTCATTTTTCATTTCTATTTTTTTCGTTTTTTTATTTTTTTTCATTTCTATTTTTTTTTCATTTTTTTTTCATTTTTGCCCTTTTTTTTCGTTTTTACCTTTTTTTCGGCCACTCGGTTCCATAAGGCAAGATGGGCATGCAGGTAAGAGTCATGGGGTAGGCCTAGAGAGGAGAGAAGGTACGGGTAACGGGGGAAAAAATTTTTTTCGTTTTTTAATTTTTTTCATTTTTATTTTTTTCGTTTTTATTTTTTTTTCATTTCTATTTTTTTGTTTTTTTATTTTTTTCATTTCTATTTTTTTTTCGTTTTTATTTATTTTTTTCATTTCTATTTTTTTCATTTTTTTCATTTTTGCCCTTTTTTTTGTTTTTACCTTTTTTTCGGCCACTCGGTTCCATAAGGCAAGATGGGCATGCAGGTAAGAGTCATGGGGTAGGCCTAGAGAGGAGAGAAGGTACGGGTAACGGGGGAAAAAAATTTTTTTCGTTTTTTTATTTTTTTCATTTTTTTATTTTTTTCGTTTTTTTATTTTTTTCATTTTTTTATTTTTTTCGTTTTTTTATTTTTTTCATTTCTATTTTTCCGTTTTTCATTTCTATTTTTTTCGTTTTTTTATTTTTTTAAATTTCTATTTTTTTCGTTTTTTTATTTCATTTTTTTACCCTTTTTTTTCGGCCACTCGGTTCCATAAGGCAAGATGGGCATGCAGGTAAGAGTCATGGGGTAGGCCTAGAGAGGAGAGAAGGTACGGGTAACGGGGGAAAAAAATTTTTTTCGTTTTTATTTTTCATTTTTTTATTTTTTTCGTTTTTTTATTTTTTTCATTTCTATTTTTTTCGGCCACTCGGTTCCATAAGGCAAGCTGGGCATGCAGGTAAGAGTCATGGGGTAGGCCTAGAGAGGAGAGAAGGTACGGGTAACGGGGGAAAAAAATTTTTTTCGTTTTTATTTTTTTTATTTTTCGTTTTTGATTTCTATTTTTTTCGTTTTTTTATTTTTTTGATTTCTATTTTTTTCGTTTTTATTTTTTTAAAAATTTCTATTTTTCGGTTTTATTTCATTTTTTTACCCTTTTTTTTCGGCCACTCGGTTCCATAAGGCAAGATGGGCATGCAGGTAAGAGTCATGGGGTAGGCCTAGAGAGGAGAGAAGGTACGGGTAACGGGGGGAAAAAATTTTTTTCGTTTTTATTTTTTTTCATTTCTATTTTTTTTCGGCCACTCGGTTCCATAAGGCAAGCTGGGCATGCAGGTAAGAGTCATGGGGTAGGCCTAGAGAGGAGAGAAGGTACGGGTAACGGGGGAAAAAAATTTTTTTTCGTTTTTATTTTTCATTTTTATTTTTTTCGTTTTTATTTTTTTCATTTCTATTTTTTTTCGTTTTTATTTTTTTTCATTTCTATTTTTTTTCGTTTTTATTTTTTTCATTTCTATTTTTTTCGGCCACTCGGTTCCATAAGGCAAGATGGGCATGCAGGTAAGAGTCATGGGGTAGGCCTAGAGAGGAGAGAAGGTACGGGTAACGGGGGGAAAAAATTTTTTTCGTTTTTATTTTTTTCATTTTTATTTTTTTTCGTTTTTATATATTTTTTTCATTTCTATTTTTTTTTTTTTTTATTTTTTTCATTTCTATTTTTTTGTTTTTTTATTTTTTTCATTTCTATTTTTCGTTTTTATTTTTCATTTCTATTTTTCATTTTTTCATTTTTGCCCTTTTTTTCGTTTTTACCCTTTTTTTCGGCCACTCGGTTCCATAAGGCAAGATGGGCATGCAGGTAAGAGTCATGGGGTAGGCCTAGACCATTTTTTTAACTCTCCACCATTTTTTTAACTCTCCACCATTTTTTAACTCTCCACCATTTTTTAAAATCTCCACCATTTTTTTAACTCTCCACTATTTTTTAAAATCTCCACCATTTTTTTAACTCTCCACCATTTTTTTAACTCTCCACCATTTTTTTAACTCTCCACCATTTTTTTAAAAATCTCCACCATTTTTTTAACTCTCCACTATTTTTTTAAAAATCTCCACCATTTTTTTAACTCTCCACCATTTTTTTAAAAATCTCCACCATTTTTTTAAACTCTCCACCATTTTTTTAACTCTCCACCATTTTTTTAAAAATCTCCACCATTTTTAACTCTCCACCATTTTTAACTCTCCACCATTTTTTTAACTCTCCACCATTTTTTTTAACTCTCCACCATTTTTTTAACTCTCCACCATTTTTTTAACTCTCCACCATTTCTTCAAATCTCCACCATTTTTTTAACTCTCCACTATTTTTTAAAATCTCCACCATTTTTTTAACTCTCCACTATTTTTTTAACTCTCCACCATTTCTTCAAATCTCCACCATTTTTTTAACTCTCCACCATTTCTTCAAATCTCTACCATTTTTTTAACTCTCCACCATTTCTTCAAATCTCTACCATTTTTTTAACTCTCCACCATTTCTTCAAATCTCCACCATTTTTTTAACTCTCCACCATTTCTTCAAATCTTTACCATTTTTTTAACTCTCCACCATTTCTTCAAATCTCCACCATTTTTTTAACTCTCCACCATTTCTTCAAATCTCCACCATTTTTTTTAACTCTCCACCATTTCTTCAAATCTCTACCATTTTTTTAACTCTCCACCATTTTTTAAAATCTCCACCATTTTTTTAACTCTCCACCATTTCTTCAAATCTCCACCATTTTTTTTAACTCTCCACCATTTTTTAAAATCTCCACCATTTTTTTAACTCTCCACCATTTCTTCAAATCTCTACCATTTTTTTAACTCTCCACCATTTTTTAAAATCTCCACCATTTTTTTAACTCTCCACCATTTTTTAAAATCTCCACCATTTTTTTAACTCTCCACCATTTTTTAAAATCTCCACCATTTTTTTAACTCTCCACCATTTTTTTAACTCTCCACTATTTTTTTAAATCTCCACCATTTTTTTAACTCTCCACCATTTTTTAAAATCTCCACCATTTTTTTAACTCTCCACCATTTCTTCAAATCTCCACCATTTCTTCAAATCTCCACCATTTTTTTAACTCTCCACCATTTTTTAAAATCTCCACCATTTTTTTAACTCTCCACCATTTTTTAAAATCTCCACCATTTTTTTAACTCTCCACCATTTTTTTAACTCTTCACCATTTTTTTAACTCTTCACCATTTTTTTAACTCTCCACCATTTTTTTAACTCAAAAAAATGGTGGAGATTTTAAAAAAATGGTGGAGAGTAAAAAAATGGTGGAGATTTTAAAAAAATGGTGGAGATTTTAAAAAAATGGTGGAGAGTTAAAAAAATGGTGGAGATTTTAAAAAAATGGTGGAGAGTAAAAAAATGGTGGAGAGTTAAAAAAATGGTGGAGAGTTAAAAAAATGGTGGAGATTTTAAAAAAATGGTGGAGATTTTAAAAAAATGGTGGAGTGTTAAAAAAAGATGGTGGAGAGTTAAAAAAATGGTGTCTCCAAAATGAAAAGAATAAATAAATAAAAAAACGAAAAAGGGTAAAAAATGAAAAAAACTAAAAAAAGTTTAAAAAAATGAAAAAAATAGAAATGAAAAATAAAAAAACGAAAAAAATAAAATTGGTAAAAATGAAAAAAATTGGATAGAAATGAAAAAAAGAAAAAAATATAAATGAAAAAAATAAAAAAACGAAAAAAATGGGTAGAAATGAAAAAAACATGGGGTAAAAAAATGAAAAAAATATAGATAAAAATGAAAAAAATAATAATAACGAAAAAAAGTGTAAAAAAAAAAAAAAATAGAAATGAAAAAAAAATAAAAACAAAAATAAAATAAAAATAGGTAGAAATGAAAAAAATGGGTAAGAATGGGTAAGAATGGGTAAGAATGGGTAAGAATGGGTAAGAATGGGTAAGAATGGGTAAAAATGAAAAAAAAATATATAAATGAAAAAAAATATATAAATGAAAAAATGGGTAGAAATGAAAAAAAAACGAGACGGTAACTGATAAAATGACTATTTCTGCCTTTATATACCCCCGTGGGCGTGGCTACTGAGTGTAGTTAGTGGGCGTGGCCACTGCACCAGGCTTTTCCTTCTTCCGTGGTATACTTTCCCCATCAGACTTCTTTGTCGGCATCTTATAACTAATCTCCGCCTTTAATTAAGACCGCAGGTGTGGGAATGTGGGCTTCAAGCGGATTTGCGGTAAGTTTCAAAGAAGCTGACTTAATTACAGACGGAGATTAGTGATAAGGACTCCGATGGGAAAGAACGATTGGGATTTCGAAAAGTCATGGCACCGTGCCAAGAGGATTCGGAAAAAGAGTGATAAGGAATTGAAAGATTTCCGATTTCGGATGCAAACACTCAACACTGAGTCGATATTCCGATCGGTCTGTAATCTGGACCCAACATAAGTATGGTAACACATTAATAACTTTATCTACCTTTTATCAGTCTTGTAAACATTAAAAAAAAATCGGAGCAATTGCACAAAAGTTCAAGAGATTCAAGGGATAACGAGGGATCGGCAATCAATTGAATGGGTTATTCAGAAGTACTTCAGTAGCCAACGATCACTTTCTCGCCACCTTCCGGATGTCTGCAGCGTCCACGCATCATCTCGTACACTTGCTGCTTGATCCACGCACGAGTACGTCCAATGTACTGGCCGGTCTCCTAAACAATTGAAAATTATAGAATGTTGACATCAAAATTACAAACCCGATTGAAAATCATGAGCGAGATATCGGACATCTTGTCGAGAAACTCGTACACTTGCGACACATCATAGGTCACCGGTCCGCTCGTCTTTTTCGCCAAAAACTCTTCGAACATTTTGCAGAGCGCTGAAAATTGCTGTTTCGTCAATGTTTTGTGAAATTTCGCGTAGAACAAACGACTTTCTCGTCTTTCCAATCAGACTCAGACTTTGCAGGCTTCTTGATTATTAATTGAAGTATCTTGGGTCCGAATTTCAGACCGATATACTGACTTGAGGCGGAGAAGACGGCAAACATCACAAAATCCCGGCATTTTCGACCTCAAACCAGTACATCTCGGGTATAGCAGAAGAAATTGGCCCAAAGCACTATATCAAGAGTGTAAATGATGCGATCGGTCTGAAACTCGGCTCCAAGATAGTTCAGTCCTAGTCCGCAAAGCCTGCAAAGTTTGGGTCCGATCGAAATACTGCAAATGGGTCAAAAGTCAGGCCTCAAAAAGCCTGGGCCGTCCCTTTTGTTCCAAAAAAGATTAACGTACAATCGAGAGCATCGGTGACACTCTCAAAGCGTTCAGAGACCGGCGGTACGAGTGCAAGGACATGCTCAAGAAAGCGAAAGGGCGGTTCGATACGGCGCAGACGAGCAGCGATTTGGCGACGATGCAGACGGCCAAGTTGGAAATGGTTCTCTACGAATCACTGCAGTTAGCGCACAAGTGCATCCTCAATTCGTTCTACGGATATGTCATGAGAAAGGGGTCGAGGTACAGATATTTTTGGTGAAAAGTGAAGAAAAAAACGATGGTACGGAACGTAAACGGGATTCACCGAAATGCTCATTCAATCCCTGGGAACAAATGTCGTTTTCGCGGCTCTACACATCACTCCCGTGAAATTGTTCGACGCAATGCTCTGGATCCTTTGGAAAACAGCCTAGTTTTGTTGACGGAGCGGATTTTTTCACTGCAGCTTTCAATAAAAACATTTTCCAGATGGTTCTCAATGGAAATGGCTGGAATTGTGTGTCACACCGGCGCCAACATCATCCGCGAAGCCCGGGAGAGATGCTCATGAAGCACTGCTTTCTAGATTTGCTTCAGTCTGCGGCCGATGTGAAGAAACTGAGCACTGCTTCCGAGTACAGCGAGCTCTCGGATAAAACAAAGTTGAACATTCTCGAGCATCTTCTCACTCTCATTTAAATTTTTAAAGTTCCTTAAAATTTAATGTTTTTTTCCTCTAATATATCTATCAATCTGAGAATCTTTAACAATGACACTGTGGCATAGACAAACATTTTGCTCAAATTTTTCTATTTATTTCCTATTTAAACCATGAGCCCCCTCCCCTCCTCTTTTTTTGGTCATAATCAGAACTGGTTCTGTGAGTAGTACTATGATATCAAAAAAATAGGAAAAAAACGGTTCTCCGCAGATTCGAATCGTGCCTTCTTGATCAGTGGTCACTTCTCTCCATTCGAGTCCCGTGCACTTTCCCTTCTTTTCCAAACACTCAATTACGTCATTTGCTGTAAGAATAATTTCTAAAGATCATCAAATGTTTCTGAGCGTAAAGGGCACGTAAAGGACCGAAAAGGTTATGGGAACATTGCAAAAAACCTACTGCTTTTTTACATTCACATTCGAAATTCATTTCACAAAGAACAGATTCACGTATTGGGGGATAGGAGGAAATTCGAGGGATACGTCCAAATGGAAAATGGCCGTCTCAACATCAAAAACCGCCATCAATAAAAAACGAATAAACATATAAGAATAAGTTACTCCCAAATAGAAATCTCTTACGGGACGGGGACTGCGGGGGAGGGGGCGATTTGATTAGAATGCGACAAGTAGACAGGAAAAAGGTGGCGGGGCTTGAATGCGGGGGGGAATGGATCGGTGGGGGACTCTTTGGTCATAACACACAGAAAGAAAACAACGGAAAAATGCTGCTCTTCGGGATGTGTGTATGGGTGTGAGAGGGGAGCACGGCAAACGGGGAACATCGAAACATTCAGTCGATTTTAAAGTCGAAAGAGTATACAGTCAGTTAATGGGAAAAAAACGAAAGGGGCGGTAGTTATCACAATTCGAGAGAAGGGTACGCGGATGCAAGGAAAGGGTATAGAAAAAGAGAAGAAAGTGATTAGAAAGGGGAAGACAAAGAAGCGAGTAAAAGGTGCGGGAACGAGGGAATGAGCCGGCTCTCACGCCTTTTGAGCTCTCAGCTGCGCCAGTTCTGCCTCGTGTTGTCGCTCCCGAGCGTCAGCGAGTCCTTCGATCTCCTCGAGCTTGGCCACCTGGAAAAGAACCCATCATAAAGAGATTCAAGTAGTTTCCCGTACCAGAATCTCGAGAGCCTTTTGCTGCTCGCTGCTGTAAACTCCTTCCGGCTGTGCTGTGGACTCCTTGGCTGGAGATGGAGCAGGAGATGGAGCAGGAGCCGGTGGGGCCGCCTTCAGATCCTTCTCGACTTGGCTGGCGGACTCTTTGAGCCACTCGAAGAAGGCCTGAAATAAAAAATATAAAAGCAATTTCAAAATACTCGCTACCGTCTCGTCCTCGAACGCCTTGAACGACTTCTTGGCAAGTCTTCCGACCTCCGCGACGACTCGCTTCCGATCCGCAATCACCGTCTTCGTCGCCTCTTCTGTCTTCTCCAGAAGCGTGTAGTTGCGTTGACGGAGCTCCTGAACGATCTAAATTGAGTAAACGCCATGCTCCACACGCTCAAACAGCCACGAATCACACAATCTAACTCACGTCGTTTTTTTCTTGCAACTTGGCCTCCAAAGGCGACGGTCCGGATGTGCTCGGAGCGGCCGCCAAGTCCGTGTTCGTCTTTTTCAGCTCAAACACTTCCTCGACAACTTCCGGAGCCGAGTTCTTCGGAATCTCGACGGTGCGAGCCTTCTCCTCGTCGAGAGCCTGCTCGACAGCGGCTACCTTCTTCCGTTCGGCCGTCAACTCCTTCTGGAGCGCAGCCTCCCGTTGCTCGAACTGTGCCTTCTCGTCAGCGAGCTCCTTGGCTCCCGTCTCGGCGCGGCTCTTTAGATCCGACACCACCTTCTCCTGCTCGTTCTTGCTGAAAAAGAAATTTTGAAATGAGCTACACAAATGAGACGGACTACTCGTGGAACTCTCCAATATCCTTGTTAAGTCCGTCGACGAGGGCCTTCAGCCGGTGGAACTCTTCCGTCATCTTGACCTTGTCCTCCGTGAACGCGGCCTTCTCTTCCTCCAATAGCTTCGTCGCCGCGTCTTTCTTCTCCTCCCGTTCCTGCTGGGCGACCAGTTCGCGGCGACTCTGTGCCAGGTTCTCCTCGAGTTCCTTAATCGCTTTCTCCATGTTCGCCGCTTCCTGCGACAGGTTCACGTAGTCGTCGACCTTCTGTTCGTAGTTCGCCTCCATCTCTCTGACGACCTTCTCAAAGGTCTCCACCTGCGCCGCCAGCTGCTGGATCACCTTGTTGTCGGCGCCCTCGTCGTTCGGCGCCGCTCTAACCATCTGAGCCTGAGCCAGATCGGCCTGAGCACTCTTCACCTGAGCGTGCAGTTTCGAGTTGTTCGTTCGCAGATTGGCAATCTCCGAGTCGAGTTGTTGGTTACGGGCGCGCAGTTGCTGCGTGTCCTTCTGGTGGGCCTCCTCGCGGGATTGAAGGTCCGCCTGCACAGTCTGCACAGTTCTCGCGAGCTCCGTTTCACGCTGAGTCGCCGCCTGAAACTTCGTGGCCAGAACGGTTTGCTTGTTTCTGAAAAGAGAGACTAAATATTCGATGGGGACCGTTCTCCAAACTCACTGCTCCTGCTTTTCGCGCTGTTCGACAACGTTCTTCTCCTTTTGCAGCTTCTCCTGCTTCTGTGCCGACTCGGCCAACTTCTTGTGCAACGACTTCACCTCCTGGCTCAGATTGTTCTTTTGCTGCTCGTTGTCGCGGAATTGGGTGGTCAGGAACTGAACGTATCCCTCTTCGAGATCGACGATTCCGGCCAGACGGGCGAGCACCTTCTTCTGGTCCAACTCCTTCACGCTAACCGTTTTCGCCGCCTTCTTCTTCTGCTCCTTTGGCGATTCCTGCTGTTTCGGCGACGATTTTGGCGGCGAGGCGGTCTCTGGCTGCTTCTTTTCCGGAATGGCGGCCTGGAGTGGGGTGGAGACAGTCTTCTGGACGACGGCTGGCTCTTCTGGTTCCTTCTGCTCCGGCTCCTCTTCCGACTCGTCCTTCTGCTGCTGCTGATGGTTCTGGCTGTTGTTTGTGTTGTTCGACTGCTTCTTCTTATCTTTCTTGCTCTTTCCCTTTTTCTCCTTTTTGTCTCTCTCGGTCAAAATTGCCAGAGCGCACTCGTTGTAGGCCTGCAACAAGACAATGCGTTCAAATGAACTATGGCTGGACCAAAGGCCTGCCGAGGCTTGGAATTCTGACACACTTGCGATAATCCGATGAGACCAAAACTTTGCAGGCTTCTTGGATTTGGATTGAAGTAATTTGGGTACAAGTTTCAGACCGATCGGATTATCTGGTTTCGAGATACAGTGGTTTGAAAGCGAAGAGGCTGATTTTTTGCGAAATCAAATATCTCGGAATAGATAATCCGATCGGGCTGAAATTTGGACCGAAAACACTTCAGTCAAAGTCCAAAAAGTCTTCGAAGTTTGGGTTCGATCAGATTATTGAAAGTGGGTCAAAAGTCCAGAACCACTATTCCACAATTCCCACCTTATCAAAGTCTCCTTCCTCTTTCGCCATGAAGAAGAAGCCGAGAATGACGACAAGACTGACAACGGCGACGCCGACGACAGTGAGCATCACTGGGTCCAACATTTCTCACCCTGAAAAACGGGCAATGCTTTGAAGAGCGGCGTCAATAATGCGCGGGACGTGCCCAGGGGGAGCAATAACACGAAGAGCGGCGATGCAACGCACCGGAAATGGAACGCGAAGCTAAAGGGAAGAGAGAGAAGGAGCTCACAGAGCTGCAGGCCGGCGCCATCGGATGAGAACTTTGAATCTCTGACTTTTGACAGGTAACAGATTCAGATGTATGATCAGATAAGCGGATTAGGTGCGACAAATTTTGGTTGTTTTTTCAACATCAACCCTAGGGATTGGGGAAAAGCCGGTATAGGCCTGGACTTTTTAACAACTCGCACTATGAAGTCTTTTAGGACTTGGATTGAAGTATCTCGGGACCGGATAATCCGATCGGTCTGAAACTTGAACCCAAAACACTTCAATCAGAGTCCTAGAAGGCTGCAAAGTCGGGGTTCGATCAGATTATTGCAAGTGGGTCAAAAGTCCAGGTCTCGGCAGGGGTTCGAAAAACTCGCCGTTCGGCCACCCCTGATCTCAATGGTAAATGACCTCAAAACCAACAATAATGATGACTTTGACGATAACTAAACGGATGGAAAGGAAAAGATGTTTATGAGACGAAAAGGGGGCGCCGTGGCGCCTAGAATGATAAACTACACACTAATTGGAATGATAACTTCTTTCTCATTTCTCCTCTATCTTCGCGCGCCTCTCGGGAAACAAATTTCGGAGAGGAGAAAAAAGTACAGCGAAATGAGGTCACTATCAAAGTGATATCCCCTTCCTACGCGCGCAGCGAAAACCAGACAGTACCAGGTTGAGAGAGAGAGAGAGAAAGAGTCGTGCTTGTCCACGAAATTTCGCCGAGCAAACCAGAGGATCCTAAAAAAACGCGAAGCAGCAAAAAAGAGCTCCGAGTGTAGAAATCGGCAAAAGAGACTGCAGACGAGCGGAGCGAAAGAAGGGGGCGAGGCGCCACGTAGACCCTTGCCCTCTCGCTTCTCTCGCACTCGCCACACTCTCGCTCCCACTCCTCCTCCTCTGCAACAGAGAATGACACGTAAAAGAGGGGGCGCCTGGCGCCACGAAAAATGATGATGGAACGAGAAAAACGACGCGGAGAGGGAGGGAAAAGAGACGGAATAAATACTGAAGAGGTCTTCCGAAATGGAGAGAAACGACATTATTTGACCAGTTAGACATCTTTCCGCCTCCATTTTTCTGTCGAATGCGCTGTTCTTACACTTTGACCAGTTGAAATGAGCTCAACGCGGAAGGACGGAGCATTTGCCGAGGCGAGCAAACGGATGGAAACAGAGCCCGGAGACGGATGCCGAGCAACCGAAAAGATGGGCGGAGACAAAATGACGCACATCTGCATCATCTTCTTCAAACAACAAGATGGCTCCTTCTTCTTGTTTATGCAGAGCTCTCATGTGATGAGCGCCAAATTAACGTTTCTGGGGGTTTTCTTGCAGTCTAGTCGCGAAAAACGCAAAAAACGCCTCCATCTCTCTCAATTTAGCCTTGAAAACATTAACGAACGGAGGAGTAGGGCGGAATTGAGAGAAGGACGGCCCCGAATCCAATTCAACCTTGAAGAGGTGAAAATGGCATGAGAAACCGCCGGCTGGTGTTAGTCGTACAAAAAACAAGACCGAGAGGAGTTGAAACGAGTGCGGGTCACTTAACAGTCGCCAAATTACTCGGGCGCCTGAATTGGATGCGAAATTTCCGGGAGGCGTCAGATTTCGTCAGAATTCCACACAAAAAATTAGTGCGCGGGAAATTTTTGTGCAAAATGCACTGAAAATGCAATTTCCCGTGGGTTCCGCTAAAAATAGGGGATTTTTGATGCGAATATTCAATAGAAGCATTTCTCCTAAAATAAGTGATAAAAAGCGGCAAAATACAGTTTTTTAGCATGCCGGAGCCGAAAAATGCACAAAAAATTCAAAATTTCCAGAAACCACGGAAGAACGTCTGGAAAATGCGACAAAACACGAAGGAAAGGATGAAAGTTGGCGCTGTTGACGACGTGGAGTTTAAAGGCGCATCGACTTTTCGCGCCGAATGGTCTCGCCACGATTACAGTCATTTAAAGGCGCAGGGCTCGTTTTGAATACAAATCTGCTAATTTTTTAGCGAAAAAAGCGTAAACTGGCTGAAATTTTGCAGAAAGTTTTACAGAAATGTGTTTTTTCAGGTCTGGAACACCAATTTTCGTCTTTAAATTCACCAAAAATCACGAAAAAAAAGCGTTTTCTAGAAAAAATTCAAACCATCTCGAATTTCGACAATTTCGAGCTTGTGACTGTGCGTATTTATCTGAAAAACGTGAAAAAATACGTTTTTCGTAATCTCTGACACGAAAAGCCACGTTTTTTTTGCAATTTTCAGCTATCAAACAGAACATTTTCGAAAGAATTAGATAAGCACCATGTGACATGTCAATCATTATTTTCCACTGATAAGCAGTACAATCGTAAAAATTTAAATTTACTTATCAAAACTGTGTCATCTGCGTGCCAATCAAGGTGTTTGGCCGAAGAAGAATCGAAAAGTGCGCTGATTATAATTGTACCTTTATTTTCCGATGATATCATTTAATTTGCCCTGAGGGGCTCGTCTGACGTGAGCATGATTCGAGCCTACGTCAGGCAAAAACGCGATACAAAAAATATTCATTTTCATCGACAAACGGATAAAATGTACAAAAAACCCGCCAGACAGAAAAAGAAGGTGATTTAGAGATTTGTTTTAGGAGGACGGGGCAGGGAACATTGCGTTTTTACAATAAATTTGAGGGGAAAATGGGGGAAAATGTTTTTCCTGAAAAATTCAAATATCGCCGAGATCCTCGTCGAACGGCACTTGCTCGACCGACTCGAACACGGCAAAGTCGTCGGAAATGGGCGCGGCGGTCGAGGTCGTCGACGAGGATCCTTCGATTCGCTGATGCGCGCCGCGTCGCATCTCGTTCACCGCGATCAGTTCGTCCTCGTCCAATCCCATGCGGTCACGACCTACAAAAACATCATTCTTCTAGCACAACTGTAATCACAAATTGCGGCTCACCATGCTGTTTTCTCTTCTGTCTCGTCTCCTTATCGACAATCGAATGAATGTTCGCACTCGCCAAAGTGGTCTTCCACAAAAGTGATCTGGCGCGCAAAATTGCACGATCACACGTTTCGTTTACTCTGAAAGTAGGAAAAATGTCGGAAAATTTATCCAAGCCAGGCCCCTCCCACTCGCCTGTCCCGAACTCAACTCAAAACACCTATTGCAGTCTTCTTGGACTTGGATCAAAGCTTTTTGGGTCCAAGTTTCAGATCGATCGGATTATCCGGAAAACTCTGTCTTTTGCCCTAAGTCAATATATCTCGAGATCAGATAACCGGATCGGTCTGAAACTTGAGCCCATAAAACTTTAATCCAAGTCCAAGAAGCCTGCAAAGTTTAGGTCCGATCGGAATATTGTAAGAGATCCAATAGACCGGTTTTTTCTCAGCTCTACATTTTTACAAATAAAATCAAGTAAGTAAGAGTAGACCTTCTCAGCGTGGTCGCCTCGTCGGTCTCGTCGATCATGCGGATCACTCCTACGCTCTGGTCGATTCGCAGCGAAATGCTCTTGCTCTCGCACAAATCCAGAAGAGAGAGCTGCAATTCCTGAACGGTCGTGCCCAGAGCGGCACACATCGTCTCCAGCTTGACCGAGGAATACGGCTGCAGGTACTGCACCACGCACTTGCGACGGATCATCGTGAACAAAGTGTCCACGTTGCGAGACATGAACGGATCCAGCAGCAGCTGAAAAATAGTCGTTTTTCGAATGCATTTGAAAAGTTGGCAAAAGTTGGCAAAAGAGCAGCAAAGATTACCCGATTCTTGACGGCGTACATAATCTCGAAGCATCGTCCGAAGCGGCTGGACGTGTACGAATTGAGCAGTTCGATGAAATGTGGCTCCGACTCGAGAAGTCTCCGGAAGGCGCCGTTTCCGCTGACCGCCGCCCGCAACTTGGCCCTCTCCATCGTCGCCATCGCACACAGCATCGCGTAGATGCCCAGATCCGAGGCGGTGACGAACCACTTGGCTTGCAAGTGTTCCGTTTTGATTAGCAGCACGTCGGTGGCCACTTGCGCGTACCGTCCGTTCCTCAGTTTGAGCAGCACCTGCGCAGTCAGCACTTTCGCCAGCGCCGTCTCGATCAGCTGCCGGTTCGTCATGCTCGGCGCGCCTTGCGCCGGCGGCTCCAGCATGTACGTCGCATTCTCGCCACGTTGCTGCTGCTGGGTGTGCGACGCCTGGAATTCGCGAAAATTTTATGATTTTTGGCACTAGATGCAATTTTTGCGGAAAGTTCTCTTGGAAACTGTGAAAAGCTTGCGCAATTTCTGACGAACACTGCCGAGAACGTCTGAAATTCGAAAAACTGACAATTTTGCGAGATGATATAGTTTTTTTTCGAAGTTTCCAGTAAACTACACCAAATTTGGGGATTCGGATTGACACCAACTTTTTCGGCGTCATCGGCGTCTTTAAGAGATCGGTGGGCCGTGTTAGTGATACTTTCGAGACGGTTCCAGTCGTTGGCCATAATTGAGACTTCGATCCAGTTCAGCCACATCTGAATTGAAGTAAAATTCATTTTGATTCGATCAGCTTCATAAACAAATCGTAAAAATGTAACATTTCCAGGCAAAAGGCATCTCAGGCTTGTCGAAGGCTTTTGAGGACTGGACCGTTGACCCACTTGCAATAATCCAATCGGGCTCAATCGTTGCAGGCTTCTTGGACTTGGATTGAAGTGTTTTGGGTCCAAGATTCAGACTGATCCGGACCAAAAATCTGGGATTTTCGATAAATCAGTATATCTCGGGACCAGATAATCGAATGGATCTGAAATTTGGTCCCGAAATACATTAATCCAAGTCCAATAAGCCTGCAAAGCTTGGGACCGATCGGGCTATTAAAAGTGGTCCAAGAGTCGAAGCCATTCTCGAGCCTCTCTCGAGCTCTCGAGCATTCTCGAGCATTCTCGAGCATTCTCGAGCCTCGAAGCCAGTCGAAGGCATTCTCACATTGATGGAGTGTTTGAGTTGGGTGCAGTAGTCCCTGATTCCTCTCGAATACAATCGGATCGCCTCTTCAACCCGTCCGGCGATCAAATAGTGCTGAAAGAGGTCCTCCATCGCTCGGCGCGTCGACTCTTTCACTCCTTCGTCCTTGTGGCGCTTGTATTCTAACTGCAACGGAGGATTTTTTGAATGTCAGCAAAACTAGTAGTTTTTTATCGTGAATGGGTTATTTGCTGACCTGAAGAGCGTCAAGTCGTGTCTGCCAGCCGATGCCCGTTTCCTCGACCCACTTGTGATCCTTCAGGGGCGCAGACAGGCTGACGTACGTCCTTTCTCGGCCCAATTCGGTGTCGAGTTCGTTGAAAAAAGCTATGTAGTGACCGATGTCCTTCGTTTCTTCCTTCAGATAATTGATGAGCGAAATGTACGCGTCCGCTCGCAGAGCCGTACAATGTTTCGCCACGAAACGGCATCTGAATTGAAAAGTACAAAAATCCGAGTATTTTCGTAGTAAATATTCTCAAATCGATCATTCGTGAGCTTAAAAAGTCGGAAATCATCGTGAAAATTCGCGTAAAAAGGACAAACCTGAGAAAGAAGGCGTCGCCCTCGTAGAAACAGGCGAGAGCCTCGAGATCGACGGCCGGCTCGGAAACGTTCAAATCGTAGGCCTCGTCGAACGCCTCGCGGTCCCTCTTCTCCTCCATCCGGATGTTTGAGGCAGTCTGGCCGGCGATCAGATCCGCCGCCAACGTGTTCATATCGATCGGAACTCGCTGTTTCCCCGCGTCCGCCTCCCGGTCCTCCTCGATTCGCGGCGGCTGCGGCTGCGGCTCTTCGCCCGCTTGCTCCATTGGCGGAGCTGCTGGAAGTGCTCCCGCCTGAAACCCGACAAAACATATGAATTTCGTTCAATAACAGCTTCTCTGCACAAAATTTCGAGAACCTTGAAAATTTAACAAAAACCACGGATTTTTCTGATTTCTTTTGATGATAACTTGATTTTTGAGTGGCTTTATTCGATTTTACACTAAAAATGAACGTACCGGCGCTCCTGTATCCATGGGATCATCGAGAAGATCGTTGGACATTTTTTGCCTGAAAAACTTGCAATTTCCAAATTTTTTGAGCGATTTTTGGGGTCAAAAGGTCAATAAGAACAATCAATAACGCAAATTAGTGGAAAAAGTCAATTTTCTCGGCGGGAATCCGCCAAAATCAATCGAAAATAGCTCGGAATGGAGTGGACAACAAAAAACGAACGAAAATTGTCGATAGAGCGCGTTTGCTGAACGCCTGTCCGCGTTTCTCGGTTTCGCACACTCTCTCGCCGGGACACCGACGAGTTACTCATTCCATTTCACCCAATTTACCGTCTTCTTGATTCGCTTTTTTTTGAGATCTTGCTCATTTATCGAAAAATTATCGATTTTTGAGTATTTCGCCTGCGAAATCATGTCAAACAACGCGGATTCGACGATATTCACGAAAATGAGTGGGTTTCGGATCCTAGGATCCAAATTTATTATAATTTCAGCCAGTCGAGCTGCCGGCAAGCGTCGGGTCAAACCGACGTCCGTTCTGTACGCCACACTCAACGATAACAACAGTTCCGACGAGGAGGACGACGATTTTGAAGGTTTCTTTTAAAGATTTTCAGACCTTTTTTTTCGGACGATCTCTATTTTTGAGAAATATTAATGACAATCGATAATAGCTAACCACAATCTTTCCAGTGAAACCAGACGAGACGTGCGTGAAAACAGAGACGTCCGATTCGGAATCTGGATCCTCGAACGGCCTATCGGACCAGGACGTGAGCGATGAGGAGGACTCGGAGGAAGAGGAAAACGAGGAGGAAAACGGAGTTGAAAACGAGGAGGAGAAACGGAGGACGCCTTCCGCAGACAAGGAACTGGTCGTGTGCGGAGTGTGCGTGAATGCACGCGATGCTGTGGCCGCCGGCGATTTTATGCAGTGCGATAAGTGAGTAATGAACGGTAGAGCACTGAAATATTGTATTGTTCTCATTAAACCAAGAAGAGTGCATAGACTACGCGCCTCTTGTTACAATAAAGCGTGGATTCAAGAGAACGGTAGTGCGCTCAATTGACAATTTTTGTCGTTTTTCTTATCACATTCATCTTCTCACCCTCTCTCTCTCTCTCATTTCAGATGCGGAATCCACGTGCACGAGTCGTGCTACGGCGGTCTCCGACACGACGACCCGGAAGAGACGCGGTGGTTCTGCGAGCCGTGTCAGATGGGACTCACCGATCCGCCGCACTGCGAGTTCTGTCCCTCCCGACTCGGCGCCTTCAAACGAGCAGAAATACCCGGCCGCTGGTGCCACGTCGTTTGTGCTCTTTTCACGCACGGAGTCGTTTTTACGCAGGTTCGAAGAAATTGTAGGAAAATTCTGGATTTTTTATGGGAAAACTTTAGACTCGAGCATGATGTTGCCTACATTTTCTTGGGCGAAATTAGCTATTTTCAAGGCGCGCGATCGCTTAGCCAAGCAATACAGTGTTTGTGAAAGTATATTCAAACTTTTTTTTCAGGCAGACACCCTGACGGGAATATCGTGGGAATTGCTCGAGAACTCGTTGTTCGGAAAGCGGACGTGCTCGGCGTGCTCCGACAAAATCGAGGCGCGGTTCGGAATCGCGCCGAGATGCGAGAGCGGAATGTGCAAAGAGTACCTACACGTGACGTGCGCACAAAAGTTGGGACTGCTCGTCGACGAGACGGACGATCACGAGTCGGCCGACGCGATCGCCGTCATGAGATACTTCTTCTGCAAAAAGCACACGAACCACGATAATCTGAAGCCGCTTCAGAAGAGATGGGCGGCCTGGGAGAAGGCCGAATCGAGAAGGATGACTGTGAACAGACGGAGGAAACCGTTGGACGAGGACGAGAAGAAACTGAGGGAGGCTATGCGGGAGAAGCTGGAGAAGACGTTGTTTGCGGAACAGGAGCTGTCCAGGGTAAGGATTCCACACGTGGAAATGGCAATTTTCTTATTCAAATCTCTTTTTCATCGATATATTCAGGCTCAAGCGCAACGCGGCGAAGACCGTCAGAAGCAGGCACGTCTTCTGAACACGTCGGCCGAATATTTCGACCGTTTCGAAACAAAGGCCGAAGATGTGGGCATAACCCGCGAGGAGTTCAGGGATCCGTTCTTCAACATCAAACTGGCGAACACCTCGCACATTCCCATCGGATTCTCCAAAGAGTACATTGAGTAGGTTTTGAGAAGTTTTCGAAAATTTTATCTTAGTTACAAGCCGGAATCCCAAGATTGATTTCAAAGACATCTCCCTTCAATTTTCAGTTTCATGGCGCTCCGCGACTCGCAAATAATCCCGGAAGAAGAGGAAAAACTGCGAAAAGTGCGGGAAATGTTGGCGGAAACGAAGCAAAAGCACGAGAAGATGGCCGCCTCGAAGCAGTTGTCGGAGAGATTCGAAGAGAACGACGGCCTCATCGAGCACAAACTCGCCACGTTGCACCGTCTGAGCAGGGTGCTCGTAGAGCTTCAGGAGAAGAACGACGACTTCTCGGAGCTGCTCGCCGAGTTCGTCGACGTTTCGGCGCGGAAGAGTGCGGAAAGGACGCGCGGAAGCCCGTCGGCAAGCGGAAAAGTCGAGTACGCGTGTGCGATTTGCGAGCAAACGACGGAGCAGCACAAGCAGACGCAGTGCGATGAGTGCCACAAGAGCTACCACATTGGATGTCTGACGCCGCCGCTCACGCGATTGCCCAAGCGCAACAACTTTGGCTGGATCTGCCACGTTTGCAATGAGAGCGACGAGAGCGATGAGGTAGTGATGTGTCTCAGCATAGGCCACGCCCAGTTTTCCAATATTTTCAGTCTAAAAAAGCTAAAACAAATCAAATAAATTTCAGGAAATCCTGGAGACGACCTACGACGACTCGGCTCCATCCACTCGATCTTCCAGAAGTCGTCGTCCGCCTGCCCGCCTTTCTGCATTTGACAATCAATAAAAAGAAATCTCTAAATTTGGCCCCATTTACATATTTATATTCTTTCTCCGCCCCCCCTTGAAAATCTCGACAAAACAGTGTGTTCTTTGCGATCTTTATTCCATTATTTCTGTGGTTTTTTGCTCACCTTCCTCCCGAGTTTTATGATTTTTAGCGATTTTTACAAACAACTTTCAGCGAATGTCAATTATTTTTCCTCTTCCTCTCCTTTCTCTTGTATTTTCACAAGTTTTTCAGCATCCTTCACCTCGAGAAGCTTCACGGATTCGGCCGGTTTCTGGGCCGTCTCCACGTCGCCCTTCGCGCCCTTTTTGGTCTTGCGACAGCCGCGGAACAACGGCCCCGCGTCGAAATCGTCAATATCTTCCGGAAGTTTCTTGTTCTTCGTCTCCGGCTGAAGACACACCAGACCGGCGGCCACGATCGAGAGCGCCGCGATGAGAACCGCCGGCGCGTCCTCGTTTATCGCCGTCTGAAAACGAATTTATCGACTTGTATTTTTCTATGATTTCTGGTGTCTCACAAAGCAATACTGACATTTTGAGTGAACACGGTCTCCAGAGCTTACAATTTCGTGTGCCTATTGAAAGATCCGCAGACCGTGGACCGCTTTTTTTTAGAGAAAACGAACCAATCGGTTCATGTAGGGCGCTCCGATGGATCCGAGTTCTCCGACGAGCGAAACGACGCCACTGAACACGTTTCTGATGGTCGTCGGTGTTCCCTAAAGACGTTACTGTAATGGTAAGTCCCGAATTTATCACATTTCTTGGAATTTTATCCTATTTTTTCCGGTAAAAAGTGCAAACCTCCGAGTAGAGAAGCGGTTGCGACGACCAAACGATCGAATTGGTGGACTTGGCGAGCAGCGGGAAAATCATTTTATAATTGCCCGGAAGCGGAACGAATATCGTGCACAACATGAAGATGCCGGTGAAAAAGAGCGAGAAGAAGGAGACGGTCTTCCGTTTGTACTTGACCAGCAGAATGACCGAGAAGAAGCCGGCGGGCAATTCGACAATGCCCGACAGGAAGTAGCCCGTCTTTCCGTCGTCCGACAGTTCCGTCGAGTAGAGCGACAGCGCCCAATACGTTCCCGACATTACCACCCTGAACATTTTACGATTAATACACGGCGACCAAAAGTGTAGAAAGGGGCGTGGCCTAATCTGAGACGCGTTTTCTGAAAATTGCCGCAATTCCAGCACTTTTTCGATATTTTTGTGCTTGATATCGACGAAAGAAGAGACATGCAAGAGAGAAAACATCGAAATTTTCGTGAAAACGCCGCGTTTGAGACGTTTTTGGCATATTTCGCAATACGCTCTCCGCGGCCAATCGCCGCCGCAATTTCGGAATTTTGCATACCGGCCGATGTGGATAGTTTTGAGACGAAGTGAGTATCGAAAGTGATTAAGCACGTTAATACAAGCATTTTAAGCGTTCAAACGGCAAAAAGTATCGGCGAATGACTGAAATTCGCGCATTTTCAGCACAAAACTTGAAAATCGATTCAATTGATTCATTCTCTGAATGAAACCTGCTCGTTTTAAGCTCAAAAAGTGCGCGATGATTAGTTTAAAAAAGCTATGCAATTACATCGTCGAAATCGTACAAAATTTGGGTAATTTTTGACGAAAAACATGAAAAATGGGGTTAATTTTCGAATTTCGCGCCAAAATGGTGATAAAATGGTGAATCGCGATTGTTTTGTTTGTTGCACGATTTCAGCGGCTCCGCGCGTCAAAATCGCATGAAAACGTACAAAATGAACGAGTTGATGACGAGATGAACAAAGATTTTCGGGTAGAAAAGCGCGCGGAACGTTCGTGTGATTTCATTGAAATCCGTGTTTTCCGAGCGACAATTCGGCAGGCTGATTGTTTGTTTGTTGAACGCAACCGACTTGTTGATGTATCTGCAAACTTTGATTTTCGAATTGTCGCTCGCTGAGCCCAAAAACATTTCTCATCGAAAACTAGCGCCATCCGCGGAAACTCACTTTTCGATCCTGCGCTCCTGTCGTTTAGTGACGAGCCAATGAAGCGATTCGGGCGTGAACCAGAAGAACGGAATCGTCAAAAGGCCCGGAAAAGAGGCGGCCAGGTACAAGTAGCGCCAATTTGTGAAGAAAATCGAGAAAACACCGGCGAGCATGTAGCCGAGCACCCAGGTAACGGTCCCGAGGACCGGGATCATGGACCGGAACTCCAACGAGACGGATTCCATGCAGAGGATGTAGCCGGTCATGCTGAAACTCTGCAAAAAGAGCTATAATAGCTGGAGCCCTTGAAAAATGCGGTTTTTTCGTTTCTTTCTGATCGTTCTTTCTGAGCCTTCAAGTAAATTGAAAATAACTCTGCGCCGGAGCAAAATCATAATAAACGGTCAATTACAAAGTTGAAGAGCACCAAATTGGCTATCGATTGCTTTTTTAACTGTTGAAAAATCTTTAAAATCCACCGAGAAAATCATGTTCAAAGTTGGGGTTGAACATACCGTAGTAGCCACTCCGGAGAGGAATCTGAAGGCCAAGAAGACCCAGTAGTTGGGGGCGAATGCGCAGATAATATTGGAAACTACAGTAATATAAAGTGGCCAGAGGAAAGTGGGACGACGTCCGAGCAGATCGGAAAGTTGGCTCACGAATGGGGACACTGCCATTCCACCTGAAAATTTAAAAAAAAAACGGTAATTTTGATGGCTGAATCCAATTTTTAGCACAAATATTCGCTTTGTCACGTATTCTCAACGCACCCAACAAGAAGATGGAAGTGGCATGATCGGCGGCTCCCTCGTACCCACAAACCAAATCGAAATCCGCCGAAATTGTCGATTCTTTCTGCACCGAATACGCGTATCTGCACGGCAAACCGTTTGGGACCGTCTTTCCTCTCTTTTTCCACTCACTTGGCGCCGTTCACGGCCAAACAGTCGACGGTCCTGTTCAGATCGGTGTCGATGACGTGGCAACTGTCGTTGACAATCGGAGAAAAGGCCTGTGGAGGAGGAAGTTCGAATTTGGATTTTTCTCGGCCATCATCTCAATTCAAAACGATGTACCTCCGTCGCCGGTTGAGATATCAAAAAGGTGTCAACTGATAAAATGTGCACAATTTCGTTCTGAACAATGTTTCAGTTGACACCTTTTTGATATCCCCAATACCAGCTGAGATATATCGATTTGAATGAACGGTATGCCCTTATCAATGCGTTTTAGTGCTCTCTGTTTGTAAAATTGAGCAAACTCAATAAGGAACTGTAAAAAAACGTACCGCAGAAGCTCTAGTATCCGGTAAATCACACATTGGCTTGACTGAAATTGTGATAAACGGCATGATCATCATGTTGAGCGCGAAAAGGATTTGAACAGACGACGTTATCACGTAGGCCAGCATCTGGAAAGACTCTTGAGATTTCAGCCCAAAATCCGTGATTTTTTGAGGACACTTTGAAACCGTGACGTTTTGAAACTAACGAACGATTCGAGTTTGTAACTGTGATACCTGATATCGTCCATACTTTCCAAACGCGGACAAAACTTTGTCGGCGTCCAGGTGCAGATAATTGAAAGTGGCCGACATGGAATTACTTCGCGTCGGCGCCGCATCGTGCTCCGTCATTTTTCCTGGAAAACTCCGGTTCTGCATATACGTTTTATGACTTTTTTTTGTATAAATGTTAGGTAGCGTTGTGAGGAGGCGACATGATTGGGGAAACGTGTAAATTGTTTTTGGCACAACATTTATGCCCATTTTTTTCTAGAATTTTTCTAGACCCTTCAAAATGAAGAAGCCAGACACTCCGGAGGGGGTTGTTGGGCGAAAGAAGGGGAAAATGAGACACACTGTTTTACTCGTTGTCTCAAAGTCGATAAGAAGGTATGATACAAAAATAGAAAAGAGAATCGGCGGAGAGTTAGAGAAAAAACGACGATAAGAGGGCGGCTCGTTCCTCGTCCCGGCACCGGCAACGATGACTTTGATAAACAGTATTAGTGCATTCAACACATGTACACTTTGATCGACAACTGGCACGGGCCAACTTTAAAAAAAAAGCAACAGCAACACACAACTGTGGCCCTGAATCTGATTTTGAAGTTGTCGGGACGGAAATATTTTCAAGCGCCTGGAAAAATTGAAGAGGAGCAAGTTTCGGAGAAGATGAGGTGACTCTTTCGTAGGTGATAACAAAGTGCTTCTTTGCCGTCGTTTCCGACACATTTTGCAGATAATCTTGCCCTCTGATAATCGAAAAGTGCGCTGAAAAGGGTCTGTGGCAAGGTGAGGGATACTGGTGTTTCAACAATTCGCCATCTCTCCAATGTTTTTATTGAATTCTTCATTTCGTACTGTACAAATTGAATGTTAGCGTGTGTCTTAAGAAATTATCAACTTCAGAGGACGGCCAGCCACGGAACCCCAGCCTTCCAATAAAAAATTCCCTCGGCGCAATTCACGTGCGCTAAACAAGGCGCGTAACGCGTAATTCCGGAGCGTCGTTGTAGAGTTTCTCATTTCAATTTTCCCATTTTTTGCATTATCCCCATCTTTTCAGAACCAATCAGTGTCAAAACTTATGATAATGATTGGAAATGAATAAAAAATGAAATGTTAACTGCTTCGTCATCAATTTCGAAACGTTTTATGTGAAAATTACAGAATTTTTTTCCTGTTGGAATCGAAAATTTGCCTCAATTATCTCAATTCTGTATATTTTTCGACGGTTGAGCGCTTAAAAGATGCGCAATAAACCCCTTGCTACGCACCGATTCAAAATTTTCGTTTGCCGCCTTTACGCCGGCGTACGCCCATTGGCTGCGTGTCGCCCCTGTGCAAACACCGTTCTAGATATTTTGCGTACTTGGCACCAGATACTACGCAAATTTTAGGCCAGCTGTTTATTTATTCAAATTAGAGAGTGCGAGATTGAAGAGACGCCGACGATGTTCGGTAGGGCGCGCTTGCATGCGCGTAACAGTTCGAACGCTCGTGTGGACGGTTCGAATGCCAGTGTCCGAACTCGATTCGGCAAATAATTGTTAAAACTCTGTTTTTTTTAAAGTAATTTTCGACAAAATCCCTCAATTTGGTCAATTCTGAACGAATCTGCTCCGTTTCGCGCTTAAATCGATGATTTTAACTCACACAATCGCCCCACGGTTCGCAAAGAACAAAATTTGAGTGTTTATTAAGAGAAAAGCGAAAGAATTCTGGTTTTCAATTGAAAAAAGAAACTCCGAGTCGACGGTGGATGCAAGCGCGCCCCATTGACAACTCGCTTGCGCATTGGAATGCTGGGGTTCCGTGCCAGCGATCGTCAGGAATTCTAAATTCTTCTACGACTTTGCAGTGGCTATGGTCGCCTTGGGCGTGACAATAGTCGCACTCGGACTGCGTGCCACAAATATCGAAATGCGTTTGCGTACTTGCACACTACTGCACACCAATAATAGCGGAAGGGACAGTTCGGGAAGGTAGTTGAATACATTCAAAAACGCGATGAGAGTCAGTTGAAGGTCCGCGTCGCCTTGCCAATCGATAAACGTCATCACCTCGACAATTATCGACATTATCTGCAAGTCAGTGATTTTTTGCAAAAATACTTTAAAAGCAAATGCAAAAGGCGAACCCCATAAAATACAGTAGTGATGAGCAACTGCACAAAAACTTTTTGTTCGCCACGATTGTGAACACTCGACTCGGTGACAATCATTCGATTTTTTCGACGCAAATGATAAAATAAGGTGAGATAACAGATGATGGAGCCGATTGGGAAAATGTAGAAGATTCGGTTGAGCACCTGGAAAAATAATAATAACTCATTTATTCGCAGGCGACCACGAGAAAAAATTTATTTTAAAATTTTTTAAAGGTGGTGTCCAACGTGACATACAACATATTTTTAAAATAAACTTCGAAGTGGGGCATTCACTTTCCCGAAGTCCCGAATTACAAAAAAAATTTCCCGATTTTAAAGATTTTTTTCAAAAAAGTTAATGGTACCGAGAGAAGTACACGGCGAAATGGAAGAGCCGGCCTAGATTTTTCAAGTCCCCGGATGGAATTCCCTTTTCTTCAGAATTTTTTCCGTTTTCATGCAATTTTCTTAAATTTTCAATCGTTTTTCCACTGAACACACTTATTTGCAATATTTTAAAAAAATTTATAATTTTATCTGTGCCGTGACGCCAAAAAAAGTCGATAATCTGAAACTTTTTTTGTTGTTTTTTTCCGGGTTTTTCGCTCAATCTTCGGTTTGCGCGCTGAAAAAAATAAATAGAGTTTTTACAAAAAGTGGCTGAATTTCTGAATTTTGAAAGTTTCAGACTATCGATTTTTTTGGCGTCACGGCACAGAAAAAATCATAAATTTTTTTAAATATTGCAAATATGTGTGCTCAGTGAAAAAACGCTTGAAAATTTAAGAAAATTGCACGAAAACAGAAAAAAGTCGAAAAAAAGGGGAATTCCATCCGGGGACTAGAAAAATCTAGGCCGGCTCTTCCATTTCGCCGTGTACTTCTCTCGGTACCATTAACTTTTTTGAAAAAAATCTTAAAAATCGGGGAATTTTTTTCGTAATTCGGGACTTCGGGAAAGTGAATGCCCCACTTCGAAGTTTATTTTAAAAATATGTTGTATGTCATGTCGGACACCACCTTTAAAAATGAATCAATTTTTTTGGACGCTTTGAAGTTTTCGCATCTAGAAAAAAGGGTAGAGCAAAGGAATGAGTAACCGCAGAGAGACGTCACTCACATTTTTCAATCCTTTCCGCTGTCCCGAATCGATAAACCCGAGAAAATCGACGTAGGTCCGTGTAATTTCCGACGTGTGAATCGCGGTGACAACCGTTACCACGGCAATCGAAAAACAGACGATATTCGCGAAAATAATGCGATTTCCGTCGAAAATCGTGTCATTCCAGTCACGAGCCACAAAAAAGAGACAGCGGTTGAGCGACATGACGAACAGAAGAAGCATCGAGAAGTAGTTGCTGATGTAGTCGACGTAGAGCGACGATTGGGTCGAGATGGTGTAAATTCGACTTTTGTCGTCGTTGAACGCCGCTATTATTGTTGTGAAAATCGAGAATAGGGTGCGGAAAATGACGGAGGACGAGAGAACGATCAGGAAGATGAAGAAGGTGCCCTGAAGTTGAACTATGAATGCGAATTGTGGGCTTGGGAGATGCCGTGGAGTTTTGAAAATTTTTGAGTAAAAACTTGACATCTAGTGCTTGATTTTTCTAATTGACAACTTTTTTCTATGACCACTCCGAAGAGTACTGTAGCGCTTGGAAGTTGACAATAGCTAAACGCATACATCAAATGTCCCCTAACCCTAACTTTCAAGTGCTACCGTACTCCAGGGAGTGGTTGTAGAAAAAAGTTGTCAATTGTAAAAACATAGTGCTAGACATGGTAAATATTTTGTTAATTGACAACTTCTTTGTACAAACACTCCAAAGACTATTGTAGCGCTTGGAAGTTGACAATAGCTACAGACATCTCTAACCTTTCTGATATCTTTTCTGTTATAAGTAAAGCGTAGCGCACAAGCTTGAACACTGAAATTTGTCAGACAAAAACAATTTTGAAGTATTATACACCAAGAAAAACGTTTGTATAGATGAGTTCATTATAACTTGTTCACATTTGATGGTTTCTATGGTCAAATTCTCATTTGCCAAGTTTTCAGTGGGTAGATGATACATTTTTTGAAAAGTTTTTCGAAACCAAATGAGGATACGTGGGTGGAAAGACTAATATTGGTCAGATTTGTGAGCGGTGGTGCATAATTACACGTTTTCTAACCTTTTCGGTTTTTTTCACTGAATGTCAAACTTTGAATGTCTGTAACAGAGTCAGGCGATGTTTTACTGGCCTAAAACTTTTTGAGCAAGAAGTTCGCATCTAACACGCTATTTTTGTAGTTGACAACTTTTTTCTACGACCACTTCCTGGAGTACTGTAGCGGTGGGAAGTTGACGATGAAATTGATATGCGGTTAGCTACTGTCCACTTCCAAGAGCCACAGTAACCTTAGGAATGGTCCTAGTAAAAAGTTGTCAAGAGGAAAAATAAAGTATTGGACATGAAAAACACATTTTCAAACGTTTTAGCTTAAACGGACAATTATTGACTCGACAATATTAAGTGTAAATTCATCTAACCTTTTTCAAATTTTGTTTGACGTACGTCGACCGAATCGCCAGAATTTGAACCGAAAAATTGAGGAGACAAATGGCTAATTGTAGAAATATGTACCAAGAGAAGAAATCCGCGCGAATTGGCTCATAATCACACTTTCCAACTCTAGTCACTTTTTTACAACTCATCTGAGAAGGCAAGTGACCAATAGGCTCGGAAAAATCGTCGAAACTATCTTGACGTTCCAAGTAGTACATTTCTCAGACAAAAATATTGTTGACTTTTGAGAAAATGGGCGGGAATGTTTAGACTGAGTCTGAGTACTTGCGAAGCGAGCTATAATATCAGGTTTTGTCGAAAAGTTTGAAAAAGTTATGGTTTTTTGAGACGAAAACCTTTCAAAGTAATTAGAGGTCGTTTTGACTGAGATACGACTAAATGATGAGAAATTTTCAGATTCAGGGCTTCACAATTTGTTGGGCATACATACCTTTTGAAACGTTTTCTTCTGCCAATACATTCGAATCGTCAATAGCTGTACGGAGAAGTTTAGGGTAGAAAATACATTGAGTAACAATATTTGCCATGAGAAAAAGTTCAAATAGAATAAAGAAGGGTCACAAGTCGCTTGAGATCCACAATCGACAACCATCGTGTCATCGTTCACAACTAATTTCTTGGGCGTGCTATCGAGGTAGTACATTTCGAAAGGTACGGAGAAGGAGAGAAAATGTGGGAACTGACTGGCAAGGGATGTAATTGCTACTTACCACATGACACTTTGGCGACATTTTCAGACATTTCGCAACCAGACCTCAAACCCTTACGAGTTCAATCCGTGCCCGTCTGTTAGAGTTTGTTGTCCCTATTATCATGTATGGTTTCAGTGTTGAGCGAAATTCCGTCTTCCGTCTTCCGTCTTCCGTCTTCCGTGGTTTTTTTGTTCCGTCTTCCGTCTGCCGTCTTCCGGAAAAAAAGGTTTTCTTCCGTAAAAATTTTTTTCTTTCGTCTGCTGTCTGCCGTCTTCCGGGATTTTTTCTTCTTACCGTAAAAAAGTAATAAAAAAGTAATACTGATTCATTTCCCTAGATTTTTCAGGAAATGAGTTCGTTATGATTGAAACTAACAAAGAGCAACAAGAAACTCGCACAAATGTCCAGAGATCACTGCCAAAATAGCTTTTTTCAAAGTACGGCTGTTCGTGCGTGTTTTCGGTGTCTCTTTGCAAGTTTTCTTAGCCAGTTGAAACCGGCGAGCAGGCTTGTCACAATTATAAAGTTGTTACGCACACAATTTGCAACAACTTTTCAGTTGATCACTTTTTGAAATCATTATTAAATCTCGAGATATAGGGGCTTGTGTTCAAATTGAGCTTACAAGTGCTCCATTTTGTACCCTGAATTTGCAGATGTCGTCTCCGAAAATGTTCAAACTAGGATGCATTAATATTTTCGATAAAACTTTACATGGTCAGCAAAATGATGATGACTTTCTAAACAAATAAACGTTTTCCACTATGTAGTGAAAATAAAAGGAGAAATGTGATAAGAAAGATTTAAATCATTTGTGCTCTCATTTGTGTCACTTTTTTTTTCTTCTAAAATTCCAATGGAAATGCGAACAGCTCGTGCGGTTTGGGACGAATTACCTGTTGAATGGAAGAGGAAGCTGGTCGAATTTTTGGATTATAAATCCAGGTATTTTACTCGAAAAACGCATAGACACAACGTGAGAAGAACTTGTTTTTTCAGAAGCCGTGTTCGAGCTCTCACAAAAACCGACAAGAGAATAGTGGACAGTTGTCCGAATTCTCTGCAACTCGTCTCACTTCGCACGGCCCCCTACACCGGGAACGGACACGAAAAGAAGGCGGGATTGGACGTGGCCGAGCACGGAAAACCGGAAGTGATGACGGAAAAATGGTGTCCGGAAGACGATATCATCCGGGATTTCATGCGAATATTTCGACACCGAAAAAGTTTTGCGCGGAAGGTTGAATTCAATTTTTACTACCTCACTTTGATCAATTTGACGTCGAAATTGGCGGAAAAGTTTTCGGAATGCGGCGGCAAAATCCGCGCCGAAACATTCGTCTGGAACTGTTATTTGACTGAAGACGGCGACAATTTGAGACTCCTCAAATACTTTGATCCCAATGTTCTCAACTCAATTTTAATACGCTACGGACTCATGCGGAAGGACACTTTGGACCAGTTCTTCGAGATGGACCAATTCAAAAACGCGAAAAAAGTCGATATTTCGTGTGAGATCAAAGTGACGGAGATGACAAAATTCGTGCATTTGGACAACTTTCGCATCATGATTCCGAAGCTGAGCGCTGAAAACGGCTGGACGGTCATACGAACTTTTATCGATCGGCCGGCAGTTTTACACGCTGGATTCGCCATTTACACTCTCTCGCCGATGGAATGCGACAATTTGCTGACGCGCTTCGGATGCATTCCCGACGAGCACAATTATTTGCGGTCAGTTAAACTTTTTTTTGAAAAACAAAACTGTAAAACGTTTCCAGACGCTCTACATTCAAATTTGTGAAGCATTTCGAAATGGCCACGGCTAGAGATCACATTTTCGCTGTGAGACTATCGAAATACTGGCTGGAAGGGACGACGTGTCGGAAGAGTGATTTGGATGAAGATTTGAAGTTTCTCGATAAATGGGACGAAGTATTCGGAGGATCGATTTGGCCCGAAATGACACAATTCAACAATACTTATCCACCTTTTAGGGATGCTTATCGGGTCTAGCTTTAAATGTACTTTATACTTTGTGTACCACTCAGAGATGTTGGGAATAAAAATTTTACTCTACGGAACACGGAACACGGAAAACGGAAAATTTTTTTTTTACGGAACACGGAACACGGAAAACGGAAAAAACTTATTTCTACGGAACACGGAACACGGAACACGGAAATTTTTTTTTTTACGGAACACGGAAAACGGAAAAAAACTTATTTCTACGGAACACGGAACACGGAAAATTTTTTTTTACGGAACACGGAAAAAAGCGTTTTCAAGAGAATCCCAGTGATTTTTTTAAAAATAATGTTTTGTTTAATTCGATTATCTGACTGACAAGGCAGCTGTTTGACTCATGTGAAAGTTTTACTGAAAATTTCATAAAAATAACAAAACCAACAACGCAACAGTAAACAACTACAGTAAAAAACGACTGAAATATAATTTATACGGAACACGGAACACGGAAAACGGAAAAACTTATTTCTACGGAACACGGAACACGGAACACGGAAATTTTTTTTTACGGAACACGGAACACGGAAAAAATATTGAAAAAAACGCGGAACTCGGAACACGGAACACGGAACACGGAACACGGAATTCCCAACATCTCTGGTACCACTATCATGTATCATCTGGAGAATCGTCAAAATTGGAACGAAACCCGGAAGTGACATTCCAGATATTTGGTGATAAAAGTTGAGATGAAGTTCTCCGATTCAGGAACCTATCGAGCTAGAGTGTTTTGAAACAACCCGGAAGTGTTTTTGCTCCTGATCTGTGTTTTAACGTGTCTCCTTGAAGAACATTGATGTCCGCCTAAAAAAAGTGTAAACCCGGCAAGTGTTTGTTACAATTTGACCCCTCTCCGGAGCGCTTGTGTCGGTATAAAATGGCTGCCATCCGGCGAAACAACATATTTCTCTTCTAGTTTCACTGATCTTCAGCGTACAGCGGTCGCGTTTGAATGTTCACTTAAAATATTACAACTTTTCACTATTATCAATTCCAGGGATGAACCTGCTCGTTGTCTTCGTGCTCATCGCAGCAATTTCGGCCGACCATCAACTGCTCCCGAAGAAATCAGTGGCCCGCGACCCGAACACGGTGCTCGTTTTGTTCGGCACCCGCCACGGAAACCGTCATCCCGAAATTTTCCTGCAGGAGAATCCGAGAAGTTGGGGACACGAGGGAAACACCGAACTCACTTCCGTAACCTAAAAAAAATACTTGTTGAGAGTATGAAATTGAAATTGCAGTTCGGAAAGCGTCAGGGACTCGGACTCGGCAAGGAATTGAGAAAGTTTGTCGGAAAACTGGTCGTTCAAAACTACAACTCGTCGGAAGTCAAGTACTACTCGAGCTCGGCGAACCGATGTCAGATGACGCTGCAGACGGTCACCGCCGCGATCCACGATCCGGAGCAGTGGGGAGACTGGGAGCAACGGTGGTACGACCACTGGTCCCCGGTTCCGTATGCGATCGACGATCCGCTTCTGAGGATGTATGCGGTCGAGGAGTGCAAGGGAAACGATAAGGGTCGGTTGGAAACTGTTGGGGGAGGGCCGCAGATTTTCGACATTTTCAGTGTGGGGCCCAATCTCGAAGGACACGCTGCCGGCGCTCAAGAACCGAAAGAGCAAGGACGCGGCGGTGCTCAAGTACCTGGCCGAAAACACGAAATGGGACATGGCCAACCTCGGAAAGGCTGCCGATTTGGCCGACAATCTCATCGAAATCGATCTGTACAAGGCGCAGTATCCCGAGTGGATCAAGTCGCCCAAGATCGCCGGATACACGGCCGAAAAGTTGAAGGCCAAGATTCTCGAGTACGCGGAAATCCATCAGAATGCGTGTGCGGATTATGCGCCGTGCGGGAATCTGATGGCCGGCTACTGGCTTCAGGATGTGATCAACAAGTTGGTGAAGGCCAACGACGGAAAGGGACAGAAACTCATCGGATTCGCTTCGGTGAGATAACCTACAAAGGATACTTTTGGATGGATTTTGGAAAATTCTGACTAGTTTTGACCAAGGCAGAAAGATGTAAACAGGAAATCTGAAATTGCAGCACACAGAAGTGACGCTTTCCCTGATGAGACTGATGGGATACGTGAAGGACGAGTTGACGACCTCCGCCGGATTCGTCGTCGAATTCAAGCGGCTGCCGAAACCGGCGGTCCGTCTCCTCAACCACGATCCGAATCCGATCGACGAGCACGTCATCTACCCGGCCAAATTGGCGCCGAAGCTCCAGGCCGTCGTCGACAAGGACGGATTCATCCCCCTCGCGCAGTTCTTCGCCTTCGCCAAACCTTTTGTGAGTTTCAGCCAGTCTTTCAACATGCAACAGAATGTTTTGAGGCGTTCTCCGATTGGAAGGCTGCTTGCAACAAGGCTTAATTGACTCAAGCAGACTGTTTGCTCACTTTTGTGTAATAAAAGTCATTGAAAACGTAATTTATAATTTTTTTTTTTGCAAAGCTATTATCAAGTAGCAAAATATTGATTAATTGATTCGGAATCAGGCATTATTGAGTCGAAGATTTCAGACAATTAATCGGTTAGGCATAGATTACAGCAAAAACGCCTGTTCAATCTAAATTTATAAACGGATGTTGATAATCCGAAATGTGCTCCTTGAACAGTGCGTATCCTTCAATTGAGGACGCCTTTATCTCGACGATCAACACCAAATCGTCGCGGTGAGCAAGCCGGAATCGTTGAGTATGAACATTTTCTCGGTTTCTGTAGAAAACAAAAGAATGCCGCGTGGAATTGGAATAACGCGGGAACTTACGTGTTTAGGACTGGCTCGTTCTTCGGTTTGACGTCGAATTGCTCCAGAATTTTCGTAGTGTCCTCGAACGGTTTGTGCGTGCCGACGTAGAAGAACGAATGGGCGGAAAGGGGCAACGAACGACGGTGCTGGAAAATGTACAATTGCTTGCGTTTTCTGAAAATTGCCGCAATTCCAGCACTTTTCCGCCATTTTTGTGGTTGATATCGACGAACAGAAGAGACATTAAAGAGAGAAAACATTGAAATTTTCGTGAAAACGCCGCGTTCGAGACGTTTTTGGCATATTTCGCAATACGCCCTCCGCGGCCAATCGCCGCCGCAATTTCGGAATTTTCATACCGGCCGATGTGGATAGTTTTGAGGCGAAGCACGTTAATACAAGTATTTTAAGCGTTTAAACGGCAAAAAGTATCGGCAAATGACTGAAATTCGCGCATTTTCAGCACAAAACTTGAAAATCGATTCAATTGATTCATTCTCTGAATGAAACCTGCTTGTTTTAAGCTCAAAAAGTGCGCGCGATGATTAGTTTAACAAAGTTATGCAATTACATCGTCGAAATCGTACAAAATTTGGGTAATTTTTGACGAAACACATGAAAAATGGGGTTAAATTTCGAATTTCGCGCCAAAATGCTAGGCCACGCCCCTTTCTACGTTTTTGGTCGCCGTCGCCTGCCTCTCTTTTCATAGAATGAAGCCACTTTCGGAGCGTTAGCTCTGTCAAAAAGTCGTGTAAGTTATAGAAATAAGAAACGATAGGTGTTGCACTTTTTCAGTCTTCAAATGACAACTCTTCACAAACGAACCTTGATGAGTCTCCAAGCGTCCACCTCAGTGAGCCGCGGAATAACAATGCGAAAGTTCTTGAAATGCCAAAACTGTTCGATGTGCATTGGGAATGAGGTCGAGCCGATCTCCACCTCCTCCAGACTCTTCCACTGCTTCGTCGCCATCAACTTGCGCATCGGCTCGCTCTTCAGTGTCTCCGTACAATGCAACGTTTTGAGTGTGTTCGGATCGAGACATTCGAGCACGTTCACAAGTACACCGCCCATGTGCACCGTACAATTCCACTCCAATTTCCGGATTCTTATCAAGTGTCGTCTGCCCATCTCCTCGCACAAATCGTGATAGAATTCGGAGCCGTAGCGCGTGTCGCCTTGACTATTCGAGCCGAGTTGCAACTCGTCGATTTGAGAGGCCTTGTGCTCGAATAGGCTCTGAAACGTTTCGAGCACCTGGGCACTCGGCACTCTCTCACTGATGTACGGTTTTATTTCACACAGAATGCCGGTGCCCGTCGATTTTGAGCCGGTTTTAACGTGCATTTGGCTTATGCGAATGGGTACGGCTTTTATGATTTGATAGTTTCCGATCGAGGTGCGTTCGAGTCGACATCTGAACAAGTTGTATAGTAGAAGAGTTTTGTAGGCCGTGCACTTTACCTCGACTCATAATCCAGCCATTTCACAACTTCCATTTTCATCTCACCCGGAAGCGTTTCCCAGTCGAGTCCAAGTTTCGATAATGACATTCTATACTGAAATTGAAACATTTTAGGCTATCAAACAATTTTTCAAGAATGAAGATAATCAAAAGTGCGATGCAACACTCAACAATAAAATAAACACACACACAGAAAAAAGGTGTTGAAGGAACCGTTTATTGTCTTGAGAGAGTGAGAGTTGAAAGACCGCATAAAAGTGTTTCGGGATGATCACAGAAGGTTACCAGCGATAGACGATGGTAAAGTCGGATTTGAGTCGGGATCTCTGGCAGACACTGCCGCGAACCAGCACGAAGCCGCCCTCGCCCGGTTTGCCGATCTCGACAGCCAGCACGTGCTCCGGATTCGGCATTTTGTACACTCGGAAACAGTGGTCGAATGGGCCGATTCTGCGAGAAAAAATCGATCGCCGTTTTTCGTGCCCTACTATAGTGAACCCACTCGAAATCATTGGGTTCCGTCTCGCCGGCCGCCTCCAACTTTCTGTACATTTCGTCCCAGAAGCGGAATGAAACGCCGGCCTCGAGAATATTCAAATGGAAACGGGCGAGTAGGGGAAGGTCGCGCGAGGTGTAATTCTGAAAGTTCGATCGAATCGAACCGTGTATTATGTATGGAAAATGGAAAACGAACGAACCGTGATGATGGCACAAATGTCGTCGACCTGCAACTTGACATATCTCAATCGCAAGTACTTTGCATGAAAAAAAACGTCGAGAGGGACGTCCAAAGTGCACGACATGTTGATTCGCTTCAGATTCTGCCACTGCTCCAACTTTGCGAATTCCGACAAATCGCTCGTCACATTCGTGAATTTTATCTCGATTTTGTTCAGAATGTTGGCGTCGAAACACTTGAAAAAGCCGTAGAGAAATGCCTGACTCGGCAGAAATGTGCCCCAACGCAGGATTTTCGCACAGATTCGGAATGGAGGTCCGGCGGCGTGTGCGGCTTCTGGAAAATATTATAGATTTAATTGGAAAGGATAGATAACTAAACAGTTGATAACTCGAAAACCTTGATTTTTTTGAAAATACGATCAACTACAAAGTTGTTCAGGAGATAATTTGGGTCAACTTCATAGTTGATCACTTTTTGAACAGACGTGTAGTTTTGGAGATACAGGCCACAGAAGATAGACCAGGAGAAACGACTTCTATGAAAAAGTCAACGAACCGAGTAACTCGAATCCGAAAGGAAAGTCGGTCTGTCGCTCGGACAACTGCTCCGTGTACATGATTCCGAAGACGAATGTGCGCACAGTAAGCGTATTGAACTTGAACATTTTCATCAAAGTTGCGATGATGTCCGTTTGCACAAACTGTTTTGTGGTGTCCTCGCAACATTTGCACTCGCGCACCATCATCCGCAGCTCCGTTTCCTCGTATTTTCGATAGATTTGAATGCCCGACAGATTGAACACTTTCAGTGAGGTCGACGTTGACGGCTCGCTCGTGCTTTCCGCTCTTCGCCGCCTTTCACACCTTCAAAAAATGTTGTTTTGAAAATTTAATCAGAAAATGGTTCAATTTTCAAATAATCAATTAATCGTACCTGTTACTGCCTTCCATAATCTCTGCGAGCACTTGTTCCACATTCGAGTTTGCCATGTCATCACTCATTTTCCAAGTGGAACACTGGGAAAATTCAAATAAAATGTAGGTTACGGTATTTTGAAGCGTATATTGTTCGCTTTGAGACCAACCCATTCGACACAAAAATACTTGGCATTCTAAGGCATTCTTAGGTACCTCCTCAAGTATACCAGAGATGTTGGGAATAAAAATGTTACTCTACGGAACACGGAACACGGAAAACGGAAATTTTTTTTTTTACGGAACACGGAACACGGAAAACGGAAAATTTTTTTTTACGGAACACGGAACACGGAAAACGGAAATTTTTTTTTTACGGAACACGGAACACGGAAAACGAAAAAAAACTTATTTCTACGGAACACGGAACACGGAACACGGAATTCCCAACATCTCTGGTATACACAAGACTATTGGAAACTGGGCCTAGCCACTGAATACGAATGTGAGGAGGAATATACTTGTCACTGCGAAATTAGTCGAAAAACACGGTGAAAGTGTCTGTGAATCCATGAACCTATCAAAAAGTGATCAGAAACCGAATGCCAAGAGAATCTCCCGCTGCAGCGCGGTCAGAAACGAACGAAAAGAGAGTGCGGGAGGGCGAGAGAGTGCGAGGGGGGCGCTGTCCCTCCGCTGCCTCCGATGCACCATGTTGTTGTGAGTGGACACCGCGCGCGCGAGAGAACGCGCGAAAAGCGGAGACGCCGACGGAACGAACCGGACGAATTGATTGGCGAAAGCGGTGGCAGAGAACGGGAGATACAAGTCGGACAGGGCGGGATACATTATGTATTGTGAATCATTTTTCGTACAATATTTGTTAGAAACAGAAGATCAAACATGAATGCGAGTATTACATCTACATCTGGCGAAGGAAAAGAAGAAGAAGAAGAAGCTGAAGGTCATTCCCCTTTTTGTCGGGTTTTTTGTCCGTCCTCAACACTTGGGTCTCATCACAAAAAGTTGATTAGAACTTCATAGCTAAAAGAAATGGTCGAGAAGACCAATGAAATGTGCCAGCCAGCTGTCATCAAACAATCATTGTATGTATATTACAAAAAAACGAAAAAGTCGGTGTCGTCGTCGTCCTGCTCTTCGGGTGGCACAATGTCCTCTCCTTCCCCGTTGAGCACCAGGAATCGTGGCCTCACGGGACACTGCGGAATGGCCGCGCGGACATCAGCCTGAAGATGTTCGCCAAGTCTGCAGAAGAATCCGTGAACCGTGTGCGGTCCGATTCTGACCAGAAATGCGTAGGTCGGCGACACGCGGTACGTCACAAAGTACTGCTTCTTGTTTCGACCCCTGAACGAACGTGACTACAAGTTTTTACACCAATTTTCATGGAACTTACCATCTATAGGCTTCCTCGTAGCCCAGATATTGTAGGACTCTGATCACTCTGACACGAACCACGGAATGCAATACGAATTCCGGAGCGTCCGGACCGTGTGACGGCGTTTTTTCCTTCCACGTCTGCAAAAATGGTGTAATACGGATGCGTAAGTGAAAACTAGTAAAATTTGAGCCCACCTCGACGCACGTCAGAACGTCATCAATCGTGACCTCGTGGCAGTTGACAAGAATTCGATCGCAATGTATCAACTTCTCAATGTCAATTTCTGTGGGGCTCAAAACCGAAATGTTCTTGGCGCCCCTCCACTGAGGCGTGTCCACAATTGCGACGGTGGTGAAGTCATCGTCGAACGGAACCCCAATTTGAATGGTGTTCAGTGTGCCCGTCTCGAACTTTTTCAGCGTCTCCAAGAACATTTTGCCGCTGTCGGCGCCGAAAGTCCACAAAAGTTTGTCGGCGCGAAGCCTGAAATTCGGGCCTCTATTGGCGATTTCCTGGTTGAGACGTGTCATGAACGGAGTGAAATCCATGAGAGCGGTGGCGGTGAACTGAATGATGTCGACAGTGTAGTTGGGATGCGAGCAGAACGCGAGCGCATCCATTATCACTTGCTGCTGGGTATGATGGACGGTGTGCGAGATGCAATCCGAGTCCGGCAATTTGAAAGTGAGCATTCCGCTCGAGTAGGGAGACGATGGTCCCACACGGATGAACGAAAGGAACGCCGGGATCGTGTCGGCGATGCGTCGCTCGTTCAAACCCACTTTCCGGATGATGTTTCTGGAAAAGAAGTGTTCGGTCTGAACCAGAGTTGAGCACGGAAGAATTTTTATCTTTTTAAAAAAATTTTTTCATGAAATGTGATCAACTGACGAAATGTAGAGCAAAGTGAGCCCTGCACATAAAAAATAATTGTAAATTTAGCTTTTCATACAAAAAAGTTATTTGAGTTGTTCCGTGAAAAAAGGGCTAACTGAAGACGGAAGGACATTTTCACGGAACAACTCGATTAACTTTTTTGTATGAAAAGTTAAATTTACAATTATTTTTCTATGAGCAGAGTTCACTTTGCTATACATTCCGTCAGTTGATCACATTCCATGGTAAAATTTTCTAAAAAAGATAAAAATTCTTCTGTGTTCTTCCGTTGAGTCTGAACCGGGAAACCGTTAAATTGGGGTCTCAACCTCATTCGTTTCATTAGTAAACTTTCGGTCACTTTCGGTCAAGCGTTGAAAAAACATTACGAGAAATTCCGGTCGGATGCACATCGCAAAACTCACCTAGACTTGAAATCCAACAGACCGATTGCACTTTTCTTGAAGAAACGTGGAAGATGATCCCAAATCGGAAGCGCTTTCGACATTTCGAAATCCACGTCCATCGGCGTCTCACTCATTTTTCAGTCCACCTACAACTCGCCATGTTTTCATAAGAGTGTTGCCGAAAAGCGGTCTGCGAGGATGAGCACCAATATTATTGCATTCGAGAGAAGATGGATGAAATTAGCCAGCATTAGGGCGTTACTATGTTTTGGAAAAATATAATAGAATGTGCACAAAATTTGCACACCGAGGGGTCATAGCTGAGACAAAAATTAAGTGGCCATACTTGTACTGGCACTAAAACGATTCTAGGATTACTGAACATTATGTGCGTTTTACTGCACGGCTTACTAATACTGGTGGTCGTGTTAGGAGGGCGCGCGCCCAACCAGAAGACGAGAGATCAATATCATTTGGCCGAGACAGAAATTGCAGCAAATATGGAGTGAAGGAGAGAGAAAGAGAAGAAGCGAGAGAGAGCCACGGAGCAGAAAAAGCACGAGATTGTTTTGGCTTGGGCCGCGTGTCGAGAAAATTGATTGCGTTGGAGCAAAGAACAACAACTAGTGATATGCGAGGGGGATTATCACCTTGTGATTGCATTTGGCTCACCTCAAAATATGTCACTTGCCGATGGAGATGTCAAAAAGTTGTCAACTAGAGAATTATTCATTGAGCAATTTTGTGCATTTTGTTAGTTGAACACTTTTTGATATCTTTACCGAGAGTTGAGATACGTCGTAGTAATATTGGGGGATCAAATTATGTCCATCAACAAGAGAGGGAGAGAGAGTGTGCATAATCGAGAGACGCAGAGAAAAAGATGGGTGTAAAGAAACAAAACTTGTGTGGAAATCGGACGACAATGGTAAATAAGCCTTCTTTTTAGTGATAAGCAGTCACATTTCACTTATTCGCCTGCCTCAAACTGAACCGAATTGCAATAATTTGCCACCACACTTCAAAAGAGCAGTCGTCGGAAAATTGGATCTCAAGTCCAGGTATTACAGTGGGGAATAGCAACATTTATGTGTTCTAGATGCGGTTGCCAAACGGCCCAGACTCTAGTTCTCTTTTGAAATGAATAATTCAAAGTTTATCACGCAAACGATCAATTATTGATTTTATGGAAAATTTATTTCCATACATTTGACAAGTAAAAACGGAAAAAGCTCTGCGAGATGGTTGGTAATATTGATTTTCGACAAACATTTGGTTTTTCGCAGGAAAAAAGCGTAGCGGATGGGGAAATCGGTTGCGAAATGTCCGGTTGCCAGGTGACCGACTGGCTTGATGAGCAGCTCTCTCGCATTAACAACGACGACCTCGCGACCGGAAAATCGGAATCGGATGATTTTGAGACCCCAGAATATTCGGATTTGGAGTTGGCACAGATATTTGGAATGGTTCAACAAAATGTGCTCGAGCAGAAGGACCAGTTGATGGAGGTACTCGGAGAAGTCAATGGAGTGACCGGAAAATTGGAGGAGCTCGAAAACGAGGTACTTTTTTGTGAACAAATGTTTTTTGAGGCGAATTGTTAGGCGCTTGAACCTCCAGCTCGTATTTTCAGAACCAAAAGCTCCGTGCCGCCTTTTCCGCGGAAGTCGCCCAGCTGAAGGATGCGTGGGAGGAAGAGAAGAAGACGATAATGTCGGAGGCCGCCCGTCAGCTCCACGAGAAAACTGTCGCCCACACAATCATCGTGGAGCTCCGAGAGCAGTTGCGGGCCAAATCGGCGGAGGTGGCGCGGCTGGAGAGGGTGTGCGACGCGTTCGATGACGTGGAAAAAGAGTACAGGGAGAGGATTTGGGCACTGGAGACGGAGAACAAGAAGTTCCGGGGAGTCGAGTCGCCGCCACGTGGCATTGGACTGTTGCAGCAAGCCGGACTGGGGTCAGTTACGGAGAACACACGAAATATATATATTGTTTCTATTTTTTCCAGAATGGTTCAAGAAGATTCGGATGGAAATGACTCGTCGAGTGTGATCATCGACTGATTCGATTTGATAACATAAAAATGGCCTACACAGTCTTTGAGTGCGGCCGAAAGCGCGGAGAAATCGAGATCGGCAGAAACCGTCCTCTTCAGAATTTCCACCATTTTCTTCAGCTTCGGCTTGTCATCGTTCGAGGCAGAACTCTCGAGCTTGGCCACGGACTGGATCACTTTCTTTGAAATTCTATCCGTCGGGACTGCGGTGACAGAAGCGGCGGTCTGGAAGAGCTGCGAGTGGTTGGTGAGAATGCTCCGTCGGTGAGCATTTTGCAGAGGGCCACCACCAAATGTTTGCCGATGAATTCGATTCCTTATCAATCTTTTTCCGAATCCTCTTGGCACGGTGCCGTGACGTTTCGAAATCCCAATCGTACTTTCCCATCGGCGTCCTTTGTCGGCGTCCTTATCACTGATTTCCAACGGTAATTAAGTCGGTTGCTTTGAAAAAAAATTTGCCACAAATCCGCTTGAAGCTGAAATTCCCAGACCTCCGGCTTAATTACCGGGGGAGATTAGTGACAAGGACGCCGACAAAGGACTCTGATGGGAAGGCACGATTGGGGTTTCGAAACGTCATGGCACCGTGGGAAGAATTCTTCCTATGATCCGACGTTATTGCAATGCAAGAAGTCAGATCTCTCTCTCTTCCCCCCTCTCACGTTAGAATCAATTCTTCCCTACCAAAAAGACCAAATAAATGAGTGCGAACGGAAGAATGACGACGGCGAAGAGCGGCGTCGAAATGATGATGACGATGAGCGTGAAGGCGACCTGGAGCACGCACATCACCAGATATCGGAAGTTCATCGGCAGCGGCATGTCGACCGTCTCAATGTCCTTGGCTCACCGATTCAGAATGCGTCCCAGGGGTGTGGTGTCGTGGAACGACATCGGAGAGCGCATCAGGTTGTGGATCAGCGGTCCGTGCAGGTTTTTCGACGCACGTTGGCTCACACAGACGAGCGCGAGGAGGGCGGCAAAGAAGCAGCCGACTTCCGCGAATCCCAGCGCTCCGTGCACACCTAGAATCGAATATTTTTGCGGGAAAAACACTGTTCTTTCCTGTTTCGGCCAGAACGATCTCAGAATCTGCATGGTCATGTTGAAGACGAAGAAGGCGATGATTTGCGACGCTCAGCGAGTAGCCGGCCGCTTTCACGTACAATCGATACGTGGCAACTTCCACTTTTCTCTGCGCCACTTCCTCTTTTTTGATCAGATTTGCTGGCGATTTTAACATTCTCGAAATTTGCGTCGTCAGCTCGGGAGTTCGCATTCTGAAACTTAAAAAAAATAAAGAAGGTATTCGGGGAGAAAATTGAAAAGTAATCTGACACTGCAGAAATGTACGTTGAAAAAAGGAAAGAATTATTTTTTTTTAAAGTATTACGTCTTATCAAAATCGTTGGTGACCGTCAAAACGACGTCCTCCGGATTCACATAATCCGCCTTTTCTCCGCCAATTTTCTCGAAGTCCGTAGTACAAGTTCGACAAAAAAAAAACAGACTTTGGCTGAAAACCGAGTGGGAAGGAGAAAAATCGTCTAAATGTTAGCATTTATTAGAATCCGGATACATGCACGACATTTTCAGGTTCAATAGTTTTGGGGGACTATGGGAAAGAGAGCAAATGGGCGAAAAGTTTGAGTTTCGTCGAATCGGACAGACTCTCGTAGAACGGTCCTCTGCAAAACTTTTTCACGTTTTTCTGGGAAGTGAGTAGGCCCAGGCATTGATCCAGCAACTGTTTCAGCTCAAATTTGTCGGCCAGCACGATTTTCTCGCTCATCTCCATTTCCTCGTTTCGGATCAGGAACTGTTCGACCAAACGAGTCACCATCGGCATCATGAATCGGACGGCGAGCTCCAAAAGTTTCGGTGAGCTCTCGACTGGAAAAAAGGTGTTATTTTTAGTTTTTTGAATATCTGAACTACCAGTCGGGTGCACGGGATCCGGGTAAATGGTGGCGAGAAGACGGGCGAAATCCTCGTATTCCACGTGTTCGACCGAAAGAGTCTGCACTGCGTTTTCCTTGAATTTGGGCATAAACTTCTCGCGAAAGTACTCGGAATGCACGGAGAGGAACTGCAAAAAAAAAATATGTTTGTGATTTTTGAAACATTTTTGCAACAATTGTTTTTTATAGCACGGCCCGGGTTTTCATACATGTTCAAATTGTTTTTAGAAATCGGACATAGAGGCCGCTGCTTTTTTTATAAGAGTTCAATTGTATTGTGTTCTTAAAAATGAGCCAGGTTAGAGGTAAATGGAAGGTTTTTGTGAAAAGTTACAGCTTCACAATTTCCAGTGCCCCGTATACTTTGCCGGCCCGTGTACAGGAGAAATACGTAACATTTTTAAAAGTAATTTTTCAAAAGAAATGCTACCCTACCGCTCTGTTGACATGCAAATCATTCCCTTCGACGCGAATAATCGCATCGGTCAATTCGGAGGGCTTGAAATAATCGGCGAGTTCTTTTCGGTGCACTTCCGGTCGGACCGGCCTCAATTCGAAATCGAACTTGAACCAGAACTGGTTATTTCCGGTCCTCAACTCGTGAATCGATCCGATTCGCTTCTCGATCAACTGTCCCGATCTGGTCAATTCCACGTCGAATCGGACCGGCTGATAGTTCATTCCCACGTATTTGTATACGATAATCTCTCCCTCGAATCCTTCGATTCCTTTTTTCTTTTTCAACCCGTCCCACTCGAATTTCCACGACAAATACACGTGTTTCTCTGGTTTCGGCGCCGCGGATTCGTCGATCGAGAATCTGCACTTCCTGGAATCACATCGTTCGTTTTTTAGTACAAAATGAGCGCGGACCAGTGCAAACCGTTCTTCGAGCCTTTCTGAATGCGTTGATCTTTCTCGCTCTCCACTTTGATCGCATCACTTCTGCATCTGTACATTTTCTCGTCCATTTTCTCTAGAAAACGAAATGTAGACGTAACAATGGCGACCCAAAATGAAGAAAAAAGCGTGGCCAGGCGCAAAATTCAAATTTCAACTCTATTTTTCTTGTTTTTCGGCAGAAATGGCACAAACTGTGCACGAAAATGACATTTGCGCACATGTTTCGGTGTAATATGCGATTCTTGCAGCTGCGCATAAAACGAGCAAATTTTGAAAATTATCATTTGGCGCCAACCAAATTCGCTCTTTTTCTGCTCAATGGAGCGCACTTGCACTGTTACTCGAAAAATAGCTGTATTAAGATTTCCTCTTGCGTTTCCCGTATAAATCGACAGAAAAATGTACAAAGATACGTTTCAAAAAACTCGAAAAAGAACGTACAAAAAATCGTGAAAAACATGAACAATAAATTCTTCATTTACACTAGTGTTTTAGACAAGAAAAGGCGGTGAATTAAAATTCTCCAAGCGAGAGGAGAAAGTGAGCAGTTTCACTTTGGTGTACTCGTGCGCCAGAAACACTCTATTCTATTGCAGTGCTCCAGAAGCGCTTTCAGTCGGTACTTGTGGGCCAGCGCACGCTTGTGAGAAACGGTGATCTCGTCGGTATTGATGAGAAACGGTTCGCAGAGACGAGTCACCATCAGCATCATGAAGCGATCCGCCAACTCCAGAAGCATCGGAATTTGTCCGGCTGCAAAAAATCCGGCTTGAACGGTCAAAAATGAGAAAAGGACGTGATCTGCGCTGTATTTACTAACCAGTCGGCAGCACTGATTTCGGATAGACAGCACTGAGGAATCGGGCGAAATCGTACTAGTTGACATCTTCGATCGGAATCTCGGCCAGTGACTTCTCTCTGAAATCCGACCAGAACAGAACGCGAAAGAACTCGGAGTGGAAAGCGAAAACTGAAAATGCAATTGTTTTGATTGTGAGCGCTTTGATGCTAAAACCATACATTTTTGTTGACATGCATCTTCTTTCCGTCAACAATCAGAATTCTATAGTGCAAATCGGACGGCTTGAAGTTCTCAGCCAGTTGACTTTCAGTCTTCGTCAGTTCGAATTTGAAGACCCAACGATTTGGTGAAACTTCCGTCTGTTTAATGCTCCGCGCAGCGCCAATCTTCTGCTCGATCCACTGTCCGGAATGCGCATAATCCGTCAGTTTCATGTCGCTTCGGCTCGGATTCTATTTGTTCGTGTAATAGTCGACGATGGTTTTTTTGTTTTGCTTTTTCAGATTTTCCCACTCGAATCGCCACGAGAAATAGACGCATTGTCCAGAAATCGGGTCTCCCGGCTTGTCGATGGAGATTCTCCAGTTCCTGAAACCATCGGCGATTCTTAATCGACCAGTAGCAATGATTATTACCAATTCAATCCGTTTGTTGATTGTTCCACCAAAACGGACTCGTCCAAACTGATTACTAACTTTTCGGCACCCTCGTACTTGAACACTTCCGGCGTCATTTTCGTTGTGACGTCTGAAGCATAACTTCTATTAGAAAAACATTGAAATACACTGAAGAAAGTAAAAATAAGTTGTGGTCAGAAACCGAGAAAGAAAGAAGAAAAGTATTACACTTTTTCCAGAAAAAAGTTCATTGGTAAAACAATGTAGAAGAGTATTATAATTTTGGCTAAAAAAGGACAAAATCCACAGGAAACCCTTGAAAATCGTAGGAAATCTCTGTGATCAATGAAGCATTTCATGACGGTTGTTCAATAGAAAAAAATGTTAAAATAGGGAACGCATAGTACTGGGACGGGTGAAACAAGAGGGAAACTGAAACAGAAAACAGAAGGAGCACACAAAAGACAGTTATTAATATAAATTCGAGATCAGACGAATTCAAAATCGATGAGATCGCCTTCGGAAGACGTCGAATCGATGTGGCGATGTCTTCCGGTTCCCGACGGATTTCCCATTTTCGACGCGATCACACGGATCGCTTCCGCGTCTGAAAACTCGAAATATATTCAATTTCTCGCATTTCCCCGAAAAATACCTTGTCCATTCACGCGAGATTTGCTCAAATCGTACAGTTTTCCCACTTGCCGATTCGAATTGTCCTCAATTGTTCGCACTGGAAAAAACACGGATGAAAACTTGAAGGAATTCAAATTTTTTTAAAAAATGTCGCCTGAAACTGACTATCATAGAGCTTAACGTTGGCCTTGGAGCCGTCCTCCCACTCCGACTTCAGACCCTCTATCAATTTTGCGATTTCGTCGATTCTCTCCGCATTTTCCTCCTCTTTTTCTCCGATTTCCTCTTTTTCGAAGCCCTTCACCGTCTGGTGCGCTGATGCGTGGACCCACAATTCAAGCGGAAGTTTCGGCGAATCCGGAAAGCTATTGTCTGTTTGTTTTTCGAATGGTTTCTGGTAATTCAACCGCGTCACAGGGGTTTCCATGAGTGGGCGGGGCGGCGGAACATGCAATTTCGGAGGGGGGTTTCTGGATTTCGTGCCGAAGCCCGACACTTTCAGCGAGCCCGTTCCGAACGTGATCGGCGTTTTCCTGGAAAAAATGAAAAAAAAATTAGTTTTTAATAAGGGCTGGGCAAACTCTACGGGCCTCTTGGACTTGGATCGAAGTATATTGGGTCCAAGTTTCAGACCGATCGGATCATCTGGTCCCGAGATATGTGGGTCAGAGGCCGAAAAGGCCGGGTTTTTGCGAAAATTGCTGATCCGATTGGTCTCAAACTCACACTCAATATACTTCAATCCAAGTCCAAGAAGCCTGCAAAGATTGGGTCCGATCGGATAATTGCAAGTTGTCCTAATTTCTTTAGTAAAACTGTCCCCTTCTGGAATGCTATCGTCAAAAATTGTAATTCCTTCCTTGCGATGAATAAACGAATTAATTAATTAATTAAGTGGGTCATAAGACTTTTTGACAAAAGTCCAGTTTTTCTGTATTTATATTTCTCACATTTTCCCGGCAAGCGGTGTCGGCATGGGAAGCAGTTTGACGGGCGAAATCGGGAGAATTTCGTATCGCTCCGTCCGCATATTGTACTGTTCTTTGCGGAAAAACCCGCGAGGATCGCGCAGAATAATCGTGACGCTCGTGTTGTCGGGCCCCGAAACGGTGAAGAAGACGTTCGACTGTTGAATGCGGTCGGCGTCGAAAACGAGTTCCGGGCGATGCACTTGCTCGAAACCGGCAAACTTTGCGTTGTACACGTACTGTTCCATCTGGCCGTTCGTCGCGTTTTTCGAGAAAATCACGTAGCGGGAGAGTGCGTTCGCCCACACGGCGTACTGCGGAAACAGATCGGTTTCGGTGGTCTCGAGATGGCAATCCAGACATGTGAAGGCGATGAAACAGGACGAATGCACGTCGAACATGTACTTTGCGTACTTTCCGTCTTTTTGACGCACAAATACGATGTCGGTGCTGTGAGCGCGACAGTAGCGAGGCACGAAGGCGCGGATCGGACTTTGTTGGCTCGACATTCTCTGAAAAGTAAGAAAATTTGAATGTTTTTTTTGTTTAAGCGAAAATTCAACTTCTTTTTAAAAAAAATGTAGCTGTTTACATTTAACAAAGCTTGTCTAACGGAGATGATCGTGAAAATGATTGAAATTGATCGAAAACAGCGCGGAATGTAAGAAATTCGGAACAAATTGAATTTTTCCGAAAATGTTTGGATTTTTTTGTTGTTTCGGCGAGAATGTAACTTTTTCAACACGGAAAAGCTTATTTAACGGAAAATCAAACAAATTTCCGATCGGAAACACCTGAAAAACGCGTAAAACGTTGGAAGTTTCAGACATTGCTCGATCCCCGCTTGTCCGAGAGGAGTCCGAGGGATTATCAGTGGAGCGCGCTTGCAAATGAAAACCTCGGCCGCAAACGAACATTTTCATTCAGAATTTAAAATTGAAAATCAAACGCTTTTCGGGTGTTTTAGAAAGAACTAGTTTTTAAAATTGTTTTCTATAATTCTTTATTGTGCAAACCATTCCGAAAAACTCAGAAATCACAAAACAGTAAGAATTCGATCGAGAATTTTGATTTTGGTCGAATCAGAGAATTTTTCGTATTCTGGCGCATTTTTTAGTTTCTTGACGTCGTTGGCGGTCTTCAGCGAGCCGATGCAGTGCTCCAGAAGCTCTTCCAGCTCATATCTTTCGGCCAACGCGATTTTTTCGCCAATTTCCAAGGTTTTGTTGCAAATCATCAGAGGTCTCAGCATTTTTATGACCCCTCGCATCTTGAATTGATGTGCCAGTTTCAGAAGTGTTGGAGCAGTTTCAGCTAGAAGATCACTTGTTTTTTGAGGAGCACATTTAAAAAAAAGACGAAAATCACCTGTCGGAAGGACTGGATTCGGGTAAACCGCACTGAGAAGACGTGCGAAATCATCGGGATTGACGCCGTCGATCAGGATTTCGTCCAACGAACAATCCTGGACGTCCGAAGAGAATAGATTGAAGAAAAAGTCCGAGTGGAGGGAAATGAACTGGAAATTTGGATTTTTTGTTGACAATTTCCCAATTCTCACCATTTTATTGACGTGCATTTCCCTTCCGCCGACTAGAAGGGTGCAATTGGTCATATAGGATTCGTAGAAATTGGTCGTCACTCGAAGATCCTCTTTCTTTTTGTAAATCGGCGTCACAATGCACTCAATTACGAGCTGCCCGTTCCGATCCGATTTTTTCACTCCGCGTCGAGATGATTTCACCTGAATTTCGTTCATTTTCAGTTTTTTCATTAAAAGTAACTTAAGATTGCATAGAAGCCTGGCCGTGGACTGGAAATAACCTCGGCCACCAAAGCGGAAGAAGTTTTCACACTATTGTTTTCTAGGCCACGGCCACCAATTTGTGAAAACTCTCACCTCGAAAGTGGCGTGGAACTTTTCGATATTTTTATCTTCCGATTCGAATTTGCAAAGGAGCAGCACGCAATTCGGCTCCTTTTCCCCACGAATCATTTTCCAAGTGCTGTAAACTATTAGCTTTCGTCATAGGCTCACTCCGCAGAAAAAAAAATAGTTTTTTCCACAAAAAACCCGAAAAAAAGTTATTCCAAACTCTGTTCGTTGCGAGACCCGATACTTGAAAGTCATGCGCCTTTAACTAGTTATACGCACGCTTTTAAAGCAACGGGTCTCGCAACGAAAAGGCCTTACTCAGTGCTAAATAAAATACTTCAATACTATTTACCAAGAAATTCCGTCCTGAACGCACTCGACAAACTCGTCAACGGCATGCTCGAACATTTCGAAAGTGAACGTTTCGCGCTCCATTCTTGCCTGAAAATTGCAGCAATTTTTTTGCGATGTCTTCCAAATGATGTAAAAAGGCTGAAGGAAAATCGTAAAAAAGTGGGATGTCAGCTTTTTCTCACTTTTTTCAATCTCAACTTCCTCCCTTTTCCCACGTGACTCATCGCTGAGTCACTGCCCTTTTTTCCTTTCCAATATCAACAATACCAACAGTTCGGACGTCTGTTATTTCATAATGTTGCCAGTTTTGTATAAAAATTGGGCAAACCCGGTAGCCTTGCTCATTCATAAATGATCACATTTCCTCATTTTGCCGCAAATTTCGCTTTTTTTTAAAGAAGAAATATCAAGTTCGCTTCAATGCGTCTACGTGCTATATTTTCGGCTTTATCAGGAATTATATTAACGGCCCGTGACACGTCTGTATTTTTTCGTATATTATTGCTTCGTAGGACAGAAAAACGACGAGCACATCCTTTCCCATAGAGATTTGAAAAAAAAACAATGTGCATCGAGACATACACAAATTATCCCCTTGGCAACTAGAACCCATTAAAAGTGTAGGCTACGATCTCTCGGACGAAATGATCGGATCGATCTGAAACTTGGACCCAATAAACTTCCAAAAAGCCTGTAAAGTTTCTGAACGTCACAAATGATGGCAATTCCGATCCGCTAGACTCGGGCTTCGCAATTGTCAGCATTTCTGTGTGTTCTTTCTCAATTTGCAGAGGCCTAAAACCTCTGCTCACAGTGTTTCTCTGTTGAAAAAATTCGAATATTCGAATCGGAGTTGGCAGCGAGCCAAGGACACGAATCGCCTCTGGGAAGGCAGTCGGGGCAAGGAGGAAAAAAGAGAATGGTTCTGGCCAAATGGTCCGTCCGAATGCGAGAGGAAAGACCGCAACGAACACCAAACTACATCCACGTGTGCCACGTGCCTGTCTCATTCAAAAACTCGCAAGCATCCAACATTTTCTGTGGCAGGTGTGAAATTCTTGAACGGTCCCTGACCGGGTCACCCACAAACGAGGGTTTTCCCTCGACGGTCCGTCCATTTCGGAGAGACTCGCTCGCCAGAATCATTCTCCTTTTTCTCCTCCTCGTCCACTGCCTTCCCAGGGTGCATCAAAGGCGCATTCCATACTTATTGTTTCTCTTTGACACATCGCTGCGAGACCCGTAGATCACAACGCGGGAAACGTAGAATACATTGATTTTCGGCCGGTCCTCCTCGTTGTTTTTCGATTTTTCTGCTCGCTGTACGGTGTTTTTGTTACTTATTCGAATCGTAGAACGAACAGTGACACTCTTTTTTCTATTTTCTTTTGAGGTCTGTAACTTCTGTGTTGCAATTTTTATTCCTTTTTCCTTTTTCTCCTCGTCTTCCAAACAAAACAGTGCTTTAATTGTGACAATTTACGCCTAGGACGTTCTAGAATAGCAGAAAACATTCTTGCGGGCAGAAGAAAGCTTTTGAAGGCCATCCAATTGACTCCTAACTTTACAAGATCATCAGTACTGGCATAGCACACTTTATTCTTGAGGAAATAGTGATTTGACCCTCCTAAACTACCAGGATTTTGTGAAAAGTCGTTTTCTGGAACTTTTCTTTTTGTTGCTCGCACACTGCTCCAAGTCGTATGCTCGTAACTTTTTCGCAAGAAACTGGTTTGTTTTTGTGCACTCCTTATTCACACACGAATCTTCGGCCCGATCCGGAATCTTATCCTTCTCAGAGCCCTAAACCCAAAAGTCGGACCCGCGAACTTTCTAAAAATTCTGAAAGAGCCTAGCCCCAAATCGTCCAACTTTTGCGTATGCCCACTCGCGGTGGTGGTCTGTCTAGTTGTGTACAACAAAACCACGTGTACAGAGTGTCGAACATTCTAGAAAGGCGTGTGACTCGAGAACCCTCTGAGATCTTGTGCTTGCCACCAAACACTGTCGATCATCGTCGTCGGCCACCACCAAACACTTCTCCTCGCCCCCGTCATTTTCGGCCCGTTTCCGTCCCGCTCGCACACGCTTCGCCCGCGCTCTCCGCCTGTCTGCGTGTCCGCCCTCGCGCGTGCTCTCTCGTCGCTCCGCACCCATTCGCACCCGATTTTTGGCCGTTTTCCGCGCGAAAACGTGGATTTTCGGGCGGATGGGCTCAAATCTTGCCCGTTTTCACTCGATTCACACTTGTATCGCCCATTTTCAGACCCGATTGCGGACGTGCGCGCATTCGGCGCTCAGAAAATCGATAAAATGCGAACATCGTCGGCGCCGGCGTCGGACGCGTCTGAAGAGCTCGCCGAGCAGCTGACGTCGCCGAAAAAGAAGCTGTCGAGGCGCGAGAACGACGCGGCGCGGTTTCTGCGGAAACGCTCGGCGAAGAACGCGAACAACGACTACCACTCGTGCCACAAACCGACGTAAGCGAGAAAATTGATGAAAATAAGATTATCAGCTGAAACAGTTGACGGAAAAATAACGGAATAGTCGAAGAAGACCAAGAACAACAAATTGACGCCAAAAAACCGCTTGAAAATCGAGCAGTTTTCTTATTTTTTCGATTTTCCTGACCCCTCTTCCGTTTGCTGCAGAATAACGCTTTATAGGCAAATGAGCGAATGAAGCTTACTGAAATGGACTGAAAATGACGGAAATGAGTCTTGAATACCATTTTCAGCAGAAAACGGTTTGAAAATCGAATCATTCTCTTGTTTTTCTCGAAAAGCTCAAAAGTGCTTGCGAGTTTTTCGGGCTCAATTCGAAGAAACTGAAGCTAGATTACATTGTGAAAACGTTTTAGGTACGGGGAATTTGATAATAAGAAAATGTTTTGTCATTGAAGTGCCCCGATAGTTGGATTTTGTCCTTTTCTACTCAAATTTTGAAACATCTCATGATTTCACAGAGTATTTAATTTCAACACAACATACATTTGTGACATTTTCTTTTTCGCAGACATTCCCCGGAACTTTGTTCAGAATCTTGACTTTTTCACAATTTCAAAGCGTTCTTCTCCATTCACCAGAGCTTTCTCTATCCGAACCGATATTTTCCAGACTCGCTTCTTCACGTTTCATTGCCAGTTAAAATGAGTGTTCGATTCCTAAAAAGAAGTGTTTGTTTTATGCTCCGATCGCGATTTGCATAAGCTTTTACACACTGCTTGGTATTCCCTTTGAGTGCTCCTCACTCAATCTTGTAGCAATTTAGTCAGAGTTTAAAAGAAAAAGTGTGATGATAGATGTTGTACACGGGTGAACATTTAGTGTAGGTGAAATGACTGAACTTTTGAGCCACTTGCAATAATCCGATGGGATTCAAATTTTGCAGGCTTCTTGGACTTGGATTGAAGTATTTTGAGTACAAGTTTCAGACCAATTGGTCCTAATATTTACCGTTTTGGCATCAAACCGGTATATCTCGGGACCGGAAAGTCGATCGGTCTGAAACTAGGACTCAAAACAATTGATCCTTAGGCCAAGAAGCCTGCAAAGTTTGGGCCGGATCGGATTATTGAAAATGACTCAAAAGTCCAGGCCTTTGAAAAGCGCGAGCTGAAACTTTCAAAATCGAAGAAGAACAGGCCCCAATTGAATTCAATCCAAACCATCCGATGTTTACAGATCCATCGCCGAAATTCCCAGCATCCGAAATGCCGAGTCGCCGGATCGACCCGTCAGTCCGCCATTCGAACCCATTGCATGCGGTCTTTCCGAAATGAAAAAGAGCATTTTGTCGGATGCGGATGCGGACATGCTCAAGACACAACTCCCTCACTTGCATTTCGATACAGTACGTGAACATTGTGGTTTTGACCCGAAATTCAAATTTTACATGTTTCTCCTCGAAACTGATGCTCGTATTCACGTTTTTTCTGCGAATTTTTGCACGATCAACTTTCAGGTGTTGAACATATTCTCCACGTACGGCTGCAACATTGACGCGACAATAGCAGTGGGAAAATTGATGAGCGACGTGGATTTGGTGCCGCCCATAGTCAAAGAGATCTTCGTCTCCGGCGTCGCAATCGAACGGTACACCAATCCGACACGATCAACTCACTACAAGGAGTTTTATATGAAGAAATATGTACGTCCAAACACGGCAATTTTGTACAAAATTGACAACATTGCAGACGTGCGGAACGGCGGACACGCCCTCAATGGTCGACTTCTACTACGGCCAGAAAAATTTGCTGGGCCGAAACTGGCGAGTCGAGCACGGAGACTACGAGTATCGCGGAGAGGCGAAGAGTTCGAGGGAGAAGTACCTGAACGAAATGAACATAACACAGTTCGCGTACGTTTTTTGCCTCTTGTTTAGGCACTGGAAAACCCTCTTCTTGCCCACCAACCATACAACTATTTTTTTTTACATTTCAGCCGTGACCCATCGTTGCCCGCAAAACAGACGCGCGGTCAGAAGGCGGCGGCGACTCGACTGGCGAATCTGAAGCTGTACCGGCGGAGAGAAGGATCCTTCCAGGAGCGGGAAATCGATTCGGACACTGTCTCAGTGTCGAGTCTCTCGGAAAGAACGGAGCGGTCGGAGCCGGAGCAGAAGGAGGAGGCGTCGGCGGAAGAGGGCACGCAGACGACGTGCCCGCCGACGGCGCCCTCGCCCTCCTCCTCCGGATCCGTCTCCGTCTCGTCCGTCTCCTCCACCTCCACCGCCACGTGTCATCATCCGAGAACATTGAAGAGACCGCGGATCGCGCCGAGCACACCGAGAATACACGTGGTCCCGCTCGTCGCCAACGGAACGCCCGTTTCGGCGTCGCCGGCGAGAAAACGCCGAAAAAAGACGGCAGATGAGAAGCAAGTGGGACCGAAGAGGGACTATCCGAACAGGGACCGCAAGAAACCCGCTTTTTTTGAGCAGTAGTAACCACCGCGTTGCTGTGATTTTGCCCAATTTGTTCAGTGCTGGGCAATTGGCCGGCCGTTGTTCTGGACTTTTGAAGCGCTTGGCCCCGATCGGAATATTGCAAGAGAGTCAAAAGTCCAGAACAAGAGCCGGCCAATTGTTCAGCCCCTTTTTTTCTTGAAAAATTCAAAAGCTCCCCCCTTCTTCTATTTTTTTCATGTGTTTGTGATTGCCTCCCAAAATTTCAGGGTTTTTTTTTCCAATGTTCGCCCGTATTTTTGTTCTATTCTTTTCTGAATTCCCAGGTGATGTTTATCTTGTACGCCAGACCCCCCCCCCCCTATCCGTTCCTGTTTTATTCAAATTGTTTCTAACATGTTCTGTCCACTCACGTTTTCCTTCATTTTGTTCTGTGAAATTGCAAAAATTCGCTTTTTTTTTCTACTGTTTTTCTCCCCCAACGCCCCTAAATCCAAATGTGTGCCGGGTTTTCGTGTATCTTGTTTTTCAAATTTCCCCCCAACAAATTCAGGTTCCGTTTTGAAAAATTCAATTTTTTGCAAAATCCCCCCATCCCCCAAACTTCAAGTTCACTTTTTCCCAAAATCACTTTAGAAGTTTCGTATCTTTTTTTTTTTTTTTCGAACAATATCTGCCCGCCGCCCCCGTATTCTATCGGTTCCAGGTTTTTTGCGAAATTTCTAGAGGTTCCAGAGTCAAATTGCGTGTTTTTCCCTTTAATGAATTGCGGTTCATTTTTAGAGCAATTTTTGAACATGCATTTTACCAGAGTAGCCGGCTTTTTTCGGGTTCTTCAATAGAAGACGCATGTGTTCGACAATTATTTCAGACTCGCAACGGACCGGGCCAAAATTGGAAATTTTCCGGCCCGGGAGGATGCACCTAAAAATTCAAAGCGACTTTTTTATCTTTCTTCCGTACCAAAATTTGCAGTTGTTTCGCAGAAATAGTTAGTTGACCGCCGTTTTCTTCAAGCACTTTGTCTTCGTCCATTTTTACCCACCAAACTTTGAAAACAGCCTACGTTATCGTCGTTTTGCTTCAATTTCGAAGATTCATTGTAAAAACCAGCAGAAATAGAAAAAAAGACGAAAAAGGCAATGTTATAGCATAAAAACCTGTTAAAAAATAGAAATTGCTGTTTAAAGTCGCAAAATTTTCACAAAAATTACGAAAATTTTCTCAAGAGTGTGCGGAGCGATTGATTGCAACTCTGGCACGCCATCTTAGCAATTTTGCCGCACGCGTTTTCCTCTTCCTTCATATTTTTTTTGCATATTTTTTTTGAGGTCTAACTTCCGGGCCGACCGGGCCGGGCCGGGCCGACGATTTGCTGGCCCGGGATTTGGCAAGTCTGAATTATTTCACACGTGACTTTCCGTTTCTTGTGATATAATCCATTTCCGAGTTTATTTCCTCTTTCGAAATGCTCGTCGATGAGGAATCGAAAGAGTACAAGCGACTGATGTCGAAGAAAGTGTTCAATGCGACTGTCAAGGTACTAGAATCACCAAATTGTCAATGCTTATCAAATTTCAGGACCACTTTGATGCAAATTTTTTCATTTATACCATCATTATGTTAGTTTGCGGTCTAACGATGCTGGCAGACTGCATGTGAGTTTTTGACAACTTATTCGGAAAAGGTAAGTTTTTCAAGTTTAGAAACGTACTCGTGTTTCACGGTTCGGACAAAGATTTGCGAAAAGAAGCGCAGTTGGAACTGGTTGTCCGGTTATTTACTCCAACCGTTTATACAGTCTGTTCGTTATTGAGGTCAATATCTACATTTGAAGTTTTAGATTGTTGTGACGCTCCTCACTTTCTTTGCTTATCGCTTCTCTCCCAAGTTCTTCTGCACTTTCTCTTTTTTGGCGGTCAGTTTACGAATTCGTCGAGCAACTCTCAGCGTGTATTCACTTTTTTCAGGCGGCTCAACCGTTCCTCGTGCTCTTTCTGCTGTTCAATCCGTACTACGACTATGAAATGAGCCCAACTCGAGAGAAAGTGTGGAATGCCACAAAATGTACGCTTTCTCATCTATTTTTAAAAGAAATGTTATCGCTTGTTTGCAGGCGCAAACATCGTCGTGATTCTGATGCTCCCCTTCTTCGTCCTCAACTCCATCTATTGTGCTGTGGTTCTGTTCAAAATGAGGTGAGCCTGAGATATCCGATATTGTCTGTCAATTTCTTTTTCAGTTGCATGAAACTAAAAGTGTACAATGGCGACGATGTGTACGACGTGATTTACGGAGGAGAGGACACTTGCACCAAGAAATTACTATCGTGAACTTGTGTGTGTCTGTGTGTATTCATGAAACCATTGATTTGTGCTCCGTTGTTTCTATCCTTTTACTTCAGTGCCCGATCTTTTAGGATTACATGTTTGACCGTTTTTCCAAACTTTTGAATGTAATGGAACTCCGGTCCTGTACAAAGCTTCAAGCGTAATCGTTTAAAGACGGATTCTTGGCTGTTTTGTTGTGCTTTTAATTGATTCCTTCTTCATCCTTTTTCCATTCTATGTACGTGTATCTGAATCGTTGAACGCGATGAACAATTTTATGAATTCCAAAAAATTGTTGAGTGGAATCCTCATATCTACTACTTCATTTTTGCAATTAACTATTTTTCCTACGAAATGCTGAAATGCAGTAGATTAAATGAGCTCTGACAACCAGCACATTGTTGAATTGAGGCCCTTATAGTACATATCATTTTAGAATTAAACAAAAAAAAAACTTACACTTGGCAGCATGAGCATCAGCGTGGAATCCACAAGAAAAAATGTGGAGGGAATATATTTCTACCTTTGAAAAAGTTGTACGACTTGACTGAAGTGTACAATTTATACCAGACGGTCTCCTAACATAATCCTTTTAAGGACAACCTTCCGGGCCTTTTTCAGGGCTCTCTCAATACCGTACGAGACGGTGCAAATGTCTTATTTCGACGACCTTATATACCTTCGTGGGCGTGGCTTTCCGCCACGGCTCTCTCAAGACCTTGTGGGCGTGGCCAACTGTTTGGGATCACCGTCAGGGCGGGGCGTAAAATTTTCGTATTTTTAAGGATCCGTAAAAACGCAAATTTACGGTTTCAAGAAGACGTAAATTCCGTAAGATCTGTAAAATACATGAAGCGTACTGTTCTTGTCAGGAAATGAAGACTAGCATACAATTCAATATACAGTGCGTTTCAAAAGTATAGGGCCACCCCTGAAAATCACCGACACGTCTTCCCCAGGTAGTATCATGCCTCCGCACCTCGAAAATCGAATTCAGCATGAAAAGTTACCCCTGGAAAACAATTTTGGGGCCAGTACATTGGGTGCTGAGGCCATGGTGCTGGAAAATCTGAAAAAGTGGCTTCTGCAGGCGTTTCATAAGTATAGGGCCACCCCGTAAATGTGTGGCAGGAGCCTGTATCGGGTCGTACAAGAAGGTGAGGTGGTCAGAAATGAACTCAGCATCAAAAATAACCCCGGGTGACCAGGTCTGGCCTCATGGCAAGAGGTTCTGGGTCAGTTATGCTGAAAAGTGCGGCTAAGTCTGAAAATCAGCAAGGACCACAAAAATTTATGGGTACACATGAAGAACATAAGTTAATAATCAACAGCAGCACCTCTCCGGGTGATCACATCGTAAATTCGAGAGGGCATTGAGCTAACAAGGCTCGGAATAAGCGCGCTGGTATTGTTTCTGAACTCCTGCTCGAGCTTATTCCATTCGTTCTGAATGGAATTTGAGTGCTCCGACCGACTGATTCCTTGCGAATACACACGACGCACGAGCGCTCCCCACACATTTTCCATCGGATTCAGGTCTGGGCTGCAAGCCGGCCAAGGAAGAGTGTCGATGTTCTTAGACTGGAGCCAATCCATAGTCGATCGACTCGCATAGCAAGGCGCGTTGTCCTGCTGGAAGACAAAGCGACGGCGGTTGAAACGACGTTTGAACGGAAGCAGTTGGGTCCGGAGAAGATCTTGATAACGGGCCGAATCCAGACGACCATCGACGAAGAAGATTTCCAAGAAACCGACGGACGAAAAAGCACCCCAGCACATAACACTTCCGCCGCCGTAGTTTCGTTTGGAGAAACGAAGCCGGTCTTTCCGCAGATCGTGCCAGTAATGTTTGTAACCGTCCGGCCCATCGAGGTTAAACTTCTCCTTGTCCGAAAATCGATCAATTTTTTGCAAAATCTCCCCATCCCCCAAACTTCAAGTTCACTTTTTCCCAAAATCAGTTTAGAAGTTTCGTATCTTTTTTTTGTCGAACAATATCTGTCCGCCGCCCCCGTATTCTATCGGTTCCAGTTTTTTTGCGAAATTTTTAGAGGTTCCAGAGTCAAATTGAGTGTTTTTCCCTTTAATGAATTGCGGTTCATTTTTAGAGCAATGTTTGAACGTGCGTTTTTACCAGAGTAGCCGGCTTTTTTGGCTCCGGTCTATTCGGAACTTCGGAGTGGGTTCTTCAATAGAAGACGCATGTGATCGACAATTATTGTTGCGTATTGACGTGACCTTTTGACGTGGTTACCGAGTGTTCTCATAATCGAGAGTTCACTTTGGCGATACTTGTCAGTTCTTAATAAACTCTCTAAATAGAAGTCCGAGCTTCCTCAAAGAGTCGTCCCTACGGACACAACAACTGGCGATCAGGAAACCAACGATCTGACTGCGGTGAATCATGATGAGCGAAGAACAGTTCAACAAGCTGCTCGAACGGCTGACTGGAAACGGAGGAGGAGCGTCGGTGGAAGAGAGAAGAACTCAGAAGATAGACTCGATCACGGCACGACTGAAGAGATTCGAGTATGACCCGGAGAATGGGATCACCTTCAGTCACTGGTACGATCGGTACGGAGAGATGCTGACGGAAGAAGGAGCGGATCTGAACGAGGCGACCCGACGACGACTTCTCATTGGCGCTCTGGGCGAGATGGAGTACAACCGGTTCGCGAATCGTGTGCTGCCGAAGAAGGTGAACGAGCTATCTTGGAACGAAACCGTCAAAGCGCTGAAGACGTGTTTCGCTGCCACGAAGTCGGTGTTCCAAGAACGTTTCGAGTTCTTGCGAATGTCGTATTCCGCAGGTACGTTGAGTGAGTACACGGGATTTGTGAAGGAGAAGTTCGTGAGGTCGCAGTTTGGCAAAATGACGGATGAGCAGATTTGCTGCTTGGTGTGGACGCTGGGACTGAGGACCGACGAAACTGAGGTGAGAGTCAGAGCTCTACAAATTCTCGAGACTAAGCCGGATACGACGCTGGTGCAACTGGAAGAGCAAGTGACAAGATTCCTGACAATCAAGGCCGATGCGAAGGCGATCGGTGGCGTCACAGGGTCCCGCGAAAACTTCGAGGTCAACGCGGTGAGAGCGAAACCGAGGGACAATGGTGTCCAGTCGGGGACAGCGGCTGCCAGCGGAAGTGCGACAACGTCGATGCCCAGCTCGAAAAGTCGCTCGAAGAGGTGTGACAGGTGCGGCTGGAGGCACAATCGAGGGAGTTGTTCCGCTAAGAACGCTAGGTGTTTCGAGTGCAACGAAAAAGGACATTTTGCCAGATTCTGCCCGAATTCGAGGGAAGCGAACGGTCAAGCTTTGGTCGTGGGATCGGTGCACGCGAGTAAGGAATCGGTGAAGATTCGAGAGATGGTGAAGATCAAGACCGTGCCTATCCAGATGATGGTGGACACGGGCTCCGATGTCACGATGCTGAGCGTCAGCGACTGGGGGAAGATCGGGAAGCCACGACTGAAAGCGGCGAGAGAGAAGATCCTCACGGTCGACAAGAAGCCGATGAAGATTATGGGAAGGTTCGAGTGCAACTTCAAATGGAGAGGCTACGTGTATCGTGGAAGAGCGTATGTCGGCGCCACGACTTCGATTCTGGGACTCGATTGGATCAACATGAATGGACCCTGGTTGCAAGCGTTCATGGAAGGAATCCCGGAAGATCCTGTGCCGAAGAAGAAGTCTCCAAAGAAGAACTTTGAACTTTAAAGGGGGAGAGATCTTGTGTATTGACGTGACCTTTTTACGTGGTTACCGAGTGTTCTCATAATCGAGAGTTCACTTTGGCGATACTTGTCAGTTCTTAATAAACTCTCTAAATAGAAGTCCAAGCTTCCTCAAAGAGTCGTCCCTACGGACAACAATTATTTCACACGTGACCTCCCGTTTCTTGTGATATAATCCATTTCCGAGTTTATTTCCTCTTTCGAAATGTTCGCCGAAAAGGAATCGAAAGAGTACAAGCGACTCATGTCGAAGAAAGTGTTCAATGCGACTATCCAGGTACTAGAATCACCAAATTGTCAATGCTTATCAAATTTCAGGACCACTTTGATGCAAATATTTTCATTTATGCCATCATCACGTTCGTTTTCAATCTAACGATTTTAGCGGACTGCGTGTGAGTTTTTGACAACTTATTCGGAAAAGGTAAGTTTTTCGAGTTTAGAAACGCACTCGTGTTTAACGGTTTGGACCAAGGTTTGCGAAAAGAAGCGCAGTTTGAAACGTTTGTCCGTGTATTGACTCCAACCGTTTATACAGTCTGTTCGTTATTGAGGTCAGTATCTACATTTGAAGTTTTAGATTGTTGTGACGCTCCTCACTTTCTTTGCTTATCGCTTCTCTCCCAAGTGCTTTTGCACTTTCTCTTTTTTGGTGGTCAGTTTACGAATTCGACGAGCAACTCTCAGCGTGTATTCACTTTTTTCAGGCGGCTCAACCGTTCCTCGTGCTCTTTCAGCTGTTCAATCCGTACTACGACTATGCAATGAGCCCAACTCGAGAGAAAGTGTTGTCTGCCTCGAAATGTACGCTTGCTCATCTATTTTAAAAAGAAATGCTATCGCTTGTTTGCAGACACAAGCATCGTCGTGATTCTGATGCTCCCCTTCTTCGTCCTCAACTCCATCTATTGTGCTGTGGTTCTGTTCAAAATGAGGTGAGCCTGAGATATCCGATATATTGTCTGTCAATTTCTTTTTCAGTTGCATGAAACTAAAAGTGTACAATGGCGACGATGTGTACGACGTGATTTACGGAGGAGAGGACACTTGCACCAAGAAATTACTATCGTGAACTTGTGTGTGTCTGTGTGTATTCATGAAACCATTGATTTGTGCTCCGTTGTTTCTATCCTATTGCTTCAGTGCCCGATCTTTTAGAATTACATGTTTGACCGTTTTTCCAAACTTTTGAATGTAATGGAACTCCGGTCCTGTACAAAGCTTCAAGCGTAATCGTTTAAAGACGGATTCTTGGCTGTTTTGTTGTGCTTTTAATTGATTCCTTCTTCATCCTTTTTCCATTCTATGTACGTGTATCTGAATCGTTGAACGCGATGAACAATTTTATGAATTCCAAAAAATTGTTGAGTGGAATCCTCATATCTACTACTTCATTTTTGCAATTAACTATTTTTCCTACGAAATGCTGAAATGCAGTAGATTAAATGAACTCTGACAACCAGCACACTGTTGAATTGAGGCCCTTATACATAGTACTTATCATTTTAGAATAAAACAAAGAAAAAACTTACACTTGGCAGCAACAGCATCAGCGTGAAATCCAGAAGAAAAAATGTGGAGGGAATATATTTCTACCTTTGAAAAAGTTGTACGACTTGACTGAAGTGTACAATTTATACCAGACGGTCTCCTAAGATAATCCTTTTCAGGAAAACCCATAGTTGCCACGGGCCGGGCCGAAATTTCCAAAAATTCCGGCCCGGCCCGGCCCGTCGGCCCGGTTCAAAAAGCGGGAATTCAAAATTTGAATTATTGATCGCATGAAGCCATTTTTTGTAGAATTAGGGGTTTTTTGCAAGCATCGAACATTGAAAAACAAATGTATTTCTCATAAAAAATTCATAATAGCAAAAAAACAAAGAAGAAACACTAAAACTTTAGTTCGAAAATTTTTTTTGTAATAACGAAAAAAAAATTTCCGCGAAAATTTGAATTCGCGCCTTTTGAACCGGGCCGACCGGGCCGGGCCGGCCCGAAATCTGGCAAGTCTGGGAAAACCTTCCGAGCCTTTTTCAGGGCTCGCTCAAGACCGTACAAGACGGTACAAATGTCATGTTTCGACGACCTTATATACCTTCGTGGGCGTGGCTTTCCGCCACGGCTCTCTCAAGACCTTGTGGGCGTGGCCAACTGTTTGGGATCACCGTCAGGGCGGCGCGTAAAATTTTCGTATTTTTACGCATCCGTAAAAACGCAAATTTACGGTTTCAAGATCTTTAAAATCCATGAAGCGTACTGTCTTTGTCAGGAAATGAAGACTAGCATACAATTCAATATAATTCCAACTTTTCTATAGTCCCTATCATTTTTTGAACGTTTTGGTGTCTTTTGATGCCTAATGTTGTTCTTACTGATCAAATCAGGTTTCTGATTTTAGACAAATAGTACAAAAGTGATAGATTCTAGAAAAATCATTTTTATCACAAAAAAAGTAAAAAAAAAACCACCGTAAACGTAAAATCCCAGCCATGATCACAAATCATTGGCATAACTCCATCAAATCACATCCGATTTTTTTAGTTTTAATTTTTTTGTCTCCCCTAAAGGAAACTTTCCAAATATAGAAAGCTGACGCTAAATTTCTTTAGTTCATTGCCAGGTTCGCACCTTAAACTTGGATAATTAAACCGATTCTAGACAAATCCCGAGCAAATATTTGGGAATTTTTGTTTAGATTTGCCGAGAATTTGTCTAGAATTAGCGCAATTGTATAATTGCTAAACCGCATTTCACCTGTGCGCAAACGGATAATTAGGTGACAAATCGGAGGAGGAAAAAACACGAACAATCTTGTTTTCTACTAAATTCGATTTGTCTCCTTCGTTTCCGCTCAATTTTTTTTTGGTCACTCTGGCCGGAAGTATAATAGTCATACGTTTGCAATCGCTCTTTTTTTCAGGCTATGGACTCATTGATAACTCTGATATGTTTTATTGGAATTATTTGTGCATTCATCACAATTTCACTGAATACAAGGCTGTTTTTCAAAATCGTTTTGTAAGTTTTGTTTGAATGGATATTGTAGAGTTGTAAAACGTCCTACGGGCTTCCAAAAGTGTTTTGTTACCAAAATTACCACTTTGACACTTTTTCTGTACGACCCCTCTCTGGAGTACTGTAGCTCGTCAAGGTGGGAAATACAGTACAAACTTCCAAACGCTACAGTACTCTTGGGAGCGGTCGTAGAAAAAAGTGGTCAACTACAAAAGTATAGTACTAGACATTAACAATATTTTTTCCGTTGACAACTTTTTTCTGTAAGCCTTGCCAAGGTTACTGTAGCACTTTGAAAGTGGTCAATAGCCACAAGTGTTCAAATTTCAGTTCAAACTTCAAAGGGCTACAGTTCTTTTAGAAAAATCGGTACGAAAAAGTGGTCAACTGAAAAATTAACGTGCTTATGATGAATTTTTGATTAAGACAAAAGTCGGAGCGAATCGACGAGATGGTCCTTTTCTACTGGCGCTTCACCGTGGACATATTCTTCGGAACACTGTGTGCGTGACTCAAACTCCTCAGATATCGTTCATATTTTTTCCAGTGCTCTCCTACATAATCTACATTATATTGTCGATTCACTTCCAAGTGGATTTCCCGCTTCTCCTGGTTTATCTCGCAATTCCGTGGTCGAATCTCGCCGCTTTCCGCTCAATTATCGCACTTTCCATTACGATCGAGCAATTGTTGGCCGCCTATTTTCCACTTTTCTACATGGTAAAACGACACAAATTTCCGAGTTTTGTGGTCCTTTTATTCGGATCCATATTTGCCGTTTACGAGGATTACATGCTCTTCTGGGTGTGCGGAAATGATCTGGAAGTTCCGCCCGGATGTCGGGTCTTCGGATGCGTCATGAACAAGTGCTTTTACAGTTTTTGGACGTTGCACAAGGCGGTGAGCTCGAAAATAATACATATTTATCGATAAAAGTATCGATAAACCTTTTCAGATAATCTACTCAATAATCACCCTTCTCTCGTTCTTGCTCTCACTCAAAATAATCGTTTGGAATCATTTCAAGAGCCAGCGGACAAATCAGAAGTTATCAAGGGTACGGTAAAGGATTACGGTACCTACAGTATCCAACTGAATTCAGGCCAATCGTCTAGCCCTTTTCTACACTCTAACCGTACTTTCTTTCGATTTTCTGCCCTCATTCTGTGCAAATCTATGGCCAGAAGTATGGGTTTTTGATGTGAAAGTAAGTAATGACCGTAAAAATGAAAATGAAAATGAAATAACCTTTGAATTTCAGAACGTTGGTCCCTATAATCCGGTGTGCAAACTGATTGGTTGCGCCTTTGAATCGATAGTTTTGAGTAATGTTCTTTTACGCAAAAGTTCACAAGAAAAGAAAGTTTCAACGCCTTCCCAAAGGACTCCAAGGCCCAGAATTACTTGATTTTCATTTACGCATACAACCTGTTTAAATAATTATTATATATATCCAATATTGTCTGTCAATTTCTTTTTCAGTTGCATGAAACTAAACGAGTACAAGGGCGTGTTTGACCGTTTTTTCCAAATTTTTAATGTAATGTGCTTCAAGCATAATCTTTTTGGAACTTATCCTTGACATGACATGAAAAGTACAGTTTTTGGACGTTGCACAAGGCGGTGAGCTCGAAAATGATGCATATTTATCGATAAAAGTATCGATAAGCCTTTTCACTCAATAATCACCCTTCTCTCGTTCCTGCTCTCACTCAAAATATTCGTTTGGAATCATTTCAAGGGCAGCGAACAAGAAAAGAAAGTTTCAACGCCCAGAATTACTTGATTTTCATTTACGCATACAACCTATTTATATAAATGAATAAACATTATATTAAACAATACTTTTGAAGCCTCTTACTATCGGAAACGTGGGCGGTTAAGGTGTCTCTTGTGTATTTGTAGTTTCGTCAGATTCTGCATAACTTCGGATAAGATTCAATAGGAATTGAAGTGCTTTTTCAGTGAACTCTGCAAGTTTCCACTAATATTCGCCAAACTTTTGAACGCTTCGCTCCGCCTCTCACTTCGCATAGCTCTCCGATATTCGGTGACGACGCACATAAGAATGATGCTGTCAATGGCTGGATACACGCTGAAGAAGGCTATCATGAGGCCGGACGGCACGCTCAGTTTAGTGTCAAAGTACGGCGCGGCGAACATGACGATGGCGGGAATGTGATAGAATAGCGAGGGCGACGTGATTTGTAGGACTAACGTCTTGAATAGTTGCACTTGCAATCGATGCTCCTTATTCGACGCCGACCTTGAGATCTCCTTCATTTTCTTCTGAATCTTCACGCCACAGTAGACCATCACGGCGTATTGAGCGAGAAGAGTGAATGCGAGGCCAGCAGTGCAGAGCAGAGCGTTCAGGCGGATCGTCGCAACGTTTTCGACCGGCTCCTGAAAGCTCAACGAGTGTTTCCCCTCTCATATTCGATCCGATACTAACAAACGCGACAATGAAAAAGCCGGACAGTTCATCCACGTCATAATTATAGTTATCCGAAAGCTCGCGCCTCGTGTACAATTTCGAAAACGGCTCAGGCAGGCATGTGACGAGTAGCGCTATCCAAATCGCCACACACACCGATATGTAGACGAACCAGCAGAGAGCGTTGCATCCGTGAAAAAGCTTGACGCTGCCCGGCTTCAACAACACCACATAACGATAAATGAATTGTACTGCCATCAGACAAATGATGATCTCGTAGACGAGTGCGTAAGCGAGAAGCATGGCCGTCTTCAGAGACTTGGAAGCTCCGAATACTGGATCAACAGTGAAGTATATCCAGCTGAAGTTGTAGGAATGAATAAACGGTTGAACGATGATCTCCAGAAACGAGAGCGTGAGTCCGAACTCGGCGAGCAAAAATATCATGAATCGATAGACGGGAGTGATGCTTTTGATGTGGCAAAACGTGAGATAGACGAGCAGTGAGTTGGTGAGTACTGTAACACAAAGACCAATTTTGCCGACGTTGCCAACCAGGTGGACATATTTGAGAGAAGACATGGCAACGAAGGTAATGAACGCATTTCTATTGATGGTCGAGAATGGCTAACGCCGTAGTAGCATACCGGAAATTAGAGGAACACGCGACAAAGATTGTGTTTTTGTATCTGCAAACAAGTTTTTTAGAACCTGAACCAATTGGAACCGCTCTCAAAAGTTCAAGTGTTCATTTCTCCGTACCTCTGTTTCCTACCGACCGGGAGTTGGGCGGATGTCGGAACTATTTCGCACGGACCAGACGGAGCGAACGCGAGTCGGGTGCGCGGCTCGAACTTTTCTTCACCGACACTTTCGCCTTCTTCCGTCCCAAAACTTTGAGCATAATAATGACTTCGATCGAGTTGGCCACCAGTTTTCCGACCAAATTGAACGGACCGGCGAACGAGAAGTTGAAGAGGATGAATTGGGGCCAGAGACTGATGCAGAACGGCGGAACGAACTGGAACAGGAGCGTGGTGATCGCGTCGAGGATCGCCAGACGGTTCGCCTGAACACTTATCCATAAATTTATCGATAACCTTACACGGCGCGGCTTTCGCAACATACGCAGCCAAATGGTATGCATTTTTGCGCGTCGGTGTGGCTCTGCGTACAGTGCATTTTATGTTACGCGCAAAGTTCATTTTTTTAGTTGTTGATGAATTTTCTCTAAATATTCATCTCTTTAAAGCGTTTTTCTCTGCTTTCTACCTCAATTATTCCTTTTTACAGATTCCGGATGAAGTAATACGCGAAGAGAAGTCGATGCGATGAAAAGAAACGCGTAAGTAAGTGAAAGTAAGGTTTTATTCAGAAAATATACGATTTCTCGAAAAATGTCTCTAGATCTGCTAATCTTTTTATTTAAAAAGTTCAGTAACATGACTGTGAATGTCTTCGACTAAAAAAAAAATAGAGTGACAGCTCGCTTTCGCGTAAAAATTGGTCTTTTGCCGGAAAACAGTGACATTTCGTTGAAAACATTTTTTTTCTCAAAAACCGTCTCTAGACTTTCTAATTTTTTTTGTTTAAATAGTTCACTTACATGACTGTGAATGTTTTCGATCCAAAAAAAAGTAGAGTGCCAGTTCGTAAAAGCAAAAAAAAATTTTTAACGAGATTTCACTGTCTTCCGGCAAACTATCGGTTTTTCCGCGAAATCGAGTCGTCACTCTACTTCTTTTTAGTTCGAAAACATTCCCAGAAATGTAAGTAAAGTTTTTTAACCAAAAGATTAGAAAATCTAGTCACGTTTTTCGAGAAATTGTGCATTTTCTGAATAAAACCTTACTTTCATTTACTTACGCGTTTCTTTTCATCGGATCGACTTCTCTTCGCGTATTACTTCACCTGGAATCTGTAAAAAGGTCAAATTGAGGTAGAAAGTGGAGAAAAACGCTTTAAAGAGATGAATATTTGGAGAAAATTCATCAAAAACTAAAAAAAAGAACTTTGCGCGTAACATAAAATGCACTGTACGCAGAGCAACACCGGCGTGCAAAAATGCACAGACTGAGGATCAAACGTTTGGTGAACGTCGCAAAAGCCGCGCCGTGCGCCTCGATAAACGTACCTGAGAAAGAGATTTTCTAGACTTGGACCATGCAAATAGTCGCGTGCAGAATGCAATTGATAGAATCATGGTCATGCTCAAAAGCGCCTAAAATCGTCAGAATTTGTTTGGGGGCGTAAAATCGGTACGTACCGTCTGATAAATGGACCAGAAGTTTTTGGAGCACAAATTCATGGCACAGCCAAGCGCCAGACAGTTTTTCGGAATGAAAATTGTGTAATCACAGCAGTAGAAGAAGATGCACTCTTGTAGAAATCCGATGGAAAGCGAGAAAATGAAGAAGGGCATTGTGGGAATGCGCATACGGTGGTTACGGTAGTCGATGGGTCGGAACGCCGCCTGGAATGGCCTACTGTAGTCGGCGATATTGTCGACTTCATCAAAAAAAAATTTCATTTTTCCAACTGACCACAACCCGATCACAGCATATGAATAACACGAAAATCATCCGTGCCAGTGACAAATTCGACGACGCCAGGCCGAACCACAATACCATGATTCTCGTGGATTCGAAGATGTCAGGGGCAATGTAAAATGTCAAAACATGGCCTAAATATGATAGGGTCGAAATTCCAATTAGGACATCCAGATGAAAACGGTAGAAGAACAGAGTCATGTCGTGTATTCGGTGTTTCTCTTGGCTGCAAATTTGAACGGATATTGTAGAGTTGCGAAACGACCTGTGGTTTCCAAAAGAGTTTTGTTACAAAATTAGCATCTAGTACCTTGTTTTTGTAGTTGACCTCTTTTTTGTACGACCCCTCCCGGGGGTACTGTAGCTCTTCGAAGTTGGGGTTGGTGTAGTAATTGCATGTGAAATGCAGTGCCTACTTCCAAGCGATACAGTACTCCGGGGAGTAGTTGTAGACAAAAGTTGTGAACGGAAAAAATATTGTCCATGTTTAGTACTATATTTTTGTCGTTGACAACTTTTCTCTACACTCACACCCTAGAGTACTGTATTGCTTGGAAGTGGACAATAATTACAAGCGTATTCAGAGAGCTCTAACTTCCAAGCGCTACAGTAATTCAGCGAGTGGTTGTACAAAAAATGTGTCAACTACACAAATAGTAGTACTGCATGTCAAAATTTCAGAGAACAAATCTCGCAACTCTACAATACACGTTTGAAGTTTTTACTTCCATAGAACAACGGACGGTAACAATTTTTCGATTTTTGAGAAGCTCATGGACGTTTTGAAACCAACCCGCTTCGCAACCAGTTGCAAAACGTCTTAATGTGTCGCTAGAAAACAAACGTACACTCTGAACTTATAAATCAAGTATAAATTTATCATGATAATCCAAATTGAGCAAATGACGCCGAGCGAAGAAACGAAAAGTGGAAGCATTTTCTGAAAATTGAATAATGTCGTCCTATGGTTCTCAAATTTTTTCTGTAAAAACTTGACATCTAGTACTTTTTTTTCGTAGTTGATGACTTTTTTCTAGAACCAATTCCTGGGGTACTGTAGCTCTTCAAAGTCGGGGTCGGTTTAGAGCATGTCAAATGTAGGGCTAACTTCCAGGCGGCACAGTTCTCCAGGGAGTGGTTGCAGAAAAAAGGTGTCAACTACAAATATATTGTCCTTGACATGGGCAACATTTTTGTAATTGACAACTTTTTCCTACAATCACTCTCTGGTCTACTGGAGTTCTTGGAAACTGCCAGTAGCTAAAGACTTTGAGGATTTCAGTGAAGTGCAAAAAAGTTGTCAACTACAAAAATAAACGACTTGGCAAAATGAATTTCGAGTACGTTGACCTAAAAAGTGTTCATTCAGAGAGAAAAAAGTGGGAAAATCGGTGAAAGAATGAAAAAAACACAGCTGATTTCTCAATTTCCGACATGTTTTTCTGCTTTTCTCAATTTCATTCGACGAACTTTGTTCATATCAGAGAACACGTGTTCGTACTTTTCTCATTTATTGCAATTCATGATCGAATTTGATAGAGAACGAATGTCAACAAATTTGCAATCAATTCACAATTCTCGTAGACTAGCAAATTCGCGCAAGCGCTAAAATTAATCATTGCGCACATTTCATTGAGAAATGAAAAAGTTGAATCGATTTGTGCTGAAAATGCGCGAATTTCAGTCATTTCTCAATAATTTTTGGTGTTTGAACGCTCAGAATGTTCGTATTCACGTGTTTTATCACTTCCGACACTGATTTTGTCGGAAAAGTGTCCGGCTGCGCACAGAACCCCGGCCTTCCAATAAAAAATTCCCTTGGCACATTGCGCGCGCGCTAGACAACGCGCGTAACGCGTAATTCCGGAGCGTCGTAGCAGAGTTTCTCATTTCAATTTTCCGCGCGTTTTTAGAACCAATCGGGGTCAAATCTTGTAAAAATGATTAGAAATGAGTGAAAAATTGAATTTTAATTGCTTCCTTATCAATTTCTAAACGTTTGATGTGAAAACTACAGATAGTTCAACGAACGGACAGCGGCGGAAGATTGCTGAAGCTATTCGGAGCGGGAAAAGAGAAAGAGTAGCGGTTAGTGAGACTGACTCATTTTATTTCGTCGTCAGATGTTTTACAGGTATTTTCACGGAATTATCGAATGAGATGCTGAGCGGAAAGCTGCTGAAATAGCAGAAAGTTTCTGAAAACGCGTCCCAATCCCCCTTTCTGCACTTTTGGTGGTCGCCGAGGCTTTTACAAAACTTTAATGATCAGTAATAGTGATAAAATGCAAAAAAAAACGTTGGACAAAGTTGTGTTATTATAGGAATGTTTTGAAATTGCAATAAATCCAAGAAGAAATCCAAAATTCACAAAAAACGTTTCAAAAAATGTGAAATGTGGTCAAGTCCGATTATTTTCCGTTCTGAAGTTCCAGGAGGATCGTGGCGATCGGCGCTTTTCCGTTTCTGATCAGCGCGTCGGTCAACGGTCCCATCCAGTGGTTCTTCGTCTTCAGAAGGTCGATCAGGGCATCCACTTGCTCCTCCGATCCCTACAAATTATCGATTTTTTTGTTTTTATTACAGGAAAAACTCGCGAACCTTGGCGTAGAGCGCTCCCATTTCGTAGGATCTCAGCACATTGCGAGCCACGAGCAGTGGGACCACGTCGCGGATGTTGATCTGTTGGAGAGAGCCACGGAGACGGTCCAGGTTGTCGGCCTGGAAACTTTTTATGCAAAAAACTCTATCTTTTAGCCACGGCCTTCAAGGCTCGTGTGTTTTGCCAAATTAGCCACGGAAAATCGATTATTTCGATCGGCGGCGAAAATGGCACCAAAATAGCAGACATTTCGAGAATAGTTATGTTTTCAAGTCAAAATATCATTTTTCATAGCGTTTGCCCACAGAAAAACAGGTTAAAAGTACGGAATTTATAGAAACGCCGCCTGGCGGATTGAATTTTGAAAAATCACAATTTTCGGGGAAAAAATGTTCAAACAAACCTGAAGAGCACGGATGTCGGCCAAACTCGGCGAGCAGGTTACGGTCGTCATCTTCCTTTCTATTCTGAAAAATTTTCAAAGAGTAATGTGAAAATCAAGTGAAAAAGCCATTAGAGGGAATGGAAAAGGATGCTCGGGGAGCTGGCCAGAAAAAGGAAATACCATAAATCAGGGATGAAAGTGAATGAGATGAGAATGAGCGGAAAAAGAGCAGAAAAGGATGGCGGAGAGCTCTCTGATTTTCGTGCGGGATAAAGTTGGAAAAATTGTGGAAATGGAGAGGAGTTTCAGACGTTTTCGCAACTGCTACGTTTTGCAACCAGCGTGTAGTACATATTTTTAATAAACTATCGAAACTCTTCTTTTTTCATCACGTACCTCATGTGCGATAGTGTCCGAAATATCGCTTGTTTTTGTGGCGTTTTCGCGTGAAAACAGGCCAGAAAAAGGGGGAAATTGAGCTAATTAGTGGCCGGCAGAGAGAGAGAGAGAGAGAGAAAGCTCTTTTTCCCTTTTCAGACACGTCTTCGCCGCGAGAAAAGAAAAGTGGCACAAATTTGTTTATTTTTGGCGCCAAAATAGAGCCGCGGCAATCGTATTTTTGCGGGAGACAGGGACGGAAAAGGAGAAGAAATAATATGAAAACACGGAACGACTCTTCACGATTTCGAAAACCCTCAAAACGAATTTTTTCCAGAAGTTTCCGAAATCAGAACATTCAAATAATGACACAATCTCGAGAGTATTCAGAAAATGTGCAAGGAGTGCTCGTGATGAAACCGAAAAGACGAGTAATAAGGAAGAGAAAAAGGGAGACAAAAGAGAAGGACGATGCATTTTTAAGAAGGAAACAGCCATCGACTGGATGGGCTCGCTCCAAATGTTGCCAAAAATGTTATTCGGGGGTCAACGGTTCCGCATTTTACAGCTTTCTGTGACTGCTGACGAAATTCTCGTTTTTTGTACCCTGGTTTTCGCGCAATTATTCGGCGGCGAAGGCGAAAAAGCGAATTGCACCAAAACGTCAAAAGTTCCGAGAATTATTGAGTTTTCAAGTCATTTAATCACAAAAATCAGAGAAAAAGGCTCATTTTATGAAAAGGAGACCGTGAATTTCAGAAAATTTTTGAGAAAAGCAAATTATCCGTTAAACAAGTTTGCAAATTTTGTTTCCCGCCAACGAATGATGCAAACGCGCTCTATTGATAACTTGCTTGAATTGAGGGAAGAAATGCTCCAAAAAAACGGAAAAAACTTGAGACAAAAATGAATGAATTCGTGTCGCAAAAAGTGACATTTTGACCGCTTTTCGAGCAGAAATGATACAGAATATGTGGAATGCGTACACAAATCGGCCGATGCGCTTGTTTTGTGTTCCATTGAATTTCGGGCGGCCGCATTTCCTTCCTCTCTTTTAGTCTAAGAGTCTTAGACTACAAAAAGCGTTCGGCACAATAAAAATGCGGGCGGTCTAAAGTCATAAATGTTCTTTTTCTTATCCTTTTTGCTCACGCTCACCCATCTGGTCCCGTCGGTTGAGGGCGTCCTCGAAAATAAGAAGATTCACACAGATTCGAGCCAATTAGTGATGTGCATGAAATTCGAGATGAAACAATTACGACATGTTGTGTTGTCCAGTGCACATTTTGGAGCATTTTGGGGAGGGAGCAAACACATTTTTGAATTTTTTTTCAATAATTATGGAATGTAGAAGAAATTTCTATGGTACAATACCAATGTTTGCAAAGTTTATCGTATGCTCTTGAATTCGATCGAACCCGCAAAAAGAGCAAAAGCGTTCTGAGAGAATGCGTGAAAAGGCGCACAAGAGAGACAGAAAAGGGGGTATATGCAAATTATGTGACAAATGTTTGTCTGTTTATATGTGTGACACAAGCAGCTCCCCGGGGGGGGGGGGCATGCGTCATTCCTCCGAAAATTAATCCAAAAGCCTACTAGAGAAGCAAAAGCGTTTCGCTCCCGGGTGGGCTCGAACCACCAACCTTTCGGTTAACAGCCGAACGCGCTGCCTATTGCGCCACGGAAGCGACGGGCGCCCGTGGCGCCGGTGCGTAGATAAGAGCGCTCATGCTCGGTCGGAGGCCGGCGCTGCCGAGAAGATTTTCCCACACTTTGTGCACCGAAATTTGATATTTAGAGCATTTTCGGCACAAAGATGGTTGGGGAAACAATAAATAGTGTATTTTATGAAATGTATATGTAAAAGGACCGCCCATCGAAGGGAGGAAGCGAGCGGAAGGATCTTGGCGGTGGAATGAATGAAATGAAATAGAAGCCGGAAAATAGTGGAGGAGTGAGTAAAGTGGGGACCGCGATCCGAGATCCTCCACTTTACACATCGAGAACTATGAAATTGTGTGTGTGTGTGTGGTGTGAAGTGGGAGGAACTCGGCGGACATCACAACAAACCTTGGGCCACGGTGTAAAATGTTCGGTTTTTGAGAATTCAGAAATTTTTGAAAGAGTTTCTCATTATTTTTATTAGAATCTAGAGATGATAGCCTTTATTTTAAGCGCAAACTGGAGTCTCTAACATTTTTTTGAAAAAAGTTATGATTTTTTGAAAATGGGGTTGTTGCGAGGCTGCTGAATAAACTTCCGGGAATACGCACAAAGACAATGGAGTTCCTTTTCTTGTCCGGGCGGTCTGAATGGAGGAAGCAGCGGGAGAGCGGCCAGAAGGAGCCCCTCCTTCTGTTCAGTGGGTGATTTATAATGGTACAAGGAAGAGGAAGAGGAAGAGGAAGAGCAGGTGCCGATTGGATTGCGAACAAGACAAATGGGCCTGTGCTGGCTGATGGATGCTCATTTGCATTCATTTGATTCGGTCGAGATTAGAGTCCGGGACGTTTTAAAACTGCGACACTTTGCTTTCTTAATTTCTGAATACCAGGTCTCAAACGCGTGCAAAATTTGAATTAACGCTACAGGCCGATCCGCCGACAGCTGACAATCACACAAATTGACAATAAAACGATAAAACAAAGGTCTAGGAGCACAAAAACACACGAAAAATGTTGGTGTGTGTCAAAACAGATTGCATTCAAAAAAAAAACGGAGGGCGAAAAGCCATTTGCTGGATTGGAAAAAAGAAAAACGGCGAGAAATTTGAAGCCGCGAAAGGTGTCTGAGCATTATTTTTTCGCTCATATTTCACCTTTTTTGCCGCTATTTTTGGCTGAAAATGTGTGCTACGGGGTCTTTTCGTTACAGGAGCACATTATGACGTGGAAAATTCCGGAACAACTATTAGAAATTCATGGAAAACGGGTCAACATTCGTCAGATTGGACACTATCACGGCGACCAAAAGCGTAGAAAGGGGCGTGGCCTAGCGTGCACGGTCTATCACCATTTTGGCGCGAAATTCTCGAAATTTAACCCCATTTTTCATGTTTTTCGTCAAAAATTACCCAAATTTTGTACGATTTCGACGATGTGATTGCATAAATTTGTTAAACTAATCATCGCGCGCACTTTTTGAGCTAAAAACGAGCAGGTTTCATTCAGAGAATGAGTCAATTGAATCGATTTTCAAGTTTTGTGCTGAAAATGCGCGAATTTCAGTCATTCGTCGACACTTTTTGCCGTTTGAACGCTTAAAATACTTGTATTAACGTGCTTCGTCTCAAAACTATCCAGATCGGCCGGTATGAAAATTCCGAAATTGCGGCGGCGATTGGCCGCGGAGAGCGTATTGCGAAATATGCCAAAAACGTCTCAAACGCGGCGTTTTCACGAAAATTTCAATGTTTTCTCTCTTTAATGTCTCTTCTTTCGTCGATATCAAACACAAAAATGGCGGAAAAGTGCTGAAATTGCGGCAATTTTCAGAAAACGCGTCACAGATTAGGCCACGCCCATTTCCACACTTTTGGTCGCCGTGCGCGCGTGTATACAATTAATTTAGCGCCGTCCCGAGAATGTGATGATTGTGAGAATAGAATAAATACACTGAAAAATGAGGACAATTCGGCCGGGTCAATGCATTTTCTGGCCAAAAAAGCTTGAAGTTTGAATTTTTGTTAATTTTTCGAGAAACAAAGCAATTTTGCTTGGTTGTCATGTCCTTCCATTTCCCGATGTGGTCCCACCGACCGAGCTCGAACCGCCGAATGATATGTAGCTGAAATGTGTCGAATCGTCTCACAATCAGAAAAAGGTCTCACAAACACTCACATTTTCGGGAAGAACTCGTGTCTGAGTCGGTGACTGCTCAACAAAAGCGACCAGCACGAGCTGACGGACATGAGCTCGGTGGTGAAGTACCATAAGTCGGTGGCCAAGTTGAGGACGTCCGGTGCGGTGGCAAAGTACAGAACGCCCGTTTTGACGGCGTTCGGAACGAAGAGCAGAAACGAGAAGAGGGCGCATTTTAGGATGATGAATTCGGTGGACGGCACCGAAATCCGCCGTTTTTTCAGGTTAACCGACCGGGTCAGCGCTTGCGAATCGGACAAATTGACATTTTTGACGAGGTACACAATTGTGGCGATGTACAATGTCGAACTGAGCGAGAAGGAGGCGGAGCAAAGGATAAAGTCCTGGAAAATTGCAACTTAACTTTTTGTTTCAAGTCAACCACAACCTGAAGGGCATCCAATTTCATGAAATCCGCGTCGGCACGAAGCGAAAGGCCTCCGTTGGAGGAGGGCAAAAAAGAAAAGTTGTGATTGCCGGTATTGTAGAAAATGTGGACGAGTACGGTGGATGGAGCACACCATTCGAGGGCGTAGATTAACGAAATGATAGTCGGAGTCCAGATCTGCACTATTTTTCCATTTTTCCATCAAAAAGTGTGGCTTTCAAGCTTACCTGGTTGTGCAACTTGGGGCTGAAAATGACTGTGAATCGATTGACCGCCACGACGACGTATCCCAAAAACATTGTGTTTTTGATGGCCGTCTGACAGAAATAAATGAGTTGGGGAAGCCAAAAATTGGTGACCGGAACGAACAAATCGTGGATTTTATACTTTCGGGGTCTCGACACGAACTCGACGAACACAAACATTAGTATGTCGGTGATGGCCTGAACATTTTAAAACATTAAAATGTGTTTTAGTGGCGAAACGTGGCGGAAAGGTCTCTTTTAGAGAAGACGAGCCTTACATGTAATTTGATAATCAAAAAGAAGCTCGACTTGAACTCTTTATGTCTTCTCGTGTTCACAATATAAAGAATTCGCAGATAAACCACTATGGATAGCCAGCAGATGAGCATGAATATCAAATGGGATGTGGGCACGAGCGCAACACTTATTTCCATTCTATTTTTGAAATATTTTCCTTCGATTAAATAAAATTTGAGTAGGAAAGTAAGAACCCGATTTTTGGATGTCTCTGACTTTATTTTAGTTGCCTGGAGACCAGGTAATCTAACTTTTTCACCTGTTTTGACTCATAATTTTTGGTTTTATAAAAACCAAAAAACAAGGGATTTTGCTGTACGGAAGCAAAATAAATGTGATATGGATTGCGAAATTGTATTCTCGAATTTGTAAAATGATCACTTTCACTTTTTTTGTGTTTTTAAGCTTTTTTACTTTTTTTTTCTTCCCATCTTCAACGAATTCTTTGGCCAATTCTGAAAATGCCGGTTTCTGCTAAACCGGGCGACATTACGACACTCCAAAGGTCGCCGGCGGTCAGTGAGCGCAATTTTAATGAGTTTTCCATTTTTTCGTTGAAAAATCACTGTAAACCATGGAAATTTCGTTGAAAAGGCCAATTTCTCATTGAACGTTTATCGATTTTATGTTATTCATCACCAATTTCACCCGTTTTTCGTAATTTTCCAAACAGATTCGAAATTTTCAATTGCATCATGTCAAAATTGCAGATTTCGTCTCAAAGACATGTCACTGCTCTCACATTTAAGCAGAATATGTTGCTCCAAGTGCTCCTCAATACCCTCCAGCTCAACGAGGTACGAAAATCGCGAAATTTTGCAACAATGCGAAAATTGCAGATTATTCTGTTTCGCTCCACAAATCGGCAAATCGAGCGGATTTCTGAGGAGTACAGTGATCAAATCGAAACAAGCGTTCAGAAATGTACTAGAAACACTTTTTATTCACAAAAATAAGTCTAGAATCAACATTTTTGCAGGTCAGTGTCGTTGAGACGAAACGAGAATCGTACAAGCTGAAAAATGCGAGTTGGAAAGACTTGAAAGCGATTTTATCGCTTGCAGGACCCTACAAATGGCGAATCTTGCGTGCGTTAAAAACTTTGAAAAATGTAGTGAAAAAGCTCCAAAAATTCGGAGAGAAATGTAGATTATTACAGAAACAATTTGAAATAAATCAGAAAACCATATGATCTTGTAATGACGATTTTTCAGTGGGAATCTCGTTCCTCGGCGTCTCTAGTTCCATTTTCCTGCTCACTCCGCGCGTTTTGGGTAAATTGATCGACGAGTGGGACGAAACGAAGCAGGATAAAATGGATCAGACCGACAAATCGCTCTTGGCCGCCCGTTTTTTCAAAGAGAATCCGTTGGCGCTGTGCGGGTTGTTCCTCATTGGAGCTCTGGCGATCGCCGCACGAATTTACTGCATGCACACGGCTGGTGGGCGATTTTCTTAAATTTTCAGAAATTTAACGTTTTTTTCTCATTCTCAAGCGGAAAACAGAAAAACAGCGCTTTATTGTTAATTCAGCCAGAAATTCAAATTTCAAACCAATTTATCATTTTTTTCACAATAATCACCCAGATTCCGCACGAACCTAAAAGTAAAAATATTGTAGGTCAGCTGGTGATCAACGACCTGCGCAAGACGGTCTTCAACAGCGTTCTACGTCAAGATATGGCCTTTTTCGACAAGAGTAAAGTGGGCGAGATCGTCTCGCGCCTTTCCACAGACGCCCTCATCGTCGGCTACTCGGTTTCGATGAATTTGAGCGACGGAGCAAGAGCACTCATCACTTGTCTCGGATCCGGGGGACTAATGGTCCGTTTGGGGACGAAAATTCGAAACATCGGGGAGAAACCGTGAAAAACAGAAATAGAGAATTGAAAGTGGCGACCGATTTTTCAAATTCTTGCAGGTGTACACCTCGTTGGCAATGTGCAAAGTGATTGTGGTGGTTGTGCCGGTGATTGTGGGCACTTTTGCAGTGTTCGGAAAACTTCAACGCAAGTACACGCTCATGATGCAGGAAGCCGTCGCCGGAGCCAATCAGGTACACATTTTTAAAGGAAAAATGGGAATTTTTCTGAGATGGGCTTTTGCCGGCCGCGGCTTTTGGCTCACTTCCAGTTGACCGATCGGACCCAAAAAGTGTGAAGTGTCTCTGAGGAAATTTTAGGCCCAAATAGCGGCTCAGATCAGACTATCTTATCGAGATGAAAATTGTCCTGGACAAGCTTCATACCAAGGCAAAGGTCTGAAAAAGGCCAAGCCCATTGGCCTAAAATCATATTTTTTCCCAAATTTTTAAGTGGAAACGTACAAAAATTGTCCAATTTGAAGGTGGCAACGGAACGGCTGTCTTCGGTGCGGACGGTCCGAATGCTTGTGGCGGAACAAAAAGAACTGGCCGCCTATTCCGATAAAATCAACGATATTTGGCTGATTTCGAAGAAGGAAGGCTTCGCGAAGGGCTGCATGTTCGGATCGTTCCAGTTCACCGGATACCTCGCACTCTCTTCCATCCTCTTCTACGGATCGAACCTGATCAGCCAGGGACTACTCACTTATGGTCATTAAAAAAAATTATTAATTTGGTAAGTAGAATACTTACAGGAGAACTATCCTCGTTCTGCCTGTACGCTGTGCTCAGCGCCGGAAGTCTGTCGGCCATGTCCGGATTCTATTTGGAACTCATGAAGGTTCGTTTTTGGGTATTTCTAGGCGAAGCAATTCAAAAATCAGTTTTTAGGGTCTCGGAGCGAGTTCCCGTCTGTTCGAACTCAAAGATCGAGCTCCACGGATTCCGCTGGAAGGAGGCATCAAAAAGGGAAATGTCGAGCACGCGATCAGGTTTCTTTTTGCTTTTTTCACGAATTTCCATCGACAATAGGCCTATTCGATTCCCAAAAAAAAAACAGGAGGCGAGAGAGAAGCTGTGCGCGCGCGAAAAGACAGGGACGCAGGCGCGAAACAACAAACAACAACAACAACAACAGTTTCGCACCTGCGTCTCTGCCTTTTCGCGCGCTAACAGCCGCTCTCTCTCTCTCGCCTCCCGTTTCTTTTTCCGCTTGAACCGCAAACTCGCCCGCCCCTGGTCAAGAACTCAAAACTTTTTACAGATTCGAACACGTGGCATTCGGCTACGATAACCGAGATCCGCTCTTCCACAATATCTCGTTCGACGTGCCGGCCGGAAAGATTACCGCCGTCGTGGGAGCGTCCGGATCCGGAAAGTCTACGATCGCTTCGCTTCTCCTCAGGTATTATTGATTTTTTCGAAAAATTAGGCAATTTTATGAGCGTTTCTCCAGAATCTTCATAATTTTCTAGACTTTACGACCCGACGAGCGGCCAGATCCTCGTGGACGACGTCGATTTGCGGGATGTGGATCCGTCGTACTGGCGCAGACACATCGGAACGGTCGGACAGGAGCCCGTCCTTTTTTCGACCACAATCCGCGACAATATCATTTACGGAAGCAGCGAACCGGACAAAGTTACCGAGGCCGACGTTAGTTTCACGCGGGAAAAACTTTTTTTGTTCCGAAAAATCTGACGAAGGCTTGAGAGATCGAGAAAATCGCATAAAACTTTCAGATCGTCTCGGCGGCCGAACAATCGAATGCCGACGAGTTTATCATGAGGTTCCCGCTGAAATACGACACAAAGGTACTGGACATCAATTTTGTGAAAACGTTTTATGATTTATAGGTCGGAGAGCACGGCTCAACACTCAGCGGAGGACAGAAACAGAGAATAGCCATTGCGCGGGCGCTTGTCAATGTAAATTTGTTTATTTTTTTTCTTGAGAAACAGTGATAACTTGCAGAAACCCAACATTCTGATTATGGACGAGGCGACGTCGGCCCTGGACGCATCATCCGAATATTTGGTCCGGATCGCACTGAACAAGCTTCTGGCGAACAGCAAACAGACGGTTATGATTATTGCGCACAGGTACACTGTTTTTAAAATTTTGGAGGTCTGGACTTTTTACCCATTTGCAATAATACGATTGGGCCCGAGCTTTGCAGGCTTCTTGCACTTAAATTGAAGTATATTGGGTCCAAGCTTCAGACCGATCGGATCATCTGGTCCCGAGGTATGTGGATCAGAGGCCGAAAGGCCCGCAATTATCACAAAAACCCGGTCTTTTCGGCCTGAAGCCAGCATATCTCGGGACCGGATAATCGAATCGGTCTGAAACTTGGACCTGACATACTTCATTCCCAGTCCAAGAAGCCTGCAAAGTTAGGGCCCGATCGGATAATTACGAGGCCTCAAAAAGCCTTCGAAGAGCCCGGGCCGACGTTTATTTTTTGTGCAGGTTATCAACAATCAAACACGCCGATCAAATTGTGGTCGTCGACAAGGGAAGCGTGGCGGAACGCGGCAGTTACGAGGAGTTGATCGCCATTCCGGACGGTATTTTCCGAAAATTGGTCGAAAAACAGACGTTCGGATTCAAGGACCAGGATAATTACTAGTTGTTGAGAAATTTTCTAAAAATTTGACCCCAAAAACCTTGAAAAACATGTTTCCTGTTATTTTCTAGGATTATCCCAATTTTTCCCCACTCTCTACTGCATTTTCAACATTTTCATCATTTCGTCACAAATTTCACTTCTAATTAGACCTTTTTTTTTCAAATTTTGTCAGTGTTTAGGACTTCTTCAAAAACCCGATTTGTGCCTTCCCACGTTCACACCAATCCTTGTGATTTTTTAGTGAAAACAAATGCCAAAATTATTACTTTTCGAAAGTTGCACCCATCAACCGGACAAAAAGTTTATCACAAGAGGAGAAAGTTCAGAGAAAATGGCACAAAAGCAGACACGAGTTGAAAAAGGAGAAATTATTGAAAACAAATGAGGGGAAAACCATTTTTAGACGGAAATTGGGCACTGGCTGGGTAATTCCGAACGGATTGGCTCCGAAAATGAGGGAATGAGCCAGGAGGCGTGGATCGGATGGTCCGTGGAGGCCATCGGAAGGATCGGCTGATCCTTGGCTCGGATCCACAGAGTTGTGATCACTTTCCGGCCCGCGTAGATCGGACATCCGCCGTGGTTGCTCAGCATTTCCTGCAAAAAATCGGGCGGTTACTGTGCTCTTCTCTTATGGGCTCATTCGCCAGAGAACGATACTAGTTAACAGGAAAAAAAACATTTTGCTGGAAAAACGATTGTTGATTTTCGATTTTCCATTCGTTTTGAGTACAAATTTTGAAAAGCAGAGGGAGAATCGTGACTTTTTCTCACTTTTAGAAATTATAGACTGGAAATTTCGTTTTCCCGGCCTGTACTAGCTTATGAACCCAATTTTCCGCAAAATCTTTCTCACCTGCGACTCATCGGCGCCCGCATTGAACCAAAGAAACGCGTCGCCGGCATTGACGCGTACTGTGGTGCCGATGCTCGGGAACACAGTACCGCCTCCGTGCTCGGCGGTTTGGAGCACGAAAATGAGTGTGGCCACTCGGTTGCGATGCGTTCGCATCCACCAATCGTACTGCGATTCGGTCAGATACGTGAGGTAGTCGTAGTGCACCGAATAGTGACCGCCCGGATGGTACGACAGCGCCTGAAATATGAAATATGCTCAAATTTCGTGGAAATTTCGTAAAAACACTACATCTTACGGCAAAAACGCAGAAAAAGAAAGCCGCCACGGTCTCCCACAGCGAGAATGATTTCAATGGGGCGCACTTGCAACAGGCGGGCTGTGTCGATTTACGCGGCGGCCAATTAATTAATTTTCAACGAGAGTTCGCGTTCTTTGTGTTTTCTGCACAATACACCTATTTTTTGTACGCCTGGAACCTGGATTCGAATAATTAGAGCACTAGCTACGTTTTGGTAACAGAAATCTCACATATCGTTGAGAATTAGCCGAGTTATTTCGATTTGAAGGTTTTGGCCTCGATTTTGATGTTTTTCGAATCGTTTTCGAAAACTGCTCAAGAAAACTAACCGCCGGAACCTGAATTTTGTGAAGAAAGATTCAGCGAACATTTTTATCGTTCGTTGTGCTCATGAAATGCAAAATTGGCTGAAATATAAAGGTTTGAAGTTTTGACGAAATGCGAAAAAGGCGCTAAGAACATGAAAAACTCTAAATTCTGTAAACATCGGTTTCCAATTAGTAAAATATTGTTTTCTAGACGTTTTTTCAAGTCAAAAGGAAAGAAATAAAGGTCGTAAACTCGAATTGAACTGCATTTTCAGACCTGCAAATTTTCAAAAAGTTACAACGACACTCCGCAATTTCTGAGCGCACTGTGTTTAGCATTAGCGCCCTGGGAGACCGTGAGCCGCGCAATTTTCGGTGGAAACTCACCGAAAACAGTTCGGCACTTTCGAAATTGATGGCCGGAATGCGTTTGCTCAGCTTTCGGTGCACTTCCGAAGCGATTCCGGTGGCGCCGTGATCGATGAAACTTCCGTTCGCGCGGCGATGTGTCGTCTCGCGGCTCGTCCCGAAATCCGACGTTTTCTGGAAAGCGCTCGGGGTTACTGAGGCGTTTTCCGAGCCGGTTCTCTGTCCACTCACTTGGCTGACCAACTCTTGCGCATCGATATAGCCGAGAAATTCGGCGACTTGTCGCTCGCTGAGAATATTACGGTAGACGACGAGTGTGGGCGTCCAGCTGAGCACTTCCATGTCGACCGGAAGCAGATTGTGCACGTACGTCAGACAGATCGAGTCTGGAATCGAGAGCAAAAAATTTGAAGGCTTTTTTCTCATTTCAATCCAAATCCGAGACGTGCCTGCAGAGTTTGGTTCATTTTTTCGGAAAAAAAAACAAGTGCAAACTCGAAACGCATCAATCTTTTGTGGCCTTCTATCAAACGAATCTCAAGACAGCTGATGTTGGTCTCTCATCTCATTTCTCTTCGTCCCGATCAAATTGTGCATCAGATCAACTATCAAGTCTTCAATTTTTGTCTCCAAATGTGTTTTTGGCCCCATCAATCTCGTCCAAATGTTTCATTCGAGACACCTGACGTCATTTCTATCCCTTTTTCTCCGCGGATTGATCAAAAGTTTGCTCGGCTTTCAATTTAAATGCTCCAGAACCGTCTGAACGATTTCGCAATCGTTTTTTTTTGCCATTTTTAAGTGTAAAAGTAATTCCCACAAGCTGGCTCCCCGGGTGGGAGCTCTCGGCTCAGGCACCATGTGTCGTCGATTTTCGGCACACAAAAAGTGATGAGAAAAGGTTTTGAATTACTTTTTCTTCTTCTTCTTCTCTCTCTCTCTCTCTCTCTCTCTCTTTCTGCTCTGATCGGAGCACATTCATATTTTCCGGGCTCACCGCCTCCGCCGTTTGTGCATTCTTTTTCTGTATTATTACACTTTTCCTTCTTCTTCTTCTTCTTCTTCTTCTTCTTCTTCTCTCGGGGGCAGAAGGAAGAGAGAGAGAGAGCGAGAAGAAGTGAAAGAAAACACGTCAAACTTTGGTTTTAGTTTTCAGTTCCACCCATCCTTCCTTCCTGCCATTCGAGCCGCGGAGCCGCGGAGCTCCGAGCTTGCTATTTGATGTTCTTCAAAGTTTTACCCCCTCTTCCCACGCGTTTCCAGGCCTCCAGGATTACTGTAGCCTTACAATACTCTCTCCTCTCAGTATCCTAATCCAAAACTCATCGCAGTTCTTCTCCGTCGTCTTAGAACTGCTTCTGATTGTCTAGCTACCGTAATCCTCCTCCCAGGTACCGTAACTCAATTCCAAAATCACCTACAGTAATCCATGTGCCACTAGACTCTACTCTTTCTCTCTTTGCTCCCATCCCCATCCAATTCTATCCGATCCTCCTCCTCGATAACTGCTTCCAGATGCTCTTTTTCTCATTTTTCCGTCATTCCAGGTCAATTTCACCCCTCGCCATTTCAAAATGCTGATTGACGACGAACAAGAGGTCCGTTACGGCGGAGCTCAGGCCGACGACGCCGGAGATGTAAGTGATGCGGGTCGGAGTGAAGAACTTCACACGAATGATAATAATTGTATAGGACGCGGCGCGGAAGGCGCAGGAGCGTGAGCTCAAAAAGGCCGAAGTGCGTAAGCGAATGGAGGAGGCGGCGAAGAAGGGCAGCAAGAAGAAGGGATTTCTGACGCCCGAGAGAAAGAAGAAGCTCAGGGTGAGTCAGGGGTGTTCAAAAAAACTCAAAAAACTCCCCCCCCCCCGTTTCCAGAAGCTGCTCATGATGAAAGCGGCAGAGGATCTGAAGCAGCAGCAGATGCTCAAAGAGCAGGAGCGTCAGAAGACTCTTCAGCAGCGAATCATCTCGCTGCCCGACGTGGATGCGATCAACGATACCGGCAAACTGCTGCAGATCTACGAGGACATTTTCGCGCGAGTCTGCGCTCTCGAGGAGGAGAAGTTCGACATCAACTTTGCCGTTCAGCAGACCGAGGCCGAGATCAATCAGTTGACCATTCAGGTCAACGATTTGAGAGGAAAATTGTACGTTTCGTTTTGGGGTAGTGTGTGTGAGGGCGTACTCATAGGGCTACTGTTTCAGTGTGAAGCCGTCGCTCAAGAAGGTCTCCAAGTACGACAACAAGTTCAAGTCTTCCGGAGAGGGAAAGGTAATACGGTCGAATTTGGATACGAAAAGGATTACAGTAACCCATTTGCAGGAAAAGTCCAACTTCCGCACCAACCTCAAAGTGGTGAAGAAGGAGACGGATCTCGACGAGATCCTCGCCAAGAAGAAGGGTCAGACCGGCGACGGAAAGCCCGAGTGGTCGAAGAAGGACCAGAAGAAGGAGGAGGAGGCTGCTCCGGCCGAGGAGGCCTCTGTGGCCGAACCGGCGCCGGCCGAAGAGCCCGCCGCGGCCGACGACACCGCCGAGCAGGAAGAGGAAGAGGAGGAGGAGGAGGAGGAGGAGTAGACACCCCTAGGACACATTCGGACGACGCGCACAAAAAAAAGAAATTATGACTTTGATTATACGCTTTTACATGCTTTTTCTTTGCTTTTCTCGCCACATAAACTTGTAATTTGCTTCTAGACTCAAAATGCGTCAAGGCACCGAAAGTGCGTCACAAACTCTGAAAACCTTTCTTCTGGATTCCAATTTTAGAAAAAAAAAGAAAGCACTGGAAGTGCGCCAACGCACCGTTTCGGCGCCAGAGCACCTCTTTGCTGACGTCGTCGCAGAGCTCGATGTGTTCGGCGCTCCACCACCGTTCGCCGAGAAACACGGTGAAATTCTCGTTCAAATCGTCCAACGCCCACATCAAAATGTGATTTCCCGAGTTGAGCAGGACCGTCACAAGGGCGACGGTCACCAGAAAACACGAGAAACAACACGAGACCATCCTGCAAATATTTTGGCGGGAAAATGACGAAAAATGGGATGACGTGCGAACAATTCTCTTCGAAATTCCAGCAAAAGTAGCACAGTTTTCAGTTTTCTCGGAGCAACGCTGATCAAAAAGTGAATCAAATGAAACAAGGGCGAAAAAGACACTTACAAGCAGGGGGGAAAAACAAAAAAAAAAGACGTGGGCTGGTGGGAGAACAAAATCGGGGAAGGCCACAAAAAATTGACGCGTTGGCAGCAGTGGGAAAACGGTGACCGGGCCATTTTTGCGACGCAAAACTGCGTTTGTATTTAAATTCGTTTGCGTGGGAGGGTAGCGGTCACTTTGCAACCACCATCGGACTTTTCGCAACCGAAACATGTTTTGTAAGAGTCGTTTCGCAACCAGTCTAGTTGCAAAGTGTCCGTTCAAATGAAAAAAGTTTATAATAGCTAGAAACAAGGATATGAGTTCAAAGGACCTATTCCTGATCGCCCTCCTGAGGCGAAGCTGGATCCAGAGCCGGAGCATCAACTATCGGCGCCGGTGTCTGAGCTGCTGGTTCTTGTGGTTGAGCCTCTGGGTCCGCTTGAACCAAAAGTGGTCCCGGTGGTCCCGGTGGTCCCGGTGGCATGGCAAAGACGTACTGAAAACTGAAAACTGTCACCTTTCCGCTCACTGTTTTTACCTGAATTTGAGGACTGGCACTGGAGCTGCTCGTTCCGCTCTTCCTCTTCTTCTTTCCCTTGGACCCACTTGTCGTGGTCCCAGTGGTTGAGTGAACCTGCGGGGTCGGTGGTCCCTGCTCGATCGAGTTGATATTGTCGTCTCCCTGCTGCATCATCTGCACTTCCTTCTTCTGTTTCTTCTGATGGTCGTGGTAGAATGCGGCGGCTCCCGACAGACATACACAAGAGCAAATTGCAAATACTCCAAGTACAAGAATCACGTATCCGATCGTCAGATCCGTTTCGGTAGTGGTCTCTGGAGGTGGTGGAACTTCCGGTGGCAGGTCCCGGGCGGCAAAAAATCCTGCTATCGCTCCGGCAACAATATCAGCCTGAAATGCACAACTTTTTAGAAAGAACTGGATCAATCGCTTATTCAAAACAAGAACGTTCACTCAATGCGATATATCCCGGCCACGGGTGGAGATATCAAAAAGTTGTCAACTGAGAAAATGTGTAAAATGTGTTTCTAAGCAATTGTCTAGTTGAACACGTTTCGATATCTCTGCGAGCAGCTGAGTTACAGTTCAACAACTCACCATGCCGATCCGAAGATTGTTCTTCTCAAGACTGACCCATGAACTTGTTGTTCTGACGTTGGAAAGAATACCTGGCCGGGGCACGAAATGGTCAGGTTTTTTTACGGAAAAAAGTGAATTGAAACAAGTTTCTAGTAGCAGAATCAAGTTTTTTAAAAAAGTATCACCAGAAGAACAAGAAGGAACCGCAGATGATCACAGTCAGTTCGGATGGGACCACTGGGACCAAGGACAAGAAGAAGAAGAAGAAGAAGATGGGGAAATGTTTTGAAGTTGATCAAAACCTTCAGTTCCAGAAATTCCAGCCAAAGAATTCACTTAATTCTGTTATAATAAACTTATTGTTGCAATGCATTTATTAAAAAACAAGGGAAGATTAAAGAAGAAAAAGAAAAGGAGAAACGAGTTGAAAGTGGCTCTTCGAGGATCGGAGGAATGGCTCGAGAGCAGAAGTTCTCTACTATGTCGTGTGCTTTCTCTTCTTCTGGGCCCTCTTCCTCTTCATCTTGGTCCCAGTGGTTGTACTACCGGATTCTGGATAGTTCCCTCGCCAAGGCCCGCCTCTCGCATAGCCCGTCTCCATCGAGTTCGTCCGTTCGTTCTCCCTCAACATCTCCATCTCCTTCTTCTGCTTCTGATGATAACAGAAGAACGCGGCCGCTCCCGAAGCGCATATCGATGCGAGAATGAGCACAAAAATGAGGGCGAGCAGGATGTAGCCGATCGTCAGATCCCGTTCCGTCGTGGTCGGCGGAGGTGGCGGCGGTGTCGGCGGAGGCGGTGGAATTCCCGGTGGCGGAGGCGGTGGCGGAGGCGGAGGCGGCGGCGGAAGTGGCGGAGGAGGCGGTGGCGGCCTGAGCAAACTGACCAACGTGCTGGCAATCGTGGGAATGAGCGGTCCGAGGAACTGAAACGGAATGCGTGATACTATTTCAAAGTGAACATAGCAGATTCGGAGACTTACAGACATCGATGAGTCTTGTGTGGATATTGATGATTTCCGCCTGTCAAACGTTTCGTTGACCTTTCGAGGATAAGGCTGGAGGATCAAGGGCAGATCAGGGCTAGGTTTACAAGACGTGAACACTTTACATGGACATTTTGCAACCGGTATCTTCGTCTTCAAAAATGATTGCGACGTTTTGCAACTTCTGGACACTCTGAACACGTTGCAAGACGTCGGAGAACCGGAATGAGCTCGAAAAAGTGATTCAACCGATGTTACACAACCGTTGACTTGGTTGCAAAACGGGCCAACTTCAGATCTCAGAAAAATAGTTTATTACAATGGAAAAAAATCAAAAACGAGTTCAGGAGTGTCTCCAACTGCTCTGATCATTGAGGGGTAGCCGGCGGAGGTGGGAAATCGATAGGAGCGGGAGCCGGAACCATTTCCATCGGAAGAACGACTGGATCCATTGGTTGAGGTGGTTGATCCACTGGGACCGAGACCGGAACCGCCTGAGGAGGAGTCACTGGAGGGACGAAAACGCCAGGATTAGCCGGAGAAAGGGTTGGAGCTGGTGGAACTAGCGGGTTTAAAGCGACTGGGACATGTTGAGGTGGTGCTAGTGATGCTGGTGGAAATTGAGTTGGATCCAGAGGGATCGGGACCAGTTGAGGTGGTTGAGGAGGTGGAGCCACTGGGACCACTTCAGGAGCAGCCGGAACCGGCAATCCCTTCTCCGAGCTCTCCGACTTTCTGCTCTTCTTCGCCTTCTTCGCCTTCTTCTTCTTATCCTTTTTCTTGTTCTTCCTCATCTTGGTTCCAGTGGTTCCAGTGGTTCCAGTGGTCCCAGTAGTTCTTCTAGTGGTCCCAGTAGTTCCGGTGGTCCCAGTGGTTCCCGACATGGTCGTGCTTCGTCCCGTCGTCATTCCGTACATCTCCGACTCTCTCATGAAGCCCTCTTCTTCCCGCCTACGCTCCTCCGACTCTTGCTTCTGCTTCTGCTTCATCCAGAAGAACGCGGCGCCACCGGACGCACAGATCGAAAAACACAGCATTGCGAAGGCGCCGAAGAAAATGACGGTCGGCAGGGTCATGTCTTGGGTGGTCGTCGGTGGCGGAGGCGGTAAAGTGGGAGCGGGTAGGGGTGGTTGGCCTGGGATCGTCGGTGGAGTCGGCGGAAGTGTCGGCGGAAGTGTCGGGGGCGGCGGATCCGGGTTGACCCACTTGCCGATCAGCTGGATTCCCGTCTGGATCAGAGGCATGAACGCGGTCACCCACTCCTGAAATGAGAAGTTTGGTTGGTTGGGGAAATCCGCAAAAGTTTCGCAAAAAAAGCCGAATAGCAGACAGCTTGAGCCGGTTGCAAAGTGTCATTCAACTCACCATGCCGATCGAAGTATTGTTCCTGCTTTTGGAGCCGAAGTGAACTTGAAGACTGAAATTTCTTGTAGTTCCGGTAAAATCGGAGCATAAAGTGTACAGGGCGAGGACAGGTCGGGTCGAACGTTCGGAGCATTGTACTGCCAACTGAAAGTTACAACTTTTTCAAAAAATTTCACAAGTTCGACTCATACTGAGGTTCTGAACACTTTGCCATCTAGAAAATTGCTTTTTTGGAATTTTGTTGCTTGTCATGGACGTTTCGCAACCACCATGAACACTTTGCAACCATAATCAGAACCTGGAATCAGTTGCAAAGCGTCCCGAAACAAATACCTATTTATTACATCTCTAAATCAATAACTGTAGTTTATTTCCCAGGTTTTCAGCATGTTTGAGGCAATTTTTATCACGATTTGTGACATTGATGACAAAAATGACACAGATATGCACTTTTTGAGCTGAAAACAATGAAAATCGGTTAAAATGCGAACTAATACGTTTTTCGGGCTGGGTACGGGGCAGGCGAAGACGTAAATATTACATGCACGTTTTTTTCTCGGCAACTTTTGTGAACAGAACGTTTATTCTAGCAAAATAAGTACAAACAAGTTGAAATTGGAATGCAAAGGTTGTTTTTGTTGGTCTCCAAAGTTTTCATCGTTGTTTATCAAAATTTACCATGGATTTCCGATTTTTCGTTGTGCGACAGACACAGATCGGCTAATTGACGGCTTCGTGCTCTGCTCTTGTCACAATCTTAATTTTTTGAATGCTCCTATCCTTCTCTTCCCTTATTACTGCTCCTGTCGCTCGGTGAGGTATCTGAAACGTTTCTCGGAGAGTAAACATAAAGTTTCAACGACAACTGACCGCAATTAGACTTCGTTCTTTCGGTTTTCGAGTATTACGCCTTTTTCGTGTTGTCGGAATAGCGTCTTTTGCGTTTCTGAGCTGAAAGAAGGATGAATTAACGAATAGATACTGAAAAAATCAAGTTTATTACGAGGAAATTATTTTTTCGGGTAAGAAAACTGAAAAAAAGACTGCAAAACCTTGAAAATCGCAGGTTTCTGCATAAAATTGGAGGTCCGGCGGACACCCGCCGGTTTTTGAAGCATCGTACTGCACCTTGTTTAGCAGAAAGTGGCATTTGCTGGGTTTTTACAAGGATTTCAATAAAAATGAGAGGAGAATTAATGTAATAGAGCCTGAAAGCATAAAAATGAATGAATGGGATACAAGGCTGCTTCTTCAGAATCCCCATAAAATTTATTCAGCTTCTTCACGGCGAAATCTCTCTCTGTTTGAACATAACATGGTTCTCCGATTCCCTCCCCATCAGAATTTTATAACGCCATCGTCGGATGCTCGAAGAGCAGTCTCTCCAAGCGTCACAGGCACGCCACCACCGGACGACATTTCGATGCGTGGAGTCGGCGAGAGAGACGAAAACAAGAACGCGCAAATTAATAGTAAGTGACCAACAATTTTGTGTTGGCCTGTGTCAAACCTGGGTGAAGGTTAGAAGGTTTTCAGATTTTAGGAACGGGACCGGGTCACCTTCAATGAAACGGATTTGAGGAGTCGATAAAGAATATTGTGCAATTGTGACACTACGAATTTCAATTCAAAAAGGCACTCAATCAATCGATTGATCGCCATGTTTCCCGTGAGTTTCGCAGCTGATCCGATCGGATCGGACCCAAACTTGGCAAGCTTCTTGGGCTTGGATTGAAGTATTTTGGGGATCGGATCGTTCTGAAACTTGGACCCAAAACACTTGAATCCAAGTCCAAGACGCCTGCACAGTTTGAGTACGATCCGATAATTGCGAGTGGGGGGGTAAAACGTTCTTCGAAAAGCAACTTTCAGTTCATGGCCCTTCTGCCGCTGATCCCCGTGGCGGCCCAGTTCATCCAAGGCTTTTTCGCTCCGCAGCCTGTTCCGCCGCCGGAACCGACGCCTCCACCACTGACAACCGCCCCACCGCCCGGAGAAACCCTTCCGCCACCGCCTCCTCCGACTCTGCCGCCGCCGCCGTCCACGAGCACCGAACCGACCATCGGATACGCTATCCTATTAGCCTTCTTCGCTCTGATTTGCATTTCGTGCTCGGCCGCCGGCGCCTTCGTGTTGTATTGGCAGAAAAAGAAGCAGGAACGGCAGATGCAGATGAGGGACCAGGAGGCGATGGATCAGACTTTGGAGCAGGGACTCTCGGGGATGTCAGGCGTGAGTGGAATGAGCGGAACCACTGGGACCACAGGTCAGAACTTGTTTTGATCCATTTATCCGCTTGGGATCAAAAAAAAATCGTTTAGGAACCACTAGAGGAACCACTTCAAGAGGCACAACCAAAGGGACCACCACCTCGGGCACCACTGGGACCAAGGCAAAGAAGAACAAGAAGAAGAAGAAGGAGAAGAAGGAGAAGAAGGCGAAGAAGAACAAGAAGGAGTCGGTTGCTGATGTTCCCGCTCCTTCTCCCTCTCTTCCTCCACCCGGTACCCCACAGTTGGAGGTTTCCGCCGGCCCCCCGGCGCTGTCCCCCACTGGACCACCACCTTTGGTTCCGAATGGTTTAGCTCCGGCTCCGGTTCCAGTTCCAGTAGCTCCGGTCCCTCAACCACCGGTCCCTGTCGAACAAGCGCCACCACCAGCGCCACAATTCCAAGAGATGGTCCCAGCGGTTCCTGCCGAAGTTCCAGTGATCCCACCGGCCCCAATGATTTTCGATCCGTCTCTGGCTCCGCCACCAATGGTTCCGATTCCGATTCCACCGCCGAATGAGGCTCAATTCGAGTCGGTTTCAATGATCCCAGTTGATCAGACGGCACAACTTGAAGCTCCGCCCCTTCTGCCGCCGCAATGATCGGATCCGAAGGACGAAAGAAGAAATCCAACTCGTGTGCCCAATTTTTCGCTTTTTTTGTAGTGTTTCTGTTGTTTTTCTAATAAAAAACAAAACTCTTGAAAACTCGCCCGTCTAGTCGTGCAAACGTTTCGTGTTTTGCGTTGTGCGCGCGCACTGTCTCCCCTGCTGAGAATGTTAAATTACGCGCCGGCGCAAGAACGGAGCGTCGTAACAAGATTGCATCATTTCGCGCGATCGGGTCTCGCCGCACTTGCTCCTTTTTATTTTGAATAATCTGGAAATTCTCACTGAATTTCTATTCGTTTCGTTTTGTCTTTTTCAACATCTTTCAGAGCAAAAGTCGAGGTCAGTTTGAGTGAACTCCAAATGCTTCCCCGAAAAAACGTTGCTCTAGGTTTCGCCGAAGACTGCGAAAGAGCACGGTCTCCCAGGGCGCTAACAGTGCGCTCGTAAATTGCGGAGTGTCGTTGTAACTTTTGAAAATTTGCAGGTCTAAAAATGCAGTTCAATTCGAGTCCACGACCTTTATTTCTTTCTTTTTGACTTGAAAAACGTCTAGAAAACAATATTTTACTGATTGGAAACCGTTCTTTACAGAATTTAGAGTTTTTCATGTTTTTAGCGTCTTTTTCGCATTTCGTCAAAACTTCAAACCTTTATATTTCAGCTCATTTTGCATTTCATGAGCCCAACGAGCGATAAAAATGTTCTCTGAATTTTTCTTCACAAAATTCAGGTTCCAGCGGTTAGTTTTCTTGAGCAGTTTTCGAAAACTATTCGAAAAACATCAAAATCCTGGCCAAAACCTTTAAATCGAAATAACTCGGCTAATTCTCAGCGATATGTGAGCTTTCTGTTACCAAAACGTAGCTAGTGCTCTAATTATTCGGATCCAGGCTCCAGGTTATACTTTTCCATTCTTACTGACCTTTTCATTAAGAATATTGCAATTATCGATACCCAGGTTTTCTCTGAAAAATGATTGAAGTTGAAGAAGAGCATGCAAAAGATGAAACTATCGACGAACACGCTTTTAAATGCGCTTTTAAAAGTAAAGTAACCGGCAGCACGCGAAAAGTTGCATTTTCGGGCGAAAACAGGTCATTCTGCAACAAAAAAGACTCTTTTTGTACAGAAATTCGATTGAGTTCATCAATAATTTCGGCCGCCATTTCGGTTATCAGCTGCTTATCAACAAACGCGCCCGCCGCCCTTCGCTGATAAGTTTGTACTTGGGGTTTGAGCACAAAAAAGCGAGTTTTCGGTTTCGACTCCCCGACGCCAACTTCCGATTTTCGTTAATTTTCCCGTCCAATCTTATGAACTTTATCGATTTCCGCGCTTCTTCACGTTTTTCCAGCTCGAAAACGCGTCGAACATTGATTTTTCAGAACAGTGCGTCGGCGCCTACGAGCGATCCGTGAGAAGCCGTCAAAATTGAATTTTTAATGGATTCGCACGATTTCCCGCATTTCCACTATACAAGTGTGAGTTCTTTGCACATTTTCTCCACTAATTTCCTGACAAATCTTCGATTTTCCGCCCGAAAAACTTGCGAGTGATTTTTGCTCAAAAACAAGGCGAATAAAAAGATGAGTGATTTGCGGATGCGAATTGAAATTCGCTCGAAAAGGAGACGTTTTGCAGATGCCCTCGAGCAGTACTTCAAAGGAATCAACGAGGACGACGTCGGCACGTCTTCAAAAGAAGATTTCCAGAAGACACACCACCGCCTCGGCCTTCCCGTTTCCAATTCACATTCCCGAAACGTCGACGCCCAAGGAACTTGTGCGAGGTATTCCCGTGCGATCACGTTCGCAATCTGAAGTAATTTTCCGCTGAAAATGTGGCTTAACTTTTCAAACTCGGCCCCGAGGTCATTGCAATTTAAATTTTTTCCACTGCAAAAATAGTTTCTCAATAGAGCGCGATTGCGCCGCCATAATATTTTGCCTGCCAAATTGCTAAAAACAGCAATTTATTTGTGTAAGAATGGCCGATGCATCATCAAGTCTTCTGGCTCCAAACAAAAACACAAATTTCTCAGACATATCGTCGTGCTCGCTGAACTCGTCGCTAATTGAAGACGATCTCATGTGGAGGTTTGTTCATTTATTCATTTGTCATTCCCCCCGTCAAATTCCCATTTGTTTTCCCCGTCCGATCCTATCCGACCGCACGTGCCAAACCAGGAAAAAAAACTACGAAAATTTGTTTTTCGCCACATTTTTCACCGAACATTTGTATTTTTCTGGTTACTGTGAGTGTTTTCGCCTTCAGATTTTATGCGACTGACATGTGACGTATTGGATTTGCGATGCTTTGACTTTTAGCTAAAAACGCTAAATTTTTTTCCCATTTTATCCCATCTCCCATTCGAATTCTCCATTTTTCTTGCCTCCAAATATCCCTCCTCTAAAATTCAATTATCCGCCCCGTCGGATACTCTTTTTTCGCCGAATTGTCGTCGGTGAGCTGTTTTTTCTCCATAAAACCACTAAAGAGGATGTTCTTAACAATAAGAAAAATCCTGATGAGCGCTTTGCACAGAACAATGTTAAAATATAAATGGGCCGAGAAGGCCGGTTTAAAATAACTTTACAACACGAAAAATGTCGATATTTCCTTTCCGTCTCCCTCTTTTTATCCCTCTCCGCCCCAAATTAATTCAGTTTCTTTGCGTTTTCGTGTAGCGAGAAATGATGATGATAGGTCCCCTCGCTTCTTTCGCGTCTTCAAATAGATTAATCCAATTCATCATCATCACGATATATTTCCTTTCTATTTTTAGCGTTTTCCCACCAATTTGTACCTTGAAAAACGTGGCCGAATGACGCATTTTCAACGCTGAAATTGTCTGGGAAAAGGAGAATCCAGGAAGTTTAGTGGTTTTCGAAAAACAAGAGAAATTCTCGGTTGGAATCCCCTGGAGACTGTTTGTTTGAGGCCACGCACTCCAAATTTCGGATGAGGGTACATTAAAGTCCGCGTTTTTTTTTTGCAATTTGAAGTGCCTTCTGGAGGCCAGCAGCTCACCGAGCAACCGAATTGATTGTTTGAAGCATTTTTTTCGCTAACAAATTGTAAGCAATTTCTCAATCAACGCCAACCGAATCGCTCGCCCAAGGGAAACTTGCTGCAAATTTTGTGCTTCACGACTTTGTAATTCATCATCTAAATGCATTTTATTCCAAAATCCGTCAGTCAGTCTTGAGTTATCTTCTACAGGCGCCTCGTTTAAATTTGAATTTCTCATCATCTCCCCTTGACTCAAAAACACGCACGTGTGTATGTGTCTGCGTGAGAACATGTTGGTGTCTCGCAAAAAATTGTCCTCTTCCTCGGCGCCAATCGGGAAAAATTTGGCGAAGCGCGCAGAGAAATGCCTCCATTTTGGCTCTCTTTTTCGCCTCCGGTGTAGCACCTTTGAAAAGTGGCTAATTTTAAGGCGGAAATTTGCATTTCCGCTCTAGAAATTACGTCTGCTAGCTAATTTTAGAGGAGAACGTGATGTTTGACGCCGATTTTTGGCCCAAAAGTTGATTGCACTTTTCGATTCGGTTTCGATGCTAAAAACCCGTAAGCTTTACGTTTCTCAATTTTCCCCAAAAATGTCATTTGGGAATCCGTCGTCGGACTAATGAAAATTTTCCATCAAAGTGAGCTGAAATGCAGTGAGGCGAGCCGTTTATAATTAGGAATCCGTCGATGCGAGTGAAAGAGAGAATTTAATAAAAGTTTGTCGCCTTTTCGCCTTGTCGACTGAAATTTGCAAGTTGGAAAATGTTTGGTGATCAGGGCGAGACGTCCGAAGAGCAAGATAGGCTTGAGAAGAATAATGTAACTCACTCCTACAAGAAGCATGAAATCCCCGTAGCATTCCGCTCGTAAACGGATCGTCCAATCGATCGTTTGATGATTGAAAAAGAGTTAAAAATAGACAATTTTCTGATGGAGGCCAAGGTACTGATTCAGTTCACTTGATTTTTTGAAAATGAGTTCATTGTGTTGTAAACTTACAAAGAGACACAAAAAGCACGCATGAGCGGCCATTTTTCAAAAAAAAAAAACTATTTTTCCAGAGACCCCTAGAATTGTTTGCGAGTTTCTTGTTGCTCTTTGCTAGTTTTGATCATAATGAACGCATTCACGAAGAGAATGAGTTGAGTAAGATGAATCAGCATTCTTCGAACATCACGCATTTAAAGTCCCTAACACGCTGCATATGAGCCTTCCTGGACGACTGCCGTGCGACCATGTTTTGATACCAAAAGTAAACAGACAAGAAACAAGAAACCTCCGCGAGACCCCAAAAAGAAATCACCGTGTGTCGCGCCGCGAATCGGCGCCCATCTCTGATATAAACCTAATTTTAAAAAAAAACGTATTCCGATGGTTTCATCCGCAATGACATTTTTGATCCAAAAAGCCAAAAATAAGCCAAGACATTTTTGAAAAAGGCAATTCATGTGAAAGCTCGGATGTTTCGAGTGTTGCTCCTCGCGCCGAGCCGGAGGCCCCCGCTTTCATTCTAAACGTAGCCGTTGTCTGAGTGTCTGCGTCTTTGCGTGAAGCCCTCTTTCTGTGTCTTTCTTCTGCGAAAGACATGTTCACACGTCTTCCTCCTCCTTTTCCGTATTTCTACCCCCGCAGCTCTTTCGCTCTCTTTTGCCGTCTTTTTGGCGGCTTTACACCTGAAAATTGCACACTTGTTGCCAGTTTCACACAGAAATGTCAATTTGTGGCCTAAAAGGACACTCTTGTTTTAAAGATTTGAGCCGAAAAACCAATTTGACAAATTGGAAAGCAGTTTTCCAATTTCTATAAGCCAATCGGCGAAAGTGCATTGCTCTCCATTTGATTTCCGTTTATTTTTGGCTTCTCCAGACTTTTTTGATACTATAATTAATTCTGGGTGCGGATTAGTTTGAGGATTTGCAATCGGATGACTATCGACCAATCCAATCATGTTCCGCTGATAACTTCCCTCTTTTTTTTTGCGCGCGCGAGGATTATCCGAAAAGCGTTCTGGACTTTGAGCACACTTTCTTTTTTTTTTTTTTGCAGAGAAAGTGACCTTTTGTAAGCGGACTTTTAAGAGCTTTTCTGAAAATCTGTTGCTAAACAACCGCGCTTCACTGCACTCTGTCTGCACTTGGCGTTTTGCATTTTTGCTGAAATTCCATGTTGTGTCTTTTTTCGACGATGATTCTTCGGTAAATGTCTCAAGTTTTGAATAAAAAACTGCCCTTATTCTACGTCATTTCCTCGCTCGTCAACCACTTTTTTGGGTGTGCATTGTCGTGTCTGAAATTCGATCCACCTCTCCGTTTTCTCTTTGCTTTTTCGGTCGGTCGCTTTTTCTCGAATTTTCAGTAGGCGTTTCGCGAAAATTGTCCACTTTTTCGGCCTGTCCAGCCGCGTCAAATTTAATTGGAAAAACACGTTGACAATTTTGTTGGCTATTTGTAGCGGTTGCCAGAAATCGGTCGATGAAGAGGCGACAAAAATTATAAATTCCACGTTTCCTCCTTCCGTCATTTTTTTTTTGGTGGGGAAAACGCGCACCGAGATTTGTGAATATTTCATTAGGTTCGCACGCATTTTTCTCTATTTCTCCGTGAAAGATTAGGGGCATTTTTGCTGTGTTTTGAGTGCTTCACAAGTTGTCGCTTTTTTCTCCGCTTCGGCCCAGGCTTTTCGGAGGCCTGGACTATTGACCCACTTGCAATTATCCGATCGGGCCGAAACTTTCAATCCAAGTCCAAGAAGCCTTCAAAGTTTGGGTCCGACTCGATTGTTGCAAGTGGGTCAAAAGTCCAGGCCTCAAAACGCCTTCGAAAAGCCTGGGCCCTCAAATTCGGCGTTGTTTTTTCTCCGCGTCACAATTCGAATGCATCAATAAATTCGGCTGTCTATTCCCCGTCCAGATGCCCTTTGTCTTCCCAATTTCCTCGTTTTAAAACGTTCGTTTCCACCCATAAAACACACCTTTTCGCACAGGAAAACTTACGTCACAAAAGACACTTTTCTCTCTGCTATTTTTTTTGGCCGTCGACTCGTTTTTTCCCCGTCGAATTCAATTTCGACAGCCCCGCTTTTCCTTTTTTTTTTTATCTTGAGAAGATCCTAGGGACACATTTTTTTCTGTTAAATTTTTGGTAAAACCAGGCTGGGCCGTGTGCGGGTCAAAAGTGCAGGCCTCAAAAAGCCTTGACCGGTTTTGTTTACTCTGGCGAATTTTTGAAGGGCGATAATGATGCGCACATTAGTTTTTGGCGAACGTGTGTGTTCTCCGCCTTCTTTGTTCGTTTCCCATCGGTTTTTAGTTATCCAAATACAGAATTGGTGGCCTACAAGTTTTTCGCGAACATTTTGAAAGTTTGAATGTCATTTTTGTTTGAACCGCTAAAAACGCTAAAATTGTTTTCGACTGCACTTTTTCGCGCCTAAATCCACCAGGACACCACGTAAATGTCACCTGCTCACTTTTCGTCGTTTTCCACCAATAGGCAGGCCTCTCGCTGACACAAGTTGCTCAATGAGCCGTCCACTTTTTTTTTCTCTCGGCCTGGAGAATTCCTATATATAATAGTTGTGCTCAGACCGGAAACGAAAATGTCGAAATGGCTCAGAAAATGATTATTATTACAAATTCCCGCTTTTTGTCGCTCCTCCTCCTCCTCCTCCTCTTTGAAATTGACGATCATCGGCGGGACGCGCTTTTCGTTTTGTTTGTTTGTTCAGGCGTCTATGGCTCCTGGAGCTCGCGGAGCTCGAGCTTTTTGCTCTTTTGAAACTGCTCTGGAATAATTCTCAAAAGCTCGACGCTTTTCCAATGTTTTACCCCCCAAAAAGAAAGACTATTCCTGAACGAAAAACTATCGCTTCTAATCTATCCTCTTTAGACGTTTTTGAATGTTCAGCAAAAACGATGTTTCTTTTTTCTATTCGCTAATTTTTTCACAAATTTCTAGGCGAGGAAACGAGGAGACGCTAGTAGCAGTTGGTTCGGATGAGAAAGAGGATCGGAAGCAGAAGAAGGGCGTAGATGATCAGAAGCGAGGCAGTGACTCCCCGCTCCACTCGTGCTCGAATTCGTCCGCCTCGACAGTCGTCTACAATCCGACGCCGCCCTCGACGGCCGATCACTTCTATCAGCAGAGACCGCTCGAGTTGCCCACGCTTCTCGTCACTTCCTCTCCCTCCACCGTCTTTGATTCTGGTAAGAGAGATTGGTTGTTTTATAACTAGAATATTAATTAAGTGTTCTTTTTTCGTCCTTTTCATAGATGTTTTGCACATAACGTTTTGGCGATAACCTTCCCCTGAGTTTTTTTAAAACCAATCGCCGAAACGTTGGATGTGCCCCAAACATCGATGAAAGGGTCCAAAAAGGAACACGACTCTCCACGCTCACAAACTTAATGCAAAACACGTATTCAAAAAGAAGCAAAAATCGTTTTGAATACACTTAGTGCATTTCAGACGGATCGCTGTTCTCGTTCAACGTCAATCGTCACTTTGACTCGTCGAGCAGCTCAATAATGAGCGGGCTCACTTTTCAGGTAAATGTAGACATTCGAATCGAATTTGGCAGCGTTGCCAAAGGCCCGGCCTCCAAAACAGTTGTGATTGAAGTGGAGAAGAAGCTGTAAAAGTTATTCGGAGAGAAAAACGATTGTTTCGTCACAAACTAACACGAAAATCGCAGAATCCGTGTCCTTTTGTTGATGGCCGGGCCTTTTGCAACGCTGCCAGATTCGATTTCGAACTGTTTTTTGTTGTTAACAATTGTTTCAACTGTTGTCATTTTTGCCCCCATTTTCAGCTCCAATCTGGAATTCACAAAAAGGCGATTTCGGTGGAAGCGAACGAGATTGCGCTTCGCGATTTGCGCAATGAGGCATTTCAGTTTATCAAGGAAATTGTGAGTTTTGGGCCGGCCGAATAGCCTTTGAAAGTCGGGTGCAGGCGTCTGTTCGTCTCCGATGAACACGCGAAGGCGAACTGACCGTCCGCCTGAAACTGAAGGCGGAAGGCATGGGTTTGTGAATGGAACAATTCAGACGGCGTGCGGTCAGCCTAGCCTAAAATTAAAAATGTTCATCTTCTCGTCAAAAACAATTGTTTACAGTACCCGGAGCGTGGATGTGAATCGTTGCGAGACCACATTCTACTGTACAAGCACGATTTGCGATCGATCAATATACTGCAACTGATCAGCACCGCGTCGGATGTGACGGACGGCACACTTGTCGAAGTGGTCATCGGATGTAAGCTTTTTGCGATTTTCCACAAAAATGTACAATATATGATCAGGTCTCAGTCAGTTACACGTCAATTCCAACGCATCCTTAAAGAGATTACAGACTTTTCAGATGTTCCGCCATTTCTTCTGTTAACTCTTGAACACAAGTCTGTTGTTTGGTTTCCTGTTCCTTTCCACTGATTTTCATAGTTGTTTTCTCTATATTTCCACTACGAAATTTTTGTGGGAGATATTTATACCATGATGTTACCATTACCATCGAATAGAGCGTAAAAGTTACACCATTGTTAGCAAAAGGAACTTTTAGGGCCACATTTGAGGCCTCAACGGACTTCGCTCCGCTTTTTCCGCTGTTCCCATCCCAAAAACCGTTTATTCTTTAAAATTTTGTAAACTGAAGAGGTTGTAAAGCGCCCCCTCGGCCCAATTATGGGCGCTCCGTCTAGGTAGGGGCGCCTTGTTGCCAACAATACATGTGGTAGTCATTGGTCCATGAAGATCTAACGGATCAAGTCCGCTGAGGCCTCAAATGTCGCCTTAAAAGTGGGTTTTGGGAACAATGATGTACTGGACTCTATTCCAAATTCCAAATGCTTCCGAATTTTTCAAATTTCCTCTACTCTTTTTTTTACTTTTTACCAATTGCAACACAAAAGCGAACTCTGAAAATGTTTTGTCTCAACGCTTCCGCTCAAAGCTGCCCGTTCCCATCCGTTGGCTGAAAAAGAGAAAAGAGAGACGGAGACGGGCGGACGAGCCGCTTTTTGTTGTGTTTTTGTTCCCTTTCTGCTCTTTTTCCCTCCATTCGTTCGATCCGCTCATGTTTCTAGCCCTCGCCCCTCAATTTACCGATCTCTTCTCTCCATTTTTTCTGCGAAATTGAGAAACTGATTTAGCCGTTCTATCCGATGGAGTCACTTTTTGCCCTCTCCTGCATAATCGGGTCAAATTCATACTGAGAATGCGCGAAAAGCTCTGATTTCTTCTTCTTCTTCTTCTTCTTCTTTCTCCTTCTCTTCTCCTTCTTCTTTTTCTTTTTCACTTTCGCAACACACACGCGAAAAGATGGAAAGTTGATGAAATTAGCATGATTTAGTGGGCACACTTTTCTATCGCGTACGCTCACAAATCCCCGGGCAGTCTAAGGACGACGACGACTCTTTCTTTCTTTCTTTTCGCGTTTTTGCCCCTTTCTAGATCAGTCCTTGCGAAAGTTCTACGTCTTCTGGAAAAAAATGAGGGATTTCCCAGTGATTTCCAGTGAAGGATGCTGCATTTTTCGCACTTTCAGCAGGGCTCGGCAAATTTCGGCGTGCGAGAGTCCGATCGGACCGAAACTTTGCAGGCTTCTTAGACTTGGATTCAAGTATATTGGGTCCGAGTTTCAGCCCGATCGGATTATTTACTGTCTAGATATAGTGCCTGAGGGCCAATGGTCTACATATCTCGGGACCAGATGATCTGATCGGTCTGAAACTCGGACCCGACATACTTTAATCCAATTCCAAGAAGCCTGCAAAGTTCGGGCCCGATCGGAATACTGGTTTTCGAATCTGTTCCTAAAGGATTTCTTTGAAAATCGCCTTCCTCTACTGTCGTTTCACACTTTTTTCGTGCGCTCGTCCGTTCGGTTCCGTGCAAGAGAAAGTAGGAGGGAAAGAAGAAGAAGAAGATGATGACGTAGAGCTCCCCCTCGCATACTCATCCACACACACACACACACACATACGGGATGAAGAAGAAGAAGAAGAAGAAGAAGAAGTAGGAGAAGTAGGAGAAGGAGAAGCAGTGGTGGATTATGTGACGATGTAGATGAAGAGCTCATCATCAGATTACGGGCCGACCAACTCTCGCCGCCCCGATCACTTTGTGTTTCTCGTGTTTTTTTTTCCGCTGTTGATGATAAGACGGAACATTCGGGATTTCTCTACATCTGGAACTTTTTCGGCGTTTCTAGAAGTTTCTAAAGTTGTTTTGACTGATGCCCTGATAATGAGAGCAATCAGGGGAGGGGGTTGAACGTTTTTCGGGCATTGCCAGTATTTTCAAAAATTACACCACTGTGCTATCGGTGATCCCGATCTCCGGCGCCTCTCTTATATCAGAAAAGGTTTCGCATGCCGAGACGTCAAAATCGGAAGCGATCTTTCGAACTCTAGCGGGTTTCCTTGTTCCGAACTTATTTTATTTTCCCCATTCGAAACTCTACGTTAAAACAAAACAAGGACACGTTTCTCATCTCTTTCTCTCTTTCCCTCTCTTCCAAATCTTGTTTATCATCTGAAGAAGAAGACGAAGCTCGGCGTTTTCATATTTTTTCAAAGTTTCTATTGGAAACTGCTCGGATGAGCGAAACTATGGCGATTTTTCGCAAAAATCTACATTTGACGCGTATTTTTTTTTGTTGACATTTCCAACTCGTTTTTAAGCCAATTTCGCCCGTCCGATAGTCTAGACCCAGCATGATCTTTTTTTGCGAGATCAAAACCAGGTTCACTTGATAATCTGTCTGCTCGGAAAAGAGTTCATTTTTGGTCTTTCGATCGATTTGGAAACGAAAAAGTGGAAGGAAAGAAGAAGGGAGGCGGATTATTATCATTATTGTATAATTGGAGATTTGGCATAATATTTGTGGTGGTGTGGCCAGAAATAGGCTTCCGAATTGGGCTCATCACTTGTCATTAGTCCATTTTAGGGGATTATAGTGTGTGCATGGCTCTTTTCCATAATTTCATGTTCCCATCAAAGTAACAATTCCCAAATTCTAGCCGGCTTTAAAGTTCTCAAGTCTTTTTCTAGTTTGAGGACACGCTTCTCTAGGTCTTTGTAAACGTTTCGAAATGAATTCTCCTCGAATTCGAACGCATCAAAACCTTGCCATGAACTTGTGTTTGGCTTTTTTCTAATCAGATCCTAGGCCTAGGCCTACCCACTTGCAATCTTCCGACCGATCGGATCGAGGCAAAAAAGTTGGGTAAAACCGACGGGCCTAAAACTTGGACACCAAAGAGTTTCAATCCAATTTCAAAAAGCAATGTAAAGTTTGTGTGCGTTTCATTGATTACAAAACGTACTTGAAACCCGTGCTCATCTTTGGGCTTATAAATACGGAGCCAAATGGGGCTCTGGGACTTTTCTCAAATCTCTTCTAGAAGGATACAGTCAATTGTCTCTCCTAAAATTGAAGCTCTCAAACTCTAACTTGGCCAAACGTTGAGGTCTTTGAAAATCCCCTCTTGGTCCTGGACTACTCGTTCCAATCTCCTCCACTCTTTCGTTTTCGTTTCTCATTATAACCCACGGGCTTCTAGTGAAGATGATGATGATGATGTGCTCCTGGAGCTCTCGGGCGGCCGCACGGATGGAATAATTCATATCTATGTATATATCCACGCGGCCCTTCGTTTTCTTTTTTTTTCTCTATTTTTTGTGCTCTTTTTGCGGCTCACACACACAAACACGAGGAGAGCTCATTTAAATTTGAACCTTACCAGATTGAGTGCCTGAAAAATGTCGAAAATTATTGAGCGCTAATCCTCGGATATTTTGTCGATGAACCAAACTTTTCAAATGGATTTTCAATGATTTTGTCGCCGGCGGCATCCGGCCGGAAACTGATAATATATATATATATATATATACTTAATCCGCGCCTCCTCTTTTCCAACTCTTTCTCTTTCTGTCTCTCCTACTCATAATCCCCCTTTTTTTGAATAAAATTGAGCAGAGGATTTTCACTCTCGACACACTAGTGTTTGCTTTCAGTTTTTTCTTTTCCGTTCCGTTCCCTTGCCAACCATTTCGGTGCCTTTCAGACACCCTATCAATTTGTTCCTTGGTCTTCTAGCTCCCGCGAATTCATGGACTTTACACCTTGACAATAGCAAATCGCGACGTAACAATGACGGATCAGGCGAAAAGCGGTGCGGGGCCGCGCAGTTCCTCTTCATCGACCGCGCACGCAAACAACTCATCGGCCACGTCTTCTGCTTCAACGTCTTCGTCGTCGTCGAAAATGATGAAAAAGCAGCAGAGGGCGAAGAGTTGTGCGACTCCGCACTCGGGCAGGAAATCGCCGCGGTTGGAGACGAAAGCGATGACTATTTCTTCGTCGCCGACGCCTCCGAACCGAGTGCTCTTCCAGCAGGCCTCGTTCGCCGTCGTCGAGGATCTGAAGGAGATGTCGACGCTCGTGAAACGCAACAAAAAGAGCCAGCAGCCGGACGTCGGTCGCAGGACTCTTATTGTCATTGGCGGTAGGGGATTGACTAGCAGAAGAACTGACTGAGAACCTGATCGAAATGCTGTACACAAAAATGCGTATATTGGAACTGAATATAACTCTAAAAACGTTCAAGTTCCTGACCCACAAGGGCAAGGAAACGCGCTCTGCAACACTCTGCACTTTACTTTTTCATTCTCGTCTCCAAATCATAATGCGTGTGTTCTCCGCGACGAAAATGAAGAAGAAACGTGCAGAGTGTGGCGGAGCGCGTTTGATGAGTCAAGCAATTGTCTAATTCCGAAAATTTGCAGCATGTCCGCAAAACGAGCGAATCGTGGTGCACCCGCACACGCTGTTCGTGCACTCGTACAAAGTGCCGACGTTTTGCGATTTCTGCGGCGAGCTGCTGTTCGGACTCGTCAAGCAGGGACTCAAGTGCTTCGGCTGCGGCCTGAACTACCACAAGCGGTGCGCCTCGAAGATCCCGAACAATTGCAACGGATCGAAGCAGCGGAGGCCGTCGGCCATCCCGCTCTCGCCCTCCAACTCGAACATTTTGAATTTGAACGAGCGACGCGTACGTTTTTTTCTCTTTAGATTTTGATATTCCCCTCTCGTCCTTTTGACTATCTTCCATTTTCAGCAATCGCGACGGGACTCGTGCCTCGAGGCGCTCGATGCGGCGCGTCCGTCGTCGACACTCGGCGGAGCGGCCACTCCGAACATTCTCGTCACTTCGGACGATTGCGGTGATCCCATCGGTGGAAATGTTTGTTTTTCCCGATGCATTTTCAGTAGAACTCGCACAATTTGCTCTTCCAGTTTCTTCAAATGCCACGAAAAGATCGGTCGTGCTCGTGGAGCGGCCGGCCTCTTTGGATGGAGATTGCCGAGGCAACGCGCGTCAAGGTAACCATTAGTTTTACGGAAGTTTTGCGAGTTTTTCGATTTCTGACACTAGAGTTCATTTGTTGTTTCTCGTCACTAGACAAATTTTCAATAGCTAACCATTATGTCTCACACAACTTTCGACAGCTTTCCACACAATTCTAGTACCTGATCGCAGAAATCACGATTGTGGCCCTCTCAATTTTAAAAATCAGGCGCTGTAATTGAGCCCGGTGGTTATTTTGTATGGCCAAACGAATGACACTCATAGATTTTCGACATCTCTGCTAATTTCATACATGCGGAAAAGAAGGGCCAAACTGAAAAAAACATTTCCCCACCCTAGCGGGAGAACACTAATTTCAGTGAAGCTTAGCCGTAATTTTCATGTGTTTTTTGTTTAAACAGATCATTTCCGTACAGTTTAGGCAAATTCGAACATGCGGAAATAGTTATTAATGGTTCGTTCTCTGAAAATTTCATCACTCAATTTCTAATTTTAATGGGAAAAAAAGACTCCCATGAAAAATTAAGAAAAATGAATATTTTCCTCAAATGCGATTTGCTTTTTGTTTCAAAATTCAGCGGGTCCCGCCATGACACGACAGTGCCCGTATTTTCAGATTTTGGGCCTTTCGTGAGAAATTATCCAGTTTTCGTGGGATTTCGCTGTAATTTCGTCGGTACGATCAAAGTTTAGGCGCACTGTATCCAATTTTGGATTCTCTCGAAGGACTCCTTGCCTTTGTCATCATTTTCAGCGAGAGAAAAATCCATTAGTTCCGAGAGAAATGCTAATTTTTCGCACGCATTTGAAATTTCGGAAAATGCGCTTTCCACTATCTCGCATTTTCTCGGCTTTTTGGTGAAATATCAAACTTTTAGTGTTCGAGAAGATGCGTATTGTTTTACAGGTGCCGCACACGTTCCAAGTGCACAGCTACAAACGGCCGACAGTCTGTCAACATTGCAAAAAGTTGCTCAAGGGCATTTTGCGGCAAGGAATGCAGTGCAGAGGTACTATATTAATCAGGCATGGGCGAGCGATTCGGTTGACGTTGATTGAGAAATTGTTTTGCGAAAAATTGCGCGTGATAGAAATAAGAGATGCAAAAATGGTAATTCCATCGTCCCCAAATTTTTTCTCTGCTTCAAACAAAAATCCGCCCAGGCCTGCTAGCGTCATTTCAGAGTGTCGCTTCTCCTCTGTTTATAGACACATTGGTGCTGTACAGCTTTCACAAAAATTGTTTCAGACTGCAAATACAACTGTCACAAAAAGTGCAGTGAACTGGTGGCGAAGGACTGTTCGGGCAACGCGCAAGCGAGCCAATTCTTCCTGGGAACGGCGGACGATGGTAAGAAGTGTTACGGTAGACTTTCGTTAATTTTTCTCTTCTATTGTTATTCTATTCATTATTGATATCATCCTTTTCCCTGTGGCTCGAAAAAGAGAGAGAGACGTTTGACAGGTACGAGTTTGTCGGGCAGTATGGATAATCTGCGAATGTGCAGTGTGCCGTTCGGTTCGGATCAGTCGACATCGGGTACTTCTATCTGTCTGTTCATTATTATATTCATTTATTCATGCACAGCCAGTTTCACACGCACACACCTTTTCTTTAACTGTACGGGCGGTCCTGAAAATTCCCAGCCTTGATCAATCACATTTACACTCTTTTCTCTATCGCTCACAAGTTCCTTGTTTATTTTTCTGTTCTGTTCTCCATTTTAGACGCTTAGATGGTCTATGGATAGCACACGCACGGCTTTGAAAGAAATTATCAGACGCAATCATTTCAGTTGTTTTTGTCGCTCCTCAGTCCTCACCACCCTATGCTTTATTGTTCATGATTTTAAATGTATACATATCAATTATGTCCCGTTCGCGATCCACGGCTTCTTTTGAGTTTCTCTCACTGTACAACAACGGAATGCCTAGTCTTTATATTCATAGTCTCATTTTTATATCTATCCGGAACAAATTTGGATAACAATACAGTCCGATTTATACAATTTTGAACATTTGCAGGTGCGTCCGACGATCGTGACGATGAGCTGTCGGTTCGAAGCGGTGGAGGCGGCCATAAGAAGGCGCAGAACACGCCGAGCGCTCCGCTTCAGGTAAGAGACCCAAGAAGAAAACCTTTTTTTTCCAATGAAAGCTGAGACGATTTCCAAAGCGTTTGTTCAGTTTCAGTGGTACCATTGAGAAAGTGTTTCTCGAAATTTCGTCTAATGAGCAAAGAAAAAATGAACATTATGTTGGGCTGTAACCTTCAAAATCGCTGTTCTCTGTTCAAAATCATGTAGAAACAACACATTTTTTTGTCTTCAAAGTGCTCATCCTCGCGGAGCCGATCAAGAAGACCATTTAGAGCGCGTTTGCATTGAGGTACCCGCCACGACCCCTCAATTAGGTGACATTGATTTACTCCAAAAAGTCGAGAAAGCACGATTTGATTACAATCGTTTTTCTGTCAACTTTTTGAGAACCTAGTTTTGGAAAGAACCGTAACTGTCAAAATTACTTCTATGGGTGATATTCGTTCAGTTTCCACTCATTTGCTGAATCATTAATAATGATTATGATTTTCAGGGTTCGGAAGGCACGACGTCCCCCGGATCGGTGGTTTCGTTCACTGGCGCCGCCGACGACGACGTGATCAGTTCGGAGAGTGCGAACATTCCGTTGATGCGAGTGGTGATGTCGAAGAAACAGACGAAGCGGAAGAACAACAAACTGCTCAAGGAGGGCTGGATTGTGCACTATGTCGATCAGCAGAATATGGTACAACATTCAAACAATTCACTTTTTGAAAAACGCTGCTTGTTACAGCGTAAAAAGCACTATTGGCGGTTGGACACGAAAAGTATCACAATGTACCAGGACGAGAATTCGACGAGATACTACAAGGAGATTCCGCTGAACGAGATACTCGGAGTGTCGATTCCGGCCGAAAAAGTCGACTATTTGTTCGAGATCAAAACGGCCGGATGCACTTATTTCATTTGTGAGTTTTAATATTGAAGATTATCCGGTCACTCGTTGGGAAATTTTCTGATTTTTCAGACGTTCTTTATCGGGTTTTCAGGAACTTTGTTCAAATCTAGTCGTTTCGACTGATAACGGATCAAAAATCGCTTATCTTTTTTCCTGCTAAAAACTGTAATCGACAGCTTGACACACAGGTTCAAAAGTGTCAATTTGTGGGTGTGTGTGTGTGTGTGTGTGTGTGTGTTTGTGCCCAACTTGCTCCCTTTTCGTAATTTCTGGTTTTTGAGTACACATTGACACTTATCACACTTTAAGAGCATCGGCATAGAGAGTTTATACTCGGACTGGGAACGCCAGTTTATTTGTTTATTTGCTAGCGGTTTTTTGAGAGTTTATCGGCCGCTCATCGTTTATTGTTGAGCCATCAGAGAGTTTTGATTAGTCTTTGAAGTTTTGTGCACATTTCGAGCCCGTAGCGAGAAGATTTCATTGAGATGCGAGAAAGTTGAATCGATTTTCGAGTTTTGTGCTGAAAATGTTTGCTTTGTCTGATTTACCAGAAATTTCTGAATTGCTTTGGAACTTCACACTTTTGACACCTGTTTTTGCCCTTTCCATTGCCGAAAACCCGAAATTTTCGTTTTCATCACAAAAGTGCTTGCGCACGCACTTCTTGACCAAAAGATTGATTGATTTATGTAATCGACAGTTTTCCCGTCGATCTTTATAGGTTCTTGCCATTTGAATGAATGACGGACGCCCCCGGCCGAGGCGCCGAAAAACATTTTGGTTTTATAGCGCCGTTCTTTGAAAGTCGTTCCGTTGACCAGAAACTGTGAGTTTTCTTGAACGTTTTTGAAGAAATCTAGTGTCTCTTCTAGTGCTTCTATAGACTCATGCTGAACATTTTTTTATCCAAATACGGTAAGCCCAGGCATTTTTCGGCTTGGATCCAAGCGCTAGACTAATCGGCTACACTTTTGGGCCTGCGCTTTTGAAGAATTTCCAAGATATGTGGAGTATTGACCGAATTCGGCCGAAAAATACTTAAATCCAAGTCCGAGAAGCCTACAAAGTTTGGTCCCCATCGAAAGATTGTAAGTGAGTCCTTCTGCCGTCCGATTCGTTTTCCTCTTTGGACTGTCTGTACTTTGACCGTGTAAGCCGCCTTTCTGCAAAAGAGGACAAGGGGTGTATTCAGTGGCTGGTCAACTTGTCAAACTACACATGACCTTTGGCTGTGTGTTGTATTTGGTTCCGGAAAGAATCTGTAAAAATAGATCTAAAACTATCAAGTCTCAGCAATTTTTCAAAAGATTATAGTTTAACGAACAAGCAGTCCCTCAATTGTATGGGATTTCGGGGCTGTGACTCATAATGCCGTTTTGTTTATTGTGTATTCTCATAGAACGCTTTGGTGAGTCACAAACTCATTTCTCCTTTTTTTTGGGTCACACAAGCTTGTTTTATTGGTTTTTTGAGATTCCCCCTGTATTTCATCGATTTTAGTGCATTTTGTTTGACATCGAAAGGTCTCCTGCTTTTTCTCCTTGGAAATATCGAGTTTTACAAAGAAAGTACGTTGAGGAAGCACATTTTTTGAGAACATTATTTGACGTCGTCATCATCTGCTACCTGATGTTGAATGTTGGAAAATTTACCAAAATTAGCTGGTTTTACAATATTTGTCGCGGGGGGCAAATCAGTCTAATTAGTTTCCACTCGAGACATCACCGTCTATGAAGGTCACACCACTGAAATCTCGGGGCTTCTTCTTCTTCTTCTTTTTCATCTTCTTCCTCTTCTTCCTCCTTGTCGGCCACAATTTGAATGAATGACGAAGCAGTATGCATATTTTTAGAGGCCTCCTCCTCCCTTTGCTATTTCGGTGATCTACAATAGAAGAAGAAGAAAAGGGAGAGAAAGAGGGAGAAGAAGAAGAAGAAGAAGAAGTACCAGTAGGGCCATAATCCGTCCCCGACGCTTCTCTGACGATGGTTTTGTGTGAATACGTCAACTTTTTTCGTGCGGTCGTGTTTTGACACTGTTTTTATGAACTTTGGCAATGATTTGAAAATTTGGTCAATTTGCTGAAAAAAATCTCTCTTTTTTGCCCACCTACTGCCACTTGACTTTTCCTTGTTTCGGTGTCTTTACAAATTTTCCGAACAGATAATATCTGTTCTCGTGTTCACACTTTTCTTCTCTAAAAAAAGTTGGAGGCTAATGCGTGTGAAGGTTCCATTGTTCGGGCGAAGACTTCCGTTCCTCATTCCATTCGAAGCATTTCACCCTGCTATCCGATAAGATGACACTTGGCGAGTTTTTGACGACGAATTCGGAGCAGTTGGCGTTTTGCGCCTCAAAAATCGGTTTGAATTGCTATTTTTAAGTCGAGGAGCTCACAAAGTTGCGTATGATCTCATTTGTAAAGTTTCACAGCATTGTTTTTAACCAGGCCACTGCTTTAAATGCGATTGTTGAGTGTAGGAACCAATCCTTCGATATTTACCTGTCAAAGCACTTTTTAGGCCTACAATCGATTCGAAATTTTAGTTTTGACTCCTAGGAGAACACGAAAATTCTTCAATTTCATTTATCAGCCAACTTTTCGATATTTCAGATGTCAAAGCAGTGTTCTTGACTAAAAATCAGCTTGCAATGCGATTTTTTTAGACGGATAGATGACATGGCTAATTTTCTCCGAAAAAAAAAGAAACATTCGCGTCGACTTTCTCATTGCTTTTCCACAGTCAATTAGTCGCAGCCTCTTCACCTCTCTCAATTGCAATTCCGAACGTGTTCTCTCTTCTTGTACTCTGTTCTTTTTTTTTTAGTTACTCTATTAGGGGGATGAGGATGTGTGGGTGGAGACGGAGTAATAAGGTTTCACAATTGTATTTGTGTATGAATAGCCGATTCTCTTCATCTCGACGTCTGTCAGACAATTTTTCTGGGAGTTTAAACTTTTTCACTGTAAATTTCACTGAAATTCATTCTGAAACCGTTGGAATATTGTATCTGACACGAGATGGATGATTCTTGAAGAGAATACAGTTGTTCATAAGCGACACCCACACACACACACACATTAGCATCATTTTGTTCATCATCATCACCGTCATCCACATCATCATCATCCATTCGTTTCCCTCTGGTTTTCCCACTGTTTTTCCTGTACTCGAGAAAGAATTCGTGTCCGTCTTTGTGAGATTCATGAGATTCTAGACGATCTAGAACATTTTTGTCGGTTTCAGCGTTGGAATGTTCCGTCCGTTTTTTCTAGAGTGCAGTTCATTTTTCAACGATTCTTGATTCGAATTATTACAGTTGCATCCAGTAATAACTACAGTAACCCTGTCAGCTAATTCTAATTCGACGACCGGTACCACTTTTCTACCCGATTACCCCCCTTCTCCAGCACGTGTATTTCCTCTTTTTGTACTTTTTTCCCCACTTGATTTGACGGAGACTTAGACGACGTGAGACGAAACGGAAACGACGACGATGATGAAAAAGACTATGCATTTGTGATCTTTCTGACCTTTTCCCTCTCTCTCTCTCTTTTTTTCTCTGATTTGAGAAAGCGGAGACAATTGTCGAGACGACAAGATTGTCCAGTTTTTCGGCGGTGGTCTCACGTGGATTCCCTGGCCCACAGTAGCATCTGATCTGAAAAAGTGCGGTGCGGAAAGTTTTTTGTTTATTTGTCGGTGTGAGGTCAATTTTCGTGTCTCGAAACGGCCACATTTGGTTTTGAGGACATTTTACAACTGATGGACGTTTCGCAACCAGCATCCAGAATATTTTGCAACCAATTCCTCAAAAAACCCTACCCTGGTTCCAAATATATTGTACAATTTTGCGGTACCTCTTCAAACACTGTTTTCTAACATTTACGGACGTTTCGCAACTGATGGACGTTCACCAAACGAGATTTTCATTACCCCAGCCATTGCGCAACTAGGTGCTCCTAGCAAAGACGTCAAAACATTCGTGCCCAACGGCTACTTTCGCAGGAAACTTTCCAGACGGTTCGCAACTGATGGACACTTTACAACTAGACTTTTGTCAATCAAAATGTGAAAGGTTGGACGTTGGACGTTTTGCAACCGTTCATTCAGCAAAACGTCCAATTTGTGCTACTTTTTCACAAACACTTGTCAACGTTTGTACGTCGGACGTTTTGCAACCGAACCGACGTTTGACCACTCAAAGTCCTCTTGATTCCGACACTATCAGCTGACGACACAGACGGTCTCTATCGTCTCCAACTGACCAATTTTTGATAAGAAAAACTTTCCTCGAATATTGTCGCCTTCGTCTTTTCCGTTTTCCCTCACTTCCCTATGTCTCGCTTTTCTCGGTTCGATATCGAAAAAGTGAGTTAGTTCCTGTCTGAAAACCAGTTTTGAACTTTTTCTCTTTCCAATTTACTCATATGTCAACGGAGGTGAAAAATTGAAGAATTTTCCAGTTTTTTTCCCGGCAAAAATAGTGTGTAGACAAAAATAAACAAATAAATCGGGGAGGGCGGTCACACTTTTAAAAACAGTGGGAAACGCTGAAAATGGCTGAAAATGTGGGTCAGTAGTGTGTGTGTGTGTGTGTGAAAAGTGGAAAAAGTGTAATAGTCACCCGGCTGACCGAAATTGGAATTCCGTTCTGTCGGCGTAGTAAAGTGGCGGTCAGAAGTCCGATTTGGCGGTCAAAATAAGCTCCGCCCACTCTTGATTTCAACGAATTTCTCAAAAAAGTTTTCTTTGTCCTCTTTTATCATTTGACCCCCCCCCCCCCTCTCTCTCGTATTTTTGGAATGAAAATTTGTGTGGCTTCTTCTTCTTCTTCGTCTTCTCTTAGTTTTTTTTTGTTATTTTGGTTCGAAATGGGCGGAGCCTAAAGTGAGAGAAGAAGTGGGTCAGTTGGGCTTTTCAATCAGTTCACCATACAGGTACCCTTTGTGATGAGGTTGGCAGTTTTCCTTAAATTTTTTGAGAATGCCTAGTCTTTATATTATCCTGAATACA